CGATGGAATATATCGAAGTTCAAATCAATTGCTCCCGACAGACAGAGAACGGCCAATTGGCCTGTATGGCAACGGCACTTCGGCCATCACAGCTACCTCACATATCGTCCAACTTGACAGAAGTTGATTAAACTCCCAGTTATGTGTACGCCCAACTGAAGTACATTGCAATCATATTTGGAAGTCAACATCAAACGACGTCCTCACCTCAAGAAGTCTTCATGCATGACCCAACCACAGCCTTCACCAGCGAAGCGCTACTTGCGTATGCCGTTATGATGCACGAAGTCCCCATTCAGGTCTTTCAAAGCAGACTGGCCTTGATTTACAACACCCTTTGGCGAGCGACAGTGGCCCCCGCCATCGTCACTGGAGGGGATATCAGTAATACGAGCGCATCCAAGAACGCGCCCGCCATCATGACCGAAACGAGTGCAAGTTGGCAATACCTTATGCCGCGAGTATACCGGCTTCATGTCGGCTGGATCGTACCGTACCTTGTGGCCGTCGCCGTACTCTGCGCCTGCGCAATCGTCACGGTCGCGGTCCGATTTCAACTGCGAGTCCCAGAAATATTGGGCAACGTTTCAACCTTGACCAGAGATTCTCCCTTTATAAGGATTGAAAGCCATGCAAGCGTGCTTGACGGGGACGAAAGAGGAAGATTGATTAAGAATTATTGGATTCGACTTCAGGATATTCAACCTGAATCTCCGGTCGGAAGAATTGCGGTCAGCTCAAACAAATTGCTTTCCAATGTTCGTCTTCAAAGGGGGAGGCTATACTCATAGCGTGGTGTCGAACCGTCCTACGCAAATGGGCTTGAAGTCGTCCTTACAGGGTGGGTCGGAAGTGGGCAGGTCGTCCAGCGTGTGGACCTGACTCCGGGATCAAAGAGCGGCAGTCGTCGATTAGATGTTTATACTAGAAAATGAAGTATGCGTTAGGCTATCGTTCATAGTTTCGACCTAGCCTTGGGCAAGGGCGGGTGGTACAGCGAGGCGAAGACTCGACTCCTCCAACTCCGACTCCGGCTCTTCGGCCACTATACCCCAGAGTCGAGGAGACTAGAGCCTAAATAGGAGTCTCGCTAGTATATGAGAGAGTAGAGCTGCGCCGGGGAGAGAGATGAGGGAGTACGGTAGTAGTGGGCTAGAGCTGTAAGGGAGTAGAAGAGAGTAGAAGGGGAGGTAATAGAGGTAAAGGTGTCAGGAACTCTAAAAGTGTTCAGCCCAATTCATTACACGCGAGAGACAGAGATAATCTTCTAGCAAAGAGACAGAGAAGAGTCTATACCTTGGGAGGAACTGGAACTCAAGCGCCCAGCATGCATGCTCTAAGCGAGTCTGCTACTGTTCGGGTTGGGAGTGGCCTTTATCACATTTCTGTCTCACTCAAAAAGGGAAAGGTGGAACGCAGATCTCTCGATGTAGAAGTGTTGAGTTTGGTTTTTGCTGTCATTCGAAATCACTGTCCTCTCATGGAATAAGAAGCGTATTGTTGGATTGTGCGCGCTTCTGCGGTGTCTGACGTCCTCAACACCACAGACCTCGCTGTCGCCCTATATAAGTTCAGCCTTGCGCAGCCTCGTAACCTACCGAGTTCGGCATGGGCACATTCCACGGCTTGGATATTGTCTCAGTTACCCTTGTTGTGGCGTCTTTGATGGAATATTGTCATGAATGCCCTTGGAAGGACACAGAACCTTCGGTACGCTCCTTTTGGCAGTCTGTACGTATATAAATAGTCCTTTCGAGGCCCGTCTGTCAGACAGGACAACACCTTCAAGTCAGTCAATTCGGACAACACTAGGCTGCACCAGCTATGAACGAGTCAACGCAAACCTCAGCTTCGGTAGGTAGAATAGTATGGAGTGGAAGATTGTAGGGAGAGCTGCTGATGCAACAGGAATGACCAGAGACTGAAAAATCCTCGTTGGGGATTTTAATAAGGTTTTAGGACATCCAGACCAGGGCTAGGTAGACTTACTATGACCCTAAACGGGCCCCTCTAGGAAATCCAAATTGAATGATTTTCAGTTGATCAAATGAGACCCCTGAAAACCGCTCGCATGGAACCCGGGGTTCCAAGCCCACGGTGAGCGTGGCGGAGCAAACTCCTGAGCCATCTGAGCCGAGTGAAACGATCAGAGCGAGCAGTTTGTCGAGTCGCAGTACGAAGGGTTATATAACCGTTGGTGGGTTGGCGTGGCGCAAGGACAGGCCAGCGGCAGGCAGGTATTCTGGCGGGAGACATGTGCCAAGGCTACACGTGATAGCATCGTGGGCGCGACCTGACTCCTTTTACCTGGGTACCAAAGTAGTTGCGGAGTTGGGCTCGAGAGCCTCCCCTTTGGCTACCTTAGAGAGGCCCCGGGGTGATAGCTCACTAGTCGTAGGCTCACTAGGCTCACCCAGCTGCCAGGCACCGGGGTAGTTATTAGGTAGGTATGTACGGACTAGTAAGGGGTGAGTTCCGGGCGGTATCCCCTTAGCCGAATAATAATCATGCAAGGTTGAGCGGGAGCAAGTTTTGACGCATCTTGGCCGAATCCTCTCCGCACACGCACCCTATTTTCTTTTCTTCAAGCATTCTTCACACTGATGATGGTGTTGATGAGTACCACAGATGCTTTGAGGCACAACAAGTGTTTCTAATCCTTGTATCAAATTCCCTAACCCCAGAGTAAGTCCCCAGCGAGCATATCCTCAGCTTCGACTCCTCCGCCTGATGATTTCCAAAGTGAATTCTGCAATTCTGAAAGATGCTCAAAGTCTTGATGCGGAACTTCCTATCTACACTTGATCTGATCCAACCACACAGCCCTTCCGTGATTCTTGCAGCAGTTGAGATGTCTTTTGGCTGACTGTCACTTCGATAGGTGCCGTCGGGCGTGGATGGCCACTTGACGCTGCGTGCACTCGATAACACAGAAATCCTGGGCACAATAATGCCCAGTCCTCGTATGATTCACTGGAATGCCTGCCGAAGTGCAGCATCATCACATCGTCATGTTCCGCTCGAATTGCGAGCCAGATTCCTGCGCCGAATTTTACCTTCACCTCAGCTTCTAGAAGTTATCTCGAACACTGCCTATCTCACAACTTGGCAAGTTGGTTCGCCGCGCGGGCTCTCTTGTCGCTATGCTTCCCTATTCTTACGTACAACTCGCGATGCCCAGAAGACGTGCCATGCACACTGGTCACACCACGAGGAAATGTCGGTGAGTAAAATGTGGCTTTGAGGCTTCAAGCACCACGTGAAAGACAGCTGGCCCTGGGCGGAATGTGCCCAGCAGCGTGTAGCTCAAGATCCTTTGCGATGCTGCATTGTTATTTACAAAAGACCACCCTGCTTCCATATAGAGCATATCCGACATGATTCTCGCGACGTGCACTGGCAGTTTGGGTAGAGATAGGTGAACAGACATATACGATATGCGGGACAAAGTACACACTGAGCACCTAACCTCAGCATCCTTCCTTTCCACTCGGAGACTTGCCGAAGTTCTCCAGATCCTCCCGCAACTCAATGTGCTTGACTAGTCCAGCCTGAAGATCATGGGCTTTTGAACCTTTTCCCTCGTCTGGAAACCCTGGGACACATAAAATGCAGCATAGTGGCATGTGTACTCCGTACTGGTACCACGGAACAGATAGGACGAAAGGACGCTACTTTGCCTGTTCTTCTGGCACTTCTCCTGCCTCGGCGCCGTTGGTCCAGCTAAATTGATTCCCCAATCATCAGCAGCAAGCCAGCCTCGTTTCTTCTTCTCAGCTCCACTACGGAGGAAATATGCATCGGGCAGAGCTTCCGAGCAGCCATCTCCCCTCTCTCTCGTGCTCCCCAACGGCCTTGCAAGCATCCTCCTTTACTCTTTACTCCATTTGGGCATTCGAGCAGGGGTGGTCAGCCAGCCATGTGCCCCTCCGCAGCGCCAGATACCGTTGACGGCTGGTGAAAAACACCAGGGACCACGGCGGGTCTGTCAAAGCTTTACGTGGATTTGGCGGGCTTTCATTTTCGCGAAGGAATCACACATCTCGCGCTCCCCGACGATGCTGGGTCCTGCAGGCCATCGTCACTCGTCACTGTCTCAAATTGTGCCTTCTGCAGACCGACCAAACGTGCAGATTGGACAGGAGATTGGGCCTTTCGAATACCAAGACTCTCAGCCGCAAGCAGCATCTTGATTTGGACCTGCCAGCCTGTCCACTGTCTCCCTCCCCGTGCTACAGGCATCCATCGTTGCCAGGACAGTCATCGCCTTGCCTCGCGCGCTTGTGAGACGCAGACGCTCTCCGGGACCCCGCAAGCTCTCTTGTGGGAGGCGCTTGAACTTTCTTCGAGCCTTTGAGTTCTTCACTGAGTACGGGGAGGCGAGGAAAGGGGCGATCCTCCTGAGCCTTTGACCTGGGGTAGCATCGAGAAAGATTGCGTTCCTGTCATCGGCGCTTTACCCATCCAAGATTAACAAGGTACCCAGGCTGCTTCCACGCGAGCAGAGAATTCTCTCGATGCAACTGCCATTGGTAGAGGCACACCCCCCACTCACACTCACAGCTCGACCCCTTTCGCTTTGACTCCTACGCTAAAATTGACGAAGAGATAGCCTCCTCCAGGACAGCATGGAGCTCCATCTTCACGTACTCGTACGGAGGAGGGTGCTCCACTGGCATGGTGCTACGGCGCCGTTCCAACAATCTAGCAATCCCTGCACGGCGTGAAACGTGCCCTTGCAGACAATGACAGTTCACGGGCCTGGACGCCAGGCCAGGCATGATTCCTTTCCACGCTCTCGTCAGCCTGCCATCTATTCGGCGTTTGCACCTTCCCTTTCCATTGCGGAATCCCGGTGGTGCTTGTGACGGTTGAGGTGCAACTGGCTTTAGGTGCTAGGGTACCGTGTCCATGCTCGGTTGGTATACATCTAATGGGTGCCTCCCTCGTATTGCTCTGTAAGTTGATTCCGCTGTCAATCTGTCGCCCAAACGGCCACAATGGCCGCAAGCTCGTCGGTCTCTCTGAACACCACGTTGGATCCTTTACCTTCAGTCTTGCGGCATGGGCTGGTAGCTGTGGCATTCTTTGGACTTCTTTCACTCATCTCCAGTGTCGCTCTCTTCACCTTCCTGACGTATCGACTCTGTGTATGGTATCACCGAGGGCAACTCAAGGATGGCGCCAATCAGTTCCTGCTCCTCATCTACAACTTGGTGCTGGCAGACATCCAGCAAGCCATGGCTTTCGCGCTGACGTCGGTATACCTTTCCCAAGATAAGATCCAAGTAGGAACCACGACATGCTGGGCCAACGGGTGGTTCGTCTCGACCGGTGACCTTGCTTCGGGAGTCTTCATCCTCGCCATCGCCTTGCACACATACTATGCCGTGGTGAAGGGCAGGCGGGTGGGAAACAAGCTCTTCTATGGCGGTATTATTTGCCTGTGGATATTTGTCTATCTAATGGCTATCGTTGGTGTTGGTATAAATCCCAGAATATACGTCCGAGCGGGAGCATGGGTATGTGCCTAGGCCCTTCTGCCGCTCAACCAAGCTGACGATCACAAAGTGCTGGATTGACAAAAGATACGATAAAGAACGACTGTGGCTCCACTACTTCTGGATCTTCATGTGCATGTTTGGGACAGTTGTCACGTATATCCTCATTTTTGCTTTTATCACAGCCAAGTCACGGAGCCGCTCGAATCCGAACTTTCCCAACGATGATGGCACCGACCCTGCCGCCACAAAGCGTGCTGCGAAATACATGATCATCTATCCTGTGGTGTATGTCGTTTGCACATTACCACTCGCAGGGGGCCGAATGGCCGCAATGACAGGGATTTCGGTACCATATTGTAAGTCTTCTTGTCGCTGCTGCGGGTTGCCACATGACTGATTGTAGCAGGGTGGTTCTGCTTAGCCGGGGCGGCCATCAGCTCCTGCGGATGGTTAGACGTTGTACTGTACGCGGTGACCCGACACGTCTTGATATTTGGCCGGGCTCCTCCACCTCCTCAAGACCTGGGTCTCGACACCTTTGGTTGGAAGGACGTCGGCGACAGTTTCTGGGGAATGAGGACTACCATTAGTGGCCCTCTAGGAGACCCGAACGCTCGAAGGCGTGACAAACGCGACTTCCTGGGGCGAAGTACGTCACGTCCGCTTCGCTCGCGGCAGTCGGATGAATACCACTTTGCCAGCCAGCCGGAGGGAATCATCACGGCAAAGACCACGATCGAGGTTCGATCAGGCCCCATCATTCATTATGCCGACTCAGATATGAGTGCGATTGAGATGGAAGACAAATCAGAGCGAACGCATTCGCATTCTCACAATGAGTAATGCGACGGGACTGGGACATGCGACCACGATCATAGCAATGAAAAAGAGGAATGCTCTGCGAGATATTACGGCCGGTTGCTGCAAAGAGAAGGGGCCACAAACGATTGGGACTGTTCAATATGTCTGTAAATGTGTGACAATTACCTGTGCATAAAGATCGAGTGAGGTTCGGATGCGGTTGGTGAATCCTCATTTGTATACTGAGTAGAAGATGTTGTATGTGGCGGGCGTAAACGCAGCGCGGAATTTATTTGTTCCAGCCCGCCGAGCCCTGGAAGCCTCACTGGCCCAATCTCCCCCGGCTGGAGCCCCAACAACCTAGCTTGAGAGCAGACGGTGCTCGCTTGCTCGGACTCACGGAACTGCGTCAACAACCCTCGAACTGGACGCTTTTTCGTTCCCATCGTCCAGACTCGCCAACGGCCCTGATACTGAGGTATAGCTCAAGAGCCGTCTGTCTGCACTAACCGCCAGTCTATCATAATGTGGTCGAAACACCCTGGCCTCTCGTGAAAAGCGACTTCCTGCACACCCAAACCCCGCAGCCATGTATCGACCTCCTCAAATAGCCCTCTTGGGGGTCAAACGAAGCCTGCGCGCTTTCCGGACCTCTAGATCCTATGTCTCAACTTCGGAACCTGTTCTTCGAACAGCCCTCTTCTTTCCCGGTCATGGCGTCCAACGAAAGGGCATGACGAGACCGTGGATCGAAGCTTTTCCCCGAACGTGCAAACCGTTCTTAGAAGAGATGGATGACATAGTGCATTGCAAGCTGTCCACTCTCATCGACGAAGGCCCCATCCTGCAGCTGGACAAGACGGAAAATGCCCAACCTGCAATAATGGCCGTATCCATCATGATCTTGAAGGTTCTCGAGCAGGAGTTTGGCTTCAAGACGGAGCAAGCGATCGACGTCACGTTGGGACACAGCCTGGGGGAATATGCAGCACTGGTCGCTGCCGGGAACCTGGAGTATGCATATGCTCTCGATCTGGTCCGGAGACGCGGCGACGTCATGGGAGAATGCACAAGAAAGGCAAAAGAGGAATCAGGCGAGGAATTCGGCATGATTGCCCTGGTCTGTGAGCCGGGCCAACTGGACCCGCTGATTGCGGCCGTCAGAGAATTCCTGAGCCAGGGCTCCGAAGGCGCAAAGGACGACTCTAGTGCTCTACCGGCATTCCAACAGATCTCCATTGCCAACGTCAACTCGAAGAACCAAATCGTGCTCAGCGGCAGCTTCCAGCGGATACGGAATCTGCTGGTCCACATCCGAGAATTTGGCGGACATGACCCCCGAGCTGTCGAGTTGAAGTCGCGCTCAGCCTTCCACAGTCCGATCATGATGCCGGCTTTTGAATTCATGAAAAAGGCCCTCACCCCGGATAAGGTGACATTTCCCGGCCGGGTCCCTTGCATCAGCAATGTCACCGCTAGGCCGTTCAGGTCGAAAGACGACCTCATGCAAAATCTTGCCAGGCAAGCTGTCGACACGATCCTCTGGTGGGATTCGATCAAGTATCTGGATCAGCAGGCTGGTTGCCGCCGGTGGCTCGGTGTAGGCCCTGGCAAGGTCGGACGGAATCTTGTATCAAAAGAGGTTGGCCGTTCGTCGGCGAAAGGGGGAGGTGTCTGGTCCATTACGGAACCGCATGAGATCGAAGAGGCCCTGCGCGCTCTGGAAGCCACTGCGAAAGAAGAAGACAAATAAGGGTATCACTGAGGGATTCAGGGAGCAGCTGGGAGCAGTCTTTTTCGCACTGGAGATCCATGCTGCCATGGTCCGGTAACGCCAACGACGCGAAGCGATGGTTGAGACGTGGTAACGGTCACGCCATCGAGGACAGGTGAAGGGAAGGTCGAGTGGCCTTGGCGAGGCAGAAGTGTTAGCAGGTCTGAAGCATTGTACAATGGCTGTCGATATGTCTGGCAGGAAAATTATGGGGCACATGTGATCCCAAAAAATTCAAAGGATATATATTTAATCCAGAGATTTTGTTCACAACACCAAGACCCCTACTGGGAATACTGGACAAATCACTTCGGCGATCCATTCAACAAAGTGAGATGCACAGCTCCTAGTAGGCGATCCCTCGATTCCTCCTCCTTCGATCGACCGAGTCAGAGAGAGTCCCAGGCATGTCTGGATACCTTCAAGGTATTATCAAACTAGCAACCGGGCTAGCAGGCACCATGTCTCGATTCTCCCTGCGACCGAGCGACCGAATGAACGAGCGAGCGACCGATCAATCGAACGAACGAACGAGCGGCCGACCGACCGATCAATCGAACGAACGAGCGAGCGACCGATCGAACGAACGAACGAGCGACCGACCGACCGACCGAGCGGAAAAACCTGCTGCGATTCAGCGGGTTTCACTTCCCATCACCCCCATTCGACGGGGCTGATGGAAAAAGTTTTTGTCAAATGGGAGAGTGGTGGTGGTGGTGGGGGGTTCGAATCCCCTTTTTTTCTATTGTTTTTGTTCTCACTGTGTATATTTTTCTTCATGGGGATCGTGATGTGTGTGTGTGTGTGTGTGAATTTGTGTGGGTGTGGCAGACTGTTGTACTTCTGCAAGGGCTGGTCAGATCGGTGGAGTCAGTGACCATCTTGTACAGCGCAACCCGTACAAGTGACTGGAATTCTGTCTGTCTGGGTCCAAGTGGAAGGATAGTGTACAAGGGAAATAATCAGCAGGGCCTTCTCCCATTGCCAGAGTGTGTTTGTATTCGGTTGGTGCCAGTATGTTCCTCCTCCGATTCTCAGCCTTGCGCTCGCGTGGAGTAAGTGGCTGACGAGGCTGTGATATGTTGACGCACGTGCCACAACACCGGAGAGTCTCACATGTCAACCTCCGACTGAACCGCAGCATCTCTGTGCCAGTCATCCTCCCACGACGTCAGGCCGGCTTCGTCTGGCACCAATGACCCCCTTTCCCCGTATTTCCATTGCTCTTTGCCTCCTACAGTAATTCTGGGCCTCGAATCTGGTCGTCTGCCCTTCCTATTTGTCTGGGTCGAGACACAGACACTCCAGTTTGCCAAATTCAAATCCATACTGTAGCATGCTTATCTCTCGGCTTCAATGAGTGAATATCTCCCCTCGTTCATTGTCGAACCTGTCCTGCGCCAAGCGAGGCGATTCTCCCGCCTCAGCGGCACCACTGAAGAGTCGCCCGGTTTCTTCCCTGCCGTGCCCGACCTGCAACGCTGGAGCCCTTCTCGCCTTTGGAACACCTCCCCTCCGCCTTCGCTCGAAGACCCTGCCGTCGAGCCAGAGTCAGAGCACAGAGAGACCACTGTGCAATCCATAGCTAGGACCATCCAGCTATGGGCCAATCAGCTGAACAGCTTCGACTCCATTCCCTCCCCTCCTTTAGAGTCCGAGGACGATTCGAGACGACCATCATCCGAGCCCTCTCTTCGACAAGAGCCCTCGACCACCGAGTTTCCTCCTCTCGAGCTCGACGCTTCACAGCCGCAGCGCCCCGTCTCTCTCCAAAATCTTCGCACGGACAGCGAAACCTCTCTGAATCCTGCCAATGAGCTGCCGTATCGATCCCGCGTCCACGAAGACAGTGCGCGGCCTCATGCAGCATCTGATCCGCTGAGGGATTTGTCAAGAATCGCAGACGTGGCGGGCACGCAAGACGTACAAGAGAATGGCGGCGGCCGGAGGAGGGATGGGTCAGGAACTCTACCAGAAGACGATGGAATGGGCGCTCTCCGACAGAAGATCAACGCTGTGTGGTCAGGCCCTGGCACGGCTGCGGAGAAATCAAAGCTCGTCCATACGTTGATGATGGAGCGGTATCAGAAGGGTCTCGCTGGCAAAGGCATGTTGTCCAGATCGCTGGACCCGTCTCAAAGACCGGCATCACCCAGTTCGACCATGTCAGGGGCTGGCCAGGAGATCAACTATAACCTCACTCCAGAAGCCCTCCTGCCGACCTATGCACCTCTTGATCCTGATGACATGGACTCGTCGGGTGAAATCTCTCAACCCGTGCTTGGCTGTGTCCATTACAAGCGAAATGTCAAGATGCAATGCAACGTGTGCGAAAGATGGTATACCTGCCGACTCTGCCACGACGAGGCCGAAAATCATACTCTGCCGCGTCGAGAAACCAAAAATATGCTGTGCATGCTTTGCAACACCCCACAAGCCGTTGGCCAGTTCTGCAAAACGTGTCAGGTTCAAACGGCGTGCTATTACTGCCCCATCTGCATATTGTGGAACAATGATCCCGAAAAGTCCATCTACCATTGTGACGACTGTGGTATTTGTCGACTCGGTGAGGGTTTGGGCAAGGACTTCTTCCACTGCAAGACATGTGCGGCTTGCATGTCCATCCAGGCCGAAAGCACCCACAAGTGCATTGAAAAGAGCACCAAGTGTGACTGCCCCATCTGTGGTGAGTATATGTTTACGTCGAATAAACCAGTCGCGTTCATGCGCTGCGGTCACAGCATCCACGAGTCTTGTTTCTCCGAGTGGTGTAATACTAGCTACAAATGCCCGATCTGTTCCAAGAGCATTGCCAACATGGAGAGCCAATTTCGGCGCCTGGACCGGCACATTGAAGAGCAACCGATGCCGGAAGAGTATCGAGACAATCGAGCCTATATCTTTTGCAACGATTGCAATAGCCGCAGCGTGACCAAATATCACTGGCTGGGACTGAAATGCACAATCTGCGAATCGTATAATACAACTCAGCTGGAGCTCCTGGGGGCTGAAGAAACCCCACAACTACAGGAGCAACAGGAACGAGCGCAGCAAGCAGGAACCTCTGAAGCAGCCTTGACAGCCAGTCAGAGCCACACTCCGACAGAGCAAGCGACTCAGCCTGTGGATATAGTAAGAGCGTCAAACCAAGCCGTCCCTCATCCTATCGACATAGGAACAGCGTCCAATACTCCCAGAAGCCGGTCCTCTTGGCTTCTGCCTCACTCACCCACAGCTCGCTCGGCACGATCTGTTTCCCCGGTGGTCGGGAGTTATTTTGGTACCGGGCAACGAGCACCAGGTACACCCGAAACACCTAACCGCCGAACAACATCTATGGATAACGATGACGATGACCTCGATTTCTGGGGTCGGCCCAACTCACCCCGGCAACACGACGCGGCGGAGGTTGAATCAGAGTCCGAGTCCGAGAGTGAGCGTGACGAGCCAATGGAGGAGGATGGAGAGGAAGAGGAAGATGCAATGGACTTAATCGGACACAGATGATGAGCTGGCGGGGGGCATAATGGAGTCCGAGCTACACCACTGGCCAAAGCAGAGAAAAAGAATGAGACATGACCGAAGAAATGATGCGTCGACCCAGGCTTGTCATGGTATGGAGTTTTTGCATATGGATCGGGTTGAAGAGGCAGGCTACGAGTGTAAGCGCTGACTTGGGTGTTGTGATCGTGGTTGGGGTTTGTTTTGGGAAAACGAAGAAAAAGGAGTTTTCGCATCTCCGTCTATACCTACGCACCTGTATCATTAGGGCACGTATTGATGATTTGGTATTGCGAGCAGTTTATGTGATGATCTGGGGATTTCCATGGGCTGGAGGGAGCATGTGACGAGGGCGTCCAAGGCTGTGCTTCGTAATGCTATATCTTGTCCTTCTTTCTTCTCCAACCACGACATCTGCCTCTGTGACTACAGCGCCATCATTGGACGGTAGATTCCGTCCACCCAGCCCATCACCCATCGAACCATGAATTACACCTTACACCTTGGCCCTGACGGGCTGAACGAGCCGGTGACGGTGACGGTTGACGGTGAGCAGATGGATTTTATCTCGACCTAAGTCCGCTAATACCGAATCAGGGCGCCACACCCTCTGCGTCCTTCTCGCAGCCCGTCCATCCTCTGCAGCTCTCTCACTTCTCACTGGACCGCAGCCAGTCCCCCTTGCTCCCTCGCGCACCTTTCTCCAATGGCCCAAACCCTCCCCGACCGAACCGGTAGCACGCACTTGGCATAGCCGAGAGCGCTGCGGGGAACCAGGGAGCTCGAGGAATGGGCACAATCCCAACACCCTGGACGCGAGACTACGAACGAACTGGTCCTCACACGGCAATTGCGACGTCGATGCCCGTGCCCGTTGGCCAGCCAGTGTGTGAGGGATAGGGATCCGCCCTGCAATTTTCCACTCGATATTATCCTGAATTCATCGCGACCGACCGGCCTCCCACCGGTGACGAGACGAGGTAACAAGGTATATATTCGTGGGCTCTGCTCCCAAACACACCTCGTGGGAAAAAAGACGCAAGAAGAGATCCGACACTTTTGTCCCCTCCCCTCCCACCAAGCGCAAGTTCCCCCGCCCCCCTTCGACGAACCGAGTCTTAGACAGTAGTGTTCTGATCCTTTGCTGTGCACGCCATCTCCATTACAAATCACCTTTCCCCCTCGATACAACAGCCTAGTCTATCCAATCCCCTGAAACGCTTCGACAAACGTAAAGATGGGTGACGCCGGTATGCCTCGATCGCTCCGGGAGAGCTTGGACAACACAAAGGTCAGCTATGTCCAACTCGGCGCTTCTGGCCTGAGAGTTTCCATCCCCATCCTAGGCGCCATGTCCTTTGGTGAGTCCAGAGTCTCTGCTTCTCTTCTGGCGAGCCTAAATAGTGTCATCACCCTGCTGTGAACTGAAGGTCACATCCATTCAAGAGCCAGCAGACGTAGTCAGTGAAAAGAGCGATTGAAAAGCTCCAAGGGAACCCTGCACTGCTGTCCCTTCCGCAAATCTTTCATCTACGCACGCTTCCGAGTGAAGAGAGAGAAACCAAACCACTAACTCATTTTTCTCCCCCTTTCGAAAACCACAGGTCACAAAGACTGGCAACCATGGGTCATCGACGATGAGGCAGAGGTGGAAAAGCTGCTCAAGGGCGCCTACGACCGAGGCCTCAACAGCTGGGACACCGCCAACGTGTATTCGAATGGCAAGTCAGAGCGCATGATCGGCCGGGTCATCAAGAAGCACAACATCCCCCGTCATAAACTGGTCCTTCTCAGCAAATGCTTCGGCACCGTCGGCGAGGAGCCTGCCGTTGTGCACATCAAGTACCCCGATCAGATCAAGAAGAGCAAAGACTACGTCAACCAGGGCGGTCTGAGCCGTGCGGCCATCTTCAATGCCGTGGAGGCGAGCTTGGAGAGGCTGGGCACGAGCTATCTTGACGTACTCCAGATCCACCGCTTTGATCGGACTGTGCCGGTCGAGGAAACCATGAAGGCTTTGCACGACCTCGTGCAGGCGGGCAAGGTTCGATACATTGGTGCGCAATCCCACCACATCCCCTTTACTCCACGTCCTCTTCCCCCTCCTCCCCACTTTCGTCCCCTGGACTAATCTTTTTCTCTCGCTCTGCAGGTGCAAGCAGCATGTGGGCGTACCAATTCGCCAAGATGCAGAACTGCGCCGACGTGCACGGGTGGACCAAGTTCGTGTCGATGCAGAACCACTACTCGCTGTGCTACCGCGAGGAGGAGCGCGAGATGAACCCCTACTGCCACGAGACGGGCGTGGGCCTGATCCCCTGGGCGCCGCTGTACCGCGGCCTGCTGGCGCGGCCGCTGGGCTCCGAGGCCACGGTGCGCGAGGAGAGCATGAAGGGCAACCCGATGTTCGGCGGCCTGGACCCGGCGGACCGCGAGATCATCAAGCGCGTCATGGAGCTGGCGGACAAGAAGGGCTGGAAGATGTCGCACGTCGCCCTGGCCTGGATCATCCAGAAGGGCACCATCCCCATCGTCGGCTTCAGCAACCTGGCCCGCCTCGACGAGGCCGTCGCCGTCCGCGGCAAGGTCCTGACCGAGGACGAGATGAAGTACCTCGAGGAACCCTACAAGCCCAAGCCCATTGTTGGCCATTCGTAAACACTCCCCCCCTGCCTCTTTCTTTTCCTGCACGAGCCGTTCTCCCCGGGAGTGAGGGATTGAGATTGGAGAGTAGCGTGTCCATTGGACGAGAGAGAGTGTGTGTGTGAGAGCAGAGACCTTCTCTACGTCTGTCTCGTCAGGGGAAAAGAGTAAACAGGGCAAGAGGAACACCAATGGTCAAACTCCGCCAGTTTTGAGGGATGAGATGGATGGACCAACCAAAGACTCGATGGGGGCCAATGGATGGCAGCACTCCAAAACCAGAGCAAGTAGGGCAAGTCAAGGACACAAACAACCACACAGAAACATCTAGAATGGAAGGTATCAGGGTAGACAATCATCAATGGCCAGAACAAAGTCTCAATCTGAGAACTCCATTCGAACCGAGTATATATTCTTCTTCAACGCGCATCCTGTATTGCTCCGAGGGATTGTGGATATCATTGATACCTGGATGGGGGCGAGGCTGAGTTCTGCGCCGTATTGCAGGGAGATGCTATACTAGCTAGTATCTCACCTAGGTAGGCTTTGCTTTGCTGTGCTGTGCTGAGCTGCGCCATGGCATGATATGCTACATCGCTAGAGCTATGTCCTTCCACCATTGTGGACCTTTGCACATATACGGTGGTGCATGGAACGCTTGAGGATGATAGTGATGGAGGTGCTTCTCTGGTAATTAGGTGGTCGGTCGTGAGTCCCTTTTCATTCCTATCAACACAACAACCCCTCAAAAGTATAGTTGTGCTTGTGATTTCTGATCCTTGGTGGACGGACCATCCTCCTTCTGCGATTACAGCTCCCCTCCTCGGTGCGTGGCCGCCTCCCCTTTTTGGACCGTTGTTACTTCCCATCGCCCTTCTCCTTCCTAAGAAGAAGGAAAAGTAGCCGCGTCGTTCGCCCGGGCGATGCGCCCGCTTCCACACGCGCCAACACGCAGTGTCCGCACAGGGTGCTGTTCAAACACCCACTGCGCGCCGTTCTGCAGGACGTACTGGTACGCGACGGTCTGGCCGGCCTTCAACCACAAATCGACGTACCACTGTGGCGTGGTGGAGGTGTAGTTGCCCGGGTTCAGCGGCAGGATGATGTCGTCGGCGTTGTTCAGTGCGCCCCCCAGCTTCGTGACGTTGCCCAGGATGAAGATGTTCTGGCCAAATGCTGTCGTGGCGTTGACGCTGAAGATCACCTCCGATTCACAGTCTTTCGTGACGTTCGGGGCGCCAGCCGCGAGGGCCGGGGTATAGTTCCCCGTGGCGTTGAAGCTCGTTCCGCGACATTGGGAGCTTGTGAGGTTCGTGTTGGCCAATGGATTCGAGGCGCCCCAGCTCAAGGGGAATTGACCTGCCCGACGGCGTGACATGGTGACGAAGGAGGCGAATGACCACGTCAACTTGGATGCCGAGGTGGAAAAGCCGGTGGTGCGGTCGAATTGTTCCGAGATGCTGCCGTTGGGGGGCAGATGTGGCTGGACCGCAGAGACAAAGCCGTCCGCATAAGTTGTCATGTTGACCAAGATTTGGTTCAGTACGTCTCCCGTATAGCTTCCGACGCTGATGGTGGGAGAGAGATCTTTGAAGAAGGGAAGGCTGTACTTGTCGACTGTGAGTTGCCCGACAGTTCTGATCTGGTGGACTGCATCGTACAGCATTTCTGCGGCGCCCAGTGTGCACAGTGCCCAAGGGTTTCCGCCATAATAGGTGTCCTCGGGGTATCTGCCGATCAGGACCGCGTTAGGAGGCTGCGCGTTGTTGTTAATCGGGTAGAGACTGCGGAAGCTGTCGACCAGGACTTTGTGTGTGGCAAGCATCTTTGAGTTGCACGGCTGGAAGTCTAAAGAGGGATTGGTCAGAAGAAAGAAACAGAACCTGTAAATACCAGGAATTGCTTACCGCTAGCATTGCAAGTAGCGTTCGCATCAAAAACCGAAATGCTCGCCAGGATGGGATCCGAGTTGATACCACTTCGGACAACGTTGTTGACATTCACATCGGCCGTAAGGTATCCTCCTGTGGCATTCCAGAAATTGTTTTGCAAAAAGCAGAGGATTTGAGGGGCCTGCGCGCATGGTTGACAGGTCGTGTTGAGCTGTCTCGCCAAGAGAGCTCCTTGGACAAGAGCGCGGTGCTGATTGGCGAGGGTGAAGAAAGACGAGCCGTGGACTTCTTCCCAGAGATCGTAGCCAGTCTGAAGCGATTGAGAACTTAGCTGAACGGAGCAGTTGGTTGACAGAATGCCGAATGACTTACCTGGTTCCAATACTGACCCACGTATCTGAGGTCGTTGAGGACCAGTGGCCAATAGATCTGTTTGTATAGAGCTGTTTCGTTCAAGTTGAATAAGACAGGGGCCAGTTCCATAAATGTAATGGCTCTCAAGGCGGGACCATCACGCTGTGGCCTACCCCAAGTACCGTCGAATCTGGTCAGATTGGTGTAGAACTTGGCCTCCCCGAGGCCGTCACCTGCTGGCCATAGCGAGCCCGAGGGGTTGGTGACAGTCTGCACAATGGCCTGGGCAGCGGTATAGTCCTCGATGGTTTTTCTGAGGGTCAAGTTACCGAAGATCAGTTCCTCAATGAGCATTCTGTAGGTCAAGGCCGAGTCACGGGTCCAGGTGTAGAAGTAATCTGCGCGCACATATCAGCGTGTCCGCACTCTTCCCGTTGGACTACAAAGAGGCAGTGAAACCCACTTGGATTGACTGTGGAGGGAGACGCGACGACAACCCCAGGGCTGGCACCTGGAACCAGACTGGAGTTGAGGCCTCCGATATTGGCTAGGACACCTTGGATGGCGATGGCTTGCTCCTGGGAAACAAATGTGGACAAGGAAGCTTGTCGTCTGTCCAGGGAAGGAGATGATGCGGTGAGAGTCAAGAGACTCGCCAGCAGCAGTGAGGAACACAGCATTGTGACGAGGGCGAAGGCAGATGAGCAATGTAGCACCAGCTGTTCTAGTACAGGGAGGAAGATAGAGAAGGAGAAAGAGAACGGCAGCAGGCTGTGACTTGGGGCTATGATGATGACGGCTTCATTGTCAAGCTGCAAGGCGTCTTCGACCTGCGTAGGACGGAGCTTATGCAGGTGCGTATTGGGGACAATTTTAGACGGTGAAGCATGCAACAGAGGAAGTTTTCGAGCTGTACGAATAGGCCAGATCTGGGGAAGTAACGGAGCTCCGATGCGAGAATGAGTAAGAAAGCGAGAGGGCATTGGGCATTGGGCATTGGCCCACCAGGGGCGACATTCACAGATTAATTGTACGTAGAAGACGGTGGCCAGCAGCGGGCATTGGCTGCAGGTTGATGGCGGTTGCTGATGGTGGAGGAAATTAATTGCCAGCAGCAGCAGAGCGAGTGGTGAGTCTGGTGGGTGGAAGGCACTGTTGACGTCACAGGCAGACACGGGCAGGCACTACCAGGCACTAGGCACCGGCCCACGGCATGTTGGCGCCAAGTCTTTTCACTTTCATCTCACTTCCGTCTCACTCACTGGGCCTCAATTATGTATATCGTATTCTCTGAGAAAACAGGTGTGTTGAGCTCTGTATCCTCCTGGCTTCTTGGATTACTCTTCTAGCTGCCCCTTGTTGCGATGCTCAGATCTATTCTGTTGGAGAGAGGGGGGAGTCGCCCGAGATGCGCAGCGTCGCAGCCAGCACTTGCATCTGCACCTACAGTACACCGGCATCTGCCCCTGCAAGCACCATCCCAGAACCCCGGATCGCTCGGTGTGCTTCTCGTCCGTCCTCTCCTCCAGGCCTCCAGTCACCCATTGGATACATTGTATAAAATGCCCCTTGCCATGTCATCAGCCCCTCTCCTCTCTTTCTCTCTCTCTATACTGTGCATTGGGTGTCCGTGAAAATGCCTGCAGACTCAACCACTCCTCCTCCCGGTCGCCGTCTCTTCCCCGACGCCATAGATGAAATCGCGGAAAACGACCCGACCAGACCGTGGGCTTCGATTCCTTTATCATCCAATCTATCCCATGGTTATAGAGATGTCTCGTTTCGCAGTTTTGCCAATGCCATCAACCGCGCTGCATGGTTCATCGAGTCGACCTTTGGCCACTCGGCCGATTCTCCAACTCTGGCTTATGTCGGCAAGTCTGACATGAGATATCACATCTTGGCCATGGCAGCCGCCAAAACTGGCTATCAGGTAAGGTGAGAGCGACTGTTGCTTCAGCCATTTCTAGGTCAAACCGTCGCTCACCGATGCTTTTGCCGCCAGGTTCTGTTTTCCTCCCACATCAACAGCCTTGCAGCCCACTTGAATCTGCTCCAACTATGCAAATGCCATCTTTTCTTGTCTGCAGAAGGCGTGGACGTCTCGGACATATTAGCTGCTCGCTCCATGAACCATGCCGTCTGCCCGGAGTTGGATGAGCTCCTTGACCCTTCTCCCGCAGACAAGTACCCGATGCCCAAAACTTTCGACCAAGCTGCCCGAGATACTTTCTTGATCTTGCACAGTTCAGGTACCACCGGCCTCCCAAAGCCCATTCGCATCACACATGCTCAGATGGCGGCCAATGACCAAATTACCCAGCTGCCTGAGGAGTGTCAGTGTGGAGGCCCTGGTTTCCGCAGGCTCAACCCCATCAACGTTACAGCGGGGCGACTGATTGTACCATTTGCCCCCTTTCATGTCATCAGCGTCATAATCCTTATGTGTTTTACTGTCTTTGGCAAGACCGTTTACGTCTTTGGACCTTCGGACCGGAGCATGAATGCATCGGACTTGCTCGACGCTGTTGAGTATGGTAACGGAGACTGCATCTTCTGTGCTCCAGCGCTGCTAGAGAAGTATGCGTCCTCGGAACAAGATCTTGCCAGGCTAAGCCCATTATCCAGCATCACATATGGCGGTGGTAAGATCGAGCAATTACGATTCGAATTTCCTATATAGCTAATTGTGCCCCCAGGCGTACTGTCACCTCGAGCCGCAACCATCCTTACAACCCGCCTCAAGAACACTACCTTTACTCAATTCTTTGGCGCGACCGAGAGCGGGTGGTGGGCTCTGTATCAAGTAGGCACGGAGGATATGGAGTATGTATCGGTAGATGCATGCCATATGGGCATTGAATGGCGGCCCGTAGCGGCCGACAGCGACAATCAACCACCGATCGACAGTGACTCGAAGTTACAGCCGGCCGCCAACACGCTGTACGAACCGGTTATAGTCCGTTTTGAGGATCCTACAGCCGCATCTCGGCAGACCATCTTCCAAACATTCCCGGACTTGAATGAATACGCGACAGGCGATCTCTTCGCGCCTCATCCGCGTCGACCCAATACATGGAAATTCGCAGGTCGAGTCGACGACCTGATCCTCTTTGGCCACGGCATCAAATTTCACCCTGCGGGCATCGAGGCCAGGATTCAGCACAGCCATGACCGGATCCAGGAGGTGCTGTTGTGGGGAGACAGGCACCAACAAGCAATCACATTGATTGAGCTGACGGACGAGGGTCTAAGGGATATGGAGCGCGGAGGGCAAGACGCGGCGCGGCTGCGCAGTGAAATAGACCTCCTGATCGACAAGGTCAACGTTGAGGCACCCCTAATTGCAAAGCTCGCCAAGACGCATGTTATCTACGTCACGCGAGAGAAGCCTCTTCCTCGCACGTCAAAGGGCAGTTTGCGCCGCAAGGGGGCGGCGCGAGTCTACCAGGCCGAGATTGATCAGGTATACCGCGACCATGGAGACCAGATGATGGGTAGCATGATGTCGAGGGTGCACAATTAACCAATCTAGGTCGTTCCTAAACGGGCTCTCTAGTTCTAGAAATGATGATGTAGAGAACTTGACAACCGGCCAACACTACCTGCCTTCTTCAAAACATCGTTGCCTCACAAGAGCCCACGCCCCGCTTCTGGAACAGCACTCACTCCAAACCTCAGTACTGCATGCGCGCCCTCATGGCGGCGTACTCGCGCTGCGTGATGGGCTCGTACTTGGGGGGATGGTCGGCGTCGACGCGGAGACACTCGATGACGGTGTCGGGGTCGGTGGTGAGGAAGTAGGGGATCGAGTAGCGCGCGCGGGTCAGCCTCTCGTCGCCGGTGAACCGGTCCTGGCGGGGCGGGAGCTGGACGCGGTGGGCCGTCGAGGTGAGGAAGTCGTTGCTCCAGCGCATGAGCAGGTCGCCGACGTTGACGACGCAGGTGCCGGGCAGCGGGGCCACGTCGACGAACCTCCCCGACCGGGCCGGGTGCTCGACCTGCAGCCCGCCGCAGTCGTCCTGGAACAGCATCGTCACGCTGCTCCAGTCCGTGTGGGCGGGCATGCGCGCCACGCGCCCGCCGGCCACCTCGCCCGCCGCCACGGGCGGGTAGTGCAGCAGGCGCAGCTGGTTGTGGTGCCCGTCGTGGAAGCGCAGCAGGTGGTCCGCGTCCGCGAGCCCGATGCCCAGCGCCAGCGCGCGCAGGATCTGCCGCGCCGCCGCCCAGCACGTCCAGTAGAACCCGCTCATGAAGGGCCGCCACTCCGGCAGCACGTCGGGAGGCGGCCACACGTTGGGCTGGTCCGGGTTGGTCTCGGAGCCGACTTCGTAGCTTTCCTGTTTGTCCGTCCAAAGGAGAGGGGAGGGGAGAAATTATTGTATTATTCGTAGGGGGGGAAAAGGAGGGGGGAGGGGATGTTCTTTTGGCACGAAAATCTTAATTCAAGATGTGGGAAAGGATGGGAAGGGAAGGGAAGGGAAGGGAAGTGAAGGGGGAGGAGGGGATCTTGACAGAATGCATCCCACCACCAAACAACCCCTTGGTCCTTCCCTCCATAGGCAAAGGATGAAGACAACAGAAAAGAGGCAGGCATGGAACAGAGGAGTAGAATGTACAAACAAAGGACGCGAATGGGTAGTAGGTACTGTAGGAGGATAGGACACACATACCTTGAAATCCTGCACCTCCCTCAACTTCCGGACCGCGGCCTCGTCGTCCTCGGCCGCCATCGCGCTCGACACCTTCTCCAGCCCCGGCCACGAGTAGCCCCGGTGCACGCCCCAGCCGGGCGGGTGCGGCGCCCTCATCTTGTCCTCCCGCGGGAGAGCGAAGAAGCGCTTGGAGAGGGCGAACGCCCGGTCCAGCTCGGCCTGCGGCACGCCGTGGTTCCTGACGTAGACGAAGCCGACCTCGCGGAACGCGCGGACGAGGTCGTGCGCCGCCTTCTGCCGCGCGGAGGGGGAGCAGTCTGTCGAAGGCGCAGAGGAGGTGAATGGGGAGAGGTCGACGATGGGGATGTTGGCGTCCGCACCGGCCTCGCGGGTGGCGCTGGTGTCTTCTGATTGGGAGATGGACCCCATGGTTGCGCGAAGGTTGGGTGGGGGGGTTTCGGATTCAAGCCTGGCACAGTGTCGATGTGACCTCCAGGAGGATGATAGAGAATAGAAAGAATGGTAGACGTCTTTTAAAGGAGAAAACCACCCTTTAGTGATCTCACCAGCTTGTACCACGCTGTGCCACGATCGACACAGGCTCAATAGCGAATGGAATTGCAACTCGCTTCGTCCATGCAAGGCGTTCCACGAAAGCCAAATATGAGCAACAATGCCTAATTCCGGCAAAAATGCTTTTCTTTCTGGCACAAACTAGACCGTAGCTAAAAGGTCTCAATTGGGAAGGTTCGCATTTATTCGTGGCCGGGTTTGCGGCTTTATCACAGGCGATCAAGGTCGACCCATACGTGCTTGTGAGAGGAAATCCACCCAAATCAGTTCAAGGTAATGTCATTGCTGGTCTAAGCTAGCAGATTGAGAGCCATCTGGGTATCCACCACCACAGGGTTGAGCAAACGTCGCCAGAATGAGTGAGAAAGAGAGCCCGCAAAGCACCTTGCCATGCACACCAAGCTGATTTTCTTTTGGAATAGCATATATGATCGTAGTGGATCAGTGATTGTGTAGTGGTACGAAGAGCCGGTCTTGCCGCTCAGCCAGGAGCGGCCTGGTCGTGCACATTGGAGTTATGGTCAACAGGTTTACTCATCGCCACCCTTCTTCTTGGATTTCTTGCCGACTGGGAGCCCTTCTTTCTGAGTGTGGACCTTGAGTCTCGTCCATGACTCTTCGGGGTCCCATTCGAAGCCTTTGAGGTATGGCTCTTCCATCTCGTCATCAGCCTGCAAATCAAAAATGTCAGCATGCATTTCGACCAATAACCGACTTCCATTGGCGACGACGGAGTAGATCTACCTTCTTCTTGAATTGCTTATGAATGGCATCCAGTGCATCCTTTATTGTGACACCTTTCAGGTTCCTTGCAGTGACCTCGAGACCCAAGGGGAAATGCAGATCGATCTTCTTGACAGGGGGAGTAGTGAGCAGCTTCTTCAGGATTGAGGGATCTTCGACCGTGGAAGGCGAGGTGTTGATTTTCCTGACTGCGTCAGCTCCAAGGCGTCAATAGACATGAGGAATGCCACTCTTACCATCCGGTCTTTTGCGTCTCAGCAGCAACGGCGATCTTTGTTCCCTCCTTCTCTGGTCTATTGTGAGCAAGAGTGATTGGAGGTTCCAAGGCATGAAGCTTACCAAGATCATTGATGTTCATGACACCGGGAGCGCTGGATGTTGTTCTTCGCTTGGTCTCCTTGGCTGCCTCCTTGTGCGCGGCATCATCGACACCGATGGCAGAATCGACCTTTGTGAGATCTGATGTGTCGGCAGACATGTTGGCTGTGAATGGAAGGAGGTTGGGTGATGGGTGAGTGAGTCTGAGTAGGGGCTATTGTCAGAGTCAAGAGCAATGAGAGGCGGGAGAGGAGGTTGCCAATGTAAGGTTCAAGTGATACTTACCAGGAACCAATAGGTGAGGTGGGAGGACAGATACCCGATGGAGGGTAGATGGTAATTGATGGGACGAAAGAGTTGGCTACACGCGGGATAGCAGGATGGTTGGGATGAAGAAGGGGGAAGTGAGCGAGACAAGAGGAGAGAGGTGGCCAAGCCAGAGCAATTGAGGGGTAGGACGCAGGACAGAGAGGTACGAGGCATCCCATGTTCCACTGAGAGTCAAGTGACCCGAGCAGCAGCCTTGACGTAGCTGGGTGGTGAGAGCTTCCCACGGCATCTAAACCTCACGCGACAAGCACCTCACCCTCCTCCACTCAGCGCCCAAGTTGCCCCTCCCGGGCCCCATCCAGGCGGCGCCATCCCCGCACTTCCAGGTAAAGGACGCCTAAGCTGCCTGGTGAGACCCACCCACCTACCACCGCAAAGCGTCACAGGCTGCTCGGAGAATCCAAAAATCCGGGGTAATTCCCTCACCCCTTTTGGCAGGCCTTGGCATCAGCATAAGTTTCTAATGTGCGTTTCAGACCATCACCAGCCTGCGCGATATCTAAAAGCCCGCTCGTCTCTTTTGTCCCTTCTTTCCCTTTTTCTCTGCTTGTCTGGTTCCATAAGCACCCCTCTCTGGCTGCGTCATGCTGAATCCCGGGATTGCCCCTTGACCTGGGCCGGTCGTCTGACTCGAACTCGGTGCGGCTGGCTGACTGCTTTGGACTTCTCGCAGTGGCAGGGCGGCGGCCTTTGGTCCACTGCTGATGTCAGGTAGCAGGTTTCGTCGCATCACGACTTCTTGACTGATGAGTTGAGTTCTTTCCAATTTCCGTTGGAGGCGCACCGCAGATCTCAGAGCCTTCTTTCTCTCTTTGGGATTCAACGACTCAGCTGCCATCTCCTCCTGCGCCAGCTTCATCATTTGATTCGTCTGCTGGTAGGAATAATCTTCTGGGTTCTGTTCAATGGATTCTGGAAGATGGACCAAGATGTTGGAGATAGTAGCTTGATGGTCCAGCAATAAAGGTGGCACGTCGTGACGAAATAATGCATAATTGCGCAGACGGGTAACTGCCCGTTCCTCTGTATCTGGGAGAGCCTCGGGCGTCGGTGCCTGTGATGCTGTTGGATCATCTGAGTCCAGACCCAGGGATGGGGATGGACCTTCGCTGTCCTGGGTCGGTGTCCAGTATGGTCCTGGAGAAGCGGGCGGAAGTGCAGCTATCCCAGAGGTCAACACGAATGCGCCGAAGAATGCATCTCCCACTATTTGGCGGACCAGCCTTTCGCGATTGACCCGACCTCGATCTGTGACCTGGTTGGACAGTGGTTCGAGATATTCTCTGACTAAACCCTCATAAATGTCAAGAAGTGTATGTCTGCGTGAAGAACTTGGTACACCTCCTATGACCTGCGCAGTCGGTTCGACCGTGATACCAGCCTGAAGAGCAAGAGTATCAAGCCATTCATCTGAGACTTGAGAATCGTGTTCCACGTCCGTGATTCGACAGCTATCGGTAATATCTGACAATAGATGGATGGGTGTTATCTTTTTCTCAACTTTGAGGTGTTCCAGATATTCAATGACCCGCTGCAGGGCCAATTCGAAAGACATTCTGTCGTCGACATTCTCCTTCAGCACTTCGTACTGCAGAAGACGTTGCCAATCTCGAAAATTGAGAGAAATACGTTGCGCATCTTGCGGAGTTGTTCGTGCAGAGCTGGCGTTCCCGGCAAAATCGTCTGTTCCTCCGCTATCCGGCACCACAAAATCATCTAGATCCTCGTCCATGACATATTTAGCACTGATTGGATAGTTGTCCAGCGACCGTGGCAATGGTAAATGCGAAATCGTCTCTGGCAGGTGATTCGACAGACCAAACTGGCCGAGTTCATTCTTGTACAATGCTTCAATGATCTCTCCTGTACCTAAGCTGGCGACAAGCTTGATAAGGCCAAATCCAACGGCGCCGGCATGCTGATTTTGGTCTGAGAAGGCGACTGGACACATCGTGATGTCAATGACATCCTTCATGCGTCCTTTGAGCTGCTGCGAGAACTGGAAGGTTGAGGGGTCTTGCATGGAGACAGTCGTTGAAGCCACCCCCTCTTGCCCGAAGACGTACAGGATAGCCAAATGGCTGGTGGCTGAATAGAGCAGTACCCACGAATCTAAGGCTGTGTTAGACGCCGCTTGTACATGACAAGAAACACACGTACCTTTTGAGGATTCAAGCACGCTCATGCGGAGACCCAGATCATTCCGGTCTCGGTAATGGTTCCAGGAACACACCAATTCCAGCACTTCGCCTGAGTCTCTGTCATTACCACTGCTCTGAGGTGAACTGAATATCAAGAAGCGCGATGTGGTCAGGACAAATACGTGGTCGCTCCGACGGCCACTATTTTTGACCTCGAGAATCAGGTTCCGATCGAGCTGAGAGCCCAGACGCATGTCGACCTCACCCAAGAACGATCCTGTCCGATCAAAAGCTGCAGCAAAGCGTCGATTGCACACTAAGAGTCTGTCCATAAATCCCTCGGGGTCCGCCAACCAGCAGACTCGGTGCCATGTGTCCTTGTATGTTGAGACTTTTGAGGACAGAGATTGTTGTCCAATGCTCCGTATATTGTTTGAGGCTTTCAGAGATACCTGGTGTAGGATGCGGGCCGACCTTGAATTTCTTCCCGTGACTTTCCAGATGCTCCATTGCCCACTGGTGTCTACAAGTGCCACGAGACTCTGATCATGGGGATTGAAGGCGGCATGTGCATGAGGTTGGGCTCCTGTCCTCGAATGCGGAATAGTGACTACTGGACGTGGGTCTAGAAGCCCTTCTGACGCTTTCGACGTTGACAACATCGGCCGCAAAATGGTCGTGCTGCTCGCCTTGACAACAAGAAACTGTGTGCCCCTGGAATGGCTCGACGACGCCACCTGAAGTATCTCGTCTGTCGAGTCGGTCCAGCATCCTGACACTTTGCTTGCGATGGAAGGTACTATGCACAAATCTGACAGACCAGCCTCGTTGGGGATTGCAACTTGACGCGCCTCGATGACCAAGAGCTGCAGAGTTTCGCGCCTTGAGCAGGATCGAATGGCGACAATAGGAGTGTAGGGTGCGTTATTGTGCAAGGTAGAGTCAAACGGACGTCGAGCATGCCCAAAAGCAAGCGCATTTTCTGATAGTTGATGTCTCCTCGATGCGACGGTGTTTGGCGAAGCGGGTAACTCGACGGCCACGAAGGCAGCATCGGGAACTCGCTTCAGGAAGAAATTTTGTAGTCCACGACCAAGTCTGGCGTCTTGCACTGTTCGAGATGCTTGCGCAGATTCTGGCGCGGGAATCCAAGTTCTTTCGTCTGCCAACAGGAAGTGAGATGAGCCGTTCCAGCTATGCCGCGCTCCTCCTAAGCCATCTGCTTCTCGAAATTGACCCTGGCGCAAGAACCTCCATTCGTGGTGTCGTTCATCGTAAGTAGCAGTACCAAGGTGTCCATAGCTCAGCACCCTTGTTTCGTGAACATGGTGACCGCTGCGCCGGGCATCAGTCATTGGAACGAACTTTTACCAGTTGTGAATAAAGTTGGGCGTGTGAGAAAGACATCGTCGGTCTCGACGCGCTGCTTCAATTTGTAATCGAGATGGAGCGGATTATTCCAAACCAGCCACGATGATAGCCGTGTTGAAAATGAGAATTGAGGCAGAAATTCTGACTAGGGTGGATTTGCCTCTATGGCAATAGGTTAGTGTAGGCTGGACGTACCAAGTCCTCTGCTCGTACCTCCGCTGACCGGATTGTCTACAAGTAGATGAAGACTTTTACTGGCCAAACTCTGATGTCTTGGCAGCCTTGTGCTTCTCCGCACGCATTCCCCGCACGCACTTGCACAATGCGAAATGTGCCTCGCAAAACGTCTCGGGCATCTAACGACTCTTGGATGACTCAACGGGATCAAAAATAAAGCCAATATTTTTTTTTATGGATCAAAAATGGTAGCCATAGGGCTTAAAAAATAGCAACGCTTGGTTTCGATCCAAGGTCCTCCGGGTTATGAGCCCGGCGCGCTTCCGCTGCGCCACGTTGCTTTGTGTGACGATTTGTGAAAGACTTTTGGCGTTACAAGAATATATAGCACCTTTTTCTGCTAGTGGGTCTGTGGCCTGCCAAGGCTTTTTTTACCTCTAGTGGCTGTCGGCATCTTAGTTCTTCCGTCGGGCTTGGCAACTCCCTCCATCCCTCACGTTCTCTTACCCATCACCCGATGTTCGATGATGTGCTTTGTCAGTCTTTACCACTAAGGTTGGTCTTATGATCCAGAATGGGATCGTATCCGTCCTCCAGACCGGCAATTCCCCGTCTCTACAAAAGGACCCTCAGCATACAGCTCGTCCGCTTCGGCCGATTTATGGCAAATACGATGGAGTGTCGAGCTCTGCAAACTCCTAAATCGGATCGTGGATGCTTATTCTGATCCAGACAGATGTATCTCCGTGCTACTAAGAAGTCACTGAATGTTCTCCACCTCCCTATCTGGGTGTGTACATGGAGGCGGTTTGGAGACAAATGGTGCCAATGGATATTTGCCCCTTGTGCAGAGTCCTGCTGCGCCTGGCTCAATGTACATGACCACTCTATACGAGGTGGTTGTACGATTGTGGTGAGGTGATGTTTTGGGGAACATTGTACTTAGGGCGACAAATATAAATGTGGGCGAATCATGAAGAACGGTATGTTGGCTTTCATCTGCTGTCTATTTACTCGAGTAACCACGAAGGCTGCACTACAACAATGTCGACCAACTTCCACGCCCTCGTCTTCGGAGCATCTGGTATATCGGGATGGGCCCTGGTGAAAGAAGCTCTGAGCTATCCCAGTCCCGCCACTTTCAGTCAGGTTACCGCCTTGTCCAATCGACCCCTGTCGATCTCAGATGCCCAGTGGCCTAACGATCCACGACTTCACCTGGCCAGCGGCATTGATCTCACTGCCACGGTCGACACTGTTGTTGAGGCGCTGAAGGAAAAGGTCTCGAACGTCGCCACTGTTACCCATGTCTTCTTGTTTGTCTACCTTGACCCAGGGAAGGACAAAAAGACGCTCAAGGAAGTCAATACCAACCTTATCAAAACCGCGGTGGAGGCTGTGCAGAAGGTCTCGCCTAACATCAAGAGCTTCATCCTACAAACGGGAGGAAAGGCGTATGGAGTGGGTATGTTTGATTTGCGCTGCTCCTGGGACTTGACTAATCATCATTGCAGAACGCCCGGATGTCGTCAAAATCGTGCCTCCGCTCAAAGAAACGTATCCTCGCGTCCCGAAGCCGATTGCGGACGACATCTTCTACTACTCACAATATGATGTTCTTGATTCTCTGTCCAAGGGAGCCTCTTGGACCTTCACTGAAATCCGGCCAGATGCCATGATTGGGTTTGTGCCAGGGACTAACGTCATGAATATGGCACAAGGCCTGGCCTTCTACCTCAGCCTGTATCGCGAGGTCCATGGAGCTGAGGCCAAGGTCCCATATCCCGGTGCCGAGCATGGCTATCGTCACAAACACACCGACACATTTCAGGACATTGCAGCAAAGATGGAAATCTATGCGGCGTTGAACCCAGAGAAGTGCGGGTCTGGAAAGGCTTTCAATGTGGCAAACGGCGACGTGGTGACCTGGGCTGATGTATGGCCTGGGATTTGCGCTTACTTTGGCCTTGAAGGAATTGGTCCTCAGGGCACTTTCGAACCACCAGCGGAGTTTGTGAAGAAGCACTCTGAAGCCTGGACCAACATGGTCAAGAGAGAAGGCCTCAAAGCCAGTCGATTGGACTTGTATTACTGGCCTTTCATGGACTTTTTGATGGACAAGGCGTTCTTTGATCGCCAATACGACCTGAGCGCCGCCCGAGCCGTCGGATTCAAGGAAACGATTGATACCGTCAAAGCCTATGCGATTGCTTTTGACAGAATGAGAGCGGCCAAGATCATCCCATAGGTAGGCAGAAGGACGATATGATGGTATGAAGCTGCTGGGGGCGGCTGACCGGCATGTGTGCCTCAGCTTCCACGTCGGTCTTTCTCAACCGGCTAGCACTGTGAAAGTCACTCATTCTACTCCGAAACAAGCACTCTCTTTGTGAAGGAATAAATCAATCCATCGGCCCGTTGTGGAAAGCAACAAGTTCAAGCTTCGCTGTTGGGGGCTCACCTCTAACTATTCAAAAGACCATGATTTTGTCATTACATTTTATTTCTCAATGTGTTGATATGCTGTGACGTCACAGCCACTTTGTGCTGCTCGTCGTCCGTCACCGTCTTCATTGTTGTGTATGCTATTTTGTTGTTGTGGATTGCATAGACAAGATGTGGAAGAACCAAAACAGACGCTGCCGGTGTATAGGTTGACGATATCGACCATGATTATTCTCCCAGCGTCCACCAATATACTTGCACTGCGGACCTTTTTTGACCAGCTACTATCGCTCTGGCTCTCCATCCAACCCTATCGACATGAGCACTGCATGGGAGGGTCAGCGAGATGAGGAGAAATTGCATTCTCGGCCGATGCAGGAACAGCGGCCGGTGACGAGAGAAAGACTGAATCACTTCACATGGGCGTGGTTCTCGGCGACCATGGCCACCGGTTCGCTAGCTAATGTCATCTACCAGACGCCATACAAATTCCATGGCTTGATCACAGCCGGCAAAGCCATCTTCATCACTGATCTGATCATGTTCGTATCCTTCACAGCAGTGATAACGCGGAGATTCATTGTGGCGTCCGGTTCACTTAGACGATCGTTCATCCATTCTGGAGAAGCCTTCTTCGTTGGCACATTCTGGGTCTCGGTCAGCCTTATCATCCAGGCTGCGGACTCATATGGTCATTACGCTGGTTGCGGCGTCTGGCTAGACACGGCGATCAAGACATGCTTCTGGGTGTACTGCGGCTTTGCCCTGCTCTTTGCGATTTTCCAGTACAACCTCCTGTTCGTTACTCAAAGGATCAATATCCGAGGGATGACGCCGGCCTGGATCTTACCCGTGTACCCTCTCATAGTCGCCGGTCCACTGGCTGGGGTGGTGCTGCAAAACCAAGAACCTGCGGCCGGGATTCCTATTTTTGTCGCTGGAGTTACGTTCCAAGGGCTAGGGTGGATGGTCACCATCTTCCTTTACGCGATTTGGGTCATTCGTCTGTTCGTTGCCGATCTTCCAATGCCATCTCTGCGGCCTGGCATGTATGTCGCAGTTGGGCCGACGGCATATACTGCAGCAGGCCTGGTCATGCTTGCCGAACGTGCACCGTCCATCCTCCCGGCTGAGTTTCTAGGTGTCCAAACTGTTTCGGCACCCGAGGTTCTCCGCGTCACTGGTAGCATTGCCGGAATATTTCTTTGGTTGCTTGCGTTTTGGTACTGCGCCATCGCCACCATCTCCGTCTTCAATGGGATCAAGACTATGAGTTTCACACTCACGTGGTGGGGTTTTGTCTTCCCTAACGCAGGCCTTGCGCTTGCCACGACTGCAATTGGGATGGTGCTGGATAGTCCTGGTGTTAAATGGGTCAGCAGTGCTATGACTGCGATATTGTTCGTGTTGTGGCTCATTGTGGGGTTTGCGCATGGTCGAGCGATTTGGAAGGGCCAGATATTGTGGGACGGTAAGGACGAAGATGCCTGAGTGGCTTCATATATCATTTATTTATCTATACACAAGTAATCACAACAGAATATTGGGGAGCTTCATGAAGGGAGTGGGGGACATAAAGAGGAGGACGCTGGTCAACGGTCTTGACTGCGAGGTGGTCGTCGCGCCTCCTGGACGCTCCGATGATCTCTTTGACCGACGTCTACTGTCATCTCCTCGACAAGGGCATCATCTGTTATCCAGGATACCTTGCGGAGGACCAATCGACAACTCCAGACTCCGCAGTCCATGTCCGCGCCGCCATCACCGGCGATTTCCGGCAGGCCACACGCAGCCTTGAATCCTTTGACACAGCTTCTCACGCCGAGCTGAGCATGTGGAAGCGCCTCACCGCTCGGCAAGCAATGCGATTGGGGCCTAGCAGTGCCCCGCGAATCCCCTCGCTGATCCCCTTCGCTTCGCTGACGAATCTCGTCGACCTGGCCTCGGATTGAGCTCAAACCAGGCCCTCAGGGATCGACCTCAGCTGAAAGCTGCAGCTCTAGCCCCGTGGTTCTCATTCGCTGTCAATCGCATCTTGGTCCCTTTTTATCTCTATTCGTCATCCCCAAGAGCGCCCATGAACTTCCTTCCGTCCTTTCGAAAACCTCGACGACAACAGCGGCCGCCCAACATGGCGCCCCCCGTTACTATCCGCAATGTCAGCAACAATCCGCTAACTCTGGTGCTGGTTGAGCATTTCGATCCTGCACCAGACGAGGGCTTTCAGATGCAAAATGTGACGACGTCGTTGGCGCAAATCACCAATGGGCTGGGCCTAACGAACAACACCACCCGCAAAGCGGTACCCCAGATCCCTGCGGACGCGAAGCCCTTTGCGACGCGAGAGGTTTCGATCAAGCTGCCGCCGTTCACGTTAGTGCCTACGGACATCAAAGCAGTCATCAACAAGCCCAATGAGCGGCTTCGATTGACTTTCCAGACGGAGATGGGAGGGAAGCATCAGATGTACTGCCCTGTGCCGACGGCCGAGACTGCATCGCTCGTGGCTCTGGCTCCCAATCCCAAGTTGCGCTTTACTGGCATCTTCCTGCCCGACACGTCTTTCGTGGCTCTCTACAACACCTCCCACATGGAAAGCTGGATGAAAGACCTCCCGGACCACACCCCGCTCGGCGTCCTCTCAGTTCCCGGCACCCATAATTCGCCTACACACTACCAGGCGGCGCCGTCGGTGCGTTGTCAGGCGGTGTCGCCCAAGGAGCAGTTGAAGAACGGCGTCCGCTTCTTCGACATCCGCGTGCAGGTGCCGGAGCCGTACGACCCGAACTCGGACAAGCTGATGCTCGTGCACTCGTCGTTCCCCATCTCGCTGACGGGCGCCAAGCACTTCCGCGACCTGTACAACCAGATCCTGGAGTTCCTCAAGGCGAACCCCAGCGAGACGCTGATCCTGTCGCTCAAGCGCGAGGGCACGGGCAAGGGCACGGACGAGCAGCTGTCGCGCATCCTGAAGAACCACTACACCAACCCGCGCGAGTGGTACACGGAGCCGCGCGTGCCGGCGCTGGGCGAGGTGCGCGGGCGCATCGTGCTGGTTCGGCGCTTCGTGCTCGAGGAGCCGCTGCGGCACGAGTGGAATGGGCGCGGCTGGGGCATCGACGGGCACGTGTGGGCGGACAACACGCCCAACTCCATGTGCCCGTCGGGCGACATCTGCGTGCAGGACTTCTACCAGGTCATGGAGAAGCCGTCGATCGAGCAGAAGATCGCCTACGCCTGCGACCACCTCGAGCGCAGCGGCTGCTGCCTCTTCCGCGGCCAGAACGTCGGCGACAAGAAGTACCCGCTGTACATCAACTTCCTGAGCGCCAGCAACTTCTGGAACGTCAACTGCTGGCCCGAGAAGATCGCCGCCGAGGTCAACCCGGCCGTCGTCTCCCACCTGTGCCAGAAGCACATGATCGGCAACAACGGCCACGTCAAGGACGGCGACTGGAGCACCGGCATCGTAGTCACCGACTGGGTCGGACAAGGGGGCGATTGGGATATTGTCCGGTGCATTGTGGGCATGAACGCCAAGTTGATCAGCTAGAGACATTTTCCGATAATATACCATACTATTTTGCTTGAAACAACCATGACATTAGCCCTCGTGGGAGCTTCGGCGTCTTGATCTTAAATACTAACGTTGTAAAAGATATTTTACGTATCACAGACGTTTTCAACCCCCCCAAAAAGCTCAAGGATATAATCTATTCCTTTTTTTTATTAGCTCATATCGACAACCATTGTCCCCGGCTCCTCGAGATATTTCTGCACCACCTGCGCCATCCGGGCCATTGTGGCGCCGTCGACGACCCTGTGGTCCGCGCTCCAGCTCAGGTTGACCGTCTGCGCGGGCCTGACGGTCACGCCGTCCTCGGCGAAGACGGGCACGGTCTTGACCTTGCCGATGCCCATGATGGCGAGCTGGCCCTCGATGATGACGGGGCCCACGACCTCGCCGCCGATGTTGCCGATGTTGCTGACCGTGATGGTGCCGCCGGTGAGGTCGTCGCTGCCGAGCTTGCCCGCCTGCCCGAGCTGCGCCAGCCGCTGGATCTCCTGCGCGACGGACGCGATGGACCGCCCGTTGACGGCCTTGACCACCGGCACGACCAGCCCGTTGGGCGTGTCCATGGCGATCCCGACGTTGTGCACCGACCGCATCATCAGCTGCGGCTTCTTGGCGTCGCTGGCCAGGTCCAGCCGCGCGTTCAGCAGCGGGTACTGGGTCATCGCCAGCGACACGGCCTTGACGATGAACGGGAGGTACGAGAGTTTGGGGGTCGTCGCCGCCGGGTCGCGCGCGGCGTTCAAGCGCCTCCGCATCGACGCCAGGTTTGTGATGTCGATCGTGTCCGAGTACAGGAAGTGCGGGATGCTCAGGGATCCCGTCATGCTCTTGAACATGGCTGCCTGGATCGGCGTCAGCCTCTGCGCGGTCTCGGTCTGCTTCGTTTCGATGCTGGGCTTCGATGGTGCAAATGATGCGGGTGCAACAGCAGCGGCAGCGGGAGCTTGAGCCGAGCGTTGCTCGAGATATCGCTGCACATCCTCCTTCAACACGCGGCCGTCCTTGCCTGTGCCCGTGATGTCTTCAATCGCGATTCCGTGCTCCTTCAACATTCCCCTGACGGCTGGAGTGGCCAGAGAGGCGAATTTGCCTAGTGCTTTGGGCGCTGCAGTAGAAGGAGGAGGAGCCGACGTGTCTTGCTCCTTGGGCGAAACGACTCTGTCACCACCACCCTCTGCCGCCTGCTCCTCAGCCGCGACCTTGCCCGGATCGTCCTGAGCCGGAGCGGCGGGGGGTTCCACCTCCTCTTGTTGTGGTTCGTCTTCATCCCCTTCCACCTCGATGTCGAGCATCGCGTCACCCACCTGCACGACGGCATCCTGCGGGAAATGGATCTTCTTGATCACACCGCTGTACTTGGAGGTGATTTCGACCGAGGCCTTGTCGCTCTGCACCTCGCACAGCGGGCTCCATTCCTCGATCGGGGCCCCCTCTTCCACGAACCACTGGATGATCTGTACCTCTTTCACCCCTTCGCCAATGTCTGAGAGCGTGTGTGTTTCTATCCTGTCTAATTGGGCCGTCGCGTGGAAGTGTCTGCTGCTGGCGCCCGCGCGGAGGAAAGGGGTGTATGTTCGAGGGAGACGGGCAGGACGCGTAGCCAGGCTTTGGCTCCGTGCCAGCGTCTGCAGCCAGCGCAGGGCTTGTGGTGAAGGGACGTACTTCATGGTGCAAGCCTGAGGGTCAATTGTCCAGAAGACATCGAGCGACTCCTTCTTTTTCGTCCAGGTTTTTTGGGGGGGCTTCTCGGGCACTGCAAGTATTTGAGCGAGGTGAGATGCTGGAGGCCAACCGCGGATAACCGAGAGGCCGAGTTGGTGGACGATGGGTGCGAAATCGGAGACCCCGCCGCCTCCCCAGGTGGAGTAGGCGATGACAACTGAGGAGTTGTACCTAGACAATGACCGTCTCGTCTCGTCTCGACTCTTCTGCCTCGATGCTGTCGTTCTACATGGCTAAGACACAGTGATGGGTCGTGAGCCAGGATCGCCCGGACGATGAGAATTGCAGCGGATGTACAGCGTCAAGACTTCGTGGATATCAGGTACAATGTGGTCTGAATAACCATGAGATTCACTTAGAGATCTCATAACAATAGAAATTCTTTAGACGGGAGGGACATCGCTCCCACAATCGACCTTGTACTCTGCTTCGACTAGGCACCGCCCTCGGTGAGAACCCTAGTCCAGTCGAACTTCCTCCACGCCTTTCTAAAACCCTCGACTCTACTATCCGTCCCTCGATGCCATCGTCCTTGCCTCTTGATCACATCTGGTTCTAACCCAAGCATGCCGCCAATGATCTCTCGCGCAAATAGATCGCCCCTGGGCCACCGTTCCTGGTCCTCCACTACATGTCCAATCCCACCGTCCAATTCGAACCAGACGTGGAAATATGGCATTTCTTTCACCAGGCTCCTCCGGAACGCCAGTTTACCCAACCCCCCAGTCTTGGCCTTTGCGAGGGTGTCGATGATCTTTTTGTGTTGAGACCACTCGTCTTCCGTGCTCAGAAAAGCTTCTTTGAAGAACGCGGGGGCGGTTTCTCCCAAGCTGTAAGGAAGCGGGATGACACAAAGAGCGGCGTGCGGCTTCCGATGCGGAAACGCAGCATTCTCGTAGAAGATGACGTCGCGTCCTTGGTCGTGGTACATGCGCGTGAGGGACTTCATGAAGTTGCGGATCTCTTCCCATTCGTCGTCGTCGCATTCGAGGAGGTTCGTGCGGTGCTCGGTCGGCACGATCATGGTCGCTTGCGGCGACAGTTCCGGCTCGGTTGGGAGGGTGAGATACGTTCTAGTTGCGAGTGAAACGACAGGAGCAATGGGGGGAGTCTCCGTATCTTCGTGATGGCAGAGCGGACAATTCTCCAGGATCTTATTGAGTTTCTGATACTCGTTGATGGCCACATTGCGGAGGTTGATTTCGGACTTGTGGACCCGCTTGGCCAGCTTTTCGGCATTCTCGTCGAGGTAGTCAAGATCATTGTCGAATTTGGCGTCCTTGGCAATCCTCTCTGCCAGTCGTAGACCCTCGCCTCCTTGCTGTCCCCGGCTGCGACGTTCCTCTCGGACCATGTCTTCAATGCTCATGTCTTCGTTCTCCTCGACCTGGCCGCGCTCTGCTCCACGGCGGTTCTGCACTGCCTTGACTTCATTCCGAGGCGCGGACGAGAGCATGCGATTGTCCATGGCAGAGAGAGTGATGACCGTGGGATCCTGTGATTCGAACGCAGCAAGCGCATCATCGTACTCCTTTTCTAGATCTGCGGCTTTGGGATCTTTCCGGATTTTGGCTCTCATGAGTTGAGCCTTGAGTTTGTTGAGTGCCGTCTGGTCGATTTTTGGGGTAGAAGCAGTGGTTGCCGGAACAGGCATCTGCTCGAGCAATATGTCAGGGCTGGTCTCGGTTTCACGCGGATGAGGTTGTCTGATGCCAGCGTCCATCTTCCGCTCCTGGAACAGCTCTCCGCTAGGCTTGTCCTTGCCTACGTAGCCATCGCCATAGGTCTTGCGGCGATCCAGTTCAATCTTTTCTTCCCTCGCATCGTCGAATTCTCGGAGGCTGTCATACCGTTCCAGGGCAACGTCTTCCACCTTGCGACCTGTCTCTTCAGCTTGCCGGTATACGGCTTTTAATCTGGTCATCCGCCATTGGGAGCCAGCATCTCCAAAGCTGTAATCAACTTCATGGGTGGCGGGTTCGGCTTCGAGGTCATTGACGGGAGTGCCGTTCTTGAGATCGCGCAGGTGATGGTTGAGTTCTCGCTCGTGCATCTTCAGCCCAAAGTCGGCTTCTAGAGAACCACTCTTCGGCTGCAGCGACGGCTCAGGTCTCTTTCTCTGAATGTAATCGATATCAAGCGCCGAAGGGGCCTCCATCCACGAATCGCGCTTCAATTCCCCCGAACCCGAGCTGGTTGCAGGTTGCTTCTCCTCTTCTGTCTCATCCTCCTCTCGACTTCGCCTGCGGTGGTGGTGTCTGTGTTTATGTCTGCTTTCTGATGCGTCATCGTCTCTTGAATGTCTCGTTCTCTTTGACCGGTGCCCATCTTCGTCATCGTAATGCGAGTCGTGATGTCGAGAACTTCGATGGTGGTGTCGGTGCCGGTGATCTGATTTTTCATGTTCTTTGCGCCTGTCGCGCCTCTTCTCCGTCTCTTTCTGCTCTGCCAGCTCTCTCTCGAAGTCTTCTAGCGTCATTCTGACTAAGTGTGGTTGGATGTGTTGGTTTGGTGGTGTGAATGAGCGTCGAGGAAATCTCCAAACTGCGGGCAAAAAAAAACTTTTCGTCTGACGAGGAATTCCGACCCAGCCAAATGTAAATGACCAGACGACCGAAGATTTTCAGAACATCACTCAACGGCTCACTCAACTCCTCAGCAGAGCCAGAAGGGCTTTAGGCTTCGAGGGCCTCGAGCAGACAGCATGATTCCCATTCCCTACCCTTCACGAAAGCGTCCTACCAAATGCGGGTATGCGACATTCACAGTAAACCCTGCGCGAATGAAGCTACGGGCGTCTTCACTTGTGGATCTGGTCACTTCTATATCCAGAGATATGAGAAGGAAAATATGACGGCAACCAGCGTAAGGATCTCAACTTTATCATTGTCTGGGAACACTATAGCTTTCAACCCTAAAGAAGATTTTCGGTACTTCCGACCCGATGCTGCAAAGCAAATATCAGTCGACGCTTCCGCATTGTCCCTCTAACGAGCACTAAGGGCAGGCTGGACCAGATTGCGCTAAAATCACCTTTCTCGCCAATCGATGCAGTCCGCCAACTGTTTGAGTAGGACCAGGTTGCATTAGGCTTAACCGATAGCAGTACAGCTCCAAGAAGTCTGGATGGTGCCACCAGGGCCGAATATCTCCTTGAGGGATTGAATAGCAGACCAAGAACCCATCCCGGAAGAGGCCAAACCACCCAGCGCGAACAAGATCGACGGAACAGTGTAGTACCAGCTCTTGCGAAGACCACGCATGTATCGCGGCCAGCCCTCATCATGACGAGTGGTAACACCGGTATATGGGTCGAAGCCCTCGCCAGGCAGTGCAGCAGCACTCTGGACGGCCCAGGCCACGTACATGATGGCGGGGATACTGTAGGTGAAGTTGAGACTGAGAAGGCCGCCGATGAGATTGGTGATGGCGGTGAAATTGGGGACGGAAACAGCAAGCACCAAGGCAATGATCCAATACAAGGGTCCCAGGGCTAACCAGAAATAGTATCCCTTCTTCGTGCTGATCGGCGGCAATCCGCAGAGCTCCTGACCAACTTCCAGATAGACCGTCTTCATGCCGATATTGAAATACAAGAAGATAGCAAGAAAACCGGTCACCAAGGCCAGGATGTTGCTGACAAGTTGCAGACCGTAGGGGCTGACGACCTGCGTGATGCTGGTGATGGAGTATTGACCAATGTAGGTGTAAACGAAAGCGCCGAAGAAGACATACACGACTAGGATGAATGTTTGAGCAAGAAGACATCCCTTCCAGAAGTCCATGGGATGACGCATCTCGGACAAAAATGCAACGAAGAGCAGCGCCCCTGAGTACGCATAGACGATGGTGTCAATACCATTGAATTGTGCTGCAAACAAATTTGTTGTCTGCTGTTGATATTCGGCAGGTGGCGTGCCAACAAAAGTCTTGACGGGGTCGAACGTTTTCAGAAGGGTTGTCTGGAGAGCGACGGTGGGATCCGGGCCATTCAGTGCAGCAGCGGCACAAATAATGATGAAGCTGACAATATTGAACCAGACCGCGAAATTGCACAACCAGCCAAGGTGTTTCAAAGATCGCAGCCAGCCCGAGGCCATACCGATGACCATGTTGATGATGACGATGGCAATGTAGCAGACCTTGGCATCGGCCAGCTGCGACAAAATCTGTGAGTTGCCCATGAGCACAACGCAGACAGAACACCACATCTGGAAGGCCTGGGCAACGTTGATGAAGTGACGGGTTTTACGACCGAACAGCCGGAAGAAGGGGTCGCCGAAGCTCAACATGGGGTAGCGTGAAGAGTCGAGAGCCAGAAAGACCTTCCAGATCATCAGGCCCGAGGCGGCGGCGGCAATGCCGAAAAGAACGAAAATGCCCACACCAAGCCCGTAGCCACAGCTGGCGAAGACATAAGGAGTCTGACTCCAACCGAGAATGTCGGTGGTGATGAGGTAGAAGATGGTGATCCAGCCAGTTGTGCGGAGGGCACGGGCGGCTCGTCGCCACTCGGCATCCAAGTCGTGGGTGCTTGAAGGCGCAATTGGGGTAATGCCGGTGTCGTTGTTGGCAATAACGGCAGTCCTCTCCTTCTCCTTTTCAAGATGGCCATGGGTACTCTCACTTTGTGTCACTTCTTCATGAGAGCCGGCAATGCTGGAGGCATCTATCTCAGTGCTGTTGCTGAAATAGGCCTTGATGTAACCCATCATGCCTGCGCCCTTGAGCCTGGCCATGTATCGGCGGTATTCCAAGGCCTCCATCTCGCGTTCGATCTTGGCCCAAAAGCTGTATTCCTCAAAGGTCACAGTAGGGTCCAAACGGGCCTGCAGGCCCCAGAGACGTTGGCGGATGCCCGGGTGGGCGCCGCTCTGCGATAGCTGACGAAGTTTATCCGGCTCCTGAAGCTCACTCAACTCCTTGTTGCCTGTGCTGATGGCCATTGGCCCGGTTGGTATGATCGACATCTTTGGCGATGACCAGGCGACGCCGAGGTCGCACAGGAGAATGAAAAGAGTTTGGATAGAAGTGAGAAGAGGAGGGAGAGTGGGAAATCACAGTGGTCGCGAGCTTGCTTAAGTATGGCAAGACAACACACCTGCCGAACAGGTATTGGTGGCGCTTGCCATACCAATGTAACTGGGATGCCCTCGCCAACAGGGAGGCAAGCTCGACCCGGGAATAGAGCCACATGTCGGCTTCCACCACATGCAAGGATTGGCATATTTTGGAGGGCTGGGGTAGGATTGCCACCCGGCAGCCATTCGGGTCGCGATTTGGAGGTCCAGAACGATTTGACCGGACGAACGAAATCACAGGCTGTTATCGAAGGGAAGAAACGATTCACCGGCTGGAACAGATACCTAGGTAGGAGCGCGGCCGATCAGTGGCAACCGAACACATGCCCCATTGATCCATGGACGAAGTGGCACGAGGTATCGAGTACTGCTCCACGAGCGAGCTGGTCCAGAGATAACGGTGCACAGCAATGAACTTGCAAGAACAACGAGATTGACTGGGGTAGGAACAGAGATGTGAACAGTATTTCTTACCCAGTCAGGCAGGTGCGCATGGATTGGCATCCTCGTATGTGGTGCTGGTCCATTTGGCTTTTCGTTTGACGCCGTGGCTCAGCACTACTACGAATAGCCTGGAAGTCCGTTTAGTCTCAAAGGGATTTAAGCTTGTCCAAGCAATCACCAAGCAGCCAGTGAGCGGCGACCAAGCTTTGGACAAGCAGCCGCTAGAAACCACCCGGGATCCACTAAAGATCCACCGGCAATCCACCATGTATACGCCCCTGGTCGCTTGTTGATAAGAGCAGCGCTCGAGCTTGCTCAGGAAGGTGCCATTGGCAGAAACCCGGTGACGCCGTGGTCTGTGCAGCACTAGATCAATTCCACGATGCCACCTTCAGGTACTACAATACCCACTGATCGGCATCGAAGCTCGATGGAATCCCTAGAACCGGCGGGCAGATCTGATAGCGACCGCTCTGTCAGGTGAGGCGCTCCTCAGACGCCTTCCAGATTGAGCGTCGCTAGCACGATTCTAATCTTGCACAACTCACCAGATGCCCTATCACAAACCTTATCGTCGGATTCACGGAACGGAGAGGAACATTTGGAATCTTCCCACTGCGTATTCTCGTCGCCCAGGCCCATCTTCAGGCGAGAATCTCGAGAGTGGCGGCGGATTGTCCTCAAGGCAGGTGTCCAAGAGACTGGTTGGATTCATTTGGAGAGTTCGGGTCTCTCCGAGGTATCGAGACAAGTCAAGATTATCAAGTGATCAAGCCATCCTTCCTCTCTAAGAACAAAGATTATTCTCATCACTTGCCTGAACAGGATACTCGATTACAGACTCTCCAAGCCGAAGAGCAGTCAGCACTTGCAGCTCAGCAGTCGTCCGGTCACAGGAAGGATCAATTCCATGGTTGCCCTCGCAAAGCTCGCCTTCAATGAAATGCCTCTGCTGTTCTTCATCCTGGTTATGGGGCCGGATATTCTCGGCCGGTCACCCTACATATCATCACGCCCATGAATAGAATCCCCACCGATGTCGTGCTCCTTGTCCGCTACGCTGTTCATCATTGTCACGGAAGACTGCCGTGGCATGGGAACTCGGTTAGCCATGTCATCCTTTGGCGAACAGAGCACATCTTCTCTCAGCTCTGGAGTTCGGAAAGGCGGAACGCAGGACAATTGACAGCTGTCTTGGCCTGAACTTTGAAAAACACCAAACTCGGCAATTATAGACTGGGTGCCAAATTGGGGCGTTTCGCCCCCCACCAATGCAACCACACAAATCTAAGATTTACCGCACGCTAAAATTTGAGATTGTTGTATCGTATCTCTCATGTGCTCTGTTGGCATTCTGCTAAGTCTAAAGAAACAGCATAGACAATAGAAAGCTTCGGACAGGTGGAGTGCGTGTAAAGGCGGGAATAATGCTGTGCTGCCGGCTGAGATTGTAAGCGGTAGGAGTATTTGGGTTTCTGCGGCACGGAGCGAACCCCTGTCGTGACGATAACTGCGTGAGATTTCGAGAAGTCTTGATATTCATCGGCATCTGCTTGTGCGAACGCCGAAAACGAATCAGGTTCGCAACGTTAGAGCCTGCGGTCTTTCCATCAGATGTTCTGGAAGTCGCTATGTGCGAGCACCCGTTGTGTTCGCCTAGCGCTGATCGAGACAATCACGTTGGTCTCGGCAGGGTTGTCTCCTGCCCGCCTGGTGGAGCTGGATTGATAGACAAGATTGTATTGCAGAATGAACGGAAGAGATCTTATCGTGAAGAGAGAAGCCCACGAGGAGACAACCAGAAGATAAGGAAATACAATGCCCCGGAGAGAGTGCATGGAACACTGCTTTATGATGTAAAATTTGATCTGGGGAAGGACGTAAAAAACTGCTGGAAGGCCGGCATACTAGAACTGTCACAATACTCGCCTCACGATGTCGTCATGTCGAGGGTTTCCGGATGCTAACTTCCAGCACGTCTGTTGAAAGGTGTGTTTTCTCTCTTGGTCAAGTACTTTTCAGGATGGCGCCCAGATGAACCGCGAATACCTCGTAGATTGTGATTGTGTCAAAAGCGTAGTGCCAGTAATTGTAATGACAAACCTCAGTTTCTCCGCAGTCACGTGCAGCGGGGCCTGTAAGAGCCGAGAGAGAGCTTAGGGCGGCATCGGCTTCTTCCCGAAGAGGGCGAAAGCGCTTGGGAATTTTACAAAAGTTGCCAGACTCATTCAACGTGATCGGATTCCCTCTGTCTACATATAAGCATCTTCATTACCACGGTTCTGATCAGGCATCATGGCGACTTCTCCCGTCGCCGTCGTTTGCATTGGCATGGCTGGTATGGCTACTAGAGGAATTGTGATAGATAAGTTCTAACAGGTCATCAGGATCCGGCAAAACTACCTTCATGCAGCGCATCAACAATTACCTACATGTCAACAAGAAGAAACCATACGTACTCAACCTGGATCCTGCTGTGATCAATGTTCCGTTCCAGCCCAACATCGATATCCGCGATAGTATCAACTACAAAGAAGTCATGAAGCAGTACAACCTTGGTCCCAACGGAGGCATCCTGACATCTCTGAATCTCTTCGCAACCAAGATCGATCAAATCATAACTCTACTTGAAAAGCGAGCAAATCCGCCGGCCGACAGTAAAGTACCACCACCGAAACATTTCTTGGTGGATACGCCGGGCCAAATCGAGGTCTTCGTATGGTCTGCTTCCGGCAGCATTCTCCTCGAGTCGCTTGCATCCTCCTTCCCAACTGTCATTGCCTACATCATCGATACACCGCGCACCTCATCCACATCCACATTCATGTCCAACATGCTCTACGCGTGCTCGATACTGTACAAGACAAAGCTTCCAATGATTCTGGTGTTCAACAAGACGGATGTGCAGGATGCAGAATTCGCAAGAGAATGGATGACGGATTTCGATAAATTCCAGGAAGCTCTCAATGAAGAGCAGAACAAAGGTGTCTTTGGTGGTGAGGGTTTCGGTGGAGGGAGCGGCTACATGGCCAGCCTTCTCAATAGCATGAGTCTTATGCTGGAAGAGTTCTATTCTCATCTAAACATGGTGGCGGTCTCGAGCATGACCGGCGAGGGTGTCGACGAATTCTTTGAGGCTGTCGAGGAGAAGCGCAAGGAATTCGAACGGGACTATCGGCCGGAGCTGGAGAGGAGAAGGAAGGAGCGCGACCAAGAGAGCGCCGCGAAACGAGAACACGACTTGACGAAAGTAATGAAAGACATGAAGATGGACTCTGAACCAAAGGCAGGAGACCAAGCCACTTCAAAAGATGAATCTGATAATGATGACGACGACGACGAGCTTGTTGATGCAGACGATTTCCCCGACGCAGAACGAGACGACGATGAGGAAGGCTTGAAGCAACGATACAAGAACGCCTTGCGTGAACAAGGCATCCAAGTTGATGATGATGATCCAACAGTAGCACGATTGCTGGCAGAGACACGGCGAGCGGGATGAGTGGTAGAGAAAAACAGAGGATGTTTATGAAGAGTTTTCGCATTAGCATAAGATACCCAGGCCCGGAGTTGGGAGATAGGAAATTGATTTTGTTCATGCCACTGAACGCGACTCTGCACCTGCATTTTGAACAACTTACAAATGTGATCCCGTAGGATATGAGATTCTTTCGCAGATTCGTTGGTCAAGAAAATTCAAGTACGGCATCGTTTGAGCGAGCCTCGTGGCGGCCCGCAAGGCTGAGGTGCCCCCTCTCAAAATGCCAAGCCACGCACAAAACCAGTAGGGCTTGGCACTGGGCCTGCGATTTTGGGAATTGGGGAATTTCTTGAAAGTGCGGTTTTCCCGTGCGAGACGACTCTGCGTATCCCTCTCACAATCAATCGCCCACACCGCTGCCCAAGATGAAGTACATCTTCTCGCAAGAGCAGCTGGTCATCCCAGAGGGTGTCAGCATCCACATCCGCTCACGAATCGTCACGGTCGAAGGTCCTCGAGGTACGAAAGACAATACCCATGCCCACCCGGAGAGAACAATGGGAAAAGACACCTGCATTGCGAGGGCCGAACTCGAAAGAGAAAGAGACTAACAGGCTTTTTGTCGCACAGGCAAACTCACCAAAGATCTCTCTCATATTGCCGTCACCTTCACGGTCGGAAAAAACAAGCAAGGGCAACAGCTCGTTCAGATTGAAATCCACCATGGCCAAAGAAAGAACGTCGCCGCTCTCCGAACCGTCAAGTCGATTATCCAGAACTTGGTGATCGGTGTGACCAAGGGATACAAGTACAAGATGCGATACGTCTATGCCCACTTTCCCATCAACGTCAACATTGAGAAGAATCCCGAGGGCTTGTTTCACTTGGAAATCAGGTAAGAGCAGGCAATTTCCCCTCAGCTTTTCTTCGCGCACGCCGACGTCAAAAATTGCTCGAAAACAAGAGGAGGAAAGAAAAATCGCTCAAATGGCATCTGGACAAAAGAGAAGCAGACCGAGCAAAATGCTAATTGTCATTTGTTATGTGTAGAAACTTCTTGGGCGAGAAGATCGTCCGACACGTTACCATGCACGACGGCGTCACCGTGGAAGCCTCGAAGGGTGTCAAGGACCAGATCGAAATCACCGGCAATAGCCTTGAGAACGTGTCACAATCCGCCGCCGATATCCAACAGGCCTGCAGAGTGAGGAACAAGGATATCCGAAAGTTCTTGGACGGTCTGTACGTGAGCGAACGGGGCAACATTCTTGAGGAGTAGAAGGCGGACTTAATCACCTGCTGCATTGATAGCGTGCTTGTGGTTGTGGGTTGGTGCGGAGGGGTGGTGGTCGTGGTGGTCGCATGGGAACAGGGCCGTGAAGCGCGGAAAGACAGCCTTCTCAAACGAAACGCAGCATGCATGATGGACAAAAGGTGGAGGCGTCATGATCTTGCAAAAATGTCCCGCTTGCACGCTCTCAGAAGAACAGTCGTCTTTGCAAGGGAAGTGCCGAAGAGCCCTATGTCCTCTCTGCCCTCCGCGAGACGTTCAGGACCCGGCGAAATGGTCTAGACGAAGAAATCAAAACAAGTTTCAGAGTTCTGTGATTTGAGCAATCGAAGGAGATCTCTTCTTTACAGTTACTTGTTTTCTATTTGCGTGCTTGAACATATGGTGGGTACGGTCTGACAATCTCTGCCTGTTCCTTGGACTGAGAAGGAACCTTGACTGGCACCAGCCTTGGTCAACGTTCTCCGATGGCCTTAGCAACCGTCTTCAAAGAGTGTAGGATCCAGGAGGAGGGAGTGTCTATCACCGTGGTACATACCCTCTGCACTGTAACTGCCCTGATCGCCTGAGTTGCCGAGTCTCCTATTCAAGCCAGCACAGCCAGTTTGTCCATCATTGACCAGCCAGGTAAGTCTGGCCTTCACGTGCCCAACTACGACTGTTTTGGAACAATTTCTAGCCCAGGTACTCCTGAGAACAAGAATCTAATCCTTTCATCTTCATTTAATTACAGGGGTACACACGACGCCTTGGATTCTAATCTTTTTCAGCATCCGCTCGCCCTCCATCGCCAATTGGACCACTGGACGCTGATCGAGTACGGGAGTGAGATGAAGCGTTGTATGACAGCGTGGCGACCCTTAGTTTAGGTCAACGTAACTTCTACCCTTTTGGGACCAGAACGGCATCGGACATCGTGTCGGGATTGCCGGCCTACGCTTCACGCACACATAGTGGAGGGCTTGGAATAGGGAATGCATTCCTCGGGTCGTTAACTCCTCCAGCACTTCATGGACATGACCTGAATTATCTCCGTGAGGGTCTTGTCCAGAAGAAGGACACGACCGTCATATAAATTGACCGGCGGGAACCATGTCCTCCAAGACGTCCAGCCAGAACGCGAACTGTTACATTGCACGACAGTATCACACACATCGATTGGACTTGGAGCAACATGACTGCAGTCACTCACGCCGAATTTCACGCTGACACCGAGAGCTTGGACGTTGCAGACGCCTTTGCTGGATCGATTCGTGGAAGAAGCATCATCATCACGGGCGTCAATAGGGGAGGGATTGGCTTTACTACGGCTCAGGCATTTGTACGAAAATCACCCTGAATTGGTCACTATGGCAAAAGCTAACGGTGGCCGGCAGGCTTCTCAATCCCCCTCCCACATTATCATCACTGGACGTTCCCCGACAAAGCTTCAGGAAAGCATCGAAGCTCTGCGGAAGGAATATCCCAGCGTGCAATATGTTGGGCTCAAGCTGGACCTGTCGAATCAAAAGTCCGTCCGCGAGGCAGCGGCCGAGGTCCTGGCCATGAAAGACGTTCCCACGATTGATATTCTGGTCAACAATGCTGGGGTGATGCTGATTCCGGAGCGAACACTCAGCGTGGATGGGATCGAGATGCACTTCGCTACCAACCACGTCGGCCACTTTTTGTTCACCAACTTGATCCTGCCCAAGCTGATCAAGGCCGCAGAGGGGAGGCCCAAGGGCGCCACGCGCGTCGTGAACGTCACCTCGTCGTCCCCGCTCTCGGCAGGCGTCCGCTTCAGTGACATCAACTTCGAACGGGCCAACAAAACTCTGCCAGACGACGAGCAGCCGCAGTACGAGGCACTCAAGAACTGGGGTGAAACGGACCCGGAGAACAAATCGTATTTCCCGCGCGAGGGATACAACCAGAGCAAAGTGGCCAATCTCTTGTTTTCGATTGGGTTCAATGCTCGCTATTACGACAAGTACGGACTCTTGAGCTTAGCCGTCAATCCAGGGGTCATCGCAACGGAGCTACAACGACATTTCTCGCCTGAGACGGCCACTGCGCTCCAAGCGTGGGCGAAGAGTGGAGCGGTCCATATGAAGACGCAGGGTGCGGGAGCCGCCACGAGCTTGGTGGCTGCCACAGATCCTGGGCTGGGGCTGCCAGTGGTCAAGGACGGCAAGGAGAACTACGGAGCGTACTTGAGCGACTGCCAGATCAATGGCGGGGCAAATGCTCGCGCCGTGTCGAAGAGCAACGCCGACAGGTTGTGGAAATTGTCTGAGGAATTGGTAGGAGAAGAGTTCCCTCAGTAAGGAGAGAAAGGTCAAAAGGGGTGTCTCAATAGACTGTCTTGATGATTGGTGTGGGTGGCGGATTCCTGTGAAGTCGTGATCGAAAGAAGAGGAAACTCCAAATGCCTTGATGGACTCGAGTTCCAACACGAGACCGGAATCGGGACATGAGCCGGATGCAAGGCTGACAGTGGGATTCCTGCTTCCCCGTGGCTTGATCTGTGGTTGAGGGTAGGGGAAGACATAACAGGACCAGAGAAGGCAGCTCCCAAGATTATTGCCATTCCCCTCTAGTCTTTGCTAAGTGTTTGGTGTTTACTCAAAGACCATGGCCAGCAGGTCCAATCCCCCAGCGAGTTCTGCAGAGGATCAGCTACGAAGCACTTACCACACCTGTATCGTGGGCAGCCATATACTGCACTTTCACGGGTGAGAGCTCTCTCTATACCATCTCACCCATCTACGATCGAGTTGTTCTGAAACCTCATTCCAATCCCAGCGTCCTCGATGCGTATGGCCATGTCTCTGCCCGGCACCCGACCGACCCAACCCTCTTCCTCATGCCCTGCAACCTGGCCCCGGCCAACGTGGTGTCGCACGGGGACATAGTCCAGTATCGCATTGCGGATGCTTCGGCGGTCGATCCCGACGCCCCGCGAGGCTACGTTGAACGCTTCATTCACAGCGAGATCTACAAACGGTTCCCCGACGTCCGCGCGGTGGTCCACAGCCACGCCCCAGAGATCCTGCCCTACGCAAACACCGCTGTGCCTCTGCGGCCGTGTGTACACATGGCGGGGTTTCTCGGCAAGTATTTATTCCGTGTTTTGATTGATCAGTCAGTCGCCTGCCCAGAGAAAGCGTTCGACTAACCAATACATGGCGATGTTGGCCCACGACAGGCGAGGGGATTCCGACCTTTGACATTTCCATACACTATGCTCCGGACGATGTTCGAGACCTGCTGATCCGCAACGTGAGACTTGGGCGCGACCTCGCCGAGTATCTCTCCGCGTCTGCCACGGGAGCTGCTTCCCCGGCCCCCGCCCCGGCCCATCCGGTCGTGCTCATGCGAGGCCATGGGTGTACGGTCGTGGGGTCCAGCGCCCAAGAAGCCATCTACCGCGCCATCTACACGAAGCAGAATGCGGCCATCCAATCGGCGAGTCTGGGCCTCGCACGGTCCGGTGGAGAGCAGGTCTCGGGGACGGATGTTCAGTATCTAAGGGAAGACGAGTTGGCAGATACCTTGGACATGAGCCGGCACGGATGGGTGAGAGCCTGGGGATTGTGGCTCCGCGAGGTAGAGGCAGCCGGGCTGTACAGGTACTCAGAAGAGTGAACAGACATCTGCCAACAAATTGTGCGCGACTTTCTTCAATGGGAAGGAAAAGCCACTCTGACGGATCAATCTCCTTTGCTTTTTTTCCAGCTACCTAAGCACCCGACATATTGATATCTGCTGGCGTGGACCGATGTCTAGTCAATTCGCCCCGTGAACGTCGCTGCATTCCTCATCAAGCCCAGCGACTCCACCATGGGGCGGTCATTGATGGCCACCAGGAACGCCGCCTTCCCCTCCCGTGAGGCGTTGGTGTGCGTGACCTTGCTCCAGGCCGGAACGGCAAAGGTGTCCCTGGCGGTCCACTCGATCTTGCGCGCCGCCGTCTCCCCGGGGGCGAGGATGGTCGAGAACCCCTCCCCCTCGACGACGTGGTACACGAACGACGCCGTCTCCTGGGTCTCGGGCGATGAGGCGCCGGGGGCGACCCGCTCCGCCTGCACCGACAGCGTCAGCGACAGATGCGACCCGTCCGCGTGCCTGTAGTCGTAGCGCGCATACTTTCCGCCTGCCGCCGTGAGAGCGTTTTCCACCGGCGGCCAGGGAAACTGGGACGTGCAGCGGGCGACCGGCGTGCTCGGGTAGCGCGGCTGCGGGTAGGGGTTGCCAAAGTTCAGCGGCACCGCGCCGAACAGGGGCAGGTCGAGCCCGTCGAGCCAGATGACCGGGCCGGCGCCCTCGTTGCCGTGGTCGTGCCACTGCCAGCTCGGGGTGAGGATGACGTCGCCGCGGCGCATGGCGATCTTCTCGCCCTCGACCGCCGTGTAGGCCCCCGCGCCGCTCTCGATGACGAAGCGCAGCGCAAACGCCGAGTGCCGGTGCGCCGGCGCCACCTCGCCCGGCAGCACGAGCTGCAGGCCGCCGTAGATGGTGTCGGTCGTGTGCGGCGCGCTCATGCCCGGGTTCACCAGCATCAGCACGCGCCGCTCCGCCTCCTCCACGGGCACGATCCGGCCGGCCTCCATCAGCGACGGCAGGATCTCCTGGAACCGCCAGATGGCCGGCGTCGCGGACGGGTTGGGGAACGGCGGCACGAACTTGTCGAGCTTGAGCCAGAGCGGCTCGACGTGCTTTGAGGGCAGCGATCGGTAGAAGTCTTGCATCTCCTCCTCTTCTGCTGCGGCTGCCGCAGCGGGCTTGTCGTGGATGCCGTTGGTACGGCTGTGCTCATTTAGCGTCGTCATGTTTGCAACAAGGTCGAAGATACGCCGCAGCCAGAGCCTCGTTCTTGGGCCTGGGGGAGCATGTCGCCCAGGTTAAGACCCAAAGGCTAGTCCCTGCTGCTATCAATAGTCTCCTTGGTCGTCGGGTTCCGGAAGCTGATGCCGCGGGACAGCAGACACTTCCGACGACGACATGCCGGTCCAGAGTCGCCTTGCTCCGAGAATCGCAGGAGAATTTTCTCGAGGCCGTTATCAACGTGTCCACGGGTTGGGGTCCCCTCATTGCGTCTCACTTGTACACTGTGTTACCTTTGCTGACTTCCGTAACCTCTGACAGCCATGGCCGAAGCAAGTGGATCCTGCTTGTGCGGCGGTGTCACCTTTGATGTCTCCGGTTCGCCTGATGCCGTGATCCAGTGCTACTGTGAGCATTGTCAGAAGAATGCCGGTGGCCCTTTTCAAATTGTATGTTTCCCAGCCAGTCTCCGCCTCTTGGACCCCCCATCCCCTCCCCTTCATCTTGGCAACCGTGTTATATACTCACTGTTCTTCCGCGTAGGTGGCCAAGTACGACAAAGGGCTGGTGGACGTCAGGACTGGCGAGGACCTGCTCACGCACTTCGTGCTCACCGACACGCAAAGCGGGTACCCGAAACACAAGGTCTTTTGTCGCACCTGCGGGTGCACCATGTGGACGATTCCCATGAGGCATGGCGACCAGTTTCGCATCGTGCGTGTTTCGTTGATTCAGGACGGGTGAGTCGATTTTCCCCCAACGCGATCCTTTGTGGGGAGAAGAGGAGCTGAAGGAGCACCACAGACTGGCGCGGTACAAGCCGAATAAAGTCATGTTCGAGGAGCGCAAGATTGCGGATTAAATCGAGGCTAGGCATCTTATTGCATAGACAGACATACTATATCTCGATATAGAATGCTGCCGGCTTCCATCTATTGCTTCTATGACATCTTCCCGATGAACCGCTATTCAAACTTCATCCTGTTCTTCACCGAGCCCAGCTGCTCAATCCGCACCTCCACCACCTGCCCGTCCTGGAGGTATACCGGTGGCTTTCGACCCATGCCGACCCCCGAAGGAGTGCCGGTCATGATGACGGTGCCCTTCTCCAAGGTCGTGCCCTGGCTGACAAAGGCGATGATGTCCTCGACGTCGAAGCGCAGATCCGCGGTGGACGAATCCTGCATGGTCTCGCCGTCCACGAACGTGCGGATGCGCAGGTTGTCCGCCTTGCCCACGACGCGCGGCGACACCAGCACGGCGCCCACCGGCGCCCACTTGTCGAAGCCCTTGCTGAAGCACCACTGCGGGACGCCGCCCGCGTACGCCGGGTCGCGCTGCCACTTGCGCGCCGACACGTCGTTGGACACCACGTAGCCGGCCACGTAGGCGAGGGCGTCTTCCTTGCGGATGTTCTTGCCGTCCCGGCCGATGACAATGCTCAGCTCGCCCTCCCAGTCGACCTGGTCGTTCTGGCAGATCGGCGGGATCGGCACGTCCTCGTCGTGGCTCGCGATCGAGCCGCGCGGCTTGACGAAGAAGGACGGGTACGGCGGAGGCGTGCGGCCGGCTTCCTTGACTGCAGGGGGTGGTGTTTTAGTATTCGGGGTACTGGTAGTCACCCTTGATACCACTTGGGTGGGGAGACATACTGTGTGCCGTATAGTTCAACCCAATGCACTTGACGATGGGCACGTCACGAGGGTATAGCAGCGGCAACAGCTTTTTGGCCTTGACCTCCCGCGACGTCGGTTGTAGGTCAAACGGACCCTCTCCCGTGAAAACCTTGACGACGAGGCTCCCCTGGTCGACAAGCGTCTGGACATCGTCCGCATTGTCGACGATGGGCTCCCCAAACGCCTCCTGGCCCGCCTCGTCTTCAAACCGTATCAGCCTCTGCCAGGACATGGTCGCTCTGTTTCCTAGATGTATTGGGTGTGTGAAAATCCAGAGAAGAAGAGAAGTCGAGAAATACCGGCATCCAGTCGACATCAAATGTTTCTGGGGGCCGATTTCCGGAGGGTGTGGTAAGAACTATGGCGCCACAGCGATCGAGCCGACGGCTTGACTTGACGGCGTTCCGAACACAACCTCGCGCTTCATCTGGTTCTAGGCTATAGGCGTGCCAGTTGCGTGATCTTTCTGAGGATGACTATCGAGGTCTCTGGCAATTGCATTGACCATCCTGTCCACAGCCGTCTATTGATGTTCTCCTTGCGAGTCGCTGCTGGGCAGTGTTTCCGACGAAGCCATCTGCCGCCCACCCGTCCGCCCGCCGTGTGTTTAGGTTCTATCGAGTTTTTGGTTTTCCTCCAGAAAATGGGAGGGAAGTTGACACCCCATGCGTATTGCCGTGTCGCCTCTTCTGCCCGGATGCCAAAATATATAATGATAAAAATCCCACATTTTCAAGCGGAGAGAAAGAGACAGGGCCGTTCGCGCTAGTCGGCCTCGTTGCGCCCATGGTGTGAGGTTACAACAGCTCGCTTATGAAGTCAACTCCTGAAACCGACGTGCTTGGGGGCGCTTTGTTAGGCTTGAAACCCGCCTGGGGTGCGGGCTTATCGACACATCGCTACGGACAACTAGAACCCTCTGATGGTTGGGATTGGCTTGTGTTGATGGCACGAACAGAAAGCTACTTTATGCCTATCCTGTGAATTTACCCAAGGCGCACATTAAGGGGCCGGGTTGTCTCTGGTCCCTTTTGTTGGGTGTCTCAGCCCGCGTTCGCTTGTGAACCGTTCAAACCAGTCGCGCGGTTTCACCGTCGGGCTGCAGTCAGGCGTCTGCAACAGATGAGACATTGTGATTTGGAATCTCAATGGCCCCCAAATTTTAGGCTCCAAGCGGCTCTGCCTTTCTCCCTCCCGATTTGGAGCGACAACCAACGCGTGAACCACAGCCTCACAGCTGTTTGAGTCTAGATCCTTGACGAAGGACTCCATCGTCGCCGGTGACGATCGTGAGGCGACTCTGAATATCTTTAGAGCAGATAAGGCTCTTCTGAACGACCTCCATCCTTCGAGGGAATTTGGGCAACAGTACTGGCCGACATGGCATCAAAACGCGGTCAGGATGTCGAAACCGAGATGCTTCATCCTGGGCAACACGGTCACAGAGACGGCACAACGCCGCGAGCACCGCGAACATGGATGGTCGCGGCATCGATGGCTTGCTCGATCATAGTTGGGCTGGTGTTCGCCTTGGTTCACCACTTCTTCTACACCTATTGGAATGGCAAGGTCGTCTCAAGCGACTCACAGCAGCGTTGGATCATACGAGGCGGAACTGCTTTTGCCTTTGGCTTAAAAACAGCTCTGGCTCTGGGCACCGGCATCGCTTATGTCCAATACTTCTGGTTGACTCTTTGTTCCAAGGAGTTTCAAGTTGGCAAGATCAACTCGATGTTCAAGGTGCTGGGCAATGCCTTTGAATTGTGCGATTTGAAGCTTTGGCTTCGACTGCCCGTCCTGGCCTCATTGGCCGTTGTAACATGGTCAGTCTTGCAGGAAGTACATCCATTACTAGGGCTAACCCTTGCCGCAGGACCCTCCCTATTGCAGCCATCATCTCACCCGGCACACTGATAGTGACTCCCTCGACTGGGAACAGAACACAACTCCTCGGAGTGCCACAGTTTGACTATCGAGATTATACCCCATTCGCCTCACCCCTCACCTCCGATGACGCCAACTTTGCTGGAGCCAGCAATAAACTCGTCCAACTGGCTCTTGGAAGCGCCACGACCCAGTCCATTCTGTCTATATCGCCGCCAATCGCCAACTCGACTTACTCGGTCAAGATGTATGCTCCTGCCCTGACATGCCAAATACCTGCCCTGAACGATTCGATCGCTATAGAAGCTGCATATGAGAATTTTGCAGACACCTCGGGCGGTGCCGGCGTCAACTATTTTGCCTGGGTCCCATACGGTGACGGCGCCGGTAACGGATGTCAGAATGGAAGCATTGCCATTCCGTCGGATTTCACGAGTAGCAAACTGCCCAGCACAACCGATAGTTGTTATGATGGATACAGTGCCAAACTCAACGTCTTCATCCCCGTGGCGACGGCCAGCGACGCTACCCCTTACGGGTCTTCTGTTCTGCTGAACTGCTCCCTCATGAACGCTTCTTACACCGTAAACTTTGACTTTCGTGATCGCGCACAACTTGTGGGCGTCCAGAGTCGGGAGCTCTTGAACGGAGTCCCAGTTTTCTCGAGTTACGAGAATATGGTTGTCGATGTTGGCTCCACGGCGGTATTCTCACCCATGGCCAACAAGCTAATGTCCTACATCTCCATTGTAAGTTCCTCTAACTAATAACTAATAAGAAACCGTGCCGAATTTTATATTCTTCCCTCATTGTCGATATAGGCTAACGGAATCTGCAGATGGATGCATTTGGGCGCATTATGGTGGGCTCGGTCAATACATATCACTACGGGACTATTACGCCGGCCTATACGCTTGTCCTTTCCACGGCGCTCCAATCGCAATTGTCTCCAGACACGTCTGGCAAAATTGATGCCAGCAACACGACCTTTGCGCGCTCGGTAGAGAGTCTGTTTGAGAACATCACCATGAGTCTCCTCAGCGCCAATGATTTCATTGTTGACTTGTGAGCCGGCCCCCGTCCTCTCCCCCATGCGACTGAACACTACTGACGTGCGCCTTAGTTCAAACGAGACCAAAGCCGCTGGCACCCCCTTGACAGCCGTGACCATTTACTACCCTCAGAACGTTTACACGTACGAAGCGGAGCAGCTTTGGCTGGCCTACGGGGTCGCCATCCTCGCCAACGTCCTCTGCTTGCTGGCCGGCACGTTCGCGATTCAGCGCAATGGACTCTCCTACAACAATGACTTCACAACCATCATGAGAACGACTCGCAATCCGAATCTGGACCTCCTGGTTCCTGAAGCCGAATCGAGCGGCGCGCAACCGGTCGCGCCACGGACGACGAAGGGGACACTCACGTATCAACGCTCAAATGAGTACGGGTGGGCGGGCTTTTCAGTCAAGGGAATGCAATAATCCCCTGTTTGGTTTTAAGTCTTGGGCGTTGATGTCCAAATTAGGGGCTGCGAACAGACGGTATCTCCTGTTGTCCTGGATGCTGCCACTACTTTCCACTTTGATACATCGTCGCAGTTTGCATTCCAGTGCAAATCTGGCGTCTCTACGGGAGAATGGTCAAACAACCCTAGCTCTACAAGGATCTCTGCCCGAGCGAACCCCTTTTCCGCCTGCGTGTCGTTGGATTATCCTTCGCTCAGCCTCGCCTCAGCCTCAGCATATCTTCCACCCTGAATGGGGATGCGTTCAAGGACTTGATCGAGCTTGTGCAAATCCTCCTCGGTCAGCTTGATCTCCGCACAGTTTTCCGCCACCCACTCGGGCTTTTCCGCGCCGGGGATGGGGATGATGACGCCGTTGCCGTTCCGTTCGCTCTGGGCTCGCACCCAGCCGATGGCGATCTGCGGGACCGTGCAGCCCTTCTTCTTCGCCATCTCGTGCACCTCCTTGGTCATCTCCCTGTTGGCGGCCAGGGCGTCGCCCCGAAACCTCGGGTAGCGGGCGAGGTGCGCCGGCAGGTCTCGGTGGTCCCCCAGCACCTGCGTGGTCAGCCCGCCGCGACTCAACGGCGCGTAGGCGATGATGGGGATGTTGAGCTCGGCGCAGGTCTTGGCGACGCCGTTGTACAGGATGTCCCGCGACCACAGCGACAACTCGACCTCGACCTGGGCGATCGGATGGATCTTGGCCGCGCGGCGGATCGTCTCCTCCTTGACCTCGCTCAGCCCGATGCCTTTGATTTTGCCCTCCTTGACCAACAGGCCCAGCACCCGGATCGTCTCTTCAATCGGCGTGTTCGGGTCGACTCGGGCGCACTCGAAGATGTCGAGGGTTTTCTTGCCGTCCAGGAGGCGGACGCACTCGTCGACCGATCGTCGCACCCCGGCCTCGCTGCCGTCGAAGATCAACGTGCCCGGCACGCGGCCCCCCTTGATGGCGAGCACGATCCGTGACGCCCGCTCGGGGTGCTTGGCGAAATATGCGTGGAGGAGATGCAGGCTGTTGTGGTCCGGCGTGCCGTAAAACTCGCCTCCGTTCCAGTAGTGGGCGCCGTGCTCGAACGCGGCGTCCATGGCGGCGAAGGCGTCTTCTTGGGGGATGGGAGCCTCTGGCCTGGTCAAGCCCATGAGGCCGAAGCCGATGGCGTTGACCTTTTGGCCGAGTATGGTCGCCATGGCTGCTGGTTGGGAGGAGATTGGGGGGACAACAATCCCACAACTCGGGTGTGCTCGTAGTTCTAGAAGGCGAGCCTTGAATCTCTGGGCTCTCCGATGTAGTTTACGACCCTCGATCCCTCACCGGTGAGATTCTTCCTGGCTGCAACGGGCACTTAACTAAAGGCCAAGGCCGGCCCGCGGGCGTATGTCTGGATCGGCCGCCCCACTATGGATGTCTGCTGCATGTCTCGAGATTAGGCTAGGATTCCAGAAACGGATACATGTGTACGGCAAGCCCGCTCCCTGTGGCGTGTTCTCCGGAACGGTCCAACGCAGCCGCGGCATGGGGACGCCATCAGCCCGGCGGGGCTTTTAGTCCCAAGGAGCAATCCATCAAGCCTATTCATGGCGGGGACATCGGCATCATTGCAGTAGTTACAATCTCACGATCCCTGTGCACACTCTATACACGCTCTGCACCGTCGGCCGCGTAACAGGGCGATCTTCGCACGACTTCCCCGACATCTACCCGACGGTATCTTATGCTAAGCTCTATCGGCAGTAAGGATATTGTTTCGGAGAATGCGGGTGCCCCGTGGGGATGTATCTACCCGTACCCTCCTTCCCCGCTGGCTGGAAGTCGTGGATTGACAACCTCGAGCTATTCTAGCTTCAAGTCGAATAATGTCGACTGAGCACCCCTTGGAGATCCTTGCTCCAGCCGCTTTGAGACCACCCGTTCAAGCTCTGCGGGTATTGCGGCATGGTGCCGACCAAGAACGAATCGTGCGCGAGGGCGACAAAGACGCGGTCTGTTTTCTCGACCTGCCGGATCTTCGCCAACGTCTCCCCCGCCACTTGGGGGTCGCTGTGGAAGCAGCGGCCCATGGGGCCCGAGGTCACGCTCATCGGGCGGCTGCCCACCAGGATGGAGCGGTGGTGGCAGCAGTCGCCCCCCATAAACACCCACTCGTCCGGCCCCGTCAGCGCGAGGCCGCCCAGATGCCCCGGCATGTGGCCCGGCGTGTCGACGAGGTAGAAGCTGCCGTCGCCGAAGAAGTCGTGCGCGCGCTCGAACGGGCCGAGCGGGGCCCACGGCTCCGTCGCGAAGCCCAGCTCGCGGAATTTGGGATGCTGGACCAGCGCGCTGGAAAACGGCGACTGGGGGTTCACCGGCCACCCTTCGCCGTTGGCCGCCTTGGCTCCGGGCCCGACGATCATCTCCGCCTCCGGGAACTTGGTGCAGTCGCCGATGTGGTCGAAGTGGACGTGGCTGAAGACGACGGCGTCGATGCTCGCCGGCGACACGGGGCCTCGCGACAAAATGTCGATGGGGTCCTCGGCCACGGACGGCTGGATGACGTGGAAAAGACTCCGAATCAGCTCCGGCACTTGATCAAAATCCTGTAACTGGTCAGCACGAGCCGTCAACAGATCCAATATAAGTCGGGCGTACCTTGGTGAGGCCCAGGTCGAACAGAATGTTCTTGCCGGACGGATGCCGGATGAGGAAACTGAAGTCAGGATAAGGGTGTCGGGCTCCCATGACGTCTTCGTCGCCGTCTTCGAAGAGCCAGCGGTCTGGATGGTTCAGCTCGCCGGTGGCAAGTGCATGGACTTCGACGGGTCTTGTGGTGTTGCTTGGTGGAAGCGACGGCATTGCTAATAGAAGTCGATATGCAAGTGAGTGACTGGAGTGGTTTCCTCAGCCCTCGAAGGCGCTGTCAGCGAACGTAGGCCTCAAAAACCATGGGGATTCGACTAATCGATTCGAAACGAGACAGGTCTTCCTCCAAACTTCAAAGCACCAAGATCATTGACGACTTTGTCGCGGGAAATCCGATTGGCTCCGCGGGGATATAGACGAGTATCCGATAGCCGGAACTGGCTATACCCCCGGCTCCACCCCGGCTTCTACCCCAGGCCGCAGCTGTCCCTAGTGGCGTCTTCTAGCCAGTACACACCACGGAGACCCAATAGAACACACATGAGAGCGCCTCTGCTGTAGACGCTACTGCATTTCCCCAGAGGAACTCCGGCTGTTCGGTACCGCTGACCAGGTTGCGGTGTGCAGTTATTGCGGGGCTGCCTCCGGAAACAAAGTCCTGTTGAATCTGGAGTAGCACGGGGTTCTGGTCCACGATGGTCTCGGCTCACAGGTGAGAGAGATAACGTGGTTGGGAAAAGCTATTAAATGCGGGTTGAATCCCTGCCTGGCGCGGCCTTCTCGTGAGACCCTTTCCATCCGCCTCGTTACCGAATCCCAGCTGCAAGTGAGCTCTCAATCTTTCCATTCTCGGAACCTACTCATATACTCTCACTATTATTCCGGGCTTCAGCGACTGAGTAGCCATGGCGAACAAAGAAATCCCTCGTGGAGAAGTGCAGGAGCGTGAGGAGGTCGTATATGATGTCGACGAAGTAGGTATCCAACCGCTTCCGACCACAGAGCACAAGCTGACCTTGAGCAGATTGAACCACACAATGGTGAAGTTCTCTTGACCGTCGACTCCGAGGGTAAGGGTAATTTGCATCTCAAACTAGCCAAAGATGGCCGGGTAAGAGGGACCTCTGATTCTTGCGTGCTGTATGTCGCTGACATCTCCAGACTATCTTGATCCCCCAGCCCACGGATGACCCAGATGATCCACTGAACTGGAGCTCCTTCAAGAAGCATGCGGTGCTGCTCCTCGTTGCATTTGGTTCCTTTGCTGGAGACTTCGGCGCTGGTGCCGGCGTGCCTCTGATCTTCCTTCAGGGAGCGCAGTGGGGGCTGCCACCCACCGAAGTCAACCGGGCAAATAGTCTGGCAGCCGTCATGTGCGGTGTTTCCGGGATCATCTGGATGCCCCTCCTGAACTCCTGGGGGAGGATCCCCGTACTATTCTGGTCCGGCGTCCTAGGCTTCTTCTTCACCCTCGGAGCCGTCCTGGCCCCAAACTTCCCCGTCCATTATGCGATGAGGACCCTTCAGGGAGTGACGCAGAGCACGGGGCAGACCATCGGCCTGGCTTTCATCGAGGACTGCTTCTTCTACCATGAACACGCACGGAAGATCGGAATCTGGTATGCCATCTATATCTGCTCGCCATTCCTGTCTCCCCTCTTGGCCAACTTCATCATCGGCAAGACGGAGGATTGGCAGATCATCTTCTGGTGCACGCTTGCTTGGTCGGGATTTTTGCTCAGCTTGATCCTCCTCTTTGGCGACGAGACCTATTACAATCGTACCGTGCCACGAGAGCGGCAGCCTCACCGGGGCAAGGGACAAATCAACCGCCTGCTGCGCGTGACGGGCATTTGGCAGATCCAGCATCACTCCGGCTATTTCGCCACCGTCCTGAGCTCATACATTCGCCTCGTGACAGTCTTTCTGAAGCCCGTCATAGCACTAACCATGCTTTTCTACGCGGCAGTCTTCATGTGGATGATCGGGCTCTTCCTCTCCTCGGCGGTTCTGCTGGCCACGCCCAAGGTCGCAGGCGGCTACGGCCTCTCATCCATTTCGGTCGGGTGTGTGTTCTTCGCGCCCATCGTCGGCGTTCTCCTGGGTGAACTCTTTGGCCATTTCTTCAACGACTTTATCGTCAAGTTCTATGCCCGGCGCCATGGAGGACACTTTGTCCCCGAAGTGCGACTGTGGACCACGTATATCGGTCTCGCGGTGATCGTCCCCGGGCTGGTCATTGTGGGTGAGACGTTCCAACACCAACTCAGCGTGGCGGCTCTAGTCTTTGGTTGGGGTATGGACGTCTTTGGCGTGTTGGTGACTTCGGTGGCCACCATTGCTTTTGCCCTGGATTGCTACCCGTCAGCCTCGGGAGAGGTGTCAGCCCTGATCAACATGGCCCGTGTGGGGGCAGGCTTCGCAGTCCCCTATTTTATCGAGGAGTGGACGGCCAAGCAAGGGTATGCAACGGCGTTTGGACTTCAGGCCGTCGTGGTTGTCGCGGCGTACGCCATTGTCATCTTCATCCAGCTATTTGGAGCCAGACTTCGCGCGTGGGCTGGTCCCGCTCGCCACTTGCGCCTGAGCAAGTGAGCGGTCCTCATCGGAAAGATTGGTCATATCTAGGATTAGGAGGTCTCGTTGAAAAGCGTCTGCGTCACACAGATACCGGAGACAAGGTGGGATTGCTGCACTTTTGCGTAGGAATGTGCAGAGACAAGTTGTAGGGTGAAGATAGTGCAGCAATCAACGGCGGAAATATGTTCACATACTTGCCCTTTCCTACGGACATCATCTTCATCTAATTGGGTGAGGTCAACTCTTGGCTTCACAAGGATTTTCTATCCTTGCACTCAAGGGACGAAGGCGATAGGAATGAATCTATCGGCATCTGAAACTCGTCAGGCTTCACATTAAAGGGGCAAGTGGACAGCGCAGTTCCCGCAAGGCTGTCAGCCGAGGTTCCGGCCTTGCTGTCATTACATCTCTTGACTCTCCCTAAGTCCCATAGGCCTGGCCGCCTGGCAGCCTTCCCCACATCATACCCACTACGCAGAGATACATGAGGTCTTTTCCTGGAAAGACTGAGGACCACGGCAACAGCAGTGGGCGAAGGGGAGCGAGGGATGTTGTTGTCCAAGCTTTCGCTTTCCTCGGCTCTGGCTCGATTTGCTGTGACCCCCTCCGCTCATGTCTCGGGTCTCGTCCCGCTTGCGTGGCGATTCCGACGGCTGCCGTCCTTTCTAAGCCGACAAGGTTTCTCGGCTCTCCACGTTTTCAGCAAAGGTGGTCACGATAGGGAGGCAGCTTGGGGATGTGTAGCAGAACGGGGGGCCCCAGGCGGAGGAGAAACTTCCAAGCTGTGAATGACTGGCACTCAGTCAATATATATCCTCTCCAAAAGCTATAACGTGGCTTTCCTCGAACTTGGATCATATCGCCGGGGAGGAATTATGGCAGTTCTCAATATGGGTTCAAGCTTGTCGCTTCCCATACCCAACAGCACGCTTGGGCTCACCACACTGATCGTATCCTTGGTAGGAGTCAACTTCATTTGATCCATGTCGGCGCCCAGCCATGATGATGATTTGACTAACAGAACTCCTGTAGATACTTTTTGCTATTGTGGCTTACGGCCTCTACAATGCTTTTGTGCACCCTCTGGCCAAAGTCCCAGGGCCGAGACTCTACGGCGCCACAAACCTGCCGTATCTTTACTGGCTCCTTCGAGGTCGCTGGCCCTTCGTCCTGAAAGAGCTCCACGACGTCTACGGCCCCGTCGTTCGCTTCACGCCAAGCGATGTCTCATTTACCACACCGACGGCGTGGCAGACGATTTACGGCCACAAGAAGGCTGGCCAGCTCTCGTTCCAAAAGGATAAGCGCCTCTATCGCAGTGCACTCACTCCAGCCGACAACATCCTATTAGCCGGCGACGCAGCCCACAGTCGGCAACGACGTCTACTCTCCCATGCCTTCTCGGAAAAAGCCCTCCGCGGTCAAGAGGGCATCTTGAATGGCTACCTCGACCTTCTGATCCGGAAGCTGACGGCAGAGGCCGAGGCGGGAAAGGTGGTGAACCTGGTGCAGTGGTACAATTTCACCACGTTCGATATTATTGGAGACCTTTGCTTTGGAGAGCCGTTTGGATGTCTCGCAGCAGGCGTCTATCACCCTTGGGTCGCGACAATCTTTGACGGATTTCGGCTGGCCGTCTTCAACCAGACTATGAAAAGATTGCCAGTGGCGGCACCCATCTTCCGACGTTTCATTCCGCAATCTTTAGTCAAGGGCCAGATGGATCATCTTCGATTGAGTTTCGAAAAGGCCAAGAAGAGACTAGAGAGTGGCCGGACCGACCGTGAAGACTTCATGTCCTACATCCTGCGGCATAATGACGAAAAGGGAATGACCAAGGACGAGATTGGCGAAAACTCCAATATCCTTATTCTGGCTGGGAGCGAGACCACGGCAACCCTTCTGAGTGGCACGTCGTATTGGCTTCTCAAGAACCCTCGCATCTATCAGACGCTGGTGCAAGAGATCCGCTCGACCTTTGCCAAAGAAGAGGACATCACCTCCGTGTCTGTCACCAACGCCAAATATCTCCTTGCTGTTCTCAACGAAGGTCTGCGCATCTATCCGCCGTCACCTGGAGGTCTGGGCCGTGTGTCACCTAGTGGAGGCTCCGTCGTGGATGGCTACTGGATACCCGAAGGCGTGAGTAACTATGGCCTGGTCCGCTGAGCTTTTTGTCCCTGACCTTTGCAGACTGTGGTGTCCGTGCCTCATTACGCATCCTATCATTCGCGTCGCAACTTCGCGAGCCCGGATGACTTCCACCCAGAGCGCTGGCTCAATGACGCGCGCTTCAGCAACGATGTAAAAGAGGTGCTACAGCCGTTTCAGTTCGGACCTCGCAACTGCTTGGGCAAAAGGTACAGTGACCATGATATATGGACGCGTTGGAGATATTAACTAATAACTGATCTAGTCTCGCCTATGTGGAGATGCGGCTGATCCTCGCTCGCATGTTGTGGAACTTTGACATGGAACTGATGCCGGATAGCGAGACTTGGAATGAGCAGCACATTTTCTCGTTCTGGGACAAAGGGCCTTTGAACGTGAAGCTGAAGCTCGTTCACCGGGATGCAAACCCCAATGCTTGACCAAGAGGCAAGTTGGAGTCACAGATTACAAAAGTGCTGCCACTCGATCCCTATAGCAACGAGGGCTGCAGGGTGATTCTCCTCGATACTAGAGCAGGACATTTAATCTGTGTTGTCTAGAATAAGCGGCTAAAGTGGAGTTTTGGATATAGCAACACGCCCCAGCCGAGATGAATAGTCAAGACATATCATGTCTAACGAAAAGAGTTCACTCCGATCCAGGATCAATAGAAGTCTGAACAACACTGTTGAGAGTTTAGAGTGATCATTTGCATAATGAACAATGCCTCCACTCTTCGTAATCACACGAAGCATTTGATGGGATAGGTATTGTCTACGAGGTTGCTGGCGAAAGAGTCAAAGGGATGGTCGCCTGCACGATTCAGTCCCTCGTTCAGCATGCAGAGCCTCCCCTTGGAGTGAAGACTTGAACCGGACCGCGAATCATGCACTTGCACCGGCGTCGGCTTCCTCATGCGGCCACTTCCAATGAAAACCGCAACAGGAGCTTCTCCGCCGTGGGAAGGGAGTATTCCCGACCGGGTATGTCGGAAAGCGCGAGGCCGGAGGAAGAAAAGGCCCCCAAGGCGTCTTTCATTATAACCATTGCAGTGTCTGTTTTGGCACTACTCATCAATCGAGCCGCGTCCAAAGGGAAATTGTCGGCATTGCTTACTGAAGTTTTCATCCCATTGGCTGTCTGAAGATGAACTTCCCTCTGCCAGAGATATTGCCCACAGTCGAGGAGTGCCTGCCGCAGCATCGCGGGCTCTACTACAACGGGGCATGGCACGAGCCTATCGACGGACGCTATGTCGAGACCTTCAACCCAGGTAAGGGCACGGTGATCACGACCGTGGCCTATGCCGGCGTCAAGGACACTGAAGCAGCACTGGAAGCCGCTCAAGCCGCCTTCCCTGGGTGGAGGGCCACGCCACCTCTGAAGCGCGGGAAACTACTCAAGAAGGCAGCCCAGGTCTTTCGAGATCACGCAGTCGAACTCGCCCTCCTCGATGCCGCGAACATCGGTAGCCCCATCACCATCATGGCAGGCGACGCACATTTCGCCGCCGAGTACCTCGATTTCTACGCCGGCCTGATTCCGGCCGTCACGGGCGAGACGAATGATCTGGGAGAGGCTACCTTCAACTACACCGTGCGAGAGCCCATCGGCGTGGTCGCGAGACTCGTGGCGTCGAACCATCCCTTGATGTTTACCGGAACGAAAATGGGCCCTGCTCTAGCCATGGGGAACACGGTGGTCATCAAGACGCCCGAACAGGCACCCTTGTCTGCTCTCCGGCTTCTCGAGCTGCTAGGTGACCTATTTCCTCCGGGCGTTTTCAACGTTCTCTCGGGCGGTATCGACTGCGGCAAGACGCTGTCGACACATCCGATTGTGAGGAAAATAACGCTCATCGGAAGTCTTTCAACTGGCCGTGCCATTATGAAAGCAGCCGCTGACTCGCTCAAGTTGTCCGTCTTCGAGCTGGGTGGAAAGAATGCTCTCATCGGATATCCAGACGCAGATATCGATCGGCTAGTCGATGGGATTGTGGAGGGCATGAATTGGTCGTGGTGTGGGCAGTCGTGCGGCTCGACGTCGCGAGTGTTCCTACACGAATCTATTTACGACAAAGTCTTGGATCTCGCGAAGACAAAACTTGAAAAGGCCTACGTTCCAGGTGATCCCCTAAGCAAGGCGACGACAATGGGGTCTATGGTCAACAAAGCTGCCCAGGACAGAGTATTGCGATATATTGACATTGGGAAAAAAGAAGGCGCCCGGCTCGTTCTCGGCGGAGAACCACCGAGCACTGAAGATACGAAAGGAGGCTGCTTCGTGCTCCCAACGATTTTCGCAGACGTCGAGCAGACGATGACGATTGCACGGGAGGAAATCTTCGGACCCGTCCTATCGGTCTTGAAATGGACGGACGAAGAACAGATGTATAAGGATGTCAACTCCGTCGAGTATGGACTTACCGGAGCCGTGTTTACGTCCAACATGTCGACGGCACAGAAGGCTGTGCGGAGGATTGAGGCTGCCACAGTATGGGTGAATACGTCGGCCACCCATTACCTGGGCATGCCGTGGGGAGGATACAAACAGTCCGGGATCGGAAGAGAAGACTGTTTTGAGGAAATGATCGAGATGACACAGCGAAAAGCGGTGCACGTGAAGCTGTGATTCCACTACTCTAGACCGTACCAAAAGTAGCACCGCTTAGCAAAGTCTTGAATCATCCTCCATCAATGACAGAAAAGTCTTCTCAAAGCAAATGCAGATGCTATAGGACCACGTGACGCCGGAACCGGGGCTATGATTCCGACGTTCCGAGGCATCGTACCTTCGGACCTCCGCACATCGGATGAGTCCCGGTTCCTCCCCTCCCCCAGAGACCGACCCATCCCCCTGCTTCCCCAGACTCACCTCCCGCAGGGTCGCCAGGCGGATGCTGGATCCTACACCTCGCCTGTACACAGGGACCGCAGCGAGATGGCCTTCAGGTTTGGCTCGCATGAGTCTGAGGACTCACCTGACAACCGGGCAGACCGACGCAATCAACGCCGCTTTGACGAGGACGATGGTCGAGCAAGTAAACGACAACGTACCGCGTTGGCTTGCAACTCGTGCAGGTATCGCAAGTCCCGCTGCAATGGCGTGCACCCCACGTGTTCGACATGCAGTGACTTGGGGCTCGAGTGTGTCTACAGAGGCCCCGCTCCCACGCCCCGATTCCAGTCTCGGGACCTGCAGTCGATGGAGAGGAGGCTGCAGAAGTTTGAGGATCTGTTGCTGGGGATCGTGACGAACCAGCAGATGAGTGGCAACTCGAACAACAACAACATCACCACCCCAGCCATGTCGCGATACCCATCCCAGCCTCAAGGCGGTTCTTACGTCGAAGCACCGCCTCTACAAAACACCTCGGTGCCAGCCTTTCCCAACCTGGTGCGCTTCCAACCAGAGCAGGCGACGGCACAGCGTGACCAACCAATGTCCAAGCTGTGGCCGATGGCACAGGAGGACACCGTCGACGGGATGGGGAGCATCATCTTCGCGGACGACTCTAGCTCGGGGTTTTTTGGTCCATCCTCGAACTCGGCCTTCTTCAGCAAGATCGCCAAGGTCCTGGCTCTGGGAATACGGACCATGCCCGAAGGCAGAGACTCGACGCGAGATCTGGCGGGGGCCTTGTCGCGGCCTGCATCCCCTGCAGCGCAGAGCAGAGGCAGCGCCCGCCCCGTCAACCCTTACAAACTGCCCTCGCGAGCGGAGATCTCTCGAATCACTGACATTTTCTTCTCCCACACTGGCCAGTTTTTCCCTTACATCTCCAAGACCAGCTTGACGGAGATGGTGGAAGAGCTCGAGTCGACCAATTTCAGCAACGTTCGGAAGTCGGGCTTGTGCCTGCTGAACGCCGTCTTAGCCATGGGCACGAGTCTGGATAGAGGGGTGGGTCGTCATCCCAAATCGATCGAGATCGAAGCAGACGTCTTCTTCCAGCGCGCACTGGCTCTGTCTCCGTGGACCATCTCAAATACCGCCAATTTGGAGACCTGTAAGAACACACGCCATCACCCGTCTCTTCCTCTACCGGAGCTGACCCTTGTCAAATAGTGCAAGCGCTCACGGCCATGACCCAATATCTACAAGGCACGTCGAGATCTGCACAGACCTGGAAGCTCCACGGCCTACTTGTGCAGGCGGCGTTCCAACTGGGGGTCTATACCCAGGATCCAAACGCGAAGATCTCGGCCTTGGAACGGGAAATTCGCACCAGGATCTGGTACACATGCATCATCCTTGACCGGTAATTTTCCCGCATCCTCGCATGAAGACTTGGCTGAGCGCTATCAGGGTTTTCAGCACCACCTTCGGGAGGCCACTCTTGATCAACAACGAGCTCATTCACATTGACTTGCCGTTGGACATCGAGCTCGATCAACTCCCAAAGGATCAATCCCAATTCGAGATGCCCCAAAATCCCGAATCGAGGCCTTCGCCGGGTGTCATCTTCATCCCAAGCATGTAAGGGCAATCTTCTGTTCTCCAACACCCTTCTGTACGGACGTGCTGACTGTCCACGTGTAGTAAGCTATACCGTCTCCAGGGCGACATTATCTGCGACATTTACAACCACAACGTGATCTCCTCGCACACCGTGCGGTCCGACGAGCTCTACAGCAAGATCATCCAAGTCGACCACGCGCTGGAAAAATGGAAGGCGGACCTCCCCCCCATTTCCGCGCTGCTGCCGCTCGAGTTTGTCGACAACATGGACACCGAGAGCTGGGCGTACACCAAGGCGCAGACCACGCTGACGCTCCGCTACCTCAACGTCCGCGCCCTGCTTTTCCGCAAGATCCTGGAGCGCTCCCTCGACCACTTTGCCAAGTCGAGCACTTCGGCCGTGCCCCCGAGCGGCTCGTTGCCCATTGGCCAGATCATGATCCAAGCCTGCGCGGACGCGTGTGTCCAGACCATCGCCATCATCCGAACGACGGTCTCGAAGCCGCAGGTGCTACCTGCGTGGTGGTATACGGTATACTACGGTAAGTCTGACAGTGATGGTTTTGAATGATTGGGGAACCCTGCTAAATCGTCATGGTGACCAAAGTCTTCAATTCGGCCTTGATCCTGTTTGGCGTCATCTGCCTGCAGACCCTGGGCAAGACGAACTTCGGGACCAAACCCGCGGCCGAGCTGGTGGCCGTCATCCAAAGCGGCCTCGAGGCACTGGAGATCATTGGGAAGGAGAGGCGCATTGTCCGCCGGTGTTCAAAGTACCTGACCAAGATCATCCTCGTGTCGACCTTGCTGGGTAAGAACCCCTTTTTGTTGTATACGCTCTCAACGGCGGCCACGTAAAGGATACAATGCTAATACTGTGCCCGGTGGGCCCCCCAGTGCGGAACCACGCGTCAGTGCAACAGCTTCCCGCCGGGGTCACGGCGCTGATCAATTCCCTGCCCAACGGAAATCCTCCCCCCTCCACCAGTGGCGGAAATACACCCTCGCCGCTGCAGACGGATTTCGGACAGTTCTTGATCGACGAGGACTACGCCTTCTTGGATGTCTGGACGGACCTTGTTCAGGACACCTCGACCGCATTCCCCAATGCTTGACACGTTGCTAGACCAGGTGTGAGGGGAAGGTTGCCCGGGTGTCATGTGTAAGGCCGTGTAAAAGGAAAAAATGTTACTATAGAACAGGAAAAGGGCTGGAAAAGGAGCGTGGAAGGACGACGAACATGAGCAGATTATGCTCCCGACTTGCAGCCCGCTACTTTCCCTTCACATATATAATGACTATGACATCGAGCAGCGCTATGGAGACGGAAGAGTAGCTGCTCCTCTCTTCTGCCTTGACAGGCAAAGACCTCTTCGTGAGCGAACTTCGCTCAACGATCAAACTTCCCACATCGTGGTTTTACTTATAGTAGCTCGTACGTCTGTCACTCCTGCCGGATTTCGTTGTCTGACTTGGAATGCAAACAGCTTCCGGATCCAGCAATCGGGGGTCGCTGTCCGCTTCGCGCGTAAAGCGCAAGGTACTGCGGCGACCACAGCTGTTGTCGGTGCGCCTTAGGGGCAGGCCCTACAAAGATGAACCGCTCGGGGGACGCCTCGTCAACCGGCCGCACGACGAAAGGGTCCTCGCGCAGGTCGGTCAGGATGAGCTTGTCACCAGGCCTGCAGCTCTCCGAGACGAGGACGCGACTCCAAGCTGACCCCGGAGCTGCGCCACTCTCGTCGATGCGATGCGTTGCGACACCGCTCGCACAAGGCTTCTGGCCGGGTTGACGAGACCGGACGACCGTCCACCCGCGTCATGGAATTGGGAAGCCGGCCCGAGTCGTATATTTTGCAGAATCTCGGGATCCTCTGGCTCCAATCGGTGACCCAAGAAGGTAATCTCAGATCGCGGTGTCGTCGACTTTCGTAAAGCACCGGAAGCGCCTTGAATGCGTTCGTTTCAACAAAAAACAAGACATAAATCCTGAAACACCTGTGATAGTGTTTTCCTGTAGTCGATGTGGAAACGAGCCCACGGAAGCGTTTGGCGTCTGTGGATCCAGTATGTGAGAGGATCCCCAGCGCTCCATAGATGATGGTCCCTTGGATCAGACCAGTTCAGCCACCAACTTGAAATGAAGAGGCGAAGAGGCGTTCCAACCGCGCCAGAGTCGGTCTGGGCCATCTCACCCATCTCATTCCTGAAGTCACCGTTGCCATACCGATTGATCAGATCTATGCTGTCCAGATGATTTTCCGGATCCTCGAGCCGGTAATCGCCTTCAATGTGGAAAGCAATGTGGCTCTTAAGTCGTTCAAATGTCATGAGAGATTCACCGAAGGCCACGAACAACTCCCGGGCGGCGACTTGGCCATGCAGGCGAGGGAGACAAGGCTGGCCCGGCGCAGCTTTCAGAAAAGAGGTCGGTGGTCGGGCGAGACAACGGAGTATCCAAGTCCGTTGTCTATCGTGGGCGTATACGAAATGGGGGCGCAGCTCCTTCTCATATACAGTGGCTGTGATGTTTGGGGTCGATAGGAGCGGACCTCGGACTTACGTGGTAGTAGGAGTGCGATTCAGAACGAAGCTGACTACTAAGCCAGGCAAATGACTGTAACTAGAAAGTCCGTGAGTATCCCTGAATATGTTAACTTACTCTGTTGGGTCTATAGCGCTCTGTAAGAGCTACTAGATCCAACGGAGCCTCTCATCCCGAACCTTCTTCATATGCAGGGTTCTTCGGGCACCCTTGCCCTTCCTCCACGGACCGTCCCGAAATCGTAACAGTAACAGGGAAAGTTGACGATATTTTATTACACCTTCCCTCGTAGAGGGCCCCATCGGCGTTCTCATTCAGTGTCGTTACAAAATTCCGAGTTGAGTGTCCAGTTCATTCTGCGACGCTGCGACGCCGCGCTCAATCTTCTTCAGTGCTTCGAGTCTTTTCTCGAGGACCTCAAGTGCCTCTAGTTCATTAATTTCCTCTTGTGGCATAGGATTTGGTGCAGGGCTTGTTGTGAGTATTGTCGTCTCCTCGATTTCTCTTTGACAATTCTCAAGCCTTTCATGGAAATCCACCCCCCTACTAGCTGCTCTGCCTCTTATCTTTGCTTCTAGGTCCCGCTCTCGGTTTCTGAGTTGTGTAAGTCGAGTTGGGGCTTGCGCATGCCGGTTCGTTTCCGCTAGGATGTTTTTTTTTCTCGCCTCGAGCTCCTCCTTTCTCTTCTTGCGTGCTTTAAGTACAGTTTTGGGCTCCTTCCCGAGCTCTCGAATGCTACGTAGAAGACCGTTCATGGGCTCTTCAAGATCCCGGATCCCTTGCGTTACATTTTGTGTAACTTGCGTTATGTCGGCCATTTTCGCTACTGTGTACTAAATCCGGAAATTAGCAAGACCGATCTCTTTTATAGCGTCAAAGAAAAGTGAAGAGTAACTAACCCAAGTTATGAAGACTCTTCAGTCTTGTTAGTAGGCTTCAGTGACTGGCTTCGGATGCCGTAGCCGCTCCTAAATGGAGAAATATAAATAAGGATCGTATCGACGGGGGATAAAGTATAAAGTTTTAGCCGCTTACACCATTTGAACACCACCAAGAGTCCAAAGACCTATGAGGGTTAAGTAATGGTTCTGTAACAAGCAAGCCTATATAATACTGAGGAGGATAAGTCTCGGGAGGCGAAAATCAGACTCAGTGAAATTCGTCCAGCTTATATAACAGTTGACGCCTTCGTCCCTGGAATAATTGTGTACTCTGGATGCACTGCTGCCTGTTTTTGCGACGGCTGTAGTGATCGGCAAGATTGGGCATTTATTTGTACATTGCAGATTGAAAGCCAGTCAGTCGAAGTCAGCCTCGAAGCATGCCCAATATAAGCGACCCTCCCTTTTGAGAAAAAAAAACCTCACGTCTCTATTGGATAGACATCGCACCATCATGTGCACTACTAGTAGTACGAGTAGTACAGCAGTACGCTAACGACCGGTGAGCAACAAGGCGGCGGCTTCACCCTCGTCTAAAGGTTTCTCCAAACCAAAGTCTGGGGGCCCTTTCTCTCGGGTTTCACGAACTCAAGGCCCTACGAGAGCTTTGTAATCATTAGAAATTTGATGCACCACTACCTGGCAGGAGAGGGTGCACAGTGTCAATTTGGGAAGGGTTCTTCGTCTGTATCCCAGTGTATTCGTCTAAATATTTTCCTGCGATTAGACAAACATAGGACGTATATCTAAATGCGAAAAATATATCATGAGACTACGTCGATTATATTGTTCTAAGATAGTGATGGTTCTCAATCGTCTTGAACGTCAAGGGTCGTAATTTAACGGAGTACCTACCGTTCGTTCGTGACGGTGGACTAACACGACTCCGCCTACCTCGCTTCTCTCCTCTTACTTTTTGGCAATTCGGCTCTTGACTGCAAATCAACTCTCTCGCAAAACAGAGGTTCAAACCACAAGTTGCTAAGGTGTCTCATTGGTAGTTCGATGGGAATATGTGCAGATGAAGTCGATCCAGAGACACCTTCTGCGGTCAGGATAGCGCAAGCATCGCAGCGCGTTTTCGCGCTGAGTCGTGACAGGGATCGACACGCCGCTGCAAACGAGAACTGCATCTAGGACTGCGTCGCACCACGCGTAGGAGACTGCCTCATACTGAAGCACCACGCCACTACTGCGATACTGACGCCGTCGCCATCCAACAAGTCCACATCCAACAGATCGCACCTCACAAGATCATCACCACACTCGGGATGGATATCGAGCACCCGAGTCTGCCGACGTCTTAGCCGGTTCTAGAGTGGATGTGCGACGTCCCGAGCGATGGATTTCATCCTTCCCTGGGAGACAGAAGGGGCTACTCCAGACAGCGTCCACGGAGCTGGGCAACCAGAAGATCAATCAGACTTGTTCACATTTCGAGAGTTCGGCTGTTGAGCTTGGGTGTTTCCCAATTGTCCTACAAATTCTTCGAACATTCGGACCAGAAGCGGTGGGAAGTGGATACTTCAGCTTTGCGATCAGTCGTAACTCTTGAGACGGGAAGTGAATATGCTCTGCTGGGAACCGGATGTAAGCTTGCGAAAATCATCTTCTACGAGGCTGTGGAAGCGGGACAGCTTCCGTCCGATGGCGATCCAGAAGCCCAAGTCGAACTGATAAAGGGCTTGCGGCGGCCAATGATTGCCTGCTCCCTTTGCGTCACGCTTTGAGCAACGGTGTTAAGCAATACCCTAATGGGCTTAAAGGGAGCCATAACCGAACTGGACAATATAACCAAATACTGCAGAGCTCGAGATGGACCACATACAAGTACCGATTTGATATACTGTACAGAGTACCCGTTACTCATCTCCCTTTCCATCACAAGGATCAGCACGTGTGCACATAGCAATAGCAAGCTGCCAGCTCCAGCGGCAGATGCACCCGGCGGAGACGGTTACAAGGACACCATTTCTATTGAAGGTCCAGAACGATTCTTCCCTTGACCTTGGCGTCCTTCAGCCGCTCAAACGCCTCACCTGCCGCATCCATCGGGAGCCGCTCTGTCATGGGCAGGATCTGGTGGTGTGCTGCAAAGTCCAGTGTGTCTTGAATGTCTTGGAGACGGCTGGCATTGACGCCCGTCACGGTGTAGCCGGAGTTGATGATCTCGAGCAGTTGGAGCGGGAGGGTGAAAGGCCCCGCCGGTAGACCAATGCACACGAGGGTGCCTGCTGGGCCCAGCATCTTGCAGGCCTGCTCGTACGACGACGGGCTACCTGTGGGCACGAGCACGCCACGGGCGCCCCCTCCCGTGATGCGGCGGACCTCAGCGGGGATATCGGGTGCGGAGCGGAAATCAACGAAGCGGTGCGCGCCCATGAACAGAACAAAGTCCTCCTTGTCGGCCGAGTCGATCCCCACGACTTGTAGCCCCATCTTGCGCGCGAGCTGCACGCCCAGGTGACCCAGGCCGCCGCCCGCGCCGGCGATGACGATCCAGTCGCCTGCGCGAGCGTCGACCTTCTTGAGCGCCCGGAACATGGTGACGCCGGCGCACAGCAGCGGGCCGACCTTCGCCAGGGGCAGGCTGTCCGGGATGCGCGGGGTCGTGGTAGCCTGCGACGCGACGTACTGCTGCAGCGAGCCCGGCGAGGCGTGGCCGTAGATGGTCCGCTCGGCGCAGAGGTGCTCGTCCCCGCGCCGGCACGAGTCGCACTGCCCGCACACCCGGCGCAGCCACTTGGTGCCCACCCGGTCGCCCACCTTGAACTTGTCGCCCACCTTGGCGCCCACGGCGACGACGTGGCCGACACCCTCGTGGCCCGGCGTCTGGTTTCCCCCCGTCATGCCGAAGCCCAGTTGGCCCCATTCGCCGTATGCAAAGGCCACGTCCGTGTGGCAGATGCTGCTATAACACAGGCGGATGAGGACCTCGTCGTCGCCGTACGAGGGCACGTCGGTCTCTTGAATCAAAAATTTGGCGTTGGGTCCGGCATCCTGGACGACGACTGCCTTCTGGCGCCTCGGGGCGGCCAACTCTGGTTCCGTAGAGCCCATTTTCTAGGCTGTTACTGGAAGCCGAATATCGTGAAATTTTGTCTTTCGGTGGTGATTAAGAGGACCTGGACTGGCCAGACACGATTCGGCGGCCCTTATGGTCTCAATCCACTGAACTCTTCCGCAGCCTTGTCGCGGATACCAGACGAGGCTCCGATCTGGGTTCTGGCGGATGCCATGCATCTTCCTATTGGACAATCGCGCACCTCTTCAAAGTGTTGGATCCACCAGGACCCACTTGTTGAGACCGCGATGGAGAAGGTGGATGTAGAAAGAGGTCACTAACTCTCTACGCATTGTACTTGCATGCGTTGAATATGTCAGATCGAGCAAGGGAATGCTTTGATGCGCAGAAGAGAAGTTTACTCGGCCAGTTCTGCATAAATTAAAATGGTACAAACATGGTTTGCTCGCTGTAGACAGGCGGTGGGTGCTCACGGGCACAGACAGACGTGCTTGTTGAACATGAACTCCTCTACCCCGTATCCTCCTCCGTTGCTCCCCCAGCCCGAGCCCTTGTACCCGGTGACAGGAGCAGTTGAGTTCACGTGGATCGTGTGCGCATTGACTTGGACCTGGCCAAAGTCCAAGTCGCGAGCCATGCGCAGCGCACGGGCGTAGTCCTTTGTGAAGATCGACGCTGACAGTCCAAAGTCCGTGTCATTTGCCATTTCCACGGCCTCGTCGTCCGTAGTGAAGCTGGACAGGGAGGCTGCGGGTCCCCAAGTCTCCTCCCTGTTGATGCGCGAGTCGGCTCTGACCTTCGTTACAATCGTCGGCTCGAGAGAAGAGCGGCCCGTCATCTCATTCTTCCCGATGAGCAACTCTGCGCCCTCGGCCACCGTCTCTGCGATCAGGTCGTGCACGCGACGAGCACTCTCGGCCGTTATAGCGGATCCTCCCGATGGTGTGGCCCTCATGGCCTGGGTGAGTTCCTCCACAAAGGCGTCTTTGACTTTGTTTTGGACCAAGAGTCTTTCTGTGCCGAAGCAGACTTGGCCGTGGTTTGCGATAACTGCGAGCAATGTGGTCAATGGCGAGGCGACATGGCGAGAAACGACTTTGCTTACTTCCAAACACGCATTTTTCCGCCGCCGCTTTCAGGTCCGCATCCTCCAGGATGATGGCAGGACTCTGGTCACCCAGTTCCATCAAAACGGGCTTCAGGTATTTGGCTGCAACGCTGCCGATGATCTTCCCGACGTGAGGGCTTCCGATGAATTCAATCTTCCGCAGCAAAGGATGGCTGATAATTGCCTCGGTAGCAGCCGGGGCGTCCGTCCGCGAGCACTGAATCTGGTTGAGTACACCATTGGGCAGTCCAGCTTCCTTGAAGACCTCGAGGATGAGCTGGTGGGACCAGGGCGACAACTCTGACGCTTTCAGAACAACTGTGCAGCCAGCGGCGAGGGCGGCACTGATTCCTCGGCATGCCATGATCATGACGGCGTTCCATCTGACGAAGGATTAGCAACGCGGGAAGAGACTCGAGGAGAGCGGTGATATCTCACGGCGGGATGATCATGACCACACCCACGGGCTCCTTGAATACCAGAGACGTAATCAGAGGGTCGTCGGGTGGAGGGATTCGGCCTGCAAGGGCCATTGCAGTTGCGGCGTTCTGTCGAATCATGGTGGCCGCCAGCGAACAGTCGAACCTGGGCCAGCCATCCTCACAGCTCGTCTCCAGGGTACATCGCTCCGTCGCCTCCGCCACCTTTTGTTCGAGGATCTCTGCGGCGCGGTGCAGAATATCACGGCGCTTGGTCATTGGAACTCGCTTCCATGACTGAAACGCCTTTCCTGCCGCCTCGACCGCTTTGACGCCCACCTCGGCAGTGGCGCTTTGGGCATAGTGGACGACATTACCAGTCTTCCCCTGAACGACAGCGAAGTTCTGCGATTCGGGCAGCGAGACTGCTTCTCCATCGACCACGCATGGTATGACAGTGCTGGAAGTCGATTGTTGGGTGAACATGGTGACTTGTCATTCGCCAGTCATGTGCTGCAACGGCAGAACATAGCTCCTGGAGTCTGTTCCACCACATATAGCGGCTTTGTCCATATCTGACCGATGTTTTTTCCTCCTCTCTGAGAGCAATCGAGAGGATGGAGAGATTCCAGCGGAGAAGGCTGGCCAACCGGAATCTGCGAGGCTTGCCCCGGAGTGGCGGACCCCGGAAAGTCCCCCATGGAGCCCCGGAAAGACATCCCCGAGCCAATCTGCTAAACATGGGTGAACAGCCTTCTGGAATGCTTCAAAATGGACTGGATGACGCTACCGGTGGCAGTGACGACGAGTCCAGGCCGCCAAATAGAACTCTTCTCGACTGTCTGCAAGGCTGGGCGATATGTCTTCGGCGAACAACCCTCCAGTTAACGGTCAATTTCCGCTGTAAATCTGAATCTCGATAAGTCGGTAGCTGACAATTTCATAGGCAGTGGTGGACCCAACGCCCGTCACGGTCAAAAGCTCAAGATTGTGATTGTGGGAGCAGGTATTGCGGGCTTATCACTAGCTGGACTTCTAGGACGTTCCGGACACAATGTGATTGTCCTTGAAGGAGCCCCAGCAATTGCAGAAGTGGGTGCAGGAATCACCTGCTCTCCCAACCAGACTCGTCTGCTGACTCGATGGGGTCTGGACGGTCGGCTGCGCAAGCACACCGATACCCTGTCGAACGTCATCTTGAGACGGTGGGAGAATGGCGAAATCCTCGGCAAGGCACCTCTCATGCCCCAGGTGGAACAGAAACACGGTGCACCTCATTACGTGATACACCGTGCGGACCTGCATGGTGCATTGATGGAGGACGCTGAGACGGTTGCCGAGGTTCGTGTTAATAGTATGGTTGTCTCGATTGACTTTGAGAAGCCCTCTGTGACCCTGCAGGATGGTACAGTGGTCGAAGCCGACCTGATTGTTGGCGCAGATGGTTGGTTTCTGTCAAACATTTCCTTCTGAACGTTTTCTAAGCTTCTGTCAGGAATGAAATCGACCTGCCGGAGGATCATGTACGAGAAGCTGGGCCTGGTGGACAAGCCTACCCCAACTGGAGATGCCGCGTTTCGAGCTTGCATTCCCGTCGAAAAGGTCACAGATCCTGATTTGCGTGAATTTGTGACCAACCCCCTTGCGACGAGGTGGATGGGCGGAGGCTGTCACATCCAAGGGTACCCAATCCGACACGGCCGTCTCTACAACCTGGTTCGTGCGACCTCCTATGTGACTGAGGGAGATGAGGTAACTAACCCGTGCCTAAACAGGTGATGTGCCACCCCGACCCTGGTTTCACCGAGGAATCTTGGACTACAAAGGCGTCCAAGCAAGATATCCTAAATCAGTTCGGTTCGTGGGATGGTCAATACCTGCGCAGATTGGTGGATCTGATACCAGAGGACAATGTCCTGGTGTGGCATTTGTGCGTGCATGATCCCCTGCCCACGTGGGTGATGGGCAAAGTCGTCTTGCTCGGCGATTCATGTCATCCCATGCTTCCATACGTTGCGCAAGGAGGAGCGCAAGCTCTTGAAGACGTTGCGGTCCTACATCTCGCCTTGGACCAGCTCTCGACGATCGATGACCTGCCCGTGTACTTGAAGGCATACGAATATGCACGCAAACCGAGAGCCGAGCACATCATGAGTATTGCCGGAGTCAATCGCGATGTCTTGCATCTGCCCGATGGGCCAGAGCAGCAAGAGAGAGACCGAAAGTTCGCTGCCGTCGCACAAGGAGGCGAGAATCCCGACCTTCTGGGCCACGCGGAGATTCAGCGATACTTGTGGGGTCATGACCCTGAGAAAGAGTACCTTGACAACGCCGAATGTAGGTGTCTATTCTTCTGTTGATTGACGACTTGCCAATTTCTGACCGAGGCATTTAGCACTGCTTGAGCAAGCTCGCAAGTACGTTCAGAAGCAAGAGCAAATAGCTACCAATCCATAAACGCTCGGATGAGGCCGAAGCTTCTCAAGGAAAATCAGAGTCCCGTGGATGGAGACACTGTTGTTGCATGCGGCAGGCTTGTCCGGTCGCAGCGCCAGCCTGGGCCGTCTCTGTAGCGCCGGCGTGGGAGGAGCAGTTGTCTCGTTGGGTCCTCTAAGAAACTAGGATTGGACAGTTAATATACTTAAAAGATAGAAAAGTAATGTCCTAGGGTACCTATGATTGTGTTTATGAAGCACGAAGTTATCCAGAAGCTCACGCTTGCTGTAGTAGCGGTGCGACGACGACTTCGAAGGACGTTGCTCCCACTCAAGTGACAAGGCTGCGCTGCAAGGGGTGCCTGCGTAACTTGCATCACATCACAAGTTGACGTCTTGACTGTTTCGAAGAGAAGAACAGTGGTTGTCATCGATCTGCCGCTAAGAGGTGATTGAGAACAGCTCTTCTCCTTAAGCTGCCTGAGATTTTGCAGGGACAAGGCCCATTCGACATCAAACCGACCTTGCTCAACGCCTCTATTCCTTGACGCCCTTTGAGGAGAATACCAATATTGCCAACATTTCAATGTTACTTCTTCAACACAGGATCGTCTCTACTTAAATGACGTTAGGTTGAGATTCTGGGGATCTGGCCTTTGTCCTTTTTCCCTCATGTGGACAGTGCTTCCACTGGTCAGCTGCAAAACGGGCGGTGATATGTAAGCCACAATTTAGCCTCCTGGCCTGTCTTGAAGGACAACTCAGCCCCTCCACCGCCACAAAATCCACCTAGCCTTCTCGCCCAGCTTCGGGAGACAATGAGTTGGCAAGGCAGCCACCATCCCACATGAGGTACAGCCTGCCTCCGAGGGCTACTGCGCCACTCCCTGTTCCCCCTCTTTCTCAACAGGCACACGCCTTCAGAGCAAAGGATGTTCATATTTCAATCTGACAGACATCTTCGTCCTGTCTTCCTTATGGCAAAAATATGACATCAGGTAGATCATGCAGCCTAGTTTTCCCGCTGTTTGGCCACGACCATGTCTCGGTTCTCACGCTTCAAGCCGAACAGTTGGGGTCAGAACAAAGCTCAAGCAACCCTTGCCGACTCCGACATTGAGAGCTTTCCTTCTGGGATCAAGATCCTTTTTGACCCGCCAGATGCAGCTTGCGATATCGTTTTCGTCCACGGCCTGACCGGCGATCGAGAGCGCACATGGACGAGCCCCATTACTGGTGCGAGTTGGCCAAGAGACTTCTTGCCGGTCTCTTTGCCTGATGCGCGGGTTTTGACGTTTGGTTACGACGCATATGTTGTACGGAAGCACGGATCAGTGGCACAAATCGACATTTCACACCACGCAAACGACCTTCTGAATGCTCTCGCCAACGAGAGGCAAGGACACGACTCAGCTACTAGGCCTCTCATCTTCGTGGCTCACAGCCTCGGCGGCGTCCTGTGCAAAGATGCCCTCCGCATCTCCGAGGCTAGCGGAGATGCGAATTTGGCTGCCATTGTCCACCACACCCGCGGTATTGCTTTCATCGGAACGCCACACGGAGGTAGCTGGCTCGCTTCTTGGGCAAAGACTCCTGCGGCGATACTTGGTCTCGCGATGCGCACGGATCTGAGTCTTCTCTCATTGTTGAAACCCAACTCTGAAGTACTGTCACGTATTCACGACGATTTCCTCTCCATGATCCGACGCCGAGGGTCACAACACCACGCAGTAGAACTGGCGTGCTTCTATGAGACTTTACCTCTAGTCGGGAGAACCCAAATCGTTGACCAACTGTCCGCCACAATACCTGGCTTTAATAACATATCAATTCATGCAGACCACAGAGACGTGGCGCGCTATCACTCCGCCGAACACCCGGGTCTCAAAAGTATTGTCGGCATACTTGAACGTTGGGCGCGACCTCCTGTTACAGCTGGCGGCTTGAGTGCTGACGCCAAAGCATTTCTTGAGACGCTCTCCTTTTCGGAGATGGGTGTTCGACAAGCTACCATTGAACACGCCCATGCCGGCACGTGTCGCTGGATGCTGGAAGACCCGCACTACAAAGCCTGGGTAAATTGTCAGGACCTCGATAATTCGCACGGTCTCCTATGGATCAAAGGGAAACCAGGTTCGGGAAAAAGCACACTCATGAAATACATTGCATCTGAGGCTCCCAGGCCTAAAGGACTGGTGAGACTTGCTTTCTTCTTCAATGCCCGTGGTGGTGAAGAAGAACGCAATGCGCAGGGGCTTTTCAAAACTTTCCTCCACCAGCTCGTGCAAGAGTCTCCTGCCATGACTAGTCGCCTTTTAACGCATTTTAGAAGGAAGAAGGCTAAAGTCGGCAACCGCTCCATCATCTGGAGCCCCGCAGAGCTGCGAGACATATTCTTTGACACAATCCGATTCAATTCCAGAACCCCGGTTGAGATCTTCGTCGATGCTCTGGACGAATGTAAGGAAGAAGAAGTCCGCACCATCATTGCTGCTTTCGAAAGATGTGCAGCCGAAACCGTGGAGCGGGGTTCTCGAAATATAAAGATCTGCTGGTCAAGTCGACACTACCCTCATATCAGCATCGATCACGGATTTGAGATCAGAGTTGAGCTTGAGAACCTTGGAGATATAACCCTATACGTCCAGCGTCATATGGCCAGGTCAAAACGGCAGCAATCGTTTCGATCTCTAGAGGAGAAGATCGTCGAAAAGTCCAAAGGTGTCTTCCTCTGGGCCGTTCTCGTGGTCCACAGAATATGTAAACTTGCCGATAAAGGTCTTCCCATTGCCAGAATCGAGAAGGTCATCCACGACCTGCCATCAGAGCTGAGCAAGCTCTACTCGGAGATATTTTCGACCCTCGACCCAGAACTGGCAGAGGATACTGCTAACCTGATGTACCTTGTCCTGTACGCAGCCAGGCCCCTAGATACCGACGAACTTCGAATCGGCATCGACTTCATGAGAAGTATCTGTCCTTCCTCGTTGGAAGACTTTGCAGCATTGCCAGAGCAGGTCTCTTATTTTCGTAACTTCGTTACTGAGCTCTCTGGAGGACTTTTCGAGGTCATCGACTCTGGTATTCCTATCGGCACTCAGCATCCTGATCTGGAAGAGTCACTCAACGTAAAGGATTCTGTGTTTGATTGGGACGAGGGCTCTCGGGAAGCATGGAATAGATATATGGCACGTGCAAACTCGAGACGTCCGCTAGCTGAGAAGCAGGACATGGCCAACATTGTCGAAACCAGATGGGTGGTTCAGGTCATTCACGAAACAGTCCGGGGCTATTTGATGAGAGAAGGCTTGTGTCACCTCCCCGGGAAGTCTTTGCCTATCCCAATGGACGCTCGCACCGGGCACCTTCACCTCTATCAAATGTGTCGTCGTGTTCTAGCTACCAATGAGATGAGCTGCGTTTTCCCCAAGAAGGAGTGCGCTGCGCTCCTTCGCTGCATTCCAGATCTTGTTCGGTTAGGTTTACGATGGTTGGAAACGACAATCATCCAATACGCCCTTGAAAATATCTTCTTGCACCTGAGGAGCTCCCTGTTCTTTGGCCCGAAAGATCAGTGCGGGCCTCAATGGGACTTGCTCAGCCCAGCCATTCAACGCGATGTGCACTTAACAGAAATCAGGGAAGCCCTATTGCGATGGGAATGCATTCGAGCTTCTACGTCCATCCTCCAACCGATGAGAGGGACGGCTTCCCACTTGCAAAATAACAACTTTGACTCGATCATGGATCGAGATTTGTCGCCTGTACTGGCGGCAACGGGCCTCAGCCTGGCGGATTTCCAGGCGTGCGCTTCCAATTTTCATGTGGCTCTCCTGACCCTTCACCGCCACTCGTTTTCTTTTGGGGATTCAGGCTTGAAGGCAGCTATTGCTGCTGTAGCACATCACGGCACTGAAGAAGAACTGCGTGTCCTGCTCAAAGATGCTGATCCTTCGGCATGCCTCGGAAGTGAGGGACAAGGGGCACTTTTGATGGCAATTGAATCGCGCAGAACGTCGATTGTGGAGATATTACTGTCGAAAGGCGCCCCGGCAAACCCACCTACTCATGGTGGTGAATTTCGCAAAAAGACTCCCCTGTCTGTGGCCATAGAGTGCCGTGACGTTTCGGTGCTCTCTAAGCTGCTTTCGTATGGTGCCGACGTGAGCGTGACAGCCAATGGTTTTTTACCACTGGCACTCGCCGCCTCTCTGGGGTACAAGGACGTTGTATACCTTCTGCTAGACCGCGGTGGACGGACCATGACAGATTTTTCCGTCTTGAAAAGGGCAGCTAAAGTTGCAATGCTCGGAGGGCACCAAGAAATTGCCACAATACTCATGGAAAGGGCTGCTTGCCAGTAGACCGAGCGCACGAAACAAAGGGGTCACGAAACACTGCAACGCTTGGCTCTGGATGTGGCCCAGCGACACGACGAGACCAATTTGTCTACAGGACAAGATTACGCTCAGTTCCTTCACATTCGTGACAGAAAATGATGTTTGCCATCAATTGAAGGGTGGTAGGAGCGAGCAGCGGCTCATTAGGTGAAGCCTTCAAGGCCTAGATGAGATGTGGTTTTTTTGGGATGTACGCCCTCATCCTCCCTTTCGGATGAGCAAGAATAAGAACCAATGAGGGAGCAATGGCACTACAATGCAGCGAGAAGAGTGGTTGTATATAATTTTGGCAAAGTCTCGGGACGGATCATGGCTCTCTGCTGACCTGGGGCATGCTGCTGTGATACCGGGTCAGCCACAGCAATGGACACAGTATACGATCTGTCCAGCTTTGTAACAGTTGTTCGCACAGCCCATGTACATTCCCTGTCTTGTACCGCACACAGCGGAATCCCTTCACCGGGAATAAGCTTCAGTTAAGCTCCTCGGGTAGCGGTACGGATAGAGCCTCTCTAGGAAACTTAATCGTGTCGTACCTGACTTGTATCCCTCGCAAGGCTGCACGCAATAAGATCATATCGGACCGTCTGCCGACGCAGGCTGCCGGTGTGAGACCAAAACCGCTCTGTTCAGACTCTCTGCCGTCTGTCTGAAGAATACTGCCGTCCCTTGTTGTAAAAGGCAAGGCTGCGAGTTGCGAACCTATCCGGTCCTGCCAAGTTAATACGAGGCTGAAAGTGCGAGCTACCTGTGTCCCGCCCCCGTTTTCTCTCGTTTACAAGCAATCACCACCACCAGTTTCTGTCCTGATCTTGCACAAAAGATCTGACCATCACAAAGAGCACATCTGTCGAGAAATGGAGCCCGACGTCCTCCAGTTCCGGTCATGGGGCTTCGAGCTGTACGTGCCGCCGACGCCCTTCGCCGCGCCGCCCGAGCAGCGGCCCCGCTTCGTCATGCTCGACGACCTCAACGACGTCTTCTACGACGTCGACTACGAGACACCCCTGCTGGGCAACGCCACGCCCTGGGAGACGCTGCGCCTGCACCAGGTGCGGGACCCGGCCATCGCCTTCCCCCCCGAGGAGCAGGACATGCTGCACCTGGAGCGATGCGCCACGGGGCTCCTGGTCTCGATCCAGGCCCGCCACGCCCCCGACCTCATCGCCGCCGTCACGCTCGGGCGCGTCCACGTCAAACCCCTCCCCCGGGAATTCATGAACTGGTCCGCCCTGCGCGGGCTGAAAGGGCCCCAGCTCCCGGCCGAGATGCGCGCGGGCTTGCTGCGACGGGTCTGGGACCGACGGGGCCGCGCCGATCCTCAGCCCGTGCCCTTGGTCACGCCGGGTCGCATCCTGAACGACATGCCGCGGCTCTGGCACCGTGACGGAGCCGTGCTGAACGATGAGCTCGATCGACGCTTCGTAGGCGCGAGACCGTTGGGGCCTCCCTCGCGCTGGAAGGTGTCGGGCCTGGATGCGGAGCAGATCCAAAAGTCCAGGGAGCGGGCGGCGGCGTTCGTGGAGAACTAGTATGCTTCAGCAGAACGGCGGAAGTGTACTTTAAAAGGCGAAGGCGTTGGTCACTGCTATTGTTGCCCTTTTGCCATTCGTTCATCTTTCAGTCGCATATAAGGCTTTTTAAAGAACTATGTCACTCTGAACACGTCCATCCATATACCACTTCGTGAAACCCCCTCCAGCCGACGTAAGTAGCCCCCCCCCTTTTCTCCTCCCGGGGATGCAATCAAACCAGCGTAATCTCCCTCAAGTCGGCCGCCACCAACTTTCCCGAATCTGGCGTGACCGAAAGGCGATTGTGCCACGCATCCGTCTCAACTAAGCCAATCCGCCTGAAAGTGTCGGCGTGACCATGGTCCGCGTCCGCAACCCGATCCAACAACAAGAATACATCGCCTTCCCGGCCGCCATCATCAAAGCTCGCTACCCTCAAACACCAGCACCGGTAGTCCTCCTGTACAGCCACATCCGGCACATCCAGCGTCACCAAAACATTCACGGCCGAGCAGAACCCCGCCTTGACACCCACCTCCTCCCACGCCCGCGTCCTCACCCCGGGATGCCAGCTCTTGTCCACCAACACTTCCTGCAACATCCCCTTGAGCCGAATCCTCCCCCCGCTGCTCACTTTTCCATATGTCCCCGGTAGGACTTCCTCCACCTCCGCGGCCCCTAGGACTTCCAAGTTTGGCGCTTTGCAAGACTCCTTGACGCGAATATCCACGTACGTCAGCCGGCCTTGTACGCTCGCCCAGCTCCAGCTGGGCGTAGGATCGCCCTGGTAGCGCAACAGCGTCTCTGTGCGATTGAACCGCTTCCAAAGAATGCCTCGGACGAGGTCCTGTTGCCATAGGCCCGCGGCGTAGGTCAGGTTGAAAGTCAGGCTAAGGGTCTGGGCCATGCCAGCGACGGCGGGAAAGCGGTCGAGCCGGTCGTAGAGCTGGCGTTCCGAGTACGCCGAGACCCATTCGTACCAGCTTCGGAGGATGGCGTCGCGGACGGTTGCCGTCTCGCCTTGGTGCTGTTTGTCGGACGTGAATGCATCGGGGGCTAGAGCTGAAGCGGCGTTCAAGACATCCCGCCACTGCTTCTTCCACGCAATGTTGTGGTAGCTCTGATCCTGCGCCATCTGGATTCCTTCGGCGCACTCCCACACCATGCCCTCATCCGTGTAGTGGAGCGTGGCGGGACTGACGAGGCGTTCTTGGAACACCCAGCCTCGGCTGGCGAGATATTTATCCTCCAGGTCCAGTGCCGGCAACGGCAGGCCGACATATAGGTCCTGCGTCTCATACCCTCCGCCGTCATCGTTCGTAAACACCACGCGGCCGACTCGGACGGCTTGCGCTGTGGCCCGTCCCAGGATGCCCCAATCGCTATGTTCGCTGCTGGAGGCACTGATATTGAGTCGTGACTGCGCGTAAATCTGCGTCATGGCGGCCGACTGTGTGGCCCAGTCGTCGTCGTCGTCCTGGATAATGCAGACCGAATCGATCCAGAGAAAGTCGAACTTGAGGTGCTGAGCGATGTGGATTGCGCCCTGAAGCGTTCGAGGGAATCGTCCAATGTCGATCCCGGCCTGATGGCTGGCGATAGTGAGGTCTGGGCGAGATGGATCGTGAGCTTGGGTCTTGAGGCGGGAGTGGGTAGAAGCACCCCAGGAGTAGGATACCGTGGCATAGGTGCCTCTTTCGTTCGCAGGAGGGAGGTAGAGAAACACTTTGTTGGTTTGTGCAAGCTGTGCGAGGTCGAGCACGCGGGTAGGGAGTAAGGACTGTTCCATACTGCACTTCGCGTGCTTGAAGAGACAATCCGCCACCCATGTTCGAGCTTGATGCAGTGACTGCTCGGAAGAGAAGTCAAGATCTGCAAGTCGAGGGAGCCTACGGCCGAGTCGGCTCGACGAGTCGTTCGTCTCGTGGACCAATCCCTCCGAATTTTGGTTTCGTGTCCAGAAGGCATCCTTTCTGAAGAGCTTCAATTCGTGCGAGGGCCGATTGGCGAGGTGCTCTCGCCTCCAAGCACAGAGTCGACAGCTAAGACTGTCGGAGGTGGCAGCAGGCTGCGCCAAACGCGAATCACCATCGTGTAACTCGTTTGCCGAGTATCCTCCTGACTCCGGTACCTGCGATTGTAAGAGATCGAAAACAAGATCATTACAGCTCTTGCACAGGGGCTCATCGATAGCAACCCTGATTTTGATGCTGGCGTTGGACCACAGGGAACTTGCATCATGCGAAGGAGGCTCAGGCGGAGATTTGAAGGGGGACCATGGCGTTTCTTGCAGCTTAGGTCGGGAACCAGTTGGTTGCTGGGCAAGTTTTGACACATGGTAATCAAACAAGCTGTATGCGCTCTGATCTGAACCTCCGGCTGCGGCTGGAGGAGCCATAGCAAGGTACTAGGAAAACTTGAAGGTATGAGGGTTTGGAGGGACTATACCTTCGTTGTTGGTTTTTGCGGAGATACTTAACTTGATCCAGATTCGCTCTCACTTGGAGGGTAGTCAGTGTAAACGATGACAAAATCTTGGTCTGAGCTTGAGCAAGTGAGTGTTCTTTGATGCTGTTCTACACCAACCGATAGAACTCTCGCCGGCTTTGTGTCACAGTTCGAGTCGCTTCTCTAGTAGAGGTTGTAATGGCATGGCCTTGAACAAATTTTTGACGTGCATCGGCATAGATTTCCTTTGCTTGATGCCAGAATCTTGTTAGCAGGGTCTAAATTGTGTATAGGACAATATTTGCGTACGAGCCAAGCATATCATCCCAGTACGAGGTGGGCTCGCTGAGCGGTATAGTTCTGTCTAGAAGGGAATTCAGTATCAAACCATACACCTGTGCCGTAGCTTTTCCAGTCACTAACAATTCCAGATTGATAATGTCTGAGAAAATGGTCTCGATGGCAACTTGGTCTCTATCCTGGCCAATTGATGTAGCAAACTGCGCAGCTGAGTGCGACGAAGGAGCGGCATGGAGCTAGAGGTGTTAGACAGTGCTCTGACGACGGCTTTAAAGTTGGGAAGTTCGTAGATCGTCGGTGGATAAGGAAGAGATCTGAGGTCTGTCCTACAACAGCGGCTGTGGATGCCCGTTCTCATCTCTCAGCTGGTATTTGTCCAAAGGCAGCATCCACACGGCGCAGGTCACTGTCGAAAACTTGAGGCTAGCAGGATCCGTGGAAATCACAAGGGTAGTTGGGACTCACTCGTCAGTAAAAGAGATCGCAACATCAATCAAGTCCTCTACTCGTCAAACTACCATGGCCCTCGGGAGATCACCTTCGAGATCGTGGGGAGCAACAAAGCCCCACCGTCATATCAGGTCCCGCACAGAACAGGGACTCCGCTAGTCTGTCTATTGACATGAACCAATTGTCTCAGACCAACCTTCGGAGCTTTTGTTACTGCGTAGCAGGCCGGTCCCAGCAAAGAGCAGGACAGCCTTCATCGCGTGCGCGGGCGACACGGCCAAAAAGAATGACGTCAGGTGCAAGCTTGTTTGGCGAGGCTGACTTGTTGAGAACGAGTACAGCCCTGCTACTATTCTTTGAATCATCCAGTCACTTGATTGAGATCTAGCATGGAGTAATTGAGCACACCAAAGATTTCAATGAATGGGTAACTCAATGCTCTCATCCCATGCACACACAATTTGCAGTCGTGTAACTTGGTGTGCCTTGATACTTACACGTTGTTCCTGCCCCTTTGTGCCATTTCTCCTCTTCTTCCACTCGTTCAATTCAGCATTCACGAAAACTCTCATCTTATATCAACAAGCAAAAGCATATTCCTGTGAACTATTTCTCGTATTAGAGTGCGTCGTGGTTGCCATTGAAACTTAACACTCACAGGCACAGCGCTAAAGCTATGGGTTGTTGCTGCTCAAAGGGGAGCAAAGCCAACCCATCGACCGCCTCGAAACCCATTACCTCCTCTAATTCAACTGCACTCACGACCGCGCCGAAGCCCATCGCCGTCTCTGATTCAACTGTTCGCACGAATCCCTCGGCACCGCATAAGAATGCCGTTCCAGTTCCTGAACCTATTGCTTCCAGCTCTCTCCATGCACCACAATCCGTCGGTAATTCGCATGGCGGGACCAGACACCAGGGCACAACCTTCGGAGTAACATCTCAAGCCTCCCAGCCCCGCCAGTCGTTCGCTACTAAGACAGCGCATGGTATGCATCACGTACATCCACCTCATTACACAATTCATGAAGCGATTGCGGCGAATCCCAATGGGATTCTAGCTCAGCAACAAGACGGAAGATTAGCTGCCAGTATACAAGCCGCAGCGACACCTTTCTCATTTCAACATGGTTGCTCGACATTCCATCACGGTACGCGAAGCTGTGGAAAAAGGTAAACTGTTTCGCGCTGACGAAGAGTAGGCCACCTTGGCTCACAGTTTCATCACGGTACGAGAATTTTTTAGAACAGGTTGCAGTGTGTTGCACTGACGAAGAGTAGGCCACCTTGGCTCGCAGTGTCATCACGGTACGAGAACTTGTTAAAACAGATTGCAGTGTGTTGCGCTGACGAAGAGTAGGCCACTTTGGTTCACAATTCCATCACGGTACAAGAACTTCCTGAACCGGGTACAGTGTATCGTACTGATAAAAGATAATAGGTCATCATGGATACCTTGGAGGATGCTAGCGAAAGCCTTTGACCAGAGACTCAATCGTTCACAATCCAGATTTGGGTGGCTGCAAGAGTGGGAGAGGAGACGCTACAAAGAAATGAGCGGCGTGGATGCAGGCAATACTATTGCATTGTCAACTTCTGCATGAGAAAACAGACTTGAAATACACTTGGACGGACTTGCCAGTCTGCAGTCCACCCAGGAGCAGGCAAAGGCTATCACCAGAATAGTGCTTCGACGACACTTTACCAAGTTAAAGCAACACTCCACAGTTGCTGGATCTAGAAGGCATACTGGTAGGCTGTGGCCGGAAAATGGATCTTGCTGTGAGACACAGAGTGGCTTGGCGCAACAATTCAAGGAACAGCGAGCTGTCGAGCAATTTCTCTCTACGGTTGACAGGAGCTTGGAGGAAGAGAGAGGAAAAGCACACGCAGGACGAATTACACGCCCGGCGTGACATGACGAGACTACCAAGCAAATGATGTATCCGTCGTCAATCGTCATATAAACGGATCACCAGCTGATGAAGCTGTCCCAGAGTGAATCGCCCAATTTGCGGCCAAGCAAGGTCATTCTACGGATACAGTCCTCAGCACGACTATACAAGTTTTGGTAGCTGTTAGCAGCATATAGCCACCCGTGGTTCGGATCTCTCCGATCATCATAAATTGACAAATGCCGGATTTAGAATTTGCAGGCGCTGCCTATGGCACGCACCGAGCGGCAAATCAGAACGGGGACGAGGGACGACAGGTCTGTCGACTGAGACTACCTGGGTAGTGTCGCTAGATATAACATGAATCAACGTCTTTGCTTTCGAATTTGTCCGTTTCTTCCCTCTAGAGGAACTGAAGCTGCAAAAAGGAGCAAAAGCTAACGACAGACAGCCTTTTGATATTTTGACGTCGGCCCCCCTATTCTTGGCTCAGAGGTAGGCGGGCCCGACCAAATCCGCAATCGGGCAACCGAGCCAGAGGTGTTGGGGGAAGAGCTTACTGCCGACCTCAGCCTCGCCCATTTGTCGCAGGATTCGTCGACTATTGTCAGGCACCGTGCTCCATGCTGTGTGCTACTCCTCCTCTCTGAGCCAGGTCTGGTCAGCCGTGGTGGCAGGGATCGCAACCAGCAAGTCAGCGCCGCTCATCGGCCGATCGGTTTTTATTTTTGGCGATGCGGGGCAAGTCTCGGTTGGCAAGATGGCATCTTGAAGGCGAACGGCCGCTGGCAAGGATAATGGTCGTCTGCGCTCGTACTGTAGGTTAGACTGCGGTTCAAGGCGTTCACTGGAGGGGATCCGCGGAGGCAAGACTCGAGGGGTGTTAGGCGAAACAGGCACATGTGCAGGATTGGGTGGCCACGAACAGACCAAAGGTCACCATGTGGAAAGGCGTCGAGATATCGCGGGGAAGGCCACTGGTGTGCATTTCAGATTTGCCAGCGGGATGAAATGAGGTTTGGGCGATTTCCAAGTCGGGCCTTTGGAGCGGGAAAATAATAAATCACTCCACTTTGCGCCGGGCGAAACCCCACCACCTAATTGCTATTGTCAAGCCTCACTAGCCCCCGTAAGAGCCTAGCATTAGGCTGGTGTAGAGGATCCCCCCGTGCAACTTTCAGGCTGGAAATGCATCGCCACGGGCATGTGCTTGCTCAAGTGGTGCCCGCCCAGGGCCCACCCAACAAGTTGTTCACCTGAGGCGACTGGCATTGCCCATTATTTCCATCCACCTCGCCCGCAGCCGCAAACCACACTGCGTCAACGGTTCCGTTGGACCCTTCTTCTTCCTCTTTGTTGGATCTGATTGACATCTCGACTATCTCTACTCCATCCTCCTCTTCGCAGATCTCCTCAACACCTTCCTCCTCGTCTCTATAACCTATTCCTCCTATCCATAGTATCCTTATCAGTCCTCCGCCGCCGTCCCCGCCTTTATCAGACCTCCCTCCCGGCGGAAAGTCTTGCCTCACTTCCAGGTTGTCCGATTCGCAATCTCCGCAACGCTCATCTCGAATACGAGAGCCACTGCGAACCTCCTGCGGCGCGCAATCCTCCCTAACAACAACACCTGTCGACCTACGATAACTCGGCGTTCAACAAGCCCAGGATGCCTTTGTGCGGTGGTAAGAAGGTGGTGCAGCGCAAACTCGTCCTGCTGGGCGACGGCGCCTGTGGAAAGACCAGTCTGCTGAATGTGTTCACTCGCGGCTTCTTCCCAGTTCGTCCTCCATGCCTGTCTCTGCGTTCGACGGCTTGTGGAAAGGCCTGTCCTCCTTTGCGGTAGACGCTGACGTTCGTGCTTCCTAGACTGTCTACGAACCCACGGTCTTCGAGAACTATGTCCACGATATCTTTGTTGACGGCATTCACATGGAATTATCATTATGGGATACTGCTGGACAGGAAGAGTTCGACCGATTGCGATCTCTCTCATACGATGACACGCAGGCCATCATGTTGTGCTTTAGCGTATGCCGCCCTCTTCCACAGCCTACGCTCCTCCTTCACGCCCAACGAGACTGACGACTGAAAATCATGATTTGCAGGTTGACAACCGTGGCTCCCTCGAAAATGTGTCCACAAAATGGATCGCCGAGATAAATGAACACTGTCCCGGGGTCAAGATTGTTCTATGCGCCCTCAAGTGCGACTTACGAGAGGAGCACGAAAAAGACGATGACGAGGAGAATGGGGCTCCCCCGAGACCTATGATCCAATATAACGAAGGATTAGAAGTTGCGCGACGCATCGGAGCGCTGCGATATCTTGGTAATACCATAAGTCACGTCTTATCAGCAAGTGCAATTCTAACAGACTTGTTATGGCAGAATGCTCGGCGATGCGAAACCGAGGCGTAAATGAAGCTTTTACAGAGGCCGCCCGAGTGGCGCTGCAAGTCAAGCCGGCTCGCTCGAAAGACGACTCAAAATGTACGGTGATGTGATGAAGTCCAGGTTCGACAACACTGTCAACTTTTCCACCTTGGCCTCACGCCCAGGCTTTCCTCCTGCCACCTCGCATTTGCCCTCTCAGCTGGGCCTTTTCCCTATCCGCGCCTCTCGAGGACATACTATCTTGTGTACATACCCCTCCCTTCGCCTCATTCGCGCCTTTCGCCGCCTTTTTTTAGAGCAAGAGAAAGATTTGTCGGTTCTTAGCGTTGCAGTTATTTTTGGTTGAACCTTTTGGAAAGCCTGAAGGCATTACGATCTGGCGTTTTGATGTTGGTTGAGTTCCAAAGTTTTGGACATTGCAACGAGACGATGGCGAGATTTTTTGATCGGTGGCGGGGACCCATTGGGAGAAAGAATCTGTCCCGACTCAATTGCGCGGTTCGTACAGCGTGTTGATCAAGCGATGAGGCATCCTGCCACAGCTCGAAATCTGATCCTCGGCACGAAAAAGTTTTGATAGATTCTTCAATCTCTGATCCCGTTCACCAATGGTTGACCATTACTTCTGCCTCTCTCCCCTGTGGCAGGATGCCCAGGAGCACTTGATGGTGGAGCATCTTCATCGACCAGGACCCAATCTTTGACACCTCCCTTCCAATCCGCTATCCTTCCTTCACGCACGGGAACAATGACCACTCTCACATCATCTCCTTCGATATAACAGCTACTGTTCTCCGCGTCGGCATGGGCCGGCTGTCCGCTGAAAAACCCTGCCTCTTGCGTCACTTGACCGCCGAATGTGTTATTCGCCAGATGGGCCTCTTTGCACCACTTCTCCTCCTCACTGCCTTGTTCGAGGAATCTCGCTTCTCCTGCTATAGTGGTTGATATTGAACTTAGGGCCGATGTGTTCAGATTCAGAAGGAGAGTGGCAAGAGACGAGCGAGCGGCGGCAGCGGGCGGAGATCCGGCTCGTTGCTCACCACCCACTGACGTGGCTGTCGGTGGTCTGTGGGACACCCAGTCGTGCACCAGGATCGATACCTTTGGATTGTGCATCAGGTTCTGAGTTTTCATGGACTTTGCATTGGTGGTCATGATGATGACGGGACCGTGGTGGTCGTATGAAGGCAGGAAAGTGTAGTTCATCAAGGACACGTGGGGGGTCGGTGGGCTGGTCTGGCTTGCACTTATTGTTGCAAGATGCAGGAAACGGGCATTCTTGAGGCATTGTGATACTTCTGGGGGTAAAGCCGTGGAGATCAGTGGGTTGGTGGTGGTGTTGGAGGCTTCATAGTTGAGCGGCGGGTTGTGGGCGTCAGCCATGTCTTCTTCAGATGGACTGCTGAACACTGTCGGCTTCGAGTACGTCGGAATTGGTAGTCGATCGACCGTGAAGATGTGTCGAGGTGTGTATGGGCTCGACTTCGCAGGTGGAAGGATGTTGGCGTGGATCTCCAACCTGCGACAAAAAGAGGTGGGCTGATAGAAGGCCGCCAAAGTCAAATCCTCACACATGCGTCTTGCTGAAGCATTGGCAGGTGGCACTGGTGGTTTTCCCCCCCGCAGTGCCCAACTCGCCCGCTCCCAGCGGAAGCTTCCCGCTAACAGGGAGGAGTCCAAGATGCCAACTGGCCCCCGGGCTACGAAGCTCCAAGTGGTGACGTCGATGGTCGCTTCTTCCTCCCTGCACATTGCCTACTTCTGCAAGGTAAACCAGCTTCTTACTTTCCAATCAACACCCATCAGCTGCCACACGCCTGCCACCGACTGCCAACCCCAGGCCATCAATACCACCACGCAGCTCCTCCTCCTGCAGACCATTTTCCCCGCGTTCTGCTCAGAGCCACCCGAACCCCAGTCTCTCACGCCTAAACAATCTGCAACTTCGTCCACGTTGTCTTGACCATTGGGGCTTTCTCCGGCACAATAACCTCGTAGCTCCTCTGCTCGCGTGTTACCTCGAGTCCTTGTTCTTTGTCGGACCTCTCCAAAATTCAACAAACCAACTGTATCGACCAATACAAGTCTCTTTCGACAGATATTGTTCTCAGCCAGCCTCTGCTCTGAGCTTCTTTGTATTTCCAGCTCAAAGACCCCGGGATTTGGCGATAATGCTCGCCCGTCGGCTACTACCCCTCTCTTCCTCCGCCCAAACTCCCTCGTTGTTGCGCGCCTTCACTACTACCTCCCTATTACGAGACCCTCCTCGCAGCCCTGCATTGAGCGATCTGACTTCCGACGGAGCGGACGCTTTCAATACCAAACAGAAGGAATTCCGAGATGGACTTGAGGCTGCCCGGAAGAGAAAAGAACAAGCTGACAGTCAGTTCCTTGATGCTTCTACCTCTTCTTCTGATAGATCCCCAAGTCTTACTGCTGCTGCATCCCGCGTGTCTGAAACCTTGGGCTTGGGCTCACTATCTACCGCACCCTCTACAGAAGAAGCAAGACAAGCCGAAACCGACACCACCACAAAGCGAACCGGCACTCTCTCTAGCCTCATCTATGGCACCCCCGAAGGCCAAAACCTAGACAAAGAGATGGAAAGGTCGTTCTCACAGGTGTTGGCTAGGGGCAAATACGTCCATTCGATCGTCTTTCACGATGTCAAACCGGACAAGGTCGATGACTACGTAGAGTTGGTGGGCAATTGGTACCCGAGGATGGCAAATGACCCGGAGAACAAGGTCCATTTGGTAGGAAGTTGGAGAACAGAAGTGGGGGACTGTGAAACTTTTGGTATACTGCATTCGCCGTCAAAGTGTTTTGACTAACAGGGTATTTGCAGTTCACATCTGGGAATACCAGCGATACACGGGATACCATGCCTCGCTGCACAGCATCGCACACCACCCCGAATTTCCCGCCTTCGAGAAGAAATTGCAGACTTTGATTACATCCAAGAAAATCTCACTAATGCAGGAATTCTCATTTTGGCCGACCACCCCCCCTCGAAAACTTGGTGGCTTGTTTGAATTACGATCATACACCCTTCACCCTGGAAATCTATTGGAATGGGAGACGCATTGGCGGAAAGGACTCAAAGCACGCCGAGAAGTCATGGAAGGCGTCGGCGCTTGGTTCGTGCAGATTGGAGATCTGAACACTGTGCACCATCTATGGCAATTTGCCGACCTGGAGGAGCGGAAATTGAGACGAGAAATGTCGTGGGGCATCGAAGGATGGGGTGACACTGTGCACAAGACAGTGCCATTGATCCAGAGCATGAAAAGCAAGATCCTAATTCCCATGCCGTGGAGTCCTGTGGGTTAAACCATTCTGGAGGGAAGTGAGTGGGTGAGAGATTGAATCTTGGGCAAGAGGGGACGTGATGAAGGAGGGCCAAACACTGAGGAGGACCATGGTGTTGGAAGACGTGTTTTCAACCAGAGTCAAGCAAAAGTGTCAAGCTACCGCTCTGCTCAGCAGGCCTCTAGGTCTGCCAGATAGATATCCAGTCGTCTTGAGGCGGACTGATGGATCAAATCCAAAGCCTCACATATGATAGCAACCCACAATGGAACACAGTTGCGGCAAGGCGGTGTACTCAAGATGGTCGATGGTCCTCAATAGTAGTTCCACAGTTGCCCGTCCTCAACCAACGAGTCGCCCTCTAAACAGCGGGAGGTAAAAAGTCCGCTTTAGGAGACGCGTGATTGGAAGGAAGCCGGACTTTGGCCTGGCGCCAAGGAACTTGGGCAATTGGAACTTTTTTACTCTGCCATGTTCTCCAAGTCGTCCAGAATCACCAGGGACCAAACTGTACAGCCAGGAATAATGCTGAGTCGGGCGAGATCTTCAGGTCTGTGCCATGGCTGTCGCCAGGATTTCCAAGTCTTCTTTGAAAATGGATTTTGCGGACCAGCTGTCACCCTGAAGAATCGAACAACGCCACTGTCCCTGCGTTCGCGAAGGACATTCGCACCTCAACAACTCAGATCCTTCTCTAGGAAATCCACGATTTTCCAACGACAATCTCCTTCAGAATCCGATCAGAGACAGGGAGAATTGGAAAGGGAACGTGTACCCGCAGTTGATGGCGACCTGGAAAAACTGGAAGTCTTGCAAGAGCTGGAAAAGGCTTTGGGGCGGCCTATAAATGAAGCCATTGACGAAGATCGAGCTGGACGCGTATCCATAAAAGACATATTTCCAGACAAGCAAGTAGACCTGGACGATGACCCGGACATCGTCGATGGCGCAAGCGATCCGCTTGCAAGCTTGCGAGCCGCTGGTGCATCCTCTGAAGACATTGCGCGAGAGGCGAGGCAGATCTACGGAGACAGGCTCCCTTCCGTTGCTCTGCGAAAGGAGGAGTTGAAGATGTACACACGACTCTATGGAAACCCTATTTCAACATCTTATGAAGAGTTTCTGGATGAGGAGGAAGCAAGCACCGTCGCCGAGTCTCGAAACCAGCTCTTGGACAAAGAAGGCGAGCCAATCGACTACGACCCAGAGCCAGCTGTATTTGCACGATTGGAAGTCACCAAGCAAGAGGAGTCTGCCGGCAATATCCCGAAGCCTGCGCAAGGAGGCATTGACTTGAGAGTGACCGGCCAGCACAATCCAGCACTTTCGTTATCAGCTGAAGAAAGAGCAACGGAAATAGCTCGGTTGCTTAGTGGCGAGATTGTCGGAGATCAGCAGGAGGAGACTGAGCAGGATGAGCAAGATCACAGCATGCGACAACATCCATTCACTCGGCTTGGAAAGTTCGCGACTGCCCCCAGCAGCGTCCTCCTCTCCCAAGAAGACTTTGTGCAACCCGTTCAAAAAATCCTAGGTCGTTTCTCCAACAAGCATCTGAAAGAGATGTGCGAAAAGACCTTCGGAGGACCTGGCTTTCCTGACTCGCCTTTGACACCTAGATCAGGACGGTCGAGACCCCAAATACCCATCCCTCTCGATGCCTCCCAACATCTGATGGGCGAGATGGAAGCCAATGCATTCATCACCACCATCATGCCACCCACGTACGCTGCCATCATGTCCGTCCTAGTTGAGACACGCAAGCGACTAGGCACCACATGGCTGAACAATCTGATTGCAAAAGACGGAGGACCACGAGTGCTTGATGCCGGTGCTGGCGGTGCAGGTATCCTTGCCTGGCGCGAAATTATCAAGGCGCATTGGGACTCGTTACACACTTCTGATCATGACCCCATCCCTTCACCTCCCCCAACGAAAGCTGTCGTCCTCACCGGTTCCGATACATTGAGACATCGGGCTGCCGCGCTTCTCGAGAATACAACCTTCATCCCACGCTTGCCCGACTATGTACACACTCGCGATGCGCCGACCCTAGAAGACGATCGACCGGCACAACAACGGAAACAGTTCGACGTCATTATCGCACCCCATACGCTATTTGGACTGCAAGAAGATTACATGAAAAAGCAATATGTGCAGAACCTTTGGTCAATGCTCAGCCCTGAAGGCGGCGTTCTGATCTTAATCGAAAAGGGCATACCTCGTGGCTTCGAGGCGATAGCTGGCGCGAGAGAACTCCTACTCGAGAGGTACATTGCTGTGCCGGAAGGCCGAGTGACAGCATACAGCAAGTTGCATAATGATACAGAAGACATTCACACGCGAGAAACTGGTATGATTGTGGCGCCGTGTACCAATCATGAAAAATGCCCAATGTACAATATCCCTGGTCTCTCAAAGGGTCGCAAAGACTTCTGCAGTTTCCAGCAACGGTACATACGACCCAGCTACCTGCAGCGAGTTCTTGGGGCAAAGGATCGCAACCATGACGATGTGGATTTTTCGTACATTTCAGTGATGAAAGGAGAGGATCTGCGACATCGACAAGTGCACTCGTGGCGAGGGCTAGAAGACTCTCTTTCTGCTCCGCTCCATCCAAATCCCCAGCTTGCGGCAGGGGACTATCAAAATTGGACTGAGCTTTCTCAAAGCGGCTTTGAGGAGGTCCATCCAACAACTAACGTCGCTGACGCTCCGTCAATATTCTCCGACGCGGAGAAAATTCCTTCGACTCTGCCCTTTACGCACAACCTCCCGCGGTTGGTTTTCCAACCAATGAAGCGTCGAGGCCATGTGCTTCTCGATGTCTGTACTCCGTCCGGAAAGATTGAGCGCTGGACCGTCCCCAAATCTTTCTCAAAGCAAGCTTATCGCGACGCGCGGAAGAGCCAATGGGGCGATCTGTGGGCTTTGGGTGCTAAAACACGCATACCAAGGACGCTGAGGCTTGGTGGTGAAGATACAAAAGAGGCAAAGAAATCGAGAGGGCGCAAAGAGCGGCTGAAGCAGCAGGCTGAGGAGTTGATGGAAAAGATGCATGAAGAGCAGCTGGAGGAAATGGAAGACCAAAAGGAGATGGAGAGGGCTTTCCGGGAGGGGAGAATTCCAGGTGAAGACGACTATGGATTCGAAGGTCGGGAGGCAGTAGGAAGGACGTCTCGGCCAGGCAGGATCAGGCGGGAAAAATCAGCCAGCGGTGTTGAGAGCTTCCGGATCGAGGATTTCGACATGGACGCAGTGAACCCACCTCTCTTCCCAGCAAAGACACACGGCGCGACCCCGACGTCCACACATGAACCTCATCGTCCTTTGTTGAAGCGATCACAGACCGCCGCAACGGCAGACCAAGACGAGCAGGGAGATCTCACAATTGAAGAACTCCAGACCCTGCAAGAATGGAACGAACAACTCCAGGGAGGAGAGGGCGGCATCCCGACCAAAGGTGGGAGATCGATCCGACGATATTCCAAGTTCGCGCCCAAGGGCTTGAAGACGATCGCGAGGAAGAGTGGGAAAGTCAGATGAACACTCGAGGAAAGAAGGTGATGAATATGCCTTCTGTACAACAAGTGTATTATATATATATTATATGTACATGAATATGTAGTGATACCAGGCACCTAGTCTCCCCTTTGTATATCTGCTCAGCTAGATATATATATTATATACACCGAACAGTACTTTATCCCTTCCTATTTTCGTTCAGGAAAGGGAGCGAGGCCGCTTTAATCGCGCACGTAACGGAGTGTCGAGGAGGCCCAGCCGTTCATGGGAGAGCCTCGTAGGAAGCCACCAGTAGAGTATGGGGGAGCGCGCCCAAGCACTAGGCAAGTTAACAGGGAGCACTAAATCCACCATCCACTTGATGCAACACCCTTGTAAGGACCCCAACCTGGGGCGGTGCCTGGAACTGACCAATCAGAGAGCAGGATTGTCGGCCTGTACAACGAACAGGCAAATCACCCAGCCTCGTCGCTCGCCCATCTACCACCTCAAGCCTCCCAAACCTCTCCCATTACACTAGTAAAGGTCTCGTTAGTATCAATTACCTTACTCCTTCACCTCTAGGCCTTCGATCGATCTTGTGCTTCAAGGCGATAAAATCTATCTCACAATTATCGGCGGGAATCATGATCTTCTCCGCAATCGTAGCCAGAGATCTTTCCGAGCGTGGGAATAGCATTGCTACACATACAGTCTGAGCCAGGCGCGAGGGTGTGATACGGCCAGTCTTGTAAAGTCAACTCGAGGGTGAAAGCGAGAATCTGCCCCGTGATTCAGTGAGCGAAAGAATTCTAGATAATTTTTTTGGCACTGTGTCTATGGTTGACCTTAAGATTGTTCCAACATTTGCAGCGCTGTCTCAAGTGAGATTACATTAACATAGCTCTTGCTCGCAAAACTTTGCAGATAATTTTTGTATTCTTCATTGTAGGAAACTGGCACTTCCGTTACGTTATCAGAGATAACGTAGATATTATAGTCGAGGTCGTAGAGGTGATAGATTGTGCTTATGACACAAGCTGAAATGCTCATTCCAGACTAGAGAGAGATAGAGAGTTAGGGGTGCTCAGAACTCGGGGCCAGAAGACATACGATGATGACCGTGTCAATGTTCTGCGACTGGAGAATACGTTCCAGGGCATTGCCACAACCTCCATACCACCTAATCTTCTGAAGCATAATATCCTTCTCATCCGTTTGAAAGCGGGAGTCAACTGCGACGGCAGGGGTCCCTTTGAGGAAGGGATCGAATTCCTTGATCAATTTCGCAAAAGGTGATTTCTTCTGTAGTTCAAATTGAGAGGCGGTTGACAAGAACATACTTGTGAAAATGGTCAGCGGCCGAGATTCTTTGGCATGCACTGCATCATTCCACCGCGCGCAGTTGGAGATAAACGCCTTGCCCTCGAGGGTATCTTGGATGGCCTCAACGAGTAGCGCCATCAGGTCCAGGTTGAGGACGGCATAGTTATTCCCAAAGTCCGAGGGGTCGTCGACGGAGCGTTGCTGCATTGTCGTAGTGAAGTTCAGATATGTCGCAAATGCAAAGGGGGAATTCAACGCAATTCTGAGGCTACGTAAGGGCACTGGATCTTATATTGGGTAGACTGCCATTATTGACATCCCGCGGTGTCTTTCTCTTTCCACTCTCCTTCTAACCTCGCCGGCACAACTTGAATTAGATAAGGAAGCCGCACTGACATGTCTCAGCGTCTTATCGCGCCAAATCCCGACCGCCGCCCCTAGTAAGTTTATATGGTTGAGAGCCTGTTAAGCCGATATCGCGTCTACACCCGACACTAGGCTCATGAACCAGCACGCTAACATAGCAGCCTCGCTCCCGCCCGACGACTACTCACACTATTAATTTCCAGGCGAAGATCTGGGCTTCGAACTGTGCAGATCATTACTCGAGATTTTTGAGTTTTGGCCACTCGAATCAGGTATTTAGCTGGTGTGCAGTTCCTTCACATCATCACAGCCTACCCATAGACCATAGTTGACGCATACCATCACGGCGCACACAGGGATCACAGCCCGGGCATCGATCAAGTCCACACATAGGACGTTATAGTGAAGATTCATGGCTTCAACGGATCATGATGAGACAACGTCAACTCCATTCAATCCGCCCGCTGCAACTGCGTCCGACGCACAGAACAGCAAGACAATGCCACCAGCCGAAGAACTGTACAGCATTTTCGACGACCGACAAAAGGCCTTGATCGTTTTGATCGTTTCTGTTGCTGCAACATGTGGGAATCCCCTGTCCCTCGAAGCGATCTAGCGAGCGAATTGCTAACACCCCTCAAGTCTCGGGCTTTGCATCAAACATATATTTTCCCGCACTCCCAACTATCGCTCATGACCTGGGTGTCTCGGTCGAACTCGTCAACCTTACTGTTACCTCCTACCTTATTTTCCAAGGCATAGCCCCTAGCCTCTGGGGTCCAGTGTCGGATGTGAGGGGACGACGGGTGGCATACTGTTGCACCTTCATTGTGTTCTTCTGTGCATGTATCGGCCTCGCAGAGTCAAAGAATTACGCAAGCTTGATTATCCTCAGATGTCTGCAAAGTACCGGTAGCGCAAGCACAATTGCAATTGGCTCAGGAGTCATTGGCGATATTACAACTCGTGCTAATCGAGGCAGCCTCATGGGAGTCTTCCAAGCAGGCCTGCTAGCACCAGTTGCTATAGGACCTGTGATTGGTGGAGCATTGGCTGGATCCCTGGGATGGAGGTCTATCTTCTGGTTCTTGACCATCTACAGCGGTGTCTTTCTGCTCTGCTTGATCCTCCTCCTACCCGAGACACTACGCTCCATGGTTGCAAATGGCGGTCGGACGCCGTGGAACCCAATGGCGAGATTCCCTTTACAATTCTACCAAAAGACGACCAAGGCGAAGTGGGATCGAACAGCTGCGGCCTCAAGCCCTGCATCCAGAAAACGTATCGACATCCTGGGTCCTTTCCGCATCCTCCTCAGCAAGCAAGCCGCGCCTCTGATTGTGTTCATTGCCGTGTACTACACAACCTGGCAAATGAGCATCACTGCCATGTCAAGTCTCTTCGAACAAAAGTACGGACTTAGTGAGACACAAATCGGGCTTACCTTTATTGCCAATGGCGTGGGATCTATGGTTGGCACATTCATTACTGGCAGGCTTCTCGATGTTGATTATCGCAAAGTCAAAGCCCAGCATGAGTCCCGGACTACAAAGGCATACCTTGGACGTGATCAAGAAGTACGGAGCGCTCGAGCAGCCGAAGGAGACGAGTTCCCATTGGAAAAGGCCCGTCTCCGTCTCGTTCCCATCTTCTCTGTCTTACAGTGCCTGTCTCTCATCCTGTTCGGCTGGACCATTCAGTACTCTTCTCGAGTTCACATCGCCGTACCCATCATATCCACCTTCATCACCGGATGGACCGTCATATCTACCCAGTCTATTGTCATGACATATCTCGTTGATGTGTTCCATGATCGCAGTGCTGCTGCCAGCGCAAGTCTCAATCTCGCAAGATGTTTGTTTGCCGCAGGCGGCACGAGCTTCATCATGCCCATGGTTGACTCCATCGGTGTAGGCCTGGCTTTTACCGTTTGTGTTGCTGTTCAAGCGCTCGCGATGCTGATTTTGGTTGTCCAGTGGTTATTTGGGGCAAAATGGAGACAGGAATCCGAGAAAAAGAAGCAGCATGCTGAAGCAAAGGAATAGAACCCTGGGAACAATTGAACCGCCAGTGCAATCATTCTCAAGTGTTCAAAGTCTGTAACGTGGTTGGGGGTGTAACTGAAAAAGTCCAAGTTTTGTTATTCAACACCACTATCTCAGATAATTAAATCAACAGATACCATTATGTTGCATTCGAGCACGCCAGATAATAGATGTATAGATTGCACGGACTTCGTTTTCCCGGTGGCTCATTGCCTTTCCTGCTCTCCTCCATCGCCACAATAGATAGTCTTGATCAGATTATCTCGCACCCATGCCGTAAATGACTTTTGAAACCACAGTGCATCAAGAAAAACAAGGGATCCCTTCACAGCTCTTTCCAATGAATTGACCACCCCTACAACCACAAGAAGCAAGTCAGTGTACGTTGTTGTAGGTTAAGATAGCACTCGGCCATGACACAGCAGTCACTATTGTTGCAACACCTGTAGTAATACCCGGAATAGCTTATCGCTATCTCCCAGCTCTACTCCAAAGCACTCTGATAAATCAGCTCTTCTTTGAGGCATAAATTTATCGTATCCTGGTCCTACAACCACTGCTCTATTCTACAGCCTTACATCCTCCGAGACGCCGCTGAAGGGCAAGTTCGCAGGACATTCCCTCACAACCAAACCAAACACCTAGAAGGGCACACGTACATGGCAACTACCCAAAATAAGTCTCGCATGGTTTCGATCCATGACCCCGGGTGAAGTGCTCAAATTCTCCTTGTTGTCATCTACACAGCTGTTCTTATAATAAAACTTCTCCGACGCTCACAATGTGTTCATAAAGCACAACTCAACAAGTCTGTACTATTTCTGGATGCATTTCAGATATTTCGGTTCTCCATGTCAATGACAATCCGTTTCCCGGATGCTACGCCACTTTTTAACAGGTCAAGGGCGTCATTCACATCCGACAAGCCACCTCCCTGTCGCACAATGACCTCGGGTAAGATCAAACCGTTGTTTTGTAACAGTGCCTCCAACCACATACTCAAAGATTCTCCGAGTGCAGGCACTTCATGGAAAGTCTTGATGGGGACGCTGTGATATTGAATATAGTGGTCTCTTTCCTTGGGCAACCCGGTCATTCCCACCAGATGGGCACGAGTGCCGCCCGATTTCCGAATCGCGAGAGTACTCTGGAGAAGGGTAGCTGTATCTCTGCCGACCATATCGATGCCAAACCGAAGATTTCCTGCGGTCACACCGTTGATGATCTCCACAGCCCGGGTCACATCTTGCCGGTCCACCAGGACATCGGCCCCGGCCTCGTGAAGCTTTCCCCCGTGTCGGGCAACGTCGGCCACGCAGACCACCTTCAGCCCATACATTTTGGCGAGTTGTAATGTGATATATCCAGTTGTAGTGGATGCTGGCTGAATTAGTATGTCTCTCAGCTCAAGGGATCGCTTTCCTTACCGCCCCAGATGGCAATCCAGTCCCCTCGTTTCATGCACTCTGATTGCGGTGTGCTGAGAAGGCACTCGTCTCTAACATCTGCCGAAATTTGCTCCCATTCGACCTCCCTTAGTATCTGCCGTAGATTGGGCCCGGGGACATTGGTGTGAGAGGAGAAATCGAGCCCAAACGAAATTCCGAGCGCCATGGCGGCCGCGACAAACGCAACGCCCAATGCAGCGCCGTGGTGAATTGAAGTGCCTTGAGGAATCCGAGTTGCATTATAGTGTGCTGCAATGGCATACTCCTGGAAAGCCGCCTTGCGGATATCTCTGTAGTCGGTAGACGGAACCAGAACAACATCACCGACCTTGACACGGGGCGCTTTCGAAGGCGCTTGGACGACAACGCCAGCTAGATCGCGCCCAAAGACCCATGGTAGACCGGGTACGCCAATGTTGAATGCTCTGTTGTCATTAGACTGGAAAATTCTTGGTGATAGAGAAAATAAACAGCAGACTTACGGTCCCTTCCAATCGATTGGGTTCAGACCAATAGCAGTGACTTTGATCAAGATTTCTTCGTCATGGATGATGGAGGGTATAGCATGGTCATTGACGAGGGTATACTTTTCCTTCAATGCGTAGAGGAAGAGTGCATTTTGGGTGCTCTTGAGGCTTGTGCCACCATTTTCAGCCTCCATATCAACGTCGGTCAAGCTTATTTCGTCTTCAGTTTGCACAATGGCACTGTTCACCGCATCAGGAACGACAACGTCACTGCCAGCGACTCTTTCCTTTTCCATCATAATGGAGTCATCCAGAATGATAGAACTAGCTGGACTGGTCCAATCAGCCTTGCTGGTCGCCGGAGACGTGTTGTATGATGTAGGACGACTGTCTTTCCATAAACCTGTATGAGCTTGTTCCTCCATCATCTGTTTCGTGAGCTTCTGGGCATGGGAAGTCATCGCTTTTCGGTGGTAAGCTGGCCCGCCAGATTCGATAGCCCTCTCTAGGCTGGTCCAAGTCACCGTCGTCGTGGTTTCCAAGACTTGCGCTGTCTCTCCATTCCAAGAAATCAGAGGAGAATTCTGAGCTTCACCAAGAAGCGCTCGATCGTCAGGGAGCAACTCTGCACCAGGCCGCCTTGGAGTCTTTTCAGTGACCAAGTGCCCCGTGGTAAAGCATGTTGTGTTTGGCATAATTGGTGGTCCGTCAAATAGTCCCAGCCTGTGGGTTATCGATGCGCCGCCAGCACTCCACGATGTGTCTTTCTATGTCTGAATATATACCCTTAAATTGTGAGGACAAAATTAGAAGACCCATCAAACTGGAGCAGGTATGCGAACCGGCGTCAAATCCAACAGTGTTGACAGGGAAATCGTCCAGATCAAGGAGAGCCGATACCGTCATTCAAAACGTGTATATCGTTAGATGCCTATAAAATCTTGGCTGCTGATGAAATTGGCTGGGTTGACAGTCCTTCAGCTGCATCTATGGTATCGGTCGGGTTTAGGCGTGGCGCGAGGAGTAGTATAAGCTATAATAGATCTTTGGTCTGGTCGGGTCGGTGTTATGCGTCGGGCGATCTCGAATACGAATGTTTAAACTTTAACCACGCTTTGCTTGTCGATAAACGAGGACGAACCAATCAAGGTATCCATGATAAGATAAGCTAGCCCGTACCGGTGGAACTAGATGGGCTGGGTCGACCAAACCGAAAATGACGGCAGGGGAAACTCGGACAAGGGCGCATCTAAACCTCTGGAACATGCTCGAGGGGTAGACTTGAGCAAAGACACACAGTTAGATAGCTGGTTCTCGACCAGCATTGTAAGAGCCGGGGCCCTTGCCATTCCTGGCTGACTCCCCACGGCATCGAGCCCAAAGGTATATCTTTCCTCCTGGGCGCAGAAAAGAGACGGCTGCTCGTCCTCTCAACACTCAACACTCAACCCAGACCTGCAATTATCTTCTGAAACAGAAGCACACCATGTCGGACACAGCCGTTGTTACGCAGCAGGAGCAAGCCTCCGCCGAGCCACAATATGTCCACTTCCACTACGATGGCAAATGGGGCCACAAGCGTGAGGTGTTGCACGGCGACAAGATGAAAAACACTTTCTCCAAAATCCCAATTGTGGATGTGAGCGGCATGTTTAGTGACAAGTTCGAGGACCGCAAGAATGTCGCCGAGGAGATCACCAAGGCATGTGAGGAGGTTGGCTTCTTCTATATGAAGGGGCATGGCGTGGAGCAGGATCTTTTGGATGAAACCTTCGCCGTATCCAAGGAGTATTTCTCAATGCCAGTGGAAAACAAGATGGAGCGGTGGATCTACACTAACCGAGACCTGAGAGGGTATGAGCCTGTCCATGGAGCAAACCTCGATGCCACCAAGCCGAGGGGAGGTATGTGCCCTGATGATTTGCCTGTGCCGGCAATGATTTCTTGCCTGCAAGCTGACGCAGTGCTGCATTTAGATCGTAAAGAGTCGTTTCTATGGGGCTATGATCCTGAGTACGATGTCGTGAAACCGACACTTACGGACGAACAGAAAGCCTTGTTAAACACCAATTGCTGGCCCGAGGACTGGCCGGAATTCAAGCAACAGATGATGAAATACCACACGAGATTTCTGATTCTCGCTCGTCAGCTGGCCCGCTGCTTCGCGCTGGGCCTGGGTTGCGAGGAAACAGCGCTCGACCACCTGTTGACAGCACCAAACACATCCCAGAAGATCTTGCACTATCCGCCGCAAGATCCAACCGTCAAGGATGACACTGGCATTGGTGCTCACACTGACTTTTGTCGTAAGTTGCTTGCTTGGTCCCGCTAACATGGGTTCTGATGGATGGCTTAGTCTTCACAATCCTCAACCAGGATACCAGTGGCGGTCTGGAGGTTCTGAACGCAAATGCTCACTGGGTCCCTGCAACACCGATCCAAGGCACCTTTGTGGTTAATGTGGGAGATTTCCTGATGCGTCTCAGCAACAATCGCCTGGTCTCGACAGTGCATCGCGTGATAAATGAGACTGGAGCGGCTCGCTACTCCATTCCCTTTTTCATCAGCCCCAACGCTGACGCGGTCCTCGAAGTAAGTGAGCCCTACTCGGTTTTCTGTGAAAGATTGAATCTTACTGTGGCGGCAGTGCCTTCCGACTTGCGTTTCCATCGAGAGACCTATACAATATGAGCCACTTGCTCTTGGACCGGTGCGTCGTTATTTTTGGGCCCAGGACAGAGTCGGTACAGCGGGGCAGCTGACAGATATCACAGTACCACCAACATCGTTACCAGTTGCTGCGTGACCAGTTCAAGGCGAGACAGCTTGCAAAGTAGATTTTATGGTTGACATGCCGAAGAAGGTAACGAGCAATTCGGATTTAACTCTGCTACCCAAGTAAAAACCAATGCCCAACTCCACATTTCAAGCCTCGCCTTAGACCGTAAAGCATCAATGAGCAGTTGATCCAGAGACTAAACCGCCTAGAGCCGTTGATGAGTGCTCGGCCGCTCGCTGTAAAAATCGTAATTCATTCCCCAGGCCGTCGGAAAGATTACCCTTGTCGATGCTTAAACACTCCAGAAGCCAGAGACATGTTTCAAGTGCTCGCTCCAGATGGGCCGGTTTGGGCCCTGAGCTGGTTTCCCTTGCGGACAAGTGTATCAGTACTGCTCCAGACAAAAAGAGGCTGTGGGCAGTCGTCCAGAAGACAGGAAATTTGGGTGAAAAGGTTGGACCCTGACTTCCAGGGGATGGCTCCCGGTACAGGATGGAAAAGCATTCGATAAGCTGAACAGCAAACCCACAGGCCTCATCCGGTGAAATTACCATTCCTCTGGAAGCCCTGTACAGTAATAATGTAGCCTCACAGTAGGAAAGGGTACCATATGTCTCAAGCAACGACAGTTCCTGCGTTTTTAGAGAAGACAGCATCCGTAAAGTGCTAATATGCAAATCCCAGGTCGACACGAACTTATACAAAAGATCCTTCGAAGCCGCATATGAGAAATGTGATCCTGCTTTCACTGAGTTTCTTCCGGTAAGCATTTGAAAGTTTATATCGTGTTTCAAAAGCGCAAGTTGATATAACAAATACGACGTCCGCAGGGTCCCTTGGTTAGATTCATATGATCTGACTTGCTGATTGATCCTCTGTTAGTGCGCCTGCAGTTTTCGTCGTGAAGAAAACTTACAGCCGGGACAAAATCAAGCTTTCGAAGTTGTGACGGTCGACCGTACGCAATTGCGACTTCACTGTCGCCTGTTAGTTGATGCAGATCTGCTTCTTCTTCGAGGAGCTTACCATTCCAGACGGAAGACAGTACAATACAAGGTCCAATCGATCTGCTGGGAACGTAGGGGTGATGAGAGCTCCCATCGCAGATCAGTGCAGAGCCTACAGGCATAGCCCAGAAGACGCCACACATTTCCTGCCAATGGATCTAGCAGTAGATAGAGACTGAGCAGAAGGGTCAGTCGGAGCCCCGTTTCACCGGGCTGCTGACTCAACCGACGGAATGCGTCCGAGTCGGCCATTGCTGTTCGAAGATATGCGGCAGAGATCCCAGCCAGTCGAGAGTCCCGTTTACTTCGCAGCCTGGTCGATATGGCAAGGATTAGCAGTACCAGAATGCGTTCATCACCTGTTGGAGGAGCATGTTCGATATTCTGAGCAATTGCCAACATCGAGGCCATGGTCTGGTCTCCAAGTACAGGGAATAGCCGTTCGATGCTATTGCGATATGTTTCAACAAGTTTTTTTGCAGTTCTGCCAGTTGGGAGGCCTTGAGTCGACGAGGCCGTTTCTATATCATTCAATTCATCATAGTCTTCGATGGACTCGTCGTGGTTGGTTTCCTGAGTAGAAACATCTTCCAGTGCCGTCTTCAAATGATAGATTGGGCTTGAAGAACCGAGGAACGTCGTGTCTGCTGCATGATCCCCTCCAAGTTTCCCAAAGGATATCAGGAAACCACGTGATTCATGTTCAGAGATATTTGCAGTTGGTACTGCTTCTGTTCCAACCAGAGAAGGATTGAAGGACTCCGAAGCAGCGTTGTGGGAGATTTTTCCGAGCAGCTCATCAAGTCTCTGCTTCAGCGCAAAGAGATACGGCCGGGGAATCTCTTTCGACAAGAGAGGGTCGATGATTCGACATTGCTTGCCTGTTTTTACACAGTAGCCACAAGAGGGAAAAACCCTGTCACACCTTATTCGTCGCCGTCGACAGTCGAGACAAGAGGGAAGTAGATTCATGGCCTCCTCAACATAGCCCGAGTCAGGAATGTGCAACTGCTCACAACCGCGCACCCTTTCAGGGGTTGAGACTGGGTTTTGGAGACTCGCCGGCGAGTCTGGCGACAGCAATCGTAGATGCTCTTGGCTAAAGGAATTTGGCAACTCGCCTGCTGTGAGCGTATGAGGCTGGCCCTGAAACCCCCAACTACCAAATGAATTGAAGACATCAGGGGTCAATTCGAACCAACTATTTGTTAGCTCGTCTTCCTCCTGCATATGTGATGGCTTGCGGACAAATGTCTGAATGTCTGTCTGCGACGACGTTTGTGACTGCTCCTTTTCGACGGGCGCAGAGCGAGCCAAATTATCTTCGAGAAAGATAATGTTACGTAACATCCCTAGGAGATCGGGATCTGAACGTTCAAACGAGCCAGTTGAGTGAGCCCGTAGTACACGCGCTTGAAGACTCTCAAATAAGTCTGTAGTGTGCTTTGCTTTCGGCCAGAGTTCGCATATGATCGGAAAGACATCAGAAATCAGGCCGAGTACCTCTAGCGTCTGCTGGAACTCGACGTTGTGGGTCGACGAAAATACCTTGGGGTGCGACATAATGTTATACAAGAGAATAATTCCTGCTTCGAAACAGTTGTGGAGGCCGTGAAACGGGAATTTGAGAAGGCCGTGTCGAGCAGTATGACAGTACGCTGACACCAGATGGGCGGCAGCGGTGATGCAATACTTTATGGACACCAAATCTGGGGCTGAATTGGCAGGACAAGGCCGGTGTAGGATCAACATATTATACCACGGCCCGTAGTCAAACCAGTCTGGTGCTAGTTCCTCCTCTGACAGCGCATTGCGTCTCAACGATAAAATCCGCCCAGCAGTCCGGGTCATCCATTCTTGGTAGTCAGCTTGCGAAGTGACTGGGCGATAGAATTGCTTGGAGCTGATCTCGGATTGAAGTTTGCGGTGATGGATCGCATTCACAAATTGCACCCTCGATTTACGGGTCATATGTCTCTCCCTGGTCACGGTATGTTCATACACAGAGGGGAGAGCGACGTTGATGTGTTCATCAGCGATCACAAACGGGCGTCGAGTGGAGGCGTTGACCGATCTTTCCATTGCGTACACCTGTCGTTGATTTAGCTTGATTTTGCATTTGAGGGGCCCAAAAGTGTCCTAACCTGCCAGAATATTCGTCGGCGAAAATCTGAACTCTCAGCATCCATCTGCATTTCTGGATGCTCAGTGTGGAGTCCCAGTTCAACGGCCATTCTCATTGCTTCTGCAACTAGATGTTCTAGTTTTCCAATGTGAGGAAGAACATATGCCAGTTGGGCAGTGAGCAGAAGGCTCTGCAATGAGGGAATACTGCTTGTCGTGCAATTGAAATGATTTGTAGCTTCCTGACGTAGTGAATCTGCAAGAGACATGGGTTTTCGAAGATCTTCAAATCTCGATGACATGGTGCTTATGGCAAAGATCATCAATATCACAAATACCTCATGGTCGTCTTGCACTCGGCCTGAATACACTCTGTGGTAGATTTGACGCAAATCGCGCTCTAGAAAGATAGGATGGTAGGGAAGGATCTTCTCGACATAGACATTCAAGAGCATCTCTGCCACAGCGCGGGGAATTGTGTTCAAACCTCTGCTAGAAGTGCAGACGTAAAATGGGTCATCGTCGTTGCCATCGCTTTGGAGGGTAGGCTTCGGAAGTTCCGACTCTGCAAGCAGGACGTCTTGGTACACAAGTCCGGTTTCGTGTCGAAGAGCTTGTCGACAAGCATACATCATACATTTTCCAGATGCTTTCAAAACATGTTCCTCAACCGTACCAGCAGGAGATGAGGCAGCCTCCGGAATAACATCGACCTCACACGAGTGATGTGCCGATACATCATTCTGAGAGATGCCAAGTGCTTGCTCAAGTCGAGCCACTGAATCCTCAAGGTATGAGACGAGACTGTACCCGTGGTCAGCAGGATGGACTAGCACCGGCCTCTGACTAACCTCGACTGACCTTCTTGGAACTCCCACCTCTGAATGTCGATTAACGGAGAAGCACTCTAAACCCGCCTCCTGGCAACTACTACACGACGGATACTTGGCATCACAACGCTTCTTCCGCCGAGAGCAGCGTGCACAGGAAAATATCGTTCTTCGTCGCATCTGGCTGGTTCTGGTTCTCAGATGCCTGCAGAATTGACATTCGCTAACGGTCGCTGTGCTGCGCCGGCGGAACAAGAGGACGCGGTTGATCGAAACCCTAGTGGCCTGGGGCCTTTGGATACCACTCAGGATTACATATATCGGCCTTCTGTCTTGCCCCGCTTGCGGTATCTTCAGGCTGCTGCTGTTGTAGGCGGAATTGTTATGAAAGAAAGTGTTGATGGCCAGAGAGGTTCACATCCAAGGGCAACGACTCGAGCGAGCTGTTGGACCAACCATAGCTAAGTAGAGCCCTTATCTTGGGAGTACCGAGTAGAGGAGGGTCCACTGATAACAGGCGCTGGGGCCTCTGGTACATGATGGACTTGTATGTTTCCGGGCCATTGCTCGAGGGAGTTGTTTGACGAATCATATCCAGGTTGGGTTTCTCCGCATATCCACAGATAGCATGGTCTCGACACGTGTGTGAATTCGGCTGTACTTCAATTGCTGAGCCGCGGGTAAATTGATGCATTCTAGAACCCAGAATCTGGCTTCATGGCCCCTCTAAACAGCCCCCGCAGGGGCTGTAGACCAGATCAGAGACCGCGAGCGATTATGTACACTCTATATCAACAACTGTGCTAATTATATCAAGTGCAATCAAATGGTCAGGAGAGGAAAAGCTGTTGCTCGATGCGATGGAGGTATCGGATGGAACGGCTATGGATTGGCTGATTCAATATATTGCCCTCTTCGATAGATTTATTTTAGTTTTTGGTTCACTCTCTACGCTCAAGGGAAATTGGTAAAAGCTCCCTTGGGCTTAGTGCCCCCGCGCGACACGCCCTTAAAGCCTCTGGGCATTCTCAGCCTGACACAAGGACCAGAAAATGTTGTTAATTTTAGATTCCTGTTGTTGAACAAGGAATGGCCATGTCGCCGACGACAGCAGTTTTACTATAACTACACAAGATACTACAATGTTGGCAGATTGTTGGGTTATAGAGGCAGTCATATCTAGTACAATTGACTCCGCAGAGACTCCTGAGATAGCTGGATGACAGTCAGATACACCAGGAAACCACCAGGTTTGGATTATATCTATTACTGAGCCCTGGTTTAGGCTTATATTAGGCTGTCTATGAGTTGATCTTCCGTTCCTTAATAAAAAAGGCGAGAACGAAGGCAAGAGCTAGAGCCACCGAGATGGTGTCGAAGGCGGTTATGGCGGCTAACCTGTAACAGTTGAGCACAGTTTCTGCCAATTGCGGCTCCAGCTGGTTGATATATTCGAGGCTTTCTCTCACACGTCTTTCAAGATCGCCGGCCTGGTTGCTGTCGCCGAAACTATCTAACAGTCTTGTCTTGAGGCTTTGTTGGAAAACAGCCGACAGGATACTAATCCCAAAAGACGATCCAAGCGAGCGGAAAAGATATGAACACGCAGTCACCACGGCCATTTCTTCCTTGGGCGTGTTGGCAAGGAGGCCGACGAGTGTGGTCGTAGTGCCTCAAATAACGTTAGCAACAAGACCAGTGGCAGAGTCCTTGGGTGATTTTCGCTGCACTCACCTGCTCCCTGGCCAATGGAGACGAGTATTTGTCCTATTATGGTTCCGACCATGGAGGCAGCCATATATTGAGGCTTCCAGGCCAGCGCTGTCACAAACACGACAGGACAGAGAAGGCAAAGGCAATAACATGTGATAGCAGCCTTATAATAATGCCCGGTTCTCTTGATAATCAAGCCGCTACCAAGAGACCCCAACACAGCCGACACCGATCCGGGAATTAACAACATTCCCGCCTGAACAGGAGACAATTCGTAAACAGCTTGATACAGCAGTGGCAACAGAAACAAGGCAGCCATGTACCCCGCTGTGCTGAAAAAGTTGCATGCGTAACACGCAAACAATGAGCGATCGAAAATGATATGTCCAGGAGCGAATGGGTGGGCAGCGTACTTCGACTCGACAAGCATGAAGAGAGCGAAGAGGACAGGACTCGCGCTCACAGGCAGAATGGTATGGAGCTTGTTCCATCCCTCATTGCTGCCGTTGTCGAGCCCGATGAGGAGACAGCAGACCGCAGCGATTAGCGTCAAAGCGCCGACGAAGTCGACACACCGTAACTTCTGGGCCCAGCGGTCTGAATTGACTGCTGGCACATCCAGGACGATGTAAACAACCAAGAATGCTAGGATGCACAATGGTATTTGACCCAAGAAAGACCTTAGGGGGCACTATGCTTAGCTCGGCGCCAACCAAATCACAGGAATGATGAAGAGATTCATCGACTTACCACCTCCATCCTACAGAGTTCACAAGAAAACCGCCCAGAGGCGACCCGGTCGAAGTCCCCGCCGCGAATATCAGGTTTAGATAGCCTTGCCAGATGCCCCGTTCTCGCAGCGGCACAAAGTCGCTCACGATGATACTCACAACACTGCTCATCCCTCCGCCGCCGATTCCAGCAATGGCTCTGGCACCCACGAGCTGCGGCATGCTCTGTGCTATCCCGCAGCCCAATGAACCGAACATGAATATCATATACGAGGAGAGAAGGCACTCCTTACGTCCGAAAATGTCACTCAGCTTACCGTACAATGGCTGAAAGCTCGTCAGAGTCAGGAAGTAGCTGTCGTGGCTGTTAGCTCTCTGCGCTCCCTCGATCGGAACACATCGAACTTACGCCGTCGCAATCCATCCTGTGCTGTTCAGTGCTTTCAGGTCGCTGCCAATTTTCGGATACGTTGCAACAATAAGAAGCTGGTCAATGGCACACAGGAAGACTTAGGAGTTCATTCAGTTTCTTGAGCTCGGTACGCACATGACCGGGACTTCTGCGTGTCTTACCCCAATGGCAAGAGCTGGCAGCAAAAGTGGAAGCTTCTTCTGGAAATCAGCTGGTATGTCTGCGAGTTGACCGGGAAAAGTTGGTGCAACATCGATAGAACCGTCGTCCCCCAATACTTTGTTCATTGTTACGCTTGGGGTTTTCATGTTGGGTTTCACTTGATTAACATCGGCAACCGGTGACCCCAGTAATTGCGTGGTCTCCGTTACCACATGTGCTTCGCTGCTTGTCACTCTGGCCGACATGGTTATGGTTGTTGCAATATCAGAACAGAGTTCACAACTTTATTTTCTACTCTAGTGGGCCAAATCGTTTTATATGCACGTCACCTGCGTTTCAAACTTACCCATATGAACTTCCGTCGGCTTTGATGTGTACTAGTGCGAGAGTAATTGTGATGGACTCAATCGCCTCGACGGGCTCAGCTGCGATCGGGTACAATCCGCGACTAGCCATGGCGGGTATGGATCCACCACTTCTTGACTGTCGGCTTTAGGCGCGTTGGTGTGGGGAAGGCTTGCGCGATAAGGCACAAGATACGGAGTACCGAGATGGCGTCGTAGTTGCAGAGAGGACGAGACCTCCCATCCCACACAACCTCCGCCGTTCGTCGGCCAGACAGCGCCCGATGTCCCTCCGCTTTGGCACAAACCTAATTCAAGCTGCGGAGCGAGCACTGACGCGATAACAGAATCTAGGGTCGGTCGAAGCAGAGGAGCGTGCGTGAGAGCAGTGGGTGTGAAAAAGCTTTCACGCCACTTGCACTCATTTCAGACTCTACGATTTCAACATGTTCGGAATACCGTCCGGAAGTCCGGCCTTGACTATATAATTTCTTGATAGTGAAGAGGCGATTTGGACATGTTGTAGCGTTCTGACTCTGTTAATTCGCTCGTTCCTCAGGCTTTTAGTCGCATTCTCCAACCTTCAAAATGGTCAAGCCCCTTGAAATCGGGATCTTCATCCCTATCGGCAACGATGGCTGGCTCATCTCGACAAATGCGCCACATTACAAGCCGACCTACGAGCTCAATCGCGATGTCGTGCTCAAAGCGGAGAGCTATGGCTTCGACTTCGCGCTGTCGATGATCAAACTCCGTGGCTACGGTGGCGTTACCGAGCATTGGGATTATAACCTGGAGTCATTCACGTTGATGGCAGGCATTGCACCTCTCACCAAGCGAATCAAGTTGTTTGCCTCGAGCGCCATTCTGACCCTACCCCCTGCGATCGTCGCTCGTATGGCCGTCACCATCGAGAACATGTGTCCAGGCCGATTTGGTGTCAATATTGTCACCGGTTGGCAAGCCGCCGAGTACGAGCAGATGGGCTTGTGGCCAGGCAATGAGTATTTTGGGTACCGTTATGACTACGCCGAGGAGTACGTCAAAGTGATGCAGGAGCTGTGGGAGAAGGGCAGCTCCGATTTGAAGGGCAAATACTTCACAATGAACGACTGCAGACTGCTCCCAAAGCCATCCACCAAAATTCCAATCATTGCAGCCGGGCAAAGTGACCGGGGAACTAAGTTTGCCAGCGAGTTTGCTGATTACAACTTCACGATCGCCGTTGGAATCAATACACCTACAGCTTTTCGCGAGTCAAATCAGCGATTGGTGGATGCGGCGAAGGCGACTGGCCGGGACGTTGGCTCCATGGTAAGCTTTGCCCTATTGTGGGCATTCCCATATCTTGCAGCGTGTTTCTATCCCAGCATGAGTAACTCACGAGGCTTTGTCGAAACGCTTCTGTCCCCAGTCTATCCCAGTGTACCGGTAGCTGACGAGTTTATCTAGATCCTTATGATGGTGATTGCCGATGAGACCAACGAGAAGGCACAGTCCAAATGGGATCACTATTGCGCCGGAACCGACGAGGGTGCGCTAGAATGGGCTGCCAAGCAGATGGCGCGCGACGAGAAGGCGGATGCACGCTCGACGGCTGGCATTATTGTTTCATCAACCGGCCATAAGGTAAACACGAAACAAGGTGTGTTGGTCGGCTCGTATGAGGTTGTAGCCAGTCAGCTCGACGAGATTTCTGAGGTTGAGGGTGTCAAAGGCGTCATGTTGATTTTCGATGAGTTCTTGCAAGGCCTGGACAACTTCGCAAAGTACATCCAACCTCGCATGAAGTCGCGCGCGAAGGTGAACGGGGTGAGTGAGACTTCGTGAGCACTAGATTGGAAGAAAATCAACAATCACCCACTGTGAGGACGTTGCAACACTTGTTCCACATCAAAATTCAGGATATTGTTGCTCCAGAGCATAAGTCATCATCGTCCTCATAATGTAGGCCAAATCTCAAGACGTGCAAAACCTTGACTATCTCACAACAATAAATGATTCTCTACAACGCAACACCAGGAAGGAGGGAGAAAGGAAAAGGGAAGGCGTGAAATACCGCCGAATCAAGAAAGTAATCGTCCTGGTAGCTCTGCTCACCAGGTACACGGGGAGCCCAATTCCCTCAGCGTTGATGGTTCCATCCCAATAGGAGTGCGATTCCTGGACCGCATCTGCGGAAGCAAACGCTTGGAATTCTTTGACTTGGATGCGTGGTGAATATTACTAGATTGCTCAATTCGGGCAGAGCATTGAGCAACTCCGAGATATTGGCCAAGATAGGCCGATTTTGTAGAATGCCAACACTATTGGCTGCCTACTCTTATCAGTGCTACGGTTCGCTTCTCGTCCTGGACCTGTATTCCCGTTTGACGAAATCTATCAAAGACATTCGACTCGCAAGTGGAGACTTGGACATTTCAGTTGCGCTTAATATTATACACGCAATTGGTTGACCCAGTATTGTTTTTGGCGTATCATTGTCATCAGCAGGGATGTCGGTCCTTAGCGACGGCTATCTTCGTTTTCTTGAGATGGTGTGTACAAGTATGCGTGTGCAGAAAGAAATCCTACTATCACTGGGCTTTAAGCGTTCCGTAGAGTTCAACTGGTCGAACTCCTAATTGTGATCCTCACCCCACTGCTGCTTTATCCCGACGCTTTGATGCCACTAATCACGCGTTTAAGTGCGGGTCACCCTAGAATACTTGATAACCGCGAGACTTTAAAGGCGATGGAGATAAAGGGAGCGAGTCTAGAACCCTCTGACATGACTGTTGTCAGTGATCTAGACATTGATACGGAGAGCGATTTATAGATAATAGCCAGGATCTTTCAACATCTCCTTGCTGTTGTCACAGTTCTGAACAACATCCTTGGTGAACAATCAGTGCTGAGCATCTTCATTTGCGAAATGGGTCCCGAAAACTGGAAGTCTCATCTTCGTTGGCATAGGTGTGTACACACCTCACACCCACGTTTTATTGGATCGAGAGAAGCTGACGTCTGTTGAATGCAGTCCATTTGTCCAGAATACCTTCGCTTCCCTATGCTTGGGTCTAACAGCTGGAATTTATGTTGCGCTTGCATCTCTCGGAGCAGGCGGTGGTCGACCTGAGTCTCAGCACATGATTGACATTGCACAGGCTAGCCTTGATGGCTCTGCTTTTCTTGTCGGTCTCTTTGCCGGAGTCCTCCTAAACCGGCTGGGTCCCGCAGTCTGTATATCTGTAAGTCATTCATTCCACCGAAACAACACTGCTAACGGAAGAAGGTCGGTGCAATGGGATATCCCATCTACGTTGGTGGATAGTAAGCCTCAGCCCTCCGCTTGAAATAAAATTGAGACCAGAAACTCACCAGTGGGTAGCTGGTATTTTGGAGAGAATGGCAGACTTGTTTTTCCCATCGCAGGAGCCGTCATCCTCGGTATGACGGCCAACCTCATCAACGCCGCCGTCGGCTACATCGCCATTTCCTACTCTGAGGAGCGTTACAAGGGATTCTACGTTTGCGTGAGTGAAAACCTTGCTCTGTTCAACACGGCGAGATACTCATCTACAAAATTAGTGGATGCAAGTCATAATCTATACGTGCAGCATGGTCGCATCCATCATTCCTCTTGCGATCGATGCCAATGATCCAAGTGCGGATCGCGTTCCGACCGCGGTCTACGGAACTTTTGTTGCGTTGATGTGCTGCGCCGTTATCCTTGGAGTTTTTGTTCTGCCAGCAGAGAAGATCAAGCGAAGTGACGGGACCGATATTGCCAGAATTCCCCCCATGACTTTTATGGCAGCTATCCGAGGAAGTATCAAATGTTTCAAGGACTGGAGACTCCTCCTTCTTGTTCCTGGCATGATGTCCTCCGAGATCCACCTTGTCTACCTTGGTGTTGCGAATGGTACTTTCAACATCTCATGATGGTGAAGGATTCTGCTGACGACAATAGGTTGGCAAAACAACAGCCGTGTCCGCGCCCTGGATAGCTTTGTCGCTCTCTTCCTCTCGATCCCTATCAATCTATTCCTCTCCTGGCTCTTGGACAACAAGCGCTGGACGCGTAAAACTCGCGCCTTTGTTGGCACAGGCTTCGTCGGCATCTTTCTGCTCGGGTCTTTCATTGCGGAGATGGTGATTGTCAGCAAGTGGCACCGTCACGGCGTGGCTCCACAGTTGGACTGGGACAGCGACGGCTTCGCCGGTCAGCTCATCCTCTTCATTATCGCCTGGAATGCCGGTGGCCTAGTTCTCAATCTAGTGACATGGTATCTCGGAGCTATGAGCAATGATCCTCTCCTATGTGCAAACTACACTGGACTCCTCCGATGCTTGATTTCTGCAGGTCAAGGTATGATGTTCGGCATAGACGCATCGGCTGTTCCATTTGTAAATGAAGCCGGGGCTATGTTTGGGATGTTTGCTATGTCTATTCTTGGGATGTTGGCCTTTGCCACCTTCTGCCTCGAGGAGACCAGATATTTTAAGGAAGAACACGTGAGTCATTCAAAGAAGGGTTTTGGTTGATTGGAAGCTAATGGAGTCCAGGTCATTGTGCCATTCTATGCTCAAGAGCAGCTCCATGGAGAGGAACCGCCAACGGTTGAAGTTGTTCAGCCAGATGATTATACCTATAACTACCCTAAGGGGGCTACATCCTAGGGTAAATATAGCCTAGGGAAGTAGGGCGCTACGAGGAAGGCATCACGACGGGCTGAGTGACGCGGAGGCCCTGAGCCCGGCGCCCACATAGTGACGAGGCGGTGCAATGGCCTACATATCCTCGTCGCTGCCAACAGGCAGAACTCATAATTTCCTATCTATACAAAGTTATCAACGAGGAGTTGATGCAAAGCGGGTGCAATTTATTAGCAATAGTACTCCATTCTACTATACAGGCTCCCAAATAGAAAACTTGGGACGGTGGGACGCTTGTGGAGGGGTTGAGACTTGTCTACCGCACAAAAAATGGGTACAAAGGCTTCAAAGAACTTGATAAAGAGCACGCTTTCTCGAGGCCTATGCAAGCGATATCATTGACATCTTCGGCGAGCGAGATCTCTGCCCAACCTGTTCATTGGCCAAAACTCCCACGGGTACACCACCACCAACCCTATCTCCACGAGCACTTTTCTAGTCTTGCAATCTCTCGACGAAATTTATGACAAACCAAAAGAGAGAGCGAGAAAGAGAGATAGGGTCTCCCCGGCATTCTAATCTGGCGGTCCCGAAAACATGTCACGGGGACTACGACAATCATAAAATCGAACCCGAAAACTTGGTCAAAGGATCTCACAGGGGTTTGATTAACTCTCCAAACGGGAAAGGCTGTGATATTGCGCCATTCTATGGTGAGGGGGGGGAAAGTATAAAAAAGCTGACAGTCCCACATATCGGAAATCTTCAAGTATTGCACAAAAGGCGCGCTTTTAATCTTCCCGTTGTTCACGATAGAGCATCCGCAAGAGATTTTTTGTACTACTGATTATCTTCGGTCACTCTACAAATATCCCGTACAAGTCGGAGAAACCATTCCACCCAGTTGCACTGTTGCACCACTTTCCACACCAGATGTAATGCAACACACACACACACACACACACACCACCAACAAGCTTGTTTCCCAGCCCATTCACGGACTTAAGGAAATCCGAAGCATGGCTTCCTCTCCGTCTCTTGACTTATTCCTCTCCGCCGTCGCGAGCCGCATCTCCTGCTATGCCCTGACCAAACACTCCCCAATTCCGGACTCTGAAATCCACTCCATCGTGCAGTTCGCGATCAACCATACTCCGTCGACGTTCAACGTCCAGTCGGCGCGTGCAGTGGTGCTTTTGCACGCCGAGCACGAGAAACTCTGGGATATTGGCGACGCGAGTCTTCGTGTCGCGCTGCCCGAACAGGCGTACCAGAGCCTGGCGCCGAAAGTGCTGGGGTTTAAAGCCGGCTATGGGACAGTGTTGTGGTTCGAAGACGAAGAGGCCATGGATAAGTTGAAGGAGAAGAGTGCCGGAATTCAGCATCTCATGGATGATTGTACGCGGTTCTCTCCTCTCCTCCTGCCTCCCCAATGGCCGCGCCGTTTTGTTCGATAAACTGACTTGGGATCCGTGTTTAAACCTAGGGTCACTCCATTCTTCGGGCATGCACCAATTCGTCGTATGGACCGCCCTGGAGCTGAAAGGCCTGGGGTGTAATCTGCAACACTACAATTTCATGCCCGACTTCTCAACCCAGGTGGCGCGTGAATGGAAGCTGCCCGACAGCTGGAAATTGCAGAGCCAATTGGTTTTCGGCGCCCCTAAGGATGGTCACCTGGTGAGAAGCAGAGAGAGGACCTATCTGCCTCTGGAGGAAAGAGTGAAGATCTTTGTCTGAGAGAGAGAGAGAGAGAGAGAGAGAGAGAGAGAGAGAGAGAGAGAGAGAGAGCATGAACAGTAGATAGGAGGGACTTGTCTGGAATTTCAGAGCATAAAATGAGAAATGGGTATTCCATCGAACGCTGTGCGGCGAGGAAAGTTGCAAGTTATATTTGAAATGGTATGATATCGTGATTACTTGGGGTGCTCCGCATATACCGGGAAATCTCGTTACAAAATAGACAACAATCCTGTGCTTTGGATACAGATAGACGGACATATTCGTCCGATATTTACTCTTCAGCACTCGTGGCGGTTCTACTTCTTCTCGAACGCCCTCACGGCGTTAACTAAATGACCTATTCGCGTACCCACCCACGACGCATATGCCGGAATGCCTCGAGGAAGGCTAGCCCGGCGCGACCCTGAGAAGTTGCTCAGTGAATGAGTCGACGCACACTCTATTTCGTCGACACATCCCTTCTTTCATGTCGGGTCGGTAGAAACACGCAGTTTGAGGGGCTCCACGCCCGATGCGTTCTTGCTTGGTAGCGTACCAATTAGGAATTTGCATGCTACAGGTGTCTGGGATTGAACTGGGAGGATTCTATTACGATATTACTATATTCTAATAATAATACATCAGATACAGTACAAATACAGGCAGATGATGCCGCCTCAGATCACTATTTCTATGCTACCCGTGCCGTGCCCGTCGCTACGCTACGCTGCCAATGCTAGGCTGGACAACAATCCTTGTTGCCATTTTGGCCCTGTCCCCTGTCCCCTCCTCCGTGCTCCTTGGTCAAAAGAGATGGAAAACAAAGAGATAAATCCCGTCTAAGGGCAGTTGCATGATCCGCAACCCAGGAACACAAAGCGTGTCACGCCAGGGCAAGCGCCCGCAATATTCGGCTCTGCCTCACGGCCCACCAGATGTGGAATCCACCGTCCGCCGAGACGGGCGTGTCCACGACGAAGCAGTCGCTCCAGCTCGCCCCGGCGTCGGCAGTGGCGGTGCCGTCGCCGAGGGTATCGGCCAAGGGCCCAAAGGAGTCCATGTAGAACATTCTGATCGGCTGGGTCTCGTCGAGGACGTGGACCACGATCGTCACGGCCGCGAACATGAGGAGGGCAACGAACGCCAGGACCGTCATGCCGATGGCGCGCCCGGGCATCTTGTGACTCCTGGCCCTTTCGGGGCCGGGGATGGCGTCGTAGCGGAGGTCTCGGCTGCGGGGTCCCGCGCGGTCCATGGTCAGGGCCTGCAGGAGCTCGGACGGGTGGCGAAGGACTTCCAGGACCCAGCGCGAGGAGAACAGGAGGACGATGAGTCCGTACAGCAGGCCGACTCCGCCGACCACAATCTCGGCGAGGACCATGTAGGTCATCATGTTCGGGTCGATATCCTTGTCGCCCGCCGCGTCGCTGGAGAGCAGACACGATTTCGGATACGGCATTCGCTCCAGCCCGTCTGAGCCGGGGACGGTGTTGTTCGCCCACAGGTATTTCGAGTTGCAGCCGACCACATTGGGGAGAGGCTGCGTGAACGCGGCGCACGACTTCATGTTGCGGCCGGTCTTGTAGCCCAGCAGGCACGGGCAGTTTCCGCCGCTGACCGCAAATTCCTGGTAGGACGTGTCCTTGTTGTGGAGGAAGGACAGGAGCCCGAGGACCAGGCTCGCGTAGATGGCGCAGAGATCCACCAGAATGAGCAGGTACAGGATCCGGGGCATGGCGCGAGTGCCCAGGTATGTCTGCACGGATGTAAACATGATCACAATGCTGATGATGCCCGGGTATGTGTGCCCCTTTTCTCCCATTGTGATTTGGATCAGAACCGCGAGCAACGCACCGGCCCGGATAGTCGACCACCCCAGTCCTATAATGCTAGTGATCAAAGCGCAACGACCTAGGCCGCCGTACTTGTTGGTTTCGTCTAGCGACGAGATGGTGGTGCTGCTGCTTGAGCTCAAACCTCGCTGGTGGAGGGGTAGATACCCTTTCGGGTCTGTAGGTGGGTAGAAAGGGATCCCCGTTTCGCTGTTGCTGGAGCGTCGCACCTTTGGCTCCCACGACTTGTATGACGCTTGAACTCCTAGAAATCCGAGAACGATGGAAAGTGTGACACTTGCCAGGACCCAAGGCCATGGGGTTGGATGGTTGATCCAGTCTGAATGTAGGTCTGATGTGTGATCCTGATCGAGGAAACCGTGCAAGACTGCCTGGGAGGTGCCTGATGCGGTAGCCATCTTGGTCGATCTTCCAGCGCGTTGTATTGGGATCGTGCACCTCAAGTCTCTGTGTCAGGATACACCCTAATTCTGAGGCGATGACTTGAAGGTAGTGCCGATGATGAATTTGAAAAAGCAGAGCTCTCCTCTATATATCTTTGAGAACCTCCAGCGTCAATCAGGCTGTAGGCGCCAATTATTGATTGCACACGGTCAGAAAGCGAGGGGGCCAGAATAAAGCCAAACCCCGAGTGCGCCTTGCTGAAGAGCAACAAGAGCCATATAGGGTTTCAGCTGCATTGGGCAAGCGTTCGCTTTGGAGGAATGAATCATCCCGAGAAGTCCAAGAGTCCGGAGGCTCATCCGCGATTCTTGCTGCAAGGGGGCCATTTGGCGACCCTTACGGACATCAGACAGACCACGACTTGCCCGGCGTGGAAAGGGCCCTCGAGTCGCTCTCCTGCAGGCCACATGCCTCTTCACGGCCCAATACGAAGCTCTCTCGCAGTCATTGCCAGTTTGTGCAAGCGAGTTCGCTATGGCCAATGGGAGACAATTCTGGTGTCCAGCCTGACCCCGTATATGCAGCCACTTCCGTCTTGGAGCTGAAATATTGAGAGTTTTGGCAAAGTTCGGCAATCTGCCTTGGGCATATCATTGGCAGTTCCTTGGAGCTAGACGACGTGAGGTCCAACATCTCCCCGGCTGTCACGCATTCGGCCGTTTGTCATAGAATGAGAAGCGGACTGTGTCTGTGAATTCGGATTTTGAGGGACATAGCGTTGTAGCAGCTGATTCATGCAGATGCACTCTTGGACCCGGACCTACCTATCGAGGCATGAGCGCCGTGGATACGAATGTTTACTTTTCGCCCGTATTGATGACGAGTGATGAGAGCATTCAATCACGAAAGCAGAGAATGAGCAACTGGTGGTAAGAAGCACTCGAGTCTCAGCTTGCTCACCCCGAATCGGGACAAGGCCGATGCCGCTCTATGCAGTGCTCTGCTCGCCCGAGTCGAGCTCAGTGGTCAATTGCGTACCCCAAAAGCAGCGCCTCTGAATTTACACATTAGGACTAGCACGGTATTTCTCTCCTAAACTGGTCCAGCCAGGGAATGGCACTCCGACCATCTGCCATCTCACATGGCATTGCCCATGTTCGGCGTACACTTGGTTTATGGACAGTTGAACACACAGTCCCTGATCTATGCAATGTTAGAATCCTGAGCTGATTTCGAACTTTAGAAGGCACAATGGCGAACAACAGTCTCAACAACTCTGCTCTCTGGTTTCGCCAATTTGGCGAACCGCTCCAGGCGCTGACTTTCGAAACAGCCGAGTTAAACAGACGCCCAATGTCAAAATTACGGGTTCGCATGTCAGCTGCGCCCATCAACCCATCTGATCTGATCCCAATAACAGGATCTTATCGCCATAGTGTGACTCCGCCACGAGTTGCCGGCTATGAGGGGGTGGGAACAGTGATTGAGGCAGATGAAGAGGCCGCAGAACTTATTGGGCGTCGGGTACTCCCTTTGCGTGGCCCTGGGACCTGGCAAACCTATGTCGATTGCGATCCCAGTTGGGCGGTTCCAGTCCCAGATGATATAGATGACGCACTGGCTGCGCGGAGCTATATCAACCCCCTTTCAGCATATCTGATGTTGAAGAGATGGCCAGTCAAAGGGAAACGGGTCCTTCTGACAGGAGCAGGTTCGGCTTGTGCTGGTCTTCTTGCTCAATGGGCATATGATGCGGGAGCAACTGAACTTGTGGGCGTATACCGTTCGCCTGAACGTGTTGCCTCTTTGACCCGGCTCGGGGTAAAGCCGATTAGCATAAGATCAGTCGCAGAGGGTCACGCAGTGGAAGAAGCAGACGTTGTTTTCGATGCGGTCGGCGGCGTGATAGGAACATCTATACTGGCCGGGATGAGCCCAGAAGGAGATTTTATATCCTACGGGCTTCTGTCAGGAGAGCCATTGCAAGCCACAGCCAACGGTGTTCAAGCACGACGCTTTCATCTGCGGGATTGCCTAGAAACCACTACACCGGCCGAATGGCAACAGTGGTTCTGCGAGTTGTGGCCTCTTCTTAGACGAGCGGAACTCCCAGACACCACCTCTTTCCCTCTTGAAGCATGGCGGGAGGCTCTATCGCTCTTTAGTGTGCCAGGCCGGTTGTCGAAGCCGGTCCTCACGATGGGATAAAGTGATGATGGACGGCCGCCAAATTGGAAGGGGGGTCTGGGCAGTTTGATCCACCGTAATTTGTACGGCAAGGTATTAATCTGCGCGTTGCGGTGGCAGCTCGTTCCGCCTGCGCCTCGTCTAGCTTCTACCATAGAGTCGGTACGCAGCAACTCACTTGGACTGCTCGGCTCGTCAAGGCCCGATCGTCTTTCTTCATTATCTCTTGGATGTGATGGAAGAGGTTCCATGCTCCTTCATGCCGTCGACGTCCCCTCAAAGTTGCGGTTGAGGGGTGATATCGCCGCTCCAACTCCAGAGCTCCATGTTTTTTTCCACTTGCCGAACAAACACGATGCGGAGGTGGGGTCTGAAGATGTGGATCACCGGCAGATACTGTGAAAATACACCTCTGGCCCCCGACCATGACATGTCCTTCGTGTCAGCACAAGAAGTCTATCGATTCTGGGTGTCGTGATTAGGCAGAGAAAACCACAACCGCAGCACTTGATCACCACTCTTGTCGCCAGTGTCGTTCTGCGAAATGGCCAGCCAATCCCAGCAAAGCCAGGACGTCTCGGTCCAGATAGGCAACTTGGAGGTCCAGGGTCTGATGAACAAAACAAACAAAGTTGCAAACTACCTGGGAATCCAATACGCAACTATCCCGGCAAGATTTCGCCAGTCCAAGCTCGTTGATCACTCAGAGCAGAGCGGTGTCCTCGACGCAACTCAGTACGGACCCAGATGTCCACAGATCACAGTAAACCGACCGGAGACAGCGCACCTATATGAGGGTGTACGACGCAGTTCCGAGTATCCTGTGGATGAGTTTGGGTGCTTGCGGCTCAATATCTATGTTCCCAAGGGCACCCTAGGTCCGTTGCCGGTGTTGGTTTGGATCCATGGCGGAGGATTCATCTTTGGAGATGGCAACTCTGAATTTGACGGAAACTACCTCGTGGAGCATGCCTTGGAACAAGGAAAACCAATTATTTTCGTGGCAATGAATTACCGATTAGGATTCTTTGGATTCCTCGCTTCAAAGGAACTGAGAGCAGAAGCGACTGCGAGCGGTGAAACCCCATATTCCAACATGGCAATGCATGACCAACGAGTCGCTCTCCTGTGGATACAAAAGCACATCCAATATTTCGGCGGCGACCCATCCAATACCTGTATTGCGGGTGAATCTGCAGGTGGGTGGTCGGTGCTCGCACACCTGCGATCGGACCTACCGGTTTGCCAAAGAGGTATCATTTTATCGAGCCCCAACCTCGATTTTCCACGACCGGAAGAGGCTCAGGAGACTTTCGACGAGCTTGTCGCCAGCACGGGGGTGTCACCTACTGCGTCTGCTGAGGAAAAGCTCACAGCTTTGCGTAAGTTGGACTCGATGGAAATAGTTCGGCTCATGGTACCTCGATTGGCTACACCGCTCTGGGACGACAAATGGTTCGTGTATCAAGATGGCAACAGGCCTATTGCAGGCCCTGCTCCATTCGCGCCGTGGGTGAAGGGCGTCATTGCCGGATCCACCAAGAACGAAGCAGCACTCTTTGGCGTCACTCAATGGCGAACTTGGTCCTCCCAACAATTTGTGGATCGTGTGAGATCCTCCTTCTCAACTGCCGAGCTGGCCCAAGAACTGATGGATGCATATGGCATCTCTTCAACGGCGCCTGCCGAGACGTGCCTCCAGGGGTTCATTGATATGGCTAGCGACAGCATCTTCTCCGGCTTGCCCTTCATCATCGCAGAAATCCCCTCTGGATCCTTGCCAATTCATCTCTACAGATTCGACCAGGCCGACACATTCAGCCAGAGCCCTCTCAAAGGATATGCCTATCATGCACTGGACAACTCGTTCTTCTGCCGACTACCAGCCGTTGCTGGTCCCGATGCCGACCCGGAAGTGAGAGAAACAGCGAATAGACTCTCTGCGGCGGTCATCGATTTTGCGCGTGGAACGCAACCATGGGAGACATACAGCTCGAAGCACAGGATTATGGTGTTCAATGGTAAGGAGAGCGGTATTGTGGAGCTCAAGGACAAGGACCGTTGGAGGCGGATTACCATGTCAGGAGACCTGGCGAGAGCGAAGGGAACGTGGAGGTCTGGCAATAAGCTGCTGGGCATCCGCCACAGTTCGATGGATCGAGCGTAAGTGGGTGTAGCCACAAGCATGGTCGGGCCAAAGTCGATAGCATTATCACTTTTCCAGGGCAAAAGAACGACATGACCATTTGTTCTCTGTAATTTGCGGATTTAAGGATACCGAAGACTGCTCCAGCTTTTCCCTGCCTCTGTTTTTGCCAGCAGCTCTTGGTCTTGGACAGGTTTTGGCATAGACCTGCGCCTACCGCTGATTGCTCAATCTACTCATTCTTTTTCAACGGATTCCTCTTGCCCCAAGGCCACGCCCTCTCCTCGGGCAGCTCCCGCGCAATCCACCTCAAGATAGCGACGTTTGTCTCCTGGGGCGCCTCCAGCGCCACCCAGTGGCCGGCATCAATACTCACGGTGGTCAGTTTCCTACAGAAGCTTTTCATGGGCTCGCAGATTTTCGAGTTGTACGTGCCGGCGACGGCGTCGTTCAGGGCCTCGACGAACAGCACGGGGACGGAGACGACGCCTTCGTTGACGGACCAGTCCTCGCACCATTGGAGGTTGACGTCGTGGTTGAGATTGTATGCGGTCGGGGCCCAAAAGCCGCCCCAGGAAAAAGCCTCAACCAGGCTCTTGTGCGTGTCGTCGTCCAGCAATCTCTCGCCCAGCTCCTCGGGCTCAGGCAGTGACTCGGCGCCCCCGAACCACCCTCCGTCCTTGACTACGCTCGCTGTGAAGGCCGGCTTGTCTCTGTCTTGCGCGGGGTCCTTGGGGCGCGAATAGACGAACTTCAGGAAACCCTCGGCGTGCTTGTCGAAGAAGGCCACGGCCTTTTCGAAGTTGTCCGGGTCCTCGTAGAAGATGTGATGCGCCCACTGCGCGTGCGGGTATTCGTCCTCCGGGTACAGCTCGCGGTTGGCGTACTTGAGGAGCTCGCGCACGCCCATGTCCAGCGTGCGGTAGGGGATGGCCATATTGGCGACCCCGAGGCAGACCTCCGGGTTGTGCGCGAGCAGTGCCCACACGACGCCGGCGCCCCAGCCGTGGCCGACCCAGACGGCCTCGCCGCGGCCCAGGTGCCGGAGGAGCGCCAGCATCTGCCACACGACCTTTTCCAGCGCGTAGTCCTCCTTGTCCTTGCGCTTCGGCCCCGACTGCCCGTACCCAGGCAGGTCCGGGGCGACGGCGCGGAAGCCCAGGCCCGCGAAGGCGGTCAGCTGCGGGCGCCAGATCGCGGCGGCAGCGGGCCAGCCGTGGACGAACACCAGGAGGGGGCCATCCTCGGGCCCGGCGTCGAGGTACGAAACGGTCTTGTCGAGCTTGGTGAATTCGTGCCGCGAGATCTCTGTTGTCGTCGTGGTTGAGGTGGAGGTGGAGGTTGAGGGTGTGGTTGAGGACGTCGTCATCATGATTTGAGCATCCCTTCCTACGTATAATCAAACACGCTGGATCGAGGAGTGTCCCATGTCCCGTGAACCTCGTAGCGTCAGACGCGGATGATCGGGCCTTATTTACCCCCTCTAATATGCGAACCCCTCTCCGCCATCTTCCCGGTTAAATACCCAGGTTACTCGCTAATTTCCATTTACACTTTGATCCCCGAGGGTGAGCGAAGGCCGCTTTAACCTGAGCTTTAACTGAGCCTTCAGCTTACGATCGCTGAGGGCTCCCCGAGCACTCCCTGAGCAACACGCGGGGGGCCAAATATGGCCCCTAGCAATCGGCTAAACCTGCATGGCTAGGAAGGAGAGCGGCAAGGCACAAAATTAGTAAGGCAAGGGGATACCATGACTAGTCACGTGGAAAAGTACCAAAAAGGAAAGGGGGCCGGGGTGTTAAAATACAATGGAAGGCAGTCTGACACTAGCGCGCCAAGAAAATCGGTGAACTCGAATCGGTGTCAACCAATGTGGTGGCTTGTAAACAACCAGGGCTTTCTTGCCCTAGTGCTTTCCATTTTGGGGAACAAAGCGTTGCAGGCAACAAAGTCTCCTTTTTATGTTGTAGGAAGCTTCTCTTTGGCATTGTTCGACTCATAGTGCTTAGATCAGAAATTGCTACCATGTCCCAGCGCCGAGTTGCCAGCTCTAAAACTACATCGAGGCCCAGAGGTGCAGCTACGGCTTCGCCTCCTATACGCCAGTCCAAGAAGCGTAAACTCAATGCACTATCGTAAATCATACCTCACCTACTATGGTTTGTGGAGATGTGGGTTTACTAACATAGAAACTTTACAGCATCGCAGATCAGGAGATCGTCACGGTCTCCGTTGAGCCTCGTGGAGAGGAGCCTCATCAATTCAAGATTCACAAACCCGTCCTGTGCAGTCACTCCCCCCGATTCCGTGACTTCTTCGAAGATGAAGCCGAGGCGAAAGTGATGGTCCTGTGGGAAGTCAGTGTTGAAGGATTTGAGACCTTTTCGAGGTGGCTGTACACCAAGAAGCTGGCTGTGGAGGAGATGGAGCAAGAGATGGAGAAAGCTGGGGAAGATAGTGGTGAAACTGCAGAAGACTCCGACGACAGTGGAGAGCGAGGAGACCGCGGGCTAGATGAAGGAGAAGAAAGAGATGGCGGCGACACTAGCCTGACCAATGGAATGCAAAAAAATCAAAACTTTCCTCGCGAGGCTGACATCGAGGCTGACAGCGAGACCGCAAACGACAGCAAGACCCGGTATGCAGGAGTCAACCGCAAAGGACGTGTGTTCGCTCGGCTGTTGGATCTGTACATTTTTGCGGACACGTACAAAACGGTCAGCTTCAAAAACGTCGTCATGCTCGGATTCCAACGTTACGTCGCCTCTTCAGAAATTTTGCCACATCCCACGATCGTCAAACACGCTCTTGACAACCTTGACTTCGAATCACCAATGTGCAAATACCTTACCCGTTGCTATGGTCACTACACCGACTTCAAGAAGGCGAATAAGAAACGCTTCGCCACGCTATCTCCAACTTTTCTCACAGAGGTGCTACTGATTGCTTTCCGAAGGATCGATGCGCCTGATGTCGATGATTGGGACGATAACTGGTGCGATTATCATGAACATGAGAGTGATCAGAGTCGCGCAGACTGTAAAAAAGAGAGGCCTGAGGACGCTGATATTGTGAAGAAGCAGCCGAAACCCCGCCGCCGCTGGGGAGGTTGTTGTTGAACACGTCAGTCTCGAAGACTCGTTTAGAAGTTGGAATGATAGACCTTTCGGATTTGTGCGCTTCCAGCCCTTGCAGCACCAGCAGTGCCGGCACAGTTATTCCAGGAGGGCAAACTGGTCTTCTACTAGGCACTCGAACGAAGTAGGTGGAAATCCATCGTTGCAGCCTAAGGGTATCATAGGAGGAGCCCAACTGTACAGTCTAGGTAGAATAGAAAGGCGGGCGGATTAGGACCTCCTAGCATCCCGAATGAATCCCATCGTGTGAAGTTGACCAAAGTTAGTGTTGAGTGAAGAGGGAACGTCGAGGCTCAGGGGAGGCTCTGGCGAGCCGACGGTGAACAAATCGACGAAGGACTTTGTCACGTGGGGAAGATGGGTCGCGACGATTTTCGTGCGACCCTACGCTGGACTACCTCTATTACTCGAGAACGAAAAACCTAATTGGCATATACGGTTTGATCCTAGAGGGTGGGTGAGGGCTACTTTAACCTGAGCTTTGCTGAGCTATTAATTGAGCATCACTGAGTGCTCCCTGGGCACTCCGCGGGCGACACGTCGTGGCCCAATCTGGCCCCATAGAACCTAAAACGAGAGGAGCGCGTTAGACGTAGTAGTGAGAGAGGAGTAGCTGTTGTCGGGATTCTAGTCTGTTGACCAGCCGAAAGCCTGGACAACGTAGTCCATAAAATCGAGCATCTTGTGCAGTCGACGGGCAACGAGCGCATCAGGCGCCTACCGTAGGTCGTAATATATTGTAGCTCGCTGTGAACACCTAGCCAGGCCTGCTACGGCGGCAGCTATTTGCTATATCTTAAAATCTTGCGATGCGAGGTAAGCTGAGTTTCAAATATCACTTGCACTGCCGCGAAGTCGACAGTACAGTCTCTACGGTGGAAGTACAACACTCCTGCTGACAATCTCCTACATTTGTCGCCACGCATTGAGCCGTACTAGGCGCGATCTTCATCCGTCCCCGTCGATCTCATCGCCTTCAATCACCAGAGAGCACTGGAACTATGCATCGTCAGCTACCTATTGCGGAAAAACTGATGGATCATCTCCAACAGAGAAACAGTCACGTATTGCGGCATAGCCACTAGATCTTCATCAGTGGCGGGCGAGCATCGTGAATGCTACATCAAAGCATTCACGGCGTGCTCGCTTCCGAGCTTTCTTTCTTTCTTTCTTTCGTTCTTTTGCTTAATCAAGTGCTGCCCAGATGAGTCAAAACTGCTTGCACCTCAATGCGGATTGGAGACGGGGTTGAAGCCGCCCTGTGCCGTTATGCCTCAAATCGGGCTTAATGTCCCGGCTAGTCGCCAATTTATTTCATTCAACGTACGGAATACTCGGTGTATAGACCTTAGCTGGATACACATCTATACGCCTCTCTGTTCGTACACGTATATTCCTGCCCTTGTCACCATCATCGGGCAGCCGGTGGATGGCCGCCCCAACTGTGGTGACAGGGTGGATCGGCAATAATCCTTGGTGCAAAACCGAAAGTTCGTATAAGGTAAGGCGTTGCCGAAATTCGGGACCGACTGTGGAGCATTCGGGTAACGCAAACAGCAGGGCATAAAGATCTCAGTTCAGGCTAGTGAGACGGGAGGTAGAATTGCCAGTGCAGTGAATTGTCCCGTGAGGAACGTGGGCCACAGTTACTTGATGTTGATTGAAGACAATCTTTCAAGGTGTACTGTGCTGTGGCCGGTACGAAAATTCGCCGTCATCGAAAAGGCCTATTTGGATAACATCGAACTACTACTACTCCCCGGTGATCATGGTATTGATCTCTAGAATCCAGCTACAATGCAGGTAAAATCCGCCACAGACGAAAAGAAACCCAGTGGTCAATGCGATCTGGTGCAGATGATCCCAATGAACGGCGATATCGATCCTCAGACAGTTCCGACCGTGCTCTCGACCACTATCTCCTCGACGGAGGTGTCTGCCCCTGTTCATTCAGTTTTCACCTCGAATCGAAAACGATTCATCGTCTTCATGGCATCATGGGCTGGCTTCTTTTCTGCCGTCTCAGCCAATATCTATTTTCCTGCCTTGAATAGACTCTCGCGCGATTTGCACGTGTCGGACACTCTCATCAATCTGACCCTCACCTCATACATGGTAAGTTTCGCGCAATTAATCACAACTGATACATAACTTTTGCAGATGGGATTCTAGCTGATTGAGTCTAACTACGTAGATATTTCAGGGTCTGACGCCTGCGTTCATGGGAGATTTTGCAGATTTTGCAGGACGACGTCCTGCTTATACTGGTAACCGCTTGTTCCGCCCCTACTGTCTCCTACTCACTTTGGCTCATGTTCTAGTATGCTTCACAATATACATCGCAGCCAATATCGGCCTGGCCCTGCAAAACAGCTTTACAGCCCTCTTCATGTTACGATGTATGCAAAGCGGCGGTAGCAGTGCGACCATTGCCATGTCCAGTGGGATCGTCTCCGATATCGCAACAGCGGCAGAAAGAGGCAGCTACATGGGCTATACACAGGCTGGATTGCTCCTGGGGCCAGCCATTGGACCCGTTATAGGGGGTTTATTAGCTGCCCGACTTGGGTGGCGAGCTATCTTCTGGTTCCTGGTAATCCTGGGCACTGCATTTATGAGTGTATTTGCTGTTTTCTTTCCAGAGACAGGCAGGTTCAACGATGTCTTCAGACTGCGTAGTCTGAGCCTTGGTCGCTGATATTTTTCTAGCTCGAAATCAAGTCGGAAACGGCTCGATTCCCCCGAAGGGCTGGAACATGTGTCTTATGGACTACCTGGCCCTTCGCAAGTCTCGAAGCTCCTTGAACCCGAACACGCGCGGTTCCCAAGGGAAAATCAAATTACCCAACCCACTCCGCTCCCTCTATATCATATACGACAAGGAGAACGCATTGTTACTGTTCTACAACGCCTTCCTCTTTGCTGCCTTTTACGACGTCACAGCCGCCATTCCATCGCAATTCACAGAGATTTTTGGTTTCGACGAACTTCAAATTGGGTTGTGTTACATCCCTTTCGGTATAGGGTCAATGTCAGCTGCGTTGATAAACGGGCAGCTACTTGACCGCAATTTTGCGCGATGGTGCAAGAAATTGGGCGTTCCGATCCGCAAAGGGAGGGACCAGGACCTGAGCCATTTTCCGATCGAGAAGGCTCGTCTTCAGATCGCGTTAGTCGCCGTCTACTCGACTTGTGTCTTCGTATCCATCTTCGGTTGGTTAATTCATTTCGAGTGCCCCTTGGCGCCTGTACTCGTGGTCCTCTACTTCTCCAGTCTCAGTATGTCCCTTGCGTCTAACGTCACGAGCACGCTTCTTGTCGATTTCTATCCTCGGACCCCGGCGACTGCCATTGCTGCGAATAACTTCGTCCGATGTATCCTAGGGGCCGGGGCGACCAGTGCAGTCGTACCTATGATTAACGCATGGGGACGGGGTTGGACCTTCACTTTCTTGACGCTCTTCTTGGTCACCGCGAGCCCAATGTTGTGGCTACTTTACTTTCGCGGAATGAAGTGGAGGACGCAGCGGAGGCAGAGAGAAGAGAAAGTCCACAAGGAGACTGGAGGGGAGGCCATCGAAACTGCCTAAAAATATCCCCGGCAGTCTTGTATGGACCCTATTGTGAGATCAGACATCCAGGTGGTGAATCAGGAAACGGTCTGGGCGACAAGCACGTGAAGGGATTAAAGGTTGAAGAATCGAAGAAACAGATGTGATGCCGACCCCAGGATCAAGCCTCGCATCACTAGTGGTGAACTGCATGCTCTCTGGAAAGATGGCACAGGGGAGCTCCCGCAATTATCTGAACAAATACGTACATATATACGAAGGACAAGAGCCTGTGCACTGACAACCGAAGGCTTGCTCGGCCTTATGCTGATATACTCACAGAGCATGAGAATGATTCATAGTTGTGACATATCTACTCCCCAGGCACGCCCCACCAAGGCGGCTCCACACTCAAGTCCCAGCACCGCCATGCTGGGTCTGGGTAGGTTGACCAGTCTTGGATGCTGTATGGATATAAATTTGGATTAGACTGAGCCTCGGCCATCGCGACGCCCATATCGTTTGTAGTTGAAAAAGCTGTATCCAATTCCTTTTCCACCGAGCCTGGTGGTCCATTCAACATCGAAGATGAAACGTCGCTTCGAAGGTTGTCCGTGTTGCTGTCTCTCTCGCGGGTTTTCGGCATCGAATTCAACCGGCGCCAGTGGATCGCTGAGGCAAGTAGCTCAAGCCATAGTGAAGCACCCAAACGAGATTCAACTGAGTACCTGCCGCTTGCGGACTCAATGACCCCCTTTTTACAGAGAAGTTCCACCATACCTGCCACTCTCTCATACTCGTCGCCCTCTGTCGTTGAGCACGACTTGATTGCGCAGTGACCGAGACGGATAGAATTATTGACCTCTCCTAGCTCTTGCGGCGAGATCTGATTGAGCATCGATATCTTGAGCAGCGTCAGAAGAGCTGCATAGACGGATCGAAAGTAGAATTTATGACAGTATTTCTGCAGGCATAGTCCGGGATTAGAGGTGTTCAGGGTTGGCAACGGCGAGCTCACGTAGATGTTGATTAGTCGACAGGCGCACTTCGCTACCGAGCTTTGAAGGAGAGTATGATCCAGGTCTGGGGTTGACGCCGAGGGAGGTTGGCGCAGCGAAAAAGCGTACATATTGAGGCGGATGCTCAGGAGGACGAACTCGACGCTGCAAGTCCACTGACCTCGTGCTCGCCGAAGGGTTGCTGCCAAATTTTCGAGGTCCTTGTCCAGCAGACGGGTTGTCCTCGTTCGATAATTGTTGTCCTTCGTCTTGTCTCCCAGAGAATCGTTGATACGACTGATGTAAAGAGCTAATCGCAACTTCGAAAGAAAATCTGGTGGCAGGCAGGCTTCGTCGACGGGTTTAATGTCCAGACTATCGAAAGGGACAAGACAAGGGAGGCCAAATTCACAACTTAGCCTGGAGAATAATTAGAGCTTGAAATATTAGCCTAGCCACGGACGGAATGCTCACATCGCATTGACAAAACACCATGCTCGCCAGATTCGTGTGTGTTTTCGCTCGTCCGCAGAGGACTTGGAATAAGTCAATCCATGGTATTCTTGCTCGTAGCCCACTCGATGAAAGCCCGCTTGCATTGCCATCTGCATAGCCATGCCGCTATGCACCCAGCGCATATCGTCAGATTGACGATTGACTGGAAGAGGCCACATGCTCAGAATAAGCAATGCTTGCATAGTGTGTACAGAGTCATCCCGTTGAGACATAAGCTTGCCTAAAAGCATAGGCATTTTCTTGCACAAGCTTTGAAAATGAGTATGGTGGGACTCAAGATTTCGGGTCGCCGTGAGAATAATGACCCAAAATAGCAGGGGACTCGCATCAAATACTGCGGGCGCATCGATGTCTTTTTCTAACATGGGCAGCTGGTCGTGGTAGTACATAAAGAACCTGGCGAGGTATGGTCAACAGACACAGCTGTCCCCAGGAATTGTGTCCCAAATTGCTGGCTACTCACTCTTGGAAGAGCTCGCCGACGTCACTTTTGGAAAGAGTCAAATCATTGAGCTGAAAGGTTTGGGTCATAGCCGAGATTCTGGCTGGACTTGTCGAGGTAGATTCTAAACACGTGCCCTGCGTGGGAGTGGTATTGACACATGGGTTGGTGTGGAGTTGAATAGACGGGAAGTTGGAATCATTCAGAATGTCAATCTCTCTTTGCTGTGGCTGTCTTTGCTGCTGCCGAGGGTGGGCGCCTGCCATCCTGCAGAGCTCCCGCGAGAGCAGCTCCATTCGGCTGCTCAAGGATGTGTGTTAGCAACAATGGATATCGGTGTAAATTAACCTGGATGCTGACTTCACTGTTGATATCCGTCTGTAATTCGCATCTATCTTGCACGTACGGTTGCGAGACGCACATCGTGCACAAGGGTCTGGAAATGTGGCGGAAGCGTTGCAGCGCAACTGCGGATTGCTTTAGCAAATCTGAGGAGCATGAAAATGTCATACAGGCACCTACCTTGTCCTGGCGGCATAAGATGCATGCAGCAGGTCGCGTCATGATGCCTCAAGAGATATGTTCGTGGTTCTGAGATGGTCTGGTCAGGATGCAAAAGACCGCGCCGTAGGGCGCCATTTCGAGGGGAATAAAAGATGGAGGCGACGCCAAGCTCAAGCGTGCCCCGCGTTGTGGGCAGTGTCTCCAATCCACCCTGTACGATATGCACTTTAAGCATGCAGCCAGAGCGTCCTCAGGGAGAGAAAGGGATTGGCGGATGTTCTATGCATGCTATTTTCCGTTCTATTCATGATGCTCCTCACAAACACAAGGCAGCGACAGACTTTAGCATCCAGGTTTGTAAATTTTCCAAGCGCGTGCATGCTTTTGCTTTTGAAAAACTCGATGTCGTTACATCACCCACCCCGCACCCATCGACATCATCAACGCCGACACATGCTCATATACAGTGAAGACAATTCCTCCGCTGAAAATCAGCCTTCCCAGCCGCATTGTGCTGCCCCGCCAGAAGCCTCTCACCCCGCCATCCTTCCATATCCACCGCACCGCCTCGCTGAGCGCTTGTCCCTGCACGCCCTGCGTCCGCGTTTTGACCGTGTCAAAAGGCTGCGTCGCGTACACCGTGATCGTCCCCGCAGCGGCGCCCATGGCGAACGTGACCAATGTGTTCGGAATCTTCGACGTTACGCCGTCGTTTTTGGTTTGCGAGGCGGCCACCACCTCCTTCAGAACATTGTACGTCCCCATGCGCACAGCTGATGTTGCTGCTTGCTTGAGCGTTGTCGATAGAAGGCCACGATAAACCTCGGTGATGCCGCGCTCTGAGACGATGGTGCGGAGGGCGTGGAAGCCACCTCGATGGCGCTTCGCACCGGCAGAGGATGCGTCGTCGATTCTGTAGTCATGGCAAATCAGCACAAATCTGCCGAAGGATTGGGGAACTCTTACAAGGCTGTCTTGATGCGCTCCGTAGGCGTCACTGCCACAGCACTCTCAACGACACCGGCCACCATGCCGGCCAGGATGCCGCGCCCTGGAGACAACCTTCCATCCTGGTCGATCAAGAGATTCCGTATGGAGTCAAACGACATGAAGCGAACGCCTGCCTTGAACATAGTGCCCTGTTCCGCCGGTCAGATGACGTGGAGAACGACTTCTGGAGACGAGGCTGCACTGACTAGAATCAAAGTCGAGCACCCGGTGTAGATGGCCGACACGCCGTCCTGACGAGCCACCTGGGCGAGAACAGCGAAGGGGTTCTTTGAAACCACGGCCCCAGGTTGAACGTTTCGGTGCAATTGTGACAGTGTCTTGGCGAATTCCATCGGATACTGTAGGACGGCCTGCCGTCAGCTCTCTGTTCTCCGTTACCCAACGATTGAACTTGGTTTTGGGGGAGCGTGCCGTGGCTGTGGCTTCGACGGCGCCTGCGATGGCACCAGAAAGCAAGGAGACTCCAGGAGGGATCATCTGCTTCCTGGCTTTTTCCACTGGGTGAGGGTTGGCCACTGGGGCTGCAACGGGCAGGAAGGCTGCATTGCCAGCCATGATGGAGCTCCCAAGATGTTACCCTTCTTCCCAACTCAAATGCATGGGACAAGTCGACGGGGACTCGAGCTTCGGGGGAGACAAGAAGTGCAGCATCTCTATACACTCAATGTCTTGACTACCACAAGGCTGCAGATAGATTAGGGAGAACGGCTAACACGGGAGATTTGACCCCCTGCCAATGGATCAACTGGCCCACGCACACAGTACAACTCCAAACAACCACTGTCACCCCGCAAATGGCTCATTGCCGACTGCTTGTGGTCCGAGTGGGCACTCGGCCTATAGCCGACTGCTAGTTACCAATTGAATATTCGGCTTATTGCCGACTGCTTATTGTCGAGCTTCAGTGTGGTGATATATGTGTCTTAGCGAACCCTTGAGAAATCCGCCCCAACAGCCTCACTGGAATCAGGGCAGACTATCGACCGATTAGAAACCTAATCCGAAGAAACCGAAAGACCGCAACAGACTACGAAGCTGATATGGCGCCACCGACTGGATCCTCGCTTGGCCTCTTCGTAGCCCTCGAGGGCACTGGGCTGGTTGAGCTCTCATTTGACCCTACCAAATCCACCCAGGAGTCTTTGTCGGTCATTTCAGTTTGCACTGATGCCGGTCACATGCCAAACTGGGTTACTTCGCACGGCAACAAGATTTACAGTATCAGTCGCACCGCTTATCCTGACGGCCGATTCAGCTCCGGCGGCGTCCACAGTTTCCAACACGACGGGACCCGCTTGACTGCCATCAGTCACACGAGCAGCCATGGCAAGGGGGGATGCCACCTCAGCGTCAGCCCAGACGGAAAGGCTCTGGTCGCTTCCAACATCGCCGGGTCTACCATTTCAGTCTATCCCTTGGCCGAGGATGGGTCTATTGGCGAGCCAACCTACGTGTTCGACTACAACAAATCGGATCCCGACTTTCCAGCGGCCCATCCTCACCAGACATCCTTCGACTCATCTGGGCGGCTTATGATAACCTCGCTTCGAACCATGGATTGCCTGGATATCTACTCTTACGAGAGCCCTCAGGACATCAAGAAGATCCAAAGAATCGCCCTACCCAAGGTCGTGGGACCTCGCCATTTCGCCATCAGGTCCATCAATCCTTCCAAGGCCTTCTTGTACGTGCTGAGCGAGAAGGACAATTCGATCCGTGTGTTCAGCTTGGATACGAAGGATTTGGACTCGCAGATCACCGTCGATCTCAAACAGGCCATCTCGACCATGGGCAAAGACCTTCCGCTCACCCCACCAGATTTCAAGGACTTGGCTTCCGAGATTGCCTTCAGCGATGACGGCAAATTTCTCTATGCCTCTAACCGAGGCTTCCAGAGCTTGGAGAATGACACCATCACAGTCTTCTCGATCGACGACGGATCTGCTGAGCACCATTTGACACATGTAGACACTCAACGAAGCTACGGCAAGCATCCACGGATGTTTGCCTTGTCCAGGGACAAAGACAACCAGTGGGTGGCGGTGGCCAACCAGTTCAGCCAAGACCTTGTCATCTTTGAGAGGGATTCGCGAACGGGCCGCCTGGGCAAAGTAAGAGGAAAGATGGACGTCAGGACCGCTGAAACCCGCCAGGCTTCGCCAGACAAGGTCAAGTTCGTGCAAAAGATGAACCTGGAAGGTGTGGTAACTATTCGTGATTGTCTGAAGGGGCGATTGGAGGGGCCCATGTGCGTCTCGTGGAAATAGGTTGGTCGGCGCACCGTCAGAGTCTGCCGCGAATGAGAGACGCGCCTCGTTAGAACGCATCAACCGACACGATGTTCGCGATCCTTTTGCGCCTCTAGCCTGAAGCTATGCACAGGGCTGCCTGATCGTTGCTCAGTACGACAGCTCAGTGAATCCATAAGGGGGGCCTACCTTTGTAAGTCGAGGCGTGCGATTAAACTAGATAGTAAGGGACATACATTTTCGCAGTATCTGGCCCTTTCAAAATCAAATCCTCGCACGTTGACAAATCTATATGTCTCACAGTAAGGAAAAAATCAATTTTCAAAGCATCTGCGCGAGGTGTACGCTGGTTTTCGCCGCGAAAAGCCCGCACATATTTTCGGTGTGCCACAAGGCTTAAAGCACGATCCCGGGGCGGATAGCTGCGAAATAAAATATCATTCTTAGGCAACGGCGTTCCCTTACTCAGAAAATGCTTCGAAGGATTGGGATCAGTTGAAGATCCTTTACTCATCGGATGTATGTTTAGGATCATGCAGAAACCACAAGAGCTAAACGCATGCCTGGTTGTTGCAACTTAACAAAGTCGCAGCACCATGGAAGAAAAAGGATCGGCTACCTAGTCAACTATCATCTGGTCGAAAACCGTCTTGATATCCTGGCTGTCAGCAATAGTGTTTGCAATCTGCCACACCTTGTCCGTCTTTTCTCCCAAGGTCGGACCAGCCAGCTGCTGGAACTTGACCTTGATGTCGTCCCGGTTCATCGGGTTCAAAGGTACGCCCTTGGGGCTCTTGCAGTGGACCTCGCGCGTTGTGCCATCAAGGAACGTAGCAACGGCTCGAATCTGGAGAATGCCAGGATACTCGGACTCGATCTTGTCGTCGACCACGACCTTAACCTTCTGCATCACCTGGCGCACGTGAGGCCTCGAGAGCTTGTCGTCATCGTACGACCGTAGGTCGATATTGCCGTCCATGAGTGCCGTCGTAAAGATGTAAGGGAGACTGTGGTCGGCAGTCTCGTGCGTGGTCGGTGCCCACTTGGCCGGCTCGCTGCCAGACTCGTGCCAGAGGAAGCGCGAGGTGTGCAGCACAATCTCGCGGATTTGCGAGGCATCCAGACCCTTGCGCAGCTCTAACGCGGCCCAGATGCTGATCTGGCAGTTGGCCGTTGCAGGGAAGTACTTGAGTGCGGTCCGTAGGATAGCCCACTTGCCAAACTCCCCCAAATTCATCGGGCCAGCCTTGCCCTCGAAAATCTCAATATATCCGTGGCGGCCCTCGAAAGGGGCTGACGGTGCCGTCAAACCGCTCTCAGCGAGTTTACACGCAAAGACAGCGGCGCGAGAGCTCACCGCGGTCGCCACGCCCTTATAATGGGAAAGCTCACCTGCACGGCTCGCCCGGAGCGGGAGCCCGTTTGTGGCAGCCAGCGACACGGTGGCCGCCGTCTTCGCCTTGTCGTACTGGAGCATGTGCGCGATGCCGGCGGCCGATGCCGTTGCCACGTAGAATCCCTGGTCTATGGACAAATTGTCGACTAGGGCGCCCTTGTGCTTGTAGTATTGCCTGCTTTTGAAGATAAGTAAGTGGAACACTTCGTAAGCGACGGCAATGCCACTGAGCAAGGTGCGGCCAGGAAGCCGGTGGGCGCCAGCGACAGCAATGAGGGGTCCGAACATATCACTAGGGTGGCCACCAGTCAGGGAGTCGTTGCAGTCGGCGTATCGAATCATGGACGTATTCCAGAACGCGGCCATATCGAGTGTCGCAGAGGCCTTGGTGCCAATGATGGTGCCCGGAGTGCCTCGCGGAATGTCGGTTATAGCGGCGGCCACGCGCGCGCCAGGGCATTGGAAGCCTGCATAGGCGCAAGCCAGAGAGTCAAGGAGGATGTCATTCGCCTTTTCCAGCACGTTGGCAGGGATCTGCTCAGGCCGGACGCTGGTGGCGAACTCGGCGATACGTTCCAACGTCGCGTCCATGGTTGTCGATTACTTCGGCTGTGCGTGATCCGAAGGAGACCCGTTGGAATGAGAATGAAAGTGAGCCTCGACCAGAGCCACGTTCGCAACGATATCAGGTTTATGAGACAGTGGTATGTCCTTCCACGACGCCCATTATTGTACAGCGGGCCGCGAAAGTTCTTTAAGGAGTCGGGTTCGGCGAGAAAATTTGCTCAGTCAAGACTAGGCATGGTGCAATGGATGACTCGACTCACTTAAGTTCAGTTTGTCAATCTTTGCCCCGATACACTGCGCTGGGAGCTTCGGCTAACTGCCGTGTTGCTTTGGTTTACGTGCTGGAGCAATGACTATGGCGGCGCGTGCGCGTCGGAGGAAGGGTGCAGCGGTGGCCCTCGGGGTGGGCCGGGGATTCTCCGAAGTCGGCTAGCGTAGAAGTTGAGTTGGTCGGACGATTAAAGGGAATGGACCGTGCAACGAGGTGTTTATGAAGTGTCCATTGGCTTTCCGTAAGTGACTGTCCCCGGTCATTTTTTGACAGTGATACATTGACGTGTTTCGAGCATCAGGCTCGTCGATGAACATTCCTTCGTGGAGCTACACCACCCACGTTCTCTGACCACACGACCTTCGCCATGGCTCACATCGACCAGGTCGGAATTCCATGCGCCTACATTCGTGGTGGCACCTCCAAAGCCGTCTTCTTCCACGAGAAAGACCTGCCAGCACCGGGTCCTTTGAGGGACACGGTCCTCAAACGACTTATGGGCACGCCAGACTCGCATCAGATTGACGGTATGGGCGGAGCGACGACACACACGTCTAAGGTCGCACTTATTAGTCCTCCTAGCCGAGAAGATGCGGATGTCGATTTCACGTTTGTCCATATTTTCATCGAGAGGGACGCCGTATCCTACACCGGCAACTGCGGTAACATCTCATCTGCGGTCGGTCCATTCGCCATCGACGAGGGGATTGTCAAGGTCCACCGCAAAGGTCGAATTATCAACGACAGCTTAACCACTCGAGAGGTCCGTATTCACAACACAAACACTAAGAGCATCCTCATCTCTCACGTTACTGTCGACCCAGTCACTGGATTCTCTCTCACAAGCGGTGCATCCAGCATTTCCGGTGTGCCCGGCACGAGCGCGCCCGTCTTAATGGATTACAGTAACGTAAGTGTCCTATATAGAGACCATGTCGAGTACGCTCAAAGCTTATGGCTGACGCTTCACAGAATACAGGAGGCGTTCTCGGCAGGGGTTTACTCCCAACCGGCGAGGTTCTCAATCATGTCACAGTGGAGGGCAAGAGTATCGAGATCAGCATTCTCGACGTCGGAAACGTCACTGTCTTTGTGCGCGCCGCGGACCTAGGTCTAACGGGCACCGAGCCAGCGGGCCAGATCACCGCCAACCGCGAGTTCATCGCTCGCTGTAAAGAGCTTCGAGGCAAGGGTGCCCGGCTTGTCGGTATGTGTACAGACTGGAGACTCGTGGACGAGCAGGCTACTGGCTTGCCGGTCGTAACTTTGGTGGCCCCGCCGGCACACGAGCAGGTCGACGTGAACGCGAGACTAGTGTATGTGAACCGCTGCCACGACACCATGGCTGGGACAGGCGCAATCTGCTTGGCAGGGGCAAGCCGAGTGGAAGGCACCGTGGTCTGGAACACGCTGAGTGACAGCAGTCGAGCTAGTGATGTCCTCCGAATTAATCATCCTGCCGGTCCGATGCCGATCAAAGTGACCAGAGCGCAAGGAGAGAAGAGGGAACAAGGTGCAGAGTATGAAGTGCTGGCGTTTGAGCGAACATCTAGACGTTTGATGACAGGGATCGTTTTTGTCCCTAAGGAGGTGTGGACGGGGCCAGCATGATCAGACATGTATGAGCTGAGATTGCCTCGTGATCTGTTGAAACCATAGTTATTTTTGATCTATTGTCGCCCTTGACTGTGAACGTCCCATGGATGCATGTCTGTGCATCAATCAGCTTTTTCATGTAGCTTCGGACCGGGTACAACCTCTGCATCTCGTCGTGTCGTGTTGAAGACTTATTGAGAGACGAGATCAGGCCCAGGTATATCTGATCCACGGCGTACTACGACTTGTGGTGAGGAAAATTCTCTTAGCGGGTCACTGTATGCCCAACCAGCTGTGCAGCCTGCAGTCCGCCCCGCCCACTCAGGTCCAAAGCACCTAAATGGCCAAGTGGTGTTGCCTCTGCACTCAAAGAACTGGGACCATTGACTGCCCGAGAACTTCGAGGAACGAGGGTTTTGGACTGTCCAGCGTGGTCCCCGGGCAGCTAAACCCTGATTTTGGTCGACAGTCCCGCACGCACGCAGTATCACTCAACTTATCGAGCTTGGCGCTATCTCGCCGACACGCGGGCACAATCCTGGTAAGTGATTCGTAACCGACTTTACCGAATTGCGGGGCAACATTCGGCTTCACCCCGAACGAGGCAGGGGGGCATCGTCCCCAGAGTTCTGGGCCGTGCCCACAAGTATACCCCAGTCCCGCAGTTGGCAAGACTTCGACCTCAATTCAGTCGAGCATCACATATAATACGACCTTCCGCTCCCTGAGGATTAGTTCACCCAACCTCAACCTGCACTGCCATCCTCCATCCTCTATTCACATCGCCAGCCCTTGTCTCACCCTCCTTGTTCTTCTGCCTTCTCTTCTTGCATCCGCAAAGATGTCTGATCCCGACGCCGACAAGGGCGCGGCAAGCAGCGCTGTCTTTGTCGAGCTTGCCTCTGGCAACAATGGCGAGGTGGATGTCAAGCAGCAGAGCGGTCTGGCTCAGCATGTGAACATCGAGAAGACGCCGGAGGAGATTGCGGCCGAGAAACGCTTCCTGCGCAAGTGCGACATGCTCATCCTACCCTTGCTGTCCACCATGTACTTTCTAGCCAGTCTGGTAAGCATGCCTCCCGAGATACGATGCCACAGCAGGCAAGGAAAGGTCTAACACTCGTCTCAGGATCGTGGTGATATCGGTTTTGCCGAATCAGCGGGCATGAAAGAGGCTCTCAATCTCACCCCCCACAAGTTCAGCAACGTTGTCTCTTTCTTCTACGTCGGCTACATTGTCTTCCAGATGCCCGGTGATATGTTCATGAAGAAAATTACACCTCCGGTTCAGCTTGGCATTGCCTTGATTTCCTGGGGGACCTTCACTACCCTGTATGTTCTCTTGCTTCCTCTCGAGCTTACTTTTCATGTTCCGGATGCTGACAAAGACAGGATCGCTACGACCAATACCTACTCCCAGGTCGCTGGACTTCGATTCCTCATCGGCGTGGGCGAGGCCTTCCTCCAAGCTGGACCTATCTATCTCACGCTCTGGTACAGGCGCGAGGAGTTTGCTTCGCGAAGCGGCTGGTTCTTCGGCACCGCTGCGCTCGCTGGTGCCTTCAACGGAGTTATCTGTTATGGTATCATCAAGAACCTCGACGGAGCAGCTGGTCTTCCCGCCTGGAAATGGATCTTCGTCATTGAAGGTGCGAAGATCGTGAAAATCTGTCCACCCGGGCCCACGTGGCTTTTAAAATAGCCCAGGCTGACTTACTCCAGGTGTTATTACGATTGCGTTTGGGTTCGTCATCTTCTTCCTCCTTCCAGGGGCCCCCGAGAGGCTTCGGTGGGGTTGGACTGCGGAGGAGAAGGAATACGCCATTCGCCGGACAAGGGAAGCCTACAACATTGAGGGAAACAAAATTCACCCCAAGCACATCCTTGACCTTTTCAAGACCCCTAAGCTCTACCTTTTCCGTAAGTATTCACCCTTCTTAGCCGAGCAACTATGACCCTCGACTCATGCACTCTAGTTACCCTCTTCTGCACCCTTCAGATCAACTGGAGCTGCTTTCAGACTTTCTTGCCTGTTCTACTCGAGACATTCGGTTTCTCGAAGCTCAACACGCAGCTGCTCGCTATACCCGTCTTCGTTTCTGGCGCCGTCTCGACCGTCCTTCTTGGTTACGCATCCGATCACTACCAACAGCGCGGAATTTTCATGTTTGGCTGCCTGACATGCGACATTATCGGTTGGATCTTGCTCATTTCAAGCCACACGACTGCACAATCCCTTGTTGGATGCTTCTTGATAAGCCTTGGTGCGTTCCCGGGTATCATACTCTTGCAGGCTTGGGTCAACGCCAACACCATCGGCTTCACCAGAAGGTACGGCAGTCGAGGCTCCACTCAACTTTTCCCAGTGGTTGGATTCGTTACTAACAAGCATCTGCAGGGCTGGCGTTTTTGCCATTCTTTCCATGGTCGCCCAATCCTTGAATATTGCGGCTGCTCAGATCTATAGCGATGCGCCTCACTACTACCGAGGCGACGGCTTCGTGCTGGGCGTTGTAGTGCTTGGTCTTGCCACCGCTATCACCCTCCGGTTCTACTTCATGAGTTTGAACAGGAAGAAGCAAGAGAATTGGGACTCTGACGAAGCCAGACGTACGCGCACTATGGACATTGAGACCATTGGTGACGCTCATCCCGATTTTGTTTACTGGTTGTAAACTGGGATAAGAGCACACGATCAAGGTTCTGGTTCGCGTTAGTGAACCGCCCTGACAAGGCGAGGAATATCCGTCTTCGACACAAAGGCCAATAGTTGCAATTGAGGATTCAGTGTTGCAAGCTATATTTGTAGTCAGTGAGAATATTATCTACGTGCCCTCATTCCCTGGTCCATTCTTTCCACCAAAAAATAGACTGTCATTGTTCGTATATGCACCATTGTTATGGACTAGATCATCTTGTTGCTGAGCAGCCAAGCTGTCTGCCACAGAACATATGAACCTTGTTGTCTTGTCAAAGGGGCTTCACATCTCGCACCCAGCCCCAAGTGCTCACCTCGGACGATATGAGACGGTGCTTTTCAAGCGGGCATCGAATTACCGCATACTGTTGCATATGGTCAATTTATCGAGCCTGGAAATCCGAGTCATGACAACCAAAACGGACAGGACTCATTTCGAGTGAGCAGCGGAACCATGTACATGTCCGAATTTGCTTGTCCTCGGATGCGCCTGTACCGAAGTGAGAGGAATATGAGATCCTTTCCGTGTCTAATGAAGTACATGTCGGTTTTCAAAAAGTCGAAGTCTTGTTTTCAGGCTCAGATCTACTAGGGTGCTGCGACGCCTTTTCGATTAAGACCATGTACATTACTCGTACTCTATGGCGTGAAGGTCTTGGCGTGGAACCACTCCTCACAGACTCGCAACTCCCAGCTATCGAAAGAATTGTTGAGCTATGACTGGACCTCCGAGTCGGGTAGACGACATCTGAAACACTAAATTCCTTTGATTGCAGTGTTCGACAGCTTGACTGTTTGTCGCCTGTCTGATGCGCATCAGTCGTGCGCCAAGCTGCCTTTGATTTCTAGTGTCTAGACCTGCTGAGTACCAACTGCCTCCAGTATAGTTGTTCTGTGTTGCGATGTCGCAATCTTGGCAGCCTGTTGCTCCCATCTCACCTGTTCCTCTTTGCTTTTGATATTAAATCCCTCGTCCAGCCCTCGGGGGCAAGCGCTGTGGTCCCCGGGCGGTCCCATTCAAGGCGTCAAATCTCCTTTACGTGACCAAGGGCTCTTCAAACACCCTTGGTTCCGCTCCTGACCAGGCACGCTTTGAGGCTTTTCAATAGAGGACACGTGTCTTGACACAAGCTGGCAGTCAATACATCAATTTACAACATTCAGTAAGTGGCGGTATGGTCGAACTTACAGCTGAGAACCCTGAGACTCTCGTAAATATTGTTGATCTCTTTGCAGCGTACATCGCTAACATCAGCAACCAAGTATGCCATCTTTGCCGGACATTAGCATATTGGGACCCTCCATGAATCGAGTCGAAAGTTACTCACATCGCCTTTGCTGTCGCTGATTTGCTTATCGACGTTATGATCACCAAGAATCTCATTTACTTTCAGCGGGTCAGCCAAGAGGTCGCAAATTGAAGGCCGAGAGGCCAGGTTGACACAACGCTTACCTCTGCGTAGAACGCCAGGGAAATTGCGATGGATATAGATAATCTGCATTTCCGGTCAGGTGGTGCTCTTTCCGGGCGAGCGCAAAAAATGGCTGGACGAACCCGCACATGGTCTGGTTCATCTAAGGTCAACGAGCGAAGCTGAAGGTCTGGTAGATTGACGCTGCCCAGGGTGATGCCCTGATTAATATAGCGCACGAGGGCGCCTCCAACTGCGGGCTAGTCATCCAAAAGCGATATGGTACGCATTTACGACATGGCAAGATGGCGTACCTTCGATGCCAATGGCTCTTTGTGCTTCTTCGGTATTGCGACCAACATGAGGCGTCAGAATGATGTTGTTGAGGCCCCTGAGGTCATAGATCCACGAGTTTAAGTTGCCGTTGAAGTAGTCGCCATTTTGTGCTGGCTCACTAGGATACACGTCAAGTGCGGCGCCAGCAAGTTTGCGGGAGCGCATGGCATTGACGAGAGCAGGTATGTCTACTACGCTCCCACGACTGGCGTTGATCAGGTACGCCCCGTCTTTCATGCAATCAAGCTGGGCGGTGGAAACCATGCCCCTCGTTTCCGGGAGGTCGGGCACGTGAAGGGTGACGAAGTCGGCCTCTTGAAGAAGGACATCAAGCGTGGGCATTTGTCGTGAAGTACCCAATGCCATCAGGGTCACAGCATCGTAATATATGACAGCCATACCCAGCGCCTCGGCCAGAACTGAAATTTGAGAACCAATGTGGCCGTACCCAACGATACCTGTAGTGTGATGCGTTAGGATTCGCGATGCATGCCAGTATGTGGATATATAGCTGGGGTGCAGAAAGGTAGTGAAGCAAGAGAGATGAGAGAGAGGACCATACCGAGCGTTTTGCCTCGAACTTCCCAGCACTTGGCATTGACCTTGTTCCAAGTACCGCGATGCATCTCGTTGGACCGGTCACCAAGCTGGCGGGCAAGAGCGATGGTTTCAGCAACGACGAGCTCAGCAACACTACGCGAGTTTGCAAAGGGTGAGTTGAACACGGCAATGCCATGAGCCGCGGCGTAGTCGAGGTCGACCTCGTTGGTGCCGATGCAAAATCAACCGAAGACAAGCAGACTCTTGGCTTCTTGCAACACGCGCTTGGTCAGTTTGGTCTTGGAGCGGACGCCGATGACTTGGACGTCGCTACGCACGGTTCGGTCAGCTCAGAGGCTCCAACACGCGTGGCTTGACTCACCGAATCTTTTCGATAAGCTGATCCTCAGGCAGCGATGTCTTGAGGGACTCCACCTGGTAGCCTTGGTCCCTGAGGAGATCCTGCCCCGTCTGATTGACATTTTCCAACAACAGGATCTTGAAGTCCTGAGTATTGAACGGTTTAAGTAACTTAGGCGCACTTGATCGGAGTGAAGCAGCCCCCTAACTCGACGGCGGGGTGCGTAAAGTAGCCGAGGGTGATGTCGAGAAGTTGAGCTGGTCCTAGCTGTTAGAAATAGCACGCTGTGGCCTTTGAACATGATCCTGAACGTCTTGCGCCAAGGTCATGGTGGTCGTAGATCTGTCTAGATCTGGCACAGATCGCTCGTGGTTGCGGAATCCGCTGATCAAAAACTGACGCGAGACTTATTTCCATGTGTATGGCGTGCGGCCACAACAGTCATAGCTCGACAGATCTTTTCGGAGACGATCATTGACTCAGATCGGTCAAGTCCAAAGCAGAGTCTCGCATATTGCGTCGGCACCGACCCACATTCAGCCCCCGGCCCACTTAAGTCGAGTAGCATCAACCATTCATTTTTTGCCGATATTCGGCCATATGCCGAAGATGTGAGCAGGTCGTAGAACGAAGCCGACCGTCAAATACAACCACAGCTGCCGCTACTGAGATCCGTGATGAGAGATCCGAGATCAGAGCTCCGAGATCAGGAACAAGAAATCAGAAACCAAAACCAGAGATCTTCATCAACGCCACCACTGCTCTTGTCGTGCTGCCTTTGTGCTCGACTGTCGCTAGATCTCACGGAATCAACTCAACCCGTGGCACTCGGCGCCCTCCTAGCTTGATACAAACATGTCGCCTGGTGCGGCCACCAACGCCACTGACTTTGGCCCGACCAAGAAGGTGTCTCAATGGATCGCGTCCGTCAAGTTGGAGGACATTCCTGAGGACATCCGCACCCGCGCCAAGTACCTCATTCTCGATGGCCTTGCCTGTGGCCTCATGGCCGCACACCTGCCCACGTGCGAGAAGGCAGTCAATATCCTCGCGGCCCTCGAGCCAGCCGCAGGTGACGCCGTCCTGTTCGGCTGGGCCGGGAAGAAGGTCACGCCGTTGACCTCCGCTCTGCTCAACGGTACCTTCATCCAGGGCTTCGAACTCGACGACTGGCACAGCGAGGCGCCCCTGCACTCCAACAGTATCATTTTGCCCGCCCTGCTGGCGGCCGCCCAGCACTTGAAGATGGAAAAGAGCGTCTCCGGCCCCGAGTTTCTCCTCGCCACCCTCGTTGGCTTCGAAGTCGGCCCACGCGTCGGCCGCGGTCTGCACGGCGCCCACATCCTCTCCACCGGTTGGCACTCGGGGGCCGTCTTCGGCCCTTCCGCCTCTGCCGCCAGCGTCAGCAAGCTCTTCGGCCTCAGCGCTGAGAGTGTCGAGGACGCTCTTGGCATCGCCTGCACCCAGGCTTGCGGTCTCATGTCCGCACAGTTTGAGAGTGAGGTCAAGCGCATGCAGCACGGCTTCGCGGCCCGTAGTGGCCTCATGGCCGCCTTCCTCGCCCGCGGCGGCTACATCGGCATCAAGAATGTCTACGAGAGGGAGTATGGAGGCTTCTTGAAGCAGTTCAGCGGCGGCAACGGCAAGAGCCCCCAGTTCCTGCCGGAGGAGGTCAGCAAGGATCTCGGCATCAGGTGGCAGACCAACTCTATTCGCGTCAAACCCTACGCCTGCGTCGCCGCCGTCCACGGCGCCATCGACTGTGTCCGCTTCCTACAGCAGCGCTACCCGGAGCGTTTTCGAGCCAACCAGATCCAGGACATCAAGAAAATCCACATCAAGTCGGGCCCAGTCAACTTTCACCACGGTGGCTGGAAGGCCGCCCGGCCCCTCACCAATACCGGCGCCCAGATGAGCGCCACCTTTGCCGTCGCCACCCAGATCATCCACAACCAGGTCCTCGCCGCCCAATTCAGGAATGACATGCTCGAGAATAATGACGTTTGGAAGCTCGTGGACCTCAGCGACTGCGAGCTCGCTCCGGAGTATCCTCACGGCCAGCACAGCATGACCATCGAGTTCGCCGACGGCAGCTCGGTGTCGCAGCTTGTGGAAAACTCCAGGGGTGTCAAGCCGCCTCTGACCAACGAGGAGATTGTCGAGAAGTGGAGGAACCTCACCAAGGACATCATGGACTCGGAAATCGTGCGGAAGATCGAGGAGATCATCTTGTCGCTGGACACACTGGGTGACATTTCGCCGCTGTATGAGCTCTTGAGCACAAAGACCACGAATCCCATAGCATAGAATAGTCTCGAGCATTTCTCACGGATTGACTAGGTTTAGCAAGCTTTCCCGTCTTGCTACTTGCCTCGCCTGCCAAGCTGGCGATCTCCCGTTCCTTCAAACATTAAGGTACGATGACTTCAACCGGCGCAGCCACGACGGAGCGTCCTAACGAGTCGTTGCCCAAACGGTCTGTAGTAGGAAAAGAACGTTGATGTGAGGTGTTACATTATATCACGAGACGCGTACCGCGACGCACCCAGCAATGTGCTCTCGGGGGTGATTCCAGTCTTGGCTCTCCTGCACATAATCAGTGGCTCACCAAGAGGTGATGGACGGCGACGCTCTACCCGTCCGTGTCCAATCCCATGCGGCAGACCCTTGAGTCCAGGAACCGCTTGTGCGTCGATGAATGGTGGAGCCGCCCATCGGCCCCGGACTCGGCCCGGTGATTCTTGAACTTCATTCGCTCTAGTCCGGAACTGCACAAACCACCAAACAGGACAAACGAGAGATCAAGCATTGCTGAATAACTATCAATCATTGGCGACAACAAGGGCCCAAGCCAGCATGCTCGTCTCTTGCGTTAAGGGCCCATTTGACAAACGCTGAAGGCTCAATTCGCCACGATCGCTGTTTGCAGATGTACCTGTCGGTCCTGCGTTTACTTGGAACTCGACGTGAGCGACTTCTAACAAAACCACATTCTTACCTCCCGCAGCCACTACCTGCCCAATTACGACTTGGTGTCTTCTTCCTCCTACTCCTCGTCATCATCACCATCATCATCTCGCCTCCGCCGTGGGCTTGAGATTGACTGCAACCTTGCGTCATCGGATCTGGCCAGGTCAAACCCTGACCTAGGTAGCCTAGGTAAGCCCCCCATCGTCGTTTCTTGACCTTGCATGGATTTCCCTACACTTTTATTCCTGTGAGGGAGGGAGGTTGGAACAGCAGCAGCTTCCCTCTTACCTGCATTGCATTCTGTCACGTCAGGCCGGCTAAAGGCTTAACAAATAGCCTTATGTGATACAGCCGAAAGTGTGAAGAGGGGCGCGCTGCCTTTTGTCCTACCAAACACTTTGTGACGCTCGTTCAGGGTCCACCGCCACACCATCTAGATTTTCAACTTGACATAGCCTCGAGGTCGAAAATGGACAAATCGGCCAGTGGCAGGGCGAGGAAAGGCACCACTTGCACGCATTGTCGTCAAATGAAGGTTGGTGTGCCACGTCCATCTCTCATCAGAGACAGCCAACCTTTTTCGCTCACCACTGATCCGTTCTCTCCTATTGTATCTAGCTGAAATGCGATGCTGCCAAGCGGTTCCCTGCACCGTGCTCTCGTTGCACGAGGATGGATAGATCGTGCTCCCAGCTGCCTCATCTCAAGCAGCCAGGCCGAGATCAGATCCCAAGCGGGAGTTTCACTGCTGCCGCGGCGGACGTTTCTCTATCACCCTCGTCGAGTACGGCCATCGTTCCGGTATTCGAGACTCTCACAGATTTTGAGGGCAACATGAGCGACGTGGCAGCATCTATAGAGACAGAGACGCTGGAAGACATTGAATGCACCCCGGATCTCTTCCATCAGCTTTTAGATGAGTGCGTGACTCCCCCAGCTTCTCTCGCCGATGGCATGGCTTGGCTCTGCTCCGAGCATGCTCTGGCCACTGAACAGGTTTGGCTGACAGGTATGACCCTATTAGCTTCTGGACCCACTTCCATCCCAGAGTGCCATTCTTCACTTCGAAAGAAAGCCTCACCAGTGATTGTGTGACCTGTCCGCTCCTGTTCTGGGCTATCGTTGGCGTCGCTGCAAGGCTGCAGGAGGGCCACCGGGCCCTTTACCTTTCCTTACCGTGGCCCATCCGTCGCCTCGCCATGGAGCAGTCTATTACGGTCTTGCCTACGGTCCCCCTCATACAAGGACTTCTGCTGCTGTGCCTCTGGCCCTTGCCCTACGGAGCCATGATCGATGATCCTGGTGCCATCTTCTGCAGCATCGCCACCCAGAAGGCCATGCAGATCGGCCTTCATCGGCCGCAGAAGCCCTCCGACTTCATCTGGTGCCTGAAGCCAGAACCCGAAATGTCGACGACCAGGGCGAGGATCTGGGGTCTCTGTTTCGTTATCAACAAAGCGTGAGTCCTCCTGTTCCTCCCCCCACACCCCCCACCCACGATCGGCACCTTTGCTAAATAGGCTGGCTGACATCGTCACAGCATCAGTGCGTCTATAGGCGTGCCCATGTTAGTCCGACCAGACCACACGATCATCTCTCTGCAGAAGCAGGCCTCGGAGGAGATCGACCCGATACTGAGAGACCTAGTCACATTGGCGCATCGCCAATACATCATCTCGCAGCTGTTGGGGAATGACGACAGGGCTCCGGACGGCATCCGATCCAGCCCCCTTGCTCTTTTGGACGCTCTAGAGCTCAGTCTCTCCAGCCTTGAGTCGTCGCTGACCGAAACGCCGTCTGGTCACATCAGAAGACAATATCTTTTCGTCAAGTTGGTCATCTACGTGTTTGTCTTCTCCATGAATGAAGAGGAGCGGAAGGCGTCCATGGACGCAGCCAGCTATACCTCCAAAGCCTACCTTTCGGCATGTGAAATCATCCGAACCTCCGTGACAGACCAGGAAAATGTGAGACTATGGACACGTCTGGATCACGAGAGCATCCTCATGGCGGTGTTGGTCCTGCACTTTATCTTGAGACAGTACCCCTCGGCCTCAAACCAGGTTGAATCCCGGGACTGTATACAGAAAGCATGGACGATGCTGAAAATGCTGAGCGACGTCGAGGGAGATCACTTCAACCGAATCTGTTCTGTGATCGACTGGATGTCCAACAGTGACTGGACGGCTGACCTGACCGTACTCGCTGACACCTCCGAACTGCTGGTCCGGTCTCGAATGGAGTCAAACATCGTGTACGATGTGATCACCCGAGCCAAAGCCAGATATCTCATGGGGAAAGAACAACGTCGCCAAGAACAGCTCCCCGACCACAAGCCCCGAGACTCAGGGTCCCATGGCATTCTGCGAAGCTCGAGGCCTCCATGTTCAACTCCGGCTGGGTCAGAAACAATCGATCTCAGCACGACTTCGGACCTGACGCCCAATTTGGAACCTTCTTCCTTTGCCGTCTTGGACCAAATGCTATTTCAATGGGAACAAAATCCGTCAGGGCTGTTCAGTGACTACACGTATGGTGTTTGACGCCGCTGGCTAGGCAGCGGAGCTAGCGGATCAGTTCTCAGCCCGGACCCGTCCGCGCATGGAGCAGCCGATAAAGAATGAGACAATGTTAGGCCCCATAGCCATTGGGCTAAATGCCTTGCCTACTCCTGCCAACTCATCTCAGTTATCGTGCCCAACCCTTAGCTAGATACACCATTATACACCCCTTTGTTCGTATACGTATTCTGCATTTGGCCAGAAACGACGAAGGGGCGTGGTGGTTCGCAGTATTTCGCTAATTGAATAGACCCTGCGGACAAGGGGCAACTGGACAAGTCCGTGGGGCGAGGGGCTACCAAAGCTTCGTATTAGACCTGCGGATGGACATCCCCTCCTGAGGTAAACCTCATCTAAGCCGAAATCCTCAGCCACGTTCGCTACTAGAGCCTGTTGCCAAGGACCGCGAGAAGATCTTTGCATGATTGCATGAATAACCCGATCCTGCCCGAGCAGATGGACGGTTTTGTCGACTGAGATCTCGAGGCTGCCCACGTACCACCATCAGCGACATTGACAAACGGCGCGTTGACTTTGCTATGGAACATGGCTTCGCGGAGATGCGCATGGTGACGACTCCCAAGCGGTCCGCCGACATGACCGAGCAACTGGCCGGCGCTTGTGGTGTTGCGGACGATATTGCTTCTCTGAAATGGCCCAGCGGCGAGCCAGTTGGGAAACTGCACGTCACCTTTGAATGCACAGGAGTTCCCTTTTGCGTGTAGAGCGCCGTCTCTGTAAGTTACTCTATCCCCTCACTCATCTCCAATCACCCTCTAATCTTGTCCCCAAGACTACGTAATCAGGCGGCACAGTCACGGTCTCGGGAATGGGTACTCCAAACTACATCCTGCCAATCTCTGAGACTTCGGCCCGCGAGATCGATCTGATCCAGACCTGGAGGTAGGCGTCGAGCTATGAAAAGGCGATTGAAATCATGGCGAACAGCGTCCGCGGGTCTGCCAGGCCGGATGTCGGGAGCTTGATCACTCAATGGATCCATGAGCTGGAGTGGGCCAAGGAGGCGTTTGGGTGGCGGGCCTTCCGCAGGACGATAAGGTGGGTATAGTGATCATGGTCATGGTGCGCAATGGAGATGCCAATGCTCAAGACTAGATGATTGGATCCAGGCATGCATCTTACCACGATGTCTACATACAGATAGGTATCAGATGTCTACATACAGATAGGTATCAGTCCATGTCAATCAGTCAAGTTGACGAAGATGTATCTTGGGCGGTCTTTACACTTGACCAGATTGTAGAACCGTGAGTGGGCCAAGTCAGTCAAAACAATGTCCTAGAAATCTTCCATAATCACATCTCGGCTGTGACAAGAATAGACGCAATCCCATCTGCTATTTTGAAATCTATGGTGTCCAAGCGACAAGACGTCCATAGTCTTGCCAAATGACCCATTAATTCCGGTTCATTCATGGTGTAGGACAACTCTGCAGCATCCTCGCCCGGAGTTTCTCCCACGAGGCTTTGCCACGCCTGGCATTCTGCACGGGGCCATTGGCCTCTTGTTCCATCCTCCGATCAAAGGTTTCCATTGACACCCAGCCCGTGAACGCGATATCCAGGATAAATGCGCGACTGATCTCCTCCACGGGCATGTATGCACCGTACTCGGTTTCGAGGGGAAACGGTCGGGCTTGGTTCGACCACACATGGCCAACCTCGAGAGTCGGGTCGTACCACGGATGGGACTCGCTGTAGGGCGGATCCAGAGGCTCACCATCGGACAACTGGACATAGAAGAGTTTGTCCTTCGGACAGCGCTGGACGAACTCCTGCATCGAGGCCCGGAGTTTCTCGTCGCCGTCCACTTGACGCCCATCCGACGAGTACGCGTCGGCCCACAGCACGAGGGCGATGTGGAAAGTGTCCAAGCAAAGGCCAAAATTGTCTCTGTCGACCTCTTGGACGATTGCGACCGCCTCTTGCCACAAGGAGCATCGTTTGGCCCAGGCCAGGTTTTCATACGCGACTTTGATCACAGGCTCAAACGTGGCGGCCAGCTCGGCGAGCTGTCGAAGCTCCGCGACCATGAGTTGATGATCGTCGATGAACTCGCGCTGGTAAATGGACGGGATCTGCAGGTGCTCAGCGCCCAACAAGTGTGCAAGTTGAAGCCAGTCCCGGGCCTTTTGGAGTCGGCCCTCAATGGGCGACGGGTTGCCTTCAAAGTTTTGAAACGACGCAAACGACAAGACGTGCAGCTTGTTTTCGCGCATCAAGGCCCCAATTATTCGCGCTGTATCTTGCATCGAGAGCCCCTGGCTGTCGGCATAGGTCTCGAGATCCAAGCAGGTGATTTCCAAGCCCTGAAACCCGGCGTCGACGGCTGCGGTGATTTTTTGCGGCAGAGTATGCTTGGCATGTTGACCCAGCGAGACGCTTGCGATGGCAAGCTTGTTGTCGAGCATCATGATGTCCTTGAGGTGATGACACGAACCAAGAAGCCGCTAAAGCCCTCTGACCAGGGCGGCCATCTTCGCAACCTCCAAGGTTTTGACTGGTTGCGAATACAATTCACGATGGAATAGGGATTCCGAAGACAGAGTTTGCGGTGGGTCGCCGGGCTTCTGGACGCTGAACCTTCCCCGCTCCTCCGCACTTGCGCAGAGTCTTCAGGGCCCCCAGACCGGGTAGAGCTTGGCATAGGAAGCAACCTGAGCGTTTTTCCGTGTGGTACTGCATGATCTGTCCGCTACGCACTGCAGTTTCGTCTCATGTCTCAGTGAGCCCTTGCTCATGTCCTTCAGATGGACCGCTCGGCCCTCGAGAGCCAGGAGCCAGTCGGGGATCTCGTACGGGCATTTTCTCCGGATTGTCGCGTTGGTCGGAAGGGACATGCTGGCCGTATTTGTTCTTGTAGCGTCGTGAAATGTATCAAACTCGGCGAGGGCGTTGGCAAGGCTGGTCCGAGGAGCGCGCACTATATTGGCCAACTTGCTCAGAATGGTAAATTCCAGCTTCAGCTTCACACCTCGTGGCATATCAGACCCAAAGAACGCTTGGACTGGCTTAACGTCTGTTACTTACTGCAGATAAGACCCTTCCACGTGCGTTCCATGAGGGTTTCGCCAGAGTATTCTAGAGCTACCAAAGCAATGTCTGCCATAACAATTACGACATTGGTAGCAGACAGTTCAACCATGGCTGGACGTGCGCCTATCAGGAATGGTCTGAGCGACTCAAAAGCTTCTGGAGAGTTAGTCATGACTCACCTTTCTTCTCGGCCACTTTCAGCAGCGCAGTGGTCTCCCACAGGTAAAGACCCGAGATGATGAATTCTTTGTAAACAGAATCCTGCACAGCATTTCAGTTTTTGGTCTGACGGCACTGGCGGGAAACAGACGCTGGCTGACTGGTCATTTGCAGTTTCTCAATGTAGAAGAAAGCATGCAGGAACTGCTTTGGGTGCGATCCGTAGGATTTTTCATACCGGGACATCGTCGTAGAGGTGTGCAATACGCCAGCGTCGACGATAATCATCCATTTGACGGCACGCAGGTTACGACGATCCTGGAGGATCAGGACTATTCGAGAATACAAGACCACAGCCTAGCCGGTTATCTGGCAGACACAGCCGACAGCACTCAAGAACATACACGCCCAGAAGACAAGCAGCTCGGAGTACTCCGTAATGAAGCCGATGAAGTAGGAAAACACGCTGGCGGTCGCAGTAACGAGAGAGACGAATAGCAGACTCCGTCGTTTCTTCACTCGGGACGTGGAAAATCTCGATAGAGTTATGAGCAACGGCTCAAAGCCATTGTACAGGCCCACGGTCGCCGCCGTGACCACGATGATGGAATCCGATTCCTATAGCCGAGAACAGTGCTCATGGTATGGGAGGAAGCAATTACTGCGAATCAAGGAGACGGGGTGAGTCCAGGAGGAAGAAGCGCGAACTTGAATAGACGGCAGCACGTCGATAATAAACGGTCCAGGGAGTCCAGCTGGACGGTTGAAACTCAATATCCAGCTAGACTTCTCTGACTCGCCCATTGGCAATGTGTTACAAGTATCTCGCGTTTTTCACTCGATGAGCGCCTAACTTTTTGGCACATCTGGAATCTGTATATACTTCTATCCGTCCGCAGAACTAATTAGATCTCTCGTTCCAGCCAGTTGACTTGACTGTGCTTGTTTTTTCTTACAATAGACGACCCGCATGGATACCTCCTGTCACCAAAATATCCTCCGAAGTCTGGTAAGCGCTGGCATCGGAGAGCAGGTAGACCAGTAACCCTTTCAAGTCGGTGCGGTCACCCATACGCCGCATCGGAGGCTCGGTGGTCATGATGGACGCCAGATGGGGATTCTTGTCCGCAATGTCCAAAGTCATGTCGGTCATCATGTACCTGGCACACGTGCATTAGTCGAGATAGAAACAATGGCCACATCGCTTACCCAGGCGAGATACTATTGACCCGAATTCCCTTCATAGCTAGTTCCACGCCCAAGGCCCGGGCCAGAGAAACCACGGCACCTTTACTGGCGCAGTAGTCGCTAGTACACTGGCCCTTGCTAGCCACGTAGGCGGCAATCGAGGCGACCATGACAATGGAGCCTCTACATTGCTGATCGCTTAAGGGTTCTTGCCTCATCATCTGCGCGGCGGCAAACTGCGCCGCAAAATAGGTGCCCAAGACGTTGATGTTCATGCACCGCGCCACCGATTCGGGTTTTCGCTCGACGAAGGGCTCGTCGGGGCAGACACCAGCCGCTGTCACGCTATTCACCCCATCAGTTCAAACAAACTCCCATTTCACAGTCTCGTGGACAATGCGGGGGCCGCGGAAAACTCACAGTCCATCGATCCGGCCAAAATCCTTGACAATCTCCTCAAACGTCTCGCCGAGGACTTGATGTTTCGTTACATCGCTCCTGTTTCAAGTCAATAGGTGATTGCAGACACTTCAGGACGAGCCACCAACTTGTAGATCTTGACTTTGACGCCGTAATCCTTCTCGAGCTTGTAGTAATGGGGATGCGGCTCCGTCAGCAGATCCAGGAGCGCGACATTGCCGCCGGCTTCGGCGACAGCGAATCCAAACGATAGCCCAATACCTCGAGCTCCTCCGGTAATGACTATCGTTCGACCCTTGAGCGAGAAGAGATCTTGAACAGTCCGGCGCAGAAATGAGTCGGCGTCTCGATTCAACGTCTGCGCGGGTTGCACCACAGCCCCGTTCATGGCGTCCTTTTGAGGTTGGAAATGGAGGCTGAAGCCGCGGAAGACTGAAGGGATGCACAGGAAGAGCGAGCGTAGTGTAGAGCTTAGGCGTAAGATTTTCTCAAAGTGAGAGGAGGGGTCGAGGAGCCAGTTCATATAACCGGGGGACACGTTCTTTCCCCGCCATTGACCGAGCTTTCCGCGCGACAACATTCGAACTGATCTGCACTTGGGGAGACGGGCAATCTCAAGACGTGCCAGCCTGAATCACGCTCTGTGCATGGGAGTCTGGTTCGCGCACTGAGCTTTGAGACAAGACGCAGTCGTTGAACCATGCCTCGGAAAAAGAGTTCCGATTGTGTTTCTGAGAAAAGAGAAGGGGAGGGAGGGGATATCGGAGGGCCTCACATGGCCTCTGGTCCTCCACAAGGGGGAATTTATATTCCAGCGTTTGGATTTCGTTGGTCGACACGTCTGGAGAAATAATTCAGGCCCCGAGAATAGTTCGATTTTGCTGTTGTAAGTCGCCCCGGTTTTGAAGGCGAGGCTCTATAGTCTGCCCGCCCGGCCTATCGACAAGGCATCTAGTCTCGGTCATTCTAATCATTGAGGCCCCGGGGCTAGCGTTCAAAACTCGTTCGTTCGCTGTCTCCTTGTAGACCAGACCCTACTAACCAGATCTGAGATGGTCGTGTCAAATCAGAGTCGTAAGTTTCCCCACGCCGCCAAACCAAGTAAAGTGCAGAGGCACGGTGCTTGATTCTCCCGGGAAAGGTTTCCCACCTGTCGGAAGATATTAATATGGGACGCCGACCTGGGGAAAAAGGCCAGTCTCAAGAGAAGGAAAGCACGGTAGTCTGTTGAGGAAGATATCAAGGGGAAATCACGCTCGCCAACCAATCCACATGATTGCCACAGGTCAGACCGCGCCTCTTCTGGGCCAGAAGCGCATCATTGTCACGGGCGGAGGTCGTGGCATTGGACTTGCGCTGGTCGAGGCTATTCTCGAAGCTGGGGGCCAGGTTGGCATTCTTGACATCCTGAAGGATCCGCACCCAGACTGCAAACAGCTGGTGGAAAAGACAGGAAAATGCCATTATTTCCAGTATGAACGCCTCTTGTTCCGGGTCTTTTCTTTTCCTGCACCACGACAGAATGGCTAACCAATGCGACTTTTTAGATGCGACATCACTAAACGAGAATCTCTTGAGACTGCGTTCGCCGATTGCGTGACCGCGATGGGAGGTCATCTGGATGGACTGTTCGTCGCTCTTGTTCTGATTGCCTTTTCCACATCTTCTCTGACCGCCTTCCAGGGTTACCAACGCAGGTATTGGCACCGACAAGCCATTCTTGGAGCATACCGTACGCTGCCCCTGCACTCTTGCCCACAGTACGACGCCAAGGTCACTAACCACGGGATTGTAAACAGTGGGAAGATTACGAAAGAGTGGTCTCGGTAAATGTACGAAGGACCAGTGCATTCAATCTTACTTCGGCAGCAAAAATACTGACCCGCCCTCCAGCAAGCCGGAACTTTTTTCCCCGCGCAGTTAGCCGTCCGCCAATTCCTGTCACAACCAGAGCCCGCGCAGGCCGGGACCCGGGGAGCCATCGTGATGATTGCCTCGGCGGCGGCGACGCACGATTGTCCAGGCCACATGTTGACCTGCTACGGAGGGACCAAGGGCTTTGTCAAATCGTTTGGCGTCCAGCTGGCCCACGAGATAGCCAAGACCGGCATCCGAGTCAACAGCATCGCTCCGGGGTAAGCTGCATGTGTATACCTGTTCGCTGGGATCAAATACTGATGTTTTTTTTATTGGCAGATACATCGACACGCCCTTGAACCAGGAAGTCGCCGACAGGAGACCTGATATCAAGCACTACTTTTATAACGCCCCCCCGATGAAGCGTCTGGGTCAACCAAAGGATATCGCAGGAGGAGTGGTGTTTCTGTTGTCTGACACGGCCTCGTACGTGACGGGCCACAATCTGGCCATAGACGGAGGCATGAGTACTGGGAATGGGCTCACGAGATAGTGAAAAGGTGGTACCGGACACCAAGGAATGCGTTTAAATAGAGCAGAAAAAAAAGTGGAGAAGTACTTAAATATCAGATATGGCAAATGTGCTAGTGATCAGTGACGGTTAGTCTGACTCTAGATGTCTACTTTCCGACTCGTAGAGCTGCATCAACCGGTTTGCTATGCCCATGGTTGTGCATCGCTTTGGCACCATTCATACCATGTGGGCGTCGAGAAGTCTTTTCTCGACTGTGCTTTGAACTTCTATACAAAGTACCTTCGTCCCTGGCAGGGATCTTTGGTGTGCCCCTGCACTGTTCTGAACTTCTGACTGTAACTGGTCTCAAGGATATAACATTCGGATTCTGCACCGGAAAAGACGGGACGGAATGTGTGCTACCACAACATCAACCCCGACGGACGTATGACCATCTCTCTCTCTCTCTCTCTCTCTCTCTCTCTCTCTCTCTCTCTCTCGCGCCAGTACGCCTAATCTCTTACTTTCCGGTCCACCACAAGAAAAGCCTCTCTCCTTATCCCGCTTCCGCCCTCTCTCTAGCAGCCCGCCAGGTGCAGCCGATGAAAAGCACACTCTTCGCCAATTCTCATTTTTCTTCCTCGTTCCACCAGACTCCTTTGTTCTTGACCTCAGCTTTACATCTTAGAGTCCTCCACGTGGGCGGGGATACCTTTATCGAACATCTCGGCTGGCGAGTGAGTCTCGGCGGGGACACAGGTTGCGCCCTCGGCTCGGTAGGATTTTTGCATCTCGCGCTTGTCGCGGCGCATTAGCTTGGATTTCTTGACGCCAAAGTTGTCATTGAAGAGCGTAAAGGCTTCGTCAACAGAAAGGCCCTCTGTAAAAACATAAAAAGGATTAGCATTTTATGTGGGACGATAGTTCACCAAAAGTAGCAGGGATCAACTTACTGGTCTCGGGGTAGCAGAAGTAGGCGAGGGCGAGACCGATCAGGATGAAACAGAGGTACAGGCCATAAGTGCCGCTGGGTGTCAGAGTCTCGAGCCTATGATCAGATTAGTTGGATGTCCTCGGGAACAAATGAGAAAAAGAAGATGAAACGTACTCGCTGAGGAAGGACACTGCAACAATCAGGTTGGCCGTGAAGCTGGCCGTGGTGCTGACGGCGCTGCCGGCCGCTCGGATCTCGAGAGCCAGATATTCGGATTGGTACCAGCACAGATGGGCATAAGTCGAACCAAAGCCCACAACGAAGATGACTATGCCCGCAATGACCAGGCCGACCAGCTTCTGCGAGTACTCATGACCTTCAACCAGGAAGCCGCCCGTGGGCTTGCACATGTAGTAAAAGGCGATGAGGCACCAAGTGAGACCGACCACCATGATAGGACCAAACTTCATCAGCAGGCCTCGGCGACCGATACGGTCCACCATGACCATACCGCAGAGAAGGAAGAAAGTGTTGGTGATGGACGGGATCAGCCCGCCTACCGAGGGATTCGAAAGCCCCAGGAGTCCGAACAGTGTGCCAGCGTAGTAGAGCAGGGTGTTGTAGCCGGTGAATTGGCCAAAGATTTGGATGAAGCTGACAGTGAAGATGGATCGGCGGTAGGGCTTGTGCGTCCAGAGCTTCTTGGATCGTTGCAAGAAGGGCATCGAGCGTTGCAAGGCCGTCGTGGCGGCCACGTGGTCTTTGACGACCTTCAACTTGAGCTCAATCGTCTCGGGCGAGGCGTACTTGTAGATCTTGCGCAGAACGTCGCGAGCCTTGTCATCCTGGCCACGAAGAATGTGGACACGAGGAGATTCCGGCATGCTGTGCATGAGGCAGAGCTGCACGACAGACGGAACGACACCCAGGCCGAAAAGGATGCGCCAGTTGCCAGGGACGTGCTGCATGCCGGAGCCGATGGCGACCGCCACGGTCTGTCCAAAGGGGATGCAGAAGCCGTTCGTTCCCACGCAACGTCCTCGGGCAGCGGTCGGGGCCAACTCAGTGATGTACAACGGGCAGATGACGGCTGCACCACCGACTCCGACGCCCAGAACAAGACGGCCGACGATCAGCTGAGGTAGGGAGAAACTCGAGGCAATGATGATGGCGCCTGCAGTGAAGAACAGGTCTGAGATCAAGAGGCAGAACTTCCGACCCCATTTGTCGGCGAACAGGCCCAAGAGGGCGGCGCCAAAGATGGAGCCGATGGTCGTGGCCGCGGTGGCAATCTCTTGCTGCGAATACGTGAGAGTCTTGCCGGTCAGCTCAGTGCCGACATAAGGCAGAGCCACGCCCACGACACCGGTGTCGTAACCATAGAGAAACCCGCCCAATGCAGCCGAGAAGATCAGATAGGCCAAATACGGCGTCATCTTGTCTTCGTTTTCGGCTTCAATCAGGTGCCCGTCCTGAACAAAGATTTGAATCAGTATCGCTTTTGCCCATGGCACACCCGGCGGGGTACTTACCACGAGCGTATTCTGCTCCAAGTGATCCGTCCATGCTTGGGAGACTGAGAGCTTCCTCGACATTCTTCTCTCTTGCTCCATAGGGCTTGCCACCTCCACGATCGAGGGATTGTGGGATGCCATTCTGTCTTTCAGTGATCAGTCCAAATAGTTATCTCGAGCACAAGCGCGTAGACAGAGATTTCTGGAACTCATGGAATCAATGTGGGCTTTCTCGACCTATTTGTATGCACGAACCGGCTTTCGCCCTTTGCCCCCATGGGGATGGAAAGGGGGACGATCGGGGCTTCTAGCCTGAAAAACTTCCGTATCATCCTTGGGCCCCGTCATAGCTTGGGATTAAGGTTAATGGAAGACGTGGATATTGTTCTTTAACAGAGTGTTTAGCCAGCCTGGAATCTATTTTCCCAGTCGCCCAGGCCCCTTTGGGGTTGGTGTGCCGTCATGTGCACTGACCGGCCAAGATTGCGGAGACCCGCCCAGGAGGAATCTAGATTCCAAGGGCAGTTCCCGGGGGGGCCCTCGTGCTGCTCTGGAGCCTGAGCAGAGTGGGTGGTTAGGACAAGCAATATTATCGGATACAGCACCATATCAGGGACAGGAATAAGGAGTAAGGAATCAGATGTAAAATGTTGTTGCCGCCCGCCCGCCACAGGATCCATGGTACGGCTCCGTGGCCAGAGTCCAGGAAGCTCACCGCTAAAAAGTCTATAGTCCAGTCTGGTCTTACGACTTGCCATCGACACCGGGTGGATTTTCTCCCTGAGTCAAGTTTCGTCGGTGGACCGGCCCAATCGTGTAATCATCTCGCTCGAAGCAAGCAAGTTGTCGCGAGCACAGGCGGCGTCTAGATGGGTCAGGGGGGCACAGCACAGCCTTCCGGAACGCTCTCACTTCGGACAATGTTTTCCATACACTCATGGCACAGATCTGGCGTCGGCATCATCCCTGCATGTAATGCCATGCCTCGTATATGAACCATCTTCCGACAACGGTCAAGGCTTTGCTGTGTGGTCGTACCTGCATCAAAGGTTGCAGGACCTCAGGGTATCTCGTCTTCTGATGATCCAGACTTTGCTTTTCATCTCCGTTCCGCTGGCGTCACCTGGCCCCTTTTCTTGTTGAACTTTCCTGCGCCATGTCTCCCCTTTTCACCGGCCTCGACAGGGCACCTGATTACGCTGGGTCTCTGCAGATGCTCAGGAGATGCTTCGACCGAGCTTTGTTTGGTGAAGAGGCTCCCCAGAATGCAAAAAATGCCTTCTTGAAGAGCGTTGATACTGCCAACACCAAGCACACTAGGCTGACAGACCCGAAGAACCAACCGAGACGAGAATAACTCTCTTCTTCCCCAAGGCTTGAGGCGGACAGTCCGCAATTCCATCAGTGAGTCCATTACTTACCAGGGACGCCGGTGCACCCAGGCTCACAGTCGCTCTGTAGCGTGGACAGAATTATAATCAATTTCTCGTTTTGTTGATGGTCGATGTCCTCCAAAGTCAACAGAAAGGGCGATGCGACAGAGTGCGTCCCCTGGTGCGACCCCCGGATCGTTGAGTGGCTCATCCATCTAAAAGGGAAAGTCTGGCACAATTCCCTGTGCCGTCGTCAAAGGCCATGTTTCTTCACTACCGTCTCAGTGTCCAGACGAAGCTTGCGTTCTGGGATAAGCCGGCCGGTGCCGCATATGCGAAGTTTTCTCGGAAACTTTTCAAGAGCATTGACGGGATTGAAGAGCCACACCCGCTTGGTCTGTCGTGGAGTTGATGGTCTCTGACGCCCGAAACGAACCGAAGTAAAGGGTGTGTCTTCCGATGGACACCAGGCAACTGCTAGTAAATTGACGACACTCAAGGCGTTCTTGTAGAAGCATTCGTCCTTCGTGCCTACCTCCACACTCTCAGAGCTCGGCCTGGTAGGCACAACGTCCGACCTTAGCATTCGGTATCTCACAATATATAACTTAAGCATACTTCAGTTGACCAAGAAGCCATGTTACTAGATAAGCTCTGGGCCCGAAGAGACATCCCAAAGCTTTTTTTGCAGTCCACGAGCTCCCATATCCGTCGAGACGGTGCTGCGTCTCTTGCGGCCGGCCCCAGAGACAAGCCTCGACTGCCAGGTTCGTTTAACAATCAGGAGGGTGTCGAGACTTCTCGTGGCATTTTCAAAGTTCTTTCCAAGTTCAGCGAGAGCATCACAACAAGTAGCAAGATGGCCGGTGAGTGTCGCATGACGATGACGGTCAGTCTCCAACACGGACGCATACAACAGGATCAGCGCTGCTGTGAAAGTTATGTAGACGATCTGGGTGTGGGCCAGGCGGACAGCGAATCGTGAAGCATAGTCTTCTAGAAGACGTGCAATCGCAATGGCCGACTCCAAGCACATTCTGCGGGCATGGTGAGGGCCATCTCCCCGCGGCGGGTAAGGTTGCACGCTGATTTTGGAGATGAACGGCCGGTGTTGAATAATGATGAAAACGTAATACTGCATGCTGTGCCATTCGTCAGCGGCGGCACTCTCTATCAAGTGTGATACATACTGTAGCAACAAGACGTGGGGAGTCACCTGAGGCGATTTGTCTTTCACATCGTATCGCAGCTGTGGCGGAAGATCACGCTTCCACTGACGCATGCGCCGGAAGGTTTCCACGCCTAGATCGACAAGATGCTCCTTTGTAGCTACCCGACTGCCATAGCTGGTCCCTGTCAGTCGCAGAATCACGAAAGAGGAAACCAGACTCACAGCGTGGTGGTTAATGATGATACGGTCTGACAAAGAGTGACCCAGTATCGGGCCAATAGATCTCGAGAGCAGTCCAAAATTGGAGGGTTATCCTCGTACTCTCCGCCGCTGAACATTCCTCTGGGTGTCCACACGTGCTGCGTATTTTGAGGTTCTTGAGGGGACGGCAAGGGTAAGCTGATCTCTTGGGTTGTACTCCAAGGTCGCCCAAGGTAGAAACCCCACATTCTAGGAACATGTAAGAAGCTATTCATGCCGGACTGGATAACGAGCCAAGAAGTCTAGGAGAGACAGACCGATCAGTGAGAAAGCTTCCCCAAAACGCGACACTGCGAGCGTGCGCTATGCGCGCCGTCATAGATCCGTCCGTCACCCGGACGGTAGTGTCAAGATGCAGCCCAAGATCTAGGGAGATACGAGTTGCCGCGCCTGTTGCCCTGTGAGCTCTCTCTGCCGCAGGGCTCCTCTGGGTGAGGAGCATTCTCACCCGCGTATAGCCAGCCTCTCGAATCTTTCGTGTAGGTGGCTTCGTGCCAGCTCAACAATGAAAAGGTCTGCACTGTGGTGATTTTGGGGTAGTCTAGCTCGTACTCGACCAACGTCTTGGCCCGATCTGCAAAAAACTTGGACAGCGGTCGAGGGAGCTTCGCATACCGATCGGTGTAGAAAAGAGCGCCCAACGCACATCTGCGCAAGAGGGTCAGCCATCAAGTGGTTAAACTAGACAAGAGTGAGGAGAACAGACATGACGTTTTCCAAAGCCGCACTGTACAATGGACTCTCCCTTGCACCATCTTTGCAGGCTTCTCGTTCTTCATAGAAAATGGGCTTGTCGACCACGTGACAGGAAGGGTCCTGCCAGGTAAAGTATAGGTCAATCAGTTCATCGAGCAGACCAGGCTCGAGGTTTTGTCCCAGGCCATCTCGTTCTAATTTGGCAATTGCTTCCTTGGGCTGGTTTGTGAACGACAAACGGCTCTCGCGAAGCAGTCCACCCTCGGTCAGTGTAAGATTCGAGGTGGGACCATAATATTTCAACTCGCCCGCATCGCTGATCAGTAACTCGCCCAGTCGGGTCGACAGTTGCTCGATGATGCCATCGTCGTGTTCGTCTTCCGACGAAGACGCGGCGTCCCCCACCTCTTGCAAGTTCTGCTGCATACTCCCCTCTGGTACAGACCTGACTAGATCTAGTCGCACTTGACCGGCGGTGGCGGTCTGGTGTGTAGTGACTTCGGTAAGGTCCAACTTATCGCCAGGAAGCATCGGCATGAATGGATTGGTCTGAGGCAGCGACCACATCCAGTCCTCGACTCCCGTAGTCAGATGAGGTTGAAGTTCCGGATTGGGTATCATGAAATCATACGCCTCATGAGAGAGTCCAGATCCCGGTGAGTTCGAATTTAACAGAGACTGCATCATCGGGTTCTCGTCGGCTGCCATCACATTCGAGTCCAGGAAGTAAGGGGGTTGGAGGCCAAATAGCTCAAGACTGTCATCAGCCTGGGTCGTGGATTCCAGGTTAAAAGGAGGCTGGGCCGAGTCCTCTTTTGCCAATTCCGAATTCGTGGGAAGATGGTTGGGCAACTGCATGGACTCGGCAACCTGTCTCAGAGTGGCGGCATCACTCTCACTGGGGGGTGGGGGGATCTCAGCGCCGAGCGACAGGATAAATTGCTCCAACTGGAGCACACGCTTCGAATATGCATCGGACACTTTTCGCAGGGAGAATCTGATGAGCCAGGATGGTGAGCGTGGAAAAAAGCACATAATGGATTCGCTTACTGGCGTCTGTCTTTGCCCAACTGGTATTCGCACTCGTGGCCCTTGGTCAGACAAGTACCACAGGTTGGCTTTTGTCCATCGCACTGCATCACCAAGGAGAATTGTAAGCGCCAGGAATCGCGCTATGAAATCCATGGTGGCAGAATGATGTACCTTCAACTTGTTTTGTCTGCAATTCGTGCACGCTGTGGTTACGTGACTTCGACGTGGTTGCGTCGTCGACTTGTTGGCGGCCGGCATCTCGGTCTGGCTGACGGGGCTGACGGGGCGTTATCGATGTGTGAATGTACTCCAGCCTCCATCACGCATCGTATACAGGGTCAAATACCGACCGTGGCGAGGGGTGCAATTTTAATTCCTACGGAGGTGGTGTCACAATTTCAGAGAAGCCTCTCTGGTTGAGCGAGCTTGAGACTCTAGACCTTGCCGCGTTGGGGTTAATTGAAAGGTCACATGAGCACGAACGCGGGGTTGCGGGGTCGGGGTCGGGATCGGGGGTTCAGTCGCCCTTAGCGGGCGAAGCGCGGGGCGGCCGTTTAGGCGCCGGGTGCCTAAAGGTGCTACTGGTAGATGGATGTCTAATTGTTAGTTGTTGGGTACAGAGTACAAGTACAGGTACTGGGTATCAACTCGAACAGCCAAACCTCGCGGTGATGCTGTTAGCGTTTTTCAATCTGGCAGGCTTTCTTCAATGCACATGCTCTCACCCAAATTTGAATCAAAGCTTGCGATGCCGCAAGGGTGCGACCGTCTGACTATCAATATTTTTTTTTCAAGCCTCGGGAAATGGATCCCGGATTGTGGGCGCCGCCACCACCATCCCGAGGGCTCGTAAGACAAGGATACATCCAAGATATTGAAGGAGCCCATTGTTCCCTAGGTACATAAGGCATGTAGCTCACTCCTTATCAGCGACTTTCGCGTGGAAGAACCCATGGCGCTCGCCAGATCCGCGAATGACCGAGTCCGGTCATACCTGGCCACAGTCACCTCCGACAACAACTACGATGGATATGACACCCCGGTTCTTCGCCAGGTCACTTTCGTCGGCGCCGACGTCGAACAGAAAGCCACTACATTCAAGTTTGTGGTGGAAGACTTCATGTCCAACCTTGACGGCAACCTACACGGGGGCGCTGCTTCGACCATTTTCGACAATCTGACCTCCACGGCGCTGTTCACCATTGGCAAACCGGGGTTCTGGGACAATCTCGGCGTGAGCAGATCGCTCTCCGTGGTTTTCCATCGACCCTTACCGCTGGGCACCTCTGTGGTGCTGAGATGTCGGGTAGTGTCGGCGGGTAGAAGACTCACCCATCTCGAAGCTGTGATGGAGACTGCCAATGGAAAGGTGTGCGCGTCGTGCATCCACGAGAAAGTGAGAGTCGAGGTTCCGACCATGTAGCCTCGTTCCACACACCCAGCACTGACAACTTGAACTTGCCGCTGGAGCTCGGCGACCCGTTCTGTTATCGCGTCTCTAGTCGCGGTGGTCACGATTGCTGTTCCATTTGGGGGTTGGATATGGATTTTGTGGCATTGCAACGGCATATTTATAGGCATACAAGAAAGTGGCAGGAGGACTGCGCCTACTAGATGGTACGAGGTAGACGAATCTGCCCAAAATCAGAAGACAAGCTTCGGGTCATAAGGTTCTTATGTTCGAAAATCAGAACGGCCGACCTTAAGTTAAAGAGAATCATGAAGATATTGGTAAGGCAAAGACCAATTAACCTTTGTCGTGTGGCATTTCTGATATTGACTTGACGAGGCTCCGCGGTCTTCCACATATACACGCTAGAGAGAACGAGCGCTGGGATAATTACATTCTCTGTACAGAAATTAGGACATTCTCCTCCCCCCCTTTTGCCCCACTTGAAAATGATAGTGTCGCTATCGGAACATCGTTTCCTGGAATTTTTTGTCAACACCGACAACACAACCCATCGCAGCCCGGCTAGACAAGGAAGACCCTTTGTTCCAAACTGCACCCATATCTCCAGGGGGGTGTGGATTCCGATTGTTTGGACTGAGGTTACGGCAAGCTTTTCCATCAGATCCTAGAATCACATTACTCAAATACACCCGTCGCATCCGAGGATTATCAAGAAATGTTTAATCCACGGACTTCGCTCCTTCTGGTAGGACGCACAGACATCTCTCACCGCTGTCCGAACAAAGCTTTCCAGCCACGGAATCGGGACTTCAAAATTGTGACACTCGCGCCCAACACCGTCTTGACGCCAACCACCATGTAGACTGGCTGTTCATAATCCATTTGCTGAAATAATTTCTTACCTTCAGTTCCGCTATCGCAGCGTCAATGGACTTGCGGCTCGGTTCAAACTATTCCGTGAGCGTGCACTTGAAACTGTATGTCTTAACGTGCTTCCTATCGTAGTTGATACTCGCATCGCCGCCCAGACCGAAGATGGACAAGAATCTGGCAAAGAGTCCGAATTCGCCTTTGTGACCTTTGCTGATCGTCTGGGAGAAGTCGTATTTGTCGGTGGGAAATCTTTTGGTATCGATTGCGGCGACATCGGGCGTGAAGAGTGTTAGCTGAGGCTGCAATGGGTCGTCAATCACGGTGCCAAAGGGCCAAGGTCAAAAAGCCGACAGGAAAGTCCCATCCTGGAACTAGGAAATATGTCAAGGACCCTGGTTACGGCCACGCTCTAGTAGTGGCTATGTGTCATGAACAGGATAACTGCTAAGACAACCACACCAGCGACGATTAGAGGAGGCCACGGAAGGAGGAAGACCCGTTAGCTGAGCTAACGCCGAGACATTGATGAGACACGAAACGCTGATTAGACACGGACTAAGAGGCTAACTACTCACACACATAAACACGAGAAGCAAGGGGATGAAGGCCTTCACGCATGCTCCTTGCACGAGAGACTCTCCCTCCTCTCATTGAACAGGGGCTAGGCGATCGGCCTGAAGAAGGAGGAGGTAATGAGTATGGCAGAAGAGCAGCTGTAAGAGAAAAGACTGAGCTCATAACTTGATATCTTGCTTGAGTGCAAACTGCTTGGTTGGCATCCGTGTTGTCTATTCGCCTGTGTGTTGCTTCTCTATCTAAAGGAAGAAAAAAGATGAAAGGAAAAGGTATTTCTCAGAGTGCGGCCTTGCGGCCAGAGCCGACCAATCAGAGCGCAGAATGATTTGCCTGTACAATGTAAAGGCACGCTAGCTCAGCCTCGTGTCTCAAAACCTCAGTAAATCATGCTCGAAGTCTTGTTGTAACTTAGGTTAAGGAAGGCTTATAGAGTATGGAATTCTAGTATTACTTTGCTATTGCACTCTGCCTATCTACATAGGCGTTCCTAACAGCGAGGGAGGCGTACAAGGCAAGTGTCGGTTGATACTGCGCCTAGTGTGGGGGGGGGGGGGGGGGTGGTGCGCCTACCACGAGGCACTGCGGTGCCGTCACGTGCTCTGCAGCGCGCACAACCTCTTGTTTGTTCTCTCTCTCGGATATGTTTGATAGCAATCAACCGTTGTTAGTGATTCTCTCTGCGCACACGCTGTGCCCGCTACATGGAGGAATGTTCAGGAGCTCAAGGCCTGATTCAGATTACAGGCAATTTGTCTATATCTCCTAGAGGTTCTACCTAAGCAGAAGAACCAGACATCATCAGCACTTCAATTCAACGATTCCGCAGAGACATCTAAACGCACACAGTCACAGGTTCAGAAGCGTCCCAGATCGCTCACGTGACCAGAACTGTCGCAGTTCAACAACCGGAGGTCAAGGGAAATACTCAACACTGATTGATTACATGATCGTTCGGTTCTGCCTATTCATCGGGCCGATCCCTCACACTGCCACCGTATTTTGAAATTCTTCAAACGTGTGAGCTTCCAGTCTGTCTAGGCTATGCAGTAATTGGTGCTTGAGTTGCCGGGGCTGCAGGGTTTGGTGGAGCTGGTGCAGCTGCTGGAGAGAGTTGTTGACTCTTCGCATTAGAACCGTTCAGGTAAGGCACGTGGCCGAGAAGTTGCCTTGCAAAAGGGCTTCTCTGAAATTTCAAGCCATTCTTCTTTAATGTTTCACACAAGTCAATATAGCTTGGATTCTCATCCAGCATGGCGTGAATGTTCGCAGGGAACAGCTCGACGTGAGCATTTTCGGGTATGGACTCGAGAGAGTGGACCGCTGCCTCTTCCAGAGTATTCCGCTTATCTTCTGGCCAGATCCTCCCACTCGCAGGACGACAAGCGAGTAATCCCTGAGTCAAATGAGACGACGGGGCTTGCCCTGGTACCGGCAATGGTGATGGCCCCGAAGTGTTTGGTGATATCTGTTTTCGGTATTTTCTGAGCTCACACACCCGGAAATTGGTCGGAAAAGTGACAAGACCCATGCCTTCCCGCGCCTTGAGTGACAAATATCCGACAATCTCCAGATCCCGGGAACGCGGAGAGCAAAAGAGCTGAAAACTCTTTTGAATTCTGGAGCCCCGAGGCTGACCACACGGTGTCTCATGTGACCGGGATTTTATGCATTTCCCCGCAATCTGGGGTCCGTCAATTTCGCCTGTGTGGAGCGGCGGGGAGTCGGGCATTCAAGCGATTAACGTACTTGCTCGGTATACTCCTGGTGACCTGGGGGGGGTCATTGAAGAAGAACCCAGTCTGAGGTGTTTCTAGGGTGTCTATCCAAGACTATATCAATGAGTAACTGTTCCCTGGGACCGAGCGTGACAGCATCCACCGATCTTCGCGTTACAGCCGTCACGAACGTCTACACACGTGAAGCAGCCCAAAATGCAATCAACACATGAGGTGGAACTGAAATCCTACGTGGCCCATGAGGATCAAGTGGGCATGGACGAATGTGATCAGGATGCTCATCTCACCAAGCGTGTGACCGATGCTGCACATCTTTTCCAAGGTATAAGCAATCCCACCCTCCCATTGATTTCTTCACTGAAAGTCAGCAGAGGACAGCGAAGGCCATGTGCTCGTGAGACTTCTCATCCCGCGTCCGACCGATGACCCAAAGGACCCGCTGGTAATCTCGTCACCCCATGCTCTCTCGGGCCAAACAAGCACTGATTTCGGTTTGTCGTTATCCTAGACGTGGCACGTGTGGCGAAAATACCTTGCTACGTTCTCCGTCAGCTACTTTATCTTTCTGTCGTACTATATTACCAGCTCTCTCAATCCCATCCTGGTCACTATTGCGACACACTTCGACGTTAGCGTTACAAGGGCGAGCTGGCTCATTAGCTTCAACGTGCTTTTCTTAGGGATCGGAAACCTCCTCTGGATTCCGCTCGCGCAAAAGATAGGCAAAAGACCCGTCATCCTGATCTGTACAGCAATGTTCTTTGCTTCGAGCATATGGTGCGCCGTGGCAAATACCTACGGGTCCATGCTTGGAGCACGAATCATCCAGGGATTGGGAGCCAGCGCCAGCGAGGTCCTAGCTCCGGCTGTTGTCGCAGATCTTTTCTTCGTACACGAGCGCGGCCTCTGGGTTGGCGTGGCCATGTTTAACATTACCCTTGGCAGCTCCCTAGGAGGAATTTTCGCCGGCCTGGTAGCCAATGCCAACTCAAATTGGCGCTGGGTGTTTTGGATGAACACGGTCCTGACAGGCGTCTGCTTCCTCGTTGCGGCTCTGTTCTCCCCTGAGACGAATTTTCGACGGCCACCGGAGAACGAAGGTGGCGAGGGCAGGCACCCTTCGGAGCTCGAAGCTATTCGAGCTCGAGCGAACAGCAGCTGGATGAAGTCCATCAGTGTCACAGGCTGGTACGACCGGTATGATCACATCACCATGGGATCGTAACGTGTAGATCGCCCCAAGCTAATTTCATCGCAGAGAGACCTCCATCTGGTGGCTGTGGTTGAGACCTTGGCTCACTCTGAGATATCCTGCTGTCCCATGGGCCTCGCTTCTTATCGGACTGAATCTTGGTGCGTATGTGATGATATCAACTGCAAATTCAGCCGTCTTCCCAGAATTGTACAATTTTACCTCCCTCGGTGTCGGTAACATCGCGATTGGTGTGAGTCATCGGCTCTTCCGATTCAATCCAATTCTCCATCGGCTGACAATCGCGCAGTATCTCATATCCGGTATCTTTGGGTGCCTTGCCGGGGGGCCCCTCAGCGACTGGCTTGCTTCCACCATCACCAAACGTCGAGGTGGCTACTTTCTCCCCGAGTTTCGCCTGTGGTGCCTGATCCTTCCGGCTGTCTTCGTGCCGATCGGTCTTTTGATGTGGGGAGGAGGGCTGGAGAACCGTTTGTCACCATTTGTGGCAATTGTTGGCTCAGCCATCTCATGTGCTACTACCAATGCAGTCGTATCCACCTGCATAGCCTATGTGGTCGACTGCTATCGCCCGTTTGCTGGAGATACCATCACCGTATTTACAGCGTTCAAGAATACCGTGACATTCGGTCTCACCTTCGCCGTATTTCCCTGGTTGGCAAAGTCCGGCCCTCTCAAGGTAAGCTCAGAAGTGGCGCCTTCGTCGGATTAAGAATTCCCTTACTAATGTCGACACAGTTGTCCGGTTACCTGCTCTTGATAGAAGGAGTAGTGTTCCTGTCTGCCATTCCAATGTACGTCTATGGACATCGCTTGCAAAAATGGTCCACCAAGTTTGCGATTTGAGACCCATGAAGTCACATGGCCGACTATAGTGTCAGTCTGGATCAGAGATTTCGAGATCGAACCAACGCCGATCTCATCCGAGTTGGAAAAAAGGACTTGAACGAAGAGAATGCGGTGGGCCCGATGGAGTGGTCTCGCATCCAGATAGAGGTTGCAAAGACGGGGTCTATATGATTCTTGTCAGAGATGCTGGACGCATCTACAGGGTTCATATGCCGTGCACTTGATGTAACACCCTATGTTGGAAGCAGACGAGAGAGTTGTTTGCCTGAATTTGCGGACTTTAACGTTGATATATGACCTAAAGCTGTAAAAAGGGACGGTCACCACATGGTGCATAGACATACCAACCGTGATGGCTTTGCAGATGATTCATTTCCACTTCTGATCCTCTTAACGCGCTCATTGTGAAACAAATCCTCAGGATATCATGCATATAATCTTGCCTTTGGTAGTATTCGCAGCCAGCAACTCATGAGCCGCTTGAATATCCTTCCAATCGAACACTCTCTCAATGTAGACCTTGAACGATCCATCCACGAACTTGGGCAAAGCTATCTCGATGATGCGATCGCGCAGCTTTCCCTGATATTGCTCATTTCTCGACCGCAGGGTGCTGCCTTCGTACCTTATCCTCTTCTTCAAGAACCGACTGATGTCGACCGGCTGCTGTATCACTGCTCCGCCTAACGTGCCCAGGCTGACGATGTGACCCTCCTGCGCGACGGCTTCGAGATTTTGGTTGAAGTATCCTGCACCGACGACGTCGATTATCAGGTCCACTCCTTTCCCATTAGTGTATTGTAACAAGTCTGCCGCCCAGTCGCCGTTCTTGTAGTTGAATCCTTCGGTCGCCCCAGCTGATTTGCAAAAGTCAATCTTTTCCTGCGTGCTAGTCGTTACGTAAATCGCACTCGCGCCGTCTGCCTTTGCGAGTTGGATGCCAGCAAGTGCAACACCGCCTGCACCAGCATGCCATAAGATACTTTGTCCGGGTTTGTAGCCACCAACGAAATACATTGCCTGAAGAGCGGTGAACCAGGTTTCGGGAATTCCGGCCGCTTCTTCCCAGGTAAGGTTCTTTGGTTTGTGGATCAGCGTATGCGTGCTCACGGCAATATATTCAGCGTACGCGCCTCCATATGCGAGCCCGAATACTTCGTCTCCGAGATTGAAGCTGCCTTGCTCCGTGGCGATGGCTTCGATCGTCCCTGAAAACTCCACGCCCAGTGTTGATGGTGCCTGTGGAGGCACAGCATATCTTCCCTCACGTTGGAGTATGTCCATACGATTCAGACCAAATGCTCGGATTCTGACGAGTGCTTGGTTCCTTGTGGCCACAGGTTTGGGGGCGTTCTCGTTGATAAAGAGGGCCGAGAGAGGCCCTTTGCCGCCTTTGATATCAATTGCTCGCATTGGAGATATCATTCCGCTTCTTGTACTGAAGTGATCTTCCTCCTACAGATATTGGAAGGTGTATAGATTATGACTATGGCTTCATTATCGACATATCACAGCGAGATATCTTGAGGATGGAAAGCCTTCTTGGTAACGAGGGAAAGGCAGAAGGGGATTACTACTCATCACGAGTACAAATACTACTTTGGTAAGCTTCTGCTATGTTTCCTCCAAAACATCCACTTTGACACCGATACATCTTAGACTATGACGGACATAAGAAGGAAAGTTTGAGCCTTCAAAGTTTTTCACCGACACCAGCTCATGACTCCATAGCCAAGTGGCACGTGAACGGAAAATATAAGAAGCCCCGCAATGGCTGCGAGCAGGCATGCCCAGATATGCCCCCAGAAATTCCCCCCAGAAATTCCCCTAGAGCAACACAGACTTGCTTCCTGCTCCACGATCAAGATGAACACTCGACGGCCTCGGACGAGCTGTACAGCATGTCGAGCCGCGAGAATTGGTTGCGATGCAGCTGCTCAGAAGCCCGCTGCTTGTAGCAACTGTGTGCGCAGGGGAAAATTCTGCGACATTAGCACGACTGCTATGCACAATGTCGCACGACGAACCCAGGACGATACGGTCAGCACGACCGCATGGGAGTCATCCAACGAAGCGGCTTCTGAGGACACAGCATGGCACGATTCAAACGATAATTTTATGCCGCAAGCAACGTCGAGAATCTCGGCGGAGGGCATGGCGCAGGACGCGGCTTCTCAATTCTTCGCAGCGAGGCGTCCGGCGTTTTCTGATCCATTTCCCGCTCCAACATCATCTACCTTTGATGCCAACAGCGTCGCATGTCGCAGAATGCATGCAACTATGCTGAATGGTCTTTTATGGGACATATACTTCAAGGTTTTCGAATTGCGGTTTGCAATCTGGCTTGGGAACAGTTGTCGTCCCTATCTGGACTTTACACCCGTGAGGATCATTGCTTCACGCATTCATTACCCATGAGCTGACTCTTTAGCGTTTCAGAAACCCAAAGCCTCCATCATACAACTGATCCTTGAACTGGACGGGTGTGAAGACTTTCATGGGCCCAGTTCGCAGAAATATCTCCCACACGCTCCAAACACACTTCTCGATGACACTCGCAAGAGTGTCGACGCTGAACGCATGATGAACGACGCCCTTCTCACTGCCATCTATGCTTATGCCGTGCGCTGGCTACCATTACAGAGTGCGTATCGAAACACAGATGATCAAGGGGCGTCCGAATGTCAAAGCCGAGAACAGGACGTCCGGTCATACATGTGGCGTCAGGCCAAACAGGCCATTTTACATGCTTTGACTCGACCCAGTTACAGATCCATATTGGCTTTGTTGTTGTTTACTTCGACCGAGATGCCGACCGAAGACGACGATCCGGGATTTGTTCAGTTATGCAACCAGGCTCTGTTCAGCCACTTACATATATTGAGAAGCCCGGTTAAATGGCAGGCAAAGACACTATCACCCAACCAGCTGGCGGCTTCGTCATCCAACGACCGGGTCGTATGGTGTGTCCCGGAGGATGGTAATGCGAAGCATAATCAGGAGCCAGACAATGTATTCTGGCTGTGCGTGGTGTTCGGCTGCTCTCGCGCCCTCCTCCGCCTGCAACCGTCTTTTATACTGCTTGGCAACTCAGGTGACGAACAGGTCTGGAAATTCATTCGCGAACGGACGGTGATATTCGACCAGTCATTTGGAACGTTAAAAGGATCTCAGACCCCGCTGACGCCGGACATTGCAGAGACAGTCCTCCAGCATGCAACAGCGTGCAAGACCATGTACATCGGCGTCATCACCCAACTATGCGACTCTCTTTTTCACCACAAGCTCTTGCCCGTTGAGATAGCATCCCAGGCCGTGATTGATGAAGCCCAGCGGTTCCACGACGTCTTTGACCACCTATTGGCCATGTGCGCCCGTGACTATATGTTCCTCACGTCTGAGAGTCAACTCAATTATCGTAAGTCTCGCAGATCAACATCAACACCACGGTCAACGGGCATATGTACTAACCTACCCTTTATAGTGCTTCTCGTAACTCACTATCATCTGGCCTCGTTAATTCTTGCAGACATTCTTGACAGTCAGGACACCGTCTCAGAACATTTAAAGAACCCGGTACTGTCACGCTCTACTTGCTGTCAAGCCATTGTAAATGTATTAAGCCTAGTTTTGACCCATGATCGACATTCTACCGTCGACGACTTTGCCTACGGAAGTAAATTGCTGCTTGATCCTTCACCTGAGCTCATGGCTGAGGTCCTGCTTCGAACGGGCAACGCTATCCTTGTCATGCATACTTCTGGCGAGATCTCGACGTATACAACGCAGACCATGTTGTCCATCATCTTCAGCGCTTCGACGATCGTATCGGAGATCTCTCGAAAGGCTGCCTTGGTGTTGTCCATCTTACGTCAAGCATGTGCAGCACGCAACCTCAAGGTTTTCGAAGAAGACCCGCGATGTACCTTGAGGGCTCCTACGACCGATCTTGCCGTCCTCGCTGCCTGCGACCTAGAGGCCGTCAGTAGCTTCTTGCAAGAAATGGAAGTTCAGTCCGCCTTGCATGCATCTAACTTGAACAATATGGTCAAGCTTTATGAGGAAAAATGGATCTACACGGCCCAAAGTTGAAGGTGTTTTAGAACGACTGTCAGCTTGAGAAATCAAGGGATTTCATGCGAATATCCATCATGTCTACTTTTTGAGCAGAATCCATATCATCAGGGAGCTTGGAAAAGAGCGAACTTTGTTCCACTCCTCCCGGAGCCTCGTAATTTTACCCTCAGATTCAAACTCGGCAACGGTCGCGGTATAACGTGCCCTCCTTTCGCACACCTCCGTACACGTTCAATTCTCCCTCCAGTGCGATAACGCTATGAAGCCCAATAACGCGTCGCTTCGTCCGAGAGGCTGATGGTAATCCCGTCAAGTTCTCCTATTTCCGACCCGGAGATAGTGCAGAGAATCAAAGACGGCTTTCACATTCCACATTTTCCGTGCGACTGACTCTCCGCGCCATAGCACACCGATTGCGAGCTTTATGCTCAACTAATGCGTTACCTTCGTCAAGAATGCCGCTGCTTATTATTAATGCGTGAAGGTACCCGTCTCGTCTTGACGAATTGATGTCCCGCTCTCGGATCCTCAAGGGTCACCATCTAACCTACACGATTCCATACCGTTAGGCAAGCAGCCTCTTGTACGCCTTCGTTCGGTGTCGCTGTCGTCACGCTCTCTCATCCTAGTCCGACAATCTTCTCTCTTCCTTGCGCTCACAAAATCGCATTGCCTCACAAAGATGAAATCAGCACACGTTTTCAAGACGTCTGACGAGCAATTTGAAGTCCGGATCCAGGACATTCCCATTCCGAAGCCCGAAGCAAACCAGGTTCTCATCAGAGTCGTCGTCTCAGGCACAAACCCCAAAGATTGGAAACATCCACTACGATTCCCAGAAGCTAGTGGGATGAACACTGGTGATGACATTGCCGGGTATGTCGAAGCATTCGGCTCCAATGTCACCGAGTTCAAGGTCGGCGATCGCGTTGCAGCGTTCCACCAAATACGCACTCCGAACGGGTCTTTCGCAGAGTATGCAGTTTCGTGGGAAAAGACGACTTTCCACCTGCCCAATTCGACCTCGTTCGAAGAGGCGGCAACGATTCCCCTCGCTGCTATGACGGCCGCCGTGGGACTCTTTTGTCGACTAGGCATACCTGAGCCATGGGTCACCGTGTCTCAGGCACGCAAAGATGCTCTGGCGGGAGGGGTGGTCGTCTATGGCGCTGCTTCGGCCGTAGGAGCATTCGCTGTCAAACTCCTCGTGCGCTCGAAGATACACCCTGTCATCTGCGTGGCAGGTCGCGGAACCTCCTTCGTCGACGGTCTCATTGATAGATCTCAAGGCGACACCGTTGTCGATTACCGTGCCGGAAACGACAGTGTCGTTGCTGGAATTCGTGCTGCTATCCCCCAAGGCCAGAACCTCATGTACGCCTTTGACGCAGTCAGTGAGAAGGGAAGCTACCAGAACATCACGAAGGTTCTCGATTCTCGTGGGCACCTCAGTTTAGTCCTTCCTGGGCAAGTAAGCCCAGAGACGATCAATAAGACTTTGACCATAGTCAGCGTCGTGCACGGTGGTCCGGATGACCCCACGGATTTTGGGTATGCTTGGTTCCGCCTGTTCAGTTTGGGCCTCAAGGAGGGTTGGTTCAGTGGGCATCCCTATGAGGTTATTCCCGGCGGACTGAACGGAGTGAAAGTTGGGTTAGAGAGATTGCAGGCTGGTAAGGCGAGTGCTGTGAAATACGTATATCGCATCGATGAGACTGCCGGTATTCGATCGTAGTTAGACAGAGGATTTTGTATCAGTGACTACAGGTGCTCCAGGAGCATGGAAGAATGAAGGATTGTTTCCGAGAAGAATAAAGTTAGCTTGTGACTGAGAGCGAAGAACCTTTGTCAATTATTAATAGCAATCACAATCTACCAGCCGCTGGGGCCATGAATGCCAAAGCCGGCGGTATTATCCGCTAAGCTCGTAGGACCCCCATTCAAGTGCCCACGTATCATCTATTCAATCAATTCTTTCAGCCTCAGAGGGACCAATGCCTCCGTTCCACAGGACTGGGGTGATCACAATGTCAATAAACCTCAACTTTTTCTGGCATTGACCATGAGGCGCTCTACTCACTACCATCCAGGGTTTCTCGTGAACAGCAGCCTCTGCCGATCAGTTTGCAAACGCTCGATTTCAGATGTTCGCAACACATCCTTGAGCTTTGGGAACAGTTCCAGGGCATTTGTGCGGCCAATCTTCGCCACATCTGTATGGCTAATCGGCAAGGTGTCCACCCACGTAGCACCTTCAGTGATGTTCTCATAAGGGGTATCAACCGAGAAGAGCACTCGCCCGATACCGATCTCAGTGATTGCATGGGCAAGGGTAGGGGTTGAGAAGAGCCCGGCCGTGGTGATGTAGATGTTCTGCTCGAAGTACTCCCTCAGTGTCTTTTGCGAGGGTAAGTTACGCCCTCGGCTTCTCTTCTCGAGCCAGTGGTCCATGCGAGTGAGGTGATTGAGGATCATTTCGCCTATACATTCGAGAGTGACATAGTCAGCCCGGATCGTCACTAATATTGAAGGACTTCCAGGAAGTTGAAGTAAAGTAAGCTGTGCGTTTGAAGACGTACCCATATGCCCCAGGATGATCTTCACCCTGGGATATCGATCGAACAAGCCACTCGTGCACAAGGCAAGGGCTTGGAAGCTACAATCTCTCGCGAAGCTATACACTGGGCCTACCAGCCACGGTCGATGTTTGTATAGACGAGCAAAATCTTTTGGCAGTGGCAATTTTGGATGCAGATAGATTGGAACATCGAGTTCCTGTACTTTGGCCCAGAAAATGTCGTACTTTGGCTCATCAAAGCTCCATTCTTCGACCGCAGTGCCATCCTCTCTTAGATACTCCTGGCCACCGTTCAACATTGCTCCGAACATACCGAGCTCGTTGACGCATCGGGATAGTTCGGCCACCGCCGTGTTTGGATCGTGCATGGGTAGGGATGCAAATGCCCCGAACCGCTCAGGTGATGTGCGCACGAGGCCGGCCAGATAATTGTTCGACTTGATGGCAAACTTTTCCGACTCAATGGGGTCGTGAATACCCTGAGGTCCGCTTCCGTTTTGCGAGATGATCGCAAACTCGACCCCATTATCGTTCATCTCCTTCAGTCGAGCCCCATGCAGATCGACCAGGGCTCGGAAAAGCGCGGTGCCATCGCGAGCGATGAGGTTCAGTCGACCAATGATGTCCTCGTCAGGCATCGAAACATGTTCTTCGAGGATGATCTTGCCTTTCATTCTGAGCAATCTGGTCTTTGTTACGAAACAGAGCACTTGCAATCTCACTGTTAATCTGTTGCTGGAAAGGCGACACAACGAATTTCATTAAAAGGCCCCCATATAACTGCTCAGTGAAGGGCTTCGGTCTGGCTTTGGAGTGAGCCGCCAGCTTTTGATCTGAAAGGCTTTCACTCCTTGTATTTCCGTTCGGTCAATGATCTGTAGAGGCCGAAATCCGATCACGTGGAGTACCTGTCCTGCTCGAATTTACCTATACCCTGTGCTGTGGCTGATAGGTGGGTATCCACGAACGGAGTATTCAGCGTAGTCTATCCAATCCACATCGGCGCAATCAAAACAATCTGGAATATTCTACAGAGGTTTTTAGGCTCCGTTCTCCCTTGACGGCCACGCGCCATCTTCACTACCTCACTAGCACGCCCGTTCCTTTCCCAGGTCCCGTATTGACCATTTAACGCCCGCCTCTCAGAGACGCTCTCGACCGAGCGTATCACGACGCCCATCTCGTAAACCATACTTCTCCGCAACCTTTTTCCATCCGATTTGGCCCACCAAATACGCTGTTGACTGGGTGTGGTTGCTATTCAAAGGTTAGCTCGCAGCTCTTCAAAAGGAAGACTGGGTATGACTCGTACTTGGTCAAGACGGGGCACACGCTGAGGTCAACCACTCGTAAGTTCTTGACTCCCCTAACACACATGTTTGTATCAACGCAAGCGGTTGGATCGTCTGCTCGTCCCATCTTCACGGTGGCGACAGGATGCAAGACACTCCCAAGTTCTTTCCTAATGAAAGCCAGCACATCTTCTTTACTGTCTGTCTTTGGAGCGTGATAGCGACCTCCAATGTACTTTGAGAGGTGCGCCGAGTTCACAAATCTCAGCAATTCTCTTGTTCCATCGACCAAGGTTGCGCGATCGTAAGGGTGTGCCAGAAAGTTGCCGTCGATCACCGGCACGGCATGAGGATCGTTGGAGCTCAGAATCACACTGCCCCGGGACTGAGGATTCATGAGCATGACACACATGCCTATCGCATCCTCCCCGTTTTGTCTTTCCAGGACCCGCGGGACATCGCCAGCCAGAAAGACTTCAAATTGAGGAGCGTCGGGTTGGTTGATTCGCTGCTGGACTTCGCGAGGGAGCTTGCTGAGTTCCTCTTGCGAATAGAGCTTTTTGTCTAGTTTAAGGAATCCCACCAGGTTTGCCAGTTCTCTGAATGCTTCGCTGCCCGTCCGACTCCGCAGCCATTCCTTACGAGCTGCGAGCAAGGCTGGTTTGTTGCTAGCATATGCCATCTTGTCCGACAACGCAGAAGAGCAGCCCCACCTCAAAGGCAAGAAGACATGGTCGAGCATGTCTTTACCGACCCTAGGAAGGTTGACGCGACAGGGGATTCCCAGCTCCTGCAGTTCGTCCTTGGGCCCGATGCCACTCAATAACAGAATCTTGGGAGTATCGATAGATCCAAGGGATAAAATCGTCTCGGCCTTGGCTCGCACTTCTCGTCCATCGGCAAGAACAACGCCAGCGGCCCGGAGTACGTCTTCCGCCGGATTGTCTTCCAAGATTATCCTGTGGGCGATAGTGTTCGTCCAGATATGGAGGTTTGGTGGCAAATTGCTTAAGTATGCCGTTGCACTGGTTGTCCTGGAGCCTTCGTATGAAGTGGTCGTCACTGCGGCAAGTCCAATAGGATGGCCACTGTTCTGATCTGGATTGATGGGCCAGCCGAAATCTTGAGCTGCTTGCATCAGAATGTCATTTCCACGGGGCCATTGTTTTCGAGGAAACAATTGTAACCCTAGTGGACCTTTTGTGCTGTGAGCGCCTTCCACCAGCTTGACCCACTGGTTCTCGTCATTGTCGTCCTCGAATGACAGATTCTCAATCTCCTTGTAACGTTCGAGGACGTTGTCCCATTTATAAGCGTCATCTCCCACCATCGAAGCCCATGTGTTGTAGTCCGATGCCGCACCGCGTATGTAGCCTAGGTAGTTAGCAAGGCTGGACCCTCCTAGACCTCGTCCGCGGTAGTAAGTCAAGATTCGTCCATCGAGATGCTTTTGAGGCGTTGTTTGATAGTCAAAACGAATGTCTGGATAGTGATGGACACTGGTGTATCTCTGGCTGGGAAGATATAATTCTGGACGCTGGGCATCACCACCCGCTTCGATCAACAAAACATTTGGTGCAGCGTTCGAATGCGCAATTTTCGAGGCGATGACAGCACCGCTATTGCCTGTGATACGTTGAGCGCATTCTGCGCTGTGAGAGCTTTCCCACACTTACCCGCGCCAACGACAATGAAATCAAAGGTTTCCCTGTGAGCGGCCATGTTGTCCAAGAGTATAGTGAGGGATCGAAATGCTCTCCAAGGCCGGACCTTAAAAGTGATTACTGAGACTGTGTCTCAGTCAACCCCCAAAGTCCTCTCATCCACAGACAGCAAGAGGCCCGACTATTGATGCTGAGGCCATCATGCATATCCTGCCACCTATCCGATTCCGGCCTACCAAGTGCCAACCAATCTGGAATCTTGCTCAAAGGCTCCAAAGGAGTTTGGTGGTCATGTAAATTTAGATGACATTGAGTCCCGAGGTTTTTTTGATTCTCCGCCAAATGGAACAACCTCGGGCAACACTGGCCCATTCCCCGGCCACGTGAATTTTCCTTCGTGAATGTGATCTACCTTGCATGGCACGCCAGGTTTAGCTGCTTAGACCCGTGGTAGTAAGATGCTTGGGTCGTCCCCATACCTTTCCGCAGAATCATAATAAGTCGACCTTTCGCAGCTTAGAGTAAAGTTGAACCAGCAATTAGGTAGTACATACCTATGCTTCCTTTAGTTCTTCTTCTCACTTCACCATGGGTTCCATTCAGGAAACGCCGGGAGGAACATACGTTCCCCATTATGCGAAGATCACCAGATTTTCTCTCAGTTCGGACGACCCTGCAGACTTCTTCGAGGTCCACAATCCAGCAACAGGGGAAGTCATCACAACGGTAGCAGGATGCGGCGAGAAGGGGGTAGAGAAGGCTGTAGCCATTGCTCAGAAAGCTTTTGACGATTTATGGAGGTGGAAAACACCAAAAGAACGATCAGAACTGTTGCTGCGCGCGGCCGACCATCTGGCAGCTCACAGCGAGGAATTGGCGTATCTCCTGTCCATGGAGAACGGGAAGCCCGTTACCCAAGCAAGACAGGCCGACATCACATTTGTGGTCAACATCTACCGTTTCTTCGGATCACTTGTTGACAAGCTGCCTAGTGAGCTCTACGATCAAGGCAGTATTTATTCCTCAATCATCCATGAGCCATACGGTGTCGTCGCGGGTATACTGCCATTCAACTGGCCCGCCATTCACTGTGGAGGAAAGTCGGCGCCCGCTTTGGCAGCGGGTAACACCATCATTCTGAAACCTGGGGAACAGGCACCCTTGACCGTTATGCGGATTGTCGAACTCGTCTCCGAGGTGCTACCTCCAGGGGTTATCCAGGCACTTCCGGCCGCTGGAACGAACATACCTGCGAAACTCGTTTCACATCCGACCGTTAAGAAAATCTCCTTCACCGGCTCAACTAGAGGTGGAGCAGCGGTGAGCAAGCTTGTTGCAGACAACATTACACATGTTTCGCTTGAGCTTGGTGGCAAGAACTCTCTCATTATCTTCGATGACGCTGACATCGACTTGGCAGTCCGAAGTGCCATGGACGGCGGCTACTTCAATCAAGGGGAAGCCTGTACTGCTGCATCCAGAGTGATTGTGCAACGAGGGGTCCACGATCAGGTCGTAGCCAAGATGGCTGCTGCCGTAAAACGCCTTGTCGTCGGGCACGGAGCCCGGGAAGAAACACATGTCGGCCCTCTGATTACCAAGGAACATGCGAAGAAGGTGGCAGCTTATCTAAAACTAGGCGTCTCTGAAGGAGCCAAAATCGAGGCGCAAGCAGCGCTGCCTACGGACCCGGCCCTGAGCGATGGCTACTGGGTAGCCCCCACGCTATTCACTAAAGTTACAAGAGATATGAGAATTGCACAAGAGGAGATGTTCGGGCCCATTGTTACCGTCAACGTGTTCGATACATACGAAGAGGCTATTTCGATTGCCAATGAGCCCGAGTACGGCCTCGTCACCGCCATTTTCACCCAGGATACCACCAAGGCTCTCAGAGCTGCACGAGACATTGATGTGGGAATGGTCTTCATCAACAACTACACCAGAATGGCCCTTGGCACCCCTTTTGGCGGCGCTAAACACAGCGGGTATGGGAGAGAGCACTGTATTGAGACCCTTCGAGAGTACAGCCGTCCAAAGAGTATCCGCATTCCGACGGGACGGGCGCCGATTCCGGGTTGGACGAAACTTGGAACTCTCTTTGAGCCTCTGCCTAAAGTCAATGGCGCACATCTTTGAAGAGCGTGAGGAGTAGATTTGTTTTTTTCCGTACCAGGCCAAGAGGGAACCGGTGCTGCTAAACTCAGATGCGCTCAACGTTATCATCTTTTCACAATACACAACGTCCATAGCTAAGGACACGCGTCGAGTTTGATCTGCAACAGGCATTAATGTTGCAGGGCACCTGCGTATTGGACTAATGTATGTAGTGTTTGATGGAAAGGACTTGCATCCATCCAAAGGGGTTTATAAATGAAATTGGACGGGTAAGAGTACTAGTTCCTGTTTCCTTCAAGATATATTGGCACCTCTCTAACAGTATGGTCTAACTAAATCTCATTATGTATCCTGGAGTAGTAACAACATCATCTTCTTCCGATCATAAATGGAAGGTTCTACGCGCTGATAATTGTCAACATCATTGTGTCTTTCTCGATATGCGATATGGGTAACTAACTTGGAATCGAGGCCACGATCTTGCTCTGGTCATAGCCAAAGACTTTCATGGCCCCGAGTTTCGCCTCGTGCAAATCAAGTTTGTCAATTTTTGCTTGTAGTGTTGCTCGCGTTTCCAGCAGCTTCTCGGCCACCTCGGGCCATCCCAACTTCGCCGACGAGATTGGAAGAAGTGCCTCAGCACTAGCATCAGGAAGGATCGGCAACAGCTGTCCCTCCTTTTTCCTGACGATGCCATCAACAATGGTCGTAACAACATCTGCGGGTGTAGAATGCATGACGATAGCCGTGACAGGATCCAGCTGTGCTCCACAGATCATATTTGGTGTCAAGGCATCGAAGACAATAATATCTGCGAGTTTACCTTGAGCGATGCTGCCAATCTGATCATCCATGCCAATTGCTCGGGCACCGGCTATCGTGCCCAGTGCGTAAGCCTCTTGCACGGTCTTGTATACTCGGGCGGGTTTTAGTTCTCGCTTCAGGAACTTCTCGTTCCAAGTGCCCCTGGAGCTCTGTAGTGCCATGCGCATCTCGGCCGGAATGCTTGCGAGAACGACGTTATGGCAGTCTATGCCTAAGGACGAGTGCGACTGTATATCGCGCTCCGGATCGAAACACGCAGGCGTCCCAATGCCCATTTGTAGTTCGACTGAAGGTGTAGTGGAAATGTGGGCGTTTCGCTTCTTGATCAGACTGATGTCTTCTGATGACAAATAGTTCGCATGTGCAAGAACTGTAAAAGGGCCGAGAAGTCCCAATTCATCCATTTTCTGAACCGAAGATTGCGCGCCTAGAAGACTCGACGTTAGAAGAGTGTTGTATTTTGTTTCTTTTTGGCAAAGGACGGGTGAATGAACTGACCATTCTTGGGAGGAGAGTTGTGTGTGGTCAAGTATTTTATCCCGAGCTTCCTGATACTATCAAAAAATTCTGAAAGTGTTTCTTTTGGATGAAACCAACCATCGAAAGCGACACCGAGCTGTACCCTGCCATCCCCAAACGGAGCGCGCAGTGAAAGAGTTTTCAGATAGTCCATCGCCCAAGGTGCGATGAATGGTTGTTCGGTCTTGAACGGGGACCAGCTTTCTACCCTCGCATTAAAACAATAGCCGTAGATCGCGCGGAGCCCGGAAGAGGCAGTGGCAGCGATGGCAGCTTTGGCTGCATCCACAGCGTTATTAGTCGACCTCACCGCAAGTAAAATATGCGTTTGTCAGTAACGTACGGTGGTCTGCAGAATAGTTCAAATGGCTGTGATCCACCACTGTTGTCGTGCCCGCGCTGATGCATTCCAAACACCCGGCTAACTGGCCCCAGTAGATCTCTGTAGGGTCAAAATTTGCGGCTTGGAAAATACCTGCGGTTGAGCATGAGCATATGGCTCTTGTATTAGTCGCTAAACATGGGGGCTGCCGGTTATGTGCATACCTTGGGCGAGGTAATCCTCCATCAGGTTGTCTCCATGCCTTCCTCTTAATGCGATCGAGTACATATGCCTGTGGGTATCGATGAATCCCGGTGCCACTATCTTGTTTTTGCAATCGATGATCTCGATACCAGGTTCTGCTTTGATGTTTGCGGCAATACTGTCGATCCGGTTTCCCTTGACGAGAACATCTACTCGAGTGGCCTTCGCGCGATCTTGTTCATCATGGATGATGACGACGCCATCTTGGAGCAAAATCCGTCGGGTACCATCCGCCATTACGCACGCTGGCTCGGTCGACGAGAGGAGAATCTTTGTTAACAATATGAGCCGCGTTGAATATGCGTCGATGAGAGGCCTCAATTTCTTCTTCCCTCCTGAGTAACAAGAGACGATTTCAAATTCCTTTTTCCTGTGCGGATGGTCGGATGGACGTCCACGTGAGCGTGAAATTAACCCCCAAATGAATTTACCGAGGCGGCTGAATAACGCTGAGATCTTTCAAAGCTAGACTCCCACGAGGATGCTTGCTGCGCGCTTAAGCCTAGTCATTCAAAGGTCATCTTGAAGAGAGGATTTCCCTCATTCCCATCCCACGAGTCAAACTTCCCAGTAGAGAGTGTCTTGGATTTGAACGTAAGGTTCCATAATCTTGCCAGTGAGCTTTAAAAATCACCTTGTCACCATCTGATGTATGACGATGGACATGATGAATGCACTCTTGTACTCTCTCTTGGGGCTTGTCTGTCTTGCAAGTCTATACGTATTGCGAACCGCTTATCGTCAAGGGATCCGGAATGTGCCAGGACCATGGGCGGCCAAATTTAGCATATTATACCGGCTATCTCTAATCCTCAAAGGGAAAGCCCCTGAAGAGTACGGCAAGCTTCACGAAAAGTACGGACACATTGTGAGAGTCGGACCATTTCACGTCTCAATCAACGATCCTGCTGCCATTCCCCAAATTTATGGCATATCTAGCCGGTTTGGAAAGGTAGGCTGTCCAAGAAAAAAGTCCTTCATTCAGTGCTGGCTGATAATACTTCAAAGTCAGAGTTCTATAGCGTTTCTCCACCGTACTATGATGGAAAACAGCTCGAGAACATGTTCACCACTCGGAACCTGCAAGAACATAGGCAGCTCCGCAGTGCGACAACGTCAGTCTACTCCATGACAAACCTCAGGAACTATGAACCTCATGTCGATGAATGTACCGAGATCTTCCTCGGGATATTGAAGAAATATGACGGACAAGCAATTGACATAACTGAGTACATGCACTTTTATGCACTCGACGTCATTGCAGCCATCACGTTCCAGAAGCGCCTTGGATATCTGGATCATCAGCAAGATGTACTTGGGCTGGTGGCCAGTCGAGGTTTCAGCGCCAAGTACTTCGGTATTGTGGGCCAAATCCCCTGGATTCATCGGTATCTTCTTGGAAATAGACGACTGGTGAAATGGCTGGCGAGGTTGTATCCTGACACTCCAGACCCTCATGGAACGCTCTTTGCCGTGAGTTGAGATATTCTTTTGACCTTTCCGGTAGCGCTTGACTAATCTCGTCTACTAGGTGATCGAGAAACAAATTGAACAATACGATCTTGAAAAGAGGCTGTCTGATAGAACCGACTTCCTCCAGCAGCTGAGACGTAAGGATGATCCGGACAGGGCAAACCATAAGCGTGATCTCATGAATCATCTATCCAACAATGTGTACGAGGCCCGCATTGGATTTATTGTTGTTTGCAAACTAGGTGACTGACTTGTTCCTAGTACGGCGGGAGGTGACACGATCGCAATTGCACTTCGTGCCATGCTCTACTATCTCGCCAGAACCCCCGCGGCGTACAAGTCTCTCGTCCAGGAGATTGTGAATGCTGATGCTAACGGGGCACTTTCACCCCTGATCACCTTCGAGGAAAGCCTAAAACTGAAATACTTGTGAGAGTGTGAATGTGGATTTTGGGGCGAAGCTGATAGAATTCAAGACAGGCAGTGATGAAAGAAGCCATGCGGTTACACCCCTCGATCTGCTTTCCCCTGGAACGAGTTGTACCTCAAGAAGGTGCTAATATATGTGGCTACGACTTACCTAAAGGAACTATTGTGGGTGTTCTAGCCCCCTTGGTCAACCGCAGCAAAGATATTTTTGGATCCGACGCTGAAATATTCCGTCCGGAAAGATGGCTCGAGGTTGAGCCAGACCGCTTGAAGATGATGGAGCGAACTTTTATGACTGTATACACTCCTTTTCGATCATCATCGCCTCTGTTGTTTGGAGCTAACTTCTTATGCATCTCTAGTTCGGACACGGCTCGCGTGGCTGTGTAGGCAAAAACATTGCAATGCTGGAAATGTCGAAAATTCTTCCAGAGATCATTCGACGTTTTGAAGTCGAGTGCGCATCCGAGGAAAAGCCATGGACCACGGTGGCAGGCTGGTTCTGGAAGCAAAGAGACATCGAGCTCGTATTCAGTTCGCGCCAATTTCTCTCGTGATGACATCCACTCAGAGGGAGTCCTGGTTGATTTTTCAACAGCGACTGTGATTCTGCCAGTACTTCTCGTAACAGACGGGAGTCTGGGTGTTGAGCAACAGATTACGGTTGAGCATCTGGGCCGTGAGACTCTTCAGACCTAGTTGTGGTGTTGTTCACGCACGGCACCGATCAGGCCTCTAAAGTGGATCTGAGTCACGTAGACGGAAAATGGGAGAATTTCCCTGTTGAAGGATGGTACACCCTTGATCTAGTGCCGAAGAAAACCGCGGTATCTCGTGCCGTAACGCTGCGAACTTCTCCATCATTGTTCAAATTTTCTCTCCAACAGATCTCCGAATGTAGTTCGCAGTTTCAACCGGCATGCTGAGGAAAGGGCTGTGTCCAGACTCCACAACTTCCCCACGGATCCTCAGGCTCGAGCCCATGCTTACTAACGTGTTGTTTGCATCATCTATCATTTGTCGTTGTAGAGACGGCGGCACTACCTGGTCTTTCCCGCAGATCAGATAGTGTGTAGGGATGTGGTGCCATCCTACTCCATGTGCAGAGGGCGGCTTGATGTTGCATATCCATGAATGTGGTTGGAGTCGTGATGCCCACAGACCAGCTTCTTCTGCGGGAAGGTCATTGTAGAGTAGAGTTTCTGGTCCAGCACCACCAACTTCAATTAGATGTCCTGTGCTATCGAACTTATGGAAGCCCGACTCCGAAGTGGTCGGATGCTTCTCTAGCAGCGCTACTAATGAAGTCTTTGGCGGAGGCAAGAATGCTGCAATCATTGCTATCCCCATGACGCCAGGAGATGTCCGGTCTCTGAACGAGTGTGTAGCGCTTGACGCTGGGATTCCACCGTAGGAATGGACAACCAGGAAAACATTTTTGCCTGTCGATAAGATGTTCTCGATGGTCGTGGATATAATTTCCGAGTCTGTGTCTGCGTCGTCGATGGCCGGGTTCGCAGGGTTCACGGTGGCAAGCTCCATGGTCTTGCACGTGTATCCGCAGGATTGAAGACACTCGATCACTTTGCCATAGCAAGCTGATGAGTGCCACGCGCCCGGGACGAAGACCAGCGTCGGCTTCTCGGTCATGTTCCTGCTTATTGACAAGCTTACCAGGGTGGATATTCTAGCAGCACGCCAAAACAACCCTTCTGCTTATATCTTTAGGAGAAGGGACCTTCTTAAGAGATCAGCCGCCCTCGGATGGATGCCGACAACTTACAAGGAGTATCGTTGAAGGTGTGACATGAGGGAGTTAAAAATTCCTGTCTTAAGCCATAAATGTAGCACTTACCCGAACAGGTGCTTGTTTGACTCGGGCACGGATGGAGATGACAATGTTATTGGTCCCTAGAAATACGGCTGGCTCAACCAAGTCAGTGTAGCGATCGCGGAAAATCTCCAATTCCCCGGACAGCATCAACATAATGTGTCTACCCTGGGAACCGGGGCATCCCGTCGGTAAATGCGTCGACTCCCCTTACCAATTACGATGAGCGCGACTGCATGGAAAAACCAGAGCATAAACGGCAAAGTTTTAAAGAAAAAAAAAATCACAAAAAGGAATCTATTAAATTCACCGATCGTCAAAAGTCGCATAGTCAAGGCAATACATAGCACTATCGTGCAGCAATATTCGACCTGAAGGACACTTTGGTGATTGCAAAGATGTCATCATGGGTGTCGACCGATGCGCAACCTGGATTCTCATTACAGAATCTCCCTTACGGCGTCTTCAGCACTTCGGATGACTCGAGGCACCGCATCGGAGTGGCAATCGGGAGCAATGTGCTCGACTTGAGAATTCTCGCTCAGAAGCAGGTATTCAAGCCGTTGGATTTCGACCTGAGCAGTTTGGAGCAGGCCACATTGAACTGTTATGCAGGCCTCGGACACGAGGTACACAACAAAGTACGACGGTTCTTGCAAGAAATATTAAGCTCGGACACCTTGTCTGCCGACATCCTCCGAGACAATGCTGAGCTTCGAAATGCAGCACTTATTCCAATGGAAGAGGCCCAAATGCATCTTCCAATGGCCATCGGTGACTATACTGATTTCTTCACAAGTCCTTACCATGCCCGAAATGTAAGCGCGATAGAGGACATTGCTACGGGGACAATGGAGAGCTGACTATCGCACAAGTGTACCGAGATAGTCAGGCCAGGTACGCACCTACCGCACAATTTCTGGAGAATGCCACTGGGCTATCACGGCCGTGTCTCTTCCATTGTCGTCTCCGGAACCCCTATTCAACGGCCAAAAGGCCAGTTTTTGTCGAATGATTCACCAACCTTCGGACCAAGTCAGAAGCTTGATTTCGAAGTCGAATTCGCCGCTTTCATCGGTGGAGGAAATGAGATAGGAACACCTATTAGCGTTGATGAGGCTGAATCCCACATCTTCGGCTTTGTACTCCTGAACGACTGGTCTGCACGTGACATCCAGAGGGCAGAGACTGGACTCATGGGTCCTTTAAACGGCAAAAATTTCGCGACGTCCATCTCTCCTTGGATTATCCCTTTGGAAGCACTGGAGCCTTTCCGGACTGCACCACTACTGGAGGTCAGTTTATCCCGCGTTATCATTGTGTCGATGGAGTTCTTTGCTTAAGTGATGACAATAGAATTCTCCACTGCCCTACCTAAAGGCAACGCAGACGGAGTCAGTCTACGACATCCCAGTTACCGCTTTTATCAAAGGTAGATGACGCTGAACCTTTCCTCTTGCTCTCAGAATGTATTGACACTATTTAGTCGGATCCCAAGAATACCAGCTCGGCCAGTGCAACACCAAAAACGTTCTCTTTTCCTTCTCTCAAATGCTCGCTCACCACACTGCAGGTGGGTGCCCAATGCGCCCAGGAGATCTCCTCGCGTCTGGCACGTTGTCTGGACCGACGACAGCCGAGCTCGGGTGTTTGTTGGAGTTGGCCAGGGATGGTACAAAACCTTTTGAAGCAGAGTACCGGGGTGGACGGATTAGTCGCCCGTGGCTGCTGGATGGAGATGCGGTGAGCTTCAGAGTTGAAAGAACTCATACAGGGGAAGCGTTCCCGATTAGCTTTGGAGTCTGCGAAGGGAAAATCCTGCCTGCAATAGGCACAAAATAGATTAAAGAGACAGCCTAGACCACAGCCTTCCACGCTAGCATATTTGTTGAGGTACGGGAAATTCGCATCGACCTCGGGAAATGGTCTGGAGAATTCTTGATTAAAACGCTCCATCGACGAAAACTCATTCTCCGAGGCCGGAATGATTAGCAACAAAGAATCACGCAATGCTTTTCGTCTGGGTTCGTGGGATTTACGGAGCATTTACTCGTCGTGAGAGCGTTTCGTGGGACTTGTTCCTTCACAGCTTACCCTCGCTGACTGCGCAGAGTCTCCCCTTGGTGAGCCATGTCTCGCGCTTGAGAACTGGGAAGACCGGTTAAAGTCATAAAAGATCCTTGATCTTCCAACAGGAACACCGAGGGCATCGTATTAGCATTTCTATTTATGCCTTCATCTGCTCCTTCATGACCAAATCGTCTCGACCAGACACAGCGACGCATCTCAATCGCAATGGGCAGCAATAGCAATAGCCTCAACAGCACAATGAACTTCACCGAGGCTTCTATTTCCGGTATTCCAGGGAGTCAGCGGCTGATAACGGCACACAATGGAGAGGGGAAAGCCGTTGCCGGGTCCATTGAGCCAGTCCAATGGCAGTCAATGCGAAACGGTGCAGTCTGCATGAGTCTCATCTACACAACTTCCGAGCCACTGCCCAACCTCAACGAGGATGCGGACATCAAGAAACACAACGAGAAAGTGGCAGCTGGAAAGGTTGGCCTTGTCTCTCCGGGTGGCAGTGTGTGCAGACTCACCGACTTCTCACCCAGCAATGATCCGCAGATGCATCGGACGAAAAGTCTTGATTATGGCATCTTGATGGAAGGAGAGATGGAATTGATATTGGATTCTGGGGAGGTCCATCTCATGAAAAAAGGGGATGTCGCAGTTCAGCGGGGGACAATGCATGCGTGGAGAAATCCAAGCTCGACTCAGTGGGCCAGGATGTTGTTTGTGCTGCTAGATTGTCAGCCTTTGGAGGTGGCGGGCAATAAGCTCGGCGAGGTCCTCGCACCGGGACAGCATGAAATGCCTGCCAGCGGAAACGACACCAATTCTGCGAGAGAGGGTCATCGTTAGATTTTACAGGAAGAACTCTGGATCTAGGAATGGTATTCCAGACCAAAAATAGCGGCCCTGTACTTCTTGGGCAGGCCCCAGATTAAAGGCTCAACATACGCCATCGAATTTGTAGCAAGAACATCAATAGTCACGCCAACTTCTCGTGTGCAAAACGTGTCGAGATTGAGGTTCTGGTAGCACAGAGTATTCAATGCGTAGTATTGATGTACTCAAAAGCCGGCCTCACTGAAGTGATCGATTATACAGTCTGTCGAGTTCTTCTCAAGCTCGATGAAATTCCGCGCTCCCTGTCAACCCGGCCCTTGGGTAGGAATATTAGAAATATTGAACGCCAGGGATACGGGCATGGTCGCAACAGAAGGTCTCATGTGACAGGAAAAATGCAACTAAGCAGCGTCGCAATTCGCCGTTTACATTTTGCACCATTTCCTCTTCATCTGTCTGACAAGCTCATTTGCCGCAGACTCAGCTTATATATTGACGTGGAAATATGCTGAATTAATCGGCCAATGTTCCAGTCTTTAAGCCCTCTGCCGTCCCTGCACTTCACAATCAACACTTTCCACCTACTGAAAACCTAAGAAACTAAAACACGAATGTCTGCTGAGAGAACAATTGCACTCATCTCTGGTGCCAACTCTGGCATTGGACTTGCTGTTGCCACTCAACTTGCCCAGGATCATGGATTCCATGTCATCGTTGGCTCCCGAAGCGCAGATGCCGGAGGAAAGGTTGCAGCTTCCCTGGCAGCAGCTGGAAATTCAGCTTCCTCGGTCCAGCTTGACATCACCTCAGACCAGTCAATTGAAGCAGCTGTTGGGGCTGTCGAACGTGAATTCGGAGTGTTGGACGTGCTGATCAACAACGCCGGCATCATGCTTGATACTCGGAAAGATGGTCGATCGACACGTGAGCTTTTCACCGAGACTTTCAACGCCAATATCATCGGAGCGGCCTGCTTGACGGAAGCATTTTTGCCGCTACTGCGCAAATCCTCATCAACACGAGTTTTATTTGTCACGTCGCGCATGGGATCGATTTCTGAGGCGACTAACAATTCGACCATGTACTACAACCTGGACTACCGGGCGTACGATTGCAGCAAAGCCGCCCTGAATATGCTGGCAGTCAACTATGCCAGGATCCTTGAAGACGTCGGAGCCATGGTGAATGCGGTATGCCCTGGATTAGTGAAGACTAAGCTTACGAACAACCATCCATACGGGTCTTCGCCTGAACAGGGAGCACAGCGTATCGTTGAGTTGGCGACTGCTGCGAAGGGAGGCCCGACAATGACGTTTTCCGATAAAGATGGTGATATCCCTTGGTAGTCATTGCGATCATAGAAGAGTTTATTGGACCGCGAGCACCACCGAGTCCGCCTGACCCCAGATTTTAGCCCTGTTAGCTCCAGGGTAAGTTCTATATAAGGAATCAGCCTTGTTTAGCCTCATAGCTTACGTAGTTTAAAGGGTTCGGAGAACGGTGCGACAGCGCTAATTCTTGACTTATTATACATACCCCGAATGTGCTTTATCCCTTGCCATTTTTGTTCAGGAAAGGAGCGAGGCCGCTTAAATCCGGCACGTAACGGAGCACGGAAGAGGCCTGGCCGAACACGAGAGAGCGTCGAAGGAGCCACAGCAGAGCATGGAGGGGGAGCGCGCCCGAGCACTGGGCGAGCGAGCCTTGAATGGCATAGGTCGAGGCGAGATTGCCAATAAAGAGCAGCCTAACTCTATCACTTGGACATTAAACTCTTACGCCTCCTTCCACCGGCCCTAATAGATGTAGATTAAGGCGAGATTGGCCATGCTGGCCAAACATGCCGGAGCCTCTGCGCATCGCCTTCCGAATTGGTAAGTCACTAGCCACATTGGACTAATAGTGATCCATTAACCGAAACGGTTCGGCACCAATAGGCTCTCTCCAGATGCATCGGCTCGTGCAGTTCTTGACGAAAAAGTGGCTTGAAATTCGCGATAAGCTAACCCAGTGGCAGGAGCGATATGTTGACATTCTAGGGGCGGCATTTCCCACCGGGCATTACGCCAACTGTGCGACATGCCAGGTGCTATCCCCACACGTCGAAGCCACGAAAGGATATCAGCTGACGAGTCAAGAGCATCTTCTCATATGGGCGACTATCCAATACCGAGGGACGTGGTATAGCTCGGCGGTTGGGCGATATGTTGTGGCCGAAAGGATGGCGCGTAGCAGCTTTGAAACTCGAGAGGCGATTTTAGGAGTCAGTGACGCTCAAACCTTAGACAGTATGGCCAGACTCGCGATATAGATGAAATGTCGAGGGAAGTACGAGGAGGCAGAAATGCTTAATCGATAGGCGGTAGCAGGGAGGGAGAAGGAGCTAGAGGAGGATCATCACGAAACGTTAATAAACGTAAACAATCTAGTAGTAGTGCTATAATGTCGAGGGAAGTAGCAGGAGGTGGAGTAGATAAATCGACGAGCGCTGGCGGGGAGGGAGAAGGAGCTAGGGTGGATCACCCCGACACGTTTACGAGTGTCTACTGCCTCGCACATCTACTCGACCAACTCCGGAACTACAATCAAGCATTCGATCTCTATGACCGTGCAGTCATAGGGTATGACAGAGTCCTAGGTCGGACGCATTCCACCACATTGGCTTGCCAGAGACAACGGGCGTCACTATTGGAAAAGTTGTGTCGCTCTTAAGAGGAGAGCAGAGAGGCGAATAGTGCCTATACGAAGCTACGATTGCATGACAGACATGATTCAAGATCGGGACCCGAGATATTAATAGGGAGCGAGTAACGAGACTGTGGCATGAGTAGTGTTGAATAAGGAAGTCTTTTTCAGACGGTTGGAATAAGCAGAGAGTCCCATAAGACATGTGTGCAAATATGATGTGAATATGATACCAGTGCGGAGCCTGACCAGGTGTGTGCGCCTCGGCGAATAAAAGACTACAGCCTTGTGGCGGGTGGCTCAGCCTTGTGCAGGAATGTCAATGGCTCAAGGTGTTTGCATTTAATTGGTCGCGCTGCGATGTGCCATGGAGATAAGCTGAAGTAGGAGGTCCTACTTTCTGGACCTCAATCTAAAATAAGCTCGGCCTGGATCAGGTGTGACCCGAGCATTTAAAATGACTCGTCAAAGTGGACATGGTCAGTCACTTGTAACCGTAACAAGAAGTCAGTGGTTAGTCGTACCGTCTGATACTGAAAATCTTCAATACGAACAATCTGCCAAGCATTGTCAGGGTGTACTCGGAAACAGCCGCCAGACCCGCTCAAACACTCGTACATATGGGCCAGGCGTGGTCGTAGGCGCAGACCAGGCGCCGATGAAGGACGTCATCGGTGTGCCGAGGCCTGGACTTATCTCGACGTCCCAACAAGCTGAAAAAGGTGCTACGGGTATGGCGAACTGGAGCATTGCTATCACCGAGGACTACGACGTCCACCCGACTTAGGTTCTCAGTCTCCCTCCTCAGCTTGTGCCTCCAACGAATACAACCTGCACACTGCCAAATGCTATAGTTGCAGCAAAAATCTCAATTCGCTTTGCATTAGTAAAAATAGCCAGACAAACCGAAAACATTATTGAGAAAACCATAATGACAACCAGGCGCGCTAGAAGATTGTGAATAAAATACAGCCCAAATATTGAAGCACTCGGTAGAAGGGAGGACACCACGATACTAATGACATTAGCGGCGGATGTGATTTTCGAATCAGGATAGTCAGCCAGTCCGCTTTTCTCGTAGGTCGAGACCGATTTCTAAAACACAATGAAAGGTTAGCAACAGTCTCAAAATATGTTGTGAACAATGCAAAGGCCAAAAGGTTGGGTTAACCTTATATCTATGCAAGAAAGATTTGTGAGCCAATGGTACCACGGTCTGAGACACCCATCGGGTAAAAAGATCATCAGTGGCTTGATGTTTAGAAATAGCAATGAGATCCGAACTGTCCAAAAATTCATCTTCAAGGCCACGAAAGAATTGATTTCCACCTTCAGGGCGATTGAGCCAGTCTTTTAGGATTGATCTATCATGGGACCGCGGTTTTGGCAACGAGTGAAGGGCCAGATTCTGAAGTAATGCCTCATCTTTCGGCGGCTGTCAGCACGCGGCAGGCAGTAAATACCCCCCAGAGGGAGTGCTTACTATATTCTCGGAGACAGTTTCGTATCTCAATCACTTTCTTCCATTGATTCGCATCGGCTCCCTGGGCACGCCTCATGTTGTATGCGTATGTTTGAAATGATTGACGTGTTGCGTCGTCAGACTCGCTATCTTCTTTAGCGATGGTGTCCAGCTCCAGCTCCAGATGAGCAAGCTCGCTTTGCATGTAAAGTAGGTTTTGGGCATTGAGACGGGCAAAGCGACGATACATGGCCATTCCCGGATAGTGGCTAACCAGATGTGCATATTTCGGATACCCGTCGAGAAGGTCCATGGTGAATTCGAACTGAGCAGCAGCAGACGCCGTAAGAATCAGAGGGCCGCCAAACAGCTTGTAGATTTCGAACAAAAGGATGGCTTCCAGCTGGAATTTACAGAAAGTGACTATTTACCCGACAACAGACTAGCGCCAAAACTGCCACAACACGAGGCGGGACAATTCTTTACGCGCACCGCCCTGTGAGGGATGGAGGATGAAATTTAAACAATCAGGAGGCTGCCTTACTGGCGCTGTCTGTGAGGCGATGCAGGAATAAAAATTGACCAATAGCAGGCCAGCGCCGACACTGCCACAATGCGGGAATACTCTTTACGAGCACCGCCCTGTAAGGCTAAGGACGATAAGGCTACCCTGGATAGCCATCACCCAATAGCAGGGCTACGCCGAGACTGCCAAGAACGAGGGTGCCCCGATAATCTACGAGCATCGCCATCTGCGCAGAACAACTTTGATCATGTGCGTTGGTGGCATGGCGCTACTCACTTTGCCCCATTCTTTCATAAAATCGGGGGCTCTGCTCATGACACTGACTATGGTCATGTCAAATCCCAACTCTCCAGAGCCGATTCAATATCCTTGTCCATCATTATGGATCCTGTTACTATTGCGGCGACCACCTTGGCACTCCTTCGCCCCTCTTCAGTCGCGATTGCGATAGAATTCATCTCAAAAATTCTTGATCCAGCGTTCGATATTGAAGTAGAAAAGGTAAGCTATAAGCCCACCCAGATAAAATGCACCCAGTACTTAGACATTGTGAGGACAGGTCGAGGAGGATGTAGGTTTCAACCGCGCCCATCTTCAGGTCACAGGGCCAAATGGCAGACGAGGAAAATTTTTAGCGCTATTGGATACTGGTGCAGATGCAAATTTTATAGATGTCGACACCGCCAATCTACTCGATGCTCCAATCAAGAGATGTAGCGAAGGATTGTCCTTCGACACTGCGGAAGGACGCACCATCACTCCAATTGGTGAGATCACAGTTCGGTTCAAAACCGCCACGTCGTCAGTGCACACTCAGAAGTTTTATGTGATGGAGAAGACAAGATATTCTATTATAATAGGTCATGAATTCATCAAAGAAGCAAAGTGGATGATGCGCCATCGTGATTACAGCGTACTGACGCTGGCAAAGCAGAGTGAGGGTCCGTTGTTCACCCCTAACAGCCTATTGATGATTATTTCACTGACGCTCTTGACAGCTTCCAAACAACAAGAGAAAGCCAGAAAGGCCCAGAAGGAGGAGGAAAAGAAGCGTGACAGAGATGCGGTTCTGCGAGATATGAAGAAAGATCGAACGAGTCGAGATACTCAAAGCCGAGATTGACAAGAATGTTGACAACATGCTTCGTGTCAGACGTTAAGCACGGAGCCAGCATCCGCGGGAATCACCCGAGAAGAATGTGTAACGAGAGAAGGATACGTATGAGCCATACACGTCAGGGAGTGATCTCTTGGGGGTGACAGGGAGGGCACTGTTACCAGCGGCTGGAAGCTCGTCAACGTGGAGGGATGATCCACCCCTAGCTCCTTCTCCCTTCTGCCAGCACTCGTCGGTTCATCTCCTCCGCCTCCTCGTACTTCGTACAAGGTTGTGTCCGGGGACAGGTTTGGCTGAGGACATTTGCTTACCTATACTCCCTTACTATATTCCTCTTCCCCATGTGGCTCGAGTACTGCCGAGAGTCCAAATCCGCTCTGGAGCCCGAAAGTGTCCAGACTACATTTATAGGGCGGGACCTTTCCATTATCTATGATTTCTATATGGAGAAGAAGGGTCCATGTGAGCATGCTTCTAGTTTGCTAGCGAGCCGGTCCGTGCCATTCTTCATGATATCCCGAGAGCCAAGCTCGGATGGAGAGATAGGTTCACTGGTGTTCCTGTTGACTTTTCTTGAGCCGATCTCGAATACCCGGGCTGCTGTCGAATACGAGTGCCCCGTCGGCGGAGGCCACCCACTGTGGCTTACTTCTCGCAAAACACTCCAACACCGGCTTTGGTGCCTCTGGGAACAGACCTAACGAAAGGACTGCAAATACAACTAGTCAGCATGCTTGAGGGTTTTGTTCTCGGGATACCCTGTAGCTTACACGACTGTCCCGGGAAAGCAATGGTATACCCCCGGATAGGGCTAATGTCCCGTCATATCAGTACGATGGAGCGAGCTTCGGACTCTATAGGATCCCTCACCATCCGCAGTTGGAGCAAAACTGCCTTTCCAGTTTCCGGCCGCTGTCTGTGTGTTCGTCGATCCACGAATGCGGATTCCCTTCCAAAGAGACATCGGTGTCTGGGAGCAGAAGGTATTCCATACCAGCTAGACATTCATCGAGCAGTATCAGCATCAAGTATTTGGCTGTAGACAGCATTAAACTGGCTGGGTAGGCCACTTACTAGGGCCGCCCACCCTATTGCAATGGGCGCAATGGCACCAGGTGCCACCTTTAACCATCAAGCTGGCGACCTTGGTGTTTATGACGACCTTTATCTGGCCGCAATTGCACTGCCCTTTCAAGTGAAGATCGTTGACGCCAGAAGACTCGTTGACCGTAGTTGCCATCTTGTTCTTGCCACGATAACAGTAGTTGCATTTAAGGGCCCATTGATAAAATTCCTTGAACGCTGCTTATATGCGAAGCGTTCTGCTGCATTTGCAAAAATATCTCGGATTGTTCGGGTCGTCATCCGATGAGGCCACGGCCCAAGTTTCTTAAAGGCTACCCAAGGACCGCTTTCAGGCTGGCGAGGAGCTCTCGCGGTGAGTCATTGACTCATTACTATGATTTCGTGTGGGCTGAACATGATACGCAACAGCATTTCTATGAACTCGTAGCTAGACTCGGGCCGAACGGTACGAAATGATACACATTGGGTCTCAAGATGTCAGGAGTCGGACACACAAGCAATGGGGGGTCCGATCGTACAGTCTGGGGGTTGGTTGACTTTCAGGATGTATATATGAGCGGCTTCTTCATTCGAGCATAAGTGGCTTTGACTTGATCAAAGAAACCAAATCCATCATGGGCTCTATCAATCTGCAGCAGCCACCGCCACCTTACGATCTATACCACAACCCCTTCTCCATTTGCGCTTTGCAAGTCCGTCTGTGCATTTTGTTTGGAAAACTCGCAGGACTCGAAGTACCTGGAATCGAATTTGTAGAACACGAAATCGACATCTACAACTCGGACCAACTGCAGGAATTTTATCTCCGTCAAGTCAATCCCAGAGGCCAGGTAGGGAGACACTCGCTTCGAATATATCCCGGAAAATTAGATGACTGACTGGTGATCGAACAGGTCCCCGCTCTGGTCAATAAAGCGGTTCTCCCAAAACCTATCGCGGACAGCATGGAGATCACATACTATCTTTTTGAGTTGTACCCAAGCCTGTGTCCTCCACAACACGCCGCCACGATCAGGGAATTGATCCAAGAGCTGCATGGGATCAGTTTCCTGGCTTTGGCGTTCTTCAAACCGCGACACCAGGCCTGGATAAAGAACATCACTTCATACACCGATGAAAGGCTGGCCCGCGCCGACATCTCAGTAGAATACAGAAATGCTCTGGAATGGAAACGCAATTAGTCAGTCCCGGATCCCTTTGCGTTCGAATGGCCTGTGTCTCATTCCTGCAACGAGCCCATGGCTGACCCTTTTTTTTTTCTCACAGCGATACGTCCCAACAGCAGCCTCAGGTCGATGACGAGTCCTGCCGCCAAGCGAACGAGGACTCGAGGAAGTACCTTGAAAAGGTCGAGGCGATTCGCGTTCAGCAGGCGACTGAAGGGAGCCCGTGGCTTCTTGGCGGAGAGCATCCCACGGCTCTCGACGCTCACGTGGCGGTATTTGTTGCTCGTTTGCAGGAGACGGAGCATGAGGACTTGGTTCCCGAGGGCATGAATCGATGGGCCAAGCCAATCATGGCTTTGCCTGAGTGGGAAACATTATTGAAGGGGAAGCCGACCCACTACGGCGTGTACAATCGGACGTTTTGAGCAATGAGAAGCCACAAATGTGTTCGCACCTGGCCTCATCCCGTTTGTACTGGAGCACGTCACCTAAATGACGAAGGAATAGCTGGTTGAAAGGGCTGTTAGGGCTGTTTTGAACGACGCGAACTCGTGAGGATGCCCATGCCAAATATGGATGAAATTACTGTAGGAAGAGACTCTCAATGAATCAAAGTCGCCGCATTCGCTCCGAGGCATTGTGGTGTTTATGGTGATGGCTTCCAACTATGACAATGATACCTCCTTTTGCGATCCAGATACTTGCCCCGAAGGTCAGCTCATGCTATAGAATTGAGACAGATGGGATCGTAACAAGCCGTCGTACGGCCTCAGATCACCAAGCCAGGGCCCTTCACCCAAGACCGGGGTAGCAAGTGAGCACGTCCAGAGAGACTTTTAGCGTCTGGTGCTCCGCGTCCCACTTTTTCGGGTCGTGGACGGGCCGGTTACCGAGTGTTGTACATAGCGCACATCGGAGCATGTGTACATACCTAGAGGTAGATATCATGCCATTGGAGAGTGTTGGCCCAGGTGCTCCATTCGGTCCGAACGTCCGAACATTCAGTTTTTAGAAATCGACTCTAAACCTCTCGCTGAAGACAATTCTCTGCCAGCAGTCCAAGGGAAAGTACGAAGTGGCACCGTAGCTAGCTCGTCGGCTGGTGTCTCGTCAAAGATGAGAACAACAATAAGTCATCAGCTTCCCAGAGAAAGGTTTGTCTGCCATTCTCTGGGATAGATGCATTGGAAATCTTGCAGTTCTCTCAGGCTTTGTTACAATATTGCACCAACCATGTCTACGAACCAAGCCATCCCCAACAATCTTCCCGTCGGTAAAAGGCTGATAACCTCTCACAATGACGCAGGCCAAGCAGTTTTTCACACCGTCGACCAAGGTCATCTCAAGCCCGTCCTGGGAGGTGTTGCTCAGTACAACACCGTCTACAGCACGGTAAAGACACCGATAGACCTCGAGAACGAAGAGGACATCTGTGTGAACGAAGCGAACCAAGACGTGAGTACTTAACACTGCACGCTCGACAGTCACAGATGATTGACTCGGAGATCTGTAACATAGCTGCCCCTCTCGATCCGTGGTGGTTCGGTGTGCAGAATCGTGGATATGGAGCCCGGAGGCCGGGCCCCCATGCACCGCACCGAGTCCGTCGACTACGGTATCGTAATCTTCGGAGAAGCGGAATTGATTTTGGATTCTGGAGAGACGCAGTTGATGCGCCCCGGAGATGTGGTGGTCCAACGAGCCACCAAACACAGCTGGTACAATCCGAGCAAGGAAAACTGGGTTCGGGTGGCCTTTGTTCTCCTCGAAGCGCTACCGGTCCGGGTCCAAGGCCAGGTGCTGGGTGAGGAATTGTCGGGGCTGTCGTCAGATCATCCCAGCACGGCGAACTTCAAGAGTCACTAAAGAGATTGTTATACTACAAAAACTTTCTGCCAAAATTGGCGAGATCCAAGGACTGACTTGAATGACTATAAATTTTTCCTGTTATGAAATAGCCTCACTCTATCGATGGTGGGAGAGTAATTGCTGCTGGACCTAGTGGGCAGCCGCTGGGTGTGGCACACGATACTACCTACATAGGCTTGCACAGATTCGGTAAGATCTAGATTTTGCTGGGACCCCGGATCACGATGTCCCTATTCGTTATGATAGGACCGGGGCAGCCGCTGCTGGGCCTCGGACCCGCAGTTATACAACCTGCACGTAATCTTCGGGTCAAGAAGATGCCGTCCTAGCAAGCCAGCTCGCCAGGTCTCGGTGCCAGGTGCGACCAAGGCTCCCCCTGACTTTCCCTCCACCCCTCGATCCCTCGACATCCCTCCCCCTTCTGCTTGTCAGCGACCTTTGTGCGGGTTCGACTGACCTTTATCGACATCACCAACGAAGGCACACCACATCGTCTTGATCCAAGTCCTGGACGTTCCAGATCCGCACCGATGACGCAGTCAGATGTCCAAGATCCTCACTCTTCAAAGTCTGCTACCGCTTGCCAGCGATGCCGTCGCCAGAAGGTACGTCAGCCTCGATTTCCTGGAGCAGGTTCACGTTCACGTTCACCTTCGCGTGGCCCCAGCCGTCGGAATGCTGACGACTTGATGTATTTTCATCATCTAGCTTCGCTGCTCCCGTCAAAAGCCACACTGTACCCGTTGCATCAAGCAAGGTGCAAGATGCGACTACCCTCTACCCCCCGATCGACGGTTTCTCGCCTCATTTCGAGCACTGGGGGCTGACAACGGCCATGGCTCTCGTGATGCCAATCATGACGCGACTCCGCAAGAAGACTATCCAAACGATGGTGCAGCAAGTCAGGCGTCGCCTTCCTTCGTGCGGCGGGAGCAGAATGATATCGAGGTAGTTCCCATGCTCTCTACCAATTTTGATGTTGCCCCGTAGTGGCAGATTCATGCACTATTTCATCACTTACCCCGTTGAGATAGTCGCCCCCAAGCAAACGCGTTCGTACTTCCAACTCCCGTGGGAACCGTGACGATCTAGCCAGGCCTCTTCAACACATTCCAAAAGAGCTTGGCTTGCTCTTGTTTGAAGTCTATTTCTCGCGCATCCATAACGCCGCCTTGCTTTTTGAGCACGAATCTTTGATTGCCAGATATCAAGCAGGCGAACTGCAAGAACATGTCAATCTAAGTATTTTTGCTCTAGCTTCTTTGTACGAGATGGGGCTTCGTCCGCCTCCTTTTTAGCCCGTCCAGTTACTGACAAATAGACAGGTTTTTCAAGAAACCGGCCAACGAGGAGATAAACAGGGCCTCTGGCTTACCGGCATTCTTCTCTCTCCATTCCACTGGGAGAACTTGGGCAGACCGAGCCGGTATCACGGTTTTGCAGATATCCGACCGGCCATGCTTGGAGGTTATTCAAACTTGCGAAAATCTATCTTTGTATTGGCTTGCTATGGGAGACATAAAACGCAGTGGCGTCCATTCCAGTTGAGTATTCCCGTGCTCAGAGAGTACCAAGCCGCGGGCTGGGCCGGTGTATTAAGACTTAATGCCAATAGCGCTGTCATACACTACCTGTCAACTCCTGGGTCTTAATCGACCATCCAAACATATCTCCAACCAGGAAAGAATCAGAAAATCAGAATTGCTTCGCAGATGCTTCTGGGCCTGCTGGATTACGCAATGCGTTCGGGATCTGCCACTTCACCCACGCGACAATATTCGTTCGATCTGTGATCTTTGCCTCCCTGTGAATGATCAGGATCTGGTAGAGGCTGCGACAGACAGTCGACTTATCCCTGGAAACTTGGCTACTGAGAGGCTGTCAGATTCTTTGCCCGAAGAGGGCTGTCGGAGCAACAAGACATCGTTAATGATCCGCGCCCTTACGCTATGGTGAGCCTATAACCTATTCCCGCAACCTTGATCTCTTTCAAAAGATTGCTAATCCATTATCTTTCGCTACCTGCCCAGGTCTGAGATCAAAGAAATGATCAAGGATCAACCCAAAGCAGATTCTCCAGTCTTTCTGTGCAGCCTGTTGGCAGCGGACGGTAAGATTCGCCAATTACAAGAGCGCATAACAACATATACGAACACCATGGTCGAGGAGACAAACTCTTCTCCCGACGCATGCGATCTTTCGTACTGCTTTTTCTATCTGCAGGCTGCATATTATCAGTGCCTCATATTCCTCCACGCATCTCTCATTCCGATTTTCTCGGGCCAACAGCAAGGAGAGGAGAACGTCGATGCTGTTCCTCCATCAATGCTCGAAACGTCCATACGAACCGTTCTCACGGCCGCGACTCAGTTCACATTCATGTTGCTGGACTTTCTCGCCACGAAACCGGATGTAACAAGGATACCACCCTTCATTGGCTACTGTACCTTTGCCGCGGGCTTGGTCCATTCTACTCTCAATTCCCTGTCTCCGAGTCTGCCAGTCGCCGACGCACATTGCCAGCATATGCAGGTGGCACTGTTGCTCCTGGACGAGCTCATAATCTACTGGCCTATACTGACACCTTTGGTAAGTTCTCTCCTTGATTTTCGCACCGCAATGTTGCGGGTCTTCTAGCCGGAGTTTTGCTGACATGTTTCCTTCTTCTCCTTCGTAGCGTGAACGCATAGTAAAAGGCTCGAACTCCACAACCGAATCCTCACCGTCGCTGCAAAGCATCATCGGTCGACTGCCAGCAGAGCTACCAGATCGGACCTCCAGCATCGAAGGTATCTGCAGAGCCGGCTTGATGGCGCTCATGAATGGGTCCTATCGTCACACCATTCGGCGCCATCCCAGGTCGAGGACAACTGCAAGCGTTTCAACCTCTCCTCCTGAAGAACAAGGCCCCCCAAGACTACTCGGCATTCCCTTCATTCCCTTTCCTACTACTCAGATCGAGGGTGAAGAAGAGTCCTCGCGCTCTCCTTCACCTTTAGGGAGCTTTAATAGAAAGAAGAAAAACAAGTCGGGCGTCGGTACTCATCACAACTTTATCGCAAAAAACCTGCAGCTGAACCAGGCATCGTTTCATCAAGAGAGGAACTCGAGCTTAGACGCCGGCGATGATTTCAATCACCTCTCCTGCCCCAGTATCAGTGATTATGCTGTATCCTCTGCCGAGCGCAACGACAGAAATTCCAGCCTTCCCAGTTCTGTTTCCACGAGCCGGCCCGGTCTTCCTGGCGCCAGTACGAACATGGACTTTTCGATATCTGCTTACTTACAACCCGGACTGGAACCAGTGCTTCATCCGTCCGATCAATCCTATGATATCGAGCCCGAACAGTCTCACATGAATTGGTTCAGCGTGCCGGGAGCCGAGCTTCTCTCTATGCCCGAGCTCAACGAGAACTACAGAGGGATGGCTGGAGGGCGTGGATTCGGCGACGTGTGGCAGTAGCACGTTTGATTTGTTCGGCATTGCGAGCTGAGTCGGGGTTTAGATGCCCCATGCGCACTAAACATGTAAAGACTATAGCACTACGGATTTGAGCTTAACCAAGACTTTTGCCTCAATATAGCCATTTGCCTTTACTCATGTGCCGCTCAGCGCAGCTACAGGACCCTCCACCGCTCCCAGCACGACCAGATAGAGCTATACGATCCTGCGCGGTGGCACCGACAGTGTGATCGAGTATCAGGAGACCTAGACCAAACAACAGGCTATACCGACGGCCGAAATAGTCGCTGAGTTGGCCGGCTATGTTGATGGAGATACTGGCCGCGAGAGACCATCCTGATGCCATCCACTTGACGTTCTTAGTGTTGTGTTGCAACTCCAAAGCGATCGGCACAAGAATCGGAAACACCGTGAGCAGAGCGAAGCTCAGGGAGGATTGCAGGGTGAAGACCAGGAAGAGGACCGCTGCCCATGTCGATTCGCTGACTTTGGCGTCTGGCTGCGCGTCTTCAAGGGCTGCGCGGTGAGGATCTCCATGGTCGCCATAAACGTGAGGTCGAGTCGTTCCTTTCCGGCTTCTCCTTTGTGAAAAGACCCGATCGCCAGCTGTGATGTGATGTCTGACACCATGGTGACGAGCAAGGTGCCGACTCAATTGATAGATAGACCTGGAGCAAAAACTTGGGGCCCCACCCGAACCCCTGATCTATAAGCATTGACTGTCTTCCCATTGAAGCAGAACAATAGACGGTGGTCGTTCGGTCCGAATGCCAGATGGCTTGCTAATAGCGAGCTAGGGAAATCGTACTGTGTGGCTAACGCGCGTTCGGTCCAAACAGTCACGTTCGGGAGTGGAATCGCAGAAACGAAGCCTAGACTTTGGTGGCATGACTATCGAGAGTGTGGTCAAACCACTCCAGGTATCAGCAGTCCGGCTTGTGGTTGAGGACGAGGGAGCAGGCGAACAAGTGGACCAGCAAGACGAGCTGGAGAGTTCGACTGACTGGACGCTTGGGTAGGTAAGCCGATACCTACATCACGTGAACTAGTAATGACAGTCCACGTGACACGCGACCTGTTCGCCGTGACTAGATGTACGATTGGGGGCATGTACGAGAGTGAGAGAGGCATTTCCCGAGGCATTCCCGAGGCGTGAGGACCGGTCATTAAATCACGACGTACGATTTAACCACGTATCCTATCGCATCGCTACGCCCAAGCTTACATAGGAACTTAGGCAGCAGCAAAAGGGTAGGGAATCTGCCAAGTTCCCTGACGTCCAGCTCCCTGACGTCCAGCTCCGTGACGTCCGTCTGAAACAGATGCATAGCCGATCGCAAGGGGCCAGATTAGGTCCCGGTGTGTTTGCTTAGGGAGTGTGCTCAGGGAGCAGGCTCAGCCAAAGCTCAGGTCAAAGCGGCCTTCGCTCACCCTCTAGGATCAAACTGTAAATGGCAGATTGGTTTTTCGTTCTCGAGTAATCTAGGTAGGTAGGGTACATACACATATGAACGGGGTAATATGCATTGAGCTGGCGATGGGACCTCAATAACCAGCCGCCCACTTGACCGCCCACTCGCATGCTTACCTAGCTACCTAGCGACTTTTGCAGAGCAGCCGGCAGGGCAGATCATGTCTTGCATGGGTCCTGGGATCGTGCGGAGTCCAGAGTACCGACGCATGTTACGGAGTACGAGGTACAACGTCGCCAATGCATGTGTCCGTATATGTCCCTAGCATACTCCCTGCGCCGCGGGGACCCCGCTCGCTCTCGCTCGGTGGTGAGATTTGCTTGCGAAAAAGAGGGCGGAGAAGGCGGGCGTAGTCGGCCATAGGAGTAAAAGGGGATGACTATCCTGTACACGTACGAGGCAAGGTACTCGTTGTTCCAACGGCTACTCGGGGCTTTTTATAAACTACTCGTAGGTGGTGGACTTATCATCTATGAATGGGCCCGATAGGAGATGGATTCATAAGGATGGGCGAGATCTGTTCAGCCTCTCTGCTCCTCTATCTTCGGCTTCTCCTTGCATAAGAAGTGGCTCATGAACGTCACTAAGAAAGACTTGCGTATGTTGGAGTCCAGAACAGGAACAAGTCTTCCAGACAGTGGTCTATATTCTGTGACGCTGAGGGTTCCCCCGTTCAAGGACCGAGTGTGTTGTTTCTCGACTGCCCAAGCTAGCGTTCGTCCTTCCCATGTCTCGCTCATCCGTCGCAGGACCTGATCAGCGTTCGCACGGTGGGCTGATTTTGCAAAATCCACATTGAGCGTCTTCTTTCTCCCACGCCCAAGTCGTCTGTTGCAACCGCATCATGTTCATCACACTTCCAGCGCTCGTCCTCGCACGTCGCTACGCAAGCGAGAAGTGTTTCTCCTTCTTCCACCCCTCAACCATCAACACCAACGTCTTTGTCGCTGGCTTTTCTTGCAATTCTTTCGGTAGCGTCCTGGGGAAGTCTACTGCCACCTGCCTCAAGGCGGCAATGCCCGCCGCCCCGAAAAACAACACGAACCTTTCGATCGCATTGTTCTCGAGCATGCTCTTCAACAAGACCAGATGGCTGGTCTGCACCTCTTGTGGAGGCGTATTGGCAATGTGCGCGAGACTGGCCCAATAATGCACCGGCGGCCAGGGGTTGGAGACCTTGGCTTTCGAAAAGTTGCGGAGAGCGATCGAGGCGTAGCCCACCCCGAGACCTGTGAGACGGTCATAGTGCTTGTTTTCATTCACAAACGCTTTCTTCGAGTCGGGGTCGTCTGTGATTCTATCAAGACGCCAGCCGAGTCGGTGTTTGCCAGCGGCAGTGGATTCGCGCCCGTAGATCCCGAAAAGTATCGGCGCCGTGGCGTGGAATTTGCTCATCAGGATGGAAATGAGGGAGACGCTGGTCGGCTTGGAAAGCTGTGATGGGTCGGCTGTGGATGGGACATTTCGTGGGAATTGTAGCTCAGGCATCGAGAAGATCTGTGCAACCAGCGTGCCAATGGGTTCGGCCGCCTTGGGGTTGACGGCACACTCACCCACAAACCCACTGATTACAGCCTTACTGAAGATGGAGAGAAGGTACAGCGCAAGCGACGGGATCGTTGTCGTGCCATTGTCGCCCAGGTTGAGGTGTGTCGGTAGGTACTCGCTCACAGAAACGGGAGGTGACGGCCGATCCTTGAGAGCCTGCTGCAATGTAGATCTGACTCGGTCATGCTACCATGGTTAGTCGGAAAACTCGGTCAATCGAGGTGATATCTTCATCACTTACTGCCTTCTTGTTGCCAGCCTTGTCATCTGTCAACTGGCCCACGCTGGTTCGAATGGCCCGTCGCATGTCTCCGACATGGGGCTTCAAGCCAGGATCCTTCTTGGCCGCGACCCAGAAGTCGGCACGGAACTTTTTCAGCTTCTTGTGGAGAACTAGGTAGTTGGCATGTTGTGCCTCGACCTCTGATGCCCGACTGATGTCTTTGCCTGGGCCAAGGGCGGCGGGTTGAGGTGTTGAAACTTTGGCTGCAGCAGCTTTCTCAGCTTCTTGTTTCCGCAGTGCAGCTTCTTGCTCCGCTTTAGCTTTCTCCTCTCGTTGCCTCTGCTCGGCCGCGGCCTTCTCCCTTCGGTCTTTTTCCTCTTCTTCAGCCTTTTGCTTTGCTTGACGTTCCGCTTCTTGGCGGGCACGCTCTTCGCGTTCCCGGCGCTCGTTCTCTTCACGGGCTCTTCGCTCCTCTTCGGCCCGTTTACGTGCTTGTTCCCTTTCCTGGGCTTGCGCCTTTGCCTCTGCCTCTGCCTTCCTCCGTCTTTCTTCCTCCTCTAATCTCCTCCGCTCCTCTTCTTCACGTCTCTGACGATCCTCTTCTTCCTGCTTGATGTAGGCCTGGAGGACCGCCTCGGCCTGTTTCCGTACGACTTCATGCTGAGCTTTCGCGGCATTGAGCTCTATCCGGTGAGCCTCCGCTTGCGCTGATTCCCGAGCATCAAGCTCTTCCTGCTGTTGGCGTTTCTGATAGGCGTGAAGTTTGGAGCGCTCAATCTCGTGCAGATGGATTTGGCTGAGAGCACGTTCCAGTTCCCATTGTAGTTGCCTGGACGGGCTGTCGTCGGTCCGACGACCTCTGGGGCTGTCTCTGGCTGAGAACGGTGAGGATGAGTGAAGCCTTGCCTGGGCCATGGTCAAAGCACGTGACTTTTATTTTCCGCTGACCACCCCCAATTGACACGGTCCAAGAATGTTGGGAAGGCGAGATATGGAGACGGAGTGTCTGCGATGGTCTCCCTGATTTAGGTGATGACACTGGCGAAATGAGGAGATTGTGATGGCACCGAGATCAAGGGCTCGGAAGTTGGAATGTTCTTTGTCGATATGGACGCACAAACCGCGACACGGGTTCGTAAGGAGGTAGCAGGAGACAAGTTGCCTACCGAGGCAAGGCTGATATCCAGTCCAAGACGCGTTAATATTTAGCCCATGTCAATAGAAGACTTCCTAGGCAGAGATAAAGCACTTTTTCAGGCAAGCCGAGAGAGCTCCAGGCCTTCTTGGTGTTCAAGGAGGGATGACTGGAGGACCGGACCAGTGTTGATGGTGGCACCGAAGGTTGGACGAGGGAGCGACACAGCCAATTGACACTTGATGTCTGGGAAGTGAGAGTGCTGCTGTCCAAAGTGCCTAAAGGGCCAGAAATGGTGAAGTTTCATCGAGGAACTTTGAGTGGGAGCAGTGCAGTTGGTGACGAGGTTGGAGCACCAGCCAGAACTCAGACACGGGTTTCAGCTTAGGCAAGCCTGGTGGAGCAGTCCCGTGCAGTCTAGGTGCCACCAAGCTGGCCCTCACCCGGGGGATGTGCGCCAAACCCAAGGCTTGCCTGGCCTGTGGGCTGCTACGCGGCACTAGGCCCGCCTAGGGAGCCAAGGGGAGCCCATTACCGCCCGCAACATCTCTTGGCGCATCAACTGTTCCTCTGTTGGCGGGCGACTGCAACGTGAATCACAACCAGCTGCGCTGTGGTAGAGCAATACATAAAACCATCAGGAGAGCTAGCAACGACCCCGTTGTTCATAGTCCCCGCCCCCTGAACAGCAAGTACGATGTATCAGTCCGAGGACGATGCTTACTCTCTGCATCCCCGACCAAGGATCAAGGTGGTGCCCAGAACGGAAAGATATCAGAGTTGTCGTCCTTTCTAATAGAGACCGAAAGAGGGGGGCCAAAGGTGATCAAAAGCCCAACAGACATGGCCTATAGGGCAAGTCACCCATGTCCAGGTAGCCCTACGCTGCACCGCATAAGCGAGTGAGCAGTGAGAACGTTAACTAGACACCTGTGCTTGGTGGTAGTCTTGAGCCTGCAAGGCCCTTCCGCCCTTCACCAGCCTGCGCCCACTAAAAAGGGCACCACCACCAATTACCCATACAAAGCCTCTACCAAAACCCATCCCTCAAACATTCCCTCTCTCTTCCCCTCTCCTGCCGAGTTGCTTCTGTACCTCTCCCCTTCATCATCCTGTCCCTCTGTTCTGTCCTGTCCTTTTCCACATCGCTTCAGCGTTCACCAGACAGTCCTTCAGCCCATCAGAGTCACTCTCTTGTGTGCTCTTATCCCTCTCCGTTGTGGGCACCCGTCCCCGTCCAGTTCCGTTTTCCTGTCCTTCCCTGACCCAAGAAATAAGTCTTACGTCAAATCGAGCCTGCCTTCCGCAACCTCGACTTATCTGCCTGCGCCCATATTGCGCAGTCTGTGGTTGCAATCACTACCGAGCCCCTCGAGTTGTTATTGCCATTGCGACGGCCATCAGCTCAACGCTACAACATCACCTTCGTCGAGCGATTCCTCACGTTGTCACTGACACCGCCTTGTCACTCCACCCACCACTGCACCCCGGCCCGCAGGCTCTCGACTCGACTGTCGACCGCAATACGCAACTGATTAGGATTCGTGACCATCTTTCGTCCAACATTCGAGATTCGCTGAATCTACAAAACTCTCAAGGGCGTCAAGAGCCGGCTTCGGTATATCTCTCGGCACCGTTCGAGGTGAGTTTCCATCACCGTTGACGAGACTTTATCAAAGATGTTCTGCATTTACCCCAAAATCCCATCACTGTGTTCAATCCTTGTCTTCCACATTCATTTTTCCTGGTTGCCTCTCTACTGGGACTTTCAGTACTGATTTTCGAGCGTACTAACTTTCATTCCTGTTCCAGCTCCGTCTGCTGTCCCTCCTTGTGCACGGATTCACCGAGGATATCATTACTTCCCTCTTTCTTCCCTTTCGAGGGCCTCCCCCGGGCCGGCCAGCCTTAAACCGAGTAAGAGCTAGGAAACACAGCTACTCACTGAGAACATCTCCACAATGGCACAGCCAGGCTCATCTGGTGTGCCCGGCCCTGCAGGGCGCAGACTTCATATCGCCCATCGACGCAGTCCGTCCGAGCTCACTCCGCTCATGATGGAACAACTGGCTCTTCAGCAACAGATCGAGTTATTACAACAGCAACAACAACAAATCGCTGCTACTCATCAGCAGTACGTCAACATGGGCATGATCCAACAGCCCTTGCAAGGTATGCCTACCTACTCTCCCATTCAAGGGCAACCCAATCTTTCCGGAATCTCACCCAACAACACCAATTTTCAATTCCCCCAAATCCAGCAGCAAATGGCTATGCAAGCAAATGCTCCTGCACAGCCCGGTGCTCACCGCAGAAATCAATCCGCGCTTCCGGGTATGGCCATGGGTCCTCCCCCAGCACCATCCGCTGGCACTGCCGGCGCTGCCTACGGCGACTTCAACCAGCAGGCAATGGGCCAGAACCGTGAAAACACCAGCGGTCGTGGCGGAAGAGGAGGTTCTGCACAAAGTGGACATACTCGACGTCATTCGTTAGCTCTTCCCGAGGCAAAGAAGGCCGCTGAACTCGCAGAAAAGAAGCGGACTGCTGCTGGGTTCCAGTTCCCCATTCCAGGAGCCGGAGGTATCGCGGAGAGCCCTGTTGCGGCTACTCCTGCCGATGACCGATTGAACACTCCCATCACTCCCGGCGGAGGCCTAGGCCTGCAGCGTGCTGGCAACGCACGTATGGTCGGTCACAGTCGAAGCCAGAGTATGGCTGCTGGCGGTGTCCGGGGAGGAGGTGCGGCTGGTCGTGGAGGCGGTGCATTTCAGTTTCCAACCCAGGGTGATGCTGGTGCAGGTAACCAGTCAGACCTGCAGCGTCGTGGTAGCCAAAGCAATCACACGAGACAGGGATCCCGCAACTTTGAAGGCAATTGGCGTCAGCAGAATAATCAGCAGACGACAGAGCAGTCGCCTCAACAGATGGGTCAATTCAGCCAACCGCAGGCTATGGGCGGTGGAAACTTCCAGCCAGGCCATCGCGGGCGAGGATCAATGAACCAGTCCATCGGCTCTATGAGCGGATTTCAATATCCCGGCCAGCCACAGCTGGTGCAACTCCCTCAAGGCCAAATGATGATGGCACCTCAGATGTTCGCTGGCCAGCAACTGAACGCCTTGCAGATCGCTCAGCTCCAGGCAATGCAAGGTGCACAGCTTGGTGGTCTTCAGGCCAGTCAGCATGCTCCTCCGATGGGCTTGCAACAGCAGCAACAGCAGCGAAAGACGCTGTTCACGCCTTACCTCCCTCAGGCCACGCTCCCTGCGTTGCTCAATGACGGCCAGCTGGTTGCGGGTATCCTCCGAGTGAACAAGAAGAACCGGTCTGACGCCTATGTCACCACAAACGATCTCGATGCAGACATCTTCATTTGTGGTAGCAAAGACAGGAATCGTGCTCTTGAGGGCGATTTGGTTGCGATCGAACTGCTTGACGTCGATGAAGTCTGGGGCCAGAAGCGCGAGAAAGAAGAAAAGAAGAAACGCAAGGACATCACCGACACTCGCTCGTCGGGTAATACCCAAAATGGCAAGAGTGATACGGCGTCGACCTCTGACACTACCTCGATTGCGCCAGATGGTAGCATCCGACGACGTGGCAGCTTGCGTCAGCGTCCAACGCAGAAGAAAAATGATGATGTCGAGGTCGAAGGCCAGAGCTTGTTGCTGATGGAAGAAGAAGAAATCAGCGATGAACAGAAGCCTCTCTACGCAGGTCACGTTGTCGCTGTTATTGAGCGCGTCGCCGGGCAAATGTTTTCGGGCACTCTGGGTCTACTTCGACCAAGTAGTCAAGCCACGAAGGAGAAGCAGGAAGCTGAGCGTCAGGCACGGGATGGGGGCCATTCACGATCCGAATCTCGCGCACAGGACAAGCCGAAGATCGTGTGGTTCAAACCCACCGACAAGCGTGTACCCTTGATCGCCATCCCTACAGAACAAGCCCCCCGAGACTTTGTGGACAAACATATGGACTACGCCAACAGAATTTTTGTGGCCTGTATCAAGCGTTGGCCGATTACCTCCCTGCATCCGTTCGGTACTCTGGTTGAACAGTTGGGTGAGATGGGAGATCTTCGCGTCGAGACAGACGCCTTGCTCCGCGACAACAACTTCGGGTCTGATGAGTTCTCTGATGCCGTGCTGAAGAGTGTTGGGTGGGATGACTGGTCGCTGAAGGCTGAGGGTGAGGAGAGTTTAGCCGCACGCCTCGACCTCCGCAATGAGCGAACTTTCACCATTGACCCTAACGGCACCAACGAGCTCGACGACGCCCTCCACATCAAGCAACTTGACAATGGTTTAGTCGAGCTTGGCATTCATGTCACGGATATCGCACATTTTGTCAAGGCGAACTCATTGGTTGACCGAGAAGCCAAGAAACGGGGGACTGGCGTTTATTTGATGACCAGAGCCGTCAACATGCTCCCATCGAAACTGTCAGCAGACATCTGCTCGCTGGTTCCAGGCGAGGGCCGTCTAACCGTCAGTGTCGTCTTCAAAGTCAATACTGAGACAGGACAGATCGAAGGGGAGCCTTTCATCGGCAAATCTATCATTCAGAGCTCTGGCAAGCTCGGATACCGTGCAATTGATGCTGTCGTCAAGGGAGGCGAGCATCCTGAATTGAACGGGCCCACAGTCGAGGACATCAAGACTTTGCACAAGATTGCCAGCAAATTCCGAGAAGCTCGCTTTGGCAACCGGTCTGCAAACATTGCCCCTCTTCGCTTGCTTTATCAGCTCGATGACGAGAATATCCCCGTTGAGCAGAATATCTTCAACACATCTGCTGCTCACGAGATCATGGAGGAGATTAGCTGCAAAGCCAACTTCTTTGTTGCGCAGAAGATTTTCGCTGCCATGCCTGACAAGGCGTTTTTGAGAAGACAATCACCTCCCAACCCGCGACGACTCCTGACGTTCGTCGATCGTATGACCCGAGCTGGCTATGATATTGACAGCTCCAGCAGTGGAAGCTTGCAGAACAGTCTCTTCAAAGTGGGAGATCCAGATCTGCGCAAGGGCATGGAAACTCTGTTGGTCAAGACTTTGCAACGTGCCAAATATTACATCGGTGAACAAGTTGCGGAGGAGCAGCGCCAGCACTATGCCCTCAACCTACCTCTTTACACCCACTTCACCAACCCTTCGCGCCGATATGCCGACATTGTCGTCCACCGGCAGCTGGAGGCTGCTCTTTCCAATGGTGCTGTCGAGTTCAACGAAGACATGGAGAGCTTGGCCAAAACCGCCGAGCAATGCAACAACAAGAAAGACTCTGCTCATTGCGCCCAGGAACAGAGCGTCCATATCGAATCTTGCCGACTCATGGACAAGAAATGCAAAGAAATGGGCGGCGACCTCATTAGTGAGGGTGTTGTTATCTGCGTCTACGAGTCTGCATTCGATGTCCTTATCCCAGAATACGGTTTCGAAAAACGTGTGCACTGCGATCAGCTTCCCTTGAAAAAGGCCGAGTTCCGCAAGGAAGAACGAGTACTCGAACTTTACTGGGAGAAAGGGGTCCCGTCATCAGCCTACATTCCTGAGGACGAGAGACCCCGTGCCTCAGGCAGTACTAGAGGCACGAACGGTGCGACCGAGTCCGCTCGAGAACGGGCCAAGGAACGATACGAATCCCAACGCAAGCAGACTGACAGCAACACCATGTCGACCGACGATGTTGATGCGCTCTTTGATGACGAAGACAGTGCATCAGAAATCACCGAGATGGCTGCCGGTGTGTCTCTAAATTCGCCAGTCGAGCGATCGTCTCAGAGCATGCCACCGTCTCCAGCCCGTAACGGCGGTTTGAGCCAAACACCAGCCAGAACGCAATCCGAGTCAAAGATAGTCAAGCCAATTGGCGACATTCCCGAGAATAACCTGACCGACAAGGAGAAGTATCTCAGCTACTTCAAACTCCGGGAAGAGGGTGGTGAATACATTCAGGATGTGACAGAAATGACTCGAGTGCCCGTCATTTTGAAGACTGACCTGACGAAGAGTCCACCGTAAGTGACCCGGAATCCAAATTCGTCCATGCGGCAACTGACCTTTTTGTCTAGATGCTTGACTATCCGGTCCATGAATCCGTATGCATTGTAGTTAATGCATAATTACCAAGTAATTACCCTCAGAGATAACAAATCAACACCAAGCAGGCGATCGGTCTTTACAGAGTGGGAAGGTCTATTAGGTCCAAAGCATCAACAACAAGGCGGCCGACAGTGTGGACAACACATCTTGCATCGATTGAGTTGGAGCTGCATTGGTAGCTGGACACGCAGTCGGCGGCCAGTGGTATTTGGGGGAGGCTGACATCGATGGCGGGAGAATGCAAACAACCTCTTTGGTGATGGGACTGAGAAGAGAGACTGGACCTGAACCCGAACTCCAACCATCACCCAGCATGTACGAGTGGCACAGCACGAAACATCCGTCAAGGCCTGAGCGAGCGTTTGTCCGGAAGAAGAACACGCGAACAGGTCCAGGGGCCAAATCGTGTGTCTCTGGAGTCAGAGTGCCTATTGAGCGTAGTATGAATACAAAAAGTTTTTCTATGTTGATTTTCTCGTGTCGGATCGTTGAATCGTATCTCTGGGCGTTTCTAAAGTATGCTGCGACCATTGTGAATGGCGCCAGTGCGCAATGTCTCCTTATCCATCCCACCTCTTCTAGAATGTAAGTGAAGACTCCCCCAAACAGGCGGACCTCTATACATACTATCTACGAGACCAAGGTAACAATGTCTGCCAGCTGAGACCCTACCGAGCAGAAGTTTCTGCGACCCTAGCTCATCTTGCGGGTGTCACGCCTGTCTCATGAAGGGGGCGGCTGGGGCAGAGGTCGCCGCAATCCCATGCCAATGTGATGCATGCAATCAATCGTGACTGTCTCTCTGCTAGGTCCTCTTTTCCTGTTACCGCGTGCGTATGTGATCGGGAGTATCAGAACTCATGCGCCCTTGGTGATGCGCTCGAAAACACCGACTCCATATCGGCCCAGCGCCGACGCGCATGCGACAGCCTCTGCTCCGACCTTCCGCATCCTCTCCGCGCCGTCCTTGTCTTCCACGCCTCCGACACCAATGATCATGATCTCTTTGGTTGAAGGATCTTGGTCGAGCAGTTTTCGGAACGTGGCGACATTGCCCAATGCGAGGGGGTGAAGTGCTGCTCCCGCCAGACCGCCCAGCCCGCTGCCAGACTCGTTGCTTAGCGCTGGGTCGAGGTTCGAGTTGAGCAGAAGGCTATTGCCCAGTGTGTTGGTGCATGTGATGAAGTCAACCACGGAACCTTCTCCAGGCTCAGAGGATTTCGCATTGCGAAGAGAGTCCACGGCCATTTCGAACTGACCGGTGTAGGTGTAGGGTGGAAGCTTTATACCGACTTTAGGTACCGAATCAGGGGTCGCCATGCGTCCCCGGTACGTGGATTTGGAATCGCTTATCGCCTCAAGGTACTCATCTAATTGTTTCTTGTCGTATGCTGGTGGAGGGGCGGACGCGATATTGGGGCACGAGAGATTGACCTCCATGGCTAGACGGAGATCTTCGTCCATTTCGGCGGCGTTGGCGATGAGAGCGTAGGCCATGGCAATCTCGTCCGGTGTTCCCGTGACGGACAGAATGAATGGTTTCTTGGTCGGCGTGTCGGTGCCCAAGTGGCGCTGACCGACGATCTCATTGATAATGCCCAGGTATTCAGAGAGAGTGAGCGGGGAGTAGCCCAGCGTGTTGAGGGTTGATACTGGTTCTGATGAGTTCGACGAAGAAGGCTTCGAGGCCTCACCTTTCGGGGCGTCGCCGGGGATGGTCTTGCCGGGCGTGAAGAAGATGTATTGGTGGACAGAGTCGTCGTGGGTGAACCCCTCCAGTAAAGAGGTTCGAATCGTCACCGCGCCTGTGTAGGGAGTGTCATAGAGGGCTTTAATGTCCTCGAGGGTGGTGGCCCAAGGACAGGCGGAATTGAGCAGTGGTGGGTTGATCTTCAGTTTTTTGGCCGCCATATCTGAGGATTCCACGACTTTGCTCTCTGGGGAGATGGGAATGAAAGACCGGTCTCGTAGTATGTCCCTCTTTTTTCTGTTTGTTTGATACCGTCCCTGCCCCGCGTGGTGTGTTGCCTGGCTCACCGCTTTCTCCGGTCAGGTTTGGCAGATCAGAAAAGGTTCGAGGGCTCTGACGATACTTGTTGTCACACCGGGCTGTGTAGGTACCTTCAAGTGGTAATGTGAAGAGGCGAGGAACATGCGCAGACGAGGATGCGGTGGCTGGCTCAAACGGCGAGAACGACCATCATCGTACGGAAACTCCACCTCTAACTAAATGTCGCCCTTTCTGCGGTGTCTTGTGGAGGCGAGAAGGCTCAAAGCACACAAGGACGACCACAGACAGAAAAGAAAAACCAGCCCAATGCTGCTATAATTATACCTGCTGCAAAGTCATGGATATGGTTGTGCCGTCTTGCTGGTTATAGAAAAAATGAGGTACGTGGCTGACTGGACGACTCCGGATCTAGCACCAACCAGCAAATCATGAGGCCGCAAAATGTCTCAGATCTTGATAACGTCTTTGCAGGAACTCGCCAAACACACGACACCATCCTCTAACAAGGCTGTCTACGGAGGGGACTACAGGTACCGGAGAAGTAGAGCTGCGCCAGCTGTGGGTCGAGAATGCTCGTCACTCATCTTCGTGGTTTTCTTTTCGTCTATCATCAAGTTATGTAGAGGGAGAATGCCATCGCTCTAAGACAGTCCAACAAAGCCGTGCCAGGCAGGAATCAGGCCTCCACCACCCCGAGACCGGGCAGGGCAAGGCTGGAAACCCCTTGGACAGTTTCGAAATCTCTTGACCTGGTCTCCGTGTCACAGGCAATAAGAGGGGCGCCCGTCATCCTTTGACCTCTTCTCCATGTCCTTGCATGTCTGCTTACAGCTTCTGCATGGCAACGACATCGGTGGACTGGACGTGATCCTCGTCACCTTCAATCTCCTGCTGCAGCTCGTCCAAGGACACCTTCTCGTCTTCGACAACCAAGTTGACCTGCAGCTTCTTGATACCAAAGCCAACTGCGACCAGCTTGTGCGCACCCCACACAAGGCCGTCCTTCTCGATCGCCAACACGTTCTTCACCAACTCGTCCATATCCGTCTCGTCATCCCAGGGTTTCACATCTAGTGTGACGAGTGACTTTGCGGCGGGCTTGGTTTTGCCTTCCTTCTTCTTCTTGTATTCTGCCAATCTCTTCTCCCGCTCAGCCACGACTTCAGGGTCTTCCTCTTCCTCGTCAGAGCCGAAGAGATCAACCTCGTCGTCGTCCTCCTCGGCCTTCTCCGGGGCGTCCTTGGGATTATGGGTTACAGCAACAGCCTCAGGGCCGTAGGTGGTGAAAGGCTTAGATGGGTCGCCGGGCAGTGTGGAGAAGTCGGCCTCGTAGGACTTGACATGGTTGTACCAGCGGTAGGCATGAGGGTAGCGTTCGACGGCAGGGGCCTCTTTAAGAGCCTTGAAGCTCACGACGTCGGCTTGAGATGGCTGGAAGCTGCAGAGAATGAGTCAGCGACCACAATAAACTTGATGTTTTTTGCGAAACTGTGTTCATTTAACCAAAAACTCAGAGGTGCAAATGCATGCGATTGGAAGTAGTCATTTTGCGGTGTCTTAAGCCGCCTCATCAACACGGACCAATTGATTCTCATCTTGACAGTATAATGACAGGGATAGCTCGAGGGGAATCACGTACCCAGCGATGTATGAACGGGTCTTGAGCCAGTTGTTCAGGACTGTCATTGAGTCAGTAGCATGATTTGGAGGGGCTCAAGGGGGCAATAGGACGCACGTGTGAGGCCACTGTCGGAGACAAAGTCGGTGAAACCCATCTTGGCTGCTGTTTCAGATGCTTTTGGAAGACGTGAAGGGGATCAAAAAGCTTTGCTACCGTTGTCGTGAGTGGTTTGGGTGGGCGCAGTCAAAAATCGATTCTTGATCGATGCCCAAATTCGAAAAAAACACGAGCCGCCATGCCAAGGACGGATGCCGCCAGCCTTGCCGCTTTAATTGCCATCTGAATTCTGACCCTAGCCGAAGCCCAACTGGAAATAAAATGACACTGTCCGACGCAGAATATTCGCTGCTCCTAACGACGGCGAGGTGGCTGCTCCGTCCAGCTCTACCAAATACCCGAATATATGAAGGATGGCGTCGCTATTTCCTCAGAAGCGACAGCATTTATTGTTAATGCCAAGAGCCTTTTGCACCTTTGATTGAGTACAAGGCCTTGTTCTATTTTGCCATCAATCAACGCCAGCTCGACCCCGTGCCACGAGCTTTTCCAACTTGGCCTGCGAGCTACCAACTTCGGATGCCTCCTTCATGTAGCTCCGGCGACGAAAAAGAAATATCATACACGTAGGAGAAGACTACCTTCTTCTCGTAGACCTTTCTGAGCCGCCTTGCTCAACCTGGTGTCCATGTTCCGCGCGGTCTGGAGTTTTCAAGGTGAGCACCGTCCACATCAAACACTCAACTTCATCGCTTTGCAGACCAGCTTGTGTCGCCCTTGCTTCCAATCCTTGACCTGGCACGCTTTCGAACAGTACTGAGCGACCTTACACCCGCCGCACTTCAGCAACTTCTGCGATTCGGAGACGTGTCCGTTGCATCCCCAGCAGCCCTGTTTCTTCGGGTCGAGATTGGCTATTTTCCCGTATATATCGAAGGATCCAAAATCGGGAATAACCCTCTCCACCAAAGGAACCGAGTAAGAAGGTGGAATGGCCACGCGGACACAGTATTTCGCTACACTCTCCCATACCGGCACATCTGGCTTGTAGTCCCGCGGAAACTTCCCAAGGCCGCACGAGCAGAGGATGTTGCCGTCGGCGTCCGCAGTGGGAACGATAGAGGGACTCGGTAATGCGTATTCGCATGTCGCGGTGTGCTCCCAGTCGCGACAGCGTTCTGCAAAGGCCGCAGCAGCGTACTTCCACAGAGCAAGTGTTGCGTCATCGCCATGGAATACTGTGGCTTTGTTTTCCATCTGAGTAAGCAGATCCCGCACCTCTCGACCTTCAAGCTTTGCTGTTGAAGGTAGCATCGCCGCGTCAATAGTAACGCTCAGACTCGCCAAATCCAGCCGCAACGACGAAATAAAAACCATGATGAGCGGGACTGTTTCTCCATAACGTGTAAGCCCAAACGCGTTCTGTTGCTTCTTGCCAGCGAGTCCTGCATAGCGAGTGAAGACATTTATGAGCATCTGCTTGAAGTTGAAACGTGGATCCTTGTTTCGCAATTTGTGGTCGAGGAGACTGTCGGCCACCTCCAATTCTCTCGGTGATAGCATCGACATCAAATGGGGATACATCCATTCGACTTTAGAAGTGTCCGAGACGTCGACGGTTGGAAGTTGTTCCAGACAGATGTATCCAACATTTTCGAGGATCGGTTTGCCGCAAACCAGAGACATGGGATAAAGAGAATCCGGGTGGGTTGACAGAACATCTGGAGCTGCAATCGTGGCAATGAACTCAACATATGCGGATCTTCGAGCAATTTTGGTCCTGGAACCAGAAGTGGTCAACGAAACCGGGAGTCGAATCTGCTGACGAAATGTCTTTGACCCCGAACCGATATTGAGTTCGAGGACGAAAGAAGACAACAGCTTAAACTCGATGTGATCCTTCGACTGCAGCAAAGGTTCAGCGTTGGTGGAGGAGAGGTCGATATGCAAAGTGAGCTTCTCTACCCTAGTCGCTTCCTGGTCGAACATCATGTGGAACGACACTTTTCCGGTATCAGCAGTACCTACAGGTTGTTTCCACATAAGCGCGCCAGGAATATATGGACAAAGCATTCGTCCCTTCATGTTTGGGGGGTTTTGCGTGACGAAAACGCTCTCGTCATCCAGGGATGCCGTATGAGCCGTAATGGCCTGGCGAAAAACGTCCGTCGCTACACTTTCCGGGACTGCTCTCGCACCGGGGGGTTCGTGTGTTCTAGGCATGAACTGAATTGCCACCGTCGAGGAGCGGAGATGTTCCAACAGTATGCATGCAGGTATAAGAGCCGAGACAATCAGAAGGTTCGGTGGTTCCATTTCCCGTTCGTCAGTCTCGATTTCCACTGCATAGCTCGAGGTGTGTCTCGTTCCTCTCGTTCGGATTACGCCGAAGCCAATCTGCACGTCAGCGAAGTGAGACCCGCGATCGAGATTTGGAAGTCGCAAAGAAAGCTGGAAAAGGGGCCATGTATCTGGCTTCGGGATAAATAGAAGAGGTAACCACTTCGAATGCGGAACGGCAACACTCAGATAGACTGTTGACGACATGTCAAGCCAGTTTCGAAAGGGATTAGGTTCCAAAGTTTGGGCATTCTCGATATTCTCGCTGTGTATGGTTGGGGTGCACAATCCGAATTCATGCAGATGCAGGTCCAGCGATTGTGCGTACTGTGAACCCGGCATCTCCTGGGCCAAGCCACTGGACAAACAGGCATGAAGACGTTCCAAAAACACTGTGAAGTCGACGAAGTTGGCGTCTTTGATCAAACTCAGAATGACGGCCAGCCCAGCGCGCGTGTATTGCGGAAATTGTATTCGCGCCAATCGGTTGGCGGCTTTTGATGACTGAGTCGTCGGCTTTTCATGTTCGAACATCCGCAGATACATGCTGTACACAAAGCGTGCGAGGTGGTCTGGATCAAATTTGACTCCGAGCATGTTCGCATTCTTCCATACCATGATGAAGCGAGCTTGACCTCCTGTACCCGGTTCCGCCATAGACCGCGCCATGGTTTCTGGGTGTGACGAAAAGGTTGTTGTGTTTGTCCAGAATTGGATGGGATTGAGGCCAAAGAGTAACGATACAGTAACAACATCGCCACACAATAGCCCTTTGGAATACGGCTCGAGACTCTCATCGCGCAATTGCAAAAGTTCCATGTAGATGGTGGAGGTGGTTCCAGGTTTGAGCAGAGGCCTGCAGGCTGCTAGGATATTCAAGGAACCCCAGTGATCGACAAGATTGGAAGTATCAATCACATCGAACATGTTTTCGGCGGGTAGTCTTGAACGATACTCCACCGGGTCAAGGACAAGTTGCTCGTACCGTAACCTATCTCGATATTGAAAGGCACCCTGGCTGTTGTGACGGACCGCATGATGTTGTAACACGTGGCAGAAAGCCAGAGCATCAGAAGACGTAAATCGTATTGTCAAACGATTTTTGGCTCGTCGAAATGTTTCCGCCCAGGTTTGAAACTGCCTTGTAGCGGCTTGGGCTAGAGGATTGAGTCTCGGTAATGTCCTTGAGTTGGGAATGAAGGGGGAGTCTTTCTTCAGCGGCGCATAAGCAGTCGCCAAGTGGAAAGATTGTAATGGCTCCATCGATGCATAGACCAACGAAAGTTCATGCATGGTCGAGAATGTTGGATTAAGGCATGTGGATGTGGCAATGAGTTTGGCATCATGGTCGGTCAACCCAGTCACCCAGTAACCAGGCAGAAGCGATCCCATATGCTCCACGACCAGGTTTGAACAGGGAGCTGCCGAACGAAGAGTCGAAGTATTGCAAGACCATCCCATAATCTTTTCATGAGAGCTAAGTGCCATCCTGGACATGTACTTGAGCCGCTTTTGTTGTTCTTCGAAGGCAGGCCCGTCTTTGATATCAAGGGCATACCATGTCCACAACTTGACCACACGGTCAAAAGTGCTTTGGTCGCAGAAACGTAGGGCCTTCCCGTATGGCTGTTGACGCCAATTCTCGATTGTTATGCCCAAGTCCGCCAACTTCCGCGCCTGCTTTTGCAACAGATGTAGTGAATCTTCGTCCAGCATCGAGTGATAGTAAATATTCCAGATGCGACCTGTGTCCGCGCCGTCCACATCATCAATGAGGAGCGTGTAGAGGAGGATATTTCGAGCTGTAGTGCCATTAGCTCGGCCACCCCTACGGAAGGATGACCAGACCAATTATTTCAGTACTGATATCGCAGCACGTAAAGTTGAGGTGACTCTGATCTTTACGCAGTTAGTCCGAGCAATGCGCGAACCATCTTTTGCACAACAACCCTGACCACTGTAGAGCACTTACCTGACGATGGCCGACAGTAGAGCGTAAATAGTAGGTTGCGAGCATCACCGCAGCCGAGTAGTAACACCTCGGAGTCCTGGCCTGGCGGTATAGATTCTAACACATCGACCGGAGGTGTGTTTCCCACTGGGTAAAACCCCGACATGGTCGGGGTCACAGTCGGTCCTAACATTGTGGACGTTGTGTGTGTGGGAGAAAATCAAGAGCCGTGAAAGAGAGGAAGATGAGTTTTGTGTGATCTGAAGGTCTGTTCAGCTGCCAGACCTGCTGGGGGAACTGACCTGGGTGAGGCTCATTCGAAAGATTCAGTCTCGAGAAGTGAATTGAATATGAAACCAACCCACTAGAAGAAGACTCGCTTCATAACACAAAATGGGTTCTTGAGCGGAGCGAAGCATGACCAAGTGTTCTCGTTTCTTTCCAATACCAGGGTGGTCACAATATCAGTATTTTCTCGTCCTCCCTTCCCTTCCTTCGTTACCGAGGGAGCTCCTTACGATATCCATGGGTTGCAACGAGGTTTGATAGGTGTTGTACTCTGCAAGTCCCTTCAACCTTTGATTTACGTCCAGTCTTGACACAATCGAGGCAGAGGCCGGGTTCAGAGTCCATCAAAGTGGACAGGTCCTTTGTCAATTTTTTCTTCATTGAACCGTCTCGCGATGAAGCGAGTTCACAGCGGGAATACGAGCCGTTCGTGCAAGACGCCTCTCCTGCGAGACTGTTTGGTAGATTCGAGACTTTATCGACTACTTTAAGTAAGCTCAGGTGCTCGAACCCTTCTTCGTAGGGTGCAATTTTCTGATTCCGTAGAGTGGAGAGGTACTTTGTCACTCCCTCGGAGGAGGCTCGACAGGAACAGCCTAAGAGGCGGGAGACCGGATGCATGAGGATTTTCTCCATTTTGCGATTGATCTCGACTCTCCTGGTATTTAGCACATCTGCGCATGTAAGCATTGCGGAAATGTTACATGGGTTACAACCTCTACCAACCTAATAGAGAGCATGGAACAGTAGGGTGGTCCGTTAGACCAGGTAATGTTTCAAAGGGCCCTGCCTGTGCCTGCATCAACCTCCACGAGATATCTGAAAATGCGGTGGGCAGGTCCAAGAGGTACGCCACCAGCAGTTGTCTATTCAGCTCAGCAGCGAGATAAGTGTCTGAAATCCTCTGCAGCCATAATGCCGCACAGTGCCTCATGGCGACGGTGCATTGATATTTGTCACAGACCAAGGCCAGGTTCTCCAGTGAGTCGATTTTCAGCTCTTGTGGAATCTGATCGAGCTGGAAATGGATGATTTTACAGATAAGCTTGAAAGCTTCAAGATCGTCCTCCGGCAAAGGGATGATGCGAGGATTGTCCTCTACGGTCTGCAAGGATCCTTCTTTGAAGCCTGAGCTGAGCATTGCCCCGAACACCGGGGAGGCTAGAGAGAGGACTTTGGACGAGATTCGGAGGCGCTCATCCTCAATCTCAATGACGAGGTCGCCGACGGGATCGATGTCGATAGTCGCCATGGTGGCGAGCGACCTAGTGAGGAGATGAGATTTCGAAAGAATGAAGGAGGAATGGTTTGTGAGGATTGTAGGCAAGTCCGGTCCATGTAGTGCCGCAAGCCAATCAGCACAGGTACGAGAGACCCGCACTGAACCATCAACACTAGACCATAAATAGAATAGATCAGGACGTTTATGAGCTATACTGTATTTGGACATTGTACGTGCGGGATCATTCGATGTGGCTCGAGGCTTCCAGAAGACCCAGACTATACTCGGACCAGAAACTATTTACCACTGCTCCTCAACCGTACGGTCGACATGCCTCCCTTTGTCCTTGATCATCGATAGCATTTCTGAAGCAGCCTTGTGCTCTGCATTCCCAGCAAGACAGCCATGAACACCGCAAGGTCGACGCTCGTCCGACGAGCAGTTCCTTCGCGAGTACTACCCTCATCTCTGCTCCGTCGACGAGCCGCCCCTTTCCTAGTCTCCGCTACAAGCTACCCTGCGATCCCTCGAACCATTCTCCCAGCTGCCACGTTCGTTCGCACGTACGCCAATGGCCGAGCCCATCCACCGGGCGGAACCCATCGCATGAATATGGGAGGCGAGCCTGAGAAACCTGCACTAGAAGAATACGGCGTCGATCTGACAGCCCGAGCCAAGGAAGGGAAACTCGACCCGGTCATCGGAAGAGATGGGGAGATCCACCGAACGATACAGATCCTCTCACGTCGAACGAAAAACAATCCTGTCTTGATCGGTGCAGCCGGAACGGGCAAGACCGCCATCCTCGAAGGTCTCGCGCAGAGGATAGTAAGAGGAGATGTGCCTGAGAGCATTAAAAATAAGAGAGTGATCTCTCTGGATCTCGGTCAATTGATCGCTGGTGCTAAGTTCAGAGGCGATTTTGAGGAAAGGTTGAAGAAGGTTCTGAAAGAGGTACAAGACGCACATGGTGGAGTCATTCTTTTTGTCGATGAACTGCATACTCTGCTCGGTCTTGGAAAGGCCGAAGGGTCGATTGATGCGAGCAATCTCCTCAAACCAGCTCTATCTCGTGGCGAGTTACAATGCTGCGGTGCCACCACCCTCAACGAGTACCGCCAGATCGAGAAAGATGTAGCGCTCGCGCGTCGATTCCAACCGATCTTGGTTGGTGAGCCTTCAGTCCAAGATACCATCTCTATCTTGCGTGGTATCAAAGACCGTTACGAAGTTCATCACGGCGTTCGCATTACAGACGGCGCTCTTGTGGCGGCCGCAACCTACAGCAATCGGTACATTACTGATCGTTTTCTGCCCGACAAAGCTATAGATCTTGTGGACGAGGCAGCCTCCGCTCTCCGCTTGCAGCAAGAATCTAAACCTGACGCAATCCAAAAACTAGATCGTGAGATCATGACCATTCAAATCGAACTGGAGTCTCTGCGCAAAGAAACAGACATTGCCTCGAAGGAACGACGGCAAAAGTTAGAAGAGACACTCGCAGAGAAGAAGAAAGAAGTAGATCGCCTAACCGAGATCTGGGACCGCGAGAAAGCAGAAATCGAAGCCATCAAGCGGACCAAAGAAGACCTGGAAAAGGCACGACAGGAATTGGAGCAAGCCAGGCGCGAAGGAAACTTCGCCCGCGCGGGTGAACTTCAATATGCGACCATACCAAAACTCGAATCTCAACTGCCTAGGGAGGGCGAAGAGGTCACCTCGACGACGAAGAATGGAGAGACCCTCATTCATGACTCGGTGACTGCCGACGACATTGCCAGCGTTGTCAGCCGAACAACAGGAATCCCAGTCAACAAACTTATGGCTGGAGAAGTTGAAAAATTGGTGAAGATGGAAGACAAATTGCGAGAGCATGTCCGTGGTCAAGACGAAGCCCTTACTGCGGTGGCCAACGCGGTCCGCATGCAACGAGCAGGTCTCAATGGTGAAAATCGCCCACTCGGCAGCTTCATGTTCCTTGGACCTACCGGTGTGGGAAAGACAGAGCTTTGCAAACAAATTGCCAACTTCCTCTTCAGCACCGAATCCGCCGTGGTACGGTTCGACATGTCGGAATTCCAGGAAAAGCACACCGTCTCGCGACTCATTGGCGCCACCGCAGGCTATATTGGGTACGAGGATGCAGGACAGCTAACTGAAGCGGTTCGACGCAAACCGTACGCAGTCCTCCTGTTCGATGAGTTTGAGAAGGCCCACCGTGACATTTCAAGCTTGCTGCTGCAAGTGCTCGACGAAGGATTTCTCACAGACAGTCAAGGTCACAAAGTCGACTTCCGCAACACATTGATTGTCTTGACCAGCAATCTCGGTGCCGAAATCCTGATGGGCAGCGGCGCAGATGTGGAGACAGTGACACCCGAACAAAAGAAGGGAGTGATGGAGGTTGTTCAAGCCTCCTACCCGCCCGAGTTCCTCAATCGAATTGACGAATTCATCATCTTCAACAAGCTGTCCAAATCTGCTCTCCGAGACATTGTGGACATTCGGATCCGCGAGCTTCAAGGACGCCTTGATGATCGCAGGATGAGCCTGGATGTTTCGTCTGAAGTCAAGGACTGGCTATGCGAGAAGGGCTATGATCCTCGATACGGCGCCAGGCCGCTCAACCGTCTGATTCAGCACGAGATTGGACGAAGGCTGGCAGACAGGATTATCAGAGGCGAACTGAAGACGGGAGACACCGCGAAGGTTATCTTGGGTAAGGACCGGGAGAACCTGGACTTGGAAATTCAAGCAAAGGCCTGAAGTTTGAAGGCGCACAATGGCTGGACTGACGGTACCATTTTCCACTGCTTTCACACGCCCATGTCAAGCTGAGCACAGCCGGCCATCGCATCTTTGGAGAGGTAAGACAGCATTTAAAAGTTTCGGAGGTTATTTCAGCACGAACTGTACGACAGGCACGATGAGCTCTGACTCTATGGGACGAACGGCGTATTTGTGTTTTGTGGATGATACCCCACTCTATGCTACAAACTTGTAAAGTGATGGGTGGCATTGTATATGTGTATATCAAAATGTACAGCATTTTCTACTCATCAAACACCCTGATTCTCAAGGATACTAACTCCCCCCACTCTACACGCTCCCTTTCAACGATCCTATCCCCTACACTAACAACCATAACGATGGGCCGGCCTTCTCTGCATGTACCTTGACGGCTAGCATCGGCGACTATTCGCTAGAACGTCTCGGGCTTGCTGGCAACACGAGGCACCCGACTTGGACCACCATCGAAAATCAAAGTTTCCACGCGGATCGTTCGGAACTGGTCTTGTACCTGACAGTGGGATTGCTCGACCTTGTTGCCGGGCAATGAGATTGACCTGGAGTTGGATGATGTTGGGTTTACGGGAGAGCAGTGTGTCGCGGAGCCGGTGTGACCGAGGGCCCCGTCGTTTTGTATAACTGTAATGGAAATCGCAAGACCATCTTGGCTGGAATCTGCAAAGCCCACGTTTGCGTTATTGCGAGAAGGGGGAATACGGTCCAGGACAGGCTCTCCCAAACCCCAATTGGGTTCGATCGGGCTCTTGAGCCGGATCAATACGGCCTCGCTCTCTTTCCTGAATGAAAAGGGCAAGGGACAAAGCACCGTTCGGTTTATATGTAATACACACCCATGTATATGTCTCTCTCTCTCTCTATCTATAACTTGAGCCTGTCTCTGCCGCGCAGCCGCTCTATAATCAAAGCCACGGTGATTCTTTCTTTCTTTTCTCCGTTCACTTCTGCACCACGATTTCTCGCTGGTCCTCGTGGACTTTCCCTCCCCCATCGGGACTTTCTTCCTCGTCGCCGCCCCGCGCGGTCGTGGTGTCGGACACCGCCGTCATATCCGAGACCCGCCGCCGCCCGGCGCGCTTGTACGCCTTGACCTGCCTGTCCGCCTTGCGCACGATGCTCCACTGCAGTCTGCTCAGGAGGCCCTTCTTGTCTTCTCCAATATCCTCGGTGTCGACCTCGTCGCTGTCGTCGTCGGCGGGAAGGGCGACCGTGGCCCCGCCGCCGCCGCTGTGGTTCAGGGTCGAGGCTCGTCTGCGCTGCTCCTTGTCCGCGAAGAGCGTGTCGATCGCCTCGAGCGGCTGGCCGCCGGTTTCCGGGTAGAAGAGCCAGACGATGATGGCATTGGCGAGGTTGAGCACCGCCCAGACGATGTAGAACCTCCAGCCGAGGTTTTTGACGCCGTCTAAAAGAGAAGAAGAGTCAGTCAGCGTTCGCATAGATCACAATTAGTGAACCAGAAGGTCGTTTTCTTCTAGAGGGCGGGGCCTTACCCGGCGTGACCTCGACGACGAGAAAGTTGCCCAGGAAATCCGCGCCGGCGGCCAGCGCGGCGCCCTTGGCTCGGATCTTCAGCGGCAGGATCTCTGGCGGGTAGACCCAGACGGTGGCCATCCAGCCCCAGGTGAAGCAGGCCTCGAACGCAAAGACGAAGAACACGGCGGCCACCCCCGCGGAGGTGTTGTGGTAGTGGGCGGCCTCGATGCGGTTGACGGCGATGGCTTCGGCCACCAGCACCAGACACATGCCAAAGGCCATGGAGATGAAGAGGAGCCGCCGTCCCACGCGGTCGATCGTGTACCATGTCAGAAACGAGGCGATAATATACCACAGTTGCAGGAAGCAGCCCATGAGAATCGACATCTCCTGGGTCATGTTCAACGACGTGGTGAAGAGCGTCGGAGCGTAGTATGTCACCTGGCAAATGGAAACCGTTCTGTCAGCCATGTAATGCTCCCGCAGCCTGAGGCGGACAGTGCACTTACAATGTTGATGCCCGACATCTGCTGCATAAATTGGATTCCCAGCGCGAGGTAGAAGCGCTTGTTGGCCGAGATGCCGTTGCTGCGGAACAAATCTGCCCACGAGCCCTCCTCCTTCTCTTCGATGGCAATGGCCTCCATGATCTCGTCCTTCTCCGTCTGCACGAGCTGGTCCTTCTCATCCCGTCCCCTCAGTCGCGCGAGGACCGCGAGCCCCTCCGCCGGGGTGCGATGTCGCATGAGCCAGCGCGGGGTGTCGGGCAGCCACGGAGCGACCAGCATGATGTAGATGGCAAAGACCAGCTGGAAGGCGAGGGGAAATCTCCACTGCGCGCTGCTGTGGATGAAGAAGAAGCCGTAGTTGATCCAGTAGGCAATCATCAACCCGCCGAGCATGGTGGTGAGCTGGCAGCACACTTGCCATCCGCGTTGCGCGGCGGCACTGATCTCCGCCTGGTAGACGGGCGTGACAGACGTGATGTACCCGATGCCTATTCCCGTGCAGACTCGCGAGACCATGAACTGGATCCGTTCGTAGCTGCTGGCCATGAGGACCGTGCCGATGATCAGGATCGTGGTGCCCAGCAGCAGAGTCCTCTTACGCCCCAGCTGCTCGCCCGTGAAGGCGGCGCCGATGGCCCCAAACACGGCTCCCACATCATACAGCGCCGTCATGGTGCCGACCATGAGTGAGCTCGGGTGGTCCATCTGCGCCAGCCAGTACTTGGATATCACCACGCCGGACATGACGCCCTGGTCGTACCCGAACAACAGAAAGCCCGAGGAGCATACTGAAGTGATGGCGGCAATCAGCCACCCACCGACGAGGTGCTTCGTTCCTTGCATCACAGACATTCTAGAGGACACGTTGATTTTCAGAGAGAGAGAGGAAGGAGGAGAAAGCGACAAAACAGAAGCGGTCCATGTTGATAATAGCCGAAAGGGCCGCTGGGCTGCCCACTTTATGGGGGAACCAGGAGTGCGAGCCCAAGCTTTTGGTCAAGCATTGCAAGCATCGCGAAGCACTGCAGGGATCAAGAGATGCGACCTGCTGCATTGGGGACGTGATTGACGTTCTGTGACATTGACGCGGTAATGACGTGTCGGGACGTTGCCGATGGCCAATGATGCAAAGGACAGTCGTGGGGAGAGATGATCGACAGCGGGCATCAAAGGGTCGCAGGGCGGGATGAGGAGATGGTGTTGTGGGTGGTGGAGGTTGTGGAGGTGAAGTGGTGATAGTGGTGATGCTGAGCGTAGATCATTCTTCCTCCTCGGGTGGCGCCACGCCGTTGGCGATCAACGGCCCCAGCGGCGAACAGTCCGTCGGCAATTGACACAGACACCCTTCCTGGTAGTAGCCTTCTATCACGGCTGTCAAAAGGCATTGGAGTCAAATGACTTTCAGATTCTCGGCTATCAACGAATATCTGACTCGGTAAACGAAGAGGGCATCCTTGGGCCTGCACCAACAGAGCCCCTTCGACTGCGCCCCTCGCACCCTTGATCCCTATGCTTTCTATCTCGTCCACTAGCCACGCAAAGGAATTGGCCTGCAACGATGATGGGAGCCAATACAAGTCGTGCAGCAGCTTCCATGACGGACCAGAACCCTGCGCCTTGCACTACTGTCGTCGTCCTATACCACTTTCTCCAACGCGTCGTCTAGCACATACCCTCTCTCTCCTCTGCCTCTTCATAATCCCCCAAGCCTCGCAGAGCGTGGATAGCATTCTATTCTCGATCCCGTTGTGCACCATCCTGGCGTAATGACCCGAGTCGTTGGGGCCAATGCACGCGGTGCAAGGAGACTCCTTGGTGTCTTCTGGCGACTGGTTTGAGGATCGCGGTCTAAAGGCAGGTCAAAAGATCTTTGTGGTCGCGAGCCATAAATATGACGTCGGACGACGAGGACCGGCAACGACTTTGGCACAGTGCAAGCCTGTCGATGATGGACGGATGGCAAAATCCAGAGCCGGAATATGGTGAGTTGCTTTGATTCTCTTGGACATTTGGAAACCAACCTTGCCCTAGGGCTGGATGTTCTCTCAGCACAAGGCGCAAAGTTTACCTGAAAGGGTGATCTTTAAGTCGCAGCCCAAGATCTAAGTCGGGCTCGAGGAAAAATCCAAACCCAACGTATCTCGAACTAAAGAAGTGGCACTGTTCGGCAGGTATAAAGAAGGAACCTCGTTTGATATAGAGAGCAAGAATATCTCCGCTCGATATCGCGCTGACGTGGCCGTGACTTACCATGACCATTCTATGCAGTGCTTAGGCGGAGAGTTCTTCCCTGCTCGCAACGGTAGGTGCCGGTTCCAAGCCGTCATGCCCGGCCATGTCGACCTCTCTCTTGTCTTTGATCCCAGTCCGAGTCTCGGTGTGCTCTTTCGCCAGCTCCTTCTTTGTGACAAGCCCACCGGCAAGAAGCCCACACGCGGCCATACAAGCGGCCATGATCCATATGTTCCTCAAACTCCACGCAAAGGCCTGTTTGACCGCTAGCTTCTGGGCCCGATCTGAGATGGTCGCGATGAGGTCGATATTCGTCGCGGCGTCCGGGCCAGAGAAGGTCTCGACCAGGTCTGCCGGCAGTCCATGACCTCGCAATTTCGACCTCTGCAGTTGCATTCCGTTCTGGAAGATGATCCCGCCGCCGACGATCGAGAGCGCGATACCGATGTTCCGGATGAAGCCGAGAGTTGCCGTGGCGGTTGCGGTGTCGTCTTGGGAGACGAGAGCTTGCAGAGCGATGAGAGGAGGTTCAAACAGAAGGCCTGCGCCCAGCCCGGCCACGACTTCGAACGCCGCAATCGATCCTATCGGGGACGTCGCGTTGAGATAGATGTAGAGCCCGTTGCCGACGGTCAGCAACGCCACACCAACCCAGATGAGCTCGACATAGCGGCCCGCACGGTAAATGAAAAGGCCCGCGAAGATTCCAGTAAGTGCCTCGGTGATTATCAGCGGAAGGAGGAGGAGGCCAGATTGCAGCGGCGAAGCCTCCTTTGCCGACTGGAAATAGAGTGGAAGATAGTACTCGGCCGCGTTGATGACCTACGTCGCCGGTTGTCAGTATAGCTGTATTCCCCCAGAAGGTCTTTCTGCGAACACCTACGAAATGCTGTGCAAAGCCAATCGCAAGACATGCGGCATTGGATTTGTGGCGGAACAGGCCCAGAGGCATGATCGGGTGCCGGGCGAGTCGGCTCTCGCTGAAGAGAAACACGACGGCCATCAAAGCACCGACCGCGACCAGGCAGATGACCTTCGGCGAGTCCCACGGATACGCCGTGCCTCCAAAGTTGAGACCGAGAAGCACCATGACCATGACGGACACGATAGAAAGACTGCCCGCCCAGTCGATCGCCTTGACCCCGTCGGCGAATTTGGTTTTCGGGTTATGCACGTCCAGGAAAAAGAGCAGCAAGCAGAACGCCGTCCCCGAGATTGGGAGGTTGATCCAGAATATCCACCTCCACGAAAGGAGCTGGGTGAAGGCCCCGCCGAGCACCGGTCCAAGGCCACCGGCAACAGCCCAGGTTACGTGAAGGAGACCGAGGAAAAGAGGTCGGCTCCTGCAAGGGACGATTAGAGGTGCTGGGTCATGCGCACGGGGTTACCAATTGGCACATACCTCATGCTGAACAGGTCTGAAATGACAATGGTGATGAGGGAGGATAGGCCGCCCCCGGATACGCCCTGGACACTGCGGCTCGCGATCAGCATGCCCATACTGCTCGAGACGGCGCAGATGATGGAGCTGGCAAAGTACAGCGCCACGGCGGTCAGCAGAATCGGCTTGCGGCCCCATATGTCTGATAGCTTCGCCCATATGGGGACGACAGCGGTGGTGGTAATGACATATGAGGCCCCGATCCAGGAGTAGCCGGCGGCGGAGTGCAGATCGGAGCAGATGGTCGGGATTGCGGTGGCGACGATGGTGGTGTTCAGCGCGGCGATGAACAGGGCAGCCTGGACGGTCACAGAGTCAGGAATGGAGCCAGGAGACAAGAGAATATATATTCCGTACAAAAAGAGCGGCCATGACCGTCAACGTCCTAAATCTACTCCGTCGTTGGCCCGGCTCAGATGAGAGTTGAGTCGGCGTCTCACGAGCCGTGACCTCCGCACTTGGTGTCGAGTTGACAACGGCCGGGGGAAGTGGCCGTGCTACTGGTAGTTCGATCGCCCCGATTACGTCCTCCATCTCTGCGATGCTGCCTGACGCTGTTGCCATGATGAAAATGTATCGTAAAGCGGGAAAGCGGTCGTTGAGAGGGAAGAGATGGAAAGTTGACGTTGTTACTTCTACAAGAAAAGATAGGGGGTTGAGAGCCTTATCTAGATAGCTATACAGACGATACTTTCGGCCTAGCCCAAAATGGCGGCCTACGCCCTTACGCCTTGGCACAAGATCAACAAATGCGCGCCCTGGATAGATTGGCATCAAGGCATGTATATACCTGCCGAGATCGACCTCTTCCACTTTGATCCCATAGCTCCAACATCAGTTATCAATTCCATTAAATGCAGGTTACCTAAGCAATGCCTTATGCTCCGCGACAGTTCAAAGCTAGCCCCCGCCCAGTCTAAACTCTTCTGCCTACCTAGCGGTTCAGCTGTCTAGAATTGGATTCAAGCAACCAGGGACTAGTTCCGAACAAATTTGATCACAGAATCCTCAAGTCCCGGTGAACTTACCAGGTAACGATGAGGCACCCAGAGCGATACCAAACCTCTCCTCTAGGCAAAACGGCGAGGAGGAATGGGAAGCCTTGCACTCCTTAGTGCTTATGCTGCACTCCTTCCGGCTGTCGAGAGTAAAACGCCCATGAAATGTGCCTTTGTTGCATTGTACCTTATACTATCAGCCCCCTTTTCTTTGCAGAAGATCCATCCATTACTGAGTCAGCAGATTGAGGCGGTCAAGAGCCGCAGAAGTCGCAGACCCCGAATTGCTGGGGCTAGCTGGTGATAGATATTGCTGTGAGCGACCCTTCTGATCAAGGAATTCTTTCCTCGTACATGCCTGATCAGTTTGGTATTTGTCTCCCTCATACACCACCGGGCCATAGTCGTGCTTCTCGCGCCGGAATGGAGTCTTCGGGTACCGTTCTGGGCCTTCTTGAAGCCTTAGCTCAGAAAACACAGACATCCGCCGCACAAATCACCCGGTTCCTCAACGAAGCTCACACAAAAGGGCCGGTCGACGGACAGCCTGGCTCGTTTGACATCCCTCTCAACTCGCCTCCCGAAATCAATGCAGCGAAAGCGGCGATACTCGAATCGACCATGCTGATGCAACAGCTGGTCATGTCTGCGACCGACGTCCAGCAACAAATGACATTATATACCCAGCAGATGGCAGCGATACGTTGGATCTGTCGCTTCGACGTCGCGACGCATGTTCCAGCCTCGGGTACCATCTCCTATGAAGACTTGACTGCAGCGGCCAAGGTGCCACAGGGCGAGCTCATGCGCATATGCCGCATGGCGATGACGGCGGGCTTCTTTCAGGAGCCAGTTCAAGGTCACATTGGACATACTCCCATTTCTCTGGACCTCAGATCCTCATCCCCGGTGCACGACACTTTCCTGTTCATGAGTGAGACGGGCCACACGGTTGTGAGCAAAATGCCCGAGATGACCGAGGCCAATCTCAAACTTGGCCCCGGGGCGAAACCCAAAACAGCATTCAACATTGCCATGAACACGGACATCCCTTTCTTCAAGTATATCATGTCGAACCCAGCTCTCGCAAAACAGCAAGCTGCGCACATGAAGACCATCGTGGCTGCAGAGGAGTCCCACATTCGACATACAGTCAGTGGATATGACTGGGGCGCCCTCCCGCAGGGGGCGAAAGTCGTCGACATGGGCGGCTCGACAGGCCATGTTAGCATCACCATTGCACGAGAGTTTCCTCACTTGGAGTTTATAGTGCAGGACCTCCCACAAGTTCTGTCGCAGAGGGCATCGGTTCCAGCAGAACTGGGAGACCGGGTCGCGTTCGAAGCGCACGACTTCTTCCAACCTCAGCCTCCCAGCCATCGTGGTGCGGATGTTTTCTTCATACGACAGTGCCTCCAGAACTGGTCCGACGCCGACGCCGCCAAGATCTTGCGAACACTCCTGCCGGCGCTAGACAAACGCAGATCAAGAATCGTGATTATGAGCGTCGTTTTGGCGAATCCCAATGACGCAGGAGTTGGCCAGAGAGAGAAAGGGATAAGCCGTATGAGAGACCTCTTCATGATGCAAGCCATGGGGGGCGGTGAAAGGGATCTGGCTCAGTGGAACGCGATAGTCAAGGCTGCTGATCCTGGGTTAGAGATCGCAAATGTGAACAAGCCGCGGGGAAGCGTGCTGAGTGTCCTTGAGGTTAGATACAAATGATGAGAAGGAGGAAGTTGACTCGGCCAACGACTACATTGTTGTCTGTAGAGAAGTATTAACCAAGAAATAGCACCGGCTCGCGCATGCGTGGCTGGATGCTGGTACTAAGTAGGCTGATCCGCAATGGAATGTTGGTAATAACTAGTCAAGGCCTTGATCCTCTAGCCAAGCCGTTGCTCAGCATTGGTCACAAGACTCTTGAAGATACCCAACCTGCATGCTGGGGGACTCACGGCACTCCAGAGGTGGGAGGCCGGTAGCGAGGTTCTTCCAGAGATGCAGTGATCACCTCCACTCATTTCTCCTCGTAGACCCGTATCTTCGACCTCCTTCTTCCGGCCGTCGTCGCTTGTATTCAAATGTGTGTGGCGGGACTTTTGGACATTCGTCCCGGCCTCGTCGCCGCTGTCGCCGGCTCTCGAGCCGTCTTTGCTTTCTGGCCTCGTCGTCGGTTGACCAAGTATCGCGGCCGCCTGACCATGCATGTTCCCTCTTTCCCCTTGGACGCCAGTGTTGTGCAGATGGTCTATCCCACCATCTCATGGCATGCCCCAAAACAGCCTTGAATTTCACATTCACCTCAACGTTGTGGTGAAGAATCTTGGATGAAACCTCTGAAACAGATAAACTTCCCTGTCCTGGGTACTCTTGGGTAAGATAGGGATCCGCCCCTTCCCGAACAAAAAGACTCATCATTTCCAAACAGGCTTCAGGATTATCAGGTTTGAACAAATAAACACGCCGCAACAATTGAGCCCACAGTGTGCGCTTTGCTCCCGGAAAATTGATCTCGATATTAGGACTAAGTCCTCTGGCAAACAGCAGACCATATGTTTCCTGCACCAACCCCTGAAGCTGTGAATGCCTGAAACAATCCAGGAGATCTTCCCAAAATTTACAATTCAGATATGCAAAGTCCCGTCGAAACCTTGCCCCGTGTTTGAGCAACAGTGTTAAGAACGACCAGAAGTAAAAGGCAGACGTACCTGCATCGTAGATACCGTAGTCGTCAAGCAGGATGTGCAGTATTGGCTTTCCGTCAATCGTTCCGTTTGGATCGGCCCCATTCTCGAGTAGGAATACAGCCATCCTACATGAAGCTTGCTTGACATCATGTGTCTCGAATCTGGACGACCGCAGGAAAGCTATCATCAAAGCTCGTGCATCGTGGCCCACGAACAGATCTGGTTGTCTTTCAAGTCGAGCTTGAAGGTAGGAGACGTAGTGATACTCAATGGCTTTCCCGAGCAATGAGATTGAATGTTTACCACGGATCTCCAAGCTATTTCTGAATAAGGACAACGGAGCGCATGAGTCAATGACGTCGTCCATCCCGTCCATCAAAGGTGTGCTGGGAATGCCTCGCTCTTCCTCTGCTCTTTGAGCAAACGCAACGAAATGATTCAAGGCAACTTGGCCAAGGCTAATAGGGAAGGATTTGACTTGCTGAATCAACGCTTTACATATGCACACAGACGCATTGAAGTTGACTGCGGAGTATGAAGCAAACAGATGTTGCATTTGCGTTGTGGCTAGAAAGTCGCGAACAGTTCGATGGAAAAAATCGACTTCCCTGGATCCTGGTTCACCAACTGGTTCCAGGAGCCCTTTATAGCGGCCATTCAGTTGTCGACTCATTGCTTCTTCGGTCTCGAAGATTTCCCGATTGGAGAATGAGCCTTTGTCAGTTCCTCCGGTACTTGGCCTGAGAATGTGAGAACCCTCGTCAATAAATGAATAAAGAGTAAGTCGAAGAGGTTCAGGTGTTGCCAGCGCCACTCGGAAAGTGTGAGCCATCCTAGTTCGATAAACCTTATCGACGGATCTGATGAGTTTCTCGAAAAATTCCTCAAGGTCAGATGGCATCTCCACTAATCTCTCGTACAACAGAGTCAAAGAATCGCCATTGATGAGGCCTTCCCTAAGAGATCGTGAAACCAGATACACCCAGAGAAACACTCCTTGGGCGCGAGACACGATTTCTGATATCAGTCGCTCAATCTGGACGACATCTTGTCGTAGCAGTGAAAATTTTGGAACCTCCTCTAGCTTCTCCTTCACGTACAGAACAATGTCATCTCTAGTGAGGTCTTGCAAGTATAACTTATTTTGAGCATCTTGACCAAAGGCATCTTCAAAGCAGTTCCAGGGTCTGCTAGAAGCACAAATTTTGACATTGTCGATCTGAGCAATATTCTGTATTGTTTTGATAAGATCCAAGGGGTCGCCATGGTATTCGTCTAGACCGTCGACGAATAGGCAAAGCTTTGACGAGTTTCCGGGGCTCACAGTCATTAGACTCATTTCGTTGAAAGCCCCTTTCAGTTCTGACAAAGACCATTCAGTTTGCATTTGGAAACCATGTCGAGATGTTGCCCATCTTTGTGGACAGATCTTTGGGGTCCATTCCGGAAAGCTTCTAAGTATCTCGAACAAGATCTGTTGAAGGAGACCGCGTTGAGACTTCTGCATGTCGTTACCAGATATTCAGAAGAAGAATCCGGCCATGACAAGACGGTCATTGTTGGCCCAGACTTGGAGACATTGTTTTGTCTGCTGACAATCACGAAGATACTTCATCAAAGTGCTCTTCCCACTACCGGGTTTGCCTGAGACCCAGTAGATCCCATCACCATGAGTGAACCATTCATGAAATCGTATACGCGACCGTGGATCGCACGATGGCCACCTGGAAGGTTTGAATATCCATTTGAACGTATTCTCGTGCGCGTCAGAAATGGCAGCATACCTAGGTGCCATCCTCTCGAACATTAGACTTTTCAACACACTCGCTTCCTTTCGCAACTTTGTGGTCTCATAATCAGAGCTGCGCAACTTCTGATCAATTTGCGCTAAATACTGCGCTGTGAGCTCCCGACCACTTTGTACGAGGCCACATAGCGATTCGAGCATGGGTTGGATTCTCTGTAGCCGAGCTGAGTCGATCTCTAGACATGCAGTACGAGCACCTTCCAGGGATCGAAGAACCTGGCCCTGGCGCACACTAAGGATAGTCAGGATGAACTGTACAGGGCTTCCAAGCTGAGACTTTTACCTTATGAAAGAGAGTACGTGAATCGACAAGTTGCTGCGTGCATCCTCGAGCCTCCTCTGCAGCCTAGCAATTTTATCCTTTTTCCAGATAGTGTTTAGAGCCTGGCGAAAACTTCGCCACTTTTTGTACGGGCCCTCACCGATTTTGAGGTTCTTGATGGTTGCTAAGAGCTCGTCTGCAATGGAACTAGAAGAGGCTGCGATTTTGACAATCTCCGCTTCAGCCTCAGAGATAGCGCCTTGGGTGGGATCCAGTGGTTTCATCAGCGTCGAGCTGAGACGCGCAAGGTTTTCGGCGACACCCTGAAGCTCAACATTGTCGGCTGTTGCCCCGTTTGCTGAATGATATATCTCCTTGGCATCTGATATAAGCTCACGGCCGAAATCGATGAACTGCACGATATTCGCCGCCAGGCCGATAGCGGAGAGCGGATCGAGAGGCATCTTGCGATAATTGCAAGTGAGAACTCTGATGGAGATGAAAGGAAAGAAGAAGAATTCGGGTTGCCAAATGGAAGGCGTGAGGCTGGAAGTAGGTTCCAGCAAGCTGGGCAGTCGATGCTCACGTGCACAGCCCTCCTCGATGTTCTGCACAGCCTTATCTGCCTCGTTAGCCTTGGGCAGCGTCCCGGATCCATGGTCCAATCGGGCTGCAGGTGAAGGACACATCGACCAGCCTTTTCATCAGACAGACCATTCAGAAAGAGTAGCGTAGAAGACCACGACGCCAACCGTCGCTGCAAGGTTGAACGATTCAAAACACTGCGGGTGTCAAATCACAGACTTTTTCTCCTACATTGAGAGCCCAAACGAAGAACGTGTCACCTATGCTATGGTATATACGGCTACCTTTATGGCCGCCAATCCTAGTTTTCTTCATGTACAGAATCAATTCTTCTTCCTCTGACCATATGAGCGTGTGGCGTAGTCTCCCTGGTATACAATCAGGTCTGCGGGCTCATAATCATGCGTACCACTCAGGTAGCTCTGCAGAATCCTCTTCACACCATCGGCATAGCGCTTCTGGGCGTCCAGCGAGCTGCCCGACATATGGGGAACCATCCCGTTGCCTCCTCCAAGAGGGTTCTTGGCATAGCGAAGCGGGTGGTCTCGTGGCGCGGGCTGAGGAAACCAGACATCTCCTCCGTAGCCGTTCAAGTGGCCCGACTTCAGCGCAGCGGCAATGTCGTCGGCAACCACTATCGCACCGCGGGCAGTGTTGACAATCCATGATCCTAAAGCATATTAGCACTGAGGTCACATATAGAGATACTGCCGTTTCCTAAGTCTCGAACGACTGCAAAGACCTACCTTTCTTCATCTTTGAGATCAACTCCTTGTTGAAGAGGCCAAAGGTCTTTTCGTGTAACGGACAGTTGATAGTGACAACATCACACTGTGCGACCATGTCCTCCAAGCTCTCCACTCTTCGGCACCCGATTTCAGCTTCCACGTCGGGATTGAGAGGCTGGTAGTCGTAGTAGAGCAGCTCCTTGCAGTCAAACGGCTTCAACCGCCGTAGGACACGCTGGCCGATGCGCCCGATTCCAACCGTGCCCACCACCTTGTCTTCCAGGTCGTACTCATTGCGTGCGACTTGGGCAACATTCCATTCACCACGCTCAATCTGTTCGTGGGCTGGAATCCAGTTACGGACCAAGCCCAGCATGGTCATGACCACATGCTCTGCGACGGAAACAACGTTGGAGCCCGTGACCTCTGCGACGGTGATGCCACCGTTCGTCTTATTCGCGGCATTGAGGTCGATATGGTCTGATCCGACACCTGCAGTGACAGCCAGCTTGAGGTTCTTGGCCTTTTTCAGTCGGTCGGCGTTCAGATACGCCGGATGGAATCTATGGGCCAACACATAGATTAGCACATTGTAGATGCAACTGTGTGACCCTGTTGAATATTTGGGGGCGGACGGGTGACGTACGGGGTGGTGATGAGAATTTCCGCGTCCGGAAGCTCTCTCTCAAACACCGAGTTGGGACCTTCTTTATCAGAGGTGGTGATCAGAGTATGGCCCTGATCTTCAAGCCACTTCCTCAGGCCCAATTCGTTCTCGGTTGTCCCTAATAGTCGCGGTTGCTGTTTGGCATGTTCTCCGCCCTACGACCGTTAGTACCCTCATATGTAGACAGGAGTGCTGAGGGGTTTCCCTCTGGCGTGTGTAGAACTGTGAACGGGTAGAAGATGGGCGGGACTCACGTCATATAAAACAGAGAGGATCTTCACATTGCGGTTGGCTGACGCGGAGAAAGATCTGATAGATGATGGTCCAGGCTTTTGACACAGCAACCGTGAACCCGCTTTGGCGCACAAGGTTGAAGAACCTGAGAATCCGGTTCTGACCGCTGCTGTACGAAGCATTTCCGTGGCAGCCCTAATGGAGCAGTAAATTCCTTTCAATACCGGGCGAAAGATCTCGTTGTTGAAAGCGAACGAGTGGGCTTCGAGACTTGATGGACCAGGGATTGAATACTATCCTTCGACTATCAGCAGAAGGTGCCGTTTTTAATGGCACAGCTCGGTGATATCGCGGACAAGGCTGCACTAGAACTGTGTAGAGTATCGAGAGTTTTGGAACTTGTTCTGAAATTCAGCCGGGTTTTAGGTTAATGAAGTCTCTAAAAGATTTGGGATAAACTGTCATCCATGTTAATGGAGTAGGTACTAGCATCTAGAACACAGCAGGGTGTACGATAGGGGTGCTCCTCGCTCAGAGTATCCTGGTCTGGAAAGGTCGACAGAGGACGGCAAGGTCCCTCAGTAGTTGTCACATGGTTCGCTGATGGCCCAAATAGGAAGAATATACTCATTTGGACTTGGAGGCTCTCCGCACTCCATACTGGCACTCCGCAATGAGGTGATAAATGATCAACCGGCCGGCGAAATGCTGGCGAGCAGGTTAAACGTGAGACTGGGAGAATATATCAAGAGACTGGCCAATAGGCATAGTGAGACTGCCGATTCTGCCGATCGCGCCGATTGGCCAGATGCAGTTGGAGGTGGATCTCAGCAATGTTCCTTCTCCATGGTTTCTTTGCCCCGCGTCAACTTCCTCCACATCCAAACATCCCCAGAGCAGTCGAGGCCAGTAGGACTGGATACCTGGTGTGAGGACGAGCAGCTGTTAGCTAATACAGGTGTATTGTTAAATTTTTCAAACTTCTAGCGTCAGCCACAGTCAGACCACTGAGGACGTCTGTGCGCGCAACCCGCTGTTCCGGCAATTCTTTTCGTCTGAGGCAGAACGGGCACCTCCTTATTCAAGCGATCAGCGAGTGAAGAAGTGCCATTTGGCTGCCGTTCTAAGGGCTAGCTGAACGTCAGGCACGACTTGGAGACCTTCTGGATGCGGTTACTTGTGGACAAAAGCCAACCGGAATCGCGAATCTACCTTTCATGTCAGCACGTTCCGCGGCGCCTCGAAATGCCATCGCCTGTGTTCCGTGCCGAACGGCCAAACTGAGATGTTCTCATCATAACCAAGCTCCATGTGATCGTTGCCGATCCGCTGGACGGGCGGCTTCCTGCTATTTTCCTCAAAAATGGACATCCGCTTTACATCGGCAGCCGAAGAAGCCGCGCCGTGCTGTCCCTGTTCAGCAGCCCCGAAAGGACAGTGGACTGGGCGCTTCTGAAAGCTTCATTCCCGCTGATGAACAACCGGGACGACTGGATCCAACCGAAGAGCTGGACACTCTTCCTGCGGAGAAACTCCCAACAGACGGTCCTCTGAGGTGGTTCACAAAAGATGTGCAGCAATGCTATCTGCGGTGTACTTACAAGTGGAGTTTCCACCACAAGCCAAGGCTGTTACAGCAGATCAGGCACGGAACTCTTGATACGGCTTTGGCGTGGGCCATGCTCACACTTGCTTCCAGGTGCCGTCCTTCCTGTATTGCATGTAGTAACTCTTTGTTAATCCCTCTTAGGTATTCACCAACGCCAGCGTGCTTTAGCTCTCCCCTTGAAGCCAGCGATTTCTTTGCGCAGCGAGCGTCACGTGCCGTGCAGCTCCGTATCACTTCCCCAAGTCTGCCCCAAGTACAGGCGCTTTTGCTACTTACGGGACACAAGTGGGGTGCTGGCGACGGACAGAGCGCATGGATCTATCTCGGGATCGCAGTGCGCATGGTGCAGATGATGGGGCTCTGTTCAGAATCCCTGAACACCTCCGACGATGTATCGGCGTCAGAAGCATTCATTCTCGCCGAAGAACGTCGCCGCACTGCTTGGACGTGCTTCCTCATGGAGAGCCTCCTCAGTGGCGGCGGCAGCCGCGCACGTATCCTCACCTCCGAAGATATGAGGATTCAGCTTCCGTGTGAAGACGAGGCATTCATATTTGGGATACCCGTGCAATGTGAACTATTGAACGACGCATTCTCGCAACAGAAGCGCCCTGACACTATGCCAAGTCTGTCTATCCTTGCTTATACGGTAAGAGTGGCAGATATATGGGGTCATGTGGCGAAGTGGGCCTCATGCGACGAGTCCGTCACTGAAAGTCTCGATCATCAGGGATCGAGGGTGCACAGCCTTATCTCGTCTCTGGAGCATTGGAAATTGACATTGCCAGACCGGCTGCGGTACAGCCTGTTCTCGCTGCAAGCCCACAGCGTGCTTGAACAGGGCCAGGGCTTCTGCTACATGCACTGCATATATTTCATGGCCGTGATATTCCTCCACCGCCACGATCTGCCGCACCTGGGTCTCTCGAAAAGCCCGCGGTCTCTGGACGGTCTAGACCAGGAAGCGTTCGGGGACTGGGCGGGCCGGTCGTCGTACACCCTCTACGACACCGCGTCCACGGTGTGCGACATGTGCGAGGAGATCAACCGGCTCGGCGCAGACTTCCGGAGAGGGTTGGTTCCATGGATTGGCTTCACCGTGTACACCACGATCGGCGTCATGCTCTACTTCCAGTCCTTCCCGCTCGAGCCCCGTGCGGAGTTTCTCACCAAGACCAGACACAGACTCCACAGTGCCTACTTGCTCCTCAAGGAGATGAAAAACGAATGGCCCATGGCCAGCCGATGGGTAAGCTGTTGTACCTTCGCATCTCGGTCCCGCTTCAAGAGACGAAACGCTGACTGGATTGATTTCACTTTAGCTCGAAAACATATATTCACTGCAAAAATACCACGCCTCCCGGGTGCAACAAGCCAACCTGTCCGTGGAGGAGCTCCAGAGTTTCCGCAATCTGATGGTCGACTATGGCGCCCTGCACGACACGCCGGTCTCTGATCCCGCCACGGTTTCCGTTCGGTCCACAGGGAATACATTGGACCTGGCTTCAGAATCAAACACTCACTCGGGTCTAGAGGCTAGACAACGGAGCTACGCACAGCTAGGGGATACGCCTCAATCCGCGAGGACTGGGTCAGCGAGCGATGCGTCATTGGTAGACGTCTTGCATGTGCCAAATGATTTCGATGGTGCCGACTATCTCGTCTCAGAGGAGGAGATGGCGGGGATCTTCCAAGAGTTCTGGACCATGTTCCCTGGGGAGGTTGGCGCGGGTAACATGGCTTTATAATGACCGCGCGTGGAATCCAAACAGTTCGAACACAAAGATTGATCACGTTGATCCGAGACGGAAAGAGACATCTAGCATGCTCTATAAAGGGTGGAACGGTCAATATAAGTTCATTTGTGAAACAACTTCAGCACCCCTCTCAGGACCTGATGGGCCATCAGCTGGCTTGGAGGCACTCTTGGACCAGTGTATCCCTTGATAGGCGGCTCCCACATTGGGTTTGCTCCATTGTTCAAGGCGTGCTCAACCTCAGCAAGCTCAAACCATTTAGCCTCTTCCAGCTCCGTCTCTGGATAGGTAATGTTCTCTCCTCCCTCGACGCATTGGCCGATGACGCCGATCAGCATTGTCGACGGGTACGGCCATGGTTGACTCGAGTGGATCTGTACCCTGTCGATGTGGACACCAGTTTCTTCATAAGCTTCCCGTCTTGATGCCGTCTCGATGCTTTCGCCAGGCTCGATGAAGCCGGAGAGACAGGAGAAATAATTGGCAGGCCAGCGCTTTCCGCGGCCCAGGAGGACGCGCTTCGCGTCGGCCGATATGGGGGCGATGACTGCCGTAGGGTCGGTCCGTGGGAATGCCTGGTTGTGAAGCCCGATCCGGGTTGGACACGCACGCTGGCGGAGGACGCCATTGTCGGCAGGTGGACAGACCACTTTCGCTCCTCCATGGGTGGACAACATGCGGCCACCACAGCTAGAACAGTAGCGATTGCGATTATTCCAATCGATCAAGGACCGTGCATGGCTGTATATAGCTGATTGCGCGTGATCTAGTGTGAGGTCAACCCTGGTGGGCACGTATTTGAGGCCGGTGGCTGTTTGCGACTCCTTGACCAGGGCATAATGCTTCGAGCTCACATCGAGAGCAAAATAGGGCACACCAGCATACTCGCCCAGCTGAGCGCTCCCCCCAGCAGTCGCAGATTTGTCTTCCAGGTCCAGGCCGAGAAAGATGAGGGTTGGGTGATGATGATCCGGATTGAATTCAGCTATCTGGGTCTTCTCATCTTTGGCGTAGGGACGACCAATTGCATTGGCAACGTCCTCATATTTGCTGAAGGCAAGCTTCCCATTTGGTGTCCGCAGAGGGTTTAACTCATTAAAAGTGAGATACTTTGCACTGGCGTGGGTGGAGGCTTTGTCCAAAAGCTGGTTATTTAAGCGTACGAACGAGAGACGGGTGATGGGGCCATTGGAGAAGTAGGCGTTATGGCCCTGGCCAAATATCTCTGACAGACTGGACATGATGGTTAAGGAGGATAAAGCAAGCACCCCCGGAGGACCGACATTGTAAGAGGGCGGCGGAGTGGACGGGGTGGGATTTATTGATCGACGGTGATATATTTAAGCGCTCGGAATCGGTGGAGAATGCTTCTGGCCGTGCATCGCTCGCTTCCTGGATGTACTGGATGTACTGGATGTACGGAGGGATTCCGATGTGTGGGATAAATTGCTAAAGTTATTTGTCACAGTCATACCCGTGTCACCCGCAAGGCTGGCTTAGTACGGAGCATCTTGAAGCACCATCTGTAGTTAGCCTTTTCATCGCCATTTGCCTCAGTTTCGTACATTGTCTCTTGGTGGGTTTGAGGCTCCTACAGGCGGCGCGCCGCCCCATGAAATCTCCGAGAAAGTGCACTGAGATCTTGTTGCCGCCTTCACCGAGTCTGGCCTTGAGACTTGTGATGTTGTAATTCAAATGTTCTTTGGGTAGAGGATATCAGCTGGACGGTAGGACGGTCCCATGCTGGATCATATCATCTCGACGAGGTAGAGAAGAGTCAAGGGCTGCTATGTGAACATAATGGTACGCGTCACGTGGTGTCACGGGACTACGCGTCCAAGTCAAAAGGCTTGGCAGACATTGGCGTCTCTCTTTAACGCACCCCGACGCGTACCATATTGTCCGTTTGGCATATTCCGCATTTGAGAAAGGATTCAATCCCAGCACTCGTAAATCACATCAAGTCCAATCACGCCCGCATTGTGACTGGCTGACGTCCCGAGTTCTCCCCCGCCCGCCTCCCTCACGATCGCCTTTCTGATCGTAAGGAGTAGCCTCTCGCGCCGCGGGGCGGACGTCGAACACCACAACACTCTTCGTGACAGATACATCCTTTCGCCATTCGGCAGCTCAAGCGTTCAATGCTTCTCCCAGAATGATTCGGTCCGTTACATAACCTGTGACCGCCGCGAAGACTGCCTTGTGGATCAAATCAATGATTTGCTCGTTGACAGGCCAAGTCCTGTTTTGCATGGGCACATGGAGTCAATGTATGATATGAACTGATGCGACGAAATGCAGGCTTCCATGCCTCTTGAAAGAAAGAGGAGCGGAAGCGGAAGAACGGAGGTGCGGAAAAAGGATATACATACCACGGCAAAGCCCCGACACCCGTCCAATTCTCCAATGTCTGGTCAACGAGCAGCCTGACGCCCATGAAAATATAGCTCGCAAAGGGCCCAACGACGCCGTAGTATGCCATGGTGCCGCGAATGCCCGCCGCGAGCATCCCCTGGCCCCAGTGCATCGCATGGTTCACTCGGTCCGGATGGGCGTGGAAATCGAGATCGAAGAGGCGCGAGAGGGTTTTGCCTGGTACGTACGAGTTGGGCCGGTGCGTGAGCGATTGTTCGGCTTTGGCGCTCAAGGTCATCCTGGTATGTCGGTCAGAGTCAACGAGGGACACGATTAGTAAGTGGATTTTGTGAAAAGAAAGCCCCAAAAGAGGGAACAACAACTACATCATTCTTCATCCGTATCTGGGCTTCGCTTTTTCCCAAGAGCTGTTCAATACATACGCTGCAACACCCACTGCCCCTGCCCCGATCCCTATGGCGATACATTCGAGGAGCGAGAAGCGGATCTTCGGTCTTGCCGAGTTAGTATAATGCTCTGGCATGGCGGATAGGTGGCGTATTTGTCTCCCTTTTCTCTCAAAGGAACGGTGGTGAAGTTCACCTGAAGACAAGTTCCGACGGAGAAAATAGAACAATAGCAAAGCAAAGAAAGAAGAGAGTATAGGCTCTCCAGCGAGGGTCTTGGAGCTGGCAATTCAACCGCGGTCTGTTCATGACGTCTCATGGCGTCGGACACAGATTCCGGGCGTAGGGACTTGACCTCTGGGCTCAATTCCCCCTTTCCACGGTGAGAGTGGTGCTCATTGCTACACTATCAATTGATATACAACCCTTTTCCGTTCCTTGGAACTACTCCTGTGGCGACTCCTGATTGTCACGGACTAAACCACACTGGCTAAAGGTACTTGCTCATGGTGACAACTTAGAACCTGTGCGCCGTACGCGAGTTAGAATAACCCATACCCACCCGTTCGATTGATACGCCGGGTATGAACGCGATACATTCCATTTTTTGCTCCATGTTCCTGACTGCGACATTTCTCAAGATTCGGCAGCAATCTTCTGTCTCGCCTTTGCACTGTCGTCAAAGGGCTGCAAGCCTCCTTTGGCCGGGCCGATGAGTTGGAGTCCTTCGGGACTGAAGCGGCTGCCGTGGACCGGACAGTCCCAGCTCTTCTCGTCGTTGTTCCAGCACACGATCCCCTTCAAATGAGGGCAAACCGCACTCATGCGGTGGACCTTGCCGTCCTTGTCTTTGTAGACGGCCTGAGGGCGCGAGGTCTTTGGGTTCAACACGCCGCCTTGATCTTTCCCGAGGTCTTCGACGTCTTGGATATCCGAATGCAACAGGCGCTTGTATTGCGTGTTGATCTGGACGTCGTGCTCGATCATGCTCGGCAGCTTGGACGCCACGGACGCCATGCGTTGAGGGTTGTACACCTTCGCCCAGGGGTTGTCGACGCCCTGGATCTCATCCGCCAGCAGTCTTCCGGCCAGCACCCCGTGAGTGAGCCCGTTGCCGGAGTCGCCGGTAATCACATAGACACGGTCGCTGCCCTCGTTCCTGCCGATGAACGCCATATGGTCGACCGGCTCGAAGATCTGGCCGGACCATGTGTAATCCACGCTCCCTGCGTTGGGGAAGCGTTCTCGCGCCCAGGTTTCCAGTTCCTTGTACCGCTCGTCCCACTCGTCTTCCTGGCCCACTTTGTGATCACAGCCGCCGACCACCATGTAATCGTCCTTCTCGTCGCAGGCAGTCATGCGAGTATACTTGTAAGGATCGGCGGTGTCATAGATCAAACAGTCCTCGACGGTTCCCTTGGGGATGCGGATGGCGATGCAGTAGGTGCGGTTGTACTCCATTTCGGCCACGACGCTCAGCTTCTGCAGAGGTACGCAGGTGGCCTGTATCGCGTGGTTGCATCTCACTGTATGCCCATTCAGAGTCGAGACTGTCACAGTCTTCGGGCCCAAGTGGACATCCACCAGTGGTACGTGGATACCGCTTTCGGCACAGTCGGTCACACGTGCATGAGTGTAACATTGGAAGTTGGGCTGCTCCTTGAGCCACTTCAGCACGCCTACCAGGTATTTGGTAGGATGGAACGTAGCTTGACGGCCAACAATGACTCCTCCTCTTTGATCAGGTTTTCCTCTCCAACCTTTGACGGTGAGGCTCTCGTCATATCTCGAATCCAGGCCGAGTTCCCTTTGCAGTGCAGACTCTTCCTCAAGTTCCGACATGTCATTGTCGTATTCCTTGGTGCCGATGGGATATTGGGAGAGGTCATAGGCGGGGAGCATACGGTACTCGCAGTCGATTCCCAGCTCGTTTGAAACCTCACCGACATGCTTGAGCGCCCAGTCGTGTGACTCGGCTGCATGTTTTGCCCCGTCGGAACCGAACAGCTTCTTGATCGCCCCATAGCCGTCGTCGAGGTCTGACGACAGGTGACCGGATGTTCGACCACTTTCTCCTGCCACAGGGGTCAATATTATTATATGTCACTTCCCTAAGCTCCAGTGAAGCATACCTGAGAGTATGTCTCTTGCTTCGAGCATCACAACATTGACGCCCCTTCGCACGAGCTGTTCCGCGGTCGAGATGCCTGCAATGCCAGATCCGATGACGCAGACATCGGTCTCCAGGTCTCTTTCCAATTTTGGGAACTGAGGGCGATTGGAATACGGGTCAAGATGGACCCAGACAGAATCATGGTGGCCAGAAGTCCTCATGAACTGGTTGGGATCTGGAGACATGCTGATGGAACGACAGGGAACCGCGAGAGGGTGGTATTTGGGTGTCGAGGACCAGGTAACGGGTTTCCGAGAGAAGAGCAGCGTTCGTGAGAGGTTCGGCACACGAAGTCGCGTCGAGACCGCACGTGAAGCTAGACGTAGAAACAAGAGTCCTGCAGCAAAGCCCATTGCTAGACCCCCGCCAACACAGCTACGAGGAGATGGTCTTGGTTATGTAGAGACTCACCGGCATATTATGAGGCTCGCTAAGAGGTCACTTTGCATTACGGGATTGGCCTCGACTGCAGTTTGTTGTTGACGATAATGACTTTGATTTGAATTGCTCGAGAAGGTCAAAGGTCCGCATGTTGCTTCCGGTTCCTTTCATTGCAGGCAGTTCAACGTCAATGACTCTGGCCACTCAGATGAGTGCTCAATCGTGATCCCACCAAGCCCAGAGCTTCTTGAGTGGCCTTGTCGTAGACCCTCACAAGCAAATCAGCTGCCCCATGCTGAGATAGAACATCACCACGTGGCCCCCTGGTGGCCCGGGGGATGATGCTCGTGAAGCGACTCGCCTGACCTCAGACCGACGTAATCTTCACTTTGTGCGACACAGTCTGCCTGGGGCCTCATCTCCAGCCAGTGACCGGTGCCACCCCTTCTAAGGCTGTGTTTCTGCACCCAACATGGATGCGATTGGATTGGACGTTGGGCGCTGCTCGTTGTCGGTCAGAACCAACACATTCATCGATTGAGGCTTGACCCGTTTGGTCGCTGCCTTCACATATCGATATTAAGGCTACCAGCTGCCATCGGTAAAAGGTCGGGAAATGTTCAATTGATAAACAGCCATCTACCTGGATGTTGTACAGATGCATGAAGACGTCCTTCTCCAGGCGACACTCTTGGCTGCCTACCTGTTTCCTCCTTGTTTGTGCTCCTCCTTTCCCCCTCCCATTTCCGGGCGAAGATGGTTTCAGCGAGGATGAGCAGCCTGGATATGTCAGTATACAGGGTCAGGGACTGAGTGGCAGGGCTGACACTGTGACACAGGCGGGCGCCACCATCCAGACTCCAACCTTGGGACACCCAATCCTTTCTAACTGCCCGCAGATCTCCCGCGCAACATATTTCCGAGGCCACGATGATTGACTGGTAGGGTAGACAGCCTCGGAAGCAATATCCCGGAGGATCTTTGGTGAACTGGGATTGGACTTGTTGGATGGCGGTTTCGTCATAACATCGGAGATCTGGATGCTGTGTGCCAAACCTGAGGTCATCCATGCCACCTGCGAAAAAGAGACTGCGATGCCTGCGATTGCCAGCACTGCGACCACTCCGAAACTCCCATTCTGATTGCCCCCCCCCGAACCAAGATCCATTGCATAACATGAACTCCGTTGTTCCCTTTTGCCCAAAACAAAACCTAACCCTGTCCTTCACTTGTCGGTCGGTTTGAATGGTCGCAATCATGTCCCGAGAACTCGCACCGCCCCCAGACACCGACCTTGAAAATGCGCTCCGGCCCTCCACATCGCGCAAGAAAGTGAGTCTCGCGTGCCTCGCCTGCAGACGGCGTCGGACCAAGGTACGTCACGCTTGATTTCCCGCGCAATGTTGGGTGGTGCCTTGGGGAGTGGGCTGACTGTTCCAGTGTGACGGGGGCGTGCCCTGCGCTTCCTGCCTTTCACGAAATACCGAGTGTGTCAAAGACGAATATGATGATGGACGGCGGAAGCTCGCCGTCAAACGACGGTTGGAGTCGCTGGAGAAGGACCGCCACCTGCTAGACGCCCTACTCAATGCCCTGGGCACCGGAGGGCCGAACCAGCTGCATGCTCTTATCAGTCTAATACGAAGCAGCGCCGGACGGCAGGAGCTCGCCAGCTTTCTAGAAAACGGGTTCGGCGGCATCGGAGAAGTCGGAGTCCAGAACCATCGCCACGAGACGTCGTCGCCGACGTACAGGAGACATCGCGCTCGCCTGGGTCGGATTCAAGACATTGTGAATCCCCCAATATCCGTCCCCGCCAACCCGTGGACGACGGTGACCGACGACGACGACTTTGTCTCGCATCTCATGTCCCTGTGGTTTACCTGGGCTCATCCGTGGTGGCACTGGGTGGACGAGGCTCTCTTTCTGGAAGCAATGAGATCGGGCGACACCTCCAGCCTGATATGCACCCCCTACTTGGTCAACATGATCCTCGCCGACGCCTGTGTCAGTCCCATATCCCCCCCGCGCCAGCAGTAAGCATAAGTATCTTGACAAGAGGCGAACTGACATCCGGCAATTCTAGCTACTCGACACCCTCGAAGAAGATGGCACGGATCCCAACATGGTGATTCGGGAGCATTTCTACAACGAAGCCAGAAGGGGGCTGGATGCCCAAGAAGGCGAAGTGTCGCTGGCCATGGTGGCGACTTTGGGGGTGCAATGGACATAGTACGTCGTTGGTGTTACCCGGTTTTCCCCCTTTCCAGTCTCTTTGTCTTTGCGCTCACAAAGAGGTTCTCTTTCGTCCCTCCAGCCTGAACATAAACGGTCAAGACAAACTAGGGAACGGCGTCCTGTACCAGCAAATCTTCCTCTCCAAGAGCCTGAACAAGTGGCGGCAAAGGATCGCCCAAAGGTCCTCCATGACCCCCGAGTTCCTGGCCAAAATCGACTTCTGCCTGTGTCAACTCGAGTGGACCCTGTACGCGCTCAATCCCCTCATCGGCCTCGCGTTGAAGCAGGTCCGGGTCTTTGACCGGCCGTCGCGACCGAAACCCACCTCCCACTCCGTCGGCTGTGCACAACACCAGCCCGTGTGCTGGACCCCGTACCCGATCCCCTACACGAGCGTCGAGTGGCACCCCACCTGCCACTACCTCGCCTTCATCTCACTCGCGGAGAAGGCCACCTTGGACGAGACGCTGTTCGAAGAGAAACAGCAAAGCGACAGCGAAGTTGCCAAGGACAAGTTTGCAAAGGTCTACCACGAGGTGGAAGACTGGCCGGCGCATCTCCCCGGGTGCATGAAACTGCATGACAGGGCCATGCCCCATGTCATTGCCTTACAGTAAGTTGGGAATCTTTTGCTTCGCTCGCGTAATGACACGCAGCCACTGCCCTAATCTTGGTCAAAACAAGGGTTGATCCTTTCTGCCCCCTTTCAGACCGTACATCAAGAAGCCAAGGTTGCCTCAGTGCTAACCTTCTCTGCCTATTTTTTCGGTTGTTGGTAGCGCACTTCACAGTTGGGTCAACGTGACAATTTCTAAGCAAACAGCTGCCCTCGACGCCGGACACTCGAGCCGGCCGTCACTGGCAGAGACGCCACAATCTAGCGCGCAGAGCCACTGGATGGAAGTGTGCATAGCAGCGTCCAAAAATATCAGCAACCTCCTCGAACAGATCCGGCTGAATTGGGGCGCAGACCACTTCCCCGTCATTATCATGCAGCCTGCGACCATCGCGGCGTTCACCTTGCTCGAACAGCTGAACGACCGACCCGAGTCTCAGGAGGCCTTCTTCAAACTGTGCGTCATCCTTCGCGCGGCGAGCCGGAGGTTCCGCGTGAGTCGGGGAGTCCTGCGTTTGTTGCGACACAAGGTCAAGGAGAACGGCGTCGTCCTGTCCGACGAGTGCTACCGCTTGCTGGCCGACTATGACACCAGGATGGACGTGGATCAGAAGGTGAGGGCAACCATGGATAACATCGGGCTGGAATATCTGCTGGAGAAGTGGGATGATTTGGATCTCGATGAAGTATGATTTGTTATGTTGGCGGTCAATTCACATCAAGGAGTAAGTGCTTCGCGCCCGGGTGATTTTTCGTAGTAGATTTGTTCGCCGGAACAGCGAACAGGGTTTTTCTCGGGTCCCCAATTAAAAGAAGGCGGATGATCTCCGGTCAACTTCAGATACCTCTTGTGTTGTGTTTCAGAAATAGTGATTTGCTTGGGTTCTTCTTGCCGCTCATGGATGCTTCAGTGTTCAGAAAGGGTATGCGTTCCCCCACCAGGCTGCTGGGAGAAATACTCTTCACAACATGCCCACGATTCTGCCCATTAACGTCGTGACCTGCGGCGTGTCCGTCGCGCAAATGAAGGAGTCCGCATGTCTCGGCTGGCCTGGCGACCTGAATCTGTCCGAGATGTACTGGCAAGCAGCCGCGTAGTCGGAGCCGCCTGATACCATGAATCGCCGACGTCAAGTCAGCAACACCGACTCTTGCAAGACCGGGGGGGGGGGGTTCCGTTGGCACATGGTAACAAGAGGAGAAGGGGGGGCAGAGGGGTTGAGTCTGGGAGCGACATATATGCGGGAATCTCACCTTGATAGCCCGGGAAGTGGGCCTCGAGGGGCGAGCGAAGCAGCTTCTCCTGGAAGAGATCGGTCTTGTTGAAAACCAGTTGGACCGCGGTGTTCGTGAACCAGCGCGAATCGCACACGTTGCGGAACAGGTCGATGGCCTCCTGCAGCCGGTTGACGGAGCCGTCCTCGTAGAGGGCCTGGTCGTACTCAGACAGGGCCACCAGGAAGAGGACCAGGTCTACCTCCTCGAAGTAGTGCATCCACTTCTTCCTTTCGGACCGCTGCCCTCCGACGTCGATGACACGGTAGATGGTGTCCTTGTTGGCTGCAAAGGCGAACTCGGCGACGCCCGTGGTCTTGTGCCGGGACCGGAGGATATCTTGGTCATTGGGCACGAAGTCTGAAGCGGCAATTCGATCGATCGAGTCAAAGTAGCTGCGCTTTGGTTTTCAGTAGAGGACTTCCAAAGGGCCATTGAAGGTGAACTGTGTGTCTACTCAGCCCAACAGTGTAAGCCCACGTACTACTGTGCAGAATCGCAGACTTGGAACTCGCTGCAGCGAGAAAAGCACGTCTTCACGCCCGGGTCGGCCCAAAGCACACTGACCGCGAGGTATATCTCAGGAGATAGCGCTGTGGCCGTGATTTTTTGTCCTTGTGACAAGATTGCTGACGCGTGCCGGTCTACCGTGAGGTTTGTGAACGGGATGCCAAAGACGTCCATCGCTTCCAAGATGGCTTGCATCGCCTGAACGATATTGGTGAAGATGATGGCCTTGAAACACCAGCGTTCGTCAACGGAATAACCACCTCCGTTGATGAGTTTTAGTTGCTTCAGCACAGTGGATTTTCCCGAGTCACCAGCCCCTGTTCAAAGTCAGAATCGGAGCAAACCTGAAGGTCCGTGGACATGGACGCACCCACCTAGCATGAGGATTTTGACTTCTTTCCTCCGGGCCCTTGAGCCGTATTTGAGCAGCCTATCGACCTGAATGTGCCCTGTTCTCCTCTCTCGATCCTCCTTTCCCAGAGCAGAACCCATCCCATAAGCAGTACCGGCTCGGTTAGAAGCAGTCTGCGTAAGAAGCCGTGAATGACGGAGGGATTCAGAAGGTGGAGCAGAGGCCTGAGGATGGCGAGGGAGCTTGATGTTGGGGAACTCTTGGGAATCCCTAATTCTTAACGGCATGTTGAAGCTGGGTGAGGCGTCCAGGCCACCTCCCATATTCCCTGCACGACTGCCACCCTTCCAGGCAAATTCGAAGAAAGTCCTCCTGGTAAGTGGAGATCCTCAAGATGGAGCTACGCCTCTGCGCTGTGCCGCAAAACAGTGCCCGAGCAATCAGCGTATGCCACCATCGTCCGCGTCGCGGAGAAATCCAATGGGCCGTGGTCGAATACGACAGCCATGAATCATGATCCTTCTTTTTTAGATCTTCCGGCCCACAGCAACCCCTGGTACTTTCGATCTGGACTCTCCGCAGAAGGGTGATTGAGCTTGGCCCGCGCTCGAGTTCATTGGCCGACTGATAGAGGCTAACGTGGGAAGGGGCGGGCTGTGTCGAATCTTGGTTCCTCGTGGACAGGGGCCACTCGCCAAACTGCGTTGTGGTAACATCTGGTGCCAAGGGCCTAGTCCGTAAGAGGCAAGCATTGGCGAGAAACAGTTCGGAGGGCTCCGAACTGGCTGTCCATGTCCAGAAGGGAATCTCACCCGAGGCGGGGAAGGGAAACAGGCCCGGGGATCGAGCCCAGATCGGGCTCTCAGCAGGTGTGTGGAGCAAGTACGGCGATATTACAGGCATAGATATAGCCCCGATAGGTACTCCGCATGAAGTCCAGGTTCAGGACATACAAATCATGCGTCTGAAAACAGGTTACATTAAGCGCAGGGCTGCGACGGAGGGTGTCAGGAGCTGCTGTGACTCGAATTCAAAAAGAAAGATGTTGGATGTAGTCTCCAGCAATGAAGGAATATCCACGGATCATAGCTAAGACCACAGCTAAAACACGTCCCCGTCCCTGAGTCGAGGAGGAGTGCGCATCATGGGGGAGCACCCGTGGTTCCAGTGAGATCAGACCAGTCCGCGCTGATGCCGCCTCTGTCTGATTTTGGATGTAATGGGGAGATTACCTTGCACGGAATTTTTATGGCAGGCAGAGACCGCCGTATCGCATCTAAACCAGGCAGACCAAAAGTCCGCCGGCTTGGGGACGACTCGATTTCATGCGAAATTGGATTCCCCTCTCTTTACAGAAATGCAAGCGCCCTTTGGGGATTCGATGTCCTGTGACATGTAGCCTTCTCTTGCGGAAAGCATGCCCTCGTCCCGGACTGTTCTTATTCTCTCTGTAGAGCTTGAAGAGCCGCCCCGGAAATGAGAGGCCATAGCAGCGGTGCTCGCAAAGGATGAGTGCGAGCGCGTCTTAGGGCGGGGCACCTTTGTCCCTTGTCATCGGAGCAGTTTGCAGAATAGATTCAGAGGGGTCATTGTTGTCCGCCGCTGAGGGGTGGGTGGTTGTCGTGTCAGAGGGTGCACCGGCAGAAGTGTTAAGCAAAAGTGAAGAAAACGCAAAGGCTGAAAATGTCTTGGTGAAATGGCATGATGAATGTTGGAGTCGCGACGGGAAAGGACACAAGGGCTGTACTAAAGCGGCAGGTCGAGATACATGACGTTGATTGGACCATCTAGTCCTGCTTAAGGCTCAATGGTCGATATACCATTGATCAAATCAACTGTCCATAAATGGTCCAGTCTGAATTCTGGTATCTGACTGGGCGTCTCCTCCAGCCCATCGCCCTCTTCCCTGGGCAGTTGACGTGGTCTTCCAATGGAGCATTTAAGCCACGTCTCTCCTAGACGTTCTCGATCAATATCAGCTGATAGGAGCATCTCTTCGAACCGGTCCGTTGTAATTCTTAGCGTGCTGCACCAGGTACGGGTCCTTTCCACTGAGATAGGAGGATTAATGCCTCATTGACTAACGGGGTGAGCTTTGGTGTTGTCTGGGCCGCCAGTGCTTAGCCCGGTCGAAGGTCTTGTTGATCTGGCCGGAGACGGTCAATATTCGTCCAGGTAAGCATAGGCAGGATTGACTGGATGGATAAATCCTCAGATCTAATGGCCTTGCCTCCATCTGAGACCTGGAGATCCGTCGGCTGGTCCAGAATCGGTCGAGCAAAATCTTTTCTTGCTGCCAACGGATTGTCCTCTCGCGAACTCCAGCCATGACTCGAATTGGGCCCGATCTTTGGACAACAGGGCCCTTCGCTCAATCCATATGGTACTATTGACGTGGAAAAACAGGCCGTTTCGTCATTCATGATGTCGCGCAACTTTCAGCATGATGAGTGTGCCAGATTTGTAATGCAGAAGGTAACAGCAGGTTCTGTACGTAAAATCCGTCAGACCAAGATAACCCAAACGAATTTGTTTCAAAACGCGTGCAACTGCGCTTTTCGAGAGCACTTGATCACAGAATAGGACCTCGAAACCAGTCAGATTGGAAGTAGGAAGCATCATCTTGAGAGAAGCAAACTTACCTTGAAATGGCCATCTCCTTCCTTCCTCATGTTGAGCATCACTGACGGCCTGATTTTGCAGGGACATCCCGCCATCATCCAGGACGTGGTGACTGGACTCGGAATCTCCACAGACCTACAGTCGCCGTCTCAAAGACGCTCTCCAGTCCTTTCCGCGATAAATGCGACGCGAGTTCCTCATGCAGCACGAGACCTCCATGACATGTTCCACCAGTCGAGGGCCAGATCCGATGTTGCACCATAGCAAGCAGGAAAGGGATCTTTTTTTTCCATTATTATACATAAAGGGGTAGACAAGAGTTGTACAGTATGGACTTGGACAAGTTCAAGGGAATCGAAAGGGCGACCTGCGCCCGTTTCCAACACGGAATTGAAGGGCGGGCTTGTCCTGGAGAAAGATTGCGAGATGAACTTGCAACTCGAAAAGGACTGGCTTCTGCCCGTCAAGACATCGAACTAACTTGTAGGCGATGAAGTCCCATCAATATATCCCAACATTGAATGTACCGTGTCCCCAATCTGCCGTTGACCTGACCTGCGCCGTGAGATCAAGACAGTTTTTCAAACCTCGGGCCTGTCGAGAACAAGCACCTAAAACCTGCTCGTCAACTCATCAGTCGTAGCCTGGGAGAATCGAGACTCCTCGTTGACGTCGCCAAAAGTTGGCTCTCTGACCCCATTCAGAGGTGAGAAGCCAGCCTCCCCAGCGTTCTAAAACGCTCGCAGAAAATTCCCAAGAAAATTCATTGAGCCAATCTTCCCCCCATACAATCATCTGTCCTGTATCTTCAATGTCGCATGCTATTGTGCAAGCCTCTGTTAAAAATGTATTGGCATTCGCAGGACCAATCGCAATGAGTCGGTCTCTGAGACTGGGAGAAGGGATCATGTCTATATAGGCATGATGTGGCGTAGACAGCTGGAGCGGCGAAGGCTTCAGAGAACTCGGTAGTGATGGTTCCAGGGCTGCCAGAGTGGCCAAATGCGTCTGTGGATTAGAAATGACGGGGATCTCGAGAAGAGGGGAGAACATCTGGTGAAGTGACCGACGAATTTCGCGGATGTTGTTGGGCACCACAACCACGAGGGTGCTGGGGTCGCTGCTGGCACTCGATAAGGGAGTCGTGGCCGGTTGAGGCACCGAGACTGGAACAGGGCCAGGGACGTATGAAGGAGCTCCGGAAACTGGACCCAGGTAGCCACCAGGCGCAGCTCCATATGCCATGTAACCCGAAGGAGATCCTCTGACCTCACCAGGGCTCATTGTCGGGCCCGGTGAGCTGGCTTGCGACCCGTAGGCGGCCTTCAAGGACTCATTCTCTTGAGCGAGTGCCTGGTTCTCGCGGCGAAGTCGCTCGACCTCTTCCACCTGGATACTGTTCAGTTCGCGCTGGGCGGCTTCAAGTTTGCTCAAGTGTTCCTTGCGCCGCTGGCCTGGTGGGAAAAGTTAGTGCCTGGTTCGGAGGCAAATTTTGGGAGGGCCGTTCCGCGGGAGGCGTAGGGCTACCACTTACGGAACACTCGTTGGGCGTTGCGATTGTATTCTCTGATAGTGTATCAGCGAAAGAGCGAGACAAAGGAATGAGATCAAATGCGTATCTACGCACCTCTTCTTTGCTGCCTTGCTTGCTTCACTGCCCGACTCGGACATGGCGACAATTTGGATGATTTCACTGTTGGTCTGATGGATGATCTCTGTGGCGACCGACATCATTCAAGTACCTTTGGGCAGTCCTCGCATTGACGTGGATTTCTTCCAGCCCGACCAGTACGTAAGGCCGGGCGCAAAGGGGAGGGATCCGCAGAAGCAAAGCGTGGTCGCCTGGCAAGAGAGATCCTCCAGTGAGAGATCAAGGACAAAAAGCTGAGATGCGCAGAGCCCTTGGAGATTGTAACGCCAGGTCTGGAGGAAGCGATATGTCGAGAATTAAAAGGAGATGAAATGGTCCGAATCAGACGAGTGTTGCCGGTCTGATTGGGCAGCCGTGGGAATCGGGAGCAGAATAGCGCAACGGCCACCCTGCGAATAGTCAAGTTTAATCGAATACCGCCAAACGGTTATAGACGAGTCGGGACCTGAGGATCTTGTTTGATTCATGAGTCTGGCGGACACTTCCCTATATCTGTGGAGATACACTGCCCTGAAGACCCAGAAGATTGACACAAATAGTCTACCAAACCTTGGGCAAGGTGAGTGTTCGCAACAGAGACCCGCCCTACCCGTCTAGGAAGCCAGTCAGGACCATGTCCCGCGAGCCAAATGGACAGTGTAGTCAGCCACAGCCCTTTTGGTAGGGATTGGTTTGTCTGCCGTTGGCCGAAGTGGATGGGGACCCAAGGCAGCCGACCTTTGCACAAAGAGACAGCAAACAGCGACCAGGGATCCCAGGATGGCAGTTGAATTCTCATTCGAGTCTCGGCAAAACGTACCTGGTCCAGCTTGGGAATGAGGCACGCAGGGGCATGTAGTGAGGCCATTGGAAAGGGAGGGTACAACGAACGAAGGCTATCGGCCAGGTGAGCAAGGGTTTCTCGCCTAGGACCTCATCCTTGGTCCGAAGCCTGTGTAGGCTTCCCATAGGGGGACGTCAGACGCGAGATCGCCGCAGTCCGCAGGCCGGGGCCGCCGTTCGGCAGAGTGCGGGCTGCTACAAGAGGTAAGACCACAAAGGGGTGGATTCGGTACCCAGTCACACCTCAGGTGGTTGTCGAACACGGGCAGCGCAGGCGCCGCGCAAAAGGCAACCCCGGGAAAGAAGGGGATCTCAGATTTTGACGGCAGGGAGGCTGAGATGGGCATAGTCTGAGAGCCTGTTGCAAAGCCGTGTCCCAGACTGAAGGATTTTAAGTGTGAGGATACCTCACTACTAGTCGCCAGTTTAGTCCTGAGATTGGCTCCCAACCAAGCCAATCAAGCCACTGACCCATGACGAGTGGTCGGTGGGCCTTTTGCTGGTTTTCAGCCGCGGGAGGCTCCAAGAACTGCCACTGAAGACACGAGCAGCCAGACGGAAGCCATGCCAGGAGAAGCATATCCGACGAGAGTTTGGGGAGAATTGCCACGCGGTCCAGCTTGCATTGCAGCGCTGGGCACCGTTAGCTAGTTGTACGGAGCATGGGCTGACCATTTCAGCTGTGATGGTTTGAGATCCGTCGATGTACCCCAAGGCCCTAACCACCCACAAGGGCCACTGGTATGACGACAACAAGGGAATCAGCAACAGGGCAGGCCGTTTTTTTTTTCCGCTGCAAATTCCCCTCGCCCTGTCCACTATGGTAGCGCACCACACCCGTCTGAGCATCAAACTCGGTTTGACACAGCATCCCGGGCCCCACCGAGGGCTTTGGGGGACTTGTTCTCCGCATAGTTAAACCCGTAAGCGAACCTCTTTCTCGGCTCGCCAGGCTGCTGGGGGCTGCCACTATGAATTGACCGAGCCCCTAAGTAGAGGAAGGTGGACGAGGGAGGATGAGCCCCTTGCGCAGGACTGTATATGGTCATGTTGCCGACCAAGACTAGGCTCGCTGGGAGCCGCAGGATTTCGCTTACATCAATAGATTGATATCGACAATGGTGGAGTCGGTTGATCGAAATCAGTTGCCTGTGACAAAAAGACTTGGAGCCGGGGCTGATGTTTCCCATTGTTCTTGAGAGTGGGATAAGAGGGTCTAAGCAACGTTGGACCTGTACATCGCAGGTCAGCTACTGCGTACTAGCTGTAACGATTAGAAGTTGGAGACGGGAAGGACATGGTCGAGTGGATGCTATGAGATAGGATGTGCATGTTGCCTGGGTAGCTAGGGCTGCCACAGCCTGCGCGTTCTGCTGCTCATGTGAATTGTCCTTTCAAAATGCGCATGCTTCTATTTGGGGCACCGGCAGCATGATGCAAAGCTGTTGCGCAGCAGACAGGGGGGCGAAGAGAGTTGCGAGGGGACCACTAGGTGACTAGGAACTGGAGGAAAGCACCCAAATGGTCAGTTTGTCAGATGCATCCCATCATGGATGGTGGGAGGTAGCACAAAACCGAAAAATGCAGTAGAGGAGGAGGGAGCGTGGGCCCCATGGGAAAAAACGACGGCCGCCTGTCGTGCCACGGGCCACGGCGGACTGCAGCCCAAGATGGCTGTGGCAGCCGACCTCACATCAAATTTTTTTTTCCCTTTCCTCCTTGGGTGTTCATGATGACCCAGTTGTTCTTACTCAGAAGTCGTAGGTGGTAACCTCCGGCCCACGAAATTGGGCATCTACTGTGAAGATGACAGCGGGGGGATCCAGGGTGCTGCCGAGCTGCCAGCAAGCCCAATCTATCCGGTGGTGGTAGTGGTGGTGGCCCCGACAACAAAGCAGAAGGACAAGTGAATCCCAGCAGACACGCCCTGCAGCAGCCACCCAAGGGCCCCCAGGGCCTCGACCGGGCGAGAAACCCAGTAAGGTCGTGTCATAGAGTTCATCTTCCTGCAAGCCACCTGCAAGCCCCATGCACGTCGACCAACTTGGCGCAGCGCAGTATGAGCTACTGTGCAATTTTTTTCACCTTGCAAACAAAAAAACCCAGACAGACCCATGAGCACATGAGGACACAAGTTGGATTCCTGCTCAGCCGCACTCAAACTGTCATGTGAACTGCTCCTACATACCAGGCAGACAACGAAGGCGCATGATCCACCAACAGGTAAAGTCGGAAGAACGGTGCACCGGACGTTAGAATCCTCAATGCTTCACTTACAAGTGGGTAGCTAGGTGGCTACCTACTCCATACTCATGGCCCTACGAGCCCTGCCCACTACCCATCTCGATTCCCTGAGTTCCGACAAGGTGCCCCCCCGGGCCTTTTCCGCCTACCAAAACCCAGCCTGAACGGAACCCCCATCCAAAGCGTCAATACAACCAACCAGGTTGGTGTCGGGCCTTTGCAGCAGGGGACGAGAGTGTTTTGAAAACAACATCCCGCGCCAACAACTTTTGACGTTCCTGAATTGCAAGCGGATGCAAAAAAAAAATTTCATTTCACCGCCGCTTCTTACTTCCCTCTACTGCCAAAATTACCAGCAATCATGCCTACGCGGCTCTTCGTGCTGGGAAGAACAGTGTCCCACGGGATTTGCCGAGTTCCTGTACATCGGAGATCGGGATGCAGAATTGGAACAGCCCATGACGAGTAGTGATGAATTGGAAGAGGCAGATTGATTAGCGGGCGTCGACCATACCTCTTTGGACCCAGGGTATCCTCAAACCGCCTCGCCTACGCCTCCATTTCCCGTCCTTCAAGCGAGCAGCCTAGTTGGCTGTCGCTCAGCTCAGATGTTCCCTCTTGGTATGAGCGGCTGGGACCCCTCCTGCTTCGTTGCTGGGTCAAGCGTTCAGCCTTTTCGGCCTGTAACAAGATCCAAGAGGAGTGCTTCCACATACTGCAGAGCAAGCCTAGCGAGCCTTATCGTTATAACAAACATATCGACGCCTGCAGGGGACTTCTGCCGAGTCCTACAGGGGCTTTGCGTTCAAGTTTGCCACTTCACTCCTAGTGGGACATCTTGCCAGCTCATGGGCCGGCCATAGCTTCGAGCTTCCAAGTTGACCTGTTTACATGCCGCTTCCTGTATCCGAGTTGCAAAATGTCGGATTTGAGACTGTGCCGGGCTCCGCTGAGCGGCACATCAATCTCTACTGACGTCGTCAAACATTTGCTGATCTGGATCAACCGAGGATGCCCACACCGTCGGTCCCATTGAGATCACAACTAAGGCCGATCTTTCTTCCATGTTAGCGACGAGTGTGTCTCTCCCGGAAAGGGGTGCATCCCTCGATATTGTGCCCGCCGCAAACAAGTTTCAGGTCTAGTTCAGATCTAGCTTGTGACTGTCGATCATTTCCCAGAATTCCCTGGAGCTGAACTTCGCTTAGGCGATCGTCTTCCCTAATTCTGCCATTCCTGCACCTCTAGACGCCCCCAGCGGTGGCCGCAGCAGCAACCTATTCCGTTTACCGGATCTGGAGACAGGAGAGAGAGCAAAGGCCCCTTGGGAAAGACCACGGTGTATCCTTTCTTCACACGACCCCAATTTGAGACTATGTACGTGAGACGTCAGATTCGGTTTAGTGCCAGCCGGGGCCACCACGGTCGTGTCTGCGCCCAGCAGATGTCGATCTTGACACCAACCACCAGCTAAGCGATGCATCATTGACTCCAAAGACTCCTGAACGCACCCCTTTCGAGTCATCGCCCAGGATTGGAGAAAATTCTCCGGTTGTTCCCTCCCCCCCCACCATTTGCTCGTTGTCTCCCTCACCTGAGTTGCGTATTGCGTGCTGTCTCGGCTGATGACCGACATGTTCAAGCCATCAAAGCCACACTAAGCCTCAACTACACGACCAATCAAAGCCGCCAGTCAAAGAGCTTTTCATCAGCCCGTCTTCGGACACTCCGTCATCAATGCTAAACACTCCGCGGATTCGATGTGTGATCTTGGACTTGTTGTATGTAAACCACAGCCTCCCCCAGTTTTCGACAATCTGAGCTGACCATATCTAATCAATCAGGTCCCATCGGTCACGTCCCCGTGACGCAGCCGGCGAGACCGAAGTCCAATCCTCTGGCATTTGACACACTGAAAATATCCCTCTCCTGGACCCGGCAAAGCTGGAGCAAGGTTGGGGTACCCGACTCACTCCAATGCCTTATTATTGCAACAAAGAGACACGCGCTCAAACTTTAATGATGCCCTGCCTGCGAGTAATCCAGGGCGGAGCAGCAAAAAGAAACACGTTTTGCTGTTCCCCTGCGCAAGAATAGGAGAATAAACTTGTACGTAAGGCAGGAGAAACCGAAGCCGCACACTGGGGGACTCGATCGATCATCCATGCGGATGAGGTCTGAAGATAGACTCGGAAGTCTCATCCAGCTGATATCATGCCACGCATTCAAGCACTCGTGTCAACCCAAGGTTCCTTGACGCCGGCCACCCGGCTCTGGCGCCGCGAACTGTGGGCTCCTGGGAGTGAGGGCAGCTGTAGGCGACTCGCAAAAGCCTCGCAAACTTTATCCCCTGAAGCTAAGGATTGGCAGGAATCTGAATCAGTGGCGACAGAGACGACATGTTAGACTCCTGGGACCACGTCCCCAAGAACCCACAAACAGACCCAAGCCGAGGGGCATTGATGTGCCGTGAGGGAAATTTCTCCATCAATCATTCATCTTTTAAAGTGGAAAACACTTAGGTAGGTACACGGGGGCCGTTTCTGTCAACGGTCCAGCAAAGGACATGTTGATCCATCTACGAGTCATCGTCCGCACCGACTGCTCATTGGACTTTGACTGCATGGCAAGCACGTTTTTCCCTTTGACACCAAAGTGAAGAAATTCCCGCACCGCTGTCCCATTCCAACGCCCAATCCCACACGGCGGCCACCCAAACCAACAACTCATAAGACGACTGCGTGGGAAGGCAACCTTCATTTGCTTGACATAAAAAGGACCCGGCACGCCTAACGCATCCCCCCGAGTCTTGATCCCAGTGAACTTGGTAATTTCCAGAAACCATGAGCTTTGCTGCTCATTGCTCGGCCAATGAAAGTCCCTATCACGGGTCCGAAGGTCCTCCGAATCAAGGAATGCTGCATGGCGCTCTCACCCGCTTTGCTGTTCCTCAGACAAAAGCAGACGAGAGGGTACCTTTACCCTACCCAGACCCAGATGATGCCGACGACCACATCCAAGCCCTTGCTATCGGCGCCAGGGTACTTGAAGCTCCACATGCCATCCTTTTCGTTGTTCCAGTAAGCTCCACTTGCCGCGTGCATGCCTCGACGACCACTCGTTTTCTTTGCATCGTCGCCCGCCGAAGCCGGGGAGGAGACCGCGTGCTGGATGATTGTGCTGTTCACCACGTATTTGTACTGTGGTTGGCTGGAGGCCGACGATCCAGGAGTGGCCTTTACCGTGGTCTCTTCCACGAGGGCGCCCAGGATGCTGTTGATTATCATCGTGTTCCATCGTTCAGTGTCCGGGTGGGAGTAAGACGTTACCCCTGAAAGGGCGGCTTCGCATGCCTATCCGGCCGAGAGGCGAGAAGTTAGCGCCCTGCACAGTGCAGCTTTTGGACACCCTCTCGGTGCCTGGCCGCCGTGGTGTACTTACATTTTCTGTGATCTCCTTGAGACGGGTATAGGGCACGGGAGGGGGAGCTTGTTCCGATGCCATTTTCCTGACTGCGATCTTCCCTCCTGCCACGTATTTGGTGATGTATGTATCTTGGGTCTTGCAGATGAGATGCTTCAATGCAACCGAGGGTTTGGGTGGCGAGTCCGCTTTGAAGAGCGACAGCTGTTCGCTGACACAGAGAGTCGTAGCAGGGTCGCACGGAGCAACTGTTGTCACCGAGGACTCTCTTGTGTATGGCTGCTCGTTGGGCTGGTCCCCTGCAGGTCTGCACGCTTGCTCTTCGGCTTCAGGTCTGGTCTCCTGGGCTGTGCTTTCTCGATGTCCCTGCGACTTAGTGTTTCCTTTTTCGCTTCCCACCAGTGCTAGTTCCCTAAGCTTCTCTTCTGCCTTGATCGTTTGGTCCTGTTCACGCTCTCCCTGTCGCCGTCTACTTCTCAAACTGAAGGTCGAGGCCTTTCGCGCAAGTCGGCGTCGAAACTCGGTGAGAGGCCCGCGGTCAGGGTGTTGCTGCTGGGTCTGGCGCAATGTCACAGTGCTCTTATTGAGACTCGCGTCAAGCAGGTTCGGATTGGAGCGGTGGCGCTGAGAAGATTTTCGCAGTCGGTGTCGCTTTGCTGGCTTGCTTGGACGGTCGACCGGATCCAATGCACCTTGAGGTTGATTATTTTGAAGCGGGTCGAAGACAGCAATAGTTGACCTAACCCTCCGCAGTAGGGTCGACATTTTTCCTTCCCAACCCCCCACGGCGAAGCAGATGGCCCCTGGTGCCGCCAATTGCCAGTGGGAAAAGGAAAGCCGAAGAGCACCCCCCAAACAAAGCTTGGGAGGGGCTGCGCGAATGAGAAGCTTGGATGCAAGCAGGTGCCTTACTTCCCCCGCAGAAGATTGTTTTTTGCTGGTGAAGTTGCCCTGCGGTCACAACAGGGAAAGGGAAAGGGAAAGCTTGTCCATCGAACGTATCCCAAGAAACTTGCACCTTTTGGTTTTCCGCAGAGTAACTCGTACCAATTATTCCTGCAAGGAACGACAAGGATACGACATATGTTATTGCTTTCATAGCTTTTTCACCCAGACCCAAGCTCCCATTACCACTACTGTTCCTAGTTATAGCTACCAGCGACAATGTCCGAACAACCACTTCTTCAAAGCGCCCCCGGTAAGCTCCCTCCGTCCCTGCTCCCGTGCTCCCTCCCCGTCTTTGTTCAACCCATCACAGAAATCTTCCCGGACTAACAGTTTCATCTGGGGGCGCCGCGCACGCAGGCAAACGCATCGCCCTCCCGACCCGCGTCGAGCCCAAGGTCTTCTTCGCCAATGAGCGGACCTTCCTCTCATGGCTCAATTTCACCGTCATCCTCGGCGGGCTCGCGGTCGGGCTCCTGAACTTCGGAGACTCGGTCGGCCGCATATCCGCGGGCCTCTTCACCTTGGTCGCCATGGCAGCCATGATATACGCACTCATCACGTTCCACTGGCGAGCGAAGGCCATCCGAGTCAGGGGCCAGGGTGGGTTCGACGACCGGATCGGCCCCACGGTGCTCGCTCTCGCCCTCCTCGCTGCTGTCATTGTCAACTTCGTGCTTAGGGTGGTCGAGTCGTAAGGCATAGCGGCTCGAACTTTGAGGACAGATGGAGGTCCGCGAGAAAGGAGGGATTAAACGGTGTGGTTGCTGGTGTTGAAAGAGATGGAGGGATAGAGGGACGTGTGAGAGAGACTGTGTGTGTGAGCTCCGCGAAGCGAGCACGGTTGAGGGGAGAGATGAGGAAAGGACTGGCGACAGTTTTATGCTGGATACATTGGTGCGTTGGATGTGCCCCGGCTTGAAGCCCTGGACCCCGCGGCTTCTTGTGCCTTTGCATTATACAAGGATCCCTCATTTGCAGGTGTTCTTTTATGGTACTATATGCAGACCCTGAAAAACAAAAACAAAACAAATTAATAGTGCACGATAAGAGCATACTGAAACCAACGGCAATACCTCCGTAGTCAATATTCACTTCAACTCTGGTACAGTGAGCTATTGTATCCTTGGTCGTAGAAGAGATGACTAGCCAACCTCTGCTGGGGTACTACTCCACAGTGATTGATGTTAGGCTCCGTTAACCGTATGGCCCTTTGCCGGTTGTCCTTTGACTACTATTCAAGCAGAAGAGTCTTGTCAAACTCCGAACCCCAGACCCCATATCGCGCCCGTCTCAAGAGAAAAAGCAAAAAGCCACTGAACGACCCGTGGCTGCACGATTAGTGCCTCGAGTCTGTCCCTCGTTTTGGTGGTGAGCGCGTGACAGAGCTTCTCTCCTTCCCATGTACCTTACCGTGACCGGAGCGGGAGAGACTCAACCCTACTCCACCATCCTGGTCGTCCTCAGTGTCGAGCCCACCGCTGCCATATCCATTCTCCTCGCACTCGAACCCATACACGCCGTTCTCCACCTCCCAATCCGTTCCCTAAGGCGGATTGCTGTAATCATTCAACGCAACGCACACTGCCCCCCTGTGGTGGCCGCTATACTGCCTGATGATCTTCCCCGTGAGAATCTCCCACAGGCGAGCGTAATGGTCGGAGCAGACGGTGACGAGGTACGCGGAGTCGGCGCTGAAGGCGCAGTCCCAGACCCAGCGTTGGTGGATGTCCAAGATGGCGTGACAAGGGAGGGGTCGGCGGATGGAGATCAGGTCCGTCATGGGGCGGAATTGTTGGGAGGCAGTCGATGCGAGTGATGGAGTTGAGTGGGACAGTTTAGGGTCAGAGGAGTCGTCGGCGTTTTTATCAATCTCAGCACTAGGGAAAGAGGGCTGGGAATGTGAGAGCACGATCGTGTTGGGGTTGTTTGGGGTCGATTCAGTGTGGTTGGCTGATGGGTCATGCTGCTGTTGTGATATTGGCGGGGTTTGTGGTTCATTGATGTCTTCGAGATGTTCCTCGTTCATATCGATCTTCCAGACGCGCACGGTATGGTCGGAGCTACATGTCGCGAGGTATTTTATATCTGGCGACAAGAGAAGGCGGGTGAGGTAATCCTTGTGGGCTTTGAATGCGCGGCAAGGGAGCAGGGTGGTTGAGTCGTGGTTTTGGTACACGCGCCAGATGTAGACGTCGCCCTGGAGAGATACTGTGAGCTTTGTGTTGTTCTCGATGTTAGACGCCTTTCGACCTACCAGATTGTTTCCAGCAGCCAGTAGAGAGCCATCGCTCGCAACGCTCACGCTGGCCATGGAGATGTCTTCCACAGGCACAAGTTGATGGGTACATCTACTTGCGCCCAAATCCCAAATGCGAATATTCCCTCCTCGGTCGCAACTGACCAGTTCCCCCTGGTTTGGATGAATCACTACGTCGTTTACCGGATGTGAGTGTTGATAGTTTCTCTGGACCATGCCCGACCTGGTATCCCACACTCTTACTGTGCAATCTTCAGAGCTAGTCACCATCCACTTTCCTTCACAGTGAAATGCGACTCCAGTCACATTGTTCGTGTGGCCCTCAAACTGCATGATTGGGTTCGGGTTGCTGGACTTGATGTCGTAAAGTCGCACCATGTGACGGCCTGCGGCGGCCAGGTACTTTTTGTCTGGGGTAATGCATAGTCTGTTCACCTGGGATTCCGGATGCTGAATTGTTCTTGAACATATCCCTGAGAGTGCTTCCCAGAATCTACAATCCACGAGAGAAGGTCAGTTTGGAGGCAGAGGCGGCGAAAGCAGAGAGGGTGCGCACCTAATAGTGTGGTCATAGCCGGCTGAACTGGGAGTTAGCTTTTTGTCCAAGACTTGCAACGGTCAGAAAGACAGTACCTGTACACAATATGACGCTCATTGTGGCGGCTCATACCCCACAAGCACCGCCTACAGTGTCGAGCTTCGGACAGCCTTTGGTTTTGTGAATGCTGGTGTGTTGATGCACAGGCTGCAGATGGAGATGCGGTGCGGGGATGGATCTTTTAGTGACGAGCAGCCTCGCAGCCATTCAGAGAAATCCCGCCGCCTCAAAGGCGGTACGGCTAAGCGAGCCAATTGACGGCACGCATTCGATAAGGCTTCGTTATCGCCTAAGCTTTGGAAAGGAAAAAATGGCACAGTCTGACAGAGAATAGTTACCGCCTCGGAATCTAGCCAGTCACTCAACGGCGACGAGGTGGCCTCCAGATCAAATATAGCGAATATTATTAATAAGGCTGGAGATGTCACGATTCCTCAGGATAGAATAGGCGCCTTTTTTAATGATGGGTATCTTTGAGTCCATAGTGAATCACTTCTCTTTTGCTGCTGCAGGACTATTTCCCGTCAGACTGTGCCACTTATTTTTGACATCGGCTAGCTCCCTTGTCGTCCCAACTTCATCTGTAAACATCCCTCCGTCTGCTTGTACCTATATATCAGAAATATGTCCGTAACTGTTCCTCACATGGCCACCATCGCTCCCAGAGCTATGCACCAAGTCCCCCACTTACCACAGCACTCCAAGAGACCGTCGGCAAAGTTGACCATCATGCTATTACCCCAGACGTGGACAGCCCAAACGAGGGTCCCGCTCTTGGAGGAGCCAGGCGGGTAAACAACGGTTGACATGGAAAAGATCTGGTTCAAGGCGAAAAAGGTTGCATATGCTGGGTCGAAGAGATGAGTCTTGTGGTTTTTGTGACTCGATATGCCGTGGACTGTTTATTGGTTACTGGCTGGTGGTTCCCGTCGCTGCTGTATGGTACAAAAAGGACAGTCCCAGCTGGTGGACTGTTACTTTGCTAAAGTAAGGAACCGTCCAGCTACCTGAGGACAGTCTGGCCGCCGAACCAACGTCTGCACACGGCACCAAACTATGGCAATTACCCGCAGAAGGTTCCGGTCTGGGGCGCAGAGCAGGCCCTCGACGAAGCAGGTGCCCTTTTGTCAAGTCTCCAGACACTTCTTTCCTCGAACTGTTCTTCATCTCTTCTGTCACAAATCTCCCCATACACGATCCTTTCGGTGTTCAGATTCACCTCATCAGACACAATATCTCCAGCCGGAATCTCCAAGACCACCAAACGCATGAAAACAGCGTCCTCCTCAGCGTCGTTTGCTCCTCCGAGAACCCGAGTTTTGTGAATTTTCACAGGTCAGTGAACTCAACAATATGCAGACTGCCTGATGGGGCTCGCAATAACGCCTGGCTCCAAGCAGTGAAGACTCCTTTATTCCCGAGCCTCGTGCACCAACCGAGCCGTCACTCACTTTGAGACCCACTGGTCAAATTTCGGGACACGACAATCACAGATCTCATTCAACCTGTTCACGGACAACCCCGGCTGTTAGCAGCTACATTGAATCTTTAACGAGTCTTGCGTCGACAAATCCACAGGACCCCTCCAAGCTCTGGTAAACAACTTCAACTTGACCTTGCAGCTAGAAGACAAATACAGCCAATACACAGCTCTGAGCCACGATCCTGGGGCACTGGTCTGGAAACGATCTCACTTGAACGATCTTATCAGAAGTGCGGTCGATATCAGCGCCCATCCAGATTCCAACGTAGACGAGCAGATTGTGGTTCGGAACACTTTTTATCACACCACACGAATTTCAGTCAGAACGCCAACATCATGGGGCCCGACAACAACAATCTTTCGGCAAATCTTGGACCCAGAGCACCAATCACTCAGATCCCGAACCCTTTGAGCAACGGAAACCTCGTTCAAAATCATTTCATGGCAATGCCAAACCCTGGACCCCAGAACCATCTTAATATGATAACTTCTTTTCAGCAGCATTCTATGGGAATTCCGGATCCCATGGCTCAGAATTCAACTGGTAATGGAAGCCCAATCCGACATCAACATATGGCATTTTACAACCTCACACTCCAGAACTCCTATGCGAATGGTAATCCTTTTGGAAACGACGATTCTCCAATCCTGAACAATCCGCTTCACTGTCCGGCCGAGGACGCCGTCGGAATTCATGGCAGGCAAATGTCTACCGTCATGGCCTCAGAGCCCTTCAACAATGGATATTTCACCCAGAACGAGGCTGTGGGCATGCAGGGTCTCCTCTCACAGGACGTGATGAACGATAACGGTTTTCCTGACCTCTGTGTCAATTTGTTCCCTCAGAAGCAGGTTCATCTCGACCCTGGGTTTACGGACTTTCAGGGCTTTCCCCAAATTGATGCCCAGGGAGGCTCTCTCCTTCCGCAAGGGCAGTGGAATACCAACAGTGGAGAAGCGCAGGCCCAGAAGGCTGTGAACAAGCTGCGAGCTAAACTGCAGACATACCAGGACAAGGTCTCCTTGCTTGTACAAGAGCATGGCAAGAAAGTCGCGGCGCTACAACAACAGGTCGACACACTCAAAAGAGAAAAAGAGACGCTGACCAGAGAGAATGTCGTAGTCAAAAGCTTCTACAACATGCTTAAAGGGCATTACGACTTCATGATCGGACCAGAAGGCCGACTCTTTCCAATAATCCCCGATACCAAGGAGCGCGCAGTTCTGGGGCTCAACAAACCAAAGTCACCACTCCAACAGGCATACGACAGCAAGATGCAGCAACTCAAGCGGGAATACTCCGAAGCAATCTTCAAAGCAGATATTTGCTACTTGTGTCCGGAGCACCACGGCAAAGAACTCAAGCTACTAGCTCCACAAGTCGAACGTGCCGCCCTCCAGTTCATTGACCTCACCGGCGACGATCAAGAACCTGGACCAACTTTTCTGAAGGATTCGATTCAAAAGTTTCTGTCCCGTGCTGCTCAGGAGGAGGTATTGGGGAGTAGCAGCCGGGATAAACAGACGATAACTCAGGTGGATGCCACAACTCCCGTTCAAGAGACAGCCACATCGGAATCTACAACAATTACTGCAGCACTTCCATCGGCAACCCAAGCTGCAAGTATCAATGGAGGAAGCACTCAATCTCTTGCAACCGGGTCCACGAAGCGTCCAGCGCCACCCGTAACGCCCCCCTCCGAAGTCGAAGACGCCTTTCTCTCGAAGCATCAAAAACGCAAACAGTCCGAATATGGTTGGATGCAACCAAGCCAGAATCTTGCTTTGAGGAAGGCAACCGGTGATCTTCCTCATCCTCTAGAAGAGTGGAGTTTTAAGCAGGCTGCGGGTGCGGCTGCTGGTGTTTCGATCCGCGAAGTCGTTGCCACTTATAACGTCGCAACAACCGTACCAACTGCGAACCATCAGTCATCCATCTCAGCTCCCACACCAGAACCAGCGGCACCGTCTGCATCTGCTGCTCCCAAGCCTTCAAAGGCTTCAAGAGTCACCAAAACCAAACCTGGAACACCAAAGAAGTCGAACACTCGGGGAAGGAGCAGGGCAAAGCCCAAATCATCTGCAGCACTATCAGCGGCTCTCACCAACGCGCTCGCTGGTTTCAACAGTGCCACTTCCACAGCCGCCAAGATTTCTGGAAACAGCAGCTCCTACAATGCGCTCAGTGTTGACATTCTCCCCGAAGAACCCACCCACTTCCCTGCTCGAAGACCAACCCCTCCGATTCCACCTACCGCTTCGCCAGCAGATATAGATCCCGAATATGAAACCGAGGAGGAGAGAGCCGCACGTATGAGAGATTATGACTTGATGGTTATAGACCACAACGATCAATACCCACTGCCTGATGATGGCGACATGCCTCAATCAGCTCCTTTTACGGATGCAGACGACGAAGACGTGGCAGATATTATCGCTCTGCTGGAGGAGCCCGACGAGCACGACAACCAGCAGAACAAGTCTTCGCAAGCCAAGGACATCGAGAGCGATGGCGTTGAGAACGGCCTCGCACAGGACACAGCGAAGGCTACTGGAGACGTCGAAAAGGAAGCTTCGAACGACAAGGCCGGGGGAGGAGACGAGAATTGGGACGTCGACAGCCTCTTCGGCGACACGGAAGAGGACATCCAGGTGCCATGGCATGATGAGGAAAGCGAAGTGAGCGAGGAGGAATAGGTGGAAAAGAAAAAGACGGAAGAGGCTGATTGATGAGTGATGAATGACGAGCGATGAGAGGACCATTGTGAATATCGTGAAGTGTTGCGCGGCCAGTGGCCAGGGAGCTAAAATTTGGCCCATAGGGCAATGTATCTGTGAGAAGTGTGATGATCGTCATTCGGTTACAGCTGGACAGCAGAGACGGGAAATTGAACGCGCCCTGAGCGGGCTCGGTGGACTTGGGTACTGGTGGAAGAGTGGTGTGCTTGTTCAAAGAGTCGGGCGGCTACATAGGCAGCATTCAATCAGGCCATACAATTCTCAATCAGATCGAGTTAGCTACCGAGCATTCACCGTCTCTTCTTCCTCCCAATTCCACTTCGATTGCTTCCCGCGCGACTTGCCGCAGATATGACGCTTGCAGAGCGCTTGTGTGCGCGTGGTGGAGGGCTGGGAGCAGCTGGTTCTTCATCTGGCTCTTCCTCAGCATCCTCCGAGTCATCGGCCTCTGCTGCGGCGGGGACATCGTCCTCATCGTCTTCCTCGTCCTTGTCTTCTTCATCCTGATTGTCAATGTCGGCTTCATCGTCCGAGCCTGCGTCGTCCTCGTTGCCATTTCCTTCCTCGTCAGACTCTGCCTCGACTTCTGCCTCTTCATCCTCATCCTCATCCTCGTCCTCATCGTCATCTTCATCCCCGTTGTCCTCTTCCGCGTCGCTCTCATTCTGCGGTGTTGCCGCAATCTCGGCATCCTCTTCCTCTTCCTCTTCCTCCTCATCAAGGTCAGCTTGAGCTTCGTCCCCGCCTTCGTCAGAGTCGTCATCTTCCTCCTCATCGACGGCTGTGACTCCTTCGTCGTTCTGCTCATCGTCTTCCTCGTCGTTGTCTTCGCCTGTTTTAGTTCCTTCGCTCTCTTCTTCTTGATCCCCCGGTTTCGGAGCGGTCTCTTGGGCTGCATCTTGATCCACATCCGCTTCCGCGTCGGCATCTGCTTCCTCTGCTTGTTGTTTCACTTTCATAGAGCTCTCGTCCCCTCCAGCTTCTGCACCAGGCCTCTTCTCATCGACCTTTTGTTCGGGAACATCATCCTCGGCTTCAGCGTCCTGGTCTTCCTCAGCGACAGCAATCGAGTCATCTTTAGTGTCTTCAATCTTAGAATCGTTTGCCACCTGAGAATCATCGACTTCCATTGCGTCTGTAGTTGTAGGAAAGGAAGGCTGGGCTGGATTATTAGAAGAAGCAGGCTCCTCTCCATCTTTTGGCAATCCCAACCTGATTCGCCTGGCCTCTTCCAAGATCTTGATCTCGGTCGCAATCTTCTCATTAACCTTCCTACAATCAAGCAGCACGTTGATCTCAGTCACCAATCTCTCGAATTCTCGACATACTCGCTCTGTGGGCATAAGCAAACGAGGTGGAATGCCTAACTCGGTCAACGCCGCTTGAATCTTGGTGGTTTGAGTTTGGCTCTTGGCCATGGTGAGGCGATTGATCTTCTCATGGCGGAATTGCACACCACTTGTAATTCTTTCTTGTGGATGCGAAACACCAAACCTTGCCTCCTCCTGAGACGACAAGACTCGAACACTGGGTTGAGACATCGAACCTTTCTTTTGTGCTCCGGATGCTTCTTCAGTCGCCTGGGTGTCGGTAGTATCCCGCCGATTATATTGGGGCGGGTGTCTACCCTTATCGTATCTCTGCGATTCGGTGGGAGTGGAAGCGGTGCCGGTCTCGATGCTGCCGGGTAAAGGAGGTCGCTTGAGCCTCTTCTCTTTGGCGAGAAGGCTCTGCAGTAACATAGAAAGTCCCCCGGAAGTTTGATACATGGCAGTAGACTGTTCTTCCCCCCTTTCAGTTCTTCTGATAGGCGCCACAGGTTCGAGCCTCGAGTACAGATCCCGTCTCATTTTGATGAAGTCGTCCTCGTTCTTGGTGATGCGGTGAAGTTCTTCAAGAAGAATTCGTTCCTCATCGGCTTCGTCTTTCGTGCGCTCGAATAGTTTTTCCGCCATCGCTTTCCTCATTGTCTCAGTCTTGGCATCAAAGTTGCGCATCTTCTCCCAGAGTTGGAATTCAGCCTGGGTCATTGTGCTTGCTGGCGTCTGCGCTTCCATCAGCTTTGCAGCAATGGCGTAGTATCGTTGCTTGAGAGCTTCCATAGAGCGATTGGGGTAATGAGGTTTCACAATAAGCTCACTGCCATTGGCCTCCCCATTTTGAGTGGCCGGCTTGGGAGCTGGAATATCTTCTGGATTGTACCTGTCGGCGATTATGATCCATCTCAAGTCATAGTCACGGCATAGTTCCATGAGATAATCGGTCTCCTGCCGCGTCCAATCCTCCAACTTTAACATATTCTCATACTGTTCATCCGTGTAGGCTGGTACTTGGACCTTTGCATTCCATTTGTGAGATGGGTACTCCTCCTCAAACCATAGTTCTTGCACCGGCGGGGATGCCTTTGATTCATCTGTCATTTCAACATCGGCGGAGCCATGCGCAACAACCGGGGCGCGGGCGTTCGAGCCAGGAATAGATCGTTTCCAGTGTCTCAGCACTAATCCATCAGTTCTTCCCCCATGCACAAATGGTCTCTCCTCCCAATGACGCGGCTTGAACAATTTCTGAGAGATGGACGGTCTTGACTTGTAGGAGCGCTGTTCGACGATAGCAATGGGAGGGACAGAATCGCCCATAAGAGCTTGTACTTCTCGCTTCACACCAGTGACGCGCAGTTGAGGTTCAACGTGTTTTTTCTTCTTGGGCGCAGGCTGGCGAGGCCCTGCCTGGCCCAGGTTCATTATGTCGCGAATGTCGCTCGTAGAAGCCATCTTGACGGGAGGGTCGAGGGTCGGTTAACTGAGAGCGATCTTTCAAATTCCGCCAGGTACTGCTTCACCCATCGACGAACGCTTTATAGAGTGTAACACACCAGTCAAGCGGTAAACAAATGGGAGCGCAGGCAGGAAAAGAACCCAAGCGCGATGAGAGGGAAGGACTGAATGCAGCCAGAAACTCCGAGATATTTGAAATGACATTTCACGTGACTTCTATGTCATTTGAAATAGAGTAGCGAGGCTGAAAAAGGGCTGCAAGGCTGCGAAGCCCTCACACATGCTGATATTTAATTGGTCGACCTGGAGCATAAAGCAGCGCTCACCTGGCCCGCGAGAAAAGGGGCCTGCGCGCCGCATCTAGTGTGCGTCCCTGGCATTGAATTGTGGACATTTTGTTCAATCGACTTTTCTGCGCCCTTGCCATTGTCCTTCAGAGCCAATACTGCGTTCCAATCAATTGTGACAAGGTGGAAGAAGGAGATCGAAATGAAATCCTTACTTGCGACTTTTGTCGCAGTTACATCCGTCCTCATTCCTTCAACCCAAGCCTTATATTTCTATCTCGATGGCACGACGCCCAAGTGCTTCTATGAAGATTTGCCAAAGGGCACGCTGGTCGTTGGTACGTCAAGAGTCGATAGATGCTCTAGTTCGATTACTCTCGGTCTCCCGGGTATCAAAGCATCGCTATTAGGAACAGCGCCAATGCGAGCCCGCTTCCTCCAGCGCAAGCCCTGAAGACGAGGCAGAACATTATGAGCGACCAGACACTAATTTGACGCTGGAATTGCAGGGACATACAAATCCGAAGCCTACTCCCCTCAAACTCAAACTTTCTCAGCCACGCCCGATCTCAACATCCACTTCACCGTCGAAGAGACCTTCGACAACGACCACCGCGTCGTAACCCAGACCACGCAGTCCTCGGACCAATTCTCGAAATTCACCTTCAGTGCCGCGGACGCTGGCCTGCACAGACTCTGCTTTACACCTTCTGGGCCTGCCGCGATCAGCGTGAATGGGTGGTTCGGAAACGGTGGGAATGGGTTAGGAGGGGTGAAATTGACCGTCGACATGGCGATTGGAGAGACAAGTAAGATTGAGAGCGAGGACAAGGGCAAGATCGACACTCTTGTGGGCAAGGTGAGGGAGTTGAACGGAAGACTGCAAGACATCAGGAGGGAGCAGAAGTTTCAAAGAGTAAGTCCAATCTACCACGCCATCATCTCTTCGTGTTTCGCGATGGCGTTTATTTGTCCTGGAGAGTCGCTGATTCAAAGCGCCTGGATAGGAGCGAGAAGCAGAGTTCCGCGACCAAAGCGAAGCGGTTAACGCGAGAATCGTACGGTGGACATTGATCCAGCTGGGCGTGTTGGGCGTCACTTGCGCATGGCAGCTGTCACATCTGAGATCATTCTTCATCAAGCAGAAATTGACATAGGCTCCCAGTACAACAATGAGCATTTCACGGCGTTGAAACGGATACAATGGACTGCATCCAGTGTTTCCAAATTCTGCATGGGGCTTCGAATCTTGATGTACGAAACAAACGAAACGCTTCCAGGGTAGACCGACCTGGCTCTGTTGATCAGCAAGTCGTTGTGGTCTTCCGCTTTCGAAGCTCGACAATCTCACCATGTCACAAAGAATGCCAAATTTATGGGTCTTGAAATGAGAACAAGTTCATAATATGCAACGCTAATGCAATACGAGGCCCTGCCTGCCGCTTTCTGCTTTCCAATCCTTTTATGCTCTAATATACCACACACAATGAGAATGCCTCCAAACATAAACGTGATAACTCCATACACAGTCTCGCTCCGGAACAAAGTAGCCGTCAAAATTTCCGTCTCGCCCTTGGTCCCGCGATGCTTGACCCAGACGAAGACCCAAGACCCATCCGACTCAGCGTAGCCGAGACGCCTGTGCTCTCATCCCGTGAGATCCTGTTGTCCCTATCCAACGATAGACCATCGATGCCCATTAAGTTTTGATCCAGGCTTTGTGGTTGGCGGTTCCGCTTTACTGACGACCTTGTGCTCGCTACCGCTGACGGAGACTTGGATGGATCAAAGTAATCAAATCGATAGTTTTCCGCTCGCGGGGTCTCCCATGGCCCGGCGTCAGTAGTGGTCGGTATCGACAGTTGAGTTTCGATTGATTCGCTCGAATTTGTTCGTGGAAGCTGAGGCATTGGTGGGGCAACAGCACTGGGGGGTGGATTGATGGACTTCTGTGCCTGCGGTTCAGGGAACGACTGTAGTGGGACGTATTGGTGTGAGGCGGTCGAATGGCGACGTTGAGATGTCCAGTTGTAACTAGTCAGTGCCAGAAACTCCTGAGGGAGCAACAGAGCGACGACCGCAATGGCAAGCTTGTCCCAAAGGTTCCGGAAGAGGTCTCCAAATCGGCCCTGGACCATGGCAACCTCCATCAACATGGTTGCTTCGAACAGATACAGACATATCTTGGAGGTTTGGCCTTGGATACCATTCAAACAAAGAATGATTATGATGTGACCAAACGGTATAACCACACTGAGAAGGACGGTGTAGTAGCCTAGTTGGGAAGTCTTGGTCCTGATAGCAGCTTCAAAGATCCACGCGGCCAAGCCTACTACGAGTGAGAGAATCGACAAGCAGCTGAAGAGCCTTAGCGCCGGCAGATATCCACGCTCGTCTGGCTGCTGGCGACCGGCTTCTTTCGTAGGTGCAGCTCTGGAAACCTTCGCATCCGAAGTGGAACCAGACTCAGGTTGATCCAAGGACGAATCCTGAAGAGAGAAGACTGTGTCGAAGATGTTTTCCAGCCCCGTATCAACTTGTCGATCGTGACCGAAGAACTTTGGTTGTGCTATGGCTTCGCTAGCGGTTTCAGTTTGACGAGGAGGAAATAACGACTTCTGCGACTTTTCGAAAAATCCTGGTGGGAGACCTATGGCCTCTCTACCCGTTCGCCCTTGATTTTGGTTTTTGAGAACTCCCTTTGCGTTTAATGCTGGTATTGTTCCGTAGAAGGGCGTGGGGTCGGTTGCCATATACCGAATCTGCTTGAGGTCCGGTTGGAATGTGGGCTGAGAGGGTGTCCAGTCCATTGCTTCCGCATTGTCCGGCGGAGGAGTGGGAGGATTCCATGCCTGGTAAGCTGGTCGTCCAGGTGTTGCCAGATTTTCGATGTTGAACGGCTGATTCGGTGGTCGCTGTGTCTCTGGTTGTTCAGAAGGGGGTGGAGGTACGAATTGGCTGCTCGACAGCAAAGGGGCTGGATCATCGTGCCAGTTGATTTGAGGGCCAGTCCTGACTGTCGTAATCCCCAAAATCGACCATCCTGCAAACACTGTGATGGCAACCGCGAAACAAGCATGCAGAATTGCTTTCATCCGCAATGAGATAGGGACGTGAAACAAGACTATCCAAGCACTGAATCTCAGCCCCAGGAGGAAAAACTGTGCCAGATAATACTCATTCAGGCCTGACAATCGCCACTCATTGTTAGACAACTTGTGCCGCCACTTTGGATTCCACCAGATGCAAAGCAGTCCAAGCACCAAAGAGAGTCCCACGAGGGGCTCCATCATTTCTAAACACTCGGGCAAAGGGCGCCATTGGGAGAAACACTCAGCAGGTCGGAGTTCCAGATTCAACGAAACGCCGACCACTTGAGAGCCATAAAGATGCCAAAGGACTTGCAAAGCCAGACTGACGGTATAGCCCAATCCGGCTGCATTGAGAAGAAGGCTTCTCCACCCCCATCGACTGGCGACTCTTCTTTGTCGTGATCTTTCCAGGACCCGTCGAAGGTGGTCGCTTCTGGCGTTGTAGGTAGCCTTGTGCAACTGCGCTCTGACTTTAGGCTCGCACCTGGCACAACACTGGGGGTAGCGCTGTTCGAGTCCTTTCTTGTACTCTGGAAGTTGGGCCTCGAGTTTCTCGTACTCGGGGTGGTCAGGATCTGGGAGGAACTGGGAAAGGTTGTAGGTGTATAGCTGCTGGTTCTTGAGGCATGTCGAACAGAATACTGAGTTTTGGGGGGCAGAGTCGTCGGGGAGAGGATTTGCGGGGACGGGTTGGGCGAAGCGCTGAGCAGGGGCAGCTTCGTCCAAGGGGACATCTGCTATCTCGCCATTCTAGAGCATGTGTCAGTCGCATGACATCTTCAGAGATCAAGTGTGCGTACCTCGTCGAAGAAATTGACGGCAAGGCAGTGCTCGCATTGAAACTTGCGACCAGGCTTCTTCCCCGCTGGCAGTTTCGATCTGCGTCCGCAGTAGTGACAGTCCAGGCGCCGGCGGAGTGTAACAGGCATGACTGCGTTTGCATGATTGTAAATGCTATTCGTTGGGTGCCCAGATTGCTTTTATATGGACTTGGCTGTCGGATAGCCCGTTGCAGAAGAAGAGGAATCAAGAGAGACAACGCATCAGAATTCGTCCCTGTTCCAAACTTTTGGAGTCAACGTTCTACTACTTTGGGTTTAGCCCAAGACGGGGATAAAGATTCTATCGCCGAACAAATGAAACACTCCGTCCCTTCTCAGCCTCGTCAGCCTTGTTCTCAACGCCAACGACCACGCTGGCATGGCGATGTCTTTGTTGTGCAAATTGCTATATCACGGAGCGGGTTGACTATGTCCCAAACCTCTCGCTTCGGGACTTGCTCAGCTCCTGGTCAGAAACAAATACAGAGACGTTGACTCAATCTCGAATTTCAGAACGTGATCCTGTCTCTTCCATCATGGAGATCCAGCGGACACAGTTCAGACAAACGCGAGGCATTTTCCCAGGCGGCGCAATGATCTGGATGGCCATGTTCACACCGCTAATCACTATTTCTCCAGGCCGCCAACCGCTACTCTTCACTTTTGCTAGCATTCTCATCTTGTCTAGCCTATCGTTCTTTCGCCTTGTCCAGGTGCTCCGCCGGCAACCAATTTCTCGACGACCTCGACCCTCATCGAGAAATCCCACCCATTTGTTAGTTGTGCTCGGCTCAGGAGGACACACCGCAGAGATGCTCATCATTCTGAGCCAATACCACCGGTTACAGCTTAACTTCACCAAGCGGACCTACCTGGTGAGCTCAGGAGACGATTTCTCTGCAGCAAAAGCAAGAGAATTTGAGGCTGAGATGCTGTCGAACCTGAAAGAGTCCTCATCCTTGTACAGCTCTGAAGAGCCTACTTCAAACTACAACGTGGTAACAGTCCACCGGGCACGACGTGTTCATCAGTCCCTGCTTACAGCTCCATTTACGAGCCTTCGATGTCTGTGGGATTGCCTCAACGTGCTTCGCGGCACACATCGAGATTTCCAATCACAACCAGGAGACGAAGATCCGGCATCCTATCCGGATTTGATCCTGACCAATGGACCCGGAACTGGGGTAATCGTCGTCCTTGCATCCATCATCCTCTTATTCTTCGGCTTTTCAGGCCCCTCCGCCATGCTCCCGCGCTCGCAGGACGCTTCGGCGCGCTCGAGGCCTTCTGCAAATGCTCATTCAACACCCGATACCTCCACTACTGGCTCAGGGGAAAGGGTTTCGCAATCTGGGCAGATGCGGACCATCTTCATCGAATCTTGGGCCCGCGTGAAAACGCTCAGTTTAAGCGGGATATTATTGAAACCATTTGTGGACCGGTTCCTTGTGCAGTGGCCTCAGCTCGCCGAGAATCAGGGGAAAGCCAGGAACGTGGAATTTGTTGGGAGTCTAGTTACTTGATCGCAAGACTGGGCGACTGGTCATTGACCGAGAATTTGTTCGTGTGACGGCATTTTGCTCTGTATATCCCGAAGAATGGGAGACAACAGTTCTTGGCACGAGACGTCACTGTGGTCTTCGCAAGAGGGTGGGATGATGAAAGAGCCTAAGGCAGAGAAGAGCCTCAGATGAACAGTCCCAGATGATTACTTCCGACGGCGAAACGATGGAACAGCTGGAGCAGCCTTTTGCCTGCGAGTAATTAACTCTCAACTTGCATGTGCTTTCCTGCAAGGCACCCGAGCCGGGAATGATCGCAATGAAAGTTTACCTGTCCGAGAAGTCTTGATCCTTCTCGTCGTCGTTGCAGATCGAGACCATATTGCAACCTCTGGCAGTGATTTGGGGTGGAACCAGGATCCGAGCTCGTTATGAGACGAGACACGAGGTGCAAAATGCGAGCCAGCAACGTCACTGAAATCATTCTCAGCGTTGTCCACCGATCCTGACGTGACAGACAAAGCATATGAGGGAAACCACGATGAGGCGATGAGACGATGAGACGATGAGACGAGCTAATCCACAAAAGATAGAGACTACCAATACTACGACTAATTGACCGTAAAACTTTCCGATGCTGTCGTCCAGGGGGAGTGTATAATATTCTAGATGTACAACGCTGTCATCTGGAAGTGACAAGTCTTCCCATCCGAGTTGTTTATTTTACATCCAAATACAAGCTTTGGTGCGCACATCAGGCCCATATAGCCATCGCGCAAGAAGTCGGACACAGAGTTTGGCAATGACATGCCACTCAGCAGTCGGATCTCGCACATCACGACGCGCTTTTCTGTCTCCTTCTCCCCCTTGCTGCACTCATCTCCTCCAATAAGACCTTCCTTGTCTCTTCGCTCATTCCGGCTTGCTTAACTGCTTCAGCCCGCTCTGCCACCGTCTTGAGTTTCTCCTCAGCCATCTTCGCCAAGGGGCCTTGAATTTTTCTCTCCTTGAACCACTCTGCACGAGCATCCTCCAATATCTTCATCCTCACATACTCATCTTCGTGCCATGCTCTGTCTCGCCGATACTTGTCATCTTCTGTCAGGTCGTCAAATATCTCCTGAGAGGGAAGAGGGGGTTGGTAGATTGTGGGCGTCCAGGTTTGCGACTCGACATCGTAGCGTGTAGTATCTCCCTCGAAGGCTTGATACGTGGGAGCTTCGACTTCGGGCCAGGGGATCTGAACATCTTCCCCTGCAATGTAACGTGTATGTCGCGGCAGAGGCGAGTTAGGTTCGCGCTGGAAATACGGAGCGCCACCACGGATGTGTTTGACAACGACATCTCTATCGCGGCCAGTAGCAGGGTCGGTTAGGCGGTAAACAAGACGTACATCGGCTATAGGCACAGGTAATTCGAGGGAAGAGTAGTGTACTTTGTCGCGCTGTTCGCCAAAGCTCTCCGGGATCTCGACATCGGCCTAGTTGAAGTCAGATTATCATCGCCAAATTCGGTGCATAGCCCGGGAGAGGATACCCATACCATATTCAGACCTTCGATTCTCAGCTCCTTGGAATCGTTACTGACATCCTTTACTTTGCCAATCTGCCCGATCAAGCCGTCCCTCCCCTTCACAATGCAAACCCGATCTCCTTCCACAATGTTCCCTTCGTTTCCGAATCCCTCCCACTCTTTCTGATCCTCTTCCGATCCTTCACCTCCGACAGGATCCCAGCCATTACTCCTAGGCCCATGCCTGACATTTGGAGGGAACACTGGTCCTTGGTAGAGCAGGTTGCTCACAGTGCCGTAGAAATCTTGCTTTGTGCCGACGTCTCGTTTCGGTGCCAGAGGTCCCATAACCCAATCCTCCCGCCGGGCTCTGCGCTCTGCTTTGATGTGGGCATTTTTCACTTTCTCCGTCTGGATTAGACGGGCCTCGTATTCTTTCCAGTCTTCTCGTAACTTTTCATAATTTTTCCGACGGGAAGCTTTGAGGGCTTGGTTGCGGGCTTGGAGATTTATCCTTAGAATGCGCTGCATTTTGCAGGTTCCGAATGCGGTCGGTGTATCCCCTTACAGTGCCGCCAGTGACTTTAATTCAGTCACAGCGGTGAGTTGGGTGGTGGAACGCGAGAGAGGAAAAGTGCATGTGAGAGGTGGTCATAGCATGACTGGCTCCTGGTTGGCGCTGCGCATGTAAACCACGACGGAAGAGGAGGGGCGCTGGGAACAGCCTGTATCAAAGAAATGTCGAAGAAGGCTCTGCTGAGTTGTAACTACGGCAAGCATGAGCAATTGCATTGAGCAGATCGCAGCAGCTTGGCACCTTTGCATCTTCAGTCAAGGCACGTGAAGCATGCACCGAGCTCACGTGAGACTCAGCCTGACCCTGCCCCTTTCCCATCCATTCCGACACTCGTGCGCACCTCAAGGCTCAACGTGATTTCTGCTAGGAAGATGTCAGTAGTAACGAGCAGAGCCATGTAATCCCGTTCCCCTCGCACTTCCATGGCAAAGGCTAAATAGCTCCGTCGCCTGTTGAGCATACAATATGGATCACACGTTCTTGCAGTCAGGAATACGTGTTTGATGGCTTGGTTTGAACTTCAGCCTTGTCTCCAACAAGGAAGATTAGGGCTTACGATATGTTCTGTCCAGAGCGTTCTTCATTGGGATCGTCATTGTCATTTCACCTTTTGACCCAGGGCGAACCTGGGGAATATCACTAAAGCCCCCTTTGTCGTTGAATCCCTTGTCGCCCGCTCAAGCTACGCAGCTAAATGTACATGGAAACCTCCTGAGTCGAGATGAAAGACAGCATGCACTTTTCCGCATGTTTGATATACATTGCCCATCAGGACTGTCCCATAAACCAAGCACAGACACCCTACCATTTTGGAGGCCTTTCCTGTTTCCAGCCCCCGCTCAATGCCCATGCACAAAAATGCCTTGCGCTTTACGCCATTGCTTTGTCTCTAAAAGCAGGGGTATCTATCGAAAATTCGAGCCATGTTCCTCGTCGATTGCAAAAAGAGTGTGGAAAGTGTCGTCACTGGTGTTCGTGTATTTTTACTGGAGTTCCTTTATTGGAGAGAACATTAAAACTTCTTGTTTGTAGAAGCCGGCATCATCATTCCGTCATCTGAGTCGTCGTCGCCATCGTGATCATCATCGTGCGTTCTATTCTGCCAGTGCTCAAGCGCCGGGGCGGTCGCGATCTGTGCAGGTCGGCCGTGTTTGGTGATTGTGTCCGCAGTGCGCATGAATTCAGGAAGTGGCTCTTTACCGAGGGCAGACACATCTCTGGGCGCTTCCGTGTATGCTGAACCCAGAAAGCCTTCGCCTGGGGGTGAAGAAGCACCAGAGATGACTCCAATACTTGGATTGGACATACTCTGCGACACACTGCTCGCCCCGTAGTCATCTAGAGACGACGCGATAGTGCTTGCGGACGGCCCCCCTTGAATGGCATTAGAGCCAAGTGAGAAGGCCACTGGTTCACCGGAGACTTGTGTACGCTGTTTCTCGAGGAAGGCAATGTCGTCTGGTGAAGGAGGACATTCATCGGTCACGAGGCTCTGCGGTTTCGAAATCGCTTCCATGGCCGCTTCGAATTGATGATGCACTTCTTGTAGATGACGCCGCTGATTGACTTCTTGAGCTTGTTCAAAAGCCTCTTGGCTTGATGTCGGTGCTCGAAATGATGTTCTATGGTCACCGTGGGTCATCACATGTGGGGTCGGCGGAGATACGTTCTGGTCAGCGGTTAGGGCAGGATCACGAAGGACATCAGGTGGTTCAATAGCACCTGCAGCCGAAGCCGTGCTCATAGCGATGCTGGGCTCTGCGCGGGCGTCACTTTCGGATGAATGTCGGCTCGACGCTGGCGACCGCTCATCTCGCGGGGCACGTCGTTCTCGACTCCCAATGCGTGCCAAAGTTTTTGTAGTTCCCTCCCATAGCCCGTCGACTCTGGCTCTGAATCCTCTGTCGAGGGAGACAGGTCGGTCGTCACGCCCTAGGCCCGACGATGGCAAGGGCAATCGCTGCAGTTGCGAGGCTCTGATTGTCTTGACAGAATCGGCAGTGGATACGGTTGATGTTGCTCTATCGGGACCAGGAGGTCGTGCTTCCCGTATGGCTATCGGAGTGCAGGCTGAAGACGCGGCTTTTTGGGTTGAGAGTGGCTCGCTGAAATAATGTTCCTGCCCGGTGGAGACTGGGCTGGCAGTCTGACTTTGTGCCAGTGGATGCTCGGTAGTTTCTCTCGAAGTCTTCAGGGCCGTTAGAAGTTCGTCACCGCGCAGACTAGATCGACGGGTATCACGGATCTTATCTCGCTCGGTCTTCCCAACGGTACTTGCACTGGAGCCTGCAGGCGAGGCAATGGAGTCGCTAGAGTGGCTGGCCGATGTGGCTGCACTAGGAGCACGCTTCCGTGTATTGCTCCTTCCAAGCAAATTGCCTGCGATGCGTCCGGCCGTGCTGAGCGCCCGCTCGATGATATTCCTCCTCACAACTGCGTGTGACATCTCCCTTTCGTCCACATCCAGGATTTTCTTCTTGCTGTCCTTCCCCAAGTCAGCACCTTTGATCCATTGTGACGGATCCTGCAAGCCCTCGACAACCCATTCATGCTTCTTGGCTTGTTCGATTGTCATTCTCTTTGCGGGATCCTTGATCAGGAGTTGACGAATGAGGTCGCGCACTGCATCCGGGACGACCTCAAATTTGAGTTCATAGTCGAGTCTCTTGTTACTATTGATCGAGTTTGGCACCTCGGAGGTTGGTTTGTCTTGAGATGTGTCAACCGGTACAAGTCGAGTCTTTGGGAGAAAGACTTCGGTCCTGCATACTGCCTCATGAAGTCCCATGGTTTCACTTGCGTAGAACGGCAAGCGGGCGTAAACCATACAATAAAGTGTGATCCCCAAAGCCCAAAGGTCTAGTTCGCCAGTGATCTTGGGCCCTTCTTTTTCTTCGAACATGGATGGATCTTCATAGCAAAGTTCAGGAGCCCAGAAAGCAGGCGTCCCGACCGATCTTGCCAATTCCTTTTCGTCGTCTAATGCAGATACATCCTTCTCAGTCAGCTTATAGTCAGGGTCCTCGGGATCCTTGGGATGTCCGAGGTATGACACGCCGAAATCAGATATTTTGACAGTGCCGTTGCTTGCGACCAAGAGATTTGCTGGTTTGATATCACGGTGGATGATGCCAATAAAGTGCAGAAACTGAAGGCCGGAAAGCGTATCTCGAAAGGCTCGGCGGGCTTCCTCCAGCGTCAAAGCTGGAACATAAGCATGTTCGTCGTCGGTCTCATCAAAATTCCATTCCGACGACATGTGCGAGAGCGCGCCAACGCTGGCTGCGATGCTGAAAGTCCGACCGCGGTAGGCATCTGGAGCATAAGCGCCATACATGCTGCCCGCTAGAGCTCCTTCTGCGTACTCATCATGAGAGCTGGTTCTACTGGGATTGTTTGACTCGTAGAAATGCCGTGATGCAGAACGAGAGACCTCGGATAATTCTTCATCCTCTTCGAAATCCTCACCTCCGTGCTCGAGGCTCCAGTTAGGAGTTGGGTTCGTGTTTAGAGCACGGGCTCTGTCTTGCAGCTCATGGCGTCGTTTAGCTTGACTGACACTGAAAAGATCTCTTTCAGTTGGCTCCAAAGGAAGGTCGATTCCCACTCTCTCTTGCTCGAATCTGGTGTTGTTTACTGCTAGGACCTCGCGCACCCCTGGCTTTCTCCACTTGATTTCGCCCTTTTCGACGTATTCGAGAATGAGGTAGACTTTGTTCTTGTTGGGGTCGTCGATGACTTCCAGGAGACTGACGACGTTTGGGTGCCTTGCTTTTTTCAGAATGGCCACCTCGCGCTTTGTCCGATCTTCTGGGGTTCCAAGACGGCCAAGTCGCCTCTTGCCAGAGTACCTAGGGACGATCTTGACCGCGACGATGGTACCCTTCTCGATGTCTCTTCCGAGTTTGACTTTGCCGTGTTCTCCGCGTCCTATTTCCTCGATAATCTCGTAGTTATTGACGAACTTATTACCGGAGAAGTGATCATGATCGATCTCGACGGTGTGAGTTTCTTTGGGAGGTTGGAGATGGTGTGGCTGACGGTCGGCGTCGCTGAGAGAGGAGGTTGAGGGCACCCGGTCGCCCGAGAGGAGACCGGGACTTGACATTGGAGTATTGTCAGCAGTCATTGCGGTTGGTGCGTTAGGCGATTGTCGTTCTCGACCTTGCCTAGTCCACGTGGACATTTCGTTGTAAAGGAGATTTTGGGCTGGATGCGAGCTTCTCGTGCGGAGAGGCCGCGCTGGCCGCGGAGCATGGAACTGAGCTTGCAGTGCTTCAAATGACTGAATAGGATAGGTCGGATGTTCGCTATTGGAGAGACGGTTCGAGTTTTGAAAAGAAGTCGAGAAGGATTTAGAGTGTGATGGACGACGGCCACGAATTTGGCCGTGGGAGGATTTAGTCGAAAGGGCGCGGTTGATTAGTGAAGCTGCTGAACCAGGCGAGCGATCCACGTCGCGCTCACCAAGAGCCTTCAATGAGTTTGAAGAATTTTGGGTCGACGACGGGAGGGATTGCTGGGACTTGAGCGGGGCAAACCCAGGCGATGCAGCGATCCCATACTTTGAGCTCCAAGTTAACTCATGGAACGCATCCTCATCCACTGGTTCAGTCGGGTGCTGAGCAGAAAGAGCGGTAGGAGTATTTCGTTGAGTATCGGACTCTGTACCGAGACTCTGGGATAGGTCTTCCGACAGGACGTCGTCGTTGACGCCGGTCCCACGACCCCCTTCAATGTCACTGATGTGTCCAACAGTGTTTGCAGTGTGAGAGGCTCGCTGCAGATCAGGAGCCCATTTTATGCCGATGTTGTCTGGCATTGCTCCAAGATCAACTGTGAAAACCTTTGTCCCGTCAAGAGGGCGCTGAACATGAAGAGACTGTGCAGAAGACAGTCTCAAACTTCAGCCGTCAACACCTCTACTCAAACACCAGCCCTTTGGCTAAGATTTGTGACTGCCATCTGAACTCTTGTATGTTCCCAGAGAACCAAGATCTCCCCCCAGAGACCTGCCTGAGGCAGACTGGTTGTCTTGAGGGGGGAAGTGTGTGGTTTCGAGGCCGACTGCACTTATGGGCGAATCCAACACACTGGGCGAGATAGTACGTCAATTGGTCTTGCAGGCTCTGGATCCCCAAGGGAAGGAGGATATGCCTCTCAAGTCGTGGGTGCGAAGGCCCCGAGTTAGTGTCGGGGAGGGGTGCGGACGCGGATGGGTGATGCTCTCATTATCGGCAGGCCGCTAATGGCTGGAGAGGGGGTAGACAGTGTTTGGCAAGCCAACAGGTGATCGAACGAGAATCTTCAATGGGATGAAACACAGAGTTGTTCAAGAGATCTGTGCGAGGTACAAAAGAAAAGGATGTGGAAGAACAAGAAGAGAGTGGGCGTTGCGAGTGGCAGTTGATCGTCAGTCCGTCAGGTCAGTCTGTCAATCAGTCTGAGCAGACTGTTGGATTGCGGATGGGGACAAATGCAAGGACCAGCGGCGATAACTAGCGAGCAGCAGCAGCCCAAGAGTGCCTCTGGGCTGCGGTGGTGTGCAGCAAAAAAGATGACGGAGGGGGGTGGGCTACTTTTGGTGGGATCACCAGCGCCCAGTGCACTTTCAACTGGTGCACGGTGGAGGCCGGACTTGATGCCTAGCCGGCATCTCAGTGCCTATTCAGGGCTGGCGGCCGCAGGCCTAGTTACGTCTGGCACTCTGGGCAACAAATGGGCTGGAGCTAGACTTTTGCCGACAGCACCACAGCACGAGGGAAAACCGCCTGCGGGCCGCTCTCTCTTCACAGCTCAGCAGCCCCGACGGAACACCAGCAACAGCCATATCGATGGCGAGCAAGAAAGACGCAAGAGAAGGACAAGGGAGCAGAGGCGAAAACAGAACGGAGAAGACGGGATTGTTTGCTCGCAAAGTGGCATGCCTCAGACAGCCACCATCCCTCCAAGAACAAGCCACTACTTGACGCCTGCATCGCTACGGCCCTTGGTGTCCTCTCAATCCTTACTCCTCTCACCCACTGCGGCAGGCCATCACTCGCATAATCCCAGCTAGCCCCCGTCGCATTCACACTCGATCAGGTTCAAGGGTACTTGTCAGGGATGGCAACTGGAGAAACAGTGCAGAGTATGGCCCCAAGTGCAGGCGAGTAAAGGAATCTATAACACGGGATAAAGGCGTTCATACAATGACGCTGATGAGAAAGGTAAAAATCTCTCACTCCGGCACGTCGGGCCCTTTTTCTGCCCGTGAAAGGGTGACACGTTCTCGATTCTGCAGGTTGACAAGTGAGGCAGCTGTCTCCGTTTTGAACATGCAGACTGCAGCAAGAATCTGCATTGGCTTTGCCGTGCGAACACTGACACAACAAGTTGGGCTCCTTGGGCTTATCATCAGGGCTACGTTTTGGGACACGCACAGTCGCCACAACACTTCCAGACCACCTACGAATACGAGGTGGCAGTCGACCCAGCACGGATTCAGACCATCTCGATCGAGCTCAGATTGTACTTTGCCTCGACCGACACTCAGACGGAGCCAGCTTGTCGACGTCGTGGCCTAAGCCATCCTGAATGGGGGATTCAACATGCATCCGCATCCCCTCACACCATAAGATGATGTCGGAACACCGTACATTTTATTTTAATGACGCTCTTGTGCCTCGCTACTGTACTCCAAGACGGAGATGCAGTAGCTGCATGGATGTCAAGGACTTCCATGTTCTCTCCACAGGCGTCGCAAGCAGAGCGCTTTGCGTCTGCGGCGTGTTGAGCGCGTGCCGTTCCTGGCTGTCAGAGTAATGACGGCCAGCGAAAAGTGTGGAGAAGATGCAGAAAGTCATGCCAGGGCTCAACATACCATTCCTCAAACTGGTTGGGGATCAAGGGCTGAGCAGCGAATGGAACATGCCGCCGAGAGCAAGCACAGAGACTAGGAGAAAGCCACATTGAGCCAACAAATCCTACTGCTGCTGCCCGCTCTGAACTACTCGGGGCCACCCAAACAACAGACTTTGGCCCTGCCGCCCGACGTCACGTCAAATCCCTGAGGAGATTGGTCCTTGTATTGATGGTCGCAGTTCAAGAAAGAGGAGAGCAGTTGAGCCCCATGCCGGTCTGGTTAACTCTGGTGCGAGGAAGAACGACATGACTACCTATGGTTTGACTCTGAACCTTTCACATGCTTCAAGTTCAACCGTGCAAACCTTGAGCATGCGATCGCCGCGATCGTTTGAGATCAGCGGAAGACTACCCATGGTTTAGCGCACACTGCCGCACCTAGCCCCTCTACCTGTTCGCGTCCAGTGCCGACAGGGTTCCTACGAACCGCGCACAAACTAAGTCTCAAGGCTCATTTTACGTCCATGCCCGATACCGACGTTTCTTTGAGGGTTGATAGTGCTCAACGGCACGAAGAGCCTATCACCAACTGCCTCGAATCATAGGCAGTTCAAAACCTTCGCTGCAAACATGTGTTGGGCTCCGACCGTTGCCACCACGCACCACGGTGGGGATTTGCCTCAGAGTTTCGCCTTCCCTTCGCTGAAGGGCTATCCAACGCCTCCACCGATGGTCTACTTTGTATGAACGAGATCCACCTCATGGTGGACCAGCTTGGCCCCATGTTGCTTCACACATGCTGGAACATGCAATCCCAATTAGGGAGACTCCCACTCTCAGGGGGCCGGATTATGCCCTCCCTAAAATAACAATGAGGATTGACATATCCTCGTGTGCCTAATAGCCCGCCCGCTTGTCGCTCCAGGTATTCCAGTGTACGAGGTATCAACACGGAAACTGAACACTTCTACCACGAGTTATTTCTTTGCGTCAGAACAGAGGGGTAACGACCAAAAACAGCGAAAGAGGAGTTCAGTGCCAATAGCGCTCTGCTTCTTCGAATTCCTTGCATGCGACTCTGGTTGTTTAATCCTCCCATTGGCACGTCCCTAACACGACTGGGTATGGTAGCGCCAGCAAGCTGCTGGCAGGTTATGAAGGACTCCCCGCATTTCTGGCGATCTCCCTGCCCTCTGTTCCGCCACCTTTTGTTTGAACCAAACCTCGGACGGACCTTCGGCTCCATCCACTCGCGGCACAGTTCGGCATCTTGTTTCGCGAAGCCGTCTCAAGCCATCCCAAGCCATTCGCCATCTACTATAGACGAGTCATGCCACCTTCGAGAGCCTTGGCAGTGACCTCTTCAGCCAAAGCGGACACGATCAAGAGGGTGGCGAGCGAGAAGAATGCACACACATCCCTCTCTTTTTTGGCTGACCCATGATATGGACGTTGATAGGTCTTTGCACCAACCAGGTCCGGCTTCCGGAATTGCTGCTGGCCATTAGTGTTGTACCCTTCTGACATATGCCTGTTGGTACGACAAAAAGAGGAGATGGACAACATCCTTGGGCTCTTGATCAGCCACATAGATCCCGCCTGGCACGCTCCACAAGCGCCACTGCGGATATGACAGCCGTCTTATGCGCATCATTGTGTTTCCCCTAGCCATCCCGAGCCGCCCTCTCACTAACTTTAGTGGGTTTGTTCTTTGTTTCATGTTGAAAGGGGGTCCATGTGGTTCCAACACGTGTCAGCGTCGCCCATCCCATTTAACGCAATTTTCTCCCCTGCCGGTCTGTTGAAGGATTTGACGGCTGTTTACATTTGGAGGCTGTCGCATTTGCTGTTAAAGTGAATTTCTTCATACCATGACTGGTCAAGGTAGGTGACCATGCTGTTGGCGGATATCAATCGAAGGGAAAGAGTTTGGCTTGAAGAACACAGCTACTTCAATCCGCCATCGATTTTCGCTTGTCTCGCTGAGTCGAAGCAATTTGAAGCCTTTGAATTGTATTCCCGGTCAACATACCGAAGGTCAGCTCTCAACTGGATACTTGCACCCCGTTGTCTACGTGATGGCGCACTTCTCATTTGATATGGTCCGATGTCTGCAAGGTTATCCCTCCGGGGAACAGCGACAGTACGGGGCGTGAGGAGTCTCGATCAAGTTTCGCAGTCTTCCTGTAACAACTGATGGGTGTACAGGCAGCCTAGCCGCCGCTTCACCTAGACCTATCGGCATACGACTCGGTGAAAGAAGGGCCATGAGAATTCACCAACTTGCACGTCGTTCAGCCTCCATCGCAAGTTTTGGCACCCTCCTTCCGTGGGTGTACGTGGCCCTTTGAACCAAGGGCGCGTTCTTTCTATCGCTGCGTCTATTGCGTGGCTTATATCACATGGCAATGTCTTTCCTGATGGGGATGCACGATGGGAGAACGGGTATACTAGGCTGGACAGGGCAATGTTCCGTCTTCTGAGAATGGCAGAAATGGTGCTGCTCGCGGTGGGTTGAGGCGACTTCGTTCCCCGTGCCTGGCAGCAAGTTGCTGGTGACTTTGAGGACAGTGGCAATAGAACTGTTCCAGGCGAAAAGGGATTCCTTTCATTGAAGAATCTCAGCAGTTAACAAGTCTCTCGACAATTCGAGCTGTCAATGCGCCCGTGGTGGTGTGACCCAGTCCATGTTTCAAACCGAGGAATTGTCATGCTCAATGCGGATTCTCCAAACGACAACAGCCGAACAACCAACGCAACCGCCTTTTCCCTTTCAAGTCAGATGAGCCCAGTACCGCTGGAGGCCAAGGAAGCTTGCATCGGAAATTCCCCCATGCTAACCGCCAGGAGGTCTCTTCTTTTTCGGACGCACTTTGGCCTCTCGGGTGCCGGGCCATATTGCTCGACTGAGCCTCGGGGCTGGTGGTTTTAAGGCTTGTGACAAATGTCTCCCTGCGTATTGACCTAGTCTGGTTAAAGGGGTCTTTTTTGGCTGCTAGAGGCCTGCAACCGGTTCGTGTCTCGATCTGGTGCAGTCACATTACAAAGACAATCAGACAACATTTCCCAATGCGGATATTGCACAAGGCTATATAATAGACCCACTCATCTGGCCGAGATAGAGGCACACTCTTTTGTTGTTTGTCTACAGAAACTCGCTCTGAACAAAATCCCTTCCAGTGGCAGAGAGAAGGCGCCGTCCTTCAGACTGGTCAGTCGTATCATAACTGCTGGCTCTGACCAGAACCACTTTCGTTGAAATCTTCGCCGTTATTCTTCACACCGTGCGTTACCTTGCCAGCATCTGCGCAATGCAGGACCATCCTGTTCAAACCTCGAGTATCAGCCGCACCACCACCATCTCGAGATATGCCATGTCGCGCCTGGGAAACCGCATCCCTGCCACGGCTGGTTACCGGGTTCAGGCACATGACTCGTGTGCGTCCGCGTCGGCTCAGGGAGCTCCAAACATCTTCAGTCGGTGGTGTGGAGTGAATCCTGCCGGGCAAAGTCATCCATCAAGACTCCTTCGAAGCGCCGGCTCGATGATTGACCATCGCAGGCAGGCTACGAAGCCCTTCTGATCCTGTTCCTCTGCGCGAAATCCGGCCGAGAAAAAAACACTACGAGGAAGTGATTTGAGGTTACCGCGTCGCAGGGTCTACAGTCACCCCCAGTCAAGAGCAGGGACTGTCCGCAAAATGGCAGCCGACCAACCGGTCTACTGAACAAGGAATCGAAGTCTTTCACCATGTTATTTCCGTGTTGTTGATCCGGGGAATTGGTCAACGGGCGCTACGGACGCAGTGTGCAATGACAAAGACCAACGACGGGCGGCGCAGCTTCGGCACATCCAAGTTGCATTGGCCAAGTTGCTTGAGCATCAGGGTTAGTCACCAAGGCCTCACAGGTGCCCCTCTCCTCCGTCTCGTTCTCGCTTCTCTGCGCATCCACTGCGCTTCCTCCTCTCCAGCTTAGCTAATTCTGATTGATTACAGGATCACCACTGGGCTAATGGCGACGCTAGACCTCACCAGGAAAGCACACGGCAAGTTTGATTGAAGAGAATGACGAGGGTCTGACTTAAGCAGTTGCGGCGCAGCCATTGCACACCTTCCACGACTGGCGCTCGTGTCCGCCCGATCCCTCTGGTGCCAGACACCAACGAAAACACCACGGTTCGAGCCGAGCGAGCGTGGATTTGAATTCCCATGGGACTGTGAGCACGCTGGTTGTGTCGGCGCATTTTCCGTGGGCCAATGTGCTTATGTCATTGCTCGGGATGTCCTCGATACATGCCACGACTTACTGCATCAAGCAACAGACGCTTGTCTTTCTGGGCCTTAGGCTGCACCTTCGCACTCCCGTCGGCCGTCAGCTGGTTCCTCTTCCGAGAGAAAAAACGGTCGTCTGTGGTCCATCTGGCTCAAGATCGCATTGAAGCCTCTCCTGAAACCTGGGACCGCCTCCAATAGAATTGCAAAGCTGCCCTGCAATTATGGGTTTAGTCCTGGCACCACTGCTCCAGAAATTGGCGCCTCGTGTCTGGACCTCGAGGGCTTTGGAAGATCTGCGATAGCTTCCATCGCAATCCAAATGCTCAGCTAAGTATTTGGAAATCGCTATAGAACGACCTACCGCCTTCTCGCCTGTCTTCATCATGGATTCTCTCCTTCAAAACAGCCGTGTCGACGCCTCGCCCGAAAGATGGCCACTACTCTCGTATATCAGCATTCCCTGGTGGACGACATCGCCCATCAGCTATATCAAAGATCCATGTCCAAGGACAAGCGTTCCCCGGATCAGCCAGCTCCCTTCAAGGGCGAGTTCTCCTTTGTCAACAAGGACGCCGGCAACATTGACTCCAAAGACCACAATGCCGCCGTGTCCTGGCATGTGATGAACCGCTACGAGCGTTGGAAGAAGCAGGAGCAAGCGAAGAAGCTACGAGCGTCTGCCAATGTTCCCGTGGGGCCGCTCTCCCCTCCTTCGCAACAGCCACAACAGACACAACCCCCGCTGCCACAGCTGCCTCTGCCGCCGCCGCAGCAGCAGCCGCCGTCGCTCCCGCAAACACAGTCTGTACGTCCATTTCCATCTGAGCATCCTAACAGGAGGGCGCGGTTGACACGCACCTCACAGTCGAGAGCCATCCCCCCGGTGACTCCGTTTGGATTTGACCCATGGATGGCCGAGCAACCCCTTCAGCTTGGCTATCCTGGCATCAGCTCTGGTCAAGCGTCGAGTAGCGGACTGCCGACGTCGACTACATCGACGCCGTCGACGCATTCTAGCATGATCGAGGATGATCCTACGTCCATGTTGAGTTCGATCAACAGGCCACTAGACCCCGGTTCAAGCCCATTCGAAGCGACTTCCGTGTCCATGACGCCCCTGGTGAATAATCTCATAGCGTTCGCCTACGAAGTCTTCATCCCCCAAAGCTGGCCCAAGGAATCGGATAAGAACGAAGGGTCCTACGAGGTCGCCAGGGGTTGGGACGACACCGCTCTAATCAACCAAGACGTCTGTTACGCCAATGCATACCTGAGCCTTCTGGCAGCTGCCATGGGCGTTCTGACTGAGGATGAGAGTCTTGCATATCAATCCCGATATTTTCAAGGCCAGGCTATGACAGAGTTGAGGCAGCGAGTGGCTCGTTCTGGACCGCAAGACCTGGCCACCCTCAAAGCCATATTGAAGCTCTTTTCGTCCGAGACTCTTGTAGACAACACCTCGGTCGCGCGCATGCACCTAAAAATGCTGCGAAATCTCGTCAATGCGGCCGGAGGAGTCATATTGATGGATGCTTGGTTCCGCGAGGATCTACTCTCCAGCGATTGCTACTTTGCTCTCAAATATGAGACTCGCCCACTCTTCCCGGCTTCAGAGTGGACTCCAGGGCCTTTGAGTCAACCCTGGAAGGCCCGCCTGCTGTCGGCAGGGGTTTTCGGAGACCACGCCGCTACCATTGATCCGCTGGTCGAGCATCCTATCATGAAAGCGGTCATTACTGACTTGCGGGAACTTTTCAAAGCGCAGGAGTACACACAAACTCACGACGTGCCGAGCGACGATCAGTTGCTGAGATGGAAGCAACTGCGCAAGTTCGACTGCATCTCGCGTCTGGCGGATCATTACGTGAATGTTGCGATCTACCCTCACTTGTTCCAGCGGCCACTGACACAGGCTTACACTTGCGTTGCGACGGCGTTGATGACCGCCATGGTCCTAGGCTCACCGGAACCGGTGCGATTTGGGCTCAAGCTCATCACCGATCTACGCAAGAAGTTGACGGAGAGTGCCTCAGAGGATGACGCTGCGCAGTTCCGACGACTGCGACTCTGGGCGCTGTATGTGGGATCATTGGCGGAAAAAGTGCATCCGGTGAGCCCTGCGGACGAGCACTGGTTTCACGAGCAGTATCAGAGTCAATTCAGCGAAATGGGCTTGTCAGGTTGGGAGGACACGAAGAAAGTGATCCGACAATTCCTGTTCTCCGATAAACTTCACCAAGAGGTCGAATCTGGACGAGCTCATCGAGCGGCCGATGCTAGGCAAGGACTCTACACTGCGTCGGGCTGCAGCTGGCGAGAGCCCTGGTCGGATACGAATCTGGACATGCCGGAAGTCGAGGAGAATGTTGGCGGGTCGGTATCTGCAGGCAAGCGGCGCGCAGACGATGATTAATCTGGGCCTGTGGCTTTCCTGAAAAAGTTCTTTCTGGCCGAGATTGCGAGGTCTGGAGACGGAGGTGCATATGCATTATTATTAGCTTCTGTGCTATTTATGCATCCGCAGCAAGAGTTGAGAACCGGGGAGATGGTTGGCCGGCACGATTTGCCAAATCGGTTCTAGAGGCTTGAAGGAGCGCAGGAGACGAGGGGTGAGCATTCAAGGGGACTCGGCGTCGAGCCCAAGGTGCCAGTCATACATATGCAGGTCGGAGGAGCCTGAGGATGGCGGGGGAGGACGAGAGGAGGAGGATGGAGAGGGAGAGTCTTTTTGTTTTGCCAAAGTACGAACTGATACCCTACGCAGCGATGCAAGCAGCCATCCATCCTGGATATTCATGACTATGACTTTTGAGGAAAAAGAGAATCGAGAGACGAAAAGATGCTTGTCGCTCACTGGGCCCCCAAGGCTCCGCTCAACCTTCCCTCTGTGGCCCGTTGGCTCTGCGCGTAACAATGCACGTCTCGGCCTCTGCTGGGCTCTGCGTCTCCAGTGATTCTCCCTCTCATGGGAACTGCTGTTCTCGACTTGGCTTGCTTGTTCAATGCGGCCAGCTCAATGGCTGCTCCTGACCTCGTCGACCCGGGCACCTCTCGGCCGGCCCACGAAGATAGCACGGGCTAGCCTTCGGAGCGCAGTCCCTTGTCGTGTCCATCGTGGCACCAAATCCGACCCAATTCAAGCACGGGATCCCAATGAGCTGTCCCGCGTCTCGCACGAGACGGGCCCTTTCATCTTCCACCTGACCTCGGACAATCCGTACCTCAACCTCTCGATAGAGCACTTCCTGCTCACCAAGTCGCATCCCGACTCGCACATCCTCCTGTTCTACACCAACCGACCCTGCGTGGTTGTTGGCCGCAATCAGAACCCATGGCTCGAAGCGGACCTTCAGAGGTTGCGAGAGGGGATACCTGTTGAGAAGCCCGTGGCGGCGGAAGCATTCAGAAGACGAGACGAGAACTGTTATACTTCGGCGACGGGCTCGCCATCGAGGTTTCCGCACGGCCAGGGCAATGTGTCCTCAGGCGTCGTGCCCGTCGACCTCGTCCGCCGCCGCAGCGGAGGCGGCACTGTCTTCCACGATTCGGGAAACCTCAACTACTCCGTGATAGTCCCGAACAGCAAAGCCTTCAAGAGGAGCACCCATGCCGAGATGGTGGTGCGGGGCCTCGAAAGCCTTGCGAGTGCGAGTGCGAGTGCGAGATTTACGTCCCCGACCTGGGGTGCCACACGCGGGAAATACAGCTTCAGCTCGGTGCGGGTCAACGAGCGCAACGACATCGTCATGCAGCAATCAGCCGGAGCCGAGTGGGTGAAGGTCAGCGGCAGTGCGTACAAATTGACCCGGGGCCGCGCCCTGCATCACGGCACATTGCTCTACTCGAGCCCCTACGTGGACAGAATCTCCGAGTTGCTGAGAAGCCCCGGCCGGGGCCTCATCCGCGCCAAGGGGGTGGAGAGCGTGCGCAGCAAGGTCGGGAATCTCGCGTGGACGCCCGACGCCCGCGAGAGGGAGGCCATCAGAGCAGAGATCACGGAAGCCATCGCGCGGGAGTTTTGGACCATGTACGGAGGTGACCGTGCTCGCGAACCCGGGGTCGACGAGATCACCCTCGCAGCCGGCGCGGAATGGCGCCACGAGCTGAACCCCCAGATCGCATCCGGCGTGCAAGAACTCACCTCGCCGAGCTGGATCTTCGAACAGACGCCCAGATTCGACTTTGCCAGCGGCGTGCTTGAGCGTCACGAGGTCGAACTCTGCGCGAACCGCGGCGTCTTGAAATCCTTGACGCTGCGAAGCCCAGTTCCCGACCCGGAACGGCGCGGAAAGGAGGTAGTCTGGACAACGCGCAAGTTACGATTTGGAAATCAGGAAGGATCAGACAGGGCGATGGAAAAGAGAGCGGAGTCAGAAGAAGGGGTCGAGGTGGTGCTAGATGGGGAAGTCAAGTTGCATGATGTGAAGAGCTGGAGGGACTTGCTCATGGCTTGCGCTGGGAAGGGTGCAAGAGATGGCGCGAGCTCGACGGCCACGGATATCACCACCGTCGCGGTAAAGGCGAATGTGCCGGACGCGCTGGTGCAGAGACTCGAGGCGATATTTCCCAGATATAAACCGGGCCGTTGAAAGCAATTCAAGCATTCAGTCCATCCAGTCATCCATCAATCAATCAATTAAAATAGCCCAAGTTCTCAGATCACGAAATCCCCTTTCTCAAACTCGCTTGCTTTTCCTTTCGGTTTTTCATATCTTCCCAGGACCTAATCCGTACCACTCGCCGCCTTCTCGGACATCTTCTCTCGTGGCATGTGGTCGATTCCTGGAACGAGTCTCTGTAGGTATTGCTTTTGAACTCCCCACGATCGAATCGTTAATGTACAGATAGACGACACCATTCTCCTGGCTGATCATCCCACTCTTGGTCTGTGTATACCTTCGACTCGGCGGTTCCAACTCCCATAGGGCTTAGAGCTGGCATGGTCGACTTCATCCATCAACACCAGTCACACGCCGTCGTCACCGAAAATCACTCCGGAAATCGATCCCCTTTGAGTGTCAGACTTGTTGATGACTCGTTTGCAGTTTTTTCCATTTTGCATCGGGGACGTCTCTCCAGCTGGTCCCAATACCCCAATGGCCCTCCTATTCTGTCATTCCTGATGCATTCTTCTCTGTCCCAGTAGCAGGCATCGTCCAGAGCCAAATTTCAGCATTAAGTGAGAATGTGCCCTTTTACACAATAAAGGCACAACAATATCCGAGACTTTTTGGGTCTTGAAAGACGCAGTCAATGGGAGATGTACCAAGAAGGCCTCAGTACCAAAAGGGAACGTTCGTGGGACCCGTTGCTGAGCTAAGAACATTCACAACAACTCTCTCGTCAGACATCTCGCAACGGCTCGCCGCACCGGCTGATGACTATGAGGATGAGACCACGTCGCAGAGTGTGTGGGTCGAATCTGACATGGACGACAAAGTGGAAGCACCATTCCAACGGAGAAAACTGTGGCCTTCTGGCTGATGTCCTCCAAAAGACGACCTTGGATGAAGGTGCGACTTTCGGGCCACTTTCTGTTTCGACCGTCTTGTCTCGTGCCCTGAAGCGAGGCTCTGGATTCTGTCATATTCAGGCAAAGCCATCGCGCATTTCTTAAGCCATCCCAAAGACCAAATCCTGGGCCCCACTTCCCACTGCACTGGGATCAAATAAATCCCATCCTGCGACGAATCCCTCCGCACTCGCCGACCTTGTATCGCTGACGCTGAATTCCTCCCAGTTCAACGTGCCGACATCAAAAGTCGGTAAGCCGTCGCCCTCAAAACCTGAACGACTACCGAAGCGGAGTTTGTCCAGCTGGGCGGGTCCAGGGTAGAGGAGGCGCGTGAGTTCAGCGTCCTGGGCTGGACCAAACGACGAGAGCGAAGGCGGACGATTCGAAAAGACGGATTCCAATAGTGGTCCCAAAAGGCGCTCGTATATCCCTGCGTAGTTGGAAACCTCGTTCCATCCCTGCGCGGCTAAGGCGAGGAAGTTCGCGGTGAAGACCTTTGTCATTTCGAAAATTTGCTGTGCACTGAACCGTGAGGAGATGGCATCGAAGCCGTGGCGAAGGCAGAAGAGAACGACCATACTATTTTCAAGCACGTGATGGGCGATTAGCCATGAACGCCGGTAGAACCCTGTTAGGATGTGGTCACGCAGGCATTTCGCGCTGGAGCAGGCAGCCTCAAATGCCACCATGAGACTTCTGGCCCCTGGAAAGGGCACTCGAGGTGACGGGCGGTGCAGATTGGTCAAACCATGCGCAAGTGTGAATTCCGTCAACTCATGACCGTCGTTATAATCTTCGTACCATGCCTGGAGACGCCTCTCCATCGAGACAAGCCAGTCTTCCCACGACTGACCGGGTTCGAGCGGCTTGCCCTGGAAATGCACTTCTGTCATGGCACTCTGTAAACGACGAAAATGAACCCATCGTAACATGTGGATTTTGGTTTCAGCTCCTGTCGGGTCGATGCCTGTGGGGTGGATATGCCTGTCATCGAGGATTGTAGGGAAATGTGCGTCTATGGTTTGGTCCGGGATGGAGAGTGGTCGTTGCAGGGCCGAACAGATGGCGCGATCGAAATTATACGCCGACCAGAAAAGCCGTCGTCGAAGATCGAGAGTCAGGGGATCAAAGTTTAATGCTTCTGGCGCCTCGCGGTGGAGGCCGAGCTCCAGGCATGCGCGCATCGCAGCCCCAGTCAGCATCCAGACGTTTGCAAGACGAGGGTTGATGGACGCGTATTGTAGGACCATAAGCGTAACTTGGATCCCGGCAAGGTCGGAGGGAATTTTGGCCTTGTCGGATAGATGTTGAATGCCTTCTTCGAAAAGAGATCCAGAAAAGACCATGTGCTTGGCCTCGTGTCCTGTTCGCGCACTGCCTAATGTAGCCGAGATAGAGAGCATGAGGTAGATAATGAGAAAATCAAAGGACGGAGGAACGGCGCGATGTTTGTCGGGTAATTCTTGCAGGGTCTTGATCACTCGCTCGAGCTGCTGCCATAGCGAGGGAGCATGTAAAACAGGGTAAATCGGGTAGACCCTGGTCATATATTTCTTGATGAGACTTCGCAGGATGGGCGTCGGGATAGATTTCAACATGGTACAACTGACTTCATGGCTAGCTCGTGAGATGGACTTTCTGCGCGCTTCTCTAGGGGATCCCGATGCAATAGCGGTTGATGGCGTCAGGCTCATGCGGACTCGCGAGATGAGATCGGTGATTCCTGGACCTGTTGGGAGGATGGCAAAGATCATGGCCTGCAACTCTCCGCAACTCATGACTTCGTCTCGAATCGTGTCTCTCGGCGCGGCTGGCGGTGAGATAATATCGACATTGAGCGTCAATTTGGGGGTGTCCTCTGGCTTGGTGCTGGGCAGATCAATGATTGGTAATGTGGGATCCTCGATGGGAATGCCGTCGTTGGTAGGCATTCCCGCAAGAATGTCCGAGGCATTGAGTTCCTCCAAGTGGCCATTGCGAGCGAGTTCGCCCTCGACCTTTGCAATTTCGGATTCAAGATGCTGAACGATGCTCCTGGGGATGGTGGGATCTTGGTCCTTGGAACTGAAGCCGGTACACTCCGATTTCGCGGCGATGCACTGGCCGCAGGGGATGGCTCGATCGCATTTGATTTTCCTCCTGCGACAGCGGGCGCACGAGAGGACCGACCGACGACACTCGCTCATGGTGAAGATGGTGAATTAGGCGGTGGTTCGGGGCATTGAAAGTGCAGATGTTTTGCAATGGCGATGGGAACCTGTTGGCCCTCGCATCAACCCATCGGGTATGCAGAAGGTTCAATAGCCGATGGCGGGAGTGATAGTGGCGATGGTGGTTGTGGTGGTGTTGATGGTAATAATGACGATGCTGATGGGGAGTTGGAGAGGGATGAGGAACTCTCTTGTGAGATGGCTTGGCTGGATGGCTAGAAGGCTGGATGGGCGAATCGCGGGAGGCGATGTCGTATGAAGTAGGTAGGTAATGGCGAGGGTAGGTTAGGTTTGGTGGTGGTGGTGATGGTGGAGGTGGAGGAGGAAGAGTGCAACAGGGCGCAGGATGGTTGTGGATGGTGATTTTCCCTTATCGCAATCCACTGACTCAACTGGCCACCGACTCGCCCTCGCAGCAGCACCATGAGCCAGTCACCACAATGAGCCACTGAGGCCCCCGCCAGCTGCCCACTTTCCTCTTTCTCTCCTCCCAATTCTTCCCCTCTGCTGCCTCCGCCTATCTCGGTGCCTATCGTCCTCCCCGTTGACGCCCGTCCTTGATCCCGGCAACCGTACGGCAGACGGAGAATAGTCGTCGTACCAGCGGCCTCTGCAGCTTGAAATTACCTCTTCTTCTTGCTCCCTCCCACCTCGGCTAATGCGACTCCTCCTCCTCCCGTCACCTCGAGTTCCCTCGCCCCTACCTTTGACATGGCATCCAGAGATGGACGTTGATTGAAGGTTGAAACAGGTCTAGAAACGCAAAAATCAATCCAGGCTCGGCCGTTGATGCAAGGCTGTGTTACCAAAGCGCACATGTCCTTGGTTGTATACTGCTTGAATACCCGCCACAACGGACTTGGTCGGTCGCAATAGCACAGCATGGACATTGACCACGCGACCATCTCCGAAGCAGATCTGACACGTCTGTTGCCCACCTGTCAAAGATGCCGTCGTCTAAGAAGGAAGTGCGACACAAATCTGCCTGCCTGTCGCCTGTGTCAAAAGGGCAAAGCTGAGTGCACCTTTTTTGATCATGCCTTGCAGCAGACTCTGCCGCGAAGGTGAGTGTGCCCCTCCCCCCAAATCGCCTGCTGTCATACGGAGAAAGAGAGCCTGACGTTGCGCCAAAGCTACGTCCATTCACTGTTGACACGACTGGGACGCCTGCGTGCTGTTCAAGCATCTGTCAATGGGACAAGCGAGCCGCTGAGTGCCTTCAAACTGCCTCACCATGAACGGAACACTTCGACGGCATCCACCAACCTCGACGCTCCTCTCAACGACTGGGGCACTTACACAAGCGACCTTTCTTTCGACAAGCATTTCATCATCGAACATGCTAATCCCACATGCTGGCAGTTCTTGGGTAGCAGTTCGCCTTATGCGTTGGTTGTCGAAGTCCTTGTACATGCTCAATCGAAGCTAGGTTCGATGGTCCATCATCCGGACTATGCTGGTCCCGAGTTCTGGCTCAATGCCCAGAGCACAGAGGTTGCCGAGCCGTTGCAGCCCAGGGCTACGCCATCGCGGGCTGAGATTCAGATGCTCATCAACTTGTACATGTCGACAACGAATATCCTGACGACCTTCTTCGACGCCGAAGACATGACTTATGAGATCGATACCTATTTGCGCCACCATGGATCAAATGTCAAGTATCTCACTGGAAAGGAAGCACATCAATTTTTCCGGGTCGCCATGATCTGCGCCATCGCTTCAGCGAACAAGGCAAGGCATCACTCCGTCTACGACACCGAGTCGATGGCGTATTACTCCGAGGGTCTACAGTGTGTTGAAGAGGTAACTTCAGATGTATCTCCAGATGCACTTCAAGCGCTCCTACTCCTTATCTTGTTTACTTTATTCCAGCCGCGGAAAGGCGACATCTGGAAGTTGTTGGATTTCGCCTGCCGTTTGAGCGTGGAGCTCAACTATCACACCGAGACCAACGACGAATACGAAGACGAGAAAAGTCAGAAAAAGCGCCGCGGCATATTCTGGGGATTGTATTGTATCGAGCGGACGATGGGACAACACCTTGGCCGGCCTTCGGATCTGACAGAAGAAATCATCACCGCCGAATATCCTGCCTCGTTGAATGAAGCCGCGATGGCCGACCCAGACACGCTTCAGACTATTCTTACCTCTCACTACTACCGGCTGACGTATCTCCGCTCGGAGATCTTCCGCGAGTTATACCTCCCGGCGGTTGCACCTACGTTGCCCCGAATGTGGTATGAGCAAAGTGTCGAATCTATGTTGGCGTGGCGGCGAGAACTACAATTCATCGAGACCACGCCTGGCATGGGCAGCATGACATGCGAGACGGGCTTTGATACTTCGATCTGTTTCCTATTCCAGCCTCTGTTATTGCGAGCACTGGCGGCAACCAAAGACTCGATATTGGGCCCAGAGATCACCGAAGTCATTCCGCGCGAGAGCTACCATTCTGCCGTGAAGGTGGTTGAATTCTACAACAAGCTCTTCCGTGGCGCCGAGGGCACGCCTTGGGGCATGTATCCTATCACCATGATCTCGGCGCACTACATCCACCAAGCCACCATAATCATTATGGCTCACTGTCTGCTGGCAATTGATGGACGATTGCCTGTCGTGAGTTTTTCGAGGGAGCTCAGTGGCGATGCAGAAGGCCCAGTGGATTTCAGTGGTATCCATGAGATATCTGGAACGTGCTTGATCTTGTTGAACACCCTGTCCAAGAAGTGGGCTGGCATGGTGGGTATATTGGATATCTACAAAAGTCTGCAGGCAAAGGTGTTGCCCATCATGATGCGGAGTGGGCTGGGCTGAGGATTGCGCAATTGTTCAGCACTCTGGAGTCTTCAGGCCACCAATGCCATGCAGGGCAAACTGGACACCAACATGGTATTTGGGGCCTGGCATCTGGGTAATCGTTGTGCCTATCACCAAAGAAAAGCTTTATAGCTCTAACCGCGACCCCAACTCCCAGCCTAACGCAAATGCCGTTGGCTGGGAATGCAACATGGCCGCAAATGTCCGAATTAGGCAAGAGAGTCCTCAAAAACGGAATCGCTGGTTGGATGCGGAATGCCATCATTCTATTTGTTCAACAACTACAACAACGTCAACCCACAGCCAGGATTGCTTTGCGGCAATAAGGCAGGCTGACAGCAGAATGCGGAATTATGGGTCTGTGCACAGCACTGTTCTAATTCCTGGATCGGCTCGTCCCTGTTGCTTTGAGGTCGTCCGGTGGGCGGTGTTCATGAGCCTCTTTTCTCAGTCTCATGAATACAACCAGGGCATGAGCGCCATGATGCGTCCGAGAAGGCTTTGTCGTGCGCCCCGACGTTGTCTTGATTTTCTGCTTGATCTTTGGGAGGGGTCGCCAAACAAAGAAACACCGGAACCCATAACTGAGACAAACAAGTTGTCTTCATTCACCACTCTGCCGACAACACGACATGTATCGGATCAAACAATCGATATGGTCAATCGACAAACAATTCCACTGCCCGACGTTTCAAGCGAGAGTCACGCACGTCCTCAGTTTTGAAATTCTGACTCTAAGCTTCACATGGGGAATGATCAGTCAGACTCACCGAAAGGCGCTCAGGGATCTGTAACCAGAGATCCGTCAATTAAACCTGCTTCTCACATCTACTCGTCGATTCTCTGTTTTTTTCGGACCGAACTGAAATCAGTAACAAGCTCGCAACGACTCAGGTCGACTTCAAACCTACAAGATTTGTCAAGGGAGGCACATAGCGACAAAACTCATTCAAAGTCAAACATGGGTGCCGATAGAAGACCGAAAAGTTCGTATCTCTCGATGCCGGATATGGCGGTCGCGTAACAAGGTCAACTGACATTGCAGTTAGGCAGCAGCAACACCAAAGCCCCCAGATTGCGCATGACACTCAAGCTCATGTCTCCATCTGCTTCTTTACAACAGGTCCCAGCCACGTGCCGCAAGGCAGGTTCGCAACAGAAGTCAATGGTGCGCAGCAAACCTCACCTCAGACAACGCAGACATCACGGTAGTGAGCTCCAGGCGATGGGCAACAGGGCAGTGACAGGGAGAACCGGGACAGTGTTGCGTTTCACGATGAAGGATGGCGAAGCCGTGAAGGCTGAGGTGATTGGGTGAAGCAGCTCATGTCTGCCATAGAGAACTTGTGGCATTTGGCGGAATGTGTTTGGAGTCAACTTGGACAGCTGTCGCTTGACAGACTGTAGGTGCTTGTTGGTATATATCTGGGAGTAGCAATTAGGGTCGCTGCTAGGTGGGAAATGAGGATGCGAAGGAGATCTGAGTATAGATTTGTGTTGGTGCGCAGAGATGTGAGCAGACTGGAACCAGCCTGGCCAGTTAGCAGAACTTGTGGCTGCAGGATGATGTATTCTGGGGAAAGACCAGGCGAGCAGGATCAGGAGAAAACCCGCCCGCCATAGCCACCAACGGGGGCAACTTTCCTTGCCGACTCCACCTCCAAGAGGTGTGCGATTAGCTAGCAATTCGCAGATGGAGCTCGTGCCTCCAGAATCAATTTTGCAGCTTCATGCCCTTGGAATTCTTTGGCCTTAAGACACTGTGAAAAGGGGCATGCTCTGAGTTCGACGCATTCCCCAACTTCTCGCCCACCATGGCGTCTCTTGTCAGCTTTCTATCGAGCTCTCCGTCCAGCAGCGACATCCCCCTCACCACGCGCGAAGCTCTGTCGGGTATATTTGGATCTATTTCGCTGGCCTGCTGGATCTTCCTGCTCGTGCCGCAGCTGATCGAAAACTACCGCAACGGCTCCGCCGAGGCCATCTCCCTCCTGTTCATCTTCGTCTGGTTCCTGGGCGACATCGCGAACCTCGCGGGCGCGCTGTGGGCGGGGCTCGTGCCCGTGGTGGTGGCGATCGGCGTGTACTTTTGCATCGCGGACGGCGTGCTCATCGGGCAGTGTCTGTACTATGGGATCATGAACAAGAGGAGGGAAGGCAGGGCGCTGCTCTCTGCGCGCGCGTCGGCTGCTAGTAGCAGTGGTGCTGCTGGTGGGAGTGATGGAGGGGCGAGAGCCGACGGCGAGGCCAGTGCCCCCGGCGGCGACCGGTCGAGGCAGGGGAGCTCGGAAGAGGAGCCTCTCCTCAAGCGCACCCGCACGAACAGCATGACCATCCCGGGATCCATGGACAGGCGGCGCAGCAGTGTCAGCCTGCGGCGCCGACGGAGCAGCTTTGCCGCCCACCACCAGGACCAGCTGGCCAAGATCCTCGAGGAGAGCGACGAGGCCGGCACGAGGCTCTGGTTCAGGAACGCAATGAGCGTGCTGGCGATCGGCGTCGTCGGCGCCGCTGGGTGGGCGTTGGCCTACGAGTCCGGCGCCTGGAAACCCTCCCCTACATCGGGCGCTTCCGAGCCAGAAGAGATGGCGGCCGGAGCGCAGGTGCTTGGGTATCTCAGTGCGGTGGCTTACTTGGGCGCCAGGATACCGCAGATTATCAAGAATGCAAGGGATAGAAGTTGCGAAGGTAAGGACGAATCTTCCCAACCCTATCCTTTGTCCGAGCTATAAGAGATGCCCATTATTGTGTTTGATGTGTATATGCTGATGTTCCAACCCGTCAACCACCCGCAGGTCTCTCGCTCCTATTCTTCATCCTGTCCCTGATGGGCAACCTTACCTACGGCGCAGGCATCCTCTGCCATTCGACCGAACACAAGTACGTCGTGAAGAATCTGCCCTGGCTGATTGGCAGTTTGGGCACAATGGTCGAGGACGTCACCATCTTTATTCAGTTCCACATGTACAAGGTGAAAGAGGAGGATCCTTCGGGGTCACCAGAACATGCGGTGATTTGAAAGGGACGCAAAAGATTGTGAAAGCAGTGTACTTGTATATACTGTGCAAAATTGTGTTTTCGTTACGAGACATATTCGTGGGTTCATTCCTGAGCAGGACGGCGCAATCTATCATGGGTCTCGGGGCATATGGGAGGAATGGGCGAGGTCGCTTCTGCCATGGCATCTTGTTCGCGAGATGCTCTCTTCAGGAGGAACAGAAGTCATCAGTATCATGTGGCGCAAACAGGGAGAGGGTAATACAATATCCAGATCATGTGGCAGAGAGACGGGAGCGGAGGATGCTGGAATCCGGATCATGTCACTGGGGAGGAGGCCTGGAGAATCATCTCGCCCTTGGATCTGAGTAAGATTTGTCGTATATCAGTCGCGTATTGGGCACGTACTGCTGGCATCTCCCAAACCTCAAGCCTCCTCGAAAGGAATTCCCAGATGTGGGCAATCCCAGCTGACTCGTTGAAGTGACCTTTAATCATAATCACGATCCGTCTCGTAAGCGAATTCTCCGAGATTTTCGCTTGAGGGGCGGGATATGCATCTGCTTTGGTGGTACTACTACAAGAACGGAGTAGGCATGTACCATTCGCTGCAACAGCCGCCACCAGAATGCATGCATGGTGCCTGTGTGCGTGGTAGATGCAGATACGAGCTCTTTTTTTGTTCTTCTTCTTCTCGCCTCGGTAACGCATGACATTTTGAGCAAGCCTTTCGCGAGGTGCAGATGGACACTCAGTATTGGTTGTTTCCTCCTCTTCTCTTGTTCCTCCTGCTCCTCCTGTTCGCATGCGAGCCGAGGCGTGAGAGTGTTGCATCGCAGACAGTCGACGCGAGTGTGCTCGACAGAGGTACGTCATCCAATGAATCATTTTCCTTGGGATGCGCACCATGGGACAGGCGGCACCAGGGGTGTGCATAATGGCTAATGCTCGGAGCGGAAACAGGTGATGATGATGGATGCACGGACGGGAACAATGGGAGAAAATTGTTTGTTGGGTTCCAAGTTTGTTCGGGAGCAAGAAACTTGAGGCACTGCAGGGGCCCATGAAGACAGCCGAGAGGGCCAAAGGGCCGTTGTAGCGCGCGTGATTGGTGCAAACCCGCTCCAAGCGGTTCCTGCGTAGGGGCAGTGCGCCAATTATTGCCCATTCAATCCCGCCGTCTGGCTGCTACTGGGCGCCGAGCGACGCCTATGGGGGTCCTGCCAGGCTCTGCCTGGGCTCCTGGGGCAATCCCTGTGTGTTTCTGCCTCTTTGCACACTGCGCCGTAGAAGTGCAACCCTCTCACACTTCTTTCTTGATTCATTCATTCATTCACTCACTCACTCGATCACTTACTCACACCTGACACTGTCCACTTTCATCTTCTCCCATTTTTCCCTCTTTCTCACCTTCAGACCACACCCCATATTTCCCTCGCTTTGTCCCCCCTTTGTCTTATTACCATCTCTTGTTTTAAACCGCCTTCACACCTTTCCTGTACCAAGCGTCAAACAGAGTCTCGCCTACCTTTTGACTCTTCGAGAACACAAACCTCAAACACTCACGCACACGTGCCTCTCGTTCCTCGATCGTTACCGGAATCGGGCCCTTCGATCGCGACCTTGACTGGCCTTCGAGAGAATACCCAACCATCCTTGACCATCCACACCCTCGCTTCGCGCCCTCGAGCCTTCGCAGGACGTGTCTCGATTGTTTCAACATCTTTGTCCCGTTGTCCACCTCGAATCTGAACCTTCCCCTTCATATATTACTGTCAAGATGCGGTCTCTCACCGTAGTCTTTTTCAGCTTGCTCTGTGCATCCGCCGTCTCGGCCGATCCGCTAGACGATGCTATTGCCCTGTTCAAACGACAGAATGTACCGTTGTCTACCGGCAGTTCCGACTCTAGCAGTTCCTCTGATAGTACGTCTGCGTCTACCTCTCCAACCAGCAGCGATGGCGGCGACTCGACTACTTCTGTTACCGTTACGAGCGATACCACCTCTGCGAGCACCGAGACCACGTCTTCCACAATCACTCTTCCCCCATCCACATCGTCTTCAGTAACTGTCGTGACGACTACATCTACGCATACCCCTTCCTCGACTTCCTCCTCTGATAGTTCCTCGGACCTATCCACCTCTACGGAAACCAGCACATTTACTCCCTCAAGGACTCTGATCACTACAAGTTCGCTCTCAGAGGTCGTTACTACAATCACAAGTGTCAGTGCAGGAAGCACCGTGCATCTTACTAGCACCGGCAGCAGCCTCGTCCCAGTCACAACCAGCGTTGATCCTGCTTCTCTGACGGGTGGAGGTGGCAAAGGCGGCAGCTCTGGCCTCAGTGATACAGCCAAGGCCACTATTGGAGGTGTTGTGGGTGGCGTCGGCGGTGCTTTGTTGCTTGCTGGATTGGCATACACTGCCTGGAGGATTTGGGGCAAGAAGAAGAACCTTCACGACGACGATCTCTACGACCCCAACCTCAACCAAGACAAACTCAGCGCCACCACAGGATCTGACTCTACGCCATTCCGTTCCACGCTGGATCAATACCATTCACCAGGGCCTGTCAACACCGCGTCAAACTTTTAAAACCCGCGGGTCACTGAATCAACACATTGACGATCGTTATGACAGTACTTGGTCTTCAACTTTTAGCGAAACAGAAACGCTACGCGTAGATCGTTCTTCACCAAAACATCATCACAGCAAACCGCCCACCCGGATCTAGCCGAGAGGGCAATTTACAGTGAACACTGCTGCTTCCAATGTAGTAAGGGGCTTTAATTTGTGCTGGCTAGCACTTATTTTCACCATTGTCCTATCTTGTCAGAAGGTGTACATAGGATATGGGAAATCGGGGCTAGGCGTGGTCGGAGGCATTGGCTAGCTAGAGATACAAATTTCCCTTTTGTCATGTACCATTTCCCTTTCAAAACTTCACCTTTGATGCGCGTCAATTGAGAGTTCGCGGTAGTCTGAGCTCTGTTTTGGCTTAGGCAAATCGAGAATCCGACGTCTTCATGAGGAGGATTTAGCCGTACGTGACCCACAATCCAGAGACTTACGTATGTGCGAGGTACATGTCCTCGTAGAATTGCCGTGCGAAGGCGTTGACCATCCCATTATTCCGAATGAGGCTAGTGGCGTAACGAGTGGCCGCTGAACACGGTCGTCGCGCTCACGCGTCATTTGGTCCTCGAGTCGCATTTACCCATCGAGCCGTTGAAGACAACAGCCACTCATACTGATACAGTTTGAATTTCTTGTGGAAGGCCGTCATTCCTGTCAATTGAGGCTCTGGCCGTCCACCCAAGATCTCAGATAGGATACTCTTCACAGTCAGAGAAGAAAGACACCAGGACGACGGAGAGGATGTTCTTCCTTTCTTCTCCACCACCGCAACCCAGTCCGTTCCTTGCCACAACGTCTCAACAGTCCCGCCGCCCGAGTTTCTCAAAATCTCACAATCACGACAATATCCACGGGCGGGCCTACGCCAGGGCGTACTACGCTCCGCATTCTCCCTCGCCGCTGCGGACGACGAGGAATGCGAACTTGATGCCTTCTCCTCCGCAGGTGAAGGGCGATTATAGTAATAGCCTCCTGAGTTCGTCACCTTTGAGGGGTGGTTTTTCGGAGCCCCAAGATGAGAACGAAAATGAGGAGGGAATCGAAATCTCGAACGCCTTTGGCTTTCCCACAAACGCCCAGAAGACACCAGCAGGGAAGATGAACCTTGGAGCACATGGGTTGGATGGACAGTCATCAATGGTCACCCCCCCTGATTCAGGCTCGAACCACAGCTTCAACTCCAAGGCGTTATTGCACGACCATTCCACGTTCAAGACCTCTCCGTCAATATCGACGTTCGCCGATCCCGCGAAATCGACCATATCTACGACCTCAAGCCGCCAGAATCCATCGCAGTGGGAACTGCGCTCTCGATCCTCGAGCCCATCATCTCTTCTGACCAGCCAAACTCACAGAAATCGGGAACAGAGAAAGTCGAAATTTCTAGATCGCATTCGGAGGAGAAGGGACGACGACAGGTCTGAGCAAGTTGGGGAGCAGGTGTTGAGAATGGATTTTGTCAAAGAGAGGAGGGGCTGGGAGAGGGAAATGGCCCGCAGAGCTGCAATGGAGGCTGCACAACAGGAGGACATGGAGAGCGATGATGATGACGACGAGGAGCTAAGCCCGACGCAGGAATACGAGGAAGATATCGAGGTGGACGAGTTGGTCAGGGAGTACGAGCGAGAGAAGCTCCAAGCCGTGAGGGATGAGGAATTTGTGGTCGAAGATGACGAGGATGAAGAGTACGAGAGGCTGTTCAGAGAGATGGAGATCCTTTCGCAGCACTCACAGCCTCAGCAGCAAAGCCAGCCGGCGTCTCAACCGCAACCACAAGAGTACGAACTCGCGCACGGTCAACCGAGTCCCTACACGCGGCAGAGTGCTTGTTCGCGCGAGCCGCCTTCGCAGCAGCCCCAGTGCCAGCATGGGGAAACAATTAATGATGAAACAATGGACTTGTCTTGATCGCCACGAAGCGTTCGTGAGAGATTTGTGGGACCGGATGTTGAGGATGAGAATTGTGCGAGAATGGTCCTCCTTCAAGTCAGAAGAGGGATCTGGAACCCTAATTTTTTACACAAGGTCGAGGAATATGCAGGGTGTCCATCTGTGAAACCACCGTGAGAGCGTATACAGCTTGGCATGCTGGTACCGACGTACAGTATTGGGGGCAGTGTCCTGGCGTGGTGCCGTACAGAGCGCCAGAGATGTTTCATGTACCACAAACACTGATTATGACAGCGGTCAGTGGCTGATCTTGATTCCAATACACCAAGACAATATGGTCTTCCTGCAACTCCTCTCGTGGTGCCGTCCCGTCCTCTCTCGTTATACGGTTATTAGCTCGGAACACATTGAAATCCTGTGTATGCTGCATTGCTTGTTCATTTGCGGGCGTCAGATCGTCGTACATGTGTGTATGTGGAGATATCACGGCCATTACAGATTTGCTCAATGCTGAGTTCGCGAAGTGAGGACTCCAGCACCTCCTTTTTTTTCCCCACACGTCCGCTGCGCCCATCGTTTTCTCCATCCCAAGACACCATCCATCATAATCCTGGCCACTGCCTGAGCCCCAAGATCGCTCACCCTCGGCGCTCACTGCGTCGGACAACTCTCGTCCAGGCCCTCTGCTCCCTCGCCTCCCAACAACCCCCCCATGCCTGGTAAGGGGTTGGCGACGAGGGCGTCCGGCGGAGAGCCCTCGGTCTGCATGTCCTGCATCTTCTCCCAGATGAACTCGCGGCACTGGGGGTCGTTGTCGCTGTAGCCGGGTTCCTCGAACTTGGCGACGATGTCGCGCACGATGACGCTCTGGCGCGAGAAGCGCTCGTACTCGGCCTGCGCGAGGCGCGGGGGCCGGTTCGTCTCCAGGTAGTCCGGGAATTTCTGCGACAGCTCCTTCATGGGCTCGTACAGCATGTCCTTGTTGGTCAGCTGCTCCATCATGCCCAGGAACATCTTGGACAGTTCGCCGTCCGACTGTGACTCGGACTCGCCCTCGAGCGCCCGCAGCATCTCGGCCAGCATCTCCTCCTCCGACTTTGGCTGCGACGATTTCGTCGTCGCCGACGTCGCCGCCGCCGAGGACGACTCCATCCGCGCCATCGTCTTGCGGATCGTATCCTCGAACGAGGTCGAGGGCTGTTTCGCCGCCCCCGTTGCCGCTGAAGGATTTACGGCGGTAGTTCCTCGTGAGGCCTCCGGGCTGCGGGATTTGGACTTGGAGCCGCTGTCCCTCCTCGTCGCTTCCTCGTGCGCCATGTCCCCGACTTTCCCGCCGACCTCCTCCCCCAAGATGGCCTTCAGGAGATCCTCCGGATTGATGCCCTCGGCTTCCATCTGCTGCGTGAACTCCTCCAACTCCCGCCCCATCTTGGAGATTTCGTCCGGTGTGGCGGCGCTGGCCGCCGGATCGAGCGACATCTTGGACAGGACGCCGGACATCTCAGCCGTGAGCCGGGCCATGAATTCGTCGTCTGTTTCCGAGGCGCGAGGACCAGAGGGGATGGGCATGTCTGGTGGGAGGGCCGACTTCTCGGTCGACGGTCTGCCTGGACCCGAGGCCGAAGGTGCGGGTTCTGGAGGCTGAGATTTTGACTGTTGCTGGGCGCTAGCGGCGGAGAATTGGTCAAGGACATCTGCAATGGCAGAGTGTGTCAGTATCAGGCAAGATTTTGCTTGCGGGGAAAGAGGGACATCGAATAAGTGCAGCATGTGGGCGCCTACCGTCGAGATCGTCAAAGTCTGGATCTGAATCCTCCTCGACAGCTGCTTCGGGAGGCTTTTGACTTGAGGATTCTGGTATCGAACTCGTCGCGGGCGATTTGGAATCCGAGGACTGAGGCGGTTCAGCCATTTTTTGGTAGTGGCTGGGCCAGCCAAGGCTATACAATCGACCACACTTTGTGTAACAAACGCAGAAAGTCAAGCTGGGTGCTTCTCTGCCGTTTCTTTCGGCTGATATTGACGCAGCGAATACGGTTTGAGAGACGCCTAGGAAAAACCCTGATGTTCTGAAGGTAGGGAGGTATCTCAAGGGTAGAGAAGACGAGTGTTAGTCGGTATTGAAAATTGTCTCGGGCATCTGAAGGACGAGTCTCAACCCGATGCTTGAAACTTGGAACAGCAGTAAGCGGATTTGTCTTGAGCCCCGCAAACCGAGGTACGTACTAGCCGAGTCACATGACGCAAGGGGAAGAGGCTGTATTAAGGCTATTTGACGCATGAAGGACTGGTGCGGATTAGCATACCATACTTGGTAATTTATCACTATCTCTATTGTTTGTGCTTACCTACAAGGTACCTCACAAGCCTCATTTCGAAGAGCATAATCATCGACGTCCTCGTCCCTTCTGATCGAACATGGCAATGGACACAACCACTCGTTTCGCCTGTCCTTCCATATTAACACTGCCATCTCCGGCCCCCAACGGCTATTGCTAATGCCAACACTCAATTGATGCCTATGTCGGAGCCCTGCCTCTAGCACAGTCGATCGAACAACGCCTACGAGGCTAGTCCCCCGGTGAAAGTTGGTTCCTGGGGCTATAAAGTGGATGGGACAGTCTCCGTATCCTTGGCTCAAGTCGACATGCCATCATCAGGCGTCCAAAATTCAATGATTGTCTATGCTATCCTGTTGATAGTGTCGCCACCGGAGCGCCGCATAGAACCAAATCGGGACTAGCTTCAAATGCCATGTCGGCTCTCTCGGTTGGACAAGACATTTGCTCCTCCAAACTCCTTGTCCAATGCAACTCTTCAGCCTAGCTAGTGCAGTCGATCCTGCGGCTTGGAGCTGGCTGATGCTCTCTCTGACGTTGACAACGATGGCTCTGAAGGATATAGCCAAGGACATCTGCCTGGACTGTGCTTGCAGCTCGAGGTGTATATATACCACATCCTCAGCCATGGTCCTCAAACATGAACATGTCCACAAGTATTCCAACAGAGTCATACAAGAATGCAGTTCACTCTGAAAAGTCTCCTTCTCGTCTCAGCCTCGGCCCCGGTCGTTCTTTGCGACTTCCTGGGTCCAACCTATCCAGCTCCAACGGATCTTGCGAGCAACGGCAGCCACGTCTCCACTGCCTGGAGGAATCTCAGTTCGACTCTCAATGGATTCATCAGTGAACCAAGCACCAATTTGTCGACCCCTTCTGGCCTGAAGAACCTCACATTTTCCGTGGGAATGTTCTCAATCCACGACGCCTCTGCTGCCGGGGCGTTGCAGTTCCACCACACATCCAGCGAGATTGCCCATTCGTCTACCGGCTTGAAGAAGGTGGACGGAAACAGCATATACCGCGTTGCTAGCATGTCCAAACTTTTCACGACCTTTGCGGGTATGCTGAATCTCAAAGACGGTGATTGGGATCGTCCTATCACCGACTTTGTTCCAACCCTTGCGGCATATGCGGCTGCACACCCGGCAGAGAATGATATGGTGGATACTGTTGACTGGAACAAGGTCACACTTGCTGCCCTCGCTAGCCAGATAGCAGGCAATCCGAGAGATATCTCACCCTACGACCCGGGCGACTACCTCTTGCTGGACACCACCAATGAGCTGGTGAATACCTTCGGATTGCCACCTCTGAATGTGAGCGATCCACTAGCGGCCCCTCCATGTTTGGTCGCTATGCTATCAGGAAATCTGTCCTGTCCCAGCAACGAATACGCAATTGGTGCCGAAGCTCGACCACCGCTATTCCAGCCCTGGACAAGCCCAGCATATACAGACTACGGGTTTATGTTGCTTGGGACCGCGATAGCGAACATTACTGGCACCTCCATTCACGATGTCTATCGCCAAAGTATCTTTAGTCCACTAGGAATGACTTCCTCATTCTCCAACGTCCCCAATGCATCCCAATACGGCCAATACGTCATTCCTGGCAATGCCAGCTCTGCAGCATTGACACCGGCCGGCGCTCCCGAGGTGACCATCCCTTCAGGTGGCATTTTCTCGACGACAAACGATCTTGCCAAATTCGGGACGGCTCTTCTCAACGGGACGCTCCTTGACCCTGATCTGACACGCAAGTGGATGAAGCCAGTCTCTCACACTGCCATGTTCGAGTATTCGGTGGGAAGACCATGGGAAATATACCGTTACACGCATCCCGACTCCGGACTCATCACCGACATCTACACCAAACTGGGCGACTCTGGCTACTACGGCGGCTACATGGTCCTGATCCCAGATTTTGATGCAGGCTTCAGCATCATTGGTGCAAGTTCTCTGTCAGAGCGATCTACATTGACTGCTTTGCTGGCGGACATTGTCACTGAAAAGATGTTACCCGCATTGACTGCTCAGGCGCAAGCTGAGGCGCGGAACAGTTTTGTGGGCACGTATAGCTCAGAAGACGAGAGCCTCAACAGCACGTTGACTTTGGCGATCAATCCACAAGGGAAACCCGGCTTGGTGATCAGTAGTTTCGTCAGCAACGGCACCGATGTCCTGCGCAGCGGATTAATTGGCAAGAGTCCGGTTCGACTCTTACACTCGATATCTGATCGTCCGAATGGACGAATGGCATTCAGGACCTCTTCTTTCCGAGTTACTTCAGGCGGATTGTTCTCCCAACAGTATAACGCTAACTTGGACTGGCTGGCCGGTGACTCGCCCACATATGGCGGCGTTGGCTTAGGACTTTTCGAGTTTGACCTGGATACTAACGGCAGCGCGGTAGCTGTCAGCCCTGCTGCTTGGAGGGCGAGGCTCGTCAAGACTTCCTGAGCCCGCGCTGGGCAGAGGATCGGAGTCTTTCGTGAAACGATTATAGCCATGGTGCTGTGGTTCGAGCTTGCTTCAGATAGCGACAATATAATCCTTTCCCAAATCCCGTCTGCCGTCCTGCCGACCTCTAACTGAGCATTCTCAAAAACTTGCCTGTATTCTCGATTTCCATCGTTACCTCTTGCTCTTTGAATTTCATTCTCCAGAAAACAACGAATAGATCTCGATGGACTTGTACTTGGTCTCTCAGCGATGGGTTATAGCAAGTAAAAGGAAATGCTCTGCTCATGGTCGCAACGAGAGCCGACTAAACACCCTAATGCCCAGTGGCTCCAATCCCCACCATCTGGTGCCACTGCCACTGCCCCGAGGCGTTTCGGCAGTATTGGAGACGGCCGCAATCCGAGGACGGCTGGGATGATCTCTGCCTACTTTGGAGGTCGTTGGATGGGGCTATGTCGTGCAGTGCTGTCATGGCTGTTCTCTGCCGTGGCTGTCTATCAATGAACCAATCTGCAAGTCTCCTTCCCGTCGGAAATTGCAACGTCGGGCCTTAGCGATATTCTTTCCAACCGCCCTTCACTTCCTGCTCTCGACAGAGAGGACTTCCTCTCGTGTTGCCACGATGGCCACGATACAGAATGCCGGGTGTTCCCTCAGGACGAGGGTGTAATGCATGTCGTCAGCAAAAGAAAAAGGTACAACAGCCGAATGATCCTCGCTTCCCAAGGTTTGTCCAGTTCTAACGTCTATTTACCATGTAGTGTGATTCCACCACCTACCCATGTCCTCGGTGCCGACGCCTCAATATCCCCTGCATCGGACTTGGGCAACGTCGGTTCAAGTTCGTGTCCGATACTAGAGCCTCGACCCCGACCAGCAATACCTCTTTGCAACTCCAGGAACAGGGAACTGGGTCTACAGTGCAAAGCCCTTCAAGCCTCGACACAGTCGCAATATCTCGAGTTCCATCCAACGAAACGACGCGGCTTGTGACCGCTTTCACGGATAGAATCAAACCGACCCTCGGCGTCCAGTACAATCTGGCCTGGACATACGGGGATTACCTCAACCATGTTCCAGCTCGCCTAGGCGTGAACGAGGCTCTGGACAGTGCCACCGACACCTTTTTGGCGGCCGTTGCGACATTATCAGATCCACTCGGTGCCAAAAGCAGTCCTGTGCTCTTCGAAAAGTATGGGCGTACCTTAACCAGCCTCAGAAAGTGTTTAGATGATCCGGTCAAGGCGACAAGCCCGGAAACACTGTGTGCTATTCTCTTCCTATGGAATTGCCAGGTGAGTTCCCTGTTGCATGGAACCCAGCGGTCTATTTTGTGGCTGATACTCGCCCGTCCAACCAGTTCATCTGGCAACGGAATGGACCTATCACCACACATGCGGATGGCGTTGCCCAGATCCTCAGATTGAGAGGCAGTGTCGAGAAGTGTCAGGACCCATTTGAATTGAACTTACTCCTCAGTCTTCGTGCCGTTGTGGTAAGTCGTCAATAGGCGAGAATGGCCAGTCACTCAACTTACGTCGACCCCTCCAGCTCTTTGACTCCCTTTTCAATGGCCGAATCGCCTTCGACGACCAAGAATGGATCGCCATGTTCGACAGCCGGCTCTATGAGCTCAGCCCTGAAGGGCAGGCAGTACAATGCTTGACTCGGGTGCCGAGTCTGATGCGACGGATCAAGGCCGCATTGACCGGCGATCTACTTCATCAAGCCACACTTGCGGACCTAGAGAAAGAGGCACATGCACTTCGCGCAGATCTCGAGCCCGCACTGTCCCGCCTCCGTCAGCGATGGCAGAAAAACTCGTCGGCCACAGATATTGCTGCTAAAGGGCTGCCTCACTTGGCGGGTCTGGGGCATTGTCACTTTCTACGAACATACAGCCTCGGTCTGGCTATCGCCATCTTCATCAACGAGGCACGGCTTGCCCTGTGCTTGGACGCGGCCGAGATCCTGCAAGAGTCGCACGAATTTGCCCTCGAAATCACCCACCTGGCCAGGATCGCGTCTCAGTACCGACCATTGGGGGCATCTGCGGTAAGTATATGTCTCCTCGCGGCCGAGGTTGGGGCAGCCGACGTCGAGACCAAGTCCGCCGCGAGGAGTGTGCGGGTCGAGTATGCCAGCGACTTCCAGGGGTTTCAGGACGTGGAAGTTTGCCAGGATTTGCAGTTGATCTGTGGGCGTGAGTGGTCTCGAGTGTTGACTCGGGAGACGATGTGACGAGAGGCTGCTCTCCATTTCTTGACGAGGAGCCACCCGTCAAAGATCAGAAGGGACCTGGAAGGGATGAGTCGCCATGTTAAAGACGATGTATATACTGAAAGTCCAGCCCGACCAGGTAGATTAGACATCAAGAGCCCAAGATCAGCGACGCTCAATTTCCAGTCGAGCGGCACTCGTTCATCTTATTGGACAAATTAGTACAGTGTTCTGGCCGCTTGAAGAGGTCTTCTCTGAGGTGGCCAATAATTGCGCCACACTTCTAGCCTCCAGCCAGAACGAGTACAAAGCGGCAATCAATGTCACCGCAATCGGGTAGTTGAGCTGTGTGCAGTTTTCGCATACTTCCTCCTTTACTATGCGCCTCGACGTCTTCCACATCAGACGAAAGCCACTCCATCTTCACCAACTCACTCAAAACCACGTATGAGGCATCTGCCATTCCGCGTGGCAACTTGTTCCCCTGTACGGGCTCACGCCGCATCAAAATGGAGCTTCGGGAGCTTCGCCGGTCGTCGACGACACCTGTCCAGTCGCAAACCCGAGGGCGACGACCAACCCCTGAGAATCCTCTTCTGCGGCACCGACCAGTTCAGCGTGGCTTCGCTGCAGGCGCTGGAGAAGTACTCCCGGACGCCCGAGAGTAATATCCTCTCCATTGACGTCGTGACCAAGACCGACAAGCGCGTCGGCCGGGGCCGCAAGCTCGTGCGGCCACCGGCCATCAAGCCCGCCGCACAGGACCTGGGGCTGCGAGTGCACCAGATCGACACGTTCACGGGCTGGAGCCCTCCCGCGTTCGGCGACGCGGGCTCCCCGTCCTGCTGCAATCTGGTCGTCGCCGTCTCGTTCGGGCTGCTGATCCCGCCTCGCATCCTGCGGTCCGCGGCGTACGGGGGTCTGAACGTCCACCCTTCGCTGCTTCCCGACCTGCGCGGCCCGGCGCCGATCCAATGGGCCCTCATCACCGGCCGGCGGAGGACCGGCGTGTCGCTGCAGACCCTGCACCCGACCCGCTTCGACGAGGGGATCGTGCTCGACCAGACGCCGCCGCCGGGCCTGGACATTCCGCGCCCCGACGAGATCACTGCCGAAGAGCTCACGGCCTACCTAGCCCCCATCGGGGCCAAGATGCTGGTCGATGCCGTCCGGAACCGTCTGTACGTCCCGCCTTACAGGGCCGTCCAATTCAGCAGTGTCCCGGGCGTGGACTTGACGCATGCGCCCAAGGTCACCAACGAACTTTGCGCCGTCGACTTTGAGGCGCTCCCGAAATCCGCGATTCTGAGGCGTAACCGTGCACTTCAGTCTCTTCACGGCTTTGTGCGGTTCGGCCCCGACCCAAGCCAGGTGCTCCGCATCAATTTCGGGGCAGACATCAGAGACGTCAAAGATGGAGATATCCCAGAAGAAGTCAGGGGTGCAGCGGAAGCAATGCCGAATGGTATTCCCTACGCAATTGTCCCGACACACGAAAATGTCAATGAGAGCTCGAAACCTCTAATCATCAACGCGCGATTAGACAAGTATCATGAGGGTCGCCAAGTTGTCATTCCGCTAATCACTGTCTCGTCTCGGGCAAAAGGCCCAGGTGCAGGAGCGGCCGCCCGCGCAAAATTCTTCTCAGAGCCTGAAGTGTTTGGCCGGTTTAAGTTATATCGCTTCTCCCACCCTATATCCGGACTACCTGAGCCACCCTTTGTCGAGATCCATGGCAACACCATCCGCACTTAACCCTAGCGGTCTATCGAATGACAAGACCAGAATCTGGCTTTTGTCAGCGACTTGTTTGGGCAGGAAGGGCACAATCCGGAACTTACCAACGACAATCTCCTGGCCGGTGATGGACGTGTTCTTCGCAAGGGAGATATAGGCGTCTGCGCAATCGTCGAGCAGAGTCTGAAAAGATTGTCAGTTGGGCGGATGGATTGTTGAGAAGAGAACACACCTCTTGTTTGAGGGCAGCGGCGTTCTTAACAGCCTTGATGCGCTCATCGCTGTACCTTAGGCCCTATCGCAGGTGTCAATGCCATGTCTGTTTTGCCCTCGGCAGTGTAAGCAGAGGAAGACCAACCCATTCCGTTAGAAGAAGACCCGGAAGGACGGCATTAATGCGGATCTTTGGGCCTTGTGTGGTGGCAAGGCATTTCATCAAATGGAGACCTGCGGCTTTGGTAACCGAATAGCCCATGCTACTGCCCGAACAGCTTATTCCCTGGACAAACATCAGCATACGCTCTGGCCCGAGGAATGATCAACCTACCGCAACAGACGAGGAGATGATGAAAGCACCGCCATCCGGGTTCTTGTTGAAGATTGGGGCAGCTTCCTGCAACAAGACCAGGTGGGACATGACGTTGGTGGCCCAACACTAGGACCGTGAGCCAAAGAGCGACTAATCATTGATCATCATACCTTGTTCCATTCATCATGGCTCATATCATTGATGTCGCCAAAGTTGGTGAACCTCGTCCAGCCAGCATTGTTGATGATGATGTCGAGTCCTCCCAGTTGCTGAGCACTCTCTTTCACCAGGCGAACGGTGTCACCGACGGCTCCAATGTCCTGGCCAATGTCCTGTCAGAATTGCAACTCGTTGCGGGCTTCGACAGGTAGCTAAGCATCCTTACGGCCTGAATTACAACAGCCTTGACCCCAAATCCCTTACACTTCTCGGCGACCTGATCGGCTCTGTCTTTGCTGCTGACATAGTTTACCACAATGTTGGATCCTTCTGCTGCGAACTTCTCACAGATCAGCGCCCCGAGACCTCTGGCGTCTAGCCGTTAGTGAAATGTGTAGCGTTTTCCGGGGCTGATCGAGGGCTTGCCTAGATCCTCCTGTCACCAAGACATTGCGGCCTTTGAGAGAGTATGGCATATTGCTGGGAGTAAAATGGTTAGGCTTCTTTGTAGAGGACTGGTCTCGGGATCTGATTGCAAGGTCAATCGTCCAACTTTCGGAGAGAATATAATGATCTTATAGAAGAAGACAAAGCTGTTAATCCGGCATTTTGATTGATTATGCGGGGCCGTCGCAATCGAGGCGAGGAGAACCGTTGCCTTCGTCCCTCCCCCCACATTGGAGGGAACGGACGCTGAAGACCGCGATTTCACCGTTGATTGCCGCGGCTGTTTGAAAGGCTGGTTGACGGTTATAGCCAACGGATTTTCCATTGTAATCACAAGAGCCGTGCGAAACTCTCGCTGACCACATCATGGATGAGATGGTAAAACGACTGACGGTAACCTCCTCTCAGGGGTCACGGGGGAGCCCCTCGTAGGTATGAAGAGAACAGGACTGTGCGCAAGACCACGACTTGTCTCGAGAAATGTTGTGGATATGGACAGAGACAAGTTTTACGCGCAGAAGAGAAAACGACGATACTAGAGGGACGAGATGATGGTCCATCCCGTTGCTGTGAGTGTGAGTATGAGTAGCATCGCACCGCTCCTTCCCAAATGGCCCAGCATGTTGTCTGCCTGCCACCGCAGGAACCGTCCTGGACCTGCCGCAGCGATGGCTGCAGCTCGGCGGCGATTCATTTGCCTGCGTTGGTGTCGTCAAAGACATTCTGCGGCCTTGCCCAGCTTCGCAGAGCGTGCAGTCCAGCTCCTCTACTGACCTTCCTGTCCCTGTCCTTCGCCTTGCTGTCATTCAAGTCTCTCGCGTTAAGGGTGGCCCCCGGATGATGACCGTCTTGTGAAAACACTTGTTTCGTCGCTGAGCCAGCATGGTTTCCCACACACGGTCTCGGAGCAAAGGCTCATTCTCCATCTTCTCCTTTGACACCATCCGGTCATTCAGTCGTGCTGGTTCTCGACAAGGTAAGAAGTTCCCAAGTGGCTGTTCTCGCCATCTGACCTTCTGTTGCAGCGTCTCGGATCCCCTCAAAGGATGAACTGCGCGATCGGACAGAATCCAGTCTCTCTCATCGATGTGATCCCAATGACCAACCGCCAGCCTCCCCGGAGCCGATATCCCCTGACGATGTCGTGGAGGGATCTGTCAAGTCCACGTCAAAATCACCACAAGGCCTGGGCAACCATGATGAAGGCCAACAAATTCGGGGTGAAGCAGAGACCGCCGTACCGCAATTCCACAGTACACGTCGTCGAGCACATCGGCTGCGTCCCAAATCGTGGCTGTCCTTTTCACGTCTATCCTCCCAAAATCAATACCCTCGCAGCATCTCCACTCAGCTGCCCAAGACTTCTTCTACCTCCACGGTTGCTCGCAGCGTCATCTCTGCTCCCGTCCTTACCAGTACCACCAACGTCTCCGTGGCTCGTGCTGAAAGAGTCCATTGTGGAGAAATATCTGATGTGGCTTTTGCTCAATCCACTTGGAACTCGCAGGTTGGCTGGGTTGCCACCAACAACCAGGACGCCGGAGAATCGCCCAGTGACAGATTAGCTTCTGAGGGAGCCCCTGGTGAGCGTCTCGAACGGGCTACCAATCTGACAACGTCGAAACGAGGACGGATTCTCCAGCTGAGGAATGCCATAAGGAGCAAGATTCGAAATGGGGCCTTACGCCCGCAAGGTATCACGACACAACAGAAACAAAACCCAGAAACTCTTGGAGACGTAGAAGGCGACCAAGATCCGACGTTGAAGAGAGATTTGTCACGTCGGCGTGCAGAGACTTTGAACCTCTACAAAGAGAAGATCAAAGGACTTACAGGGAATGGCCACATTCGACGCAAGTCTCTGAATAACAACAAAGGTGCAGCAGAGTCAAGAGGCGGAGACTCTCCTCTCCTTGGCCATGGCGACATCATAGACGTTCCCACGGCAGATTTGGCTGCCGAACATAGCGATAGTGAGTCTGCCTTTGGCTCACTCACCAGATCTTTCACCAGCGCCGTTGACAAACTTGATTTCCACTCGACCCTGCCACGCAACATGTCCTTCCTGAAGTCCAGGTCGTCCTTCTTTCATTCAAAAAAAGGGGAAAAAGGGGGCGGAAATCGAGATGAAGCGAGGCAGCAATTCCCACCGATTTCGCCTTCCAGGCCAGCGCCTCCAGTAGCTCAAGTGATAGCCGCTTCGTCTCAATCAGATCTCCTGGGGACATTCGGTTCTGGAGCCCATCCCAAAAAGCTAACCTCAGCACCACGGCCTGTTGGATCACACAAACCTGAGAGTCAGGACTCCGGATCCAACCAGGAAGACCACGCATCCCATCGCACTGCTGTTGCGCCATTGGTGTTTTCGGCTGAAAAGAATGGCTATGTGCCCGCAGCCCCGATAGCTGGATACCCAAGGGGCGTCAACCCATTGCGTATGCATCCACCTGCAGCAATGGCTGTGGCGCCATCGGTCCCATATCGAGCAGCACAGGCATTGCCAGTTGACCAAGATGCTCCTTCTAACCTCCCGCGGAGACACACGGCAACCCCCAACAGCGAGGACCGCGAAGGCTCAGATACGGCTTCACTCGAAGATGCCCCGATCTACTCTCCTTCTCTCGGTGATCTTAGTCAGTATGCCCGCGATACACCTCGCTCAACAAAAGCCGTCCCCACCGCAAGCAGTAGAGATCAGCACGAGAGTTCGGCGTCGCCTCGAAGCCCAGTTAAGAAGGATCTTACAATCAAAGCACAAGCCGGTCCATTGAAGAAGAGCAGGAGTGGTGTGGGATTGTTCTCGAAATCTAAGGCGGAAAACACATCAACAACCGCAAATCACACTGGAGGCCGGGCTGAATCACCGGTGTATCAGCGTGATGGCAATCAGCAGGGCAGCTCCGACAGCGGCAAAGGAAAGATGGTGAAGAAAAGTAAGAGTTTGCATTTTGGAGGACTTTTTAAGAGGAAGGATCCGTCTGACCTGATCTCGACCATGGCATCGTCCGCCTTTCAGCCAGCGACTCCTTCTCCACTTCGAAAGGTGATGCGCTTTGGCAGTCAATCGACACGAGGTGGCGGCAATTCACCTACAGCGCCGTCGGCAAAGAAATAGAGTGGTCAAGCAAACAGGGTGGCGCATTGTAAGGACAGACACGGAAAAATGACCCAGCCCACCAGAGGCAAGACAGACAGACACAGAGCGGGTCTAGGATGAAATTGGGCGCGGACTGTTTAGCATGGGTATTTGATACCTTGCATGGCTGTACGAAGATGGAATAAATGTCGCCGCAGCGTGGCCGACAGGGCGGGCCTGGATTTGCGGTGTAAAGTCAAGGGGATGTGTCCCGCTGCAGAGTAACCGAAGAATTGAGTGCATGGTGGCTGCATATGTTCGAGAAGATGGCTACTTGTATTACTCCAGATATGAGGTTTCAAAAAGGGGAGGGAGAAGTTGAACTATGGTGAGATCGACACAGGCCGAGCCTTCGGTTCCATGCATTGATCTGCGTATCTCTAGTCAGTCTGTGGGTTTCACATCGTCGACCAGCCATACGAGGTTCTTCGGACCGAACTCATCTCAACAATGATAGCGATGCCTCATCCGACCTAGCCCAACAGGGAGAGAGAGAAAGGGACGGGTGCAAGTAAAGCAAACCTAGCGGGTCCTCGGACCAGTCAAACGCACAGGCAAGGGCTGAATGACTTTGCCCCAGAGTGTCAGCGCGCAGTCAACCTTGCATTGGCCCGAGGTGGAGATGGAAGAGGTATGAACAAGCAAATGACCAGAGATTACATGATCTTTTCTTGCTATTCTTGCGCTTCTTTCTGTGTGGACGGTTGGGCCAGATTGGTCCATCTGGAAAGCCTGGGAGCCTGGCTTTGGGTGATGAGTTGATCGTTTGATAAGAGGCCTGGTGCGCCTGATGTGGACAGTGGTACCCTAGCACTGGCGGTTAATGGAGCAAGATATGGCCCCTGTGGTTTGCTTGGCCCTGTAGTACGAGCAAGAGCCAGGCGTCGGTTTACCGCCTGGGTATCCCTCAATGGAGTTCTCGCCCTTTCCCCGGTTGGAGCCTCACTAGGATTTAGGCGGTAGGAAGCCATTTCACCGCCCACCAGTGATGCTTCGGCCTACTACTGGGGACGGAGACTTGCACAATTGACGCCTAGTTCACCTACCCACTCTGCCCACCGCCTACAGTCTAGGTGGTCTAATTGATGCCTAAGCTCTCGTAGGTACCCTGCAACAGTGCCAGCGCCCAGTGCCACCCACCACATTGTCTCTGCTGGTCACCTCTTTTCCCCCCTCCCTATTGTGTTATTTTTCTCATGTTCAACTGTTGTCCATCGTGCACTTTGGACGACTTATTAACATATCGCTGCCCACGGTCCTGGGTTACCCCAGCCTTGACACTAGAAAAAAGGCCCGCAAAGGCTCTGATGTCCGGCGTCAATCCGGGTTCCTGACCCAGGTTCCACATTTTCCAGTGGGTGGCAGGCTGCGGTTGTAGCCATCGAGCCCTGCATCCAGCCATTGCCCATTGCCGGCTCGCTGGCTCCTGCGCAGTCTTGGCAGGAGCTGCTCGATTCTGACTGCAGAACTTCGACTCCTTCTTGAGACAACACATCCTGCAGATGGTGCTTGCCTATCTTCATCTTCCATTGATCACCTCATTATCCCACTGCATGTTCCTCTAGCTTTGCCTGATCTCTTTGGTAGCGTATGCTCCTCTCTTCCGCTTGTTTGTCCTTACAAGAATTGCTGCATGGTTACTGACTGCTGCAGTCACCGCGGTGGCGGAGGTGTGAACCGCCCTGAGGCTTCGCACTTTGTACCTACATAGCCTCCCGACGTCGTCCCTCTGTGCAAAATAGCCTTCTTGTCGACAAATCTTTCTCCTCTCCTCACCATCCCGCTCGACACCTCATCCGGATCAATCAATTATTGCAGCCATGGCCTCCTCCTCGTCCAATGTTGTCGGAGTGCATTATCGCGTCGGGAAGAAAATAGGAGAGGGCTCGTTTGGCGTCATTTTCGAAGGCACCAACCTACTCAACAACCAACAAGTTGCAATCAAATTTGTGAGTATCCTACTTGTCAGTGTCGCCATGACTTTTGAAGAGCTAATGAGGTGCGACACAGGAACCGAGAAAAAGTGATGCCCCTCAGCTGCGCGATGAATATCGGACATACAAGATCCTGGTTGGCTGTCGTATGCTACACCTTTTTTACCTCACGAGCTTTAGAACCCGCGAGACTGACCCTGTCCTCCAGCTGGCATCCCCAATGTCTACTACTTCGGCCAAGAAGGTCTACACAATATTCTTGTGATCGACCTCCTCGGTCCCAGTTTGGAAGATCTCTTCGATCATTGCAACAGACGCTTCTCAATCAAAACGGTGGTGATGGTTGCTAAACAGATGGTACTTGGGACCCGCCCGAAACCACTCCCAAATGCTAACCCGTTGTGTAGCTGTCGAGAGTGCAGACGATCCACGAGAAGAATCTAATCTACCGCGACATCAAACCCGACAACTTCCTCATTGGCCGACCTGGTACGAAGGCTGCTAACGTCATTCACGTCGTGGACTTTGGAATGGCCAAACAATACCGGGATCCGAAAACCAAACAACACATTCCTTACCGTGAACGAAAATCGCTATCAGGCACAGCGCGTTATATGAGTATCAATACACATTTGGGACGAGAACAGTCACGACGAGACGACTTGGAAGCTCTTGGGCATGTTTTCATGTACTTTTTGAGAGGCGGGCTACCATGGCAGGGTCTGAAGGCCGCCACCAACAAACAAAAGTACGAAAAGATTGGCGAGAAGAAGCAAACGACGGCCATCAAGGATCTGTGTGAAGGCTTTCCGGGTATGCTTCCGTGGACCAGTTTCTTCAGCTTGAGACCTCCCTAACTAATTCGTGCTACAGAGGAGTTTAACAAATATCTCAGCTACGTCCGTAATTTGGGCTTTGAGGACACCCCGGACTACGACTTCCTACGAGACCTGTTCACGCAAGCGCTTAAAAACACCGGTGAGGTGGAGGATGGTGAATATGACTGGATGAAGTTGAATGGCGGTCGTGGTTGGGAGGCCGTCAAACAACATCCATCGCAACTTCATCTGCATAATGCCAACGCCCCTCCTGATGCCTCTGCTCGTGCCTTGCACGGAGCATCTGGCGTCCGCGCAGATGCGCAGCGACCTTCACGAGACCGAGCAGCAATATCGGCCGACCGTTTAAACGCAGCGCAGCCCCCGCCCCCAGGGTCACCAGCGAAGCCGGGAGTAGCGGCCATGGGGAAGAGCGCTCGAGATCGCACAAGCGGCGCCGCCGGGGGCAATCTCCCAAAGAGAAGTAGTGGGTTGGCCGGCCAGCTGGACATGAACACACCTCCAGCGAGTACCCAAGCACAGTTCCAAAACAGCAATGCCAACCTGGTGAACCAGCAGGTGAGAACAAGCCCCGCCGCCGGGGCCTTGCAGAACAACCAGGGCCGACCTGCACAACAACAGGAACAGCAACCTGGTTTCTTCCAGAAGATGATGAAAGTGCTTTGTTGTGGTATGTTGCCCAGGCATATGAGTCTGTCCTGGATGTGAAAACTGACGTTCTCCCCTAGGTTGAAAATGTCGAACGAGATCATCGCCCAGGCGGCCCACATCTCATTGATCTCGACGGCCAATCTCCCCGCGGTTAACCACTTGATGGATTTTGCGCCTCGGCTCAGACCTGGAGGCATTCATCCTCTGACTCAACGTCTCGAATTTCCTCTATTTGGCATCGGTTGGCTCGGAAAAATGGCCCAAGGCAACTCTTGTCGTTACCCAAAAACAGGCGATACAGGCGAGGACAAAATCCTTAACGACGGATCACGATCACTTTTGTGCATAGCATCTTTCCTTGTTTCCTCATTTTTTCGTTGGTGTGTACAAGGATCAGCAGGGTGTTATCTATGGCAGCATTTTTGGGTTGGGGAGCAGGGTGTTCCTGGCGTCGAATGCACGAAGACTATTGGCGCTCCCTGGTACAACGAGGAGTAGGCAAAAGGAAATTACTACTACAATAACAAGAAGGACAAGAAGAAGAAGAGGATGAGCAGAAGGTGGAGGGGCCACAAATCAGGGGTCTAACGTTCTATCCCTTTGAAAGGCTGAATGAACTGGTGTAAAATAGACAAGAATAACCACAAAGACCCAAAAAAATAACCAGGGAAGAACCACGCAAGGAAGGCGGTAATGAAAAGACAAAAGATTTACAATACAATATCGAATATGAAGCATTTGCTCTGGACCATGGTAGCAATGCACGGAACACGGCATCGAAGAGCATCTGGTTTTACGGTGGCCGGTCTGGGAGGGACAGGCTAACTTGGCAGGCACCGCTACACAGCCACAACCCATGTGCTAGCTGTTGTACCGAGTGGAATTTACTCGTACCAGGTACTCTGACCTTGGTACCTCGCTAATTTCTATCAGAACGGTTCCAACAACGTCACCATGTCCTGGATCTTGCCAGGCACCAGGATCTCGAGCAAGCGAGCTGACGGCACTTTGACAGATATGGGTGGGGAGGGGGACTTTGCATCTATATGAACACACATCAACGCAGGCCTCCGAGGGCAACTGGCAAGGTCACCTACATACTTACCTAGCTAGGTATTTTCACAAGGCAGACACACCACCACCAACACCAGTCGGCGCTGTCGGTCATCAAGGTCCGCCAGGGGGGGGGGGGGGCGAGGGGACGCCAGGTGATTATGGCCTCTCTGGTTGAGTCGTCGGTGGATGTGGGTCACGGGTAGAACATTCATGGACCAAAAGGCAACCAGGACTCAAGGCTAGGGGATGTGGACTTGGGCATCATGTTGCAGAAACTCCCTGTGTGGAATTTGGCAGCTTTTAGCTGATTCGGCTTCTCACTGGTGGTGGCTGCTCGGAGGGTGGTGGGGTGACCGCCGATGGGTGACATGCAATGATGAACAGTCTACTCGGGACGGAGTACTGTATGAGGTACAGAGATGGGAGTACCGAAAGCCTTCTGGCAGGTTGAGCTTTGGAGAGCTGTGGCGCCTATGGTACCTATACTCATGTACCGAGTACCTAGGGCTGCTGAGGCCCCAAGGGATCTTTCGGTTGCCTTTTGGCACCCGTGCTCCTAAAGAATCGAGGGGTCGGGCTAGTCAATGGTACCTAGGGCAAAGATCCCCAGACACCAATGGGAGTGCTTAGACTGGCTTCCCGGCATGGCGCTTCCCTCGTTTCAAGTGTACTTCGTTAACCACCTTTCTTTAGAACCCCCCCATCCGGCATCTCGCATCTCACACCTACCTCGCACTCCTCCATCCCACTGTTAGCTTTCCACTCTGGATACCGCATATTTGTCGCTGCTGAAAGCCAACACCTCTTCCACTTCTTGTCGACTATATCGCCTCTCCTTGTACCCTGGTTGCCATTTTGCCCTTTCGCGGGCTTCTTATCTTGCCGCCATCCATCTCCGCGACTTACACAATTCCCCAGCTCGCCGCCGCCGCCAGCATATCGCACCCACCCAAGTTCTCATCTCGAGTCTACCGCGCACCCGCATCTGCTCTTTTTTGCGCTCTGCGTCGGCGTCGCACCGGCCTGGCGATACTGTGCCTGGACAACTCCAGTCATTGACAGCGCTCTGCGACTACTTATAATATCCGGACTGCGGCATAGCCTCACTGTGCGGCTGAGTATGGCCCCCAGCCTGATCCGACCACGCATCGTATGAGGACATCTTTTTCTGACTTACTGCGCCACAGGCTAGTCTGCAAGGTGTACTTGGATACCACATTCTTACCACCAATTGAGCACAATCTCGAGCCTTATCCCGGCCTCAGACGGCAGTATACTCCAGGAGGAGCCATCGTTTCTCGGCGGCCCCAAGCGCTTCATCATCCTTCCCACCTGGTCCCTTCTCCGCATCTCTTCTAAATCGGCGGTTCGTGCCTGAGCGATTGTGTTAAAAAAGATGGACAATCCCCGAGGGAGATCTCCCTCGAGAGGCAATGCGCAGCACATAAGCCCTCAGCCTTCCCCAAACCATTACCCCGGCATTGTACCTGGAGTAGACCCCTCGGTTCAACAAGCCTTGACCACTGGCAAGTTCAATACCTCCAGCAACGTCTTCAACAATCCCTTCCTTGCTTCTCAGCAACAGGGCGGACTCCAACCCGATCCAAACGAGCCCAGTTTCTATAATAATAGCCAATATCATCAGAACATTTATTCAGATCCTCAATTCGGAGGCCAGGGTCTGGACCAGTCCTTCAGCAGCGGTGGCTTCATGTACCAGGGCGAAGATATGGCCGGTGATTACAGCCAGACCTATTCTTTGAACCAACCCTTCGACATGAACCCTCAGAACAATGTAAACCCGGCAGAATTGAGCAAGGTGTCTTCACCCCAGGATCACCAGTCCCCGAATCTGCATCCTCCCGAGAATCATTCGTCTCAGCCAGGTTCGCCAGCTTCAACAAATGGCCAGTACTACACCCCTCAGCATTCAAGAAATGCTTCGCTCGACCCCTCCAGTGCCTATTCCGGCCTGAGTTTCCAACAGCACCGGAGAGCGCCATCGGAGCATAGCGATATCTCGTCCGCGAACCATTCCCCCTACCTTGCTCATACAGAATTGCACAACCCAGGAGTCGACACTAACCACTCGCCGTATCTTCCCGCACAACCGGACACGAGCAACGCGTTTGGGATGGAGAGCTTTAGTTTGGGCGATCAGGCGCCGTACCGGTCTCCCAGGCTGATGCCAAGTATGGAAGCCAATCAACAGGGTCTTGGACTGGACGGAAGTGGCTTGCGTCTGGGTCAGCCCCTGGGAATTCCAGTGCCCGACGTATATACCACACAGGCGCCCCAATACCAGCCGCCCGTTGTTCCCAGCAATCATTTGCGGAATACCTCGGTCGTCTCGGACATTGGTCAAGCTGATCAGTTCCAACCTCCAACGATCAACATTGAACCGGCGCCGGTGTCGAGACAGCAAAGCTTCGGGCCGCAGGGCGAGGCCACTGAAGGTGCTTTGAGTCCTCCTTCGAATAACAGTATGCCGTTGCAATCCCAGCTGACATTGTGAAGAAAAGCTAACTTGAGATCTAGGGGGCCGTAACCGAAGCAAATCCGATGTCACATTCACACGCCCCTTGTCAAGGTCGAGTTCGCCGGGGCTCACTGCGACTAACGCGAACCGCAACAGCCTCTCTGTCCGATCCAGCACTCCTGAGAGAGGTCAATCACTCTCTCGGGAATCATCCCCTGGACCAGGTGTACAATCTGGGCGCATTGACAAGAACCGCCGAGCTAGTACCTCGTCCATGGGTCAAAGCAGGGATTATATTTTGGATCTCGCCGATCCTACCAGGCCAAACGCATCTCCTTCCGGATCAAATACGAGGGTCCAAAAACACCCCGCTACGTTCCAATGTAATCTATGTCCGAAACGGTTTACAAGGGCCTACAATCTACGATCGCATCTACGAACGCATACCGATGAACGACCTTTCGTGTGTACAGTCTGTGGAAAGGCGTTTGCAAGACAACATGATCGCAAACGCCATGAAGGCTTACATAGCGGGGAGAAGAAATTCGTCTGCAAAGGCGAACTCCACTCAACGCCGGGTCAGCATTGGGGATGCGGAAGGCGGTTTGCAAGAGCGGATGCCCTTGGTCGGCATTTCCGCAGTGAAGCCGGACGGATATGCATCAAACCCCTTCTGGAGGAAGAGAAGGCAGAGCGGCAGAACAGAGCGATGATGGAGCAGCAGCAACAGCAGCAAGCACATTATGCTCAGCAAGGCGGGCTGCAACCCGTTCCTCAGCCAATGATGATTGGCATGGACCCCACGACAGGTGCTGGTGGGTTCGCTTTACCCGCAGCGCTCCTGCAGCAGTATCCTGCATTGCAGAACATAGATTGGTCGCAAATTTCGACCGTCGACGATCAAGGAGACCTCAGCGACGTTGGCGGTATGGGAAGATCAGGGTTCGATGCATCAAGCGGTGGAGAGTACTATGATGAGGACATATCAGATGGCTACGTAAGTGGCAACGGGATGGATTTTTCGAACCCTGCGGCGCAGCAGATGTACATGGGAAGCTGAGTCTATGACTTGGATTGTTTTTGATGTTGCTTTCTGGTACTTTGCTCTTTTGATGATATCCCTGGTTTGGTCCTTGGTTTCCTTCTTTTTCTTTGGCTGGCCTGATGGTCAGAAACTGGTTTCGGATGTTTGATAGATTGTTTGTGTCAATGATCCTGATGACAACGGCGGACGGCAATAAGGAAGAAAGTGCAGGGCTTTGGACAAGCCCCAGAGATACTACCCCTGTAATGATGTCAATGAAATGATGCAGTTGATGGACTCTTAAACGTGGACCAGTTCTCTTATACCGTATCGTGCTGGAAGTATGTCTGTGGTAGGACAAAGAGAGGATCGCAGGAAGCAGACGGTAAGAGGTTGGACAGGGACGATGAGTTCCCAAGTGATATCCAGCTCCTTGTTCCAAGGATATATCTTCGACAAAGGTAGTGCTGGCCAAAAATGGTTCTCGTCATGTCGATAACAGATATTTAGCGAACGAAGAGCGTTCACGCTCAGTATCAAAGCAGCAGAGGACTCCATGCACACAGCAAAGCCACGACAGTGATGCTGAGGACGTTTGGCTCCTCGGTAGACGTCCACGCATCCGGTTCAAGATGGCAAGGCTGGACAAGGCTGCCAAGCCGCTAAGCTTTCCGCCGTATAGAACCAATGTCGACCTCACCCCCTCTGCCTCTAAACCAGTTTCGCCGATTCAACAGTGTGCTCACTCGTCTTCACTGCGGGTGTGGCAGAAAGATGGGTGAGCACACTGTCGCTTGCGCCAAGCGATGGCTTCCACAACCATTTCAACGCTTTGCAGTAGTGACATCTTTGAGATGGTTGATATTGCATTTCTACTGCCAGTCGCACACCCTCAAACCGCTCAACACCGCTGCGAAGCGTTCATACACCAGGCGCGATGGGCAAGAACAGCTCCAAGAAGGCTGCGCGCCATGCCCGCGCCACTCAAGACTTCTTCAACCAGGTTCCGGAATCATCTACTGGAGATTCGGCCAAGACGTCGACCGGGGCTTCTTCAATTTCTACTCCCACGAACGTTGCAGATGCTCTTGGATCCTTTGTCAACCCCGCGAACGCTGCCAATTCCCGTCTCTTGACTGGAACCTTTCAAGCGTTTGATCTGAGAGACGACTACAGACAAGCCGTACGTTTCTCCCATCAACAAAGGTGAAGGTCATTTCAGATCTGCTGATACTGACACAAGTTTGTCTCCGTCTCAGGCCTGTTTACTCGGAGAGCGCATCTACCACACCTTTGAGAGGAACAAGGAAGCCGCTCGAGATCTCCTCCGTCACCTGTTCACCACCGCTTACTTGACTGTCGACAAGTCGACTGGCAGGAGAGAGTGGCGTCTCGACACGGACATCAAATACGAGATCGTTGAAGCCATCCACTCCACGAAACTCATCGGCCTTTTCACTCATCAGAGACCCATCAAGAACTCCAATCCAACTCGCCTTGAGTACGTCATCGACGGCCCATCCTTTCTTGACGAGTTCGACGTGGTTGGCATCATTGTCGACTTCTTCTTGGACTGGTCGGTTGAGTGTGCGGATTTTCTTCGCGAACACCCAGATCTCAGAAGCCTCGACATCTCCCTGCTCGAATACCGTGACAAACACCTTCCATTTGCCTGTATCGGCATCATCGAGATCGCTGCTGCTATCAAAGCCGGAGTTCCTATTGACCTCGACCCTCGCCCTCTCGAATTCTTCATCGCCGTTAGAATGAACAAGATGGCTGGTGAGCAGAACCTCTTCGTCCAGGGAAAGCCAAAGAAGGTTACCCGCAAGAACAAAGGTGAAGGCAAATTGAAGGCTACTGAACCCACTGCCACCGGAATGGAGCACACTGCCGAAGGTTTTGAAGAGAAACAAGATGACAAAGAACATGTCACCAACATGAATGCCACTGTCGAAGATGCCGAAGATGAAGACGATGTCAACAATGGTGATGTCGCCACCACTAGCGCCGCTGCTGAGCCCGCTGTCACCACCATGGAGTCTACTGCCGAAGTTGCCAAAGACAAGAATGTCAACAACGGTGCTATTACTCTTCCTGCTGCTGGCACTGGCGCTGGTGCTGACGCTGGCACTGCTGCTGTCGCAGGTACTACTACTGGCACTCCCACTCTCACTCCCGCTACCGCTACTGGTCTCAACATTCCTGTCGCCCCTGACTCCGTTGCGACTCTGATTGCTGGTGCTCGAGCCCTTTCCATCAACGACTCTCGCCCAGGCTCAGACGATCCGTACAGCCTTCGCACTCGCAATCGTCACATTCGACGAACCATGGGTGCTCGTGGCTTTTACATGAACAACGACTCCACTGCAGCTGGTGACGATCCGTTCAATCTTCGCACTCGTCCGAGACTTCCTCAGGCATCAGCCAACTATGTCGACCCTTTCACTGATGCTGACGCTCCTACCCCCACCGGCGCTCCTGTTCCTGACGAAGATCCACGCCCTCGTCGCGGTGACAGACTTCGTGCAAACACTACCAACCCCGGTGCCACTACTTTTACTTCTCCCATGACTGCGACTGACGCGTCTGGTACTGCCGAGTACACTGATCCTCCTCCCCGTGTCCGCGCAGGTCGTCGCCGTACTTCTGGTGCCACTGCCGGGTCCCGCAACACTTCTTCTGGTGCCACTGCCGGGTCCAACAACACTTCCCCCCCGCTAGGCGAGACTGCGGCTCGGCGCCTTGCCAAGAACCGACTCTACCAGGAGCTTCAGGATCTTGTCAACACCAACTTCCCTTCTGCCGCGGCTCGCCGTACCGCCTTTGCGCAGGCTAGACAGCGCCTTCTCCGTTCGGAGACCGTGGCGGTCGCGCGCGGCGAACAGCCGTTGCGTGCCACTGCAACCAGAGCCACCCAAGAGGCGCTCACCATCGGCCGCGACGATGCGTTGAATGCGGTCCGTCAGCAACGTGCAGCAGAGGCCGCTCGGATGAGGGCCACCAGAACTGGAACTGAGGCGAACGCGCGTGCCCGAGAGCAGGGATTCGGGTTCGACATCGGTGGGATGGGCGGCTGGTATGGCGAGTTGGAGGCCATGCAGATCCAGGCTCTTCGGGGCAAGAAGAGCGATGGCAAGAAGGAAGGCGAGGCCGACAAGAAGGTCGGCGGCGATGAGAAGAAGGACGGCGACGAGGCCGAGAAGTGAGATGATCGCTGCTCAAGGCAGTTCCCTTACGTGATCGTTCGGTTGAAAGCCTGGCCTGTTTGTTTCGAGTATTTACACCAATGATACCCATCAGAGGGTTGCTCACCCCAGTAGAGGGTTGAGCCAATGCACTTCAAAAGTGCCATAAATTCATCAAACTCACAAATGTTTTGATCCCTTCCTTGGTAAACCTTGCCTTGTTTTACTCTTGTCACATCCGTCGCCGCCTCTCTCACTGCTTCTCATCCCGATGACCACGACGCCGACTACGGCTAATGATGATACTGAACATGACGACGACAAGCACGCCGATGACGCTGATCTTGGTATGCGATGAGGACAACGAACCTTTGGTCGCCAGCTGCGCGCGCCGTCACCTATATCCCCGACGTCCTGTTTTTCGTCTCGACTGGACTTCCACCCCTCGCTCCCGCCCCTGCTATGCCCACGGTTCGGGGTTAAACACGGCGTGTGTACAGAGTCTATCTGGCCTTGAAGACTTCGACTACGACAACGACGGCAACGGCAACGAGAAGGGAGTTCTTCGCTCCGTGGTCGCCGTCCGCGGTGTACGTCTTCGATGTCGTCTCCCGCGGTGGTTCACAGGCATCGGTTTCGTGCAACGCTGTCTGCCTGGGTAGTAGGTTCATAGGCCGGACGTTGTGAGCTGGCCAGTGGTTTCACACTCAAGGATCGGTGCATGGTAGATGGTGCATGGATGCGCGCTTGGCTTGTTTGCTTGCTCGTTCGAAAGTCAAGAACCTTCCGTCCTCTGGACCCGGTCAGTGAGATCACCGCACGCTACGCTGCGTTTCAAGAAACAAACAAGACTGTGCCCTTCCTTGGTACATGGCCGTCTATTCCATCTATCGATCCGTTCGTCTATGTGAGTGCGCATGGTGGCCATTGTATGATTGTATGACTGTAGTACAATTCTTGATGTACATTCGCCTTTGTTCCTTTCCTGTCACGACGCCGAGCCTTCTCCTAACGTTTCTGTGTCGGAGGATGTCCAACTCCGGAACACCTTGAGGTTATTGCCATGAAGACATACAACGTAAGGAATAGGAACATGAAAAAGGGTATCCGCAATGAAAACTTTCGTATCGGGCAAACTTTCACGCCTCTTCCCGAGCACCCTTCTCCCTTTCAATCTCGACCGATTCGCCCGGGGGCGTGGAGAGCACGCTCGACGGATTGTACTCCTTGGGAGCCGCCGACACGGTCGACACCGGTGGAGGTGGGATGTATGCGCTTGACAGCCGCGGGAAGCAGAATCCGGGGTGGAAGACCGTCTGGACCAGTGTGGCGATGATGACCATGCTAAAGATGCAAGAATTGAAGAATTAGTCATGCGTTTTCTCCTTGGAATTGTTCTCCTGGACGGTTGTGCGAGGGGTGTGAAGGGTGAGGGAAACCGTGAGAAGTGACAATAGCCTCGAGGAAGGCGGCACAAGAAATTGTGATACATACCATCCATCAAGAGCGATGAAAGCCGGCTCAAACTGCATCACCGGATTCGCCCATCCGCCGGCCATCTCGACGATACGGTAGATGCACCGAATCACGATCGCCGCATACGCGACGATGAACCCGTACACAAACAGCCGGAATTTCCTGTCGTTCAGAAACCCCCGTGCCTCGGCGGAAAGGGGCTCCTCGCGTGCTCGCCAGCGGCTCAAGACGTACCACCCTGCGGCGCCGCCGAAGAAGAACAAGGTGACCACCTGCCAGGCGATACCGGCCATCATCAAGTCATCACCTATGTCTTGCTGGGACTGGTTGTCGTTGGCGGTAGCGGCCATGCCACCACCAATCGCCTGGATCACCAGCGATATAAGGTCCCCGGTGATGAAGATCCACGTGTACCAGTTCGGTTTGATCTTGGAGTATTGCGGCCCGAAAGCCAGGGTGACGTGCTTGAGAACCAGGTAGATGGCGGCCGAGTTGAAGGCAGGACCCAGGATCAGGCAGCAGATCTGGATCTGGAACCCGATCTCGTCAAAGGGATTGTGGTGTAGGATCACACGCCCAACGTATCCGAGCGCCTGGTCGACGCAGGCCAGCAGCATGGCGACCAGATACGTCCACGTCTTGTAGCGGATGCCGAAGAGGAGTTGGAGGGCGCCACACATGGCGAAAATGGCCACGAACAAGGCATTTGCACTGATCGAGGGATAGTAACCATAGATCGAGTGCTCGACCGGGCACCGGGGGGTGACTTCGGTGCAGTTGGCGAGGGGCAGATAAAAGGTTGCGTTGTTGCTGTTGGCCATTGTCTAAGAAATGCTTGGGGGAAAAAGAGTGGAAGAAGATAGTGAACAATGTACCCAGGGAGGGAAAAGGGAATATCAATGGTACCGTGCTCGCAGGAGTCAAGGAAAAAAGAGACCCATAACAGGGATACACCTATATGTACTCAGACCGGCATCCTCAGGCACCAACGAAACCAAGAGCGACGACAGGACCGCAGTAAAACAAGGCTCTCGGATTGCCAAAAACGCGAATACGAAGGATTTCGAACGTGAAAATCCGTCCACGTCGCAAGGTGTACAGCAAGACCGGCGGCAGGGCGAAAGGACCGCCCTGGTGGATACACGAGGGCTGTTTCGAGATCGAAAAAAGAGGCTTGTTTTGCCCTCATCGTGTATGCCGGTCTGTCTGCCATGTGGTTGGGTAGCCCATTGACCATGACGACCATGACCCAATGGGCCTTGTAAAGGCCCGAGCAAGGCTCTGCTGCTGTAAAACTCTGTCCGCAAAGGGCATTGGGCGCTGTGGTGTGATCTCGCAAGCTGAGCCCTAAAGTGGTTAAGGGGAGAAGCAAGAGCGGGACAAGGCTGTATCCACCAGTCCAGCAGCGCGCAATCCAGGCAACAGGGCGGAAGGCGTTTTCCGTGTTCTCTGCCAAAGCCTGATCCTGAGTGAGGATGCTCGGAGTACCGAATAGTAGCCCTTAGCTCATTGTGCGGGCGCATTTACAGGAAAGGACCTCCTTTGCGATGCTGATATCAACGTCGAGGTCGAGATGAGGTCGTCGAGGATCGGAGCGCGGAAGAACATTTCCTCCGTGCCGAGGATCCCCAATTCGGCGCAATTCTTCACAGCGCACAACAATCCATCGACATCTCTCTTCCATTCAGCCAACTTGAATCTGCCTGGGAACCTTCATCGCTGAGACAGACCGCGATCCCTGACTTCAGACACCTTTCGGCGTCTCATTGCAATTCTGGCTCCGATCTCCGAGCAGCATCGCACCCGTCGATCTCGAAAGCTTTTGATGCCGTCCCTGCATGCTGCATCCCCGTATATCGTGTCAGAACCCGAGATACGACCCGAAGGAACCCCTCCTCGACTGGGTCGATGACTCGGATGCGGCCTCATCCTTCCCTCAAACCTAAAACATGGCATATCCCTTGACCAGAATCACAGACAGCAATCATCACAATAGATTTAAAAGAGATGCTGCGCACGACGTTGAAAAGGGGACGACAGGCCCATTGCGTCTCGACAACTCAATCCGTTGTTGAGCTACAAAACTCGAACGACCCAATTCACAGGCGCGGAAACATGTCCTCCCTAGACACAAAACAGATTGCTCTAGAATTACCCCTTGTCAACCTGATTCATGCTTAGCAAATGATCCCATCCTGCACAGATCGTGGCATCTGCACAGATCACCCTGGGGAACCGGCATACCCCCTAGTCGAAATGACGTTTGTGACTCCGACTTATCCTCCAACCTGACGCCAGCACCTCCAGATGGGGTGTAGTGAATGAGAGATTTTCGAAATGGATGCTGATGATAACTACCGAGTGCAGGAGTCACAGCTGCTTCATTTCTTACTGGCAGCTACAATTGAGGTTGACAGCTGTCAAGGTCCCTTTGACACTACTGACGGCAGATGCAGAAAATCAAAACATGTGATGTGAATGGGCAGGCCAGCCATTGAAACACGCCTCCTCGATCTGGAAAGGACGAGCTCCTTGTTCGCAGGCCTCCCCTCACGTGGGTTGATGTCCGGCCACTTTCGCATTCTACAGCCTTCTGATTCATGTCTCCCTCTTTCCCTGGACTGATTGATAGTCCTTTTCGTGTGTGTGCCTCAGCTGTCAAGAATGACGGACACGTTCAACAAGGGCACTGGAATGCTTGGTACGGGACTAGGCTAATTTTGTCCTAATCACCCCGAGTTTGCAAGCCCCTTCACGCGTTGAGCACACCGGCCCATCAAAATCTCAGCAAGGGAGAAGAGCACAAAAATGTCCTGGATCCTGTCTGAGAACTCGCCTTGTTGCCGAAGCGATCCCTGCTCTACTTGGCTGTCGCTCGGAATGTGGTCCAAGTGTAGAGAGCGGGACTTTCGAGATTTTCACCTGGTGTCCATAACTTCATCTAACTCATATCGTAGTACGGGGCTCTTCCTTCGATTCACTGTGCCTGTCGTTGGGTTTTCCGAACTTTGTGGTGTCTTTGTGTTCTTACATCCTGTGGCAGATATTTTGTTGGTCTCATCCGACCAATATGGACCAGTATATGCCCATCCCTACCGAGGCCCGTACGAGTGATCACACAGACGATTTCGAGCTCTCGGACATCGACATAGAAAAGATTAATGACCAGCCCTTGCCCAAGTGGTATCGACTACCTGGCTGGAGGATATCATCGAGATGGGAGGTCCCATCAACCTGGAGGTTCCGGTCAACAGACGACTCCATCAACCTAAAGACCGTCGCAGCTCTCATTCTCGCCGGCGTCATTACTGCACTCCCACGGTTTCTGCGACCAGGAGGGTTGAAGAGGAAGAAAAAGCTACATCCGACTGCATATCTTGATGCTTTGAGAGGCTGGGCAGCACTCCTAGTCTTCCGGTTTCATATGTACTACAACAAAACGTGGCTGCTCGAGCTGCCAGTCGTTCGCGGTTTCCTCAATGGCCGCGCCATGGTTGAGGTTTTCTTCGTCATCTCCGGATACGTTCTCAGTTACCGACTTCTCAAGATGATGCGCAATCAGCAGCCGGACCTCCTCCGGGCTTTGGCCTCGTCGACATTCAGACGGTGGTTTCGACTATTCATGCCGACAGGCATTGGCTCTTTGATCGTCGCTATGGCCTCATATCTTGGCTGGTGTCGAGGGGATCTTCGCCAGGGCACTTTCCTTGCCCAGCTTTGGGATTGGTTCTGGGATTTTGGCTCAACCACCAATCCTTTCGCTGACATCAAAGGCTGGTGGTATCCAAGTGTCTTCCGCACGAAGTACCTCGACCCGATGTGGACTATTCCCGTCGAATTCAGAGGAAGCATAGTGCTATTCTCATTTTGTGCGGTCGCTGCTTTCTTGTCTACCAGAGGTCGGAGGATCTGTTGTGGCATCATTATACTCCTGTGCTACTACTGGTGGACCATCTATGCCGCTTTATTTTTGATCGGTCTAATGATAGCGGATCTTTCGTTCGATCGTCATCCAGAGCGTCTGCATCCCATGCCTCTTCCACCGCAGGACAACGAAGCATCACCAAATCACAGAACTAGTCGGCAAATCCTCACCAAGATTGGGTGCAGTCTCCTTGTGGTTGTGGCACTGTTTCTCTTCGGACAGCCGCAAGACGGATGGAGCTATCAAGGGCCATTCCCATTCGACTATCTCAGCAAGGTCATTCCGTGGTGGTATCCCCTCGATCTCAGTGAATACTTCTGGCTCAGTATTGGAGCCGCTCTTCTGGTTTTCGCTTTGGACAACTGTCGCATGCTTCAAATCCCTTTCGAGCTTGGCTTTTCTCAATATCTGGGAGACATCTCGTTTGGTATTTATGTCATGCATGATATTGTCAACTGGTGCTTTTATGAGCCTATTGTTGAACCATGGCGTGCGGCACACCTTGGCGATGGTTACTGGTCTGGCCTCCCGGGGATGCTGATTACAACAACTGTGGTGCTGTGGACCGCGGACTATTTCTCAAGGATTGATGCCTGGGTTGTGTGGTTTGGAAAATGGCTGGAGTCGAAGACCTTTGTCAAGTTGGAAAATTAAGGGGATGTTGTGCAACTTACAAGAATGAGGTCGTCGTTGTTCTTCGGTTCCGATTCCCGAACCCCAGTGTGCGATAGGTTTTGAGGTTACAGGCCCTTTCCCCTTGATATTTCCTGGAGTTGAGATGCATCTGCCAAAGCATATACCTGGATTCCTAGGGCCGGTGCCAATCACAACTTCTGAAAGCCAGGCTGACTGTTCGTCTTTTCGGATACATTAGGAGCGCTACCCGAATCTCCCATACCCAGTTATCAACTCCCATCATTTATTCTACCCAAGGTTACAGAACTGCTCATACTCAAATTCATAATGCAATCCTTTTTTTCCCGCCGCATCATGCATAATTTGTCACCTGTGAACTCGACATTGGACCTCTCTTTTGGAGTTGATGGTCTGATGCTAAATCTCTCGCCGTAGTCATCTCCACCGTGACCGGAGTTCCCATGGGTTGTGCAACCTGCCATTGCAGCAGTTGTGTCTACAGCTAACGCCATATGTGACACTACAGTTTCTCCTATATCTCAGTTCCTAAGATATAGGATTGACTCTCGTCAGAAGGAAGAGGCAAGCTCTATCAACGATTGTGGTTCTTGTCACAGAGAGGATCGCCGCCCCTGCCAAGCCTCAGCCTTGCCACACATGAACTGGCAGTGTCATCCTCTTTCCATCAGCTCCTGGAAGAGTCAATGTTCGATCACGACAAGTGAAATATCTGCGATGCCAGCATGCATATTGACGTCCACTGAGTGCGATATAGACATGATCGAGAAATCGACGTTGAACCCAGACCATGGGTTGCAGACGCTATAGCCCAGAGACATTCTTATCAACTCCATAGGAGCTAGACTCCGACAAAACGACCGGTGCCTGTGGCTGTCACGGGGCACAGAGGCGTATCGGTGCTTGGTATGGGAGATATCTCACTGAGTGCCAACAACTAGCTGGAAGAAGTAGAGTGAAGGGGTTCATGCTGGAATATCGCGGGGAAAAGGCTGCGGGGGTAATCTGTTGACGGCGATTTACGTCCATAACCGAAGAAGATTTGTCCCTAGATTCCTGTCTACTGGGCAGCACAGACAGCAAGGCCAATCCTTCATTCGACAACCATCTCCAATATCTCCATGACCTGTTCTTTCTCTGTGATGGGCTTCGCATTCGTCTGGATCCAATGGTCCCTGAGACTGTTCTTCGCCAATCCGTCCAGCTTGTCTCTCCCGACGCCCACCTCCTTCAACGTCCGCGGCATGCTGATCTCTCGGAATATCACGTCCAAAACGTCCCCCAGGTCGAGCTTCTCGAGAGTCCCCGGTGCCGAACCGTACTTGGTTTCCAACAACTCCTTCACTACAGGCGAGCGGAGCAACACCTGTTTGCAATAAGCCTGTCGTTCGACATTGGCGCCGACTTTCTCGTTCCACTTGCAGACCGCCGGTAACATGATGCAGCTGGTCTCTCCGTGGCCGACGCCCAGGGGCCCCAACTGGTGCCCGATCGCGTGGCTTGCCCCGAGGGGCACGCCGCTCCCCACGGCGCTCATGGCCTGAATCACGCCCCGCATCGTCTCGTACCTGGCATCCAGATCGCCAGGGTCCTTGTGCGTCCGAATCAAGGCCGGGACCAGTTTCAGCAGCCCCTTTTCGGCCTCGGCATCGCCTTTGTCGTTCGACAGCAGGCTGCACAGCGTTTCGACGCAGTGGTCCACGGCCCTCACGCCGGTACTCAGCCAGATCCGCGCCGGCGTGGTGGTGGTGAGTTCCGGATCGAGCACCACGATGCTCGGATTCCGCGTGGGCGGCTCAAAGAGGCACTTCTGGTGGCTGCCGTCGTCCCTCGTCACCCCCGCGATCGACTGGTACTCGCCGCCGGACAGGCTCGTGGGGATGGCGACGTGGCGGATCACGGGATCCTTGAACGTCTTTCGCCCTTCGGCAAACAACTTCTCCAACCCCTCGGACGTGGTGATGTCATTGGCGAGCATCCACGCGATCACCTTGGCCGCGTCTGTGAGCGATCCCGCGCCCAGCGTCACGATGCAGTCCGGGTTCTTGGGCGCCGCGTCCTGCGCAATCTCCAGGACCTCGTTCCAATGCGTGTGTGGGGTCATGCCGATCCTCAGTCCCACGACCTTGTCGCCCAAGGCGTCTTGGAGCCGTTTCAGCGCATTGGTGTTCTTCGACAGCGAGTTGGACGCGATGATGTAGACCCGGCTGGCTTTGACCGTGTTGGCGATGTGGTACGCGCAGGCTTCGTCGAAGCGCAGCCCCCAGGTGATGTACGGGATGTCACGATCGTCAAAGGCGGGCTCGAGGTGGTCAATGCCGTAGGAGAATGTCATCTTCGAGATGGAATGGTTCGCTTCTTTGTTACAAAGGCAGCCACGTTCCCACGAAGTCCTGGACTGTTGCAGCACAGGTCACGTCACAGAAGCAAATCAATCAAGTACATTTCACGAGCAGAGTAAGAATGATCGTAAAACTGAAAGGGAGATCAACTCCCGGGTTGGAGAAGTGTGGGGGAGTCGAGCGAGTGGGGCATCGACGAGGCTGATGGAGGCAGGGAGCTTTTGGACGTAAACCACTTCACCAACGCGGCAAATGGACCCGTGTAGAGGACAGAACGAAAAAGCAGAGCGATGCGAAGCGCGGAGATGAGTTCTAGGTCAATAATTCCAAACATGGCGTGAGTGTCACGGTCTTCCGGATGGAGATTGTGCCGCACGAGAATCATCCTCACGTACACACATCATTTTTGCATTTCGTGGGGCGCATCAAGTTGTTCGTCCATGACACAAAACCAAACATTCATCTTGGAATGAGTTATTGACATTGGGGTATCAATTCTCTCAATGTGCTGTCTGGCTCGATGAGTCCGCATGAGTCTTAGCTGGCCATCGCTCGTCCCGGACCGGTGTTCTCGACTTTGTTTCCCTTGATTTTGATACTCCATAAAATGTCAATGCTCTTTGGTCTTGTTGCCGTTTCCCTGCCCTATGGGCAATTCACCAGCATAGCAAAGCGAAGCAGTGTGCATCGGTGTGCATGCCATGGAAAAAACTTTTTCGATTGACCTCGGAGAAGTCGTGGTAGAGAAAAGGCGGCGTGTGAGAACAAACTCGAGGCGAAGCAGACGCTTAATCGAAGAGACCGAAACCCATATCCTCGTCGGATTCTTCCTTCTCTGTAGATTCATTGTCAGCAAACGTCTGTCGAGGGAGAGAGAGAGCGGGGCGCGGGCCAGCAAAATCTGCCGCGGCGGAAACGTACCCTCTTCCTTCTCCTCTTCTTTGGGCGCCTCCTCAGCTGCAGCAGCGCCGCCGGCGGCAGCACCACCAGCAGGAGCAGCGGCCGCGGCACCACCGCCTGAGCCGACGTTGAGAAGCATGTCCTTCACATCCTTTCCTTCCAGCGCCTTTGCGAACAGGGTAGCCCAGATGGGTTCGACATCAACGACACCGGCCGCTTTGATGAGGGTGTTGAGTTTATCGGCCTACAGTAGAACACACGGGTGTTAGTCTCTTAGGTTGGAGGGCCCTTCAATTGAGGCCTGGAACATTCAGAAAGGGTCTTGCGTACGGTAATTTCAATGCCGTCGTCGGCGAGGATGAGAGCGGCGTAAGAGCTGGCGAGCTCGGCGGTGGACATCTTGACGATTTCGCTGAGGGAACTTGTCTACTTGAAAGTCGGAAGGTTGTTGTCGAGAAGTTGAAGGTGCGCACAATTTCTCGAAATCGCAGGGCCAAGAACCCGGAATTTGGTTGTGGGATCAAAAATGCCAAGGCCCAGGTTTGCCGAGTGCGAACTAGGCTTGTTTTGGAGAGGGGTGATGCCGCCCTATGCACCTCTGCGCCGCGGGCACCAGAGAAGCGAAGCTGAACCATATCTTGGCACCCGAAGACGACGCACTCGAAGGAACTCAACTTGGCACACGCTCCCCCCAGACCGTGCCGCTTTTAAACGCTGCTCACTCTCAACTCGCCATCTTCCCACTCGCTGGTGCGTACCTGGGCATCAACTAGACAACCATGATGGATTTTTTCCAACTTTCGTGCCTACATTCATTTGTATACAATCAACAATATGGCCCTTCAACAACGCGCAACACGCCAGAGATAACCACCACCTGCAAAAGAACGAAGAGAAAGTAAGTGGAGGTCCTCGAAATACGGTCGTAGAGGAGCGAATGTCCAACTAGATTGCTCCACACTCGAGCTCTGCGTTGTCCTTTTGGTCTTCGCCATCGCACTTTATTGGGTGAAGCGATATTGCTCGCTTGACAACCGAATTGATCCTGAGATGATTAGGCAGCTACTCACTTTCCAGCGAGCCACTAAAAAGCAGTTTGACGAATCGAGCGAGCATTTTACGTACAAGACACCGCGTCTTCGGCTCGAAGGGCCCGTTCCGAGCAACGCCTTTTGCCTAGCGTGAGGCTGAAAAGCCCGTTAGATTTCCCACTCCAGTCAGAGGGAACTGCAGCAACATGAGTCCCTTGAGCCGGATGGCAGGGAAACACAACGATTGGCTGGTCATTGACACCTTTCGCCTGCCACATGTACTTAAATACTCGGTGGTGTCTTGTCCGCTTCCAGGTTTTTATCCTGGAACGCCTCGTGGCCTTGCTATGCGATATCTATTGTGAAGTCATGTTGTTTGAAAGATGACGGGAGATAGCACATTCGAAACCACAGACCGAGAACCCGAAGGCAGGGAGACAAGCAATGACTCCCTGATGAAAGGAGATGACTCGGCAGAGACAAGAACCGAAAGCGAAGAAAAGAGTCATGACAAGCATGTTGCTTCAGCTCAGCCAAAAGCTGTCGCGACATCTCCGGAAACAGCAACAAAGTCAATTGGTGGGTGGCCGCCGAAACCTGCCTCACTCCGAAAGCACGGCTTTGGCCACTATTTCGGTCTAATCGTCGACTTCGCGACTGTCATCGTCGTCTTTCCCTTCCTGGTTCTCGCAGGTGCTGCAGCAGTGCTGAATGGCAAAATTGCTCCCCCTCATCAATGGTCGACGATCTATTCTGCCATGAACGCTGTAAGTCTCCGTTCGAGCTACGTAGCTGATCAAATTTGAGTGCCTGACAACCTTGTCCCTGTTAGACCGTTACCATATTTCCCATAGTCTTCACCGCCATCGTCGCTCGAACCATCAAAGCCTTTGCAACATGGAAGTTCGAGCGCGGGACTACTCTCGGTCTCCTGGAGCAGCTACTGGCGAGCCAGTCACTGTTTGGAGCTTTGCAAACGTTATGGGCGCTGCGGGTGCTCAACATTGCCGGCGTCGTTCTGGTCGCCCTAGCGGCCATTTCACCAATTGGAGGCCAGTCATCCTTGCAAATGCTCAAAATTCGAGACAGGGCTGAGCTCTCTCAACCAGTGCTATCTTATCTCACAACGGGACAGAAAGCATGGTCGTGGTTTGAAAGTGGCGATTACTTCTGGTACGCCCTACCGTCGTTGAACGCCATGTACTCCAGCTCGCTCATGGCACCTGCATCTGTCAAGACTTCAACAATGGACCTCTGGGGGAACGTCAAGATTCCGTACTTATCTAGGCTCGGTTCCGTGGCCACTTCGACTGGATGGCAGGACGTACCTATGGACCAGGATGTTCTGTATTCCTCGCTGATAGGCATTCCTGTTTCGGGCCTGTCAAGATCTTCGAACAGCTCATTCACGATGGAAACGAGCTACTTTGACCTGGACTGTTACAGACTTACAAACGGTACCTGGATTAACGCGACAGTGCCAGAGGTTGCCACGAAAGGTTCTCCTAATGGCACGTTCTATGGGATTGCGGGCTCCACCTACTCCATCGCGATTGACTACATCGTCGAAATGTCGTATGGGAGCGTATACGACTATGTAAGTGAGTCGAATCAGAAAACCGAGACCCACCCTCAGGCGACCCTCCTCTTTCAGTCAATGGCAGGATACGAGAGTGGTTTTACTCGCGCATATTGCCATATTTCGACCGAGTATGTTGAAGTTGCCATCAACTGCACCGGCCTCGCGTGCGGCGTGAACAGTATGAGACCGTCGCAAAACGCTCACCCAGACCCACGGCTGGTTCCATTCGAGTTTGGCTATTATTTCAACGGATTCGGGTGGCAGTTTCCCCTAGCCACAAGCTCACAGGCACAGACTGCGGAAACATCATCCGCCACGGAATTTTACCTGAATAACCCTCTCAATCCATTCGCCAACTCTTACCGTCTTGTGGTGAATCTGTACGAGCTCTCGCGGGATGATATGTCCATCCGGCTAGGCCAAGTCCTCAATAGCTACTATCTCGGCAGTTTGGCGCCCTTTACCATCACTGGCTTGACTGTTGGTACTGGAACTGGAGAGTCCGAAGGTGGTCCAGCCGATGAACCTGGGAACAATACTGTTGCGGCCCTCGCATCAGTCAATAATGTCAGATACGTCTGCCAATGGGGTTGGTGGACGATCTTTGTGCTCTCCTGCATTCTCATGCTGATTACTGCGTCTATTGGCGCTGTGCTACGTTGGAATACCTCTTCACCGGATATCCTGGGGTCTATCTCGTCAATGACGCGGGATTCGCCGTACGTAGAACTTCCAGAGGGTGGCAGCACACTTGGGGGCACTGATCGTACACGCATTTTGAAGGAGTTGAAAGTACAGCTGAGGGATGTACGTGAAAGAGATGATGTTGGGAGGCTGGCTTTTGGATCGGTGGACAAAGCTGAAGGACCGCCGAGAGCGGATCGAATGTATGAATGATAGAGGTCCAATTTTAGGCCATGAGTGTTGCCGCTACCAGCGGTGTTCATTCTAGTGACTGCCTACCGTATATTTGGGCCTCGTCCAAGCCTTTCAGCCCGTACGAGTAAAAGGGTGCTGTGGCGTAGTGTAGAACCTCCCTGAGGCACCCTATTGAGTCGTCGCTTGACCAATAAGAGTCCCTGAAGAAGGGTGCACTAGGAATGAGTAGGGCGGCATTACCCTAGTCCCAATATGGGGTGAGCTCCACGTGAGTATAGTTCGTCTTGGCGCCAGCCTCGGCGGTTCAGCTGAAAGAACGCCCAAGCCTTATCGCGACTCACTTGCGTAACCTTTGTTCAATTCTACTATCGGCCTTGCTTGTGAGAGTCCTCCGCTTCCAAATCGAATTCCACTAAATTACGGAAGCCAATGCGTACATCGACCAGAACACAGATTAGCAATTGAGCACGGTTACCACCCCGGTCGGGTGGGTCTGCCTTGCCGCATGAGAGTTCCCTTTTCAGCCTTGCCTGTCTTGACCAGACACGCAATCCGCGGCGTTCGCAATGGATATACTCCGTTCCTTGCGTCAAGGTCAAGGCAGGGAAGACCATGAGTTCGATAACGCGTGTCAAAAATGGCTTTACAAATTGTATCTCAAGGCCGAACCTCCTGTCGTCCATGATCCTCGCGGGAGCGATCCTCGGCCTTTGCCACTACGAAAGCTGACCGAACTGGAACCAAAGCTGTTTTTCCCTCGCTCAGGGATTCTTGAGCTTGTGACCAGAGACATGCTACGCGAATTGACAGACTGCACATGTCGTAGCTGTGTGTTTGAAAAGCCTATCCCGAAAGAGGGTTACAGTGGCGGCCAAAGGACCAACGTCATCGACGCAATTATGCGTCCAAGAGACGAGCCAAAGATTGTCGTTGCAGTCCTTCTCTATACAGATCAGATATCTCAACTTTACCGGTTATACAAGACTTTACTCTCTGACGAAGGCATTGACGCCATTGACGGTAAAGAGGATATAGCCGAGGATGTCAAGGAGAGAATCCGACATGCGAAAGCCATGTTCAAACCGGAGTGCATTTCGCTGGATCACCCTGAGCGAAACTACCCATCGGGTACTCGTCTACCGTTTTTGAGCGAGGATCCACACGGGAGCGGATCATTTGGAACGGTCTCGAAGGTAGAAGTGCACCCGGAGTACCTTGGCGACGACGTCAAAGAGCTGATCAAGGACTACGCCGGAGCACAACCCGTATCACCTTCAGCGGATCAAAAAGTGAGTCCATTTGACTGTCCGTGCGTTTGGATCACAGACCCCCAAAACTAACGTGGCGTAGTTCTTCATCGCGCGAAAAATGATTCAAGGGACAAGAGGGCAAACACTCGAAAACTCTGTTCAGATGGAGCGAGACTTTCTCGATGTGATCCGTCGACAGAAAGAAGGCAAAGAAAATCTGATAGATTTGATTGCTTTCTACACGTTTGGGGACGAGATCAACCTACTCTTCCCTTACGTGGAGATGAACCTCCATGATTTGCTGTATCACGGCCGACACCCGCCCAACTATACGCACAGGCAGTTTCCTGATGATTGGATCAGTTCCGGCATCAGAGGTATGGCTCAAGGCCTACGCACGATCCACCATCCGCAAATGACGTTGGATAATGACAGGGAGATCGTCGGATTTCACTTCGACCTCAAACCAAGGAATGTTCTCATTACGTGGGACGGGACCTTTAAGATCACTGACTTTGGCCAAGCACTCATCAAAGTCGTTCGCATTGGCATGCAGCAATACGGAGGAGATGACTATCGTGGAGGAGATCCAGAATACGCTCCCCCTGAATCAATGCCTTCTCGCCATCTCGTCGAATCTCGTCATGTGGGCTACGCCAGTAATACCTCCAACGAACGTCCTGACTTTCGTGATCTCTTCAAGTATGACATCTGGTCTCTAGCTTGTATCATGGTCCAGTTATACACCTATGTATGTCTTGGTAAAGTCGATGCAGTGATAAGGTTCGACGAGGATCGCAGAATGCATTCCCCCGGAAGCGAAGTTGCCCCATATCATGTCGACGGGATGGTTGGGCCAGACCTCAATCCAGCAGTGGCGGCACAACTTGACAAGATTTTGGCTTATAGCTTGACTGTTGAATCAACAGCTTTACACACATACATGGAAGAGCTTGTTACGACAATGACGCAAATGCTAAAAATCAATCCATCAGACCGACCTACGTCTGGCGAAGTCGCGGAGCGCCTTACCGTGCTAGTGAACGATTATCTGGCTGCGAGGAACGACCCCAGCGGTGTGCTTCTGGCGGCAAACAATGACGACCTTCGAGATATTCCTCCAGGCTATGTCGAGGTTGCAATGGACACGAACGGCACCTCGTTCGTGTCGCTGGAAGGAGTCCGGATTGTGGCGTCAGATTCCCCTCAGAATGCGGAACTCCCATGCAGGTTGAGGCTGTTTCACCAAAAGGGTGGTTTTTGGATGAAGATATGGTTCAAAACCCCCTCCAAGCAAGATGTCCTTTCGAAACGGCTACCTGAGGGGGAAGTTCGATTATTACATTCAGCGCTCCTCGACGGTGGAAATCGTGGCCATTGTCGAATCTTGAGGTCGGGCGCTGACTGGTTCGAGACGGATTTGTACTTTGAGAACGGGTTGCTTGACTTTCACGCAACCGTTACCCAGTATACCCCTCGATCCTTCGGAATCATCGGCGGCGGCTCTAATGATGAAATGCGGCAATGTTACAGTCTGAGACACCCTGTCACTGTCTCGGCTAGGCGTGACTTCCCCAGAGAATTGTCGAAGATTCGAGACGGCATCGAGGCGAGTTCGATTCAAAAATGGAAAGGTCGGCGACTCACTTACCTCGATGGGAGAACCGGACCTCAGCGTGATGTCGGGCTCAGGCTTATGATCTTCTTCCAAAATCCTGCAGCGGTCTTGCAAATTCCGCTCAGATCTCGCCTGGGTAAAGTTGAAGTTGAACGCCGAGGCGCTACCACCGTCATCACCTTCCGCGGCCTCTCGAGGGAGAAGTTCTTTACGCATGCGGAGAAGCTCGAGAGCGCGGATAACCGTCATCTACAGCTACCGATCGGATCGGCACATTATCCCTTGGGGGATGCTTACAGGCAGCGGGACAATAACACTTGGGAAGTGAAGCTTGAGACCAGGCACGAAGAAGGTGAGACGCCACCATATCGGTATGATTGTTCCTAAGCTGACTGAAGATCTACAGTGGTTTCAGACATTGCAGCGCTCATCCAAGAAGCCCGCGATGGCGGGGAGATGATATCCTGGAGCGATCCAAACGTTGGGCCAAGACGCATCTCTAACCGAAGCCGCAGTTCTACGAGCAAGAGTTAGATTGCCTGTCGACCTGTCCACACAATAATGATCAGACGATGTTGGTGAACACCGGTGTGTCCGGACACACTGCCTTGCCGACCTTCCTCCTCCCTAAGACCTCGCAGATAAGAAGGACCGAGAGTGCGAGCAGGATCAGTGGGAAGGCTATGATGACCCACAGCCACACGTCCATGCTTGCCACAATGTGGAAGTTTCTGTCCTCGTCCACCGAAACGTAGCCCATCTGCAGAAAGTCCTGGCCCCGAGTTAGCGAGGTGAACACCCGACAAATGGAGCAGTCATACCGCTGCGAATGAGGCAGGCACATATATCAGGGCCACGATCGTGAGCACCTTCACTATCCGAGCTTCGTGGGAGCTCTTTGATGTTAGTTCAACCACCGCCCCGGTGCTAGTGCTTGTCGCGGTTGCTATCCTGTTGTTGAGTTCGGAGTTTCGGAAAGCAATGATGTCTCGCAACTTCTAACCATCAGCGATGAGTCCAGACAAGACGCGACTCAGTGTCAACCAACCTGACGGGACAAGTTGTTCCCGCGAGCCAACAACGACCCCGCCAGCTGTTGGAGGAAGTCGTACTCAAGCTGCACGGTTTCGGCGAAAGCAAGAAAGGCGTCACGACGCTCTGCGCTCTCATACCTGCGTGCGGCGTTCATCATGCAGTATATGATTTTGGAGTTCAGGCCCAGCACATGCGACATCCTCAACAGCTGGTCGACGAGGTGCGTGAGTTCCTTCATCGAACTTATGCATTGCTGGACCTTCTTGGAATCGCCGGCCGTCTCCGTCTCGATCGAGAACATGACGAGGACGTCGAACTAACGGCCGTTCATCAGACGCTACACAGACCCTGCAGGAGCGTGGGAAACTCACCAGCTTGGTGATCTGCTCGTCATAATAGTTCAGAGCCTGGCGCCAGTCCTCTGTCCCGCACGACATCCAGACCTTTTGCACCCCGAGCCAATCCGCCACCACTGAATCTCGAGACTCTGGGCCGGTGCTGAAGTTGTGCTTCAGGCGGTTGGTGACCTGGGGAGGCGCCCTGATGAGTATATTTGTGCTCGTCCGCGTCATGCACGAGAAGTTCTGGTAGACGAGGGCCTGGCGGATGGTCCATGGGTGTTGGGCATTTCCGTCGTCGCGCTGCATGTATTTCCACAGAAAGCAAGTTTCTAGCGTTCCCCACAAAATAGAATCAGCATTTGACATAGTATTTTCCCTCGCGGGTCTTCAGGCGGCTGGGTACCTAAACTCTGGCGTCCCTGAAGCCCGTCCAAGTGCTCCTTGATGTCATACGCCGCGAAGCCCTCGTCGCGGGCAAACTCTCTCTCGCCGAACGCGGTCAAGTGCTTAAGAAAGGCGGGAAAGACGTGCAGATGTCGCAAGATCGAACGCATGCTCGTTTCCGACAGCATCAGGCGGCCCCAGCCGAACGTAGGATTCAGGAGACTGTCATCAAACCAGGTTAGAATAAATCGCCACCTTTCCCCCAGTGCTGGGTCCACGTCCAGCGGGTAGCAAGCGAGGAAGTGGTCGGCAAGAGATCAATGGGACGTACAAGAAGGTGGATTTGGGCGACGGCACCGCTCCGGTTAACGAGTCGCGGCTCTTTTCGATCTCGCGTGAAGCCTTTTTCACATCGCTTGTCAGTTCTCTTCTCTGTGCATGTCTGAAGCCAGTTTCCCGAGCATCGCCCCAACCACCAATCACAACACCGACACGGGCGGGGACTCACATTGAGGTATTCCGTGACGGCGCGGTCGTTCTCGAGCACGCAGGTTCTGAGCCCTGCTGGGACGAACGGGTCGTCAGTCGCTGTATGCATGCATGTATCCGCAGACGAAAGGTCGGATCGGGCCTCGCCTTCCGGCTCTCGTTTACGTACCTGTGTCGTCGACTTCTCCCACCTGCACACGAAAAGGCCCGGTGCCGGCTGGGGAGAAGATCCGCGGGGCTGCGTCGTCAAAGGCCCTCTGGGTTTCCTCGACCGAAGCACCGAACGCGCCGGGGATGGAAGAATCCGCTTCGGGCCAAGGTAGTGGTTTCTCGTCCATGGTTTTCGGTTACAAATGATCGGCGAAGGGGGGAGATGATGGCGAAATTGCGAGGAGCTCCAGGATCTATCATGCACAGAGAGACACGCTGCAGCGAGATACAATGCGGAAATAAATCAGAAGTCATGGAGGACAAAGCAGGCGGCTGGACGTCAGGCTGGCGCCATGGAATTGGAAAAGAGGGCTGTGGACGGGGCAGACGGCAAGGCTGAATTCCATCGGGTCTAATACCGATTAGTTTGTGATGCATAGCACGTGCAAGGCTCTGCTGGTGTCTGGGCATTGGACTGGTACATGTCGATGTATGGGTATTGTGAGCTATCAATGACTGGCTGAATGTGAGAAGGCTGCAGCCAGTGTTCCCTCTCTGGAGTGCTCAAGAGCTTGCGCCTCACTATTACCACGAAGTATTGACGAGGAGTGAGGACCTCGTTGACACCGTCCCTTGATTAACAGACTTCTAGGTCGACCCGCCGCAGTGTCCCGCATTATTGCTTCCTACTACCGACCACTCGACCCTGCTGATAAAACGGGGCCTGGTAACGATGGGGGTTGTCGCCTAAATGGTTACATATAGGGGAAGGGAGAGGGCCCGAGATCCGGAGAGTCGAGAATTGGTTATCCTGTAGCTATGTAGATTCCCTCGAGGCGCAGGAACCATCCCTCCTTCTCCTTTACCCTTACCATGAATCAAGTTCCATTCCCATTATCCCGCCCGCCCAGGTATGCAAAAGCGCCCCTCCCCCTCCTCGTTCACAATAGTGCAGTAGTAGTAGTAGGTACAAATCCTCCCAAACCCCTCCCGCTTTCCCAGCGCCCCAGAGATTCCTCGTTCTGTCTCTCTACCAAGCATCCACAAGCGTGACCCCCGAGCGCTGCTTGATCTCCCCGTGCTCCGTGACCGACAACTTCCTCGCCGCGGTGACTTCGTACATGGTGCTCGCGCCGACCTTGATCGGCTGGCCGGGCAGAGCAGCGAGCGTGTCAGTCGTAAAAAGTCATAGAAGAAGAGAACAAGGGTCCCCGCGATGCACCGATAAGGATGAAGGGGGTGGTAAAATGGAAAAACTCACTTTCCAGCGGTATTTGTTTCGTCCGAAGAGGCCGTCCAGGTACGTCACCAGCGCGGACGCGCTGATGTTGTACTTGACCAGGCTGACTTGATCCATTCCTTCTTCTTTGTCTTTTGGGATTGGTACGGCGCGGCGCGGCTTGGCTCAGCGGTGCATGAGTACTCGTATGAGTGTGAGCATCTGCGTGGGCGTGGGCGTGAGGCCTCCTGCAGTGCAGGGCAGGGCAGGGAGAGAGGGTTGGACTGTTCCGGTTGGATCGCTATAGGGTGTTGCTTGTTTGTAGTTGCGCCTGAGGATTATCGGGGGATTGAATAGATGGACACGTGGAAATCAAGATAAGATATGTAGAGATCGGGAACAGTGGCATATGCTGGGTAGATGGTCTGGTCTGGTGTCCCGTTGGAAGTGGTCGTCCTGTCCGCTCCTCGATCCCAGCCCGTACTTGTACTCCGTACACCCTCACCTTTTAATATGTGCATAAAGGCGGATAGATGACTCCCAGGGGCGAGATGGGGGTTCTGGAGATGGCCAACACACCCCGAAGACCCCCCACAGGCGCCATCACTGGTGTCTCTGGTCGCGTGGCCTTGGGAGCGTGGCCGCTTGGGCCTCACTTTGCTGAGTTGGGGGCTGGGTTAGGCGAGGCGCCAGGTTCGCACGCTGGTCGCTGGGTTGCTGGGTCGTGCCGCCGGCTGCAACTAGCCTCACTGAACTATCGACGCCAGAACAGGGCGCAGTAGGAGGGGGAAGGAGGCTAGTGTGAGGCTCAGCACCGGGGCGTGTGTAGGGAGTACCACATCCATTCTCGACGCCTTCTGCGACTAACTTATGGGTGGGTGGGTGACTGATGGATTGATTGTGTAAAGTAGAGCCTCGATCTCCTGACCGACCTCAGGACTCGACGGGCAGAATAACCTGACGGTTGCTTAGATGAGAGTATCTAGTAAAGGCATGTGATAAGGCCAAGTGGATAAATCAATGGCATTAATCATTCTCTGGAACAGTGCTGCCTATCTCTAGTCATACAACCACCCTCTGTTCTGTCTTCCGCGCTCTCTCAGTCATCACTACTACTCCGCCTCCTCCGTCTCAAATATCGCTTCTTGAACTCGTGCCAGGCATCCCCCCATCCGTGCCGGAAATCGTGCCACCGTTCCACCGGGTGGCTCCCGCTGTTGTTCACAAACAGGCTCGACCCGCCTCCGAGCCAGTACAGGATGCCCACCTGCGCGTCCTCGTCGCTCCTGTCGAACGCAATGTCGCGCCGCCTGCCAAACCGTCGCACCTGTTCCAGCCGCCAGTCGTACCCTTCCCACTTGCTGATGGTCGGGCGCACGCCGGCGTACTGAGTCAGGCACCACTGCCAGAACGCCTGCAGTTGTTGGCTCGAGCCAAAGACCGCCAGATAGTAGCACGTGGCCAGGAGCATGACCCCGAAAGTCGTGGCGGGGAGGACCCAGCCTTGCAGCGCATCCTCCTCGTCGAGAGCCACAGGGTAGGGAAACGTCAGGTTCACGCTGGAGCCCGAGTCTGTGCAGGTCAAGGTCCTGCCGTCCGTCGAGTTGGTCCAGGTGCCTTCGGTGGGGAATCCGTCTTGGTCGCGGTAGGGAGGTATGACGCTGAGGATAATCACCCACAGATTCGCCAGTCCGTACAAAACGCAGAAGAATGCGGGCACAAATCGCCACCAACCCCTCCAGTTCCTCAGCCTCAGATCCCATTCCCACCCGTTGCCTTCTCCCTGCGCATCCACCCCTGTGTCACTGTTATGGTCTCTGCTGCTGACTTCTTCGAGGTGCCGTGTCCTCGACGGAAGTCGGAGAACGGCAAAGCCCATGACGGTCAGGATGATGCAGTGTGCATAAGTCTGGAGCAACCCGGGCATACTGACTGATTCCAGGACGGTTTTGATTGATGCCGACGCCCCAATCAGGACCGTCGTCATGATCCCGTGGAGGACGAGACCTCCTCTGGGCGCGAGATACTGGTCCAACGCTTCCACATGGCCCCCAGCCGGGGAGTCGCTCTTCCAGAAATCCGACCACGGGAGGATATTGCCTGAACCTATGCTCTGCTTGATGCGCGAGAATGTGTAGATGATCGAGTTGAGGCTTCCGAAAGAGGAAATGGCAATGAAAACCGACCATGCCTTGTATGCCGCCTCGTTGTTGCCGAATAGCATCGGGGTGTAGTTGATCGCGACAGGAACAAATGGGATAGCCTTGAGAAAGGTCGCCACCAACGCAATGTACAAGATGCTGACGACCGTGACTGCAAAAATGAACCCTTTGCGCAGCGTCACAGGGCTCTGAGGGTCAATCTCGCCAGCGACAAACGTCGCATTCTCCCATCCTTCGTAGGAGAATATCACCAGCAGAAATGCTTTCGCCACTTGGATCTTCGACATGGTTGCCTCAGGCGGGCCACATTCTTGGAAACCTGCTCCTTGGTACGTCTCGACCTGTATAGCGTGCCAGCCAGCACAGAGCACAACCAGCAGCAAAAAGATCTTGACGGCGGCCAGAATTTGGTTGAGCACTCGACCCGACTGAGGGGAGAAGTACTGCAAAAGACACAGGATGAGGAGGACCAGAAATGCAATCACCCGGAGGAAATCGCGATCCGGATCCTCCTGTGGATTTCTCGCGAACAGCAGCAGGCGCCCGATCTGCAGGCAGTTCGTGGCAGAATTGAAGAACGCGACGAATAAGAACGCATACTGCACGTATGCATACAGGCCGTCTCCCAGGAACCGTCTGATCCATGAGCGCCCTCGGCCGGACGTCAGTTCATCGAGCTGCAGACTCCTTGGTTAGCCAGGACCCAAAGTACTAGTTGTTTAGAGCATATTCGAGAGTTCCACTTACGTATACAAGTTCCCCGCCATTATAGGGCATGACAGTAGAGCATTCTAAGTAAATCAACATACTGCTCACGAGTCAGCGTTTGTGTCTTGGTTATTGTTTCTCAGCCTTGCACGAGTTACTCACCTGATCAAGGTGTAGATTGAACCTATCGCCCACAGCGTCATCGTAAGACCCTTGTCGCCGGTGAGTACTAGCACGGTAGACACGTTGGTATAGATGCCGGTGCCAATCATCTTGTTGACGATTAAACTGAACACATCATAGGTCCCAAGCAGAGGCGCGTGTGCAACCGGCCTCGCCTGCGGCGGTTCGTCGCCGTCCAGCGACGGGCTGCGAGATCGCAGGTTGGTCATTTCGACGCCATTCGGAGCGTGCGGCGCCATGTTTACAGAAGGCCTCGGTGGCCCGAATGCGCGGGACGCACAGCCCCAGACCAATCTTATCGGGGGGCTGCTGTCACTGTAAAGTATCGAAGATGACTTTGTGCAACTGTAGACGAGGACGTAGCATGCAAGGCAAGTAGAACAGGCAAGTAAATACCGTCAGGCAGAAAGGAGTAGGGAGACGAATAAGGATGGGGAGATATCTGTGTTATAGAGGAACCCGCTCACAACAAACTGGGAACGGCGCGTGCCAATACGAGTAGACTAGGTAGACAAGAGTGCCAAAGTGAGGCGTTGGCCGCGGTTTCGTCTCGTCAGGCTGAGCCAGACCTCCCAGGCCATGGCGCCGACCATAGTGTGGGATAAGCCCTCTTTCTCCCTACCGGATCCTTGATTTGGTGGAGGCTGTCCGCCGTTAGACGCCCAGGGAACGCCAGCGTGTGTGCCTTGCGACGAGCGTGCACGCTTGCAATCAAAGAGGAGTAGCAGATATGGCGTCTTCTTCTAGAAGGGTGACTCGTGGTCGGCTGGCCAGGATCCTGACTAGCCACCTGCCGGACCCAAGAAGTGGATGCGCTACACCGGTTTGGCGGATCCCGCCCTCGTCATTGGACTGTTGCTTGGACCAATTCACCAGGCATCCAGAAGCCTTGGATCTTTGTGTAGATTAGCTGCGCTCTAGACCGTGACTGCTGCAGGCTGGGGTAGCACAGAACATGCGGCTCGGGGCAGTGCTGATAAATCCAAATGGTCGCTCGAAGACGCGGGCAACAGCACGGCGTTCAATAGGTACCTAGGGATTCCCTGTTCGTACCTCTTCCGAGGGCATTGGCCGCGACACTGCGATTGAGCGCAACCTGGGGATGAGCTTGAGCTTGGAATTCAGAGACTTGCATAACCGGCATGCGACAAGCATGAGAAACTAGCCAGGTGAGCACGTCCTCGATGGTGGTGGAAGGACAGATGCGCTGGTTAAAGGGGCTGGGCGTCGACTGCGGCTGAATTGGGTGAAACCGCCAAGCCGCCAAGCCGATCCGTATCTCCACGTGATGCTCGGCACCGGCCGGAGGTGCAGGCTCGCGGCGAGCCTTGTCCCGACGAGGCTGGAAACCCAACCCAATGGCGTCACTGTGGACTGTTCCGACTTCTCAGACCGTTAACACGTTATCAATCGGTTGATTGTCAACGTTCCGGCACCAGTCTCCGTTCCAGACGAAAAGGTCAAGGACTCGAAGAAGGATATATGACTATCGTGAAGCTTGGGTAGGGTCCGCGCTTATCAGGGGCACCTTTCTTCAGAAGCCAGCTGAGCCAGCATAAAAATTCCTCCGTCACCGGGAGCTGGAGATACACATACTACGACAGGAGACTATATCATGTCCCCGCCAGACCTAGACATGCAGGCCCTCCAGCGACTCAGAACCCAATTCTCCCAAGCACTGAAGGACTTTGCTTCTTCGTCGTCATCATTCCGGGTCTTACATTCGATTCCACCCCCTCCCACGGCCCCGACACCGTCAAACCCGATAGTCACCAAGACGCTCTACCTCCTCGACTCGAGTTTCAACCCGCCTTCAAAGGCGCATTCAAGTCTGGTCAAGACGGCGTTGAGATCCCAAGATGCGAGCCCCGCACCTAGAGACCCAACTCCGAGGGTCCTGTTTTTACTGGCCACCGTGAATGCGGATAAGAAGCCCAAGCCGGCCGACTTTGAGGATCGCCTTGTCATGATGACTTTGGCCGCCGAGGATCTACGGTCTGGATTTACATCCGAGTCTACGACACCTGAGACGCCGGCCCCGATCATCGACATTGGCGTTACGAAGGAGCCCTATTTCGTCGACAAGGCCACCGCGATCGACGCGAGCGGCCTCTACCGCCCTCCAGGGTATGTTCCTCCATCGACTCCCTCCGAACTAGGAGAGCGAGAAGACGGGGTGGTCGAACAGATCCACCTCACGGGCTTCGACACCCTACTCCGGATCTTCACCCCAAAGTACTATCCCAACAGCCACCCGCCGCTGTCCGCCCTGGAGCCTTTCCTACGAAGACATCGCCTGCGGGCGACGATACGCGTCGACGCAAACAGTCCCTCACAGAACCTCAAGGACGCGCAAAAGACTCAGCCAGACTCGAGTCTCAGCGCTAGCTCCGAAGCCCCAGACCTGACGACGATCGCCGGCCAAGAGGCGTACCTGGAGGGCATCAAGAACGGGTCGTTGGAGAAGGACGGTCTCAAGCGGGAGTGGGCGGAGAAGGTCGAGCTGGTGGTGGATGACTCCGGCGAGACCGAGGGCGTGAGCAGTACCAAGATACGGAACGCAATGAAGGATGGGGACTGGGATGAAGTCAAAGGGCTGGTAGGGCATCGGGTAGGAGAGTGGATTAGACACCGGGGTCTGTATCTAGAGGGGGAAGAAAGGTGACTGGGAAAAGTCGTGAAAGAAAAGGCCTCGAAGTCGCCCCCTCCCCGGCTGCAGAGAGCTGCGTGGAAGTGCTTTTACCAGCCCTGTCCGTAAGAAAGAAAGACCAATTCACCGTGCTTTAAAAATCTTTCTCTCTTGCCCTCGCTTTCTTGTCTACCGAGTAGCCCAGCGTTCCTGGAGCTGCCTCCTTCCAGAAATCACCAGCCAATCCCAGCTCAGTCCAACCGCCGGAGGATAGTCCATCGGCTCACGGTTTGGAGGCTGATGATTTTTTCATGATAACTTCGGCCAGACGACGAGGGGAGTTCAATTCCTAGATTCTCCATGTTGCATGGCTGAATGAGGGGGGGGCAACCAGGACGTTCCATGGCTCCGGCGAATGGAAATTTTGCCTCCGATGCATAGTGCAGAAATCGCAGAATCCCAGCCCAGCATGTTGGCCCAAATTCGGCGTGTGGCCCTTTATCGATGCGTCTAGTTTCCACTGCCTCTGCACGAATTTGGCTGTAGAAGGTCAGAGATGGAAACAACGAGCAGTGATGCCTGGAATCTGCGGCCGGCAGCGGCACACTTAGTCTGGATGTGGCCTCCTAGGACGACCAACGATTGGTTGCGAGAGGGACAAGTGTGAAGGGAACAAGTGGGAAGGCTCTGGAGCTGCATGTAGCTGCGAGGTGTAACGAGTAGAGGCCGTTTGGAAGCTTAAGGAAGTACATCCCTCAGAGCGGTTGCAGCGCACAAACCCAGAGCGGCGTTTCTACTTTGAACTCCCCGGTGGACATTGGTGACTTTGGAGAATGGGCAAAAGTCTGATTGGACGAAAAAAGTGAGGCGTAGGCGAGACGGTAGTGACGCAAATTAATCAACTACTGCACGGTTTGCATTGCGCTGGGTACCTCGCAGGTGAACGAATTGGAAGACAGTTGGAGCCGGTTTCTAGGGCCGAAAGGCTGGTGAGGCTTCAGTGCGCGTCCCGAAATTTGTATACTTGCCCGTTATTGGTCTCAACCACATTCAGCCCATCGAAGTCGATTACTTCTACCTTAGAGGTTCATGGCGAACTGGAAATCTATACATTTCGCATGGCCAAATCTTTCCTTCTGACAACAAAGCACGTATGGGTATGGGTATGGGCGTCAGGCAAATCTCTACGACTGCCGCTACTGCTCTTGCCGGAATACAGGCCACAATGTGAGTCTATAAGAGTGTGTCGACATGGCCCTCTGCCTCCGGTTCAATTTCTGTCCCCCAGATCACACTCCCCATCGTCAGCCTCGAAACTCATCCCAGAAAAGAAAGAGAGAACCGTCCGTGTTGTGTCGCTAGAATGGCAGCCGAACTCGTTTGGACCATCGTATTCGGACTCACCGCAACCGTGATTGGCCTCGCGACCATCTGGCAGAACTTTCGAATCGCGCATGTCAAGGTTGCGAGTATGTTGCCCAGCCCACCGCCGTGGGGACCAAGCTGACGCCCTCATGGTTCCGCAGAGCCCGCCATACCGTACGTGGTACGGGTGGGGAGCATAGACGACACCCAGCCTTGCTGTCCCGAGTAGGTGGAAGCCTCGCTGACATTTGTGAAAGGATGTTGCTGACCCAAGGGATAGGGAGCGAACGTTGACTGAAGAGCGGGACCACCTCGCATAGCCAGAGAAGACCCCATCAACCGAAGCAAGAAGGATCACCAAGCATTCGCCGTAGAGACACCAGAGGAAAAGCTGAAACTACCCACGCTGATGCGGAAAAGCTGTCAAAGAAAGTGAACTTCGGAACATGGTCCAAGTGCAAAGCCATCATCTCTCAAGCAAGAAAGAGCAGTCATAGGAAGAAAGTGCAAGTGTGTCCTCAGGTGCACCCAACACTTGAACTTGGCCGCTCCACATCAAAGGATGAAATCTTGGGACAGAGATATATCAAGTCGCCTCTTTCTTATATTCTCTTTGAATGGCCCAGAATCATGTCCAGGCATATTGCTGATCATATGTCTTCTCACACCCCCATGTCAAACCCAAAAAACCCAAATGCAGTGATAAAAGGACATGGCATTTTCTTCCTCCTAGTTCCCAGGCTCAACCTTGCCGCTGCCCTGTTGCAGCCCCGTGACACCTGCTCCCGGCTTACCGTCACCACCAGCAGGTTCCGGCGCAGGGTCCGTCCTCTGCAGACCCTTGGCACCCTGATCTGCCCCAGCCTTGTGCATCTGCTCGCCCACCTCGCCACTGGCTGTGGCCCGAGAACTGGTATCGCCGCCTGCTTCTTTCTTCCCTCCGCCCACGGCGGTCTCGCTGCTGTGTGCAGGCTTGGGGGCCGAACTGCCGTGAGAGGTGTCACTGACCTTCTTGCCGTCCGGGGTCAACCCGAACACGGCACTGTGGCTGCCAGGGGCGGCGGTGCCGGACAGCTTGTCGGTGGGGTTGGGTTCGCCGACGAGGGCCGGGTCAGGGCCCTGTTTGGGGGATTGGACGCGGTCGAGGTCCTGGGAGGTGCCTTGTTGGTCATTGCTGCCGCTGTTTCCTGCCGAGACGGGCTTGGAGGGCGTGTCGGTTGCGGCTGAACCCGTGTCGTTACTGGTGGGCTCATCATTCTTGTGATGACCGGGGAGATGATGGCTAGAGAACAAGAGTCAGCTGTCCGGGTCGCAACGATATGGTGCAGGAGTCCTCTCATACTGAGTGTGGTGAGTTTGGTCGTCTGAGGACTACATGGTTGTCAGTTAGGTCCTGTCAGTGGGAGAAGGGTGGTGAACTCACCTCTTCCTTGTTATACCCCAGAACGTGGTTGATGGCGTTCTTTGCAGCTTCCATCGTGGGCCGACTTCTCTTACCTCGAGCTCAGGGTGATGTGTGCGGTGGGAGGCTATACAAAACAACTCTGTCTTTCGTCGTGGGTGTGACTTGATTGCAGGTAGATTCTCTATGACGAGAAAGGTATCCAGGGAAGGGAGGGGAGGATCACGGACAATATATGAACTTTACGGTTGAGCCCCCCCTCCCCTTAAGGGTCCTGGTGTTCGACGATAGCGACGTGACAGTAGGTGCAGTGCCTTGGGGACGATCCATCTTGCTGGGAAGATCTGACGACATCACTGTGCGTCATAGCTTGAGCCCGCGATGCGTTGCGATGTAGCGAGGGAGGTAAAGGGTGCAAGCAGGAGCTACGTCTCTCACGTGGTGGTGACGCTGGTGACGCTGTTTTGGGGGCTGCATCACCAATGCGGGGCAAAAGGGTGGCGGTTGGTGGCGGGGAGGGAACCCCTACCAGATTACCAGGTTATCCCTAGGCACCTAGGTAGCCCACTAATAGGTAAAGAGCCCCGGCCGCTTTGCGAGCGAGCCACTGGTTACTGCACGGCACCAACGGATACGACGGGGCCCAGGTCATGCATCCACCCATCCACCAATCCATCCCAGCTGACTGAAAGCCAAGTGCCATACAAGCTCGCGAAGAAAGGTACATATCCAACACCGTGTGGGGTTCGCAGTGCCGAAAACTTGGAAAAGGCCGATCGATCCAAAAGCCTCGTCGGCAAAAGAGGCGTGGAATCGATAGGGAGCATGAGAGGCAAAACGACTGGCAAACCACATCACATACACAGTCATCGTCATCGTGCAGTTTGCGACCACTTATCATTAAGATACACGAGTACCTAGGTACCTATAGCTAGCTATGTACAGATAAAAATACAAAACCAAAAAAAGGTGATATTGATTGATAGTTCATTTCAATTGTCATGGCGAGACTGACCAAAAAAAAAAAACATCTGGCGAAGCTGGTTCACGTCGTGGAGTACTGTAACAGCGTTGAAATACGTCTCTCTAAACATCTTTTCCATCTCCGAGCGAAGTCCTTCTCCAGGAAAAACAAATGCTGACAAAAAGGTGGGTTTTTGTACAGGAAAGCAAATACATAGCTCTGTCTCTCTCTCTCCGTGGGTATATCTCCAGCGCCGCCCCTCCCCCTCTGGTCAACTAATGGCCCGCAGTTGGTCTCTTTCTCCCTCTCCAATCTCCGTGCACGACTCCTCACTCCCGCAGGATCCTCGTGTGCGAGCACCTCATGGCTTCAAGCCCGTTGGAGCAACATACTTGGACATGGTCACGAACCCGGAGCTTGCCCGGGCAATCCGTGTGTCGGTGCCGTTCCCAAACCCAAACAATGCCGAGGTGGTGGTGGTGGTACTGGTGGTGCTGGGGGTCGAGCTCGTCGACGAACTGGACACCTCAAACGCGGCCACGGGCGCCGGCGACGTCACGGTGACTTCAGCCGCGACGGGCTTCTCCTCGCTCGGTGTCGCCGTGACGGTGACGGTGCTTTGCGACACCTCGGTGACGGTGACATATTCGATGCTGCAAGGACCTCCGTGGCCGGCGCCTGTCTCGACGGGGACCATCGTGACCGTCTCGGTGACGGTGGATTGCAGAGTGATGGTGGTTGTGGCTTCGCTGCCTGCAGGGGCGTCTGTGGTAGCCGCGGCGACCTCCTTATTGTCGCCGGATCCCTGCTGGCTAGCTGGAGCGGGAGCTGGGGCTGGAGCTGGGCCCGGGCTGCCGGAAGGTCGAGTGATGGTGGCGTAGATGGTGCTCGTCAGAGTCAACGTCCTGGTCAGGTGCATCGTGGTCGTGATCACGGATGCCGACTCTCCCGCGCCCATGGTCAAGGTAAAGGTGGTGTCCTCGACAGTGGTGCTCACAGCAACTTCTTCGCCAGATGAAACGGTAGTAGTTGACACCGTCCATTCTGCCCACTCCGACCAGGCTATTGGCGAGTTCGTGGTTTCTGCAGCTACAGGTGAGCTGTCGCTGGACGTGGCATCAACCGTCGCCGCAGCCACGGTGAGGCCGGTGCTGTCCGACGTTGACGTTGTCTGGTCCGCCAATGATTCAGTGCTGGTGGTAGAAGTAGTAGTGGGGGTGATGACTTCCACAACTGCGTCAATGGATGTGGTGGTCGAGGTCGAGGTCGAAGTCGAAGTCGAAACAGGATCAATAACCGGGCTGACAGATGTCGTTGTTGAAGAAGTTGTTGAGGAAGACGTGGTTGGGTCCAGCGTCGAGGACGAAGTCGTGACGACGTCAATAAATGGGCTGATGGATGTAGATGTCGAAGAGGATGTTAGCGAAGTCGTGGTGGATGACGAAGTCGTCACAACCTCAATAATCGGGCTAACAGAAGTGGTGGTCGAACTTGTCTCTGACGTCGTGGTTGACGACGATGTCGTGACGGGATCAACAAGCGGAGTCATCGTCGTAGTCGTTGAAGTCGACATCAACGGGCTGGTCGTAGAGGACGAGGTTGTGACGATGTTGATAAATGGGCTGATGGATGTACTTGTGGTTGTCGAGGAAGACACCACTGGAGTCGTTGTGGATGATACCGTGGTTGAGGTTAATGCCGGATCGATCAGACCAATCAATGAGGTGGTGGTGGTGGTGGTGGTGGTGGTGCTGCTTGTAGGGATCTCTTCGACAGTGGCGTGGGTTGTAGTTGTTAGTGGACTGGTTGCTGCTGTCAACGGGCTGGTGGCCGTGGTTTCAATGGCGTTGGACGTGGTCGGTGCCGACGCCTCCGCCTCGGACCAGTCTGACCAGCCTAGCAACGCCCCCAACAAGCCCGTGTCATCCCTCGATAGTAGACGTTTAGGTAGTCGTAAAGGAAACCCGTCAGGCTGGGCCTGTGCTTGCGCCAACGTCAAGCACGCCACCATAAGTGACAGAGTCTGGAAATGCATTTTGGGGAGCTTTTGGATCTCAGTCGTTATTTCTCGTCAAGATTCTTTGTCGTCTTTGTCGCGTCTCGGTGCCGTGCAAAGTTGTCAAAACTTCTTCTGCCTGGGGTTGGAACGGTCTTCGTCTACGTCGAGATCAACCCGCTTTGGTGGTACAAAATGAATGTAGTTTGGGGAAAGGAGTGACGGGGGGTATCGAACCGAAAAAAGAGTGTCTTGACGTCTCTAGGACGTCTGAAGCAATGCTCAAAGGAGTGACGGTGAGTTGATGAGAACACAAGAAGCAAGAGAAGAACAAAAACATGTACTGAAGAGCAGGAATAAAGCATGTAAATGATGGCGGCGAGCGGAGTTGCCATTTTGAGGGTGTCGCATGGCAGTGGTGCCAGGAAATTGTAGGGTCATCGGAAGGTTGCGAATTAAGCAGGCCAACCCAGACATTTGCCCCCAGACGAGAAAAACAGAGCGCAGATCCAGTATGAAACAAAAGACGATGACCGACCCAGGAAGCTTGGTTGGTTGAACAGGAGGGTCGAATAGAGTGTCGCACGATGTGCGAAGAAATACAGGAGGCGGGTGGGGCGTGAGAAGCGGAGGGAGGGAGTGAGATTCGCAACATGATTGGCCCGGTGCCGCAAGGCTAGATGTCCACTTAGCCCCTTAAAGAGTTAGCGTCATCGAGTATCCGACTCCTGAACAAGGCTGTGGGTGGCACTGTGGCACCAAGTGGCTGTCTGCTTCCTTCGTCGTCATATCGACCAGGCCCTCAAACACTCCAGTTCCCCATCCAAGCTCCTTCTCCTCGCTCTGGCCACATGGAAAAGGCCGCCGAGCATGTCACATACCAGCACACCCCCGGCACATGAGATGAAGGCGCTTTGGTTTCAACCGACGTGCCTACCGATCTGTACGGAGAATTACCTCGTCTCCAACCTGCTCGGCGTGTCGGATAAGCGATTAATGCTGGTACGTAATTAGCCTGGAAGCGGATATCGACGAAGCTCAAACCATCGTTCACTATGCGACGCATCCGATCGGTAATCTGGGCAAATGTGTAGCGCGAATAATATGCATATCATTTCGGAAGGCCGCGGTTGGCGTGCGTCTAGATACACGAACATTGGTCGCATCTGAGACGCGTTGCTCAAGGTTTCTCTCTCGTGGTACTTTAAAGCGCGACTTTAAGCCATGTTAAATAAGCGACGACGATCATTTTGTTCCCATTCCTCCTTTTGTTGGATTCTCTCTGCGCCTCGGAGAGAAGAGGATAAGGCTATCTACAATTAACTCGGGCGCCATTTTAGTCGAAGCCTTGTCAGTGCTCCCCTGAGGCTCAGTCCTCTACTTTTGGATCACTGAACAAAGCCTCATCCGCTGTCCAGCTCTGTATTCAGTGTTCACGAGAACAATTCTTCCCCCTATAGCGGACCTATATACACTCTGATCGTCACGAAGGCGTTCACCATCCAATTTCACGAAATTCACGATGCCAATTCACATTGTAAAAGATCCTCAGGGGCATGTACTTGGGGAAATTGATACCAAGGAGAGTCCGGCGCGAGTCCCCTCGTCGTCGACTGCTAGCGACAACCAAAGGGGTCCCATGTCTATGCTCTTGGTACGCTTGGCGACATGAAGGTCCAAGGCCACCTGCAAATGTACATGACCGAGTACAGCGCTCCATAGCCATGACCCCCTTTTCGACAGTAGTATCGAACATCGCATCTACATCAGCCTCGGGGCCGACTGCTGTCTTGACTTCGCATTCTGGTCCAGACTCTATTGCGTTTCGGGGGCATGATGATATCGAAGATGCGAGACTGCGCCAAGGATTTTAAAGGAGTGCCCATTTCGGCTGTGGTGAGTGCAAGGAAAGGATCCGGCAAATTACTCATTCTAGTGTTTGCATGGGACAGGGTAGGTGGAACTTGGCTCAGAAATTATGCCTGTCTTCCTCATATCTATCGATCTAGCATTGATGGGGCTCGCCTTCGTCTGAGGAAGCCATGTCAGTGGTGGGAAAGTTGACTGTATCGAGTGACCACTTACTTTTGATAATCTTCTTCATAGCCAGCACCAAACTCACAGTCATAACAGCAAATCCAAATACAATACATGCCACTGCTGGTATTGTCTTCCAGCTTCTAGTACTGAGCTTGATATAACACAATGGCGGTAAAATATATGCCAGTGCACACGCACTGGTCGCTCCGATCAGCTCGAAAACGGCTCCAAGGTCGCACGTGATCAGGCTGATCGACATGGCGCTGACTACCAGGGCGCTGCTGAAGATCAAATGCCGGTTGGGCTGATAGGGTTCTTCGGGGAACCAGTAGTTGTTCATGACCTCTCTGCAGACAAAACACTCAAGAGGAAGAGTGGTGAGCATGTTGAGCCCAAAGCACAATCGAGCGATCTGGACCACCACATGACCCTGTGACGGGAAATTGTTCAGGACGTTGCCCTTGGTCTTGTCACCGAACGTGAGGAAGCCTGCCAGAGCCATGACAAGGCAGGCAATCAGGGAGATGAAGGTGCTGTAATGGGTCACGGTCGAGAATCGGTCTAAAGTAGGTGTTTTGAGAGAACCGTAGATCAGCAGGGAATTATGGTGGCAGACGAAAGCTAGACAGATTAGTATTCGGCAATCACATGTAGAGAGGAACCGTACCAAATGAAATGACTCCAACGGCCTGAAAGAATCCGTCATTGATGAAGAGCAGGCCTGACAGATTCCCCCGTAGTTCTGAATCGACAATGGCTCCCTGAGTGACGACTGTCACAATGATGATCAGCATGCTGATCAACGCCAATGTAGATGCCTTTGCGAGCTGCGGCCGTTAGCTTTGCCCCCAGTCCCTGCATTGAGAGATGCACACCTTTGCGATATCCCTGTACAGACTCAATGGCCAGCTGATACCCAGAATAAAAAGGACAATGACAGCTCTCCGGTCGGTCAGCAGCCATAGAAATGGGACGTCCCTCAGTCCGGGGATCAATGCTTCGATAACGTGCGGAATAGTATCGCCGACAATGATACAAAACGCTATCATCCCGCCAAATGCAAACGCCCACTGTGCGACCGAAATGGCAACCAGCCCACTGGACCCAAAGCAATGCTGCATGGTGGCCTGAAAGGAGTCGGCTCCTGAAAGTTTGCTGTTGATCACGATCAGACGGATTGTCCAGTCGACGGTGACTGTTAGAACCACCAGCAGTATGATTCCCATGGTCATGCCAGCTTGTCGAAAAGCATATGGCTGACCAATAATCCCGGCACCAATGATTGAATTCGCCATGTTCATAAACGCACTGCGCATCCCACTCTTAGGTCTTGCGTCCGGTAGATGGTCCTCTGGTTGGAAGGATTCGGAGAGAAAGGGAGACTGAGCCGGGGGAGTAATGTCTGTCAAAAGGGGTGCGTGCTGGCTGGGAGAAGTGAGGTAGTCCTCGTCGTCAACCCATTCTTCTGGGACTTGCGTACTCGGGGGCTCTTCGATATCGAACCGCACTCGGTTCGTCGTTCGGGGGGTGCCATCGGGGCGAGGATGGGAGAGGGAGGACTGCCTCAGCGAGGGGGGTCGAGTGTCATTGTTGACTGAGCCGGTCGGAGAGCCTGCACTCCCATTTGGCGTATGCTCTGCAGATGCGAGGAGATGCCTGTAGCCCTCGAGCTTGCCGTTGGCGAGGTCTTGAACAGATCCATTAGAATCTTCGTCATCTGCGGTCATCTCGCACGAATTTCATCTCGCCCGCCGGCCAATTCCAAAGAATGTTGACGAGTGGCTCTTGGGAGAGTAAAGCGGACCAGCTGTCATCCTTCAGTGTTGCGAGGCATACGCAGCCATGCAGGTGGAAAGTGTTTGGACAGGCTCAGCACGTGCTGGTTTGGCGCATTGACCTCCGGTGGCCGATTTGGCTACGGACGAGCATTGGGACAAGACCAGGTCATTTCCCTCCTTACTGTGTCGATGCGCTCTCCTCAACTTGGACTGTCTCGAGGGATGGCAGGTGGGCTAGATGCTCTATTCATTGTATCAATCTCATGTCCCAAATCTACAGTGGGTTGAGAGCATGTTTGATTGCAAGCCTTACAATACACTCCTATGCTTCTGCGAATATATCATACTGCCTCAGCCTTACATGTCCACCCCTCTGGGACTTTGATATCCTATGCTATAGCTCTGTGCGAGAGCAGTGTTGCTTGTGAGCACGCGTCAGCCACGAGACTCCTGCTACACCGCCAGACATCCAATAGTCACCGTCATTGAGAATCGACACACTTGCAGCTCATTTCATAACTTTTATGCAAATGACCCCGCATCCCCCAAAGCTCCAAGATGCTTCCGAGTCCAGATGAAAGGCCAGAAGTGCTGATTGGGGCCTCACGCCATTCGGCATTGGCGCCTCTGTTCTGCATTCTGACCCTCACAGGCTTAGCTTATTGCTGACAATCCGTACCCTAGGTGTGAAGAGGTAAGGAACACGCTTCAAGGATCTGCCAAGGGTCCAACAGACCATTGAGCTTGCGTCAACTTGAACGTACCCAGCACCTACATGAGGAGGGGCTTTGTTCTTTATAAACAATGCTCTCGAACTCGCTTTGTGGGCGAGATCATTCAATGCCAGTCTCTCATGATGGCGGATTTCAAGGATAAGGTAAGCCATTCACTCCATGCTCTCGAAGACCAAAGAAACGTCTCACCTCTCGCTTTTTGGGGACCAAGTCAATGTCTCATGTACACTGATGCACCCTTGATTCATACAGGTCATCGTACTGACGGGGGCGTCCAACGGAATCGGCGCAGCGACTGCTCAATTGTTTCTGGAACAAGGCGCCAAAGTCGCGGCACTAGACATTGTCGACGCCCCAGCCTCAGCTGATGGACAACGGCTTAATGTCAAATGTGACGTCTCTTCTGAGGAGTCCGTCAATGCGGCAATCAAGCAGGTCCTGGACAAGTGGTCCACCATCGACGTCCTCGTCAATGTCGCCGGGGTTATGGATCAGTTTGGTGAGAAAGATTCCCCTCCCCTTGACCAGAGCCCCCTCCTACCCCTCTTTCCAACCTCACTGCCTCCACTGGAAAACTGACGCACCTTGTACCACTCCCAGAACGAGTCGGCGACGTGTCCAACCAGATCTGGAACCGGGTCATGAACATCAACCTCAACGGGCCCTTCAACACGATGCGCGCCTGCATCGGCCACTTCCTGACCAAGCCGACTGAACAGAAGGGCCGCATCGTCAACGTCGGGTCCCTGGCTTCCATCAAAGGCGGCACCGCGGGGGTCGCCTACACGACCTCCAAGCACGCCCTGCTCGGCCTCTCGCGCAACACGGCCTGGATGTACGCCAAGGAGGGCATCCAGTGCAACATCCTGCTGCCCGGCGGCGTGAGCACGGACCTCATGAAGAACAGCAAATCCATCCCGGACAAGGTCGGGATGGACATGGTGATGCCGACCATGGCGACGGCGGTGGGGACCTGTGCGCCGGAAGACATGGCGAGGGCGATTCTGTTTCTGGCGGCATCTCCGGGTGTCAATGGGGCCGAGTTGAAGGTTGATAAAGGGTGGTCGACCGCTTGAGCTGGAGGGAAAATCATCTGGGAGAGGGGTTTCGTGGTGACACGAAAACGCTGAACGGGATTAAATGGCTCAGGGAGCAGTCTCGAGAAATAACGCGCAACCGGCTCAAGGCCGGTTTCGGCAAAGGTGTCAACTCAGCGATATACAGCTCTGGCACCCTGGTGGCACACGGCGGAACGAAAGTCGATACATTATCTGCACATCCCCCACATGTGGGCGGTGATTGTAGGAGATTCATCTAAGACCTCTCATTTGGTGTAGACCACCACTTGGTCGAAAGGGACGGATCAAACTCGGGAAAAATCAGATTAACGGAAATTTGAGGCAAAAACCACAATTGGGATTTTTTTTTCTCTACAGTAGGACTGGAGGCCTATCTTTTCGCTTCGAGCTCTAGAAACTAAACAATAGACTAAAAATGGCTGTACAATGTGCTCTCTCTATCCACACATTTCTCTGTGGATGCTGGAATCTGCTATGCATGCAAACAAAAAGGGTCGCTGCTTTCGTTTTCCTGGTTCTGTTCCTCCCTCTCGTCAAACCTGGAGGGGTGACATGAACCAAACAATAAAAAGGGGGGAATCTTGATTATAAAATGAATCCCACCATGAATGCTAAGGCCATCAACGGCATTAAAAGGCTGAACCTCCTGTCCGTGGCGGCGGCGGCAGCGGAGGAGGACGATGATGAAGATGAAGAGGAGGAAGATCCCGAGTCGCTTGATTCTCCAAAGGGGCTGCTGTCGCCTGCTCCTGTAGACGAAGTCGCTGGCCCATTGGCACCGCTCGTAGATGAGGCAGAGTTTGATTTTGACGTCACCGAGGTCGAGATGGTCGTTTGGGGTTTCGAAGAAGTGGCGGCGCCAGAGGTCGCTGCAGGTGTCGTGGTCGATGCTGACGGACCCGACGAGTGAGCGCTGCTTGTTGCGGACGGCGTCGAGCCGGAGGTGGTCGCAGTGTTGTCACTGGCAGGAACCGCTCCTGATTTCGAGCCAAAGCCGATTCTCGCATTGTCAAAGTCCAAGACCGTGTAGACATTTTTGAGAAACACATCACCCAAGATCCAGTCATTCGGCCCAAACGCCTGATGGCCGATTATATTACTCTGGCAACTTCCACTGCTGCCGCTTTGCTTGCCGACATAGTCCTTGGGAGACACTGAGTACTTCAGACCGGATATCGTGAAATAGACATTGGCCGAAGAGGAACAAGGTATCGTGTAGGTTTCGCCGTTGGCAGAACTGCCAGGAATCAGCTGATGCAGAGCATCGGCGTCCGCGGGAGGCAGCAAGATGTATGATGTCCCAGTGTCGATCATGGCGGTTTTGGATTGGAAGCCCACTGACTTGCCATCGACGCCCGCATCGCCCGCGGCGATCTGCCAGCTGTCGCTGTTGATTGTTTTGGAATACGACAGTTTGCCGTTGAATTTGGACGAGTCAATCCCACCAAAGGTGATCTGTCCATCATTCGTCCCGTCCGAGCTTCGCTGTAGGTGGATGCCCAGCACATTGGACGACAAATGCCCCTTGTCGTTTAACACCTGCATGATCGTCGGCGAGCCCAGCGCGTCCGAGGCGGGTCGTCCAAGTCCCAAGATGCCGTCCATGGGATAATTGTTGAAATCATCTGACGCTGAGGAGGCGAGGCCGAAACCCAGCTCAACAGTGTAGTTGGCCAACTGCACCGTGTCTTTGACCACCACCCCCTCCACTTCTCCAGTGCCATAAGTCATACTCCAAGTTTGAGTGGTTGTCTGGAGCGTGCTCGAATCCTCACTGCCGTACGTATTGTGTATTTGACAGGCATTGGATTTGCAATTTGAGCCCATAACCCAGGTATTAGCCGAGCCGCTATCGATCAACATATACATCTCTTGACCCTTGGACCCAAATTTCACGGTGGAGAAGTAGGTGTAGTCGGCGCCGTCTTCGTTGATTGCCATGGCGTTGGGGACGTTAGGAGCCGACGAGTTGGTGACCGGGAACACATTATTTCTTTTCACCTATGCCGTGGATTAGAAATCTGCAAATCACCCTTTACAAAGCCTTTGACTCACCATTGCTTTCTTGATGTCCATGGTTACCACACCCGAGTCATCGTCGTGCGGAGGCTCCAGGCCCAGAGCAATAAACCTTTTGCTGTTCTCATTTCCTCCATCGCCAGCATGGTAGGGATAGAATGCTGAAACGCAGCTGGATAGCAAGGGCAAGGATAACCAACGACGATGCATGGTTTAGCGGCGTTCTTGAAAATACAAAATCACTCCATTTGCGTATGTCGGAAGCTGTTGGTTTCAAGCCAAAGGAGCCTGTCCAGATTAAGTGATTGCAATAAGTCGATAGTCTCGATTTGGTATCCTGCCCAAGTTCAATCGAGGAATGAAAGAGTGCGATAGGCAATACAGTAGTAGCCAAAGGCAGAGCTCGAAGGATTCTCAATCAAGAGATCCCACAATACAGCTCCGAGATAAAGGCACAGCGATAACACTTGGGTAGTGAATGGCAATGCAAGAACGAGAGAAGCAGAATCCTGAAGAGCATGTCACTGAAGTTCTTCCGAGAAGTTGAGCACTTGGTTCCCACCGCATAACTCTGAAGCCACAGCGTCGCCATGCCAAGTGCATCAGCGCATCAATCCACCAGGGAGCGGGTCATCATCCAGGGGAAAACGCCCGAATGGAGCGGAGGGACCAGTTCGCGTACCTGACGATCGTTTTCGTGCTCACTTCATTGGTCCCTAAGAATGCGCTCCGAAACCGTGGCAGGGCCGCTGGCGTCAGTCACGGCTTGGGCTTTTGGCCCGCCCCCTTGGTGGCTGGATCGAGAACTGCCCGCAGGCTTGTCCTCATGGCCAGGTGTTTTATGTTGAGTACTGGAAAAAGGCAATCCAGAGCGGGGTATGGCGAGATCTTGTCTCTAGATCAGATCTCTCTTGTTACAATCGCAGATTGTTGGAGAAATCCTCAGGCACCTCAGCGACTGGAGGAGCTCGCGCGAGTTCAATTTGACACAGGCCAAGCAGGGTGAAGGCGAGGCTCGAGTGTCTGCGAAAGGGGGGGCAACAGACTGGAATGGCCGGATGCTGGGATGCTGGGAGCGGAGGCTCTTGGGTTTGTGGAGTCGCAGAGCGGGTATCATCTGGTTATGTGGAGTCGCATCAGAAACATTCGGCCGCTGGCACTGCCACCGCCAAACGACAAGTGACAGACAGCTAGAAGCCCCAGGCGGGAAAGGTGCGCTGGGCGCTTGATTAAAAGGAAATATACGTCGTCATCCCCAACCAACGCGAGATAACGTGGTATAGGTCACAAAAGGAGAGAAAGGTACAAACACACAACGCTCGTGCTACAACGCTGTCACGACAGTTGCAACGGCAATGCCATCGCTTCAACCCCCAGCATCAGTTATCGCTTGGCTGTCTTGCCCTGCTGGCCGAAGAGATCGTCAAGGAACCCAGTCCAGATCTTGCGGATCGTCGCTTCATCCTTGTCTTTGACCATGTCCACAAATTGGCGGGCACTCTTGCCCACTGTCTCCGTGAGAGCTGTGAGCATCTCCACCGACAGCTCGGTAGGATGATGGCCATCGTGTACGTCGCTCATGGCACTTGCTGAACCACCTGCAACATCCCCAACACTGAAGATCTGCGGCTTCATAATGGTCTCATAACCTTGTGTATCTTGGTAGCCTCCGGCCGCTGCGTCAAGCTCCGGGTGCCTCTCCAAAATGGCTTCGGCTTGCTCGGACTGGATGTAAGGCAGAATAGGGACTCGGATTGAGGGAGAGCTGGGTCCCCATGAGTCTTCGTGTAGCTTGGGAAGGTAGGCAAAGTCAATGGTGGACGTGTCACCTACGGCCTTGTTGGCGCGAGAGGTGTTGAAGTGTCGCTGGGGTGCGGTCTCAGAGGGACTGATGATGCGGTTAGTTTCAATGCTAGCACTAGGGACATGAATGCGCCGGAACATACCCAGAGACCGGCTTCTTTGTTTGTTCGACGGCAATCCGCTTCATGGCAATAGAAAATGCTCGTGCCTGCAAGCTGTCGTGACCAGCCAGTCGGTCAATGAGCTCGTGCTTGGTGCCGGAAGCCGAGAGCGTCCGTTTTTGGCACTCTTGACGGAGGTCCTGCAGAGTCCATGGCATGTAGGTGCTCTTGTGGTTGGGATCGATGGGTCTCGGAGAGGCATGGACACCAGTAATGTGCAGGCTCCGTTTGGCCGGGGTCGACCCGGCCGTGCGCTGGAGGTTGCGCAGGGCTTTGAAGGAGGATGCTCGAGGAGCTGCCATGGTATTGAGACAATTGTAGACTATAAATTCGACAGAAGTATAGAGATGGCGGAGGGTCGGGGGCGTTAATGAATCGTGTGGAAGATGTTGTGATCGATGTAGTCCTGAGGAGGGTTCATATGCAGGGTTGGGGTGTGGAATGATATTTGAAGGGGGGGGCACCTGGACAAAAGGATCGGTGAAGTGGGAGTGAAATGGCGGTCACCGTTGGGTGTTGGTGATACGCAAGCGGAGGGGGTTCGTCGGTGTACGAAGATAGGCAAAAGGAACAGAAGCAGGAGAACAAAATGTAGCTACGTCCGGGGGAGATGATGATGGCCTTATGAAGCACAGCTTTACGAGTTATCTCATTCATCATTCGGCGTTCAATGGGAGAGGGTTCGCTAATGGCGGGCCAGTGGCTCCGGTGGCTGTCAATGGCTGTCCACGGCCACTAGGCGGCGGGATTGGGGCACCCTGGGCACCTTGGGGGGGATTTGGCCTGCAGCCCCCGGGGCCCTTTAAGCGTTGAGCGCAGCCAAGTTGCAGCTTCGGTCTCCGCATTATTGGCCTCTTGACCGATTTAGGGCGAAAGTGGAGTTCTCAACACCCTCTAACCCTTCCCACCCACGGCAAAGTACCATGCCTCGCATGCATGTTTACTTGTTTTGCGGCTTGTTGCAAGAGCGGTGTACACATTGCCCTCACAAACAACGGGACATGGTGCCGACGACAAATGGCAGACGCAGGGATTGGACAGAGACCATGTTCTGGCCTACTGTCATTCGGCTCATATGATCCTTTTCCAAGAACTTCTTCCACCGGCAAAAGCCGTCCGGGGTATGTAGCTGGGAGGTATCGAACCGCTGTTCCTGGATGCGGCAAAACATATAGCCACTCCGCAGGTTGGACTTCTTGTAGAGGGCCTGCTCGCAAGACACAATACTCCGTCCAGATAATCATATCGTATCTCCTCCGTACCTAGTCCGGATACAATCGTATCTCGTTTTGGCGGTCCACTGGTCCGAATGCGAGCCAAATCCTGGCTTCTCCATCAATCTCTGGGGCTGACCAGTTGCTAAAAATGGCCGGGGGAGTTCGGATTTATCGAAGCTATCGACTCCACCACTGCCCAAAGGATCAAAAAGGGTTCTGAAGCCCTGGGGGCTCGGTGGCGGGCCGGCGCAAGGCTTTGCCATTTTCCTTTCCTTGTCCGACTCTTTTCTCAACACGATTCATTTTGCGCCTTGTGAAAACCGCCGTCCTTATTCCATTGTCCAATTGCCAATTGGCTGCCACTGTGAGGCTTGCTCTTGCGCATGAATTGAGTACGGTGGCTGCTTTGACGAGGGGGATATTCTGGTAAGGAGCAGGTCGCGTGCGCAGGCAACGTCGTTGATGATATCCTTGGAGGTTGCGGTCGCGTCCTGGACAGCTGTTCATGTAGGTATTACACCATTGGCAAGAGGAGGGAGACCTTGCTTTGCTCGGGATAAGATGCTCGGCGAATGTGTCGATACGTGATGATTGACGGTGCTCGCGTGCGTCTTGACTCTTCTTCAGAATGAAAGCCTTGGTACTCTGTCTTTGAGAGAGGAAGGAGCAGCCCATCGTTGTATGCAGACTTGGGAGCTTGAGATCGTCGTTGCAATTGGGACCAGATCAGCACTCCATGATACAACGTTGAGAAGGCTTGACAATTGATTGTCTAGACGGGGGGCAAACAGATCCTTTTCATACCTGGTGAAAGCAGGCGACGCAAAGATGTCTTCGCCCGTTGAATCTATGCCTCGCTACTCACCACCCACCAAAAGCCTTTGTCGGTCGCTCTGGTTTGCCCTCTCGCCACTGCCACAGTCGAAGTTTGCTTGGGTCCGGTCAAATGTTGTGTTGAAACCTCCTTCAGAACACAGAGTTGGTTGTCGTGGACCAGTTCCTGTGCAGCCCCAACGTTGACTGTGCCTCCTCCGAAAACACCTGCGCCCTACCCCGTCGACATCAATTTTCCACGACAACACCACCACGCGACTTCATTATCTTCTCCTCGTTCCCCCTCGTCCAGCATTCCGGAAACCATTGGAAGCAATCCATCACTATTCGCCAAGGTCTTCACACTTCCTTCAAATTCGCCTTGAACTTGCGATCTATTCTCACTTCCTTCTCCTTCTTTTCCACCTCCCCCTCCCCTCCCTCCTCTCAGTTGTGCTTCAAAATCCTGGTGCTGGCGTGGATTCTTCTGGAGAGCCACGGTTGTTCTTACATTCAGCATTCCGGGATTCTGTCTAAGCGGACCCTGGGTCAAGTTTTGTGGAGTTAGTCCTGTCCCTTCTCGCATCATGATCGATTCCCGCTGGCTAACACTTTCAAAGGACCTCGGACGGTGCACCTCTCTGCCCATTTCCTTGCGACGTAGTTACGCTAGAGCCCTTTTGAGATTTTCGAAGCTCACCATGGGGCGCGGACCACGTCGCCACCTAAAGGACGAGGATGATGAATCGGAGGACGAGAATCTGCCACCAATGTCTCCCAATACACAGAAGGAACATCAATTGAAAATGATTATGCGAGTATGTCCATCGTGAAACACTCTTCGAAAGCTTCTAGACTGAATTTACTCTCCAGATGGACCTGTCTGAGAAGAACGCAGATGCGATCAAAACAAGCGACTACTCCAGCCGTCCCCGTCCCTTTGCAGCCTCTTCTATTACGCCAGAGTGCAATGTCGAAGGTACTGAAGCGGCCAGGATTGCAAAAGAGAATAGTGGACCGACGTCTAAGTGGCAGAGTGAGGATGCCTGCTGATATGATATCTTCATGGTCTGACCGTTTCTAGCATTCGGGCAAAGTGACGAAGCCGTTGATGCTCTCTTTACCCAGAAACAGATCAGTAATGGCAATAGTCATCGGCATACCATCGAAGAACAAAAGAGAGAAGAGGAGGGACGTCTAGGGCATAAGCTCAAGCTCGAAGACACCTACAACGACTTTGGCGGCAGTCGACGAGCTGGAAAGAGAGTCGCCTCTCTTCATTCTCGCCCTCCAGCAGCGTGAGCATTCTACCTAATGTTTCTTCAAGTCCCGACTAACCTAGGCAAAGGTCTTCTGCTCACTCGATCCTCACCACGCGTTCATTTTCTGCTACGTCAAAAGAATCAACATTTGGGAACCGCGGTAAAGGAGTCCAGGCCGCCAGGCCCTGGCCTCCGCCAGGCCTTGAAGGTACACCATCTATGGCGATTGCTATGCAGATCAGCCAACCCTCAGCCAAAACCAATACGGTCAAGATGTCTGCCATGTCTTCAGGTTCTCAGGTAGCTGCGGCCGAAGCTGATCCTAAGCGACGTGCTCTTGCTCCTCCAGCGAAGTCTCGTAGCTTTGCCTTGGTGGAGGATTCGTCAAAGTTCATGTCATCTATCCAGGGCAAACTGGCAGCTTGGTCGTCGGGGACACAGACAGAAGCCCACGGGACGTCAACTTCCGCTGCGAATGCTGCTCAAACGACGTGGGCAGTCCCTTCAGCCGTACCTGTTGCTCAAGACGAACATACTTCTGCTGGGCATCTTCACGACTCCTCCATTCGCCGAGTGCCAGTTGCCGAATTCTCCTTCTCTGTGGCCAGTACTTTGGCTCCAGGTAATGTCGCGACTCATACAGACGGTGCACCGAGTCCCGCGGCTCTTTCTGGCTTCTCAACCTCAACTGCAGACGATGGAGAGTCTTTGCCTCAAGTTCAAGCTGTCACCAATGACCTGATTGGGCTTGCTATCGAGGATGCTAGTTTACCCGATACTCATCTCACGGTCGAAGTGCATAGCGGGGGTGGTGCTGCGCAGGCGGGCCCATTATCTCCTAGCGGCAGCATTTTGGACTCACCCATTCTCGATCAGGTCAGCAGCGAGGTCCTTCCAGCCGAGGCTGCTAAAGTTGTCATTGTCGGTGGTCTTCGATATGTCCTCGAGTCGGAGCTGCTGGATCTCAAGGCAGCGGTTGAAAACCAACTCAACAGCACGACCGCCAGCCTGGTCAACAACTCTCCAGCTCTTATAACAGCTCCTAAAGCTGTTTCTGTCCCTCAACCGTTCTTGGCCTCTTCGAAGGTCACCTCCTCCGTCGCTTCTACGGCTGTTCGGCCCTCTTGTCCTGTCAATCCGTTTGCTCCTCGCGAGCCATTGGCGACAAACGATACCAACATTGCGGCAGCACAAGTCTCCTCTTCCAATTCCAACAAAGATTCAGGCGGGCCGTCTACCACAGCGAAGTCAGCCTCTCGACCTTCCTCAGTTGTCACAAGCAATACGACTATCATTTCGAAGTGGGCTGATGATCCATCCTCTCGTCCGACTAGCCGTCCCGCTGCACCAGTCATCCGTTCTTCATCACCAATATTCGGTGACCGGAAGGTTTTTGGGCACCACTCGAAAGAGGCCGCCGAGGGCCAGAAATACGAGCCTCCTCCACCCAAAATCAAGCGCACTGTGGCCACCAAGCGTCAATATGAGCCTCCTGGGCCCGGTCTTACATGGCTGTTAAAGGAAATGGCCGACGCGAAACAGAAGAGAGCTGCTGCGGATGAGATGGATGAAGAATTGTGATTTCTGACACTGTGTGGAGGCATGGTAGTGCATGGTGAGGCATAGTGATGCATGGCAGCTCTGACATTACTGAAACCGAAACCAGGTCCAATTTTGGATGGAAAACGCATAGCAATAGTCAGCAATCAGTCACGAAGGAAGAGAAAAATGTGCTTGAAACCCGAAAATGGAGCTGAGAGAGGCTGATGGAGTTGGTAGCAGCAGCTTTAGAGAGTAGCTCCTCATCCTCCCTCCTCTCATCAAGTGCCAAAAGTTTGGTCTCATACATTCAACACGCCTCAGTTTCCATTTGCCGCATTTCGTGGTTTTCCATTCTCTGTCCTTGGTACCCATTGCCCACGGTGACCGTCTGAGCAGCAAGCAACGTCCAATTCGCGTCCGTTCTCCGTCCTGTTTTCGTCCACCACATTCGTCTCCCATCGGCATTCAATCTCGGCTTCGTCACGACGCGGCCGCCTTGTTCCTTGCTCGGCTACAACGCTCTCTTCCCGATGTCGAAGTCCCTGACAAGGTCCACCTACCTCACGGCACAAAGGGCCACCCGCTGCCGCTGCTGTGCGAATGTACTCGGAAACGGACATGGAGGTGGTAATGACTACCCTACCTTTCTGGTCAACACAGCGTCCTATGATCCATCCGTGTCGAACGCCCCTGACTAGGTCCATCCACCTGACACCCGCTGTTGCGTGAACGTCCTCGTTGGTGGACATGAAGACGGTGACGGCCACCCTACCTACCGAGGAAAAAGCATAGCGTTCTGTGATATCTCCGTGTCACACGTACTCGACGACGGCTACGGATTCAGATCCTGTGGACTCCCACTGGTGTACGACCGTGCTTGTGCGCTGTTATGAGGTAGAAACGACCACCTTCGTCAGCGGTGGCCGCGGTGCATTTGCATTGCCATTCATCCGGGGGGTAAAGAAACAGAGGACACCGGCGGGTGCCAGCTCGCATGTAAAAAGTCTCATTCCAGTGAAAGGGACTGATGCGTGTAATAAGGGGTTTTTAGTACATCTATTTCGGGCTTTTATCGTGTGTTCATTAGGTAGGGTATCCTCGCCAAACTCATGCTCCGCGCTCCATCGATTCCCGGACCCGTCTTTCGACTGCCTCGCCGGCCCTTTGTCTCACCATCCTCACAATCCAATCTTGTTGTTTTGTCCCCAGTAATCTCAGTCTGTCCAGATATGTTTGCAACGTCTCCGGATTACTCTGGTTAGATTGAAGATCATTAAGCCCGTTGGTGAGGAGCCAGCGTTGCAGGCGCTGAGGGTCTAGATATTCTTGGTCTTGTTCCGAGGAGGAAGGGGGAGGATGGCTCGTTGCAGCGTCGTTTGCACCCTGTGACGATGCCCGCGGCTCTTGGGTTCGGAGGGTTTGGGCAGGGCGTGTCTGTCTTGGTTGAGGAGGTTCGCGACCTTCGTCCGCTTCTTCCTCTTCCGCGTCCGACTCAACGTGTCGTAATACCGCATGACCGCCAGTCAGGACTCGCCCAGGTGTTCTTTCTTGGGCACCCTCGTCTTCCTCATCCGCATCTTCCACCATGGCTGCATGTGGAGGATGTGGCTGTCCCGTTTGAGCCGTGGTCTCTTCATTGTCGGAAATGCTCTCCAATTCAGGCATACTGTCATCTTCATCCTCATCGGCTGTCGAATTGTTCGCGTTGGCATCCACATAATAGTCCCACCCACCAGCCATTCCCAATCCCTCAGGCGTAACACCTTCGCCTAGCTCCTCTGCGTCATCTAGATGGATCCTCAGGAACTCCTCCAGCATTTCCGGAGGGACGTTTCCCCCGAGTTGCTCTTGCAGCTCTCGAAGTGCTGCTTGGCCTTCCGACTCGCCTCCTGTGTTCGCGTCTTCTGCAGCGGCGGGTTGCTGGAACCAGTTCATGATCCGCGTAAGGAGGCTGCCCGCAGTACCCGCAGTCGCTCCTGCGGCGTTGAAGATGACTTGCATGGTTCCATCAGCTCCTCGCGTGGGGCCGGCGCCGGGTGCTCGAGCAACGAAGTCGGACAATGAATCTGGGGGAGGGAGGACGTCGGATGATGAAGTGGGCATAGTAGTAAACCGACGTGGAAGCAGGGCAATTAGTGACGGAATCTCGAGGAGCATGATATGTCTAGCTTCTTCGAGGGAAATCTCCAACTTCGGTGCTTCCAGAGCAGCAGAGATAGCATCGCTGTAATGAGAAAGGGTCTCTGCAACTTCGGCAAGTAGGCTGATAGTTTCCGGAGTGTTCCACAAGTCTTTTGCGCGATTGACGTAGAGTTGGGTGTAGAGCTTTTCGGCGTCAGTGGACGGTAATTTTGCCCAGAGGGACTTGGGAAGAGGCGAGATGTCGAGTGCCGATGCGAGAGCGGATAAGATGTAAGGGTATTTATGCATTGCGACCGCCAGACGAATACGAGCATCTCGTGGTTTGCCTGATCTTTGATAGGCGAGTGCTAGAGAGATTTGGATATTGGGCAGGAAATCCCACGCTTGGCCATAAGCATCGTCCGAGCAGAGGGCAATGAGTTGTGCATGCTGACGGCCTCTCAAGGCAAGTTGATCGATCATCAGAGTGACTCCATAGGGATCTGTGAGTGGGTTGAGTTGAAGAAGGATTTTGGCCCATTCGAACGCGGTCCGCCACGTCCCTCGCATCTCGAGGTTTCTGATGTACCGCCATATTGCGAGATATAGTTCTCGATTTGCTGGTTTATTGAACGGCACCCGAGCGACGCCATTTCTCAGGGAAGCTGGAAAGCTGCTGTGTACAGACTTGCCGAAGGAGAATAGTGCACGCTCAACAAGATCTCCCGAGACAGCATGGTCGCCTTGATGCTTCGCAATTTCGGAGACTTGCAAAAGAGTGGCAATATGGTACGGATACATGGACAATAGACCAATCATTCTTTGAGGATCCATCGATTCAACGGCCATGCGGAAATGAACTTGCGTCTCGCGATAGGCGTTGTTGTGCATGATGTTGTATCGCTTCTCGGGGGAGTCCTTGGAATCGGAATCCGGTTTGACTAGTTCCATGCTCAACCCTCCACTCGTGGCCAGGGGCCACTCTTCTTTCCCCTGCACAAAGACGTTCCGTCTATGTGCGAGAGACCCTAGCTCTTTGCCTCTGCTGGCGACACAATATCTTCCCGTAAGTGCGGTCGCGAGATCGACCCCGCCCTGCTGGTTTTGTTCACGACGACGTTGATTGCGGGGTGAAAAACGAGATTCTTGTCCTTCAAGCGCAATGTTACCAAAGAGACTCTTCATCTCGTTGACGGGGTTGAGATTGTGCGAATCTATGGCCAGAAGTCTGGTAGCTCTTGACTCCCAGCTCGGTGACTCTTGTTTCTCGCTAGACGCCGCCTGTGTTCGCCCTTCTTTTGCGGCCAATTCTTTCAGTGCCCGGTCAATTTCATCGCCAGATTCCTCTGTCTGCTCCTTCTGTTCTTCTGCTTTACCCTTGCCTTTCTTCTTGGGTTTCTTCTTTTTCTTCTTCGGCTTTGGTAGAGGAGTGGGTGTTGACCCTTGCGGTAGGTTGGTATCGGGCTTTCCTGTGGCTTCTGCGTGTGATATGGACTCGTATTCATGTTCGTCAGATTCTTCTTTATCTTCAACCTCCTCCAGCATGTCAAAAGCGTTCATAGGCCGTGAGGGTGGCTGTGGGACATCATCCTCCTCTTCTGACTCTTCTGCCTCCTCGTATGCCTTTTTCGCAGCCTCGACTTGTCTCTGCAATTCCTGCTCCCGCTGCAGTTTGCGAAGGGCTCGCGAAGACATTTTGGCCGTATCTGCAAATTCGACAACAGAGAATGAAATAGCGAATGTGGAATGGGGGATTAGGGAAAAGCCACTCCGAATGATTCACATAAGTAAAGAACGCCGCCGCATAAAGCGACGAGTGACGTTCGCGAGGGATTTAAGTGGACCTGTGAGATTAATCTCCGATTGGCTCAATCCAGATCTGCGGACCGCGCAGGCTCAGCCTCATCAACTTGTAGACGAACAGATCGAGCATCTGCTCGAGTGTCCGTGTCAGGATCACTGTTGCCGTCGCTCTATCTTCCTGCCTCTTTATTTCTTCTCTAGATGCCCTCATCCTCAAGTACTCTCTTCCCTTCTCCTTGACCTCCATCGTCTCCTCCAATGCGTCGCGCTGCCCTTTTCGCCCTCCGCTCGGCCCGACGCTCTGCCTTTCGAAAGCTCGTCTCCAAATCCTCCCCCTTCGCACCTCCAAACCATGTCGTAGCCTCAGCCAATGCTCATTCATCCTCCCTCGTCCGCAGATACAGTACGTCTCGAACACCGTTTCAGTCTTCTATGCGTATCCCCAAGATACCAATCCTCTTCGTCGGATCCCTAGGAGCGATTGGAGCCTGGTATGCTTACAGAGGTGATGGGCCAGAGCATCTTCTAAAAAGTCAACCATTGTCGGTATCAGCACAGCCCAGGAGAGCTCTGAGCACCACAGCAGATACTGCGCAGCCTACTGCAGAACCTACCGGCCCTGCGTCGGTAACTGCGGGTCCCGAGCCGTATCGGAAAGCACTGGTGGTTGACAACGATCAATTCTTCACGGGGTCCATAGTTGGAGACGGTCCTTTGGCCAAGGACACAGATGACTACGGCAGGAAGGTGTTGGAGATGATGACCCCTGAGCAAGCCACAGAAAGATTACGGAAGAATGAGCAGTCATTCCTGGTCGGTCGAGGACGAGGTGTGGTGAGATATGACATGGTCCAGCTCCCCAGCAACGACCCAATTGAGGATGACCACGCAGAGAAGATTGTCGAAGTTCCGAACACAGTCGCTGCAACGGAGGGCTCAACATCTTCGGACTGGATGTTCTGGGGTGTTTTCGACGGCCATTCAGGATGGACAACCTCTGCCAAACTGCGCCAGGTCTTGATCTCTTTCGCGGCCCGCGAACTTAATCGCACCTACAAAGCGGCTTTATCAGACGCAAAATCCCCTTTTCCTTCGCCCGCAGCCATTGACCAAGCCCTCAAATCCGCCTTCGTCAAACTGGACAACGAAATCTGTTTGGACAGCGTCAACAAACTCAGCAAAAACCCTAGCAAACGGCTCGCCGCCGAAATCCTTGCCCCTGCCCTGTCAGGCTCCTGCGCCCTACTGTCTTTCTACGATTCTCAATCAAAGACCCTCCGCGTCGCATGTACCGGCGATTCTCGTGCAGTACTGGGCCGTCGCAATCCCCAAACGGGTAAATGGTTTGCCACCCCCCTATCAGAAGATCAGACAGGTTCCAATCCGAATGAAGAGGCACGTATGCGCGCCGAACATCCGGGTGAGGAATATGTTATTCGAGCCGGCCGAGTGTTGGGAAATCTAGAACCAACTCGCGCATTCGGGGATGCGTTCTACAAGTGGTCGCGCGAGACTCAGGACCGCATCAAGAAGAACTTCTTCGGAAGGACACCACATCAGCTGCTGAAAACGCCGCCGTATGTCACTGCGGAGCCTGTGGTGTCGAGCACAAAGATAAATCCCTCCGACGGCGACTTTCTCGTGATGGCCACTGACGGGCTGTGGGAGATGCTGACAAATGAAGAAGTTGTTGGGCTCGTGGGCCAGTGGATTGAACATCAGAACAAACTTGCCAGTAGCAAGGCTTCTCCCGGTTCGAATACGGCTGCATGGTTGACGAGTTGGTTCAAATCATCGCCGGGTGGTCTACCGGTTGAGAAAGGTGGCAATATGGACAAGACTGGCCGCATTGACACATCCTATAACCAGAAGGACGCTAAGGATGGCAAAGACTCCAACGCCAACAATGTCGAAAAGCCCATCCGACAGCAGCAGTGGGACATTCCTGCTTCGCCCCCTTCCACTTCCAATCGCTTCGTCGTCGAGGACAAGAACTGTGCAACTCACCTCATCCGCAACGCATTGGGAGGAAAAGATCGAGACATGGTGTGCGCGCTGCTCACGCTACCGAGCCCTTACAGTCGACGGTACAGAGATGATCTGACAGTCCAGGTTATTTTTTTCGGCGAGGCTGGCGAAGCCGATGGCAAGGTCGTGATCAACGACGAAGCAACAGCACGGCAGGTACAGAAAACTGAGGACGGGCAATTGAAGGCAAAGTTGTGAAGGAAGGGAACCTGTTCTTCCGAACAGAGAAATTTGGAGAGCGCAGGACCCTCGAGATCTTGATCACCCTTCGAGTGCTTGCGCCCATGAGGATCCTCGGGGTCTGGTTTGGCGTTCTCATTCATGCCCACCATCGTGCAGTGCTTCGAGCTAAAGCGAAAAGAAGTTTTGATGCTGATGTCTACTTCATCACATCACATTGCCCACTTGATATAGGGTTTTGATGGAGGGCCTACGCACCGCTAGAGCAAGTGCATTGTCTTGGTGTGCGATGAGCAGTTTTAAAGACTTCCTCTCAAACATCTGTCTTAGTACGATATCTGGGCGCAAGGGATACGAGATAGTTCTTGCTCAGTGTAGAACCGCAGGGTGGTCGGAGTTACAAAACTGGCCGGAAGGGCTAAACCGTGTCATTTATTGGTCGCTACGCGCACAGAGGCAGGGCGGTTCAAGAGACATACACGAATGGAGTCGTGCCAGTTACTGAGGCCATTGCAATCTCTCCTGGCGCCTTGTATTATCATTGCTTGCTGTACATTGAAGTCCTATTCATTGCAGAACTCTAAACACCGAAGGCGCGTTTTCGCCGCGCCGATGATACTGTCATGATGGTATAGTATACTTCATTCCTCCGCTTGCCCTTTTCCTTTCGCCTGTTTTGCTTTTAAAAGTGGAAACCGCTTGGTGCTCCCGAGAACGCGCGCAAGAAGAGGCCGTTGAACAAGCTGAGTTGTCGTGGTCCCGATGAGGTACAACACCACCGCTGTAGATAAGTCGCTCCGGATAATCAGATAGGTAAAGACGGTGGGCATCGCTGTTAAGACATAAGACAAAGTCTTGGAGAACTTTGCAGAGAAAGCCCTCAGTCTGTCGGCATCGCCATTCGAATAGCCCGTGTCCGTCTGTTGTTTGGCAGCTTCCCTCACCCTCGTCCACACGCTGAAGGTAGCCAGGGCTCCGTATGTAATGGGCAGAATCCAGAGGTGATCTGGCGAGGCCAGGTCGGGTATCCACCATAGACTTTCAGTCTGGAAGCCTGGTTCCATGGGCACGATGTTCGGGTCTACGGTGCTGCCATCAGACCTGAAGAAGAGCGAGGTCACTGTCCGCTTGTCGCCTGCCATGCGGCGTATGCAATCCATGCTGAAGACCCATACAGGGATGAAGGACAGAGCAAGCACCGGTTCCACCCAGACTGGAAGGTATGAATTGTGCTTCTGTATGGCCTTTTTTCGGGCCTTGAGCTGGCTCGCGACCCAGCTCTCAGCCTTTTTGGCGTCTGCTTCTCTCCCCGAGGGGAATTTTATCCTCGCCGTGTCTTGGTAGGCGATGCGCCATGCAGAGGCCAGCTGCATTGCGGTTTCTCGCCGTTTCCGACTTCGGTGCGTCAACAGCTGGACCGGGATCCAGGTCATGCGCAGGAGCGAGGCTGTCAGAGGGATCGACAGATACCATGGTAGGCTGGTCAACGAGTGCACCTCTTGAAAGATGGTCCCGGAGATCTGGAGGCATTCGGCAGCGAAGGATTTGGGGCTCGAGGCATGAAAGGAGCGTGACAGCGACCGGGGGGATAGGCGAGTCTGACTGCTGCATCGTGGTTCCAACTTGGCCCAACGTCGAAGGGTCCTGCGGCAGATCATTGCTAAGTGTCGGCTGGTAGAGGGAGCATATGGAAATCGGTTTCGTGGCGCATTATCGGTCGATGAAACAAAAGTGCCAATCCGACTCGCCGACGCGCATAGACCGCGGGGGCAGGCAAAAAGCGCGTGGTCTCAGGCTGCGTCATTGTTGGTTGGTGGGAGAAAAGAGGCCACAGGAGCCGCACCTGATATGTACTGCTCATTTCACCCCGTTGGCCGGATCTTACCCCTTACTAAATTGTCCTTCTCGCCAGCCAACGGTTTTGGAAGCATGAGTCTCGTTGACTATTGGTGTCTTCTGCAGCATTGGCAATGGCCGCCTCATCGAGCGTCGTGGCAGTTTTGGCGGTAGTGCCGCTTTTGCCCCTCGTATTTGTCTTGCTTCTACAGTTGTCACTACGCGCGCTTGGCTGGTACCTACGAGCACAGTCCAGAGACCGGAAGGCCGCGATCTTCGAAAGGGTCAGGCGAGAAAGAGCCGCTGTGTTGGAGAATCAGCCTCTGTCCCAGGAAGCCGAAGATGGGTGGGAGAGGGTCGAGAAGGAGGGCACCGCTCAGAATGGCAAGCCTCTTGAGGATGAATGGGGCGGAGTCATTGGATTCTTCCATCCCTTCTGGCAAGTTCTGCCTTCTCGTAGAATTCAGTTCTAACTTTGAGTAGCAATGCTGGTGGCGGCGGTGAGAGAGTGTTATGGGCTGCCATAGCCGCAACTCAGCGACGATGGCCCAACGCCATATGCGCAGTTTATACCGGTGATCACGACATCGACCGGGCGGTGGTGGTCGCCACGGTCAGAAATCGCTTTGGAATCACCCTTCAAGAGCACTCCCTTGTCTTTCTGTACCTTTCGAGCCGTCGTTTTGTCCTTGCAAGCACCTATCCTCACCTCACGCTGTTGGGCCAGTCACTCGGCTCGCTGATCCTAGCTTATGACGCCTTTCAGCTGCTCGTGCCCGACATTTTTGTCGACACCATGGGGTACGCATTCGCGGTCGCCCTTTGCAAATACCTCTTCCCCGACGTGCCTAATGCGGCATACGTGCATTATCCGACCATTTCTACCGACATGCTAGACAGCCTTGAGGACACGACAGGTCTGAAGGGAATTCATGCAGGTGCCGGGCAAGGGTGGAAGGGCAAAGGAAAGAAATACTATTGGCGTGCTTTTGCATGGCTCTACGGGTTTGTCGGCAGACAGATCGATGTGGTGATGTGCAATTCAACTTGGACGCAAGGCCACATCCGACAGCTGTGGAAGCCGAAAAGAGCCTCGTCGTCGTTCGCAGCTATAGTCTATCCGCCTTGCCCAGTCGAAGAGCTGGAAGCACGAATCACGTTGACAGAGGAGAGCGAGAAACAACGGGAAAACATTGTGCTCTACATTGCTCAATTCCGACCCGAGAAGAACCATTCTCTGATTCTCCGATCCTTTGCCAAGTTCTACCAGGCCGCAAAGGAGAAACCACGGTTGGTTCTTATTGGGTCGGTTCGAAGCAATACGCCGGACGAGAAGCACATCTACAACCTTCGACTCGAAGCACACGAACTAAGGATCAAGGACGCCACTACCTTCATCTGTGATGCCCCCTTCTCAGTAATCCTCGAATATCTTCGGAGGTCGAGTATTGGTACCAACGGCATGTACGCAGAACATTTCGGGATTGGCAATGTGGAGGGATTGGCCGCGGGACTCATCCCAGTGGTACACAACAGTGGCGGACCCAAGCTCGATATTGTGGTTCCGTTCGAAGGTCAGCCCGTTGGGTTTCACGCCGAGACAGAAGATGAGTTTGCTGCTGCTTTTGCCCGTGTGATGGCCATGAGTCCACGGGAGCGATACGAAATGAGATTAAGAGGGCGTGCAAGCACCAAGCGATTCACCGAAACAGTTTTCGCCGGCAAATGGGTCGAGCAGATGGAGATCCTGGTGAGGCTGCAGAAGCTACGCAACAGCCATAACATATAGAGCCAGCAGAACGACCGAAGACTGACGGTCGTGATGAGTTTAGACCAATGATACCCGTCTTGCCTTTTCGCCTCTCTCTGCTTCAGCAGTACGCGACAGTGGCAATGCTCCTGCTCGCCGCCACTGGGTGAAGAGCTCCCACATATGTACCAAGCACACAGGTGTCTTGAGGCACGCAGGCCGAAAAGCCCCTCGCCGAACCTTCCCCAAGGAGAAGCGGCGCCCGGAAAATCTCCCGTCGACCTCGCCGCAGCCTCAGCCTTACCATTCACCTGATCCTTGCCTGCCTCTTGTCCGACAAAAGTTCTTGTTCCTTTGTGACTTGCGCTCTTTGAGGAGTCCTCTCAAGCAAACATCATCGCCAAACACATAACATCCTCCTCTTCAGTTGTAAATTGACTGAGAGTTCTCGCTCCTCTCTACAACTCTTCGCTACCCCTCCACCGGTCATTCATCATGACGCTGTGTATGAACCGTCTTCAAGAGGAAAGGTGGGATGCGCAGTCAAGTTGCTTCAACTCCAACTCACTAACACCCGCCTTCAGGAAACAATGGCGCCGCGATCATCCGTTTGGTTTCTTCGCAAAACCCGTTCGAGCCGCCAATGGCGTGGTTGACCTCAAGAACTGGGAAGTTGGGATACCAGGGAAGGAAAAGACCATCTGGGAAGGGGGCCTGTTCAAGTTGACGCTCGCCTTTCCGGACGAATACCCTACGAAGCCACCCAAATGTGAGTGAAAATGTCCTGCTGCGCTGGTGGGAGCAGACGACTGAGCCGTATTAGGCAGATTTGTCCCCCCTCTATTCCACCCCAACGTGTATCCCTCGGGCACGGTATGTCTCTCGATCCTGAACGAAGAGGAGGGTTGGAAGCCAGCAATCACCATCAAGCAAATTCTTTTGGGCATCCAAGACCTGTTAAACGACCCCAATCCCGACTCGCCAGCGCAGGCTGATGCATACAATCTCTACAAAAAGGATCGGCCCGCATACGAGAAGAAAGTCAAGAGCATTGTCAAGGACAACCCCGCACCCTGAGATTCGTGGCATGTCGGGCAGACCGAGGTGGCTTTGCGACGAGCATTAGTTGACGGGATGATGAGCTGTCACAAAGTCAACAGCGGGGTGCTGCAACCAGTCAACTAGCGTGTGGATTTTGAGCGCGGCGTTCTGCAGTAGGCATTTCGACTCCAGATAACCTGTTTACGGGGGAGGGCGGGGATCATGTAGAGAGATTTGGGGAAGAGAGACGGGAATATTGGGCAGCTGGAGGTTTTTCGCGCTGGCGTCCAGGAGTTCGAAGGACCAGCTTGAGCTAGCTAGGGTACACACTCCCACGTGGTGGTGGTCTTCTCCTTTCTTTGTTTTCATCAATGGGAACATGAGCCATTTTCTTTCTCCCCGCCCCTCTTCTGGCCCTTATTCTTCCCACCCTCAAGATAATTTTTTTTTTTGCTTCTGTGCAATAATCTGACTTGGGGGTACCGACGGCCTGAGCACCGGAGGAGTCGATCTCGCCTACGGAGGGGGCACTTCTCTCCAGGCCCGTCAGAGGCTGCCCAAAAGGGCGCAAGCGTGGGGGTGCACAGCCAAGGGGTGGGCGGCGAGGGGCGCAGTGAGGCAGTTAGGCATCGAGGGGCTATCTGCGCCCGAGCGAAAAAGTGCGGGGATTCCGGATATCTGCATTCATGATAGGCATGGGCTCAGGGCCAGCATGTGCCAGAGAACCAACAGGAGCCTCTTCCCACCAGTAATCTTCAGCTTGTTATGTGATACTCGTAATAAGAAGAGGTCGCGTGCCGAACATCGGGCCTCCTCTTCCTCGGGGAACATGCCCCAGGCACGCAAATGTCCATGGTCCGCCTGCGCAAACTCAAACCGCCTCGAGTCTAGCACGGATGGGTCAGTGCCAGGTGGAATTGCTGTGACGGTTCGAATATAGAGGAGGGAGCAAGGGAGCAAGGGACCCAGGGACGGAGGGAGAGGGGCGATGGACCTTATTACTTAAGAACTGCTTGAGATCCGCCAGCCCTCTTATCTCTGATCCGAGGAAAGGCGCAGAAAGAGAAGACAGAAGAAAAAATCCCGTGTGGTAAGGTGGGTTTTTCTGGAAAGTGTGGGCTGATCCCAACTCGTGCCCTCAACCAAACACGAACCAAGACTTGCACGCGGTGTGACCTGAGAAGGCGGTTTGAATGGTCGTCAGTGAACAGCGACAACCACAAAGAGTCAGCTGGATTCGAAGCCCCCAGGCCCAAAGGCCCAGAAAAGTCAGCGGCGCTCCGTCGAGGGCGCAGGGCCGATATTTTCAGCCATTGTGGCCAGCATTGATTGATTGAGTCATCCCACGCTCGACATTTTTGCCTTCGAGAAATTTTGGGACTCGGAGCGTGGACGGTCCTTTTATTTCGTCCCACGCCCACGCCGCCACACTCTTCTCCCATCTTGCATAACATTTCACACCCTCTCATTGCAAGGCCACACCAGCAAGACGCTCGTGGGCAGCGTGGGCATCGTGGGCAGTCATGTGTGGTATCTTTGCCTGCCACGGGTGAGTTTGCGCTTCCCTCGTTTCCTGGTCCCTGAGCAGCCTGGTTCATGGGTTTCTGGAAACCCTTGCTCTGGGCTCCGCGATCGGCGTCCTGCGTCCTGCGTCCTGCTTTTTTTTCTGCTCGTGTCCGCGTTGCTAATTTCGGTCGCCAACGCCCTCTTACAGTCATCCGTCGATAGCAACCTTCAAGACCACTGCCCTGCAGTGTGTCAAATGCCTGCGGCACCGCGGTCCTGACTGGTCCGGAAACTGGACGGGAAACAACACCATCCTCTGCCATGAACGCCTCAGTATAGTCGGAGTGGACAGCGGGGCGCAGCCTCTGGTCAACGATGAAGGCACCATTGCGCTGGCCGTCAACGGCGAAATCTACAACCACCGCATCCTGCGCAAGCACTTGACCGTCCCGTATAGCTTCAAGACCAACAGCGACTGCGAGGTCATCATCCCGCTCTACCAGCAATATGACACGGACGCCCCCAAGCAGCTGGACGGCATGTTTTCCTTCGTCCTCTATGACAAGGACCAAGACCGGACAATTGCTGCGCGGGATCCCATCGGCATCACGTCCTTCTACCTGGGCCGTTCCAGTCAAACACCTGGTGCTGTCTTCTTTGCCTCCGAACTCAAAGCCCTAGCCTCTGTATGCGACAACATCATTTCATTCCCCCCGGGCCATATTTATGATTCCAAGACCGATAAACTCACCCGATATTTCGAGCCAACGTGGTGGGATCCGAGCAGAGTCCCGTCCACGCCCGTGGATTACAAGTTGATCAGGAAGACGCTGGAAAAGTCCGTGCTCAAGCGGCTCATGGCCGAAGTGCCATACGGCGTTCTGCTGTCGGGTGGTCTTGACTCGAGTTTGGTGGCGTCGATTGCGCAGAGAGAGTCCCTCCGTCAACAAGCCCTCGCAAAGCGTCAGACCAACGGCGTTGTCAACGGAGATGTCAATGGTGAAGTCAACGGGTACAGAACCCCCAAGACCGGCACCAGGTTAGTGGGTATCGACGATGACGACGAGTTGTCGACAGTCACATTCCTACCTCAACTACACTCTTTCTCCATCGGTCTTCCTGATGCCCCTGACACGAAAGCGGCCATTGAAGTGGCCAAGTTCCTGGGCACCAAACACCATGATTTCACATTCACAATCCAAGAAGGACTGGACGCCCTGTCAGATGTCATTTACCACCTCGAGACTTATGATGTCACCACAGTCCGCGCATCCACGCCCATGTACTTGCTGTCCCGGAAAATCAAAGCCCTGGGAGTCAAGATGGTCTTGAGCGGTGAAGGAAGCGATGAGATCTTTGGGGGATATCTGTACTTCCACGCCGCTCCGAGCAAGGAAGAGTTCCACAAGGAGACTGTCCGCAGAATCAAGAACCTGCATTTGGCCGACTGTCTCCGTGCGAACAAATCCACTTCGGCGTGGGGCGTCGAAGCTCGCGTGCCCTTCCTGGATAAGCAGTTCCTGGAGGTTGCCATGAACATCGACCCCGCGGAGAAGATGATCACCGAGGACAGAATAGAGAAATATATTCTGCGCAAAGCCTTCGACACCACCGACGAGCCAGATGTCGAGCCCTACTTACCCGAGCACATCCTGTGGCGACAGAAGGAGCAATTCAGCGATGGCGTGGGCTATGGCTGGATTGATGCTTTGAAGGACACCGCCGAGCTCAATGTGACGGATGAGATGATGGCCAACCCCAAGCCGGAATGGGGCGATGATGTTCCGACCAGCAAGGAGGCCTACTGGTATCGTCTGATGTTCGATGAGCACTTCCCGCCGTACTGCGCGTCGACCGTGATGCGATGGACGCCAACCTGGTCGAAGCAAACCGATCCCAGCGGACGAGCAATTGCAACCCATCTTGCGCGATATGATGACGAAGCTGGCTCGTGATAAGTGCTGGCGAATGTACAGGGAGCGAAAGATATCAGCATTGGCTGGCGTTTAGCAAGGAGAGGACATTGTGAAAGCTGCCTCTTGAGGTTGATTTTGATTCATGTGGGGGTTTTAGCAGCAGGAGGACTGTAAGTGCTGTCTCACGTCTGGCCCAGCCATGAACAGCAACATCTTTGAGCTGGATCTAGCTGTGGGAAAAAGCAAACATTTGGTGCTTGAGCTATAGCCTGTCCAGCATGCCATGGTTCCGCTGGCAATAATACTCGGTAGATAGTGCAAATCCCAACAAATCCCCCCCATCCCCCGCGATGCTTTGGCCCCTGACGAGAAGCTGTACGGAGTAGATGGAGATGGAACGGCGACTTGAGCGGCTTTGGCAACTCTGCCGAGCTCCCGGTCACCCTCTTGCGATCGCGGCTGTGATTGGTTGAATCAGCTTTTGCGAAACTGCGTCTCCGAGCCTTTTTCTTGAGCTCCATTGATTGTTTTGCCGTCTACTTGTACGTCTCTGTCTCTCCCTGTCTCAGAGTCTCCGTGTTCGTCGAATTCTCTCTACACTCCTCCACTACTCCCATCTCAACTTGTTCCTTGTCTGCTCTTCAATTGCCCACCATGCCTGGAATTCCTGTCCCCTTCAGCGATATCGCTAAGCCTGCCAACGATGTGAGCATTCCTCCCCCTCCGGTACAAACCACGGTCTTCTTCGCTAACCACTCGAATAGCTCCTCAACAAGGACTTCTACCACACCACCGCTGCCAATCTCGAGGTCAAATCCAAGGCACCGAACGGCGTTGTGTAAGAACCAAACCTCTGAAGATCCTGCCTCTCTCGCTTCGAGAGACACGGCCCGTCGGCGTTCTAATCCGTCTTGTTCTCTTCCAGTTTCAACGTCAAGGGCAAATCCGCGCACGATGGACCCATCTCTGGCTCGGTGAGCTCCATGATAACAAGAGACAGCTTGAGAATATCACATGTTAACGGCAGCGGAAAGATTGAAGGGAAATACACCGACAAGGCAACTGGTTCGTCCCCTCTTCCCTCGGAAGTAATTGGCGCATTTGCGCCTTGATATATCTCCTTCGCCGCTGACCCGGGGACGTTGATGGACAGGCCTCACCCTGACTCAAACCTGGACCACCTCCAACAGTCTAGACACCAAACTCGAACTAGAAGACAACATCACCAAGGGCCTCAAAGCCGAGGTCCTGACAAACTACCTCCCCGCGAAGTCCACCTACGGCGGCAAGCTCAACCTTTTCTACAAGCAGCCCAACATCCACACCCGTCTGTTCACAGATGTGTTCAAGGGTCCCACCGCCTCGTTCGATGTCACCCTGGGCCACGAAGGGTTCTTGATTGGTGCTGAGGGAGGATATGACGTGGGCAAAGCCGCCATCACGAAATATGCACTGGCAGCAGGATACTCGCAGGGGTCTTATGCTGCTGCGGTGACGGCGACGAACAACTTGACCGTCTTCAGCGCGAGCTACTATCACAAGGTGAACACCGAGGTCGAGGCAGGCGCCAAGGCTACCTGGGACAGCACGCAAGGAAGCAATGTCGGCTTGGAGGTCGCGACCAAGTACAAGCTTGATCCCAGCTCCTTTGCAAAGGTACGTCCTCTGGCCCTTTTCCCACGCACAGGCTCGACAACAGCCAATCTTGCTTCCTTCACCGACCGTTACTGGGTGTCCACTCTAGTCGTCGCGGTCGCTAACGCCGAGTGATTGTCTTTTTAGGCTAAAATCAACGACCGCGGTATCGCCGCTCTGGCGTACAACGTCAAGCTTGGTACTGGCGTAACCCTTGGATTGGGCGCTTCCTTGGACACCCAGAACCTCAACCAGGCAGCGCACAAGGTTGGAGCAAGCTTCACCTTCGAGGGTTAAGCCCGGTGCGTCAATTTTCCAAAAAAAGTCAGCGAGCGTACCCAGGATAGGTGAAGTGGTTGAGGCGAGTGGCCGCGAGTGGGACATGCTTCAAGATGGACCGCACGTGTGAGGAAACCTGTATTTCTTTCTTCACACGGGGGGAACAGGAAACAAGTGTTGGTGAGATTTCTCCTCCTGCATCGAATTTCGAGACCGGCACTTGGGTGCCTCTTTGTACAGCAGATGATGGGGGCGGTTGCAAGAGAGGACGAGACTTTTAGCATAGAGCGAGAAAGAACAATTCTGATCTTGATTTATCGCATCGTACTATGGCAGGAAGCTCAAGAAATCACCTTGGCCAAAATCGTCGCCTCTACATCGACTCTTCCGACTTACATATTTGCTTTCCTCTCATAGTTTGGTTGGTGTAGGCCAACGGATCATCAAAACTGCCACCCCATCAAAGGCGATGTAGACCCATATATTCATCTGAACACTCTGTCTATTGTTGTACAATCCAATCCACGCTACACCAGGCGTCGCGCGCGAAGTCTCAGACCCGTGATTCTAGTCCCATATGTAACGTCCGACTCCTCCGTCTGCCCCTTTCCGATCGCTCACACACCCCATTTCTAGGAGTAGATGCTTTGGTGAGGATATCTTTTCCTGCGCCGAGTCGCCGAGCTCATTTGACAGCGCTCGGAAGTTGATGAACCCATCCGCTGAAACGGAGCACGGAAAACTCGAGTCGTGGTGGGAGGCTTCGCCTGCAGACTGTGCGACTACTAGCTCGCGAGCCCCAGGCTTCGCGTCTGCAGGTTCTGCTTTCAGGACTGGGTGGCGATGGACTTCTAGCCTTTCGTCCATTCATTCCTGGCCCCGTCCCTTCGACTGCCATCTCCTCGAATGAGCCCGCCTCCGCGAGGTGTGTTGGCCATGTGTATAATCAATGTTCCGACGGAGACCCCCAAAACGATAATTCCGGACACCACGATGAAGCGCGCCCAGAAGTTGTCCTCCTCTACTGCAGCCTGCGCCGCCGCGAGTTCCGCCGCTCGTCGATTGGCGCGGCGGTAGTCTTCGTGTGTCTGTGTCTTGAAGGTCGACCTGGTATCAAAGGCGGGTCCTCCCTCTGAGAATGCGCCCGCGTTGAAAGTGCCAGCCATGTATTCCTCTCCTTCAGTCTGCTGACCCTGCGTTCGCGCATCAGCTCTCTGTTGTGTCCGCGCGGATGGGTTTCCATGTGCATAGAACGATGGCGGCGGTCCTTTGAAGGTGCTTCTTCGCTTGCTCAAACCACTAGCCGGTCTGTGGCCCGCATATGTCCCTCCCTGTGATCGTTGGCCGTGGCTGCTGTGACCGCGGTGGTGCGGATGATGGGCCCTCATAACGTCACGGTCATACCTCTTGCGCTTCTCCGGATCTGCCAAAACAGAGTAACTCTCGCTTATCTGCGCGAAGCGCTCCGAAGCCTTGGGGTCGTTTTGATTTACGTCAGGGTGCGTCTCCTTGGAGAGAACGTAGAACTGCCGTTTCAGCTCGGCCGGAGTGGCCTGCATGGGGAGTCTAAGGACATCGTAGTGGTTAACAGAGGTGTTACCGCTGGACTGCTGCAGGCAGGGAGAGTGTGAGAAGGGACGTCGGCCGCGTGCCCCTCGGGAAGCTCGAGGTATACAGCATCTTAGGGCGGGATGCGCATGATGAAAGGGGACACCGAGGCCGAGATATGAGGAGACCGGCACCGAACGAACGATCATGCCTCATACTTGACGCATTGAGAGCCGGATTAGCGAGAGAGCTGTGAGGTGAAAATGTTGTCGAGGCCAAAATGATAAAAGGAACCAAGGGATTAGGGTGCGTGACGTCTTTCAATTTTGGGCGACGAGCAGCGGGAGACTTGGGAGGATTTGGCCGCAGTTCCCCCGGTGCCACTCGCTGCCTGCGGCCCTCATCGGCCATTTTTTGTCACTCCATTATTTCAGCCTCGTGTATTTCTTTCACTTTTCCACTCCAGTGCACCCTGCTCTCTACATCAACATGGCGGCAAAAACGGCCGACGAGCTCTCGAAGCTCGCTTTGAACGGCTCCGCCACGAAGTCCAACCCACAGACAAACGGTACAAACGGCGTAAATGGTCATCTATCGGATCAGGACGACTCCGACGACGACAAGGAGGACGACGCCACCGCCAATGTCGGAGGTGCAGACGGAAACACAGCCAGTGGCGCTGCAAAGAAGAAGAAAAAGAAGAAGCCGAAGAAGAAGAAGGCCGCTGCAAAGGTTCAATCTGATCCGCCTCGCGTGCCCCTCAAAGATCTCTTCCCGAACAATACATACCCAGTTGGCCAGGAGGTGGAATACAAGGATCAGAACGCATACCGCACCACGAACGAGGAAAAGCGTCACCTTGATCGTATGAACAACGACTTCCTTCAGGAATATCGCAAAGGCGCAGAAGTGCATCGCCAAGTGCGTAAATGGGCGCAGGCAAATATCAAACCAGGAATGTCCCTGACAGAGATCGCGGAGGGGATCGAAAACGGCACTCGCGCTCTTACCGGGCACTGGGGGCTTGAGGAGGGTGACAATATTAAGGGCGGCGTAGGTTTCCCCACAGGATTGAGCATCAACCATATTGCGGCACACTACACCCCCAATGCAGGAAACAAGTGGATTCTGGGGGAGCAGGACGTGATGAAAGTGGATTTTGGTGTTCACGTCAATGGCAGGATCGTTGATTCTGCGTTCACGATGTCTTTTGATCCCAAATATGACAATCTCCTCGCTGCCGTCAAGGATGCCACGAACACCGGTGTCCGGGAGGCCGGCATCGATGTGCGTGTTGGTGACATTGGCGGTGCGATCCAAGAAGTCATGGAATCTTATGAAGTCGAACTCGATGGAAAGACCTACCCTGTCAAGTCTATTCGAAATCTGAACGGGCATGACATTGTCCAACACAGCATCCACGGCGGCAAGTCCGTGCCCATTGTCAAGAGCCACGATCAAACAAAAATGGAGGAGGGCGAGATCTTCGCGATCGAAACGTTCGGGTCGACCGGACGCGGATACGTGACCGATGACCTGGAAGTCTCTCACTACGCCCTCCGCTCTGATGCGCCGAACGTACCCCTGCGCGTTCAATCCGCAAGGAATTTGCTGAATGTGATCAAAAAGAATTTTGGGACTATCCCCTTCTGCCGACGATATTTGGACAGGCTGGGCCAGGAGAAATACTTACTTGGCCTCAACAATTTGGTTAGCTCGGGCATCGTGGAAGCATATCCACCGCTAGTGGATACCAAGGGCAGCTACACAGCTCAATTTGAGCACACTATTCTGCTGAGGCCCACGGTGAAAGAGGTTGTCAGCCGAGGCGACGACTACTAGCTCCTGCTAGCTGTCATGGCTTTTGAAGGAGAGGATTGGCCTTGAAAGGGATTATTCTGTCTGGTGGCCCCCCACAACATCGGTGCAAAAGCCGCATGAATCAGCGCCCAAACGAAAAAATAAAATAAAATCAGAAAAAACGGCACAATGAGGAAATGAAAGAACAGGTCTGGTCTGAGGGAGACAAAACAGAGCGTCCCGATTTCTAAACACAACGAGATAAATACTATTGATGAAGGTCATCTCCAGATCTATTAACGACGATATTCTACTTTGCTACAGATGACTGCCAGCTACCTATTGTGTATTCCATTCCTTAAATCGGCTTGCCGGTTCGCGGAAAGCCTCAGATTCTATGTCCAAGCTTGAGTGCTTGATTATGGGCCGATTTTGCATGAAGCTGGGACTTCAGCCGCGAGGCTGCGAGGTTACAAGGCTCTCGGCTTAACTTCCTGTTAAGATCTTGCTTCGCAATTTTCTCCTAGACACCTCCGATGTCCGAAATCATCGCAGCAATAAGTGTCGGATGAGGACTTCACAATAAGTCTAGATCTCTGCAGCTTCTATTTGAAAGTCTGTGAACACCCAGAAGATACCAACAAGTTGTATTGGTATCCTTGTTTCGCAATACTCCGTGATCCCGCCGCACTTTCTGTTTTTCGCTCTGAGTCACCACCTCTATCTACCATTCCCAACACTCAAGTATACACCCACGGAGACCCTGATTCCACCGGTGAAGCCAGGACATACATTAGTTGAGTCTGGACAGCTCTAGGTCTCAATAACAACCAGTCATGTCAACCTGGGGACACTACTTCCGGGTGACCACCTATGGAGAATCTCATTGCCGTTCTGTAGGATGTATCGTCGACGGGTGTCCTCCCGGTCTGCAACTCACAGAGTCGGATATTCAGCCTCAGATGACCCGACGCCGTCCGGGACAGTCGGCTCTCACCACGCCACGAAACGAGAAAGACCGTGTGGAGATCCATTCCGGTACAGAGTTCGGCATTACGCTGGGCACGCCGATTATGTTGATGGTGCGGAATGAAGACCAGAGGCCCAAAGACTACGGGAGCGGGACGATGGATATGTATCCCAGGCCGAGTCATGCGGATTTCACCTACCTGGAGAAATATGGGGTTAAGGCGAGTAGCGGAGGCGGGAGGAGCAGTGCGCGGGAGACGATTGGTGTGTATTTTCGACCTCTTTGATTCTGTTTATCATCCAAGAGGTGCAGGATGTGATACTGACTATCTTTTACAGGTAGAGTAGCAGCGGGTGCCATTGCAGAAAAGTACCTGTCGCTGGCTCACGGCGTCGAAATCGTGGCCTTCGTCTCGTCCGTTGGAGCCGAGTATCTTTTCCCTCCAACGCCTACTCACCCTAGTCCTGCCACGAACCCAGCGTTTCTCTCATTAATATCGGAAATCACACGAGAGCAAGTTGATTCGTTCGTCCCCGTTCGGTGCCCGGACGCGGATGCCACCACGCGAATGACAAAGGTGATTGAGAAGCACCGCGACGCGAAGGACAGCATTGGAGGCACTGTCACTTGCGTGATTCGAAACTGCCCTATTGGCCTGGGTGAGCCATGCTTTGATAAACTCGAAGCTGAGCTTGCTCATGCCATGCTGAGCATTCCCGCTACTAAAGGATTCGAAATCGGTTCGGGCTTCGGAGGATGCGAAATATCTGGATCCATCCACAACGATCCATTCATCGCTGCACCAGAAGTACTACCAGGGCAGAAGACATCGAAGCGGAAATTGACGACGAAGACCAACAACTCTGGAGGTATCCAGGGGGGGATCTCGAATGGACAGGACATCTACTTCAGAGTTGCCTTCAAACCTCCTGCTACAATTGGACAAGCGCAGCAGACGGCGACTTTCGATGGAGAGGAGGGCGTACTAGAGGCTAAAGGGCGACACGATCCGTGCGTTGTGCCGAGAGCGGTGCCGATTGTAGAGGCTATGTCTGCTTTGGTGCTCATGGACGCTCTCCTGGCTCAGCAATCTCGAGAAACAGCCAGGAGTCTACTGCCACCTCTGAAGGCAGTATTGCCAGCGAAGGGAAGCGGAACAACCGCGACTGCGGAGAAGGTGGCGGAACATTTGAAAGGAGCTGCTGCTGCACAATGAACCTCGGTCGGGCATTTCGGGAAGCCGCACGAAGATGGTGTACAATAGTATTACGAGCATGTCGCTGATATCAGGGACAAGGCGGTGCCAGTTGGGTCATGAGGGACTTGGGTATGTCGCCGGGCTCAGGCGATTCGCTCACCAGGGATAGTGGTTTGTCTTGTCTCCATAGAGAAAAAAAAAGAAAAAGCAAGTTTCATCCCAAGGGTTCGCCAAGTCACCTTATGCATCTCGCTAATCTTTCTCCTTGACCGTTGCCATAGCGACGACGTGGTCCAAACAGTGGGCTAGTCCACCTGCGATTACGCCAATCCCTCGTTGCTGAAGATGGCGCAACCTTCCATGCGCCCTCCCGAGAAAGCGACTGGACGCCATCAGCACCTCTTGCAGCTCGTGCAGCCACTATTCGCTTCAAGACCCTGAATCCAAGCATTGAGTTTCGGTGTGGCTGGCGTCGAGACCTCTGTTTACACGCAAATGCGCGCATGAACTCCTCAACAACCCCAACCTTGCTCGCCTGCCCCACGAACACAAGCGACTGCACGGCCAGCCTCCCGATGGCCCAGTCTCCATCCAAATCCTGCTGAGCATTTCAAATATACCAGCCTCGACCCTCCCCTCCTCCTTTTGTGTATCCGAGCGCAACCGGGTGAACCTCAATCTTGACCTCGACAGTGGGAGACTTCGGAAGGCTGCAGATGGGTTTGTCTGCCAGTCCAGATGACAATTCAGACTTGACGCCGACGATGACCTGACCTCCGACCGCGCGAAACATGCTACCTTTACTACTACCGCTCCTGTCTTGCTACGTGGGTATTTTCAGTTTGGTCGCACCCGCAGTTGCGCAACAACATTTGCCCTACAATCCCACCCGGGTCGTTCTGGCACAAGATGGCTCCGTCGCGTACATCTTGTCTCCGCAACCCTCATCGTCGCAGTTTTCTCTATCTTTCCTCAATACCTCGAACAGTATCAACTCAGCCTCTCCGGGAACGCGACTGTTCGATACCTTACCCTTTCTATCGAATACAGCCTACGAGGCATTCGTGGCCCTTCCGGACGATGAGGGCATAACCGCGCTAGCTGGGGACTGCAAGGATTCTGCAAGAGATCTAGAACTATGGAGATATACCTTCAGCGGCGACCCCAGGAACGGGACGTGGACTTCTTTGACGGTCACTACAACCGATGGGACGTTAAGCCCTCAATATCTCTCTGCTGGGTTCACATTCTCTCCGACTGCGGCCGCTCACGATGTCTCGTTATACATTTTTGGCGGAATGTGTCCCGATGACGATTCGTCGAATGCAATGGACTGGATATCGGATGCCACCTACTCGAACACAATGCTTACAATCGCTCCCGAATCTGCGGCCGGCGAAAACGCACCTTATCAGTTGTCATTGACGGGATCCAGAGCTCCGCCGGTCGCTGAAGCGGGTCTGACCATAACGCCTCTGACACCCAGCTTTTCCAATGTTTCAGGCGCAGGCCTTTCTCAACAGCAGAATTTTGTTCTTGTGGGGGGCCATACCGAGAATGCCTTCATCAACATGTCTCAGCTCGCCATATTTTCACTACCTCAAGAATCCTGGGCGTTCGTGGAAGCGTCGCAAGCAGACACAGTTGAGCCACGGTCTGGCCACACAGCAATCCTGACTGAGGATGGCTCAAAGCTGGTGGTGCTTGGCGGATGGGTAGGAGATACAGATACGCCGGCACAACCCCAGTTGGTGGTCCTTGAGCTCGGTCAGGGCTATGGAGGGCAAGGGCAGTGGGCGTGGAGCATTCCTACCTCTTCCTCTTCCCCGTTTGCTTCCGGCAAAGGCATATTTGGACATGGAGTAGCCATGCTACCCGGTGGTGTTATGATGGTCTCTGGAGGGTATCCGATCGGCTCATCTACATCAAAGAGCAGGCGGAACCTGGTGGACAATATGCTGTTCTTGAATACGACAACATTCGAATGGATCACTACTTACAGCAATCCAACCCCTGCGGGCCCATCACCCGGCTCGGCAAGTGTCCAATCGTCGGCATCCGGGCTTAAAACTTCGGAGAAGGCAGGCCTGGGCGTAGGTCTAGGCCTAGGACTCGCAGCACTTGCGGTGGTGGTGATTGTTTGGCTCATATATTCCAGAAGACTGAGAGCCAGACGCGCGTTGCGTGAGAAGGAACTCCGCGAACTGGCTTTGGGAGCCGAACGTATTCACTCACCTGTTCCGTCAGACGAGGACCCTCAGAGATATCCAACGGTGCGGAGCGCAAGCTGGGCTGCAACTCTCGAGCGCAAGATTGAGAGCTCGGGCAATCCATATCCTTGGGCGCCTCTGTCCGGACCAGAGCACCAGAGTCAGCGCATGCAGGCCTCAGAGAATGGCGAGAGCAACAGCTCTCGTTATGCTGAGCGCACCGGAGTCCAGATGGAGATCCCAAGCCCCACTAGAGGATTGAGAAAGAATCTGAACACTAGAGGCCCCATGATGTATCACCCTTTCAATCAGCACCCGCCAACCGGACCAGGAGCGGTCTTCCGCATCGAGGAAGAGGATGAGGGTAGTCAAACCGGCTCCGTCGCGCGGACAAAGACTCCCAGGGCCACAGACGACATAAGATCAGCCCCAAGTGATCCGTTCAAAGACCCCCCGCCCATTATGGATGGTACTCGGCAGGACAGTGCCGCAGCAGAGCGCAAGAAGGAGGTGGAAGGCTGGGTTGAGGATTGGCAGTCAGTAGCCGAGACCATGAGCTTGTCCAGGAGCACAAGTCAGGCGCATAGCAGAACGTACTCAAACCTTTCGCAATTCCGCAACCAGCCAGCCATTGGGGAAGCAGCCGGACGCGGCTCACCCGAGAAGTCGGACAGGACTGGAAGCAATCTCTCTGAAAAGAGTATGGTGAGCACCTCTTCTTACGGGAAATCCTTGGCTAGTACGCTATCTCGCAATGTTTCTCAAAGGAGCGCCAGTGCAGGATATGGGCTCTTCGCGGGGGCCGCAGCAGCCATGGGCCGGTTTGGCTATGGGAGGCAGGGCAATCTTGAACAAGGCAATGGCGCTGGTCTCACACGTGCCCCGTCAAACCGCAGTGTCTCGCTCAACATTGATACTACTCGACCGACAAGTTCGAGGGATGGCCCCGAAACGTTCTCATCGGCTCGAAGCAGATGGGGGGCAGCTGTGGCGGGAGAAGATCAAGCACTGCTCAACCGGAACTACCAAAGACAACAGGATGACGAGCGTGACTATCGAACGCTCCCCGACAGTCCAAGCAAAGAGAAGTACTCACGTGCAGGCAGCCTTACTGGCTCCAGCCGACGAGCGTTGAATCTTCTAGGAAGCGTTAGGCGGGTTTTCACAGGAACTGGAAGTGTTGATGTCCAAGATCGAGTTGCCGCCTTCGAAGCCCACAGCAATCAATCAAGCCCGACGAAACACTCTGGGCAACCCGAAATGACAGAGACGACGCCGAAGAGAACTCTTAGTGTTGGAACGTCGTCTTTCTGGCGTAGCAAACAGGGCGCCAAAGACTGGGATGATGACATGGCAGGCCCGAGCAATGCCGCCCCATCCTCAACGCTCCGCAGAAAACCAGTGCCTGGAACGATATCGAGCGACGACCACGACAATCTGGAAGATGACGAGGACTGGGACGTGGAGACAGCTGTGCAGAAACGTGTCGTTCAAGTCATGTTCACTGTTCCCAAGGAGAAGTTGCGGGTGGTCAATGCCGATGTTCTGAGTCTGCTGAGCAGTAACCGAAGCGAAATTGACCAAGACGAAGATAAGGAGAGAGAGCATATGAAGAGGATGAGCAGCGTGAGGGAAGGAGACGAGGACAGCGGTCATGACCAACGCCTTGATGATGATACAATGAAAGGCAAAGGAAAGGGGCGAGCACCTTGAAACGAGATGCTCGTCGCAAATGGAAAATCTATGGACTATGGACGATACTTGGGATGGCATATATTGTGTGTATACCTCCACATTGTTGGATGGGATATGGTGTGGTTTTTGAGCGGGCGGTTTATTTGACCTGGATCTGGTGTCATGTCATTCGTTGATGAACTTTAGAAGCCAGCGAATGTGTTTTATTAGGATTCGTCTTTAGGGAGGCCACAGTACAAATCTGAACGAACTCGAACCGTATGACGAGAGAGAGCCTTTTGATTCTACACAGCATCCCGCTCACCCTGGTGCCTCCATATATGCATTTGTCAGCTTGTTTACAGGACTATCCACCCGCCTCCACCAGGCTCCGAAGTAGCAGGGCTAGCAGAGGTCGTGCGCGACATACTCGGCGTCGAGTTCGAGAACATTGCGAGGAGAGGCCCGAAGGGGATTGGAAATGGCTGGCGAGGCTGCGAGGCAAGAAGGAGGTAGTGGTCGAGGCGGGACTATGCACGGGCGACCTGAGGGATGGATTCATCAAGGGACGCGATGGTCGATGCACGACGGTTGTGTGGCGGTGTTGATAGTGGTTTGTTTGTGGCCTGCGGTGGCGAGATGCAAAATGACATAAGGCTCTGCCCCACGCGCGCCCACGCCAAACCCGCTTCAAATGGGTTTTTTGCTGCAACGCGAACCAGCGCGTCCTAGTCCATCCCAGGCGCGTTTCGCTCCCATTTTATATCTGATGTTTTGACCCTCTTTCTGCTCCTCGTCTTCTCACCGTCCAACCTTCATCACTCTGCTGCCTGCGTCTCTACGGTAACTGGGAGATTACTCTGTCGACTCTCAAGGCCTTTAAAAGAGCACTGCTGTGCGGTCCTTCGCTTTTGTCCTCGACAACTCCTTTCCAACCCCTCCCCCATCTTCACCATTGGAATACAGCAGGAAGACAAGTTTAGTTCACCAACATGTTCGTCATCAAGCGAGGTATGTTCTCTCTCCCATCCGCCGAGGACAGAGGGGATACGCCGAGGACCACCTACGGACCTCTCTTCTGCTGCTTTGACTTCGTTTCTAACGACCATGGCAGACGGACGCAAGGAACGCGTACAGTTCGACAAAATCACTGCTCGAGTCTCCAGACTGTGCTATGGCCTTGATCCAGACCACGTTGATGCAGCAGCCATCACACAGAAGGTCATCTCTGGTGTCTATCAGGGCGTGACCACCGTCGAACTCGACAACCTCGTCAGTATTGCCTCGTGTTGCTCTCGCTTCGGTTGACTAACGTTGTTCAACAGGCAGCGGAGACTGCAGCATATATGACAGTCACTCATCCCGACTATGCAGTCCTCGCAGCACGTATCGCTGTTTCAAACCTCCACAAACAGACCAAGAAGCAATTTTCCTCCGTGGTCTCGGACCTCTACCACTATGTCAATCCGAAAAATCAGAAACCCTCCCCGATGATCTCCAAGGAGACCTACGAATGTGTCATGAGACACGCTGATGAGTTCAACTCTGCAATTGTCTACGACCGAGACTTCAACTACCAATATTTTGGTTTCAAGACGCTGGAGAGATCATACCTGCTCAAGATTGGCAATCAAGTTGCTGAACGGCCCCAACACATGCTTATGCGTGTGGCAGTGGGTATTCACAGCGACGATATTGAAAAGGCCATCGAGACGTACAATCTCATGTCCCAGAAGTGCTTTACCCACGCTTCGCCCACCCTTTTCAACGCCGGAACCCCTCAACCTCAACTGTCCTCCTGTTTCTTGATTGACATGAAAGAAGACAGCATCGAGGGAATATATGACACCCTCAAGACTTGTGCCATGATCTCCAAGACAGCTGGAGGTATTGGTCTCAATGCCCATTGCATTCGTGCCACAGGATCCTACATTGCAGGCACCAATGGCACCTCCAACGGGCTTATCCCCATGCTTCGCGTCTTCAATAATACTGCTCGCTACGTCGATCAGGGTGGCAATAAGCGCCCAGGTGCTTTTGCCATCTACCTCGAGCCATGGCACGCAGACGTGTTCGACTTTTTGAACCTGAGAAAGAACCACGGCAAGGAAGAGGTTAGAGCACGCGACTTGTTCTACGCCATGTGGACTCCTGACTTGTTCATGGAACGTGTCGAGAAGAACCAAGAATGGACTCTCTTCTGTCCTCATGAGGCACCTGGCCTTGCCGACGTCTATGGTGACGAGTTCAACGCTCTATACGAGAGATATGAGAAGGAGGGCCGTGGTCGCCAGACTGTAAAGGCTCAGAAACTATGGTATGCTATCCTCGAGGCACAGACCGAAACTGGGACGCCCTATATGCTCTACAAGGACGCCTGCAATAGAAAGAGCAACCAGAAGAACTTGGGGACCATCCGAAGCTCCAATCTTTGCACTGAGATTGTCGAATACACGGCTCCCGATGAGGTCGCTGTGTGCAATCTGGCCTCCCTGGCTCTCCCGACATTCGTCGACCAAGCTCGAGGTGAATATGACTTCGGTCGTCTTCATGAGGTCACTCAGGTTGTGACTCGCAACCTAAACAAGATTATCGATATCAACTACTACCCTGTCCCTGAAGCGAAGAAGAGCAACTTCCGACACCGACCCGTCGGTCTCGGAGTTCAAGGTCTCGCCGACGCCTTCCTTGCGCTGCGTCTTCCTTTCGACTCTCCCGAGGCCAGGCAATTGAATATCCAAATCTTCGAGACCATCTACCATGCTGCTCTCACTGCTTCTTGTGAACTGGCAAAGGAGCAGGGAACATATGAAACATACGAAGGCAGCCCAGTGTCGCAAGGCATTCTTCAATACGACATGTGGAATGTCACTCCCTCAGACTTGTGGGATTGGGACGCCTTGAAAGCCGAGATTGCCAAACATGGTATTCGCAACTCTCTCCTTGTTGCTCCCATGCCCACTGCCTCGACTTCTCAAATCCTCGGCAACAACGAATGCTTCGAACCGTACACATCTAATATCTACTCTCGCCGTGTCCTTGCCGGTGAGTTCCAGGTTGTCAATCCCTGGCTGCTGAAGGATCTCGTCGACTTGGGCCTATGGTCCGACAATATGAAGAATCGGATCATCGCCGAAGGCGGCTCGATCCAAAACATCCCCAACGTTCCTGCGGACATCAAAGCTCTATACAAGACCGTATGGGAAATCAGCCAGCGGACCGTCCTGCAAATGGCAGCGGACCGTGGTGCCTTCATTGACCAGTCCCAGTCTCTCAACATTCACTTGAAGGAACCAACCATGGGCAAGATCACGAGCATGCACTTTGCAGGCTGGAAAATGGGTCTCAAGACCGGCATGTACTACCTGCGCACGATGGCGGCCACACAACCTATTCAATTCACTGTCGACCAAGAACAGCTGAAGGTTGCAGACACAAACACGGCTCGAGAACGCTCTGCACCAAAGAAACGGACTTCTCTGGGTTTCGCAGCCAGCGTGAGCAACTACAACTCGATCCCGAGACCGATGTATCAGTCCAAGACGAGCAGCTTTAATGGAAGTGCTGGCCCAACCACTTCAATGAATGGAATCCCAACCCCGACGTCGACACCTCCCCCAGGCAGTGAGAACAAGCAGGTTGGACTGATGACTCACAAGCTTGCAAAGACCCATCTTGGCGGAAGTGGCGAGTCCAGCGAGGAGCCATCTCCGAAGGTGCTTCCAACAGACCCTGTCGGTCTGCCACCTGACACCATAGCGGATGAGAGCCTTGAGACCCGTATGAGGGGCAAGCAGGATGAGGACAAGGAGAGCGAGAGTGGAGAAAGAGAGGAGGATATTTACGCACAGAAAGTGCTTGCCTGTGAGTACAGCCTGCTCCCTAAAAGTGTGGATTCTTTCACCGTTGTTTGATATGTTGCTGACTGTGGATGGACAACAGGCTCGATTGAGAACAAGGAAGCCTGCTTGATGTGCAGCGGTTAAGTTTCGCTTGAGAGGTTGGTGGACAAAAACCATCAACCTGCCTGACTTCGCCACGCCTTGAAGCATTTATACAATGAAGTTTCAGAACGGTCAGGCGGAGCGCGAGAGTGGGCCTGAATGCAGCTGACCGGCCCAAAGGAAACAATCATCTCTTCCTCGGTCACGCGTTATGGGTGGGTTTGTTTTGGATCTCGCTGGTTGGGGGTTGGGTAATGAACGGGCGCAATCACGATTGTATATGTATTTTCCTTGTTGTCCTTTTGGCAGAGGATCGGCATCACCCAAGAATACAGAGAGGTGTTTCTAGAAGCGAGTTTGTTTGGTACTCGTGGTGCGTGCACTGTGTGCACCGCGTGCATGGTACGGTTATAGTATCACTATGTCAACATATCACTTGCATGTCCATCTTTCCCATCTTCTCATCTTCTCATCTTCTCATATATTTTTCTCTGTACTTGCTCTTCCTGGTCTGGCGGTCTGGTGGTCTACGAGTAAGTTAGAGAAAATTTCTGGTATGTAGGTACGCATATATGTAGAGAGGTGGACCAACTCGAACTTGGACTTGGAGCTAGAAAGCCAGAACTCGTATACATGCACACGAGGTGCATGCGTACATGCTCCCTGTACGGACCCAGGTACCCAGGTACCTAGGTAGGAAATGCGACATGTACATGACAAGGGAAAGGCGGAGTATGCGTACGAGGTACTGCACCACCGGCGTTCCCGTTATATATATATATCTCTCTCTCTCTTCATACCCTTTTGCACCGCGCTACATCTTCACAGCGGTTCACGAGGACTCGAGGATTGATCTGGTGGACGGGGATATAGTTGGACCAGGCAAAGATACAAACCGTGACAATCATTAGTTGACAGTAACGAAAAAGGCTCCGATATCATTTCATGTCATGATCTTATACAGTTGCTTGCACTACTCTAGCCTTGAATTCTCATGCCCTATGCACAAGGTTCACGTCTCCTACAATAACCATAATATATAAAGATGGGGTCTTGCCAGAATCGCGTGAGATATATACCACCATCTCTGATTCTGCAGACCTGCCAGTATCGCCGCTTAACCTTCGGTGTCTCAAGTCTTCTGGTCTACTCGGGCCTTTGCACAGTCCAGCCCAAGCTCAATTCAACCCCTGTTATCTTCTTTGTCCTTGCATCAAAATACCTCAAGTAGACAGTGCCTTAATTGGACGCAACTTGAATGGGCTTGATGTTTCTTTGGTTCCTTCCGTCTTCTTCACTTCGTTCCCAGCCCAAGATGCTGCTGCAATATTGTGATGGTCGAAATTGATTCGCATGAGTGCATCTTCCACCAATAGAGAGACATGTCGAAGTTAAGTGTTAATTCAGCTGACAAGCGTCGTGCGCCCACCCGCTGTGTCGTCTTCCATTTCTTCTGCTCGGCATGCCTCATGGTTGGGGGCCTCCAAACAATTTGACCCATCAATTGAAGATGAATCCCGACGCCGAAGCCGTTTATTTGTATACCATTGGCGAATAAACTTATCGCTCAAGATCTGGGTTCGGGTTCCAGCGCCTCCAATTCCAGGGCAAGAAGTTCAGTTCATGAGCAAATCAGTGCTTTTTGCTCACACGGGCTATCCCTCAGGCAACTTCTTCAGCTCTTCGCCTTTTTCTTGCGCTCGAGTGATAAGATTACGCAGCCATTCATAGGTGAGCATGGTGGTCATAGCTGCTGGCACCGCACGGATGAGATTTGTGCCAATGCCCGCATAGAATGCACGCCAGCCTTCCTCTTGGAGAATGACCTTGCACATATGCCAGACGCCCGAGTAGCGCGCTTGTACTTTCATGCCATCCGACGTTGTAAGTGCTGACCTGCGTTGTTGTGTTTGTAGACGAGTACGCAAAACTTCGTGAGGGTAGGTGGCTGTCGACGCACAGACTTTGCTCAGAAAGGTAGCAGCAGAGATACCGAGCCAATTTGAGGTGCTGTCTTCGGGTGGATGCTCACCCATGCCATACCCAGTGAATTTCATCTTGAAGAATTCGTACAGCGGAAATTGAACCGCAACATGCGTCAAGCCTAGTAGGGCAGGGGTCAAGCCAGAGTAGAAAGATCGCAGTCCCTCAGTGCGGTACATTTTGCGGGCAGCATCGAGTGTGGAAGTGTAGTGCCAGGGAGCACGCATGCCGTCACTGGCGGTAGCTGATTTATTGGATTGGGACATCAGACGAGTTTTGATGACCCAGATGGGGTTCGTCAGTATGGTGGAACAGGCGCCGGCGGTGAGCGATGAATAGCAGCGAGCCACCCACCAGCTGCCACACTGATCATACCAGAACTCTCGAGTATTCTCATATACCGTCAGATAGACAGCCCATGTTGGTAGATAACCCAATAGCATGGGCCCTAATCCTCGGTACATGCCACGGATACCTTCTTCCCGCCATATGACGCTGCCAGTGCCAATGATGCCTTTGTATGGTTGTTGGATACTGCCATATGGATTCTTAGACTGTACTCTCTGGGTGAATCCGCCCTGCGCCTGAAGCTTCGTCTTTATCACATCAAGAGGACAGGTGACAATACCCGAGGCGAAGCCGGCGCCGGCGCCGCAGATGGGCGATACCCACGCCTTCGGAATTTGTGTCGACTGTATCTGGACGCGGGCGGCAACGGAGTCTCTCGAAGGAGACGGAGACATATTCGATGAGAAGTTGCTGTGGTCGGTCGGCGTAGCATATTGGGATGGCCGGAGAGATTGGGGCGTTAAGATAGCAGGAGTCTGTTCGGGTTCTCTGTCGAAGGACATTGGGAGAGTGGTTTTCTCTGGTCTCAGGAAGGGGAAGACACTAAATGCCCATATGACGAGCTCATGGCGAAGGAGGATGAGCTATAGACAGCAGACGTAAACCCCAGCAGGGCAGTTGCCAGCCTGTGTTGCACCGTTGCACCGTTGACCGCTGGTCCGCTGAAGTGTTGGATTGCGGTTGGAAACTGCGGGGTCTGTCTAGGACCGGTGTGCAGCCGACAGAGAGCAACAAGGCCCTCGTCAGCGATTGACGGATATGGCCATGTAGCAATTCAAGGACGAGTGGGATAGTAGTTGGGGAGGTTGAAGATGCTCGTGGTGGGTGGGCGGAAGTGAGAAAGTCGGGGCGATATGATGTGATGGGCAGGTATGATGCCTTTGGGGGGGAAATGATGTGGATGGATGGAGGGAGAAAGCAAGGTCAATCATTGAAGCGACTCGCTCAAGCTTCCTCTGCAAAACCCGAGCCAGTGCCAAGCTCCCGCCGTATTCGCCAATTGGTGGAACCCGAGAGCTCCAGGCTGTGTCTGCGCGAACCACCTCAACTTCTGCACCGGATTCTCCCTGCAGCTTGCTTGCCATATCCCCTGGAGACATTCTCGACAGCAGCTCAACATGTCCGGCCCCTCGTTAGCACCATACGTTCTGAAGCGGCCATGGCTCAAGCGGTGGATGATGCCCTTGGCCAACTGGTACGTCAACACTGCCGGCTACAGATCACTAGGTCAGTACATTCTCCATGAAGAACAGCTCCTCCTTCTCTGGTTTGCAATCTCCATGTTGACCTTGCTGGCAGGTCTACGCCATGACGACTTGATCCCCGAAGAAAACGACACCGTCCAGCTGGCCCTCAAGCGACTGCCCCCGAAAGAAGCCTACGACCGAGTTTTCCGCCTCAGAAGAGCTTTCCAGGTAATGAATGACCTGCGACGAGAAAGAGGAGGGCAGAATGTAGCTAACGAACTTTGTCCCAGTGCTCTCTGTCGCATCATCTGCTCCCTCCTGCGGAACACACCAAACCTGAAGACGTAAGGATTTCTCCAGCACACGCAAATTCACACGGGATCCACTTTGCTCACCCACTGTCCACAGGATGTTCCATACCTGAGTCCCATCATCGAGGAAATTGAACGGGAGGAGAAGGAGCGTGCTGATCTGGAGTCCATGATTGTTGAACCGAGAAAGTGAAGTGGCAAGTCGAGGCACCAAGACGGGGGTTGGGCTGGAGTCCAAAACGGATGCGAATGCTGAATTATTGTACATACCATACAACGAGACGGAGCTCGAAAGAAAACTCTACATGCAACCTAACATTGCTTAAGACTCTATGCCTCTACGCGAGTGTACTCTGCTCCATAACGTCGACATCCACATCTTCCACGCGCCACATGTACCACATAAACAGACTCCGGTACGGCGCAAATGGCGCGCTTTTCTCGACCATATCCTGCTCAGACATGTACTTCCACTTACCGCCACCCTTTGCTTTGAGCTTTTTCACATCCTTGCCATAAAATGCAGCCATGCCCCTCTGCACGCCCAGGTCACCTGTGGAGAGGATATCAAGCCGCTTCAGGCCGAAACAGGCAAACATCTCGACGCTCCACTTCCCCAGACCACGGACCGCAATGAGTTTCTCCATAACCTCGTCGTCTGAGGCTGTCATGAGCATCTCATTGGTTAGCTCCCCGTTGGTGAATTTCTGGGCTAGGCCTTGGATATACTCGGCTTTCCGCTGAGACAAGCCAGCAAGGCGCAGCCTAGCGATGTCCGTAACAGCGACTTGTGCTGGCGTTGGGAACTGTACTTCCTCAGATCCGTCCTCGTTGAACAAGGCAATGAATTTGTTCTTGATGGACTTGGCCGCCGCGCCCGAGACTTGCTGGCCCATAATTCCACTTGAAAGCGAGCGAAACGGCTCAATTACCTCGGCCAGGCCCTTGGGCGAGAATATATGGCACTGATGTTTCTCGATCAGAGGTCTCAAGCGTGGATCGACGCTGATGAGGTGGGCACAAGCCTGATCCAGGAGCGTGTTTGTTGTCGCTATCGGCCGAGGCAGGCCGGTTTTTGAAGGGGTCGAGTCGGGAAGAGTATTCTCATACGCGACATGCTGCGTGCCTCCAGGCGTGACCAAAGGGGCATTGGTGATGTGTGGCTCAACGGGCCGACCAGGGGGAGGAGTTGCGTCGTCAACGTCCCCAGAACTGTAAGGGGCTCGAATGACGCTGATGAGACTCGGCGTCGGAGTCAATGGTGGTTGCTTGGACTGTTTGGCAGGCACTCTTCGAGCATTTGCCTTCTTGACTGGAGTCACCGGGACTTTGAATTCAGATTCCGCTTGGAGCGCCCCATTGACAAGACCATTCTTTTCCTTCTCAACTGCTGTCTGTTCTACGGCGCCATGGCCCTTTTGTTTTTTCGCTTTCGTCTCTTGGCCTCGGGATGCCAACGGTCGTTTCTTTGGCTCCTTGGCCACCTCTGAAGACTTATCCGCCACCAGAGGGACAGTAATCGACGCGATTCTGCTGGATCGACGCACAGACATGGTGGACAAACGCGCTAGCATTCAACAAATGGAGGTTTGATCATTTATAATCCTTTTCCTGCAACGCAAATTGAGCAAAGTCGAGGAGGGGACGGCTGAGCTTTAGAGAAACTAGATCTTGTGTTCCCTAGTATTGGAAGAACGGTACCAGTTCGGTTTCTGAAGAGTGGACCGAGAGGGAGTCAAGCAATGTACCATTGATGTAGGATGAAGTGACGATATATTCTCCTCCTGAACCATGAAGCATCTTGAATCTGATTGGCTCAGGCGTTCTCGGTGCCTGCTGCCACCGCCGAGAATCTGTGGCTGAGTGGCTGGGCGGTGCGTGGCTGACATAAGCCAGTCATTCACTCCGGACCAATACCCGTCGACATGAATTCTTGGAGATTTCTCGACCCATCTGCTTGCTGTTATTACCTACGAACCATTTTTGTGATCGCTGATGATTTCCCGTGTCCTTGATGCCCGGAAGACCCATTGGGTTCAAACAGGAGAGTGTTCGGGAGTATGCAGCAGAGAACGTGTCATGTCGTGCGATATGTATCTGAGAACGCGGGTTCCCGTTGTGACGCCGTTCTCGATCCGGGGATTTGGTTTTGTAAAAGGCTAGCGGATTACGCGGCCACCAGGCGGGAGCTTCAAGTTTGTCAACGAAGACGGTCGCCCGCCAAACTGTCTTCTCAGCCGGCTTGTTCCAGGCCATGACTTCAACAATCTCTCAGCTGAAGATCGTCCTTGTTTTGCTGCAACGACCTTAATATCGGACAATGCCTCATCAATCCCGAGTGATCCACTAGATCATCTGTTGATCGGATCTGATGGAAATTTGAAGCCTTGATATCGAAAGTGGACGCCCCAAGACGGAAAGGCTCTATCTCTTCGGCGGGAACCTGTCCCAGGATTATAGCAGGGTGCGCTTCGTATCGTACTGTCACCAAACAATGCACTAAAACGGATGGTGGAACAAGTGTGGAGGACCTTAACCCATTACGGTTGTGTCTGCAGGTCGCGCGCGATGGAGATCCGGTGGTGCTGGATGCGCCATGGCTGCGGGAGGTTATCAAAAACCTTGCTGGCGGCGTGGACAGATCAGCGAGTTGCCCGGTGCCCGGTCACCAGAGGGACAAAATAATTGACACTGGATCATCTGCCCACGCTTGCTTTTGACGATCAGGCAAAGCTGGTTGCGAGGTGAGACTCGGGGTTGAAGTAAGAGCAGGGGTCTCACAGGATTCCGCCGATCGGGCATTTAACAGCTTGACATTTACAGATTTCTCTGTATCAAGCAGACGACGGGATTATTGCGAAGTGGCTGCTCTCCCCATTCTGTAGCTAGCAGTTTCTCCATTCCATTATAGATAAAGAACAGGACACCACTGCTCCTCCGGGCGGTAAACCGAATACTTCGATCTTTGTCCCCAGGATATCGAATATCTCTTACTGCGGGATCAACACGGCGTGTTGGATCATGCCACTGGTGGCACTTTATTTCTCAACTAGGCTCGCTCCGTATGTAAACAGCATGCCTCGAGGCGTTAACAACCGTTGTCTGAGTGCAACAAGCTTCGCACGCGACCTTTGATGCGTAGTCCTCCCATATTTCACATGCGGATCGATAGTTCGCAGCTGTGCCCGCAGCGAAAAAGAAAAGCACCACAAGCGAAATGGCGGTTTATCCACTTGGCAAGGGCTCTGCGAGAGTGGCGTTATCAGACGAAGTTCTTGAGTTTATCCAGCTTATCCTTCGTCTTTTGCTTGAACGTGGCTAGTACATAGCCTCTGCTCCATCCTCGAGCGTCGAATGTCTCAGATTGAGGAGGGGTTTCGGCCAAGGTCTGGAGTCTCTGTGGCCAAGAGGGCGATCCGGTTGAGGCAGGAATTGGAGGTTGCAACATGTGTGGGCTGGAGCTGCATGAAGTGGCTGAAGCAGGAATGGGGTTGGTGGAAAGACGGACGACGATGCCGGGGGTCGCTCGATGGGCGCAGATGTTTGTTGTGACAATACAGATACAAGCCCATCTCCTTTTCCTGCCTCTCTGACTTTGTAGGCTGCGCTAATGATGCAACCCCGACTCCGCCGCCTCCACCTGCGACGGCAACTGCAGCAGCTGTCCCCAAAAACCCGACCACTGACAGCCACACCGCAGCTGCAGGCTCCCCTGGTTTGACCGGCCAGTCATCCACCAGCGAGACGAGGGAGGCCCCTGGCTTGCGGGTAGCAGCCCGCCAGACGGTCAAACAAGGGCCAACAGGGCTCTCCTATGGCCCACTAGCCCGCCAGAGCGTGTTAAAGCAAGGCCATTTCGGAGGTGCTCTGCGGTCTCTCGGCCAATCAGTGACCCCCCTGCCAACTCAATCCCATTCTTGCCTTCCCCCCCCATTCTCTTCAATTGCCAATTCCTCGCTGCGTGTATTTTCCTGCCATCCCCCTTCTCTCTTCACGTACTTGCCTGCACCGCACAACAGTCTGTCGTTGCTGCTCTTTTTTCTTTCTACACTTCCCTTCTATCTTCTCTTCAAGGTAGCCAGCCACGCGTTTTGACTCTCGAGGCAGAAAAGAGTCGTCCCTGCCGTCGGCTGTGTTGTGTTAACAGTCTCCCCAAAGCAACAACCATCAACAAACCAGCTTCTCCTTCGCTGAAGCTGAATTTATCCCAACCTCGTTGTGTTCTCACAGCCGACTCAACAGATTAATTCGTTTACTACCAAAAAGTTTCTTAAGGACTGCCGGGCCCAACTTCTCGCCTTATATCGTCTTTTAATATTGCATTCCAGGTGAGTCCGCTCTGACCTTCGCCTTCCCTTGTCCTCGCTCTGCCTTGTTGTCGTCGAGTAACCGCGTCACCATCACGCTGTCACCTCGGCCAACCTCAAACAACCTTCTGTCTGTCACATCGCGCAATGTGCAATGTATAACGACGCGTACTGACCTTTTTGCTTGCAGCGCACCGCTGATATTAGACCACAATGACCTTCGCAAAATTCATCATTCCTACCCTCGCGCTTGCGAGCTCGGTGTTGGGTACGTCCTCACTTCCCCAACAAGCCTTGGTTTCAGGGCATCGTGGTTGAACTGCACAAGGGCTGGTCCTCACAAGCGGCAAAGTTGAGAAGATTGGTTGAGCTAACGTCCCTTCAGCACAGAACGGCGGCAGCAATGACATCTGCAACGGGCCCTCGATCACCATTGTGACCAGCGCCGATGCTGAACAAATTGCCAACTGTGAAACATATGACGGAGATGTTATCATCGATCCCACGGCGTCGGGGCAAATCGCCCTCAACGGGGTTCAACAGATCACCGGCGACTTGACCTGCAACAACGCCACTCAACTGACCGCCATCACCTCGGATCAGATCAACACCATCCAAGGAACGTGGAGCCTGAGTGGCCTCACCATCCTCTCCACCCTGCAATTTGACTCCCTCACCGGTGTGAACAATATCAACTGGGTTGGTCTCCCTGCCCTGCAGAGCCTTAATATGGCCCAGGGCATCCAGAGAGCGAACAATGTCTACATCTCCAACACTCAATTGAACAACATAAATGGCATTGAATTGACAGCTGTTGGAAGCATGAACATCAACAACAACCCCTACCTCACCGATGTCAATGTCAATGATTTGACCAACGTCACCAATGCGCTCTCCTTCTCTGCCAACGGCCGGGACCTGTCCATCTCTTTCCCTAACCTCCAGGATGCTGCCAACCTGACGTTCCGAAACGTCAGCAAGATCGACATGCCGTCTCTCTCCAACGTGGCTGGGTCCATGGGCTTCTACTCGGACAACTTCCAAACGTTCGCTGCGCCGAACCTGACCCAGACTGGCGGCACTTTGGCCTTCGTTGACAGCCCCAGCTTGGCCAGCTTCTCCTTCCCCTCCCTGACAATCATTGGTGGTGGTTTCCTGGTTGCAAACAACACGAACTTGAAGGCCATTAATGGTGTGCCCAAGCTGCAGACGATTGTCGGTGCCCTCGACTTTGCAGGAACATTTTCCAGGTACGTGTTTCGGAGCCAATTTGATGTCCTGATGTCCTTGGGTGTTTGGTGCTAACATGGATTGCAGCGTCACCATGCCTAAACTCAACGACGTCCGAGGCGGATCCAATGTGCAGACGACGTCGACCAACCAAACTATCTGCCAGCTCTTCGACCAGGCTCATGACAATGGCGTCATCAAGGGTGTCAACACCTGCCTCACCAACAAGGCAAACCCTGAGACCAACCCCACTGCCACGAGCGGCGGTACTTCATCCACCTCGACAAGCAGCTCCGGCAGCAGCAGCAGCAACGCTGCTGTTACCTTTGGCCCTGGCACCCCGATCACCGGTCTCGGTGCTTTGATCGCTGCCATCTTTTTCCTCTAAAACATTGGGTCTCATGGCGTTGCGTTTTCGCTCAACTTAGAATAGCTTAATATGCGACGGGCGATGTCTCGAACCTTGTGCTCGTCGGGCCCTTTTTCTGAGCGATCAACTCTCTTTTTAACGAAACACACAACAAGACTGGGGAGGTTTGTGACTCAGTTCTCACAAAACAAAAGAAGCGCGTGCGCATCTGGAGTGTGGGGGTCCTGGGTTTCTTGTGTTGGGAAAGATCTAGTACTGGCAGATTGTGGTTGAGAGCGAACAGAGCTCCTCAGAGCTCGCTTGCGTGTGGATAGGCATACAAATGAAACATGTTTCCTTGACTTTTCAGTTGATGCCATTCTTCTCCTCTTGACATGTTCATGTGTTGGTCTGGCAAGGCGGGTTTTCATTCCGGCTAGGGTCTGCCCAAGTGACCGGTGCCAGAACATGGCATTCAGACGTCGCAGAAGCGATGTTTGGACAGAGATGACACCGAGCTTTCTGGTAGGGCTAAGAGCCGTACTAATACGTTGACTCGGTCACCACCGTCAGCACCAACTGATCTATCCTGATCCTGCAGCTTTGACAGTCATTTCGTGGTCCCCACAACGGCGATAATCTCCCTAGTCCCCCTTCGTGTTCTTAAGGTGATGACAGGAGGCGGCCGCGAGTGAGCCCGCGACGAAATATGGGCAGCCAAGGGGTAGATGAGCGTTCCGTCGGACACTGGACTATTTCGTATTCCACGATGTAGGTCCACATACTTCTGGAGAGAAGAAAACAGTCCAGAACGGTCGAAGACAGGTGGGCACTGCTTCCGCATCTCCCCCGAATCAGCTTACAGGCTCGCGCACAAATACGTTGCTTTTGTGGGAATTTATCCGGCTACATTTCCAGGCTGGAACGGGAACGTCATTGGGAAGAGACTCTTGAGAGACTCGGTCAGCATTGTCCAAAGAGGGATATTGAGCGCACTGATTCTGAGCGCACCTTGAACGAGGCTGTGATTGGCTGTTGCAGACAGGTCGGGCACGCTTTTGAGCGGGTGAGATGTTCTGAATTCGGGCACTTGAGAGACTATTAATATAAGTAGCAATACGGGATCGCGTCCGCAGTCCCCGGTCGAGGCGGCCGCTTGAGCAAGTGATGCTGAGACTCTACGAGGAGGCCAAGAGAAAATCTCACCGTCACGAAGTGAGAGAAAAACGGTAATATAGATGACCTCGTTCTCTCGCCCGAGAGCGGCAAGGCTACGTTATCTGTTTTTGGGGCTGAGACGGGCACGACGGGTTACAAAGACCTGGTTAGAGTGCTGACAAGTGCGGTACCTGTCGACCACTAGACCTTTGATCTCAAGCACCAGATTCGACGTGTATTATTATCCTGTTGATCGAGCTGGGTTTGTAGGTAATGTAGCTAGTTAGGGCGAGCTATGAGAAAGCATTGTCGTCCCGCCTTTCCTCACGCGCTACGTCGCGGCTTCAGGGCCAAAGGCTTAGGCGAAAGATCAGCCCACGAGGACATATATTCGCCTCGTCAGATTGCTTTGGTTGGAAGCCGGTGGATGGGAGAGAGGGCGTTGTAACCTCCCGTTGTGGCGAAAGCTGACTTTGGAGGAATGAATATGGCCTTCGAGAACCGAGCTCGGGTTGCATCCACAGGTCTTATGCGTGGATGGTTGGATGGGTACCTAATATCTTAGAGGTGGGTTAAGAGGCATGGGCTAAAACTGATGTGTGTATATATAAGTGGACGACTAGGGACATGAAGGTATTTCGTGGATGACAGCTCGTGATTACTGGTGCTAGCACACGCTCTCCCGGTCAGCAACCTCGATATAAAGGCTTGAGCATAAGACACAGAGACTCTTGTCACCCTTCTGATTCTACTCCTAGAAAGACGACATCGCAGCGACCAAGCAGCAGCCGGTCAAGATGTCTCGAACAGACGTCTCTTTCAAGACTTCCGACGCAGTCACCCTCCGCGGGTGGTTCTTCACCCCCAGCTCTTCGACGGGGGCCACGAAACTGCCATGTCTGATTCTTACCCACGGCTTGTCGTGCATCAAGGAAATGGGCCTGTCAGAGCTGGCCACCAAGTTCGCCGAGGAACTGCAGATCACCTGCCTCGTGTACGACCATCGAGGGTTCGGCGCCTCAGACGCCGCCCCGGGACAGCCCAGGCAGGAGGTCATCACCTGGCTGCAGAGCAACGACATGCGTGACGCCATCACGTACGTGCAGACCCGGGAGGAGGTGGACAGGTCCAAGATCGCGCTGTGGGGGTATTCCCTCTCCGCGGCCGAGGCTGTGTATGTCGCGGCGACGGATCGACGGGTCAAAGCGGTCGTCGCGCTGGGCCCGGGGATGGACGGGACCGAGATCGTGAGGAGGATGGCGCCGCCTCACGCCGTGTTGGCCATGCAGGGCATGTTTGAGATGGATCGTCTTGCGCGGGCCGAAGGGAAGGATCCGATCACCGTGCCCGTGGTGACCAACCAGCCCGGGGTGCAGGCGACGTTGCCGAGTCAGGAGTCGTGGAATTTCTTCTCTCAGTGGGAGGCCAACGGGTCGAGTTGGAAGAATGAGTTGACCCTACGAAGGTGAGTTTCTGTCAGCCCTCCCTCTTAGGTATCCTCTGGTTGGAGGCTCAACGTTGTCAAAAAATGATTCCCAGCTGACAGAGCTTCCCACGCAGTCTTGAGGATGTCTCAACGTTTGCCCTTCCCGTCTCACATCTCGACAACTTGACTCCGACGCCCGCTCTGTTCGAAGTGGCCTCGAGGGACACCAACAGCCCTCCCGACATGACCATGAGGTGGTACGCGAAGCTGAGTGAGCCCAAGGACCTGGTTCTGGTGGATGCGGATCATTACGAGTTGATGGGTTCGGCGAGGGACATCTTGCATCCCAAGGAAGTGGCGTTTCTCAAGAGGACGATCTGCTCGTGAGATAATTGTGGTCAGAGGCCGAAAGGGAGGGGGGAAAGAGAGGAAGAGAAAGGAAGACTTTGGATTGTCCGTCGGTTTCCACCTGTTGCGGGATGCTTTTGGCTCGGCGAGGTTGCGAGGCTGCGAGGCTGCGAGGGCAGGCATAGCTTTCTCAACCTTCAGCTTCAAGTTTTTCTTTCCCAGTTGTACCATCTTCTCTCACATCTTTCGTCATTCACAAATCTGTGCCTATCCTGTCTCCCAAACACTGCCTTCTTGCTACTGAAGATGCGATCAGGTCATCATGGATACCTCCGCTGACACCGGGTCGCTCCGTTTGATGACTTGCAGGCTCAACTCAAAAGATAGCGTCACGCTTTGACGTCTCGTGGAAAGTCGACGCGATTGACCCTGAATTAACTTTCCCTCGATAACTTCTGATCTAACATCAGAAGAGAGCCGGTCAACACCTCCCTAACCTCAACCGTCATTTTCCCACAATCGTGCCCCGGGTCGACAGTCTTCGCATGGAAGCAGTTCGAGGAACCGTCATGCTTGTGCTCCCTACAAATCTTCCCTGTAACAAATTCAAGCGATTTAGCTTCGAGAATATCTTCGAACGGTCTGGACCGCCGAACGTGGCAGACCGGCAAGATCCATTGACGAACCACCTCAACCATGCAATAAAAATACCAGGTGGCTCAAGTCTTGGGCCGGTGGGAAGATGTTGAGGCCATCAAGGATCGTGAGTCCCAAGACTTTGAAGCAGCTCAGACACTATGGCTGGAATGGCACCAGATTCTGCCAAACAGGAGCTTTGCATGGTGCGCAAGGGTTGTTGATACCCCTGCCTCCTGTTGTAAACTACCGTCCTCCGTGGGCCTTGATGAGACAGATTGCCAGCGTGTCCCTAGCGAATGAGGGTTGCCTCTCTGTGAAACCGTGTCTGGCAACATCGTTATTTAACAGTCATGCTGGCTGCGTCTCGAAACGAGCTCCGACGATACCAGCCAATTGAAGAGCAGCTGGCGCAATGGGGGTACAGCAAACAGCCCTCCGCCTTGCCTAACGCTACCTACTGTAGCTGGCCAAGGCGCAGCATTTAATGTTGTACAACTCCTGCGTGGCAGTCCCAGCACCGCTTGTTAGCGCCTCAAGCCACCCTTTGGCCCCGTTTTCACAGCCCCCAGCAGGCCGAAGGAAAATGCATATATCAGGTCGGTCTAGCAGGCATCCTCAGCCTCATCTCCCAGTCGACCTTCCACATTTCTCCTCCTTGGAGCTTTCAGAGAATGTCATGTCAATCTCCGCAGCGAATTCTCCCGTATCTCGAATATAGGGGATGGCATCTTTAGTAATCCTCAAACAAGGTTCGGGCCCTACCCTGGCACCACCCCCGAGATCTCCAGAGAGCACTGTCGAACTGACCTGGTGGACGCCCTACAGTCGATGGGAGGTTTGAGAAGACCTCTGTCAATGCAAGTACATTTCTTGGGGTTAGTTACTGATAGGATGATCCGTGGCCACGCAAGAGACTTATTGCTCGGCAGACTCGGCCACAGCAGGGTGTTCAGTTTGTGTTAGGCGCTCCCTCCCCGCCGTTTACGGAGCGAACTCTTGACAATTGTGGTCCAGCTTCGCAAAATGGGATCTCTTGGGCAAAGACAACCACCTGAGGGATCTTATATGCTCCGACTGGGCGTATCCGCCAATGCTGTGGACAAAGACCTGCCGCGAAGCAAACGGCTACGCCGGCAGTGCACGCGGCCTCGACAAGGACCAGAAGACGCTGGTGGACAGTAGGCCTCCCCATCAGATCAAAGCGACATCTTCACACGCCCAATGCTAACATATAATTCTGCAGCCTCGTGGTTCCAGTTTCTGGTCAAGCAACTGCGAGCCGGAGCGAATACTTTCCAACAAGAATACGTCTACGAATGGTATGAGATGGAATTTTTCATGTACGTTCTTTCCAGCGGGGCCTCGGTGGCTTTCTGCATCGACACGCCGCCAGCATTCCAGAACGGACTACTCGAGGCCCTGAACTCGGGGCGAAACGACCCGCCAAAGGACGCCATGGCTTTCTTGCAGTGCGCGGTTGTCGCAGAGGTGTCGAGGCTGTACGACGTCTCGGTCTGGACTCTGAGGGATAAGGTCAGGGAGCTTGAAAAGGTATTTCACCACAGTGTGTTCGTGACCCGACAGATTTGCTTATCAATGCTCCGGAATTCCTTTTAGATACGATCTGCCGCTCGCTATCTCGAGTCGGGCCTCGATTTCCCTCGATTACATGATCTGGCTCGACACATCATACACACTTGCGAAGTGCTCTCCGTGGCTGCTGACACAGTTAACACGCTGTTGGTTGACCACCGTTCAAGTTCGGGTAAGGCGTGCGAATGTGCAGGTGCATCTGGCCATTCGCCGAATCCAAACTGCCCTCACACCGAGATGCGGTTTTGGCTTGGACTTCTCCAGAACTTCGGCCGACGAGCGAAGTCTCTCAATGAGAGGCTGTCGCACGAGATCACCCTGGTACGTCGTCTGTTCACTGCCGCTTTATGGATCCAGCTGACACTCAGGACCCAGGGTTTTAATCTCGTGGTCCAACGGGACACTCGGGCGACGATGGAGATAAGCAGCGCCGCACGCAGCGACAGTGCCTCGATGAAGACCATTGCGGTGGTTACGCTTGCCTTCCTCCCTGCGACATTTGTTTGCGTAAGTCCCCTCTTCCCGAGCGCTCGGTTGGGTTATCCATGCAGAGTCGTTAACGAGGCCCCAACGGCAGACGATCTTCAGCATGAGCTTTTTCACGCTCAACGTGGACGACGCGACGGGGGAGAAGCACTGGATGATGTCGGACCGGTTCTGGATCTACTGGGTCATCACCGTGCCATTGACGGTTTTGACCCTGATCTGTTGGTGGTACGGGCAACACCGGGGAGACAAGCAGGGGAAGGCGAGAGAGCCGAGTTGGAAGTCTGAAGGGCCGTAGATTTTGGAGGGTGACAAGTCGTAATAATACATGCCACTTTGCAAGGGTCTGAAAGGACCGAGGCGGTCGATACTGCTTGAGAATCAGTGTAGCCGCCACCAAGCTTGTACGCGAATAGATCGTGTCAATGGCTCGCGCCGTGGCACTTGGCCGGCGCCGCGAGGCTGTAGGTAGAATACGCCTCCCGCATTCCTCCATACACATTCCCGTGAAGTCAGGGCTCCAACTTTGCGCAAACACCTCATCCATCGCCAGTCAGTGCAGACCGCCTTACTACATTCCGACACGCAGGGGCTTTTGGCGCATCATGAAGTCCATGTCGCTAGTCTCCAAGACATCCCTTCACCCTTGCAGCCTCCAAACAGGCCTGAACGCACATGCACGCCCGTCACAGATCCTGGTCGAGATGAGGCTGAGGCTGAGGCCGAGGACGGAGTTGTGTTGGCATGGACAAAGCTGCGGTGAGAAAACCCTACAGTCCATCCGCGCGCGAGCCTGCCGGATCCAGCACGACGCGAGGATCCTTGAAGTCGACCCAGCCGAGCATGGGCTAAATGATGCCGGACAGAGAGTCTTGGGTCAGCAGAGTCGTCCACAGCACAAAACACCCAGGAGAGACACCTCCCATGATTGGGCACCACTCAGATGTCGGCTCTGTCAAAGCCAGCGCACATGAAACAGCTGAACAGAAGACGTTCCTGGTCTTCGGTCACGTCGACGCTGCCCCCGTGATAACAGCTCGAGAGCATCTTGAAGCCGTCGCCGGGCTCGAGCTCGGTGGCCTCGAGGTGGCTGCCGGGGATGAACCTGGTGGTAGCGGTACTCATGGTGAGATAACTCGTATCTTGACTGTCTGATCAGCACCTCCCCCGATGCTTCATGCCACCGTTATGTTGCACACAGGTCGGTCGTCTTATCATCCACTCACTCGATTCGGACTCATCCTGGGCATCGACACCGCGTCAACGAATAGAACAGGGCGCGGGTAAACGCGTCCAACTAGCCCAGCGGCAATCGCGGTTCGCATACCCCAGAATGGCAAAATACACGATCGGCGGACATGACCAGAGTTTGATGGCAGAGTCAACGGAGATGACACCTGGGACTCAGATGGGTTTACCCACCCGCTTGCTAAATGTGGCATTGTTGCAAATGTTCCTGGTTAACAGAGTTGCTACATAGGCTAAGCCCGATGAGAATGGCAGACTGGCGGTACATATAGATATTGATCCAGTTCGAGGCGGGAGGGCAGGACGGACAGAATGTCTGGGTTATCACTATCGTTGCCCTGTCACCCTGGCTGCTATTCCATCTGATTCGCCTGCGATAACTCCTCCGGAGACGTGGCTGGTTGTACCAAAGCAATGTCGTCCGATTCCTTCAAGGGTACAGTACTTTGACGGACTGGCCCAGATCACCGCATGTCCTCCCCCCTGACTAACGGGTGTGTGTTCACAGGATACGCCGTCACCTCGTCCTCCGAATGGTCCAGTCCCCAGCTCATCGACTTCGATCCCGTGCCCTTTGGCAGCCATGACATCGACGTCAAGATCGACTATTGCGGCGTCTGTGCCAGTGACTTGCTCACCGCCCGCGCTGGGGCGGGGAATGATGGCTGGGTGAGTGGTTTCTTGTCCGAGGAATCAAGCGTGCAACAACCAGGTTTGCTGATCTGGCACTCTTACAAAACAACAGCCAGAAACAATGTACCCGGTCATCACGGGCCATGAGATCGTGGGCAAGATAGTCCGCATGGGCGAGCTGGTTGACCCATCCAAATTCCACATCGGACAGGTGGTCGGGGTTGGAGTTCTCTCAGCAACATGTGGTGCCTGCAGGCTGTGTCAGAGCGACCGAGAAAACTATTGTGTACAGTCAGCCCGAGAACTATGTCTCCCCTGGGGAGGAATCGCGGGAACAAATAGTACTGACTCGATCTGATGTGTAGGCGGACCTTGTCGAGACATACAACTCCAAGTATCCCGACGGATCCATATCATTCGGCGGCTACGCCAACTACAAACGATGCCACCAAGACCTCGTCTTTCCCATTCCCTCTACCTTGCCGCCCGAACATGCCGCGCCCATGCTCTGCGCAGGTCTTACGGTGTTTAGTCCTTTGAAGGCGGCGGGCGTGGGGCCTGGAAAGAGAGTGGGCGTCGTCGGAATCGGAGGACTGGGCCATTTCGCCGTCTTGTTTGCTTCAGCCATGGGCGCCGAGGTGACAGCCATCTCACACAGTCCGCGCAAACAGGCAGACGCTGCGAAGATGGGAGCCACCGGGTTCATCGTCACCACCAACGACGTTGACTGGGCCGAGCAAAACAAAAGCTCCCTCGACCTCATCATCTCGACGACATTCGCCAACGACATGCCCTTGGAGAAGTATCTTCAGTTGCTCGACGTCGGAGGCCAGTTTGCCTTGGTCGGCCTGGGCGAGCAGAATCTGCCAGAGATTCCTCCAGGTATCCTGGTGGGCGCCAACAAGGCAATCGTGGGTTCCATGATCGGCAGCAGCAGGCAGATGCGAGAGATGCTCGAGTTTGCCGCCGACAAGAACATCCGAGCCTGGATCGAGGTACTCCCGATGAAGGACGCGGGCATGGCGCTGCGAAGACTGCATCAAGGCGATTGTTCGTACCGCTTCGTCCTGAAGGCCGATATTTGAATGAGTAATCATCGCGCCGGTCGGGTCGCCCTCATCTCACACCAGAAACAGATACATCTGTCTGGCCCGGATCTCATCCTCCCACAGCCAGAAAGCCCGATTATTCTCGTCGCATTCTCGAATCCACCATCCTTTGAGAAAGGTGAGGACTTCGGCGACGTTGCCAATGCCGGACTGATGGAAACGAAGGTCGAGGACCTTGCTGATCATGTCTTGCTGATCATGCTGCAAGGCTGCTATGCCAAAGATAAAGAGGGGGAAGGTCGCGCATTTGAGAGCCATCTCATGGGAGGCGAGAAGTTCCAGGTGTGCCAGGCCTTCTTCGAGAGCGCACTGAACCTTTGCATCGGCGACGCCGTACGGATAGGTGGTCAGATAAAGAAAGATGAAGCAGGCTCGACGGTAGACTTCGCCTAGGATCAGGTCTTCCTGTGAATCGGACTTGATCGTCCAGTTTTGAATCAGCGTGCACAGTTCCAGACTCTTCATGAATTCTTCGGTGTTGACGTCTGCGAGGTTCCGGTCGACCGTGGACTGGCCCAGGGACAGCTCGGGCAGAGTCCGCCGGCGAAGTTCCACAATCTGCGTCAAGATCGAGAGCAAGCTGTGATACGTTTGAGGCAGGGGGCTGTAGCTCCCGATGTCCTCGGACGAGTAGACCGGGTCGATCGGGCACGGGCGCTCGTCGAGCGTCACACATGCGAGCACGTCGTAGTAGCGGTATAGATGGAGGAAGAAGCGGACCGCGGTCTCGTTTCTCGAGTTTGCCGGTGCTCCGCCGTCTGGATCCTTGTCGCTCCACCCTTCCTTGACCCGTTGACGAGCAAGCTCCGACGCGGCGAACAGGTGGAGGCGCCAGTGGCCGTCCTTGCCACTGTCGAGGCAGTCCAGCTGCAGAAGCAGAAGAGTGCTCGCCAAAGCCGCATCTAATTTGACCTGGACGCTGGAGTCGGAGAATGCGGGCACCGACACGGCCGCCATTTTCTCCGCGTGGCACTTCAGAGCTTTGCCGCGTAGTTGCCATCGTGTGCTCTTGATGGATCTCTGTCGCGGTTCGCTCATGTTTGAACGGCCCAGGTTCAGCAGATGGGTCGCGGCAATGCTGAGCAATGTGTAGAGCAGCCCTCGATCGCGAAGAACCAGTGGAATCAAGATGGAGAGGAACGGAGCGCTTCGGATGGTGGCCCAGGAGAAGGCTTGCGGCACAAAGTTGATATAATGGTGAAAGAGCTCGTGCTCTAGAGCAGTCTCGATGCCATGGATCAAGTAGGGCACCGTCGGGGAGAGTAGAGAAGGGGGTGACTTTGAGTGGCAAGACTGGGGCTCTACCTCTCCATCAGCCTTGCCCTGCAGAGAGAAATGCAGAGATGTTGTGGACTTGGACGTTGATGTCTCACGGCGGCTGCTTTGCCCATGAATCTGTAGAGAAAGAGTTCGGCGCTCGGATCTCGAAACAGCTGTGGAGCGGACAGAGTCGTCCGGATCGAATGGCGACGTCTGCGACGCCTGATCGCTGGGAGGAGAACCAGTCAAGGGAGACCTTATTCGAGTCGAGGCCGGCAAGGAGTCCCAGGTAGCATCCAAACCGTCACTTTCCTCCTCGTTGGCCTCGGCGACAGAGATGTTGCGCCTAGTCACCCAGTCAGCACCTCGAAGGGTATTGAGAGTGGTGAGAATTGCCTGCGCCGGTTCCTCTCATTTCTCAGCAGATGAGGCTTCCAGAGGGCCATCTGGTAGTATCCCTCGCATGCCAGGGCATTCTTCTCGCAGTTGACGCAGCTGGGTTTCCGTTCGTCGCATTTCTTGTGTCGCCGCTTGCACGTCAAGCAGCCGGTTCTGGACCTAGATCCCTTCTCCGCAGGGGGTTTCATCGGCTCGAGATCCCAAGAGCCTCGCTGTGCCTATCGTCTTGATGCTGACAAGGCTCTAACACTGACAACTTGATCATTGGAGAAGGAAGGCAAAAGGCATGAGGCACGCAGATGTCGTGGGAGGCTGAGAAGGTTCAAGATAAGGATAGATCGATGACAAAGGCGCTGAATGGGGGATCCTGAACCTAGCCCAGCTCTAGAACTAGGTCCTAATGGGCGTATTTGAAGTACCTAGGTAAGCCGCTTCAGGCTGATGAGGGCTTGAAGCGGGACACTCAGTAACCTTGATAAGTGCCAATGGAGCCCGATGGGTCTGCAAATACGGGGCACTGATAAGAGGGATCCTCGATAGTCCAACCTGCCATCCATCTTGACCACGAGGCCCGCAGATGCCTGGCTAGGCATGCTATGGACTTTATACGCGAATATCCAATCCTGAAGCTTCGTTATAGGTAGAAGAAGAATTGCCTCCGAGTCTTGTGCTAGTCCATTACAGTCCGCTTTATATAGGACATCCGTTCCTTGACGGCTGGCGCAAAGTAAAGGCGTTGGCGTCAGCCTCGAGCTCTGGATCCGGAGCCTCTTTCCCCAGAGTCTTTTGGGCAAACTCCTCCAGAACACCGCCCCATAGATGCCTGAGTTTGTACCTGGAAAAGGACTCGGGAAAGCTGCGCGCATGACTCCATAACAATTCCAGGTTGCGTGGCTCGTTGGCAAGGTCTTTGACCGGCAACACCCACGGATGTATGGTGAACAGGAGTCCTTGTGTCTCGGGCATCCTCATCAGGCTCTGCAGCTCTATCCGAATGTGTACCTGGTCGATGGATGTGCAGACGGGATAGTCGTCCAGAGGTTCTGGGTGGTAGATTGCTGGGGTTGTTTGAATGAATTGGTTATTGCGCTGGACTCCTCCACCTTCTTTCAGCTTGAGGAAGAATCTAAACGACGGTCTTAGCTCTGGGACCAGAAGGGTAGGGTCAGATAGAGGGGTGGACAGATCAGCCATACCTTTCCATGGGCTTCTGCAGTTTCTCTTTCCAGTGAGGCACTGCGTGGTGCATCTTAAACAGCGGATAGCCGATTCGTTCTTTCAGGTGCCAGCCAGGGGGGAAGGAGAGAAAGCAAGCTTTCCTAAGAATTCCAGATTTGGTCAGCGCTTTGTCCTCAGAGAGGTTTGCTTGCTACAAGTCAGTCTGATCGCAGAGGTAGAGTCCTTACAGGTAGTAAATGTCATCCGGTCCCTTCAGCAGCACGTACACATCCTCATACACAATCAGGCCCGCGATCTCCAATGGATGCCGGTCAAAGGGCTCCTGTATTCGGTATGATTCTCCCAGTGGAAGTATATGGAGATAGTCGCCGTCGACTTTGAACATGTCCGGGTATCGGGTGGTAATGTACTGGACGATAATCCCCAGGGCCTCCTTGCTGGCCTCATAGGTGCCATCCTGGTGTTGGAAGATGATGGGACGGACTTCTGGATCTTGTAACCTCTTCAACTTTTGCTTGTGCTCGTCGAGGAAGAGGCTGTCGTATATGATCCAGTCGTCAACATCGAGCTTGCGGATTCCCATGGTCATTTGCCATGGTCCGGGTTTCCAAGCCCGCGGCCACGACGGTTCATCGTGTATGGGAATGCCGCTGTAAGGGGTGATTTTGCCATAGTCCAGTGCCGCTCCTGTTGTCGGTTTGAGTGTTGTCGCCTTCTCAGCGAGATCGAGGCGTGGTTTGTCGAGGACTCGTCTTCTGGATTTGGACAGGCCCCATGCCACAACACACAAGGCGACAGAAAGACACCCAAGCCAGATCCTGCATGAGTCAAAATCCATCTCACAGTTTTCCTCCAAAGCGGGCTTGAAATTGACCATATCACCAGCATCAACTCTGCGTGGGCGCACCCTTAGTGCAGTTCTGTTTTAAAGAGCGCTCTACAACTTCCGCAATCGACATCCCTCACAGCAGACGAATAGCCTGGCTGTCCAGCCATTATCAGAAGACTCTGAAACTGGAAGCATGAAGAGTGTATTGGAATATGTCTGGCCAGTATGTTCGAGGAATCAACCCAACTCGTGGACAATAAACCCACCTTGCACACCTCCGTCCAACCATCTCACTCAGACTGGGCCAATAAACGGTGACGAACACGGGATGTTCTATCCACAGATAGGGATAAGCCTTTCTACGATACGCAGGCGGAGAGCAACGCACCCAAGCTCCATCGGCTCAGGCGCCTCCAGCGGCTCAAGCGTGTCGCTGCTACCGAAATCGCCTAGTTACAACCAGACTCGGCTCTGCTCTCAACCGCGTTTTGCAGGTTGGCGACTTATCATCGGCAAGGCTCTGACCTTCAGTGCCTCGGAAGCCTAACTCCACGTCTAATCAGTGCTTCAATAAGAGAGACCCGGCCTGCTAAGATTGATTGAGACGGTCGAGATGGGTGCGGGATATGTTATCATTCACATCAAGGGGTTCTGGCATCGGGAACATGGCTAGATAGAAGGGTGGTTATCATTGCAATCCCTGGAGAGTGTCCCCCGTGGACATATAATAGCTATCCATCCATACCTCTGGGATCGAGGTGGCCTCAGCTATTGTCATCAAGACTATCCTTCCTTGACATACACACCTCCTGCCTGAGTTGAAGCGAACATTCCCACCATGTCCAAGACAGAGAACATCACCGAAACAAAAAGCGTCAAGTCCAATGACATCCCAGCCACAGACGGCAGCAGGCCGAGTATCAGCCTCGGAGCCATTGACGATATCGACAAGAATGTCCTCCGAGCTCAGGGTCACGAGGCTGCCATGCCGCGGACCTTCTCCAGGTTGTCCTCAATTGCTCTAGGCTTTGGGTTCGTATGGTCTCTTACTGGCATGATTGAGAGCCTCATTGAATTGCAGCTGACTATCACCGGTACAGCATCACCAATAGTTGGATTGCATATCTCAGCAACTTTGGCATCAACGCAGCGTACGGCGGCCGGGTCAATGTCATTTTCTGCGCCCTCATCGCAGCCTTTGTCCAATGGTTCATCACCTGTGGCCTGTCCGAGATTGCTTCGGCATTCCCATCCTCCGGGGTAAGTCTTTGCCTGGTTGCGAGTCACATCCAGCGACCGCTCGTGAACTTCTCGGAACTGCAAATTGACCTCCTCGACCGTCAACACAGGGTCAATATCACTTCGTCTGGGTCCTTGCCACGGGTTCCACAAGACGCTTCGGGGCCTATGTTATCGGCTGGATGACGATTCTCGGATGGTGGATCATCGCCTGCTCTGGCACCGCCCTCTCGGCCGTTTCCATCATGGGCCTGGCCAATTTTTGGCATCCCGAGTTCGTTGCCACGCAGTGGCAGATATGGCTGGTCTACGTCGGCGTGGTCTCTATCACAGGTTGGTCCAATACTCTCGCACACGGTCGAAAACGAAGGGCTAACACGATCACCCAATCCTCCAGTTGCCCCCGTCATCTTCTTCCCCAAGATCATCCCCCGCGTGGCGCAGTTTGTGCTCTTCATGTCCATCACCGGGTTCGTCATCTGTTTCCTCATCCTTCTCGCCATGAAGAAGAGGTTTGTGTCTGGGGAGGTCGTCTTGGCTTCCAATCAAGGAACAAGCGGTTGGGCCGACGGCGTGGCGTGGTTCTTGGGGATTGGGAATGCCCTGTGAGTGCTCCGCGAAGTTGCTCCATGCAAAGTCTCTTGTGAGATCTAACAAGTTGGCCCCTCCCGGGACGCCAGGTTTGCATATGTCGGCACAGACGCGCCCATCCATATCGCCGAGGAAATGCACCAGCCCGGTCGGCGTCTTCCAGAGTGCCTGTAAGCGACTACCATGGCAATGGCCTTCGCATCCACTAATCGGGAGCTGCAGGAACACCACCCTCGCCATCGGAGTGGTCACCACCGTCCCCTTGTTGACCGTCATGATGTTTACCATGCTCGACATCGACGCTGTGACGAGCTCGGCGCTACCTTCCATCGAACTATTCTATCAAGTCACGGGCAGCAAGGGAGTCGCCACGTTTATGCTGGTCTGGATTACGATCATCTATACGAGTACGTACACACATACACCATTTTCTTCTGGGGAATGGAAAGGGAGCTGACTTGCAGTAAACAGTGTGCATCACTCCGCAATGGGTGACCTGTGGAAGAATGGCATGGGCCTTTTCTCGAGATGTAAGTGTTCGACTCTCCTCCCATTTCCCGCTGTCGTTTGAAGGAGATTCTGGTTCCAGCCTGATTTACTCACTCTTCGATTCAACTAATGTGTAGAACGGCCTCCCCTTTTCAAGCTACTTCAGCAAGATCGACCCGCGCACACAGGCCCCTCTCCGCGCGACCATCTTGTCCGTGGTCTTCGTCTGGATCTACGGGCTGCTCTTCATCGCCTCGACGACGGGCCTTTAACTCGATAGTCACGTCGGCCGTCATGTATCTGGTTGGTCTTTCCCAGGCCCCTTGACTCACCGGCTTTCCCCCCTTGACCTCTATACTCCACCGCGTTTCTATTATTGACCCATAATTTCCTTCTCGCTAGAACATCACCTACGCCATCCCCCAGGGCATCCTGCTGTTCCGCGGCCGCTCCATCCTGCCCACCCGGGCCCTGAACCTGGGCGCCTTCGGGCTGTTCTGCAACGCCTTCTCGCCCGTCGCCGTGACCGCGATCGTCGTCTTCAACTGCTTCCCGACCTTCTTTCCCACCGACGTGGCCACCATGAACTGGTCCAGCGTCGTCCTGGTGGGCCTCTTCGGCGCCATCGTCGCGCTGTGGTTCGGCCTCGGCCGCAGGACGTTCCGCGGGCCCAGCGTGGACATGGACATGATCAGCGCGGCGAATCTGCAGGAGAATCAGTTTTCCAAGAAGGAACTTGCTTGACAAAGAACCAGGGGGGAGAGAGGGAGAGGGTGGCTTCGTGTCGAGCAGGATTGCTTCTTGGGTCGAAAGGTCTAGCCTAGGTGCGTTGTTGATAATGTACTAGGAGAATAGGTCTACTGTATCAAATCCGTCTAGATAGTTCGAGAGCAGCTCTCTCGTTGGATGAGTGTCTGTTAGTTGGTGCTGCTGGATATCGGCAAAACTATATCTCGATTGACCATCCCTGTGAGGAACATATTCCGCCCGCCCTATCTTGCGGCCACCAGCACGGAACCCTTATATCCAACATGCAGGTTACTCAACGGCGCCACCTGGTACAATCTGTTATCTCCAATGCCTGAACAAGCTCTGTGACCACGACTCCACTGCTCCCCCGTCCACGGACCGCATCCGCCGGATATCGAGGATATGCCGAGTCTATTACGTGGGATTTTCGAGGGGCAGACACCGCGGGCCGCAGCGGATACTGTGTAGATAGCCAATCCTTTGCACGGCCTCCGCGACGGGGTGACAAGGAGGGGGTGGTCTGCTGACTTGGAATCTGATGATCAAACAGACGGGACTCCGGATCTACGTAATAAGTAGGACTCCGTGATGATTCTCAATTCCACAGTCTAGATATGCACTTTACCCCGGAACGTCCTATCATTCAAGAGACGTGTACTTGTATTACTGCTTCTCTGGTCTCATCTCGGGTCCTCTTCAAGAAGGGCATCACGCTTGTTCCTCCGGTGCCGTGTAACTGTCTCGTCACTGATGCGTCGTCCTGCCCTTTCCCAGCTGGTTGCGTTGAACATGCTGTGGCCAGGTTTGCTCCTTTCCGCTGGACGATGTATGCGGCTGGTGGGCTCCGAGAGGGCATCACAATGTACCTGGCGACGATCTGGATGTGGCTGTTTCGAAGGCGAGTCAAGGCCGCAGTGGCGTCGTTGTACGCTTCTTGAACCTCCATGGAAGCTGTGGGCTGTGAGACATATCCTCGCAGGTTGCTCATTCGTTCAACCTGCGCCAGGAAATCGCGGTGTGACGGTGGCATGTAGTTCCTCATCTCCTGCTCCTTGTCAGTCGGTCGTACAAACATGGCAGCTCGGTGGACCAACTTTTAAGTACCCATCGGGGTCAGTCCCCTCACCCTGCGCCTTAGCGTGGTGATTATTGCTTTCTCCCGTTTCATGATGCTGGACAGCAAGGAAGATGTCGAGGAGCTGGATCAGTGAGCTTTGGGCATTACTCCCGCCACTGTACTGCCTCCATTGGCCCCGGCCCTCGCCTTCGTCGTAAAAGACACCATTTGGCAACCCGGCAGCTGCCATTCCTTTGGAACCGGCACAGAACGGACGAATATTGTGATAGAACACCTGTGGATCACAATGTTCATGCATGCGTTTTAGAATGTTTTCAATTTCTCGGATCCCCTCGGTCAAGGTTCCAAGACAAGCCAAAATCAAGTTGTCGTCGCAGTCATTCACAGCTTGGATGCAGCGAAGCATCGTCAGGATGAGAGGGCCCCCCGTCGCTTCGATGGCGGTGGACACCATGTAGAACCATTCTTCATCTTTCGTGTTGGTGAATGAGAACAATGACTTGAGATTATCTGGGTTTGTTCGATCACTGCCAGGGGTTTTCAATCCAAAATTCAAAAGACTGAGTGTCGAGAACAGTGCGGTGGGCGGCAGCCCCAAGTACTTGGACACTGCCAAAAAGGGGCAGCTGAGTTGAGGCGGGAGTCGCTATGAGAGCGTCAGCTATGTGTCAGGCTGTGTGCATTATCTCAGAACCAACCTCTGCGGGCCGTTCTCCGCCCCAGATATATGCGTGAGTCAAAAATCCCAAAACCACATATGCTCGCCGCCATTCTGCGTCGGTTTGCAGTTGGCCTGTACCAAGGATCGGTAGATGTTCGATCTTTGTCCTGATCACATCGCGCTTTATGAGTTCAGCAAGGTTTTCCGCCAGTGTCTCCCAAGGCTGGTAATAGACGTCCGGTAGGCGTTGTAAAGGAGCGGTGTCAGGAAGGAAGCCATACTCGGCCGAGATCCCGTATCTTTGAATGAATTCACTTGGCGTTTCTCTCATCTTGAGATCGCTAAATTGAGTCAGATAGTCCACCGAGAATTGATTTGAACAGCGGATGAGATATCTCTACCCTGAGAAGATTGGTGAAACTTTGGAGGATGATGGTGTGGTTTTGGCTGAAACGATTCTCCTCTCACCATCATCAACTAGAGCATTCTTGCAGCAGGATTCAGCATCCGTCGGAGGCGGAGACGGATAGGGTGATAAGCATGCATGGTACTCAGGAGAGGATCCTGACCACATTTTGATTGGTGGAGTCCTCGCGAGTCTCGGGATCGTACAACAATGCTCTGGGGCAGGTCTCGTCAATGAGGCATATAGTGGACGTTGGGTTATCAGAAGCCCATGGTGAGGTGAGTACTTGTAAGTATCTGGACGGTTCCTTTCCGTTCTATTACGAGTACTGGATTGGCACACGATGATTAGAAGTAATCATAACAGGTTGTTGCCTGCTAGGTCGGCTGCCCTGAAAGCCACCAATCGTCCAGACTTCCAGCTAGATCTTGCCCTTGTGCAAAATAGCTTTGTGCCAAAATCGACACCCCCTCATTCATATAGTCCACGTTGCGGATTTCAGATGCTCGAGTGTAGTCGCGAGGAGGCAGGGCAACTGCGGACTCGGCATCTTCGGACCGTGGTGTTGTACCGTGGTGGTTGAGGCGAGTAGGCTTAGGTAGAAGACGACTGCGAAGGACTTCTCCAGAAGAAGACGATTGGCGATGAGACGTGAGAGAAGCACCAAAGTAGCCATCTGCATTTTTGGGTAGCTCACTCACAAAGGAGGACTCAATAATCTCCCAAAACAAGCTCAGATCGATGAAGATGCGAGGATCTGGCGGCCTCTGAGATGCGGAATCAAGGAAAGAGTCTGACACCACTTTTTCAAAGTTTTCGATCTTGTCCGCCTGTTGACGATGTTAGACAGTGTTTTGACAGACTGCAAGGAAATGGAAGAAGGGTCAGCACGCACAAGTTGATTAATATAGGGCCAAAATGAGCCCAGATCTCGAATGAACGAGACACACTTTCTGAAACTGGCCTGTTTCGTTGCCTTTACTTCAACGTCATCAGAGAAGCTTTGCTGCAGATAAACTGTGGCAGCAATAGCTGCACAATGCGCTAAGAACGGGTCGAACTGAGGGAAGTCATTCTTCTGGCACAAGTCCAGCACGTGTACGATCCACTCCGTGTGAGTTTCGGTGAGATCGGCCGTGTGTTGAAGGAAGACCTCCGGTACCATCGTGACCCGGAAGTTCCTCAAGCGGAGAAACAACAGAAGCGGATGGTTGAGCAAACAGAGGATAGTGTGGTAAAGAATCTGGAGCAAAATCCAGGAGGCCCAAAAGTCACGATGTTTCTCCAGCTGGCCGCGATCTTGGTCCAGAAATCGGGATGGTCGAAAGCGATACTTGTATGGCAATCGCGTCTCGAGATCCATGAGTTCCGCAGTGATCTGTGAATACTCGGACTGGGGTGACCAGGCAGGAAGGGTACCGATGTTTCCACGTCTGTTCGCAAACCTGGCGGCTCTCTGCCAGACTTGACTTAGCTGCACAACGTACGCGAAGATGCCAAGGTCAGAGGGCTCGTTAGAGGAATTCGGGGCATCTGCCTGCTCCAGGGCTGTATCAGTCATCTGGGAGCTGGTACCTGCTGGAGGTTCGGGTCTTTGGGGAAGCCTCGGAGTCCTCTCATCCTGAACAAATGAAAACGTGCTGGTAGACACTCCGTAGAGATTTCTTAACAGTAGTAAGCTCCAGTAGCATCGCCGTCGCTCGTCGTCAGAACGATCATAGTCGGGTCTCCTATGCTCTGAAGCCAATCCAGAAGATGAGACGAGGTCCATTGCCAGTGAAATGTAGGTGCTTGCCCGTGGAGTATTTCCATCTAGCCCCATCAGCAACCACGGAGAGAGTATTGCCATAATACACTTACGATTAAACTCTGCTAGACTTAGCAGGCATAATGCTTGAATCGTGGAAAGTTCAATAGGCCCGTGGGTAACCCGACTCATTATTAACTCTCTTGCCTGAGTTGCCCGACTTTCGAACATGCGTGATATATCCATCTGGCTAACATTGGGAGTGGCTGTGTCAAAGCGCGACGCTAGGGTCAGCATCGCTAGTATTAGCTCTGGTTCTCGCGAGGTGAAATTCGTCATCAAGACCTCAGGGGAGAACAGTGCAAGTGGCTGGCAGTTGCAATGTTTGAGATACAGCTGGACGTAATGACCGACAACACTCCAAGGTGGAAGTCTGCATGTGAGACTGAGTATGAGCTGGAGTAAAGCGTGATCGGGTCAAATAGCATACCCGTCGCACGGAGACACATCCAAGCTCGGCGTATCGAGATCAATGTGTGATGTAGCGGTTCCTGGCAATATCGATGGAACGGGCTGTGTTACTGAATTAGGCTGACGCCTCCTCATCACGGTCAGTGATCCCATGGCTCACCCACCCTCAAGATTCGCAACGTACTCCAAGAGCTTCCGCATTTCAGCGACTTGTGCTTCGAGGGCGCCCAATCTGTCGGCCTAGCATCCATCGATCAGCACATCACCTTTCAAGGTAACCGCAAGCCGCACATGGCGGATGGGAGCAGTCGCATACTGTGCCTTGATCACCTTGATGCAAAAAGGGAGCAGCACGTTGTATCGATGCCGCATTCCTCAGATCTGAGCCTTGCGGGGCCATCGTACGTTGATCAGGCCCTGTAACATAGGTGCAATGCTTTCCGAGTCGGGCGCAATGAGCGCAGATCGGCCTCTCGCCTGTACATCTTGACTTTTTGCGGCTTTGAACATGGATGAGCGGAATGGGTTCGGCATCGAGTGGCCGGCTCAACTGAGCTTACCGGCATGGCTCACAGGCCTGACGCGTGCGTTTGAGAGGTGTCTGTGCCTCGTTCATGGCCAACGGAAGGTCAATGTACCGATCAATCGGTGGAGGGCTCGTTTAGGAGTCTTAGAAATAGCCGTATCATTGGCAACTGCTCTGCCAGGATGAGTGGTGGGCGTTGGCCCTAACGAATTTGGGCGTGTTCAATTGCAAGATGTCGATGTTTGGGTGTGCTGTGTCAGGCTCGTCGTGTCTGCGTGTCTGCGTACAGACTGCACTTTCCATTGATAATACACTACCGTAGCGGCGGAGCAAATGAGCTGCAATGGCAACTCCATTCTGATTGGCTGCGCAACCACCACCTCCCATTCTTCTCGCTTTCGGACGTCCGCTTCGTTGCTGCTGCTTATGCCTCGTAGTCATTGTCCCACAGCTGGCCACTCGAAAGAAGGCTCCCATCCTACTCTCCCCGCTTTGACCAAGCCGAAAACGTGTCAAGGTCTCGGCTATTTCCCTGATTCTTTCGCTTGGCCATGCCTCTTGCGTGGCAAGATCAGCATCTCCGCATTCATCATTTGGCGAGCTTCCCCATTGATGTCATTGTCGATCGTTTGGCGATGACACCCACCAGCTCATATGCTTGGGTCTTCGAGCTCATTGCTGACGAATGAGTTTCTATAAAAGCCTGTTGTGCATTGCTCTCTGATGTGGGCTCGCTCTTTTCCTACATGCGTGGTATTCGCGCCTTACGTGGCAAGGTAAACACACCGCAGACACTACTCACCATGCTGGCATTTTCTGTTCTCTTCCTCGCAGTGTGGCTACAGTCATGCTGGGCCCAAAATCCATGTCCAGCTGTAACCCAGCACTTGACTGACCCTCCTTATGACAACTACTTCTACTCGGACTGCCACAGTGACTCGCAAGCCGTGGTCACCAGTCCACTTCCCGACTCGAACCTGACTATAATCGGCCCTCGGCTGATCATTGCCTGGCCTGCCGGCAACAGCGGTATATGCACCTTCTGCCAGCCTCAGAATGGTCCGAATGGATCTCTGGCCATAGAGCTCGTCAATTCCACTGTAGGGACGCCATTGGGTCCGGTTTACAGAACGACCCAAGGCTCGGCAAATCCGTTTGTTGGTGTCCAGGGAGTCATCTCATTCAACACCTCGGCCACATTAACCATCCCAATACTGGGCAGTATTAGGACTATCCGAGATTTCACAGAGGGCCCGAGTCTTCTTCGCCCGGTTATTCAGGACGCCGTCAATATCACACGGTCGAATGGAACCGGAGCAACCCTCTCGCGACTTTGGCTGGACAATGTCACCACGACCACTTTCACCATGGTCCCATACCAGAACCCAGGTTCCAATATCACGATAAACCAGCGGAACAAGACCATCAGTTTCGGTGCAGGGTTCTATCTGTTTTCTGCAAGCTTCAACTACCCACAACTGACGCAGCTCCCGCAAAGCCGAGTCCTGAACACCGCCTCGCAGAACCTAATCACTCAACAGCCGGATCAAACAACCTCGCTTTCGTTTCTTTCCTATACTGAAAAGTTGCTTGCGGGAGCATGGAGATTCCTCACCTATTTCGGTCGCGACAGCATGATCAGCGCTCTGCTCCTGGAACCAGTGTTGAGTCAAGGCAATGGTTCCGCGACAGAAGCCGTGATTGGGGCCGTTCTCGAGCGACTCAACCGGAGCGACGGATCTGTCTGTCATGAGGAGACCATTGGTGACTATGCAACCTACCTGAACTTGCAGGACAATGTCACCAGCACTGCGCCCGGTTTTACATACCCAATGATCGACACGGACTACTACCTCCCGGTCCTCATGGCGCAATACTTCAACAGCAGCCCATCTCGCATCGGTCCTCTCCTGAGCCGGAAGGCAGGCTCGATCGATGTCCAGAATCGCAATCTGACATATCAAGACTTGGCGCTCATCAACGCAGAGAAGATCATGAACATCACTGCTGCGTTCGCGCAGAACCAGACGGCGGCCAATCTCGTTCACCTCAAGTCGGACCAGATTGTGGGACAGTGGCGAGATTCTACGTACGGACTCGGAGGAGGTCGGATTCCCTTCGACGTTAACACCGCTCTGGTCCCCGCGGCTCTGCGAGCCATAGGCCAACTGGCACGTACAACGGGCGTCTTCCCGAACAATTCGAGCGTGAACACTACCTCGTGGCGCACACTGGCCGACTCGCGGGCCCAGCTCTGGGAAGAAAACACGCTCCAGTTCTTCGAGACCAACATCACGGCCTCGACCGCGCGTTCTCGCCTCGGACAGTTCGTGGACACGGCTACATTCTACAACGGGCCGACCAACGCCTCGTCGCTCCCGTCGTCGGGCAACGTCACGACGTACTCGATCGCCCTGGACGGGTACAACAATCTGTCGTCCGTCAACGTCCAGCACAGCGACAGCAGCTTCCGCGTGTTCTTCGTCAACGCCTCGTCGTCCACGCCCGAGGCCGAAGCGCAGGAGACACGCTTCATCAACGCCACGGCGAACAGCCTGCTCCGACCGTTCCCGGCGGGCCTGATGACGCCGCAGAGCATGGTCGTGGCGAACCCTGCGCTCTCGGGCTCGGACGTGCTGGTCGCCAACTTCACCAACGCCGCCTACCACGGGTGCGTCATCTGGTCCTTCCAGCTCTCCATGATGGCCAAGGGTCTGGAGCGACAGCTTGCGAGGTGCAACACCACCACTACCAGCACCACCGACGGGGCGAATTCGACTTCCACGGCCCCAGCCTGGTGCGGCATCTCCTCGGTGTACAATAACGTAATCCGTGCGTACAACGTGTTGTGGGACAGCATCGAAGCAAATTCCGCCCAGCTACAGGGCGAGGTGTGGAGCTGGACCTTCAACAATAGCACGGGCGGCTTCGTCACCACGCCCTTGGGCGTGTTGCCGCCGCCACCAGGAGTCGGTGCCGGGACGGAAAGCGATATCCGGCAACTCTGGAGTTTGACGTTTTTGGCCGTCAAGAGGAATGAGAATTTGCGATGAAGACGGGGCGGGTCATGTCTGGGGCGGAGGAAAGAAGCTGTGACCACTGATTGGAGCGAGAGAATGTCGATAGCAGCCACCCGAAAACCATGTATAAGTTCCTTCTAGCCGCTAGTTAGTAATGTGAGCTTGAAAAGTTGAGCCCTGCGTGCTTGTTTCGGAGCTGGAAATTGAAGAGTCTAACCAAAGATAAATGCGGCTGGGAAGTCCTCGCGCATCAAAGTCCCACGCTGCTCGTCTCGTGTTGAGTTGCCGCGGACAAAACAAGATCTGATTTATACCAATTTCTTTTGGTGATTTCAACTAGAACCAGCAGACCGTCCTACAATACATGACCAGAAGAGACAGCCCCCTTTTCCCACATCGGACTCACAGTCTCGCCTGCAGCTTCTCGGCCGTCTCGCCCAGAGCGTACTCGCACGGCGCCTTCTTGCTCCTGATCTTCTCGAAATCGCCGAGCGTGACCCCTCGGGCCTCCACGGCGGGGTTGTAGCCGACACCGCTCGCCTGGGCGATCTGGGCGTCGCTCTCCTTGACGTCGGTGTTCTTGCGTCCATCGGCGCGCTTGTACACGGTGACCACCACGGCACCGCCGAGGCCCAGGTTGTGCTGCAGGGCGACGTCGATGTCCTTGACCAAGCGGCCGTTGTTGGCCCAGCCGCGCAGCTGCCACGTGAGTTCGGCGCATTGGGCGAGGCCGGTCGCGCCTGTTTGTCCAGCTGTGTTAGCAATCATTGGATGATGGGGGGTGGTGGGCTGGGGGCATGGAAGGCGTGGAGATTGGCGCACCTAGGGGATGGCCCTTTGAAATCAATCCTCCCGAGGGGTTCACAATGGGTCCTTTGCCACCGTACGTGATGTCCCCGTTCCTCACCATGAGGTGCGCTTTTCCCTGGTCGCAGAACCCAAGGCCCTCAAGCAGGATGAGTTCATTGGCGGAGAAGCAGTCGTGCACCTCGCACACCTTGATGTCTCGGGCGGACACGCCTGCTTCCTCGAGCGCAGCCTTGGCCGCGCGCTTCGTCATGTCGAAGCCCACAAGGTCCATTGCGGAACGCGAGAATAGAGCGGGAGAATCCGTCATGAGAGATTGCCCGGCCATTAGAACGGCATGAGACTTGAGTTCAGGCCGAGACTCGAGGAAGCGCTGGGACACGATGATTGCTGCGCCCGCGCCGTCAGAGGTGGGCGAGCATTGGAGTTTGGTCAGTGGGTAGTGGATCATAGGCGACTTTTCGATCTCGTCAAGGGTGTAGACCGTGTTGAACTGGGCATAGGGGTTGCGTGAGGAGTGCTCGTGCGAGATGCGGGCGATCTCTGCGAAGTCGCGGGCTGAGGCGCCATATCTGGGGTAGCAGCAGTAGGTCAGTGAACAAGTTCAGCGAGTACAGAGAAAGGAGATCACAATTGGGTGAGATGGGGACGTACTTCTCCATATACTCCCTCCCAGCGTTGGCAAAAAACTGCGCATTTCGCGGCGTGTCGTGCTTCCCCCTGGTCTCTTCCATCAACCTGGTGCCCAGCCCCATGGGACTTGGTCTATCATCCCAGACACTCTTGATCGAGCCGGGCTTCATGGTCTCAAATCCAATCACCATCACGACATCCACGATGCCGCCCCGAACCAACGTCCGCGCCAGTTGCAGCCCCGTCGACCCCGTTGCACAGGCATTGTTTGTGTTGTAAATGGGGATATTGGTCATGCCGAACTGATAGAAGACACGCTGGCCAGAAGTGGTGTCGCCATAGCAATAGCATGCCACTCCGGTCTGAACATCGTCGTATGTGATGTGGGCATCCAGGAGGGCTTTGGTACCGGCTTCAAAGCCCAGTCTAGCGTCTGGTCAGTATAGGGCGTCTACATAGGTAATTACAGGAGGGAGAGGAGGCCCGCGCGTCCCTTTTACCAGAGACGAGGTTGTTTTCTGGACACTTACTCGGGATATGGGCGTAACTGTCGGGGTTTGATGAATTGCGTGAGACCCACGCCGAGCACATAGGCGTTCTGTTGGAAGGACATGGTGGTGCCGTCGTCTGCGTATTGGTGAGGTGAGGGATGTTGAACGAACTCGAGTAGGAACAGATGTCACCGAGGAGCCTGATATATCTCACTCTGCCGAAACAATAATTGATGATTACTCGGACTTTTGCTTTATCGAAAAGGCGTCGACGGAGCATCGACTCCCCCGCAGTTGGGGAAATGGCCCAACCCCGACTAACCGAGGCTCAACAGGCTTCATTATCACACACCACTTCCATGAGGTATGTACTGGAGGTCACTTTTGACGCCGGGAAACAATTGTATGTTGTATGTTGTGTGCTGCGTACTGACTGCCGCTAGATAACATCGGTGTCGGCCAAGCTCGTACATAGCACCTCATGAACTCCCGTTCTAATTGTACATGGATATCTCCAAACACGCAAAATAATATATAGAATCAAACACGTAGTTGGCCTCCATCATGGCACCAGGTACTGGAATAAGCCCAATAATGGTCCAACATTCCAGGTGTATCACACCGAGCTTGTAGCTCAATCCCCCCATAGCATCGATAAATAAAAGCCTATATCCAGCTCTCGTGGTATCCAGGCGCGTGGCTTTCTTTCGATATCATCGACAAGATATGGTCCCAATCAAAGGTAAGAAATCTTGTTGTAGAAAGCCGAACTGTATCCTCGTGCAGCTAACTCATCAACTCATGACTCGTCATCTCATGTCCTTCCACAATCCGCTAAAGGAAAGAAAAGCAAAAATCCAATGGCTTCTCGTGCTGGTACCGGGGCTGGTATCTCTGGCTGCTGCGATAAATCCACTGTGTAGACCTCCACGATGGGTTCATCGTTGACTTCATGCCGCAGGGCTTTAACACGAAGTGTTAAACCAAGAGAGTCATGTCTCACCCAGTCAAATGGTCGCAGGGTGGCCCCCTTCGTGAGTGCGTCTTCTGCTGTGAGTACCTGGGTGGTCCCGCTCGTACGGCTCAGAGGGCGTTAATTGCTCATGTGAGAGCCCGGAGAAAAGAATGAGTGGTTGAGGTTTGAAATGGCTTGGCTCCGCGGTGTTTCCAAAAGTGGGCTTTCGGAAGTGGGAAAATTGTAGTGGTAGAGTCTATCCATATTAAAGGGGAAGCCAGACAGCAACGTATCTGGTTCGAGCGGCCGTATCTGAGGAAAGATAATTTGTGGGCTGGTACCGGACTGAAGTGTGTATGACCCGACAGTGTCAGCGTTCGGGGCAGGCAGGGGGGCTCTCTGCTGCATGGGAGAGGGCGAAATAGATGTGTGCAGCATCGGATTTGCTACGGCTGGCCGAGGGGTTGTTGGCGCGGCAGCACCTCTCGCCGTCCTTGCTGCATCCTGTCCACTCGTGCCGTCTGCACTTGGTTGTCCTGAACTCGATACCGTACGAAGGGACTCGGTAGGGTCGTGGACGGGAATCTCGGCGTGGCATCTTTGCATATGATTCTCATAGTGCCCTTGTCGGGTGAAGGTTCTCTTGCAATTCCTCGACGGACAGCAGAAACGCTTCCCACGCGGCGCGGTTCGACCAGAGTTTGTTGTCGAAGGGTGGCCCTCAGCAGAGGTAGGGCTCCCTGCAGCGCAAGATGAGCCTGCAGCGCGACCCGGATGCTGTGACACGAACGCGGGATGACTCGCGGGGGGCCCAGCAGTCCGGCGAAATAGCCCATGTTGAGACCTTGGGTAAATAGGTATGGAAGCAACGCCTGCCCGCACCGGTGTTTGAAGAGTCATCGAAGGTGCCGGAGGACGAGCATTGCTGATTTGCACTAAGATATCCTGCTTCATGGCGTCCCAGCTCTTGTTCGCTCTGATCTGAAGAACCAAAGAAAAAATCTCCGGCGGAGGGGTTGAGTAAAGGTTCGGAAAGAATTCTTGGAACAGGGGTAACGCCGGTCCGTGACGTATGTTCCTCAGCACGGAAAACTCATCTTCGTGGGCTTCGAGTAAGGCAAGGATGATATGTGAGTAGAGGATGAATTGTTCATGACAGGTCAATTCGCTAAGAACATCAGTTTGCGGGATATGAGGGTTGCCTTGGGGGTGAGTAGGTGTGGGTGGTTGCGACGGCCTCGGCCGATTGCCTCGGGGATGGAGGAACATAGTTCGTTGACCCAAGGCAGGGAGAAGGTATTGGGAGGTTGAGCGGGTTCGATAGGTAGGAAGGGCAAGGACGACGTGATTGCCTGTACTCCAGATTCGAGAATCGAGGATCGAGAACTGATCTGTCGCGGCGCAGGTAGCACAATGGGGGACAGGCCGACAGAAACAACCAAAGGTGTCTCTGCGAGGGAACACGTTCGGGACAGAGGGCTAGCCAAAGAGCGGCAGTGACAACAGCAATCGAAGATGGATATGACCAACAAGGATTAAAGAGAAGCTATGAAAACCGTGTTGGAGAAAGGAAGTTGTAGGTGTTAGGCTGGCATTCATAGAATGGGCTCCGTGGGTAAATGGGCGTTGAGGCATGGGAGACCACGAGGTGATATAAGAAGGATGCAGGTTTGAGAGACCAGACGACAGCGAGAGGGGAGGTACGCATTGTAATAGAGCACAGCGGGCGAACGCAGTTAGGCAAGGCAGATACGGAAATCATCAGGCCTGTTGTTGGATGGCGAGAGTGGTGCTGAGTTGGTGGAAGTGAAGAAGAGGAAAGGAATGATGGAAATTCAAAGTCGAACAGTTATGTCTGAGTTGGGTAAGGCTTGTAGGAGCTGGTCGGGGCTAGGGAGAGCCTAACCAGGCGCCTGAGAGTGCCACCAGGTGCTCAATGGGGCTTCCTTGGGGCAAGGCTAGTTAGCACGGCGATGCCAAATGACACCCCCCACCTGTCTGGCAGTTTTGTCTCCTAGTGATTCGGCGTGGCACCCACGCAACTTTCGCCCATCCCTACCTAAGCAATCCAAAATCTTCTTTCTGGCTTCACAGTGGCGGTCCATCTTGTACCTTGGCATTGTTGTGCGACGACGACACAGATCAGTCGTCTTGCATCTTTGGTATTGCCATCTTTGGCCTCCTTCCCTCAACGCCGCCAGTCGCCTTTCTTCCTGACAGCGACCGATCGCTGCTCTCACCCCAATCTCATCGCAACGATTCACGTCTGCCCACCCAGCTATGTCTTTCCTTCGTGCAGCGAAAGCAGGGCCCCGAACGGTCCACCTAAAGCAAGAGGAACAGCGTATCCGATGCACAATGGAGCCCACCCATCCTCGGACATTTCATGAAACGCGGAGCTGGTGCCTATCTGGCACTGCAGCATGAACGCTCGGGCTGTTCACCCCGTTGGCTCGTGGTTGTGGCGAAAAGGACATCCAACGCCTGCCCGTTGGCTCATCGCCACCCCGGTTCTGCAAGTGTTCGACCTTAGTCCACCCCTACACGACGTCTCCCCCCAAGGTTCCTCAGGAAGACGTGCTTTCCCCCCCAGGAACAAGTTGAACTACCAGTTGCCACCGAGACCGACACGGCGATACCATACCGTACGAAGTCGCTGCTTGGGTGCTTTTACTGTCGTGGAGTTCCGTGAGGAAAATCAATTTCGTCACGTCATCATCGTGGTCGTGCCACAGCGGGGGCACCCAAAAATACCTGCCTGCTCCGATTCTACCCTTGGAAACAATGAGCAAGGATGGCACTTTTGATGGCCCAAGGCCAAAATATGTGCAGATCTGCAGCTTTGCAAGGCCTCGTCCATGACCCGTGTCGAGAGAGCGTTCGACATCAGCACCAGGACTCGAGAGTCGGTGGGGACCTGCATTGGGAGTTCAGGAACCCACAAACCGCGCCGTTGATCAGCTGGGTCGCTCCTCATTCTGAATTTCCCATTGCAGCGCAGCAGTCCATTGTGCAGGTCAACCATCCGCAATGAGAGGCGAATGCGCGTTCCAATAGCTCTAGCCTGATCCCTGCGATTTGATGGGCTCTGGGCCGCAACCCTGGATCCCGCCCACTGCCGTGATTCCAATCACTTACTGCCACGCTTGCTGCTTTGTTCACGTTCATTTGGTTTCGGATGGAGATCCGAATAAGATTCGTACCCGTCCCAGCTGAAGTCAACTATCTATCACCTTCGAACCTCGCTTGATTCTTGTCCCTGCGTCTCCGGGCTTATTCTTGGACTTAGTAGCGCAGTCACAAGGTCGGCTCTTTTGGACACTAGCTTTAACAGGTGTGTTTCAGGTGTCATCCCTCTGCTATATCAACAAATCGAAGAGGAGGAATTCTTGACGAGTTTCATCTCTTTGCCTTTTGTTACGCGGGTATTCCCACCGCCACCGCCGCCGCCTTGGGCAAATATGAACAAAGTTCCATGCGATCTTGTCACCCACTGCCATTACCAACGGACTGGCGGATAGTACAGGACAAACTGCGTACTGGTAATGTGAACACGAGTCACCTCAGACCAAAAATGGCCATTTGCATACGTTCACCCCGACTCGAATGTGTCAACCACATCATGCAGTCCCTGCGGCAGCCCCGTTTTCGCCTCCTGGACGTCTTGATATCCTCTGGCAAAGTCAAAGCTCCCTATCTGACACAGTTGCTGCTGAGCTGGTCCTGACGATACGAACTGGCGGTACTGTCACTGATTGACTCGGAATAGCTCCAAAGGCCGTCTCGATGAAGTGTCTCCCCCTTGCTTCGTGTGCCCTGGCCCGCGGGCCGACAATCCAAGCTTCACAGACGATCGCCTGGACTAACTAGAGGCATGTGAACAAACATAGGCCTAGGCCTCGTCCTCCATTTCCAGTTGCGCCGAGGAGATCTAAAGTAATTATGACAACCTTGCGGTACGGCCTCGCTTTTGTCGGAATGAACCACTGACGAACCAAGCTAGCCTCTCCTGCCTGTCTCCCATCTTCGGTCTTCCATGATTTGAAGTTGACCATATCTAACCTCGTGCTGTGGGGGATAGTGAGACGACCCCTGAATGCCTTCAACGAATGTGAAGGCCTCCAGAAGGGAACTGGACTCCAGCCCGCTGGTTCCAGTCGCTCCTGGAGAGCCTTCACCCATTACTCCTTGGACCACATGAACCTGGAGTTCATCCTGTTCAGCAGTGAAAGCGATGTCACCGATGTCTCTGACGCCATCATCGCCGGCGGCCGCCGTCCCATCGTCACTGCCGTCGTACTCCTGGGACAATCTTCGTCGAATGAAAGTTGGGTCGCTCGCATTGGTAACCACCGAAGTCGTGGCGTCGCCTTGATTGCTCGGCTGAGGGGATGAGGCTGGCACCATAAATGTTGCTGGATGTTGGTGGACGAGCGGAGACTCTGCATGACACTTGCTTATATGGTTCATTATGTTCCCGGCATTTCTAAAATCATCATGCCTACAACCTTCGTAAGAGCATCTGAAGACCACTCCCTTCGGTGCCCTTCCCCTCGCCCTCTGATGGGAAGGACTTTGAAACCTTCTCCTGCCATTCGCCGCAGGCACCGATGTTGTGGATCTTGTCTGAACCTCTCGGCCAGAGCCTGGACTGGACATTGGGGCTGCACGAGAACTGCTCGCCTCAAGGGCGCGAGGGGCCGTCCAACTGCTGGTACCCCAAAAATCTCGCTCCTCACTCCCGGAAGATGCCAAACTTTGCGGAAACAGAGCCGCCGGCGTTGGGAGTGAAGAGATGAAATCGATACAGTCGTAGCGCGAATTTTCGAAATCATACTGATCTCTCAGTTCCTTGAGCAAGTCCCACAAGTCCGGAGGGAGTCTGCCGTACTCCTGGCAGAGGTAGCGTTTCAGGAGGTGATGCGCAGTTGAATCTTCTCGAGGGTTGTACAACTCAGTCCACAATCCGGAAGTCAGACGAAGGTAGCTGCATACCGTGTCTCGAAAGGCTGCAATGTCATGTCGACCCATAATTGAGGCCATGATAGTGTTTGAGTTTGACGTTTGGCGATGTGACTGGGAGGTCTGTGAATTGTCACTCGACAAGGGGAACCGGCTTTGTTCAAAGACCTGTCGCCAAGTTGCTGGTTGGAATGCATGTGCTTGGTCCATTGGGGTGGCGATGGGCGCCCGCGCTTGGAATCCCATTTGGGCAGGATATCGGATTTCCAATTCCGGTGGACTGTCGATCAGTCCGACCAGCGAAGCGAGCGGCTGATGGCCCTCATCCGGGGTCGAGAACGAAATGCTGAAATGATCCATGATGGCAGGTGGCAAGAGATTACAACCAATCAGTCAGCGCGCCAAGGGCAAATCCCACAGCTGGGAAGGACGAAAAGGAAACCCGGCCAGCGGTCAAGGATCAAGGGAAACAACAGGAGCGACGAATGTCAAGGATGTGGAAGGAGAGACTGTGAAGAAAAGCATTTGGACGGATCCAGGTTTCGGAGATTGAGTGCAAGTTGCGAGGCAGATGAGTCTGGGAGACTTGGGATTTTGAAGGAAACGAAGCATTCATCCCGAGGGGTGTGGTTAGTGATATGGACTCGAGGCTGGGCAACCCGTGGACGCGGCCTTGATGTGAGAGGACGTCGAGCCCGCTTGATGCCAAAAGTTATTGGGTTTTGCGGCTCTTTGCTCTGTAGTGGGTTTCCTAGCGGCTGGTGGAGCGGCGCCGTCTGGTGCCGTCATGTCCTGTGGACAAGGACAAAAGGCCTCGCAATAGGGCCCATGTTGCTCAGCCTCAGGCTCATCGGGCTTTCGGAGTCCGCGGAACACGCTGATTGGCCGATATGCGTCAGAATATTAAGGCACTAAAGTCAAAACTGACCCCCCTGCGCGCCAACACCCCAAAGAGGGATTAGGTCAGTTTACAAGGGCCAATCGCAGACAGACGACGCCACACCTTGAGGCTCGTGTGGCTGATGCCCCGATAGATGGATGCTCCACTTGTATACCAAAAGAACCTACCCAAGGCACGTGCTAGGTGCCGTTGCGTGTGTCTTCATATCATTTCACCTGAACCAGGACTAACAAGACATGGGCGGGAAGACTACGTCTCAGTAGGCGTCGCCCTGACCCTGCATTCCGTCGCAAATCGCAATCGAACGCCAAATGCATGCGAAAAGGCTCTGTGTGGCTGGTTCACCAGACGGCAAGGCCACCAAACTGGAACGGCGTGGCTGTGCAGCACAATGTGATCACCGACCAATCCATCCACGCTCTTCCTCCCTCGCTCCGTGTGGTTTGACTCAACGGTCCGGCAAGGCCGTGAGATGGCCCAGTAGACGGCACCAATGGCACAGCAACATTGACGCCAATTTTCCGAGAGAAGACGTAGCTCGCGGACGAGGATTGGTCCTGGTCCTGGTCGACTTTTCCCCCAAGGGAACTTTCAGGCCCCCGCACTGCAGTAGCAAACACACGGGTTCGCGAACCAGCCAGACACACTCCAAGACCCATTGCAAGCACGAACTACTGACTTACTACTCTATCCCCTTTCCATTATTAGCGGGCAGTCGGGGATTGGTGCCTCGGATGTGCCCATTTTTGGGGCCCTGCATGGAATTTTGGGAAGAAAGGTGTTTGGGTGGGCATTTTCTTCGGCGAGCCCTATCTGGCTGGCTGGCTGGCTGGCACCGGCCGTCTCTTTGTGAATGAATGATAGTTTTGACAACCCAGCCCGTTGACGATAGACAGGTGTCGGCGGCTGTTCCAGAAAGAGAAGGCCCGTTTGCGGCCGTCATTGGATGGGGGATGAAGCATGGGGATCCTTCAACCCAGGCGGTCATGGTTCCAGCCTGGCTCCGTTGCGTCACTAAGTACTCGGCAAGTAGTATGCCCCACTGGATTGTCCACCAGCCACACAACCCCGATCATCCATCATCGCGACCACGACCACGACCACCATCGTCATCCTTACCACCACCAGCGCCTGACTACTACGAGGTGCTATTCTTCTTTTCCATGCACCCACCACTCACCACCCACCTCTGCCTCTGCCTGCCGGCCTGCCCCTGCCCCTGCCCCTGCGCAGCGTTCCCACCAGGGAGACCCTGACGCAATTCCGCGGGCTCTGTGAAAAAGCCATCCATAAAGTACCATACTTCTGTGCGGGCTGCTGGCATGGTGAAAGTTATCCATGCGTGCATCCGACCAGGATTAACCGAGTCGGTTGTTTCATCCCGCTCGTGAGGTACGGAGGGCAGCGTGGCTTTGAAGCGGTCTGGACTCTCGCGCCCTTGATAGTACCCTGCGAGACGACTTTTTGTGTACCTACCTACCTTGGTAAGTAGGGACATAGATAGGTATCGATTCTTCACATGGTGGGCTGAGTCGGGCTCAAGCGTCCTCAGGACTTCTCATTCGTTCATTTATTCGTTCAGTTCACATTGACATTGCATCGCAGTGAGTGCATTGTATGCTTGAGTTTCATTACTGCAGTCCCCTCAAACCCATTGCAAACCTCAGCGGACATCGCGACGTACAAGACCATGCCCACCCCGAAGGTCAAAGGGTTCCAGACCCAAGGGCCCCGAGAGCCTACAGCCCAAGGCTCTCCCAAAGGTGCACAGTTCGGCTGGCCTTTCCCGTTTCCGTTTTTCCTTTTCCCTCTCATGCCCCGCCTCGAATTCTCTCCCGTCCTTGCGCCTGTCCTGTTGTCCCCTGCAGGTTCAGAATGCTAAATCCCTGCGCCTTCCACCGCTTCTATACATATTCCATGCCGTGTTCATTGGACGCCACTCAGTGCCTTGGCGTTGCCTAGCATGAGGGTGTGCCACCCGAAATGGAGGCCTTCCCCCTTCTCGTCAAATTGATGGCGGAGGAATAGGCTGTGGACTTGGCTGGAGCCAGGCAACCACAGAACCCCACCAGATCGTGACAGTTTGCCTGGTCTCCCATCATCTCCTAGAATTGTTGGCGGTGTATCCGTCCCCGTCCGTTGCCTCGAGACCCTAAACTAGGCTCTTGGCAGGCCAAGAGGCAAGGCGCATCGCGCTTACAGCTCGAGTCTGCCTCTGGGATGCGAGAAGGGTGGTGAATGGGGGAGCATGTCTGCCTTGGAGCCTTGTTTCAATCGGTGTCTCCTTAGGCATGAGTCGCCGAATGCCGAAATAGATGATGGCTGCAGTGGTAATGGGGGCGATTCGCTACCAGTCTGCTGGATAGATCCGGCACATCCGTTAGTGTCGAGTAGAAGTTAGGGAAATCATCGACCAATACTGGCCACTGCTCTTTTGGCCTGAGCTCGTGTGACCGACAAACTGGACAGCCTCGATGTGAACGAATTGGCCCTGCAGAAAAGGCCGGCGGGCAAAGAATGAATGCCCACCCCTTCCTTGTACTGTTTTGTTTAATATTTCCCTCCCTTTCCTAGCCTCGCTGAGAGGACGGGAGCTCATATCTCATAAAGCCAGCGCAGTGAAAATCATGCGTCATGGCAATTGCGCCGTGTAAAAAGTCGTTGCATCGCTAATCAACCCACTCACGTCCGGCAGCTGGCCATTGCTCTGTTCCCTCTCCAGAATGGCCATAAGTTCCATTTGTTGCTGGGAACTCAGGCTCTGCATCGCATAGTTGCCCGCGCCACCTGCTCTGGTAGCTGTCTCAGGATGGGCACCTGGTATCGCTCCTGTTCCCAGAGGACCAGAAGACCCGGCTGGTCCCGGTGGAGGGAAAGATTGCCCCATGTATCGACTGTACTCGTGACCGAAGGAGGCAAGGTAGGGAAGTTCATCGTAGTTCATGTTGGGAGAGCCCGTTATGCCGGGTATTACTCCTGGAATGAGAGGTGCGGCTGTCCACGGACCACCTCCATCCGCGCCCGCGCCGGTCGTTGCTGGGAAGGAATGTGGGTCGAAGCCAGGCAGACTGTAGTGCATGGAAGTAGCGTCAATGCGGGGAAGTGATGGATGGGTGGTTACAGGGATATACTGTTGTTGCGGATTGGCCATTGGCTGTGTTGATGCAGGGAGCATCTCTGGCTGAGGATGGAATTGTTGCTGCGTCGAATGATCGATATAGCCAGCCGCTGCGTTCTTGAAGTTGTGGTTATTTGCTGAAACATGCACGCTATGAATGGATTGCGGGGATTGTGCACCATAGATGGACGTGTTCGTTGTACTGGCCGGACTGTTGGCAAACTGTGACGCAGCCGCCGAACTCAATTCATGGGTCGCTGTGGAAGAGACATAATCTGATTGCGATGCGGGCGATTCCTTGCTGTCGGCTTCATAAGCCTTGAGACAGCCAAACACGAGGTTCTCATAGAGTTGTTGAGCGGAGCGCACTCCCGGCCAGCGGTCAGCGCAGAGGTCGATGGCTCTAAGTGCGTCCTGAATGTCTATTTGGACCTCTTCCAAGGGATGCTGTTGTCGAATTCCAGGATACGACAGGCACCAGAGCACTGTGTTCAGCGCCATAAAGATGGCTTGGGTAAAGATCCAGGTAATGTCGATCAAGTGTCCTTCCACTTGGCGTTTCTGGAGTCGGATGTTGTATGTGGCTGCAAGATAGCATTTCTGAGCTGCCTGTAGGGACGGGCTGGGGATTTGCGGAGAGGGCCGATACATGAACACGATCATGGTGTTCTTACGGCCAATGAACCAGGCCTCGCTCAACCCAGATCCCTCGTCGTTCTTGGGGCAATCCTGGACCCAGCTGTCGATCTTGTTCAGCATCTGGCGGAACCACGGATCTTGGTCGTGCACAGGGACCTCTCGCTTCTTGAGATACAGAGTCCGCCTGATCTCGGCCTGGAGCAGCCTCATCTTGAAGAAATGTATTGAGATACACTTTTTCATAATGGGGTGGTGGCCAGGCAGCAGTCCGTCTGCACTGATATACTTGTCGTCGCAGAGCTCAAAAAAGTTGACGTTGATGTTGTCCACAGTTACGCCAAATGCGCTGGGCCTTCCAAGACTATGCGCAAGGCCGTACTCCATGGACGTTATGATCCAGAACAATCGCCGTCGCATATCCACCTCAAGGGCATTGGGCCGGGCGCCGGAAGGCGGTCGATGAATCGTCTCTTCTTCACATAAGCCCAACTCTTGACATAACCTTGCCGCGATTCCCACCACCCAGTATGCGGCTGTTCGAGTCGGCGTGAGCAGCGAATATTGAGCAATAAGCGCGAAGCATTGGAGTGTCGACAAATCCATCTTCTGAACAGCGCCTGTCAAGAATGGGAGCGCTGCCAGGTAGTAGCTGTCGGCAAGTCCGGCATATTGCTTGTCGAGCTTTTGCATGCTAATTGCAACAACTAGTCGGACCTGGAAGTTAAGAGTTGGATCTCTTGAGCCATCATAGACAGCCTGGAGCTCCTTGCGGAAAGAGGGTTCGTGGAGAAGCGGGAGCATGTATTGTGCCTTTGCCATGTAAATCTCAACAAGGCGATCCATAAGATCACGGTTCGGGAGGTCTGGCGCAGCGACCGAGCTGATTAGAGGGTACACTTTCGACGTAGGTTTGCTGCTCTCGGCGTCAAACTTATCTTTGATCTCTTGAGCGGCGTGCTGTGGTACGACGTCCTTGATTGTCCTCCGGATCGAGTTTTGTTTCGCGAACTCCATGACAAACCGGGTGATGGCAATGCCACTTGAGGGTCCCAGGAACCGGCATTCATCATTCTCACTGAATTTGACCAGGCCAGCGCCCCGCGCCATAGCCTCGTGGTCGGGTTCATACTCATCCTCTTTCTGCAATGCCTTGAGTTCTTCATTGAGCCGGCGCACAGTTTCCTGCAGGGACGTGATGTATGTTCGCGGAATGGTTCTATTCTTGGTCGAGTCGTAGTATTCGCAGTGCGCGTTGCTCCTTTCACAAGGCTCGCATCGGGGAAGCGCGGGGTCGCATCGTGTCTTTCTCTGCGGCAAGTCAATACAGACTATCCCAAGGAACCCGGCAGGACAAGAATGAGGCTCACTTGTCTGCATCGTACGCAGGCGGTCACCGTGTGGTGGACTTTGTCCCGAGTTCGAGCCGTCTCCGGCGAGTCAGCCATGGTCGCATTTTCGCTGTCTGCCATCAATTCAGCAAGCCGACGGCAGAGGGTCGACGGTTAGGTTGTTATGGATGGTGAGCGCTTTCTGCTGTGGAGGTCGATTTCCATTCCTCATCATGCGTGCGTGGCCTGCCAGTGATAAAAGAAAGCCCGGGAAGTTTGCTCATGATCCGATGTTGGACAGTGCTTTAGGTGAGGCCAGACTCCATTGGATTGCGTCGAGAGTTTGGGCACAGGGTTACCGCCTAGCGGAAAACTGGTGAGCCTGTCAGCAGTGAGAGGTGGACTTCAGCAGAACAAACACTACCCTGCTCGCCTGATAGAGATCCAGGTTCTATGACCAGATGTAACGGTCGGCCATAGATGTTGACGAACCGGAGTGTCAGTCGCCTGTCAAAGGGATCTGGCTCCTGTGCAGCTCAGATTGAAGAATCGACGCGGGAGCTGAAATCCAAGAGCTGAGGAGGCCAGCACACAGCCAAGTAGGGCTGCCTCAACGCCTATTCGCCCAGCAAGTGCTTAGGGCACCACAAAGAGTTTACCTGTAATGTCTGCGTAGGGGCAGAAACTCTTACCTAGGGTCTCACTGCGGTCCAGGCGTTCAGGGATCCCCCTCGGCTGAAGTCTAATAGGGGTTGGTCCTTGGATCACTGCTCCCATTGGGCGGGGAACAGGTGGCAGAGGTGGCAGAGGCCCCCAGCGGCCACCAAAAGAGGGGCCCCCAATGATAAAGGGTCTGTGCCCTCGGTGCCAAACGACCCCTCAATGGATGAGCGAAGGACGGAGATGATCAACTTCGCCGATAATCAGAGAGCAAGACAAATTCATCATCGTCAGCAACTACAACGGACGACGACGACGACAACGTCTTCAATTCAGCTCAAGTCGATCGCTAACCAGACTGTCGAATCAATTGCTGTAATCAATTGATCTCTGTGGAAAGAGCGCACTCTTTTATTACCACCACCGAAAACGCACCACTCAGCCTGCGGCTGATAACCATATTGTCACCCATCCGACGTGTACATCTGTTTCGTTATCAAACAACTCAAAGCGCACCGAACCTACCGAGCAGAAATGCGTTGACTATCACCTCCGAATTCCTTCCTTTAGTCATGGCGAAGACCGAGTCCATTGAGGCTCTCTTGGCCCCGTCGCTGAGAGTATCCAGACCCGTTGCTGCATGCGCACGATGTCGCTCTGCGAAAATCAAATGCGATGGCAAATTACCCGCTTGTTCTGCTTGTGAAAGATCCGGCAAAGCAACCAGTTGCACGAGTGCGAATGATGAATTTGCGCGAGGCAAGGAAAGAAGCTACGTTGCGGCCCTGGAAGCTGCTGCTCAACGGTTACAAAAAAAGATTGATGCTGCTCGAGCAGAGGCGGCCAGTCATCGAGCGCTGTCCGGCACGCAGTCGACGACAGGGCGGCCGACCCAGCGACGAAAGATAAGCGGAGCCCGCCGGAAGGAAGCCTCCGACGTCGACGAGTTGGTCAGTGACTTTGGTTTTCTCACCGTCAACGCGACATCGCGCGATTTCCATGGATTTACCTCGACCATGTCATTTGCAAAGCTTCTCCTTTCAGCGGCGGCAAGAGAGGAGCTACCCCCTCTTGAATCGCGAGGGCTACCCCCACGATATGCCATCACGCCCATGATCAATCAATATCTTGAAAATGTCTACGTCCTGTTCCCCTTCTTCTCCGAGACGGATCTGATGTCAAGCTTGTCTCGCATCTACCATGAGTCTTCCGCAATCTCGTCAACTGTTACACCACTGGACGTGTGGTATGTGCGACTGATTCTGGCCATTGCATATGCCTCGAGCTCGCAACGGAAGGGAGACGAGAATGACAAGACGGCGTTACAACACATGTCGGCGGCCAGAGGACTAGCCGGCTACGTATTACATCCTGGATCAATTGCCGGAGTACAAGCTCTACTCCTGCTGGTTCAGTATTCATTGGTAGACCCGGCACACTATGATCCCTGGTACCTCGTGGGCATGGCGGCCCGCCTCATGGTAGATCTTGGGCTGCACTGCGAGCCATCCCCAGAGACCAAGATCAGCAAGAGTGCATTGGACCTGCGGCGGAGAATATTCCACTGTGTGTACGCTCTGGACCGTCTCGTCAGCATGTCCCTTGACCGGGCGTTCTCATTTACCGACGATTCCGCGTCCGAGGTGCCTTTACCCGAGTCAGCGACAGACCCATCTTCATCTCAAGTTTTTCAGCATTCAATTAAACCATGCCTGTATTTGTTCGACATCCGCCGCGTTCAGTCAGCATTCTATCAGAGCACGAGGTGGTCTTCCCGGTCTCAATGGCCTCTAGCCACAGCGGCTACCTATGCCAGTTCCGTATCGAACGATATTCATGCTTGGTATTCCACCATCCCCTCGACACTATCACAGCGTCATCTGATGCTATTCAACCTTGAAAGGCTGTATTGCCAAATCCTGGTGGTCTCACCTAACCAGCGCGTCCCTGCAAGCAGCATGACGGATCTCAACAAAGAACTTGTGTTCGAATACTCGGCGCAATATGCCGATCTTCTGCAGCCGATCACGCAGGACGTTGGCTGGCATGCATACCTGACATTTGCCGATATCAGTAGAGCAAAATACGTGGGACAGAAATTTGTGGAAGTGATGTGGTCGGATTTTGATCGACTCATCAAGACCACGCATGCTATCCGTGAAGGCTCGCCTCTTGCCAACAATGCACCTCTAGACAATGGTCAACGGGCAGCCATCTGTCTCCGGAAGATCATTGAGATTCTTGACTTTGCACGGCATCGCTGGTCAATGCCGGAGATGCGGGAAAAGTTCGAGCAAGAATCGGCCGTCCTCTTCTCACGACTGAAAACCAGGCAGATGGAATTGGAGACTGCACAGTACCCCAGCACGATCGGTGTCAATGCCCCAGCGGCCACCAGTGTCGGATATGGCAGCATGCCGAGCAACATTTATCCAGATTCAAATGCCTTTCCATATCAGGGATCAACCATGACTCAACTCCCGAGCCCTCCAATCAATCATGATCCCGTCCAACCTGATGTGCAACAACAAGCGATGCTAACGCCACCTGAAGACTATCACATGCCTACCATGTACCCCATGCCACAAGGGTCGTTGCCTCGGCGGAGCTATGAATTCTATGGTGGACGCAGTTGAAGGCAGCACTGGTCTCAACGCATGAGAAATTACATCAGGCCCAACTTACCCAGGAATAGTGCGGGATGAATCCAGTCGCGTGCCTCAAGCTGCAGTCGGTCAGAGGTAACCCAAGACATGGAAGCCATTTCGGGACGGTCTTTATTCAAACCACACACGGTCTCCCCTATTAGAATCCAGGGCCAGGACTTACGAAACCTAGATCAGCTGGAGCGCGACCAAGGAGGGTGTCAGCTCCCGTAAAGGATGGCAGGCGCCCAAGTCATCTGAGAACACAACGAAGCCCACGTGTATTGCACGGTCCTGCTAATTGGCCTTGGGGCAGCTTCACCGCACAGTCAGAGTTTTGGGGGTCGCAGAAGAACAGTGCCATCTTGACCTCCAGGGAGGGGGCCAGCTGCAAGACCAAGCGAAGGTTGTCACGAATTCAGAGCAGATGCGCGGTCCCAAGATCCCGCCATCGATATTTATATGCCTGGCAAGACCTCGCAAGACTCGGTTGTTCACGCTGCTATTTTTCCAGCGGTTGCCGGCCCAGCTCGTGCGCTGAAGCAGGCCGTACTAAGCCATCCGCACACGCCACGTCGCCCAGCGTCCGGTGATTTGCTTCCAGAAATCTCTCACCCGTGCCTGGCCATCGCGCGCATCGCGGGGGCATCGAGGGGCTTGTTAGGCCGTTGCAGGGGGCGGTTGGTCCAATTAGGCTTGCCCAGGGCCCTCGCCTCTTTCCGCCGGTGCCTTGAAATCCGGCCAGTTGAAGCGAGCCCTCATTCGCCGGATGACGTGGGTTTCCCTTGGGCCCTGAACCCATTTTTCGAGGACCTTCGCCCGCGCATGCACCTCTGCCATCAACTGCAAGGGATTTCTTTTCACTCCCAAGATATATCCGTCCAGATTCACCAGCTTCTCGCTCTGTCACTCTCTAATGAAGGTTGTCTGCTCGATCACCTCTAGTCCATGTGACGTCCGCTAGCATTTCCGCCATGGTCCGCCTTGCCAGCTACCTGCTGCTGTTCGCAGCTCTCGGGGCGGCAGCGCCTCCAAACATTCCTTGGAAAGAGGATGGCTCACAGCAAGTGATCGGCGAGCCGTCGACGTCGAGATCGCAGCCTGCACCTAGAAAGCTCCGGGGTAAATTCCTGCACATCACAGGTACCGTAACTGCGGCTCCCGAACTGCCGTGGTGACGCTGACCTTTGCTCCAGACATCCACCCCGACCCTTTCTACAAGCCTAACTCCGATCCTGACGAACAATGCCATTCGGGCCATGGCAACGCCGCATACTTTGGAGCAGAAGTGACCGACTGCGATACGCCTCTGAGCCTGGTGAATGCCACCTTCCGATGGATTGAGGCCAACCTCAAAGACCAGGTCGATTTTGTCGTCTGGACCGGCGACTCCGCCCGCCATGACAACGACGAACGCCTTCCCCGATCAGACAAGCAGGTGCTCAAGCTCAACCGATTTATTGTAGACAAGTTTGTCGAGGCTTTTGGCAAACCGGACAACATAGACGACCCGGACCCAACCAATGATTTCGTCGTCCCCATCGTTCCCACCTTTGGGAACAACGATATCCTCCCTCACAACATCTTCACCCCCGGGCCGAACAAGTGGACGCGAACCTACCTGGACGTCTGGGACCGCTTCATACCACAGGCACAACGTCATTCATTTGCAAGAGGTGGCTGGTTCTTCACAGAAGTTATACCCAACAAACTAGCGGTCTTTAGCCTCAACACTCTGTACTTTTTCGATTCGAACTCAGCAGTAGACGGCTGCGACTTAAAATCCGAGCCAGGCTACGAGCACATGGAGTGGCTCCGGATCCAACTACAATTCCTCCGCGATCGAGGCATGAAGGCCATCCTTATAGGCCATGTGCCACCGGCCAGGACCGAAAGCAAACAGAATTGGGACGAAAGCTGTTATCAGAAATTCACCTTGTGGATGAGACAGTATCGAGATGTGATTGTCACCTCGATCTTTGGGCATATGAACATCGATCATTTTATGTTCCAGGATGTCAAGGAACTGCATTACAAGTTCAAGATCAAGGGTATCGATGACGGACCTGGCAAGATCAAGCGCCTCAAATCACAACCAAATGACACCTTTTCCATTGCCGCCAAGGCACAATACTTGAATGAATTGAGGTCAGGCTGGTCAGAACTACCCAGCCCGCCAGCCGGACATTCATATATGTCTCTGGATAGGGTAGAGATTCCAGATGATATTATCGATGCTCGAAAGAAGGACGAAGGGAAAGAGCTCGCAAAGTTTCTGGAAGCCATCGGCGGACCGTGGGCTGAGAGATTCAGCATGTCTCTGGTGTCTCCGAGCGTTGTGCCCAACTTCTTTCCCACTCTTCGAGTTATAGAGTACAACATCACAGGGATGGAAAATGACCACCCAGCCGAGGGAGCGATTGGAGAACCTGCACTTGAAACCCATCTCGATGACCAGACGAGTGAAGAAGTGATCTCCGAAGATGAGTCTGACGAAGACAACGGCCCAGAAGACGATATCCACGACCTGAAGAAAAAGAAGAAAGGCAAAAAGGGGAAGAAGAAGCCGAAGAAACCCAAGTTCCCAGTGCCGAAACCACCATCCAAAACGTCTCCTCCTGGTCCGGCTTATTCTCCTCAATCGTTGTCTCTACTGTCGTTCACGCAATATTACGCCAATCTGACCGAAATCCACGAGCAGATGCACGCGGACAAGTCCTCGAAAAAGGATCGCTACAAATACTTCCAATACGTACCGGAGTATACTACGAACAATGACAGCGCATATCAGATGAAAGACTTGACCGTGCGGTCGATGCTGGATCTGGCCGAGAAAATGGGACGGGACAGCCTGAGGTCGATCGTTACAGACACCGAGCATGGGGGGAGCGATGCTGATTCCTCCACGAAAAGGGGTGACAAGAACAAAACCAAGCGTCGCAAGAATCACCTATGGAAGGTGTTTATCAAGCGCGCTTACGTGCATACCAAACCTGACGATGAGATCGATCAGCAGTTTTGATGAATGTCTTCTTCAGGAGAACAGCCAGGCAGTGCCAGTGCTGCTTCCGCTGTGCTCCATCTCTTTATGCTTCTATGTACGATCAATCGGATTATGAGCCAACGACTCGACTGTTTTCAAAGCGGACTTGGGTATGGGAAGGATCTATGGCACTCGGGCGGGCTAGAGACTTGATGAGTTACGACATTACAGAGTGGTTGAATGTGCGGTTGAAGTCGCGCGTATACATGTACTAGATACTCGATCTTCGTGTTAATAAAACCCTTGATGGTTGCAACAGCGACATTCAAGCTGCGGGGTATTCACTGGACGTGACAAGATGTGCCCCGACCATGACCCCATGCGATTTCATACATGGACCGAGTATGCGGTATATATGCTCCTAACCTCGTCTTTCTCTTTCTGCCCTATTCTGAGCCACTTTGTCGTCGTCCATCAAGTCAGGCCGACGCTGTAGGCTTGCTTGAGCTCTCTCTCAATCTCTTTGTTCCAAAATGTGAGGAGACTGAAGGGATGTTCGACCTCTAGAGGCAGTTCCCATCTGACAGGTAACGACCCTCTTCCCAGCGACCCTTCCCTTACCTCGCCCACGTCGATCTCTTGTAAGCAGCACTGCAGGACGACGACGGCAACAACAACAACAACAACAACAAAGGGCGTACTCGAATGTTCTACCGTCGACCTCTCCCACTCCAGCCCGAGTTTGACATCTAGCACATTACACCCATGGCCACCACTGCGTCTTCGACACGCCCCTCAACCCAGGCCGACTACCCAACCCTCCAGCCGGCCTTCCACCTCACTGTCGACATCGGCCCTGCGCAGCCCATCGGCTCGCTCTCGCGCGGCAACCCGCTGACGGTCGTCCCGCTCGTTGCCGCCACTCTGGTGAGCGAGCCGGGCTTCCCTGTGAGCGTGGATGCGAGCATGCGCGGCCAGGGCGTGGATTACGTGCACAATGACCCGGACGGAGGCCGGATGCGGTTGAGGAGCGATTTGATTGTTAGGTGAGTGGTCCTGATCTACGGAGCTGGTATGAACGAGCAGGGTCGGCGCTTGCTTTTATTCGCAAGCAGAGCTATCAGCATGAAGGGGACAAGGGCTGATTGGTGTCTTTGGAGAGGAATGGTAGAGATATGAATGGAGAGGTCAGTTTTGTCCCAAGTGATCCATTCCCCATTTTCCTCCGCTTCACTGGTTTTTTTCTCTCTTCGATTTCACGCCGAGGAGCACTGTCGGGAGCCCCTAGTTGACCACCAGGCGTCTCTTCTTCGGCTCTTGCAGATGATACACATCCACTACACCGGCATCGTGGACATCACGAACGAGATGCGCCGGATCCTCGGCCGCAGCGCCAACGCCAAATCCACAGAGTTTGGCCACTCCTGTACGTCCGTCCCAAACCATCCCTAGGCCCGCTTCTTCCTTTGGCCTACTTGAGATACTCTCTCCCTATCAAGATCATTTGTGATGTTGCGGGGTTACGGTGTGGTTGGTGCTGACTTCGGCACCCTCTGGGGTCGCTCCGGGTTGGAAGTCATACAGGTATCGTTTGAGACGGGATCGATGCGGTACAAAGCTCTGGAACAGGCCCTCTTTGTCGGATCGGGGAGGTTTATCGTTGGAGTAGGCAAGCTCACCGTTGAGTACCGGATCAGCAAGGTATGTAAAGGTCCAGGGGCTGCCGGGGAAGTCGGCGGCGGCGGCGGCGATGAGGCCGGAGGAGAGGGAGCAAGTCAAGAGGCCTAGAACCATTCCGCCCGGTCATATTCCATCCCCTACGTATCGATGTAGAAAGACGCGCCTTTGCTAGTCCGGGTGAATCACGCGAGTAATGGTGTGGTTTCGTCTGTTGCTGCTGCTCCTCCTCCACCGGTATCCATCCCTCCTCGAGCCCCCGTCGCTGTAGAAGCATCCTTGCGCGGTCCCCTCCTCCACGCAACCATCCAGGCCGGCACCCAACGGCTCACCCTCCACCAGCCCTGCTTTCTCCCCCTCCACTTCCTTCCAGCCCACCTCCCGAGCCGGACCGCCGTCCAGATCAAGGACAGGCCCACCAACGTCGCGAGCACCGCGACCACCACGCTCACAAAGGTCATGCTCGAGCACCGACAGCTGAACGGCCGGGCGCGCAGCTCCCACCGCTCCCGCCACGCCAGGGGGCAGATCTCGGCGGATTGGAGCGGCGAGAGGATGCCGAACGGGTACGGGTAGATGGTGTTGGGGACGCAGGTCTGCGAGGTCGCGCACCACGAGCACGGGTACGGGTTGGACGCCGACAGGCATGCCGGGCAGTGCGGGCGGATCCAGCAGTGGAAGAAGAGGTCGAGGTCGTCGCCCGGCACCATGCTGGAGGCGTTGATGCTCTCCAGGACGGAGGCCAGGTGTGGTGGAAGACGCGAGTTGCTGTGCGCCATGCGGGCCGTTGGATTTACCCGGGCCTTTACAGGGCGAGCATGTACTTCGGTTTCCCCTTCAATAGGTGTCTTGACAAATCAGCTGGTCCGCTATCGAGGGTGAAGAGGGTTCGCCCGCGAGGCTCGTCGCTTTGGTTGCGGGCAGACTTGGGTGTGATTTAGGCAGGGTGAAAATAGATGAAATGTCAAAAAGCTTTCTTATCTGCCTCGCTGCCTAGTACAAAGCACACTATGATCTACCCCACCAAATAATTGTAATGACTGGAGAGTCCGGTGTATAGCTACCTAACAGAGCACGAGTATCACAGCCAGGCACCGCTACAGAACCTGGTCCTCCGCCCTCCGTGCTCCGAACCTCCCAGGGATCTGCACAACACCGAGGCATCGCATCATCGGTGAGTCCTAGAACTCTGTGAGACGCCAATGTGACACGCACTCCAACGCCTCACCGCGCGCCGATCAGGCTCACCCATTTTGTATCATGGCTCTTGAGCGTGGCCTTCCAATCTCACCCAGCCCGCGGTCGCGCACTGTCACTGCAGGCCACTGCCGGAGCCTCCTCGCATGAGGTGTGTTGATGGAGAATATGCTCACGAGTTGACTGAAGCAAGCCGTCCATTTCTCTGCGTCTGCATCCCTAACTCACCGCCCCCATCATGCCCCGTGAGTCCACGGACAAGTGGCTGTCGAAGTTGCGCCCGGGGAGACCCCTCCTCGAGGCATGGATCCTGTCGGCCATCATCGTCTCCATCTCCAATGCTCTGGCGCAAGTCATCGACGCGTACAAGAAAGAGGTATTGTACAAGCTTCTCTCGCTCGGTCCGATCTGCATCGAGCCAGGAAAAATAAAATTGACGAAAAGCCCCCCAGGAGGCATTTACATTCGACGTCCCCCGTCTCTTGAGATTCCTCTGCCTCGACCTCATCACCGCCCCGCTGAACTACAAGTGGCAGGAGTTGCTCGAGAGGTCGTTCCCCCGGCACGAACGTCCCCCGTCCCGCAAAGACTACCACTCCATCCCGCTTGAAGACCGTGACGTGGAAAAGGACTCCAACGCCGACGAGGTGGAAGATGATGATGATGACCACCGTGAGCCCGCCGTCGCCGGAGGGTCAAGTAGTCCGCGGCGGCAGCAGCAACAATCGCGGCCGCCCAAGCGGACGAAGAAGAAAAGGAAGAAGACGGTGTCAAAGAAGAATTGGAGGAACATCTGGACCAAGTGGTTCATCGACTGCGTCACGCTTGGCGCCATCTTCAACACGGTCGCTTTCCTGGTCATCATGGGCTTTCTGAACGGCCAGCCCGCCAGGATCCCGCACAACCTGCGCACTCAGACCGTCACCATTATCGTGAACGGGTACAAGATATGGCCCTTTGCCAACATCATCGCGCATAGTGTGATTTCCTTTGAGCGCCGGATCCCGTTCTTCGCGACGGTGGCGCTGTGCTGGAACGTGTACTTGAGTTTGGTGGCGGAGAGACTCTAGAGGAATCAGCTTTGCCAGGCTAGATGGGTTGCCCCGTTTCCAAGCTGTCGGAGGCTACAGCATTTCCCTGGCCTCCTTCTCCTTTCTCCTTCCTCCTTCCTCCTGTCGTAGGTCGCCTGCGAGTCTGGTTGTAACAATGGTGCTATGATTTAAGTCCGAGAGTTGCTCTCTCACACCATCTCCGAATCTCTCCAATCCTTGCGATTGAGAATCCTTGCAACTTCTCCATTCATAACGCCTCGCATATAAGCTTGGCCTAGGTTTCGATTCTGGTTGAGGCATGGTCCTGAACTAGCTGCTCAGTGGGAGAGATCCTCAGAACTTGGTTCTTGAACTTCTCTCACGCATCGTCCTTTCTGCTAAAGACTTTGAAAGCCATTTCAGTCAGGTTTTCGTAGTGTGGCACTTGTGAAGGTCGATATCACAAGATGTGACTAGCCCTATAGTCCAAGATTGCGTCCAAAGTAGCCCGTGTCCTGTGCAGGAAGATCCCACTCCATATTACTGTAGTTCGCCCCGCCGCCAAACATGAATTCATCAAGCATAAAGCCTTGCCCAGAAGAGCCTTGTGCATTGAGACCGAAAGTATTCGGATCACTCCCAACGACAAACAACGGAGCTGGAGCAGAATGACTCGGTGTTGCTCCGAATTTGGGGCTGGTAGGGTGATTGCTTTGCGGACCTCCACTTTGCTTCATAAGCTTGGTCACAAGGGTCTGCAAAGTCTGCATTTCTGAAGGGGATATGCCGATCTTGGACGACTGGTTTCTGACGACGGCGGGTGAAGATTGTGCTCGTGGTTTCGTTGTCGAAGGTTGTTTGGTCGCTCTTGGGGGCAACAACGCCAACTGTACTCTTCGGTTGCGCTCAAGCATAGCTCTCCATTTCTTCACTGATTGATTTTTGGGGTTCAGCGGACTCCCATTTTCAATCAAGAAATTCGCAATCTCCTTGTTGCCCTTAGAGATGGCCACGTTGAGCGCAGTGTCTGCCTCTACGTCGGCAGCTTCCACGTCTGCACCATGGCTGACAAGCATGCGCACGGTATCGAAGCAGTTGTGGTAGGCCGCCCCTCCGAGGGGGGTGGTCCCAGAACGCGATTTGGCGTTGATGTCCACCCCTGGCTTTTTGACGACGGCCTCTGCAACCTCACAAAGATCCGGTCGCTGACACAGGATGTGCAGGACGGTCTCATCATCGTTGCCTTTCAGCGTGAGATCAGAGTTACTATCGACCATCCGCAATAGCATTTCGGGTGAGCCGTCAAAAGCCGCCTGATGCACAGGAGTTCTCCCATCCCTATCCTGTATGTCCAGACTTGCACCAGCTTCCATGAGCGTGATGACGTAGTCTTCTTTGTTTTCGGCGACCGCAATGTGGAGAGCAGTAGCGCCATTGTGGTCTTGACGGTCAATTTGGCTGGTCTTTCCAGCTATCGCCTTGACAAGCTCATCCATACCACTCCGGAGACAAGCATAATGTAGAACGCTTTTGCCGCGAAAGCTGCCAACATCTGGATTTGCTCCTTTTTGAAGCAACAAGACAGCGCACTCAAGTGAAGGCTCGACGACCGCACGTATCAATGCAGTTGCCCCGCGGTTGTCCACAGCATCTATGTCTATATTGCCCTGGAACAGAAGTAAGCGTAGAACTTCCAGACTTTTGAATGCAGCGATATGAAGTGCCGTCCAGCCTATGCCACCTCGGGCATTTATGTCAGCGCCCTTATCAATAAGAGCTTTTGCTGTTGTTTCATCATCTGAGAGAGCAGCCCAATGAAGGGGGCCGAGATCCGTTTCTTCTTGCTCCGGCTGCTCTTCCTCCATAGCTTTCTTAAGAAGCTGCTCGACCTGTGTCACTGCGTCCGCATATTTCTTGTCTCCGGAGGGCAGTCCTTGGGAAACGGCTCGGAGAGTGGCGAACGCCTTTTCCATTTCCTTTTTCTTGTCGCCTGCGGATTTGTCGCCATCGTCTTGGTCATCTGTGACCTCTGCTTCGGCTGCATGATCGTTTCTCTCACTCTGGCGGGGCTGCCTGGAACTACTGGCGTCTCTGTGTGGCAGTGACGACCATGAAACAGCTTTTCGTTTCTTCGTCGGCCTTTCTTCTGCTGGAATATTCCTGGAAGATGCGCTGGTGCTGACCTGAGAGCTCGCTGCCAAGGTCAACTGGTCTGGGCCAAGGTCATCCGACTCCAGTTGTTGTTCCTCGGCCGCAGTAGTTGGTACGGCTTCGAGGTGACCGGGCAACTCTTCATCACTCCCGTCAACCAAAGGATTTTGCTTGAGATAGCTCTCAATCTCAGCGGTAGAATATGCTTCTCCAAATCGCTTGAAGGTTACGCAGTGCCCTTGTGCCTGATGATGAAGGAAACAGCGTGCCATGATACGAAGCTCCTCTTGAGGCCAGCATCTCCTAATTTTCCATTCTTGAAGTTTTGCCTTGACCGAGGATCCGCTCGAAAATTGTTAGTCCCTGACGTGACACTTGAGCGGTACAACGTACGATGTTATGAAGCCGACATTGCATAGGCGATGCGCGATTTCGTCATACAACAAGCCATCGGCCACGTATAGCTTTGCCATCAAGTCGCGTTGTTGTGCCCATTCGGCTGGAGAGTGCCCAGGGGCCATTTTCTAGCTTCGAGGCGATAGGGGACGATATCCTATCAACGCAGACAAATTCGATCTAGGGTATGAGGGCGCCCTTTGAAGCCTGCGAAGATAATAGAAGAGAGAATCTCTCGACTTGGGGGGAGGGGGGTGTAGCATCAACATATATGTGGCAGCCATGTGGCAGCGTCAAACATGGGTATTTGCAACAAGATGCGAGGCGACGACTGTGGTCCGCAGATGGATTGGCCGTGTTAGGCCCCGGGGCTGAAAGGTCGACCGTCTCCTGCAAGCCAAGCGAGGCAATGGAATCGAGGTGTTGGCCGTGGGAGGTAGTTCGAGGGCGGTGGCGCAGGCAGATGACCACCTCGACGCCCTGCTTTGCGTGCAAAGCTGGAATAGTGGCAGGTTTCGCTCGCCCGGACAAGCCAACTTCCAAGGTTCCCTTTCATCGTCGGACGCCGACCTGGGCAAGAATTAACGGGGAGCTGGTGTTTGTCTTCTCTGACTGTGGAAGGTAGTTGTCTTCCCCGGCTAGGACAAAGTCTTAACCCGACGTCATTTTTGGTCACTCACCAATGGACGGGCTGAACCCCATTCTTATCCTCCTTCGCTGATACGAGAGGAGAACACAGAGAACACAGAGAACACAGAGAACATCAAAGGGAAAAGGGTGCTTGTCTGATCTAAATCCTTCGCCAGATCGATTGTTCTGTCCAAGGGCGCCAGGATCTCAGTTTGGACGCAACTTGGAAGCCGGTGCGATCCAATATTGACTCTCAAGGAGAAGACTGTTGGCCCCGTCGGTTATCTTCATCGTCACGGACATCGACTGCCCAAGACGAGGTCTTCTCCTCTCTGCCTGCACGACTACACCTCACCTCCCTCTCCCTCTCCCTCTCGGACACAACTTCAGCCTTCTGCGTCGGCTGGCCTGCTCAAGAGCATGTTCACGAAGGCCGTCGTGTCACATAAGCCAAACACGATGGGATTGTCTATATCTTCTTCTGAGCCTCCTCCTGAGCACTGCTCATTTTTGCCAAACATTCGGTACCAGCAAGCCTCCCATACTCGCCGGACCTTAGAACGCCAAAACTGTCGCCAATGCCTCTGCGCGAGATACTCGATTTTGTGAAGTTCATTCCGTTTCTCCTACCAACACTCAATCTGGGACTGGTCCTCCTGCAGCAGAGCACGTCTGGTCTGCTGTTGGCTCTGGTTTCGGCGCTTCATGTCTTCAGCAACCCTATTGACGCCATATGGAGCATTCTATTCCGACAAGAGGTGCTCTATCGATGTCTTGTCCTTTCGACAAGTCATCTTCCGGATGTAAGCCGTGAATTTGCGGCGGTCTTGTTCACCTACGACCAGTGGCTTCAAGATGCCCGATCCCACGTTTCACGAGTGCTGGCAGCTCGACGGCGTTTCTTGGAGCACCGCAATATCGACTGCGCCGTCCTCATCACCGACGAAGAAAAGTACCTTATCCGGCACGCAGCGCTGAGATTACGAAGCTGCCGTCCCGATGGAGTCTTTCACACACGGCTCTCCATCATTTCATTCCTGGCCTCGCTCGCCATTGTGGCTTACAGAGTGCTGAGTTCAAGCGACGGATATATTCAACGAGAGGCCGGACACATTCTATCGCTGATTGCCATCTTCAGCCACCTTGTTTTCGCCATCTGCATCAACGGATACGTTGGGGCTTTCCTGTATCAAGAAGAGGCTACAAGAGTCATCTTTGACCTCTGCACATCTCTGACTGCCCTCCACAACAATCCCTTGAATGCCTTTACCCTGCTGCCTCTACCGCTCTTGGTTATCCCTCGCCGCCAGTCTTCCGTTACCGCCAGAACTCCTGCAGAATTTTTCCGAAGCTTTGCGGCGCGTGGCAGCACGGCCGGGACGCTGAACACTTTACGCGCACGAAACACGGAGAAGATTGTCGACGGAGAAGGCCGGGATACCTCAACTCTCTTCATGATGTCGCTATGCGCGGTACTCATCTCCTGTCTGGGTGTCTTCGCGGTCCTTTTGTTGACTTCGATCAACCCAAGCATACCGGTATTCCTCGCCTTTGGAATTTGCTTCCTGCTTTGGATTACCAACTGGATCTTATCCGCCGTCGTCTCATGTTTCGATCGCAGGAAATCCGTCGAGAACAACGCATACTCTTACCTCCTCACCGGGAGCGATGCTGTTTTTGCAGTCCTCATTCTGTGCTCCTTAGGATGGTCTTTGACTACTTGGCCTGGCACTACCGCGATTGACCCAACAGTGCCCACGTTGACGACCGTCGCATTGCTCGTCGTTATCTTCCTTCTCCCGACAAGCATGCTTCTTTTGGTGTTTTGCGCCACTTTTGGCCGCCGGAATGTGGGACTTGTGTATCTACGCTCGCAAGAGGAAGCCCTGGCAGATATGGACGCGATCTCGATGCTTCCGACAAGACACCTTACCGTCTAGGAGCTTTGGTGGATAATTCTATCTAGACATCTTAACGTTTCATACCTGGGGAAGTTGGTAGAGATGTGGGGTCGTGTATTTTCAGGAATTGCACCATCTGGTTATGTTGTACCATATGCCATAGCACCATTGTATTCTAAATGCATTTTCGAAGCTGCCACGTGTGCTGATACCTAAGATAGAGGTAGATCTGCTCAGGCTTAAGAGTCTGTTTAGCTAGCAAGTGGTGGGCGGGACGGAGAAAGTTATGGTATCGAGACTGACACTGGCGGAACGAACCCTCGCGATGGAGAATCTGCTGTTGGAGAAGCGTCCCAAGTGTTTGTTTGGAGCACCCACCTCATAATTTTGCGGCCGGGCATTTCTACCATTCAACCGAAGATAGGCGACAAGCAGTCGACCTCGACCAACCAATACAGACAAACCCTCATGGTAGAACCCGTCATGGCGTCTTCCACTCCGGCGATCACCTCGGGCTATCGAATAGACCTCACCGCCGGCAGCTTCGATGGCCTCCGACTGGACACTTCCCTGCCCGTGGCGTCCCTCAGTCCACATGACTGCCTCGTGGCCATCCACGCGGTCTCGCTGAACTATCGCGACATTGCAATGCCGCTCAGGTTATACCCTGCATATACCAAAGAAGACGTCGTGCCCTGCTCGGACGGGGCTGGCGTGGTGGTTGCGGTCGGCAGTCAAGTCGAGTCCCTCAAGGTCGGCGACAAAGTATGTCCCACGTTCTTCCAGGACTTTGAAGACGGGTATCCCACTAAGGAAAGTCGCGCAACCAGTCTGGGAGGGTTGAATGACGGAGTACTCAGGAAACACGCCGTCTTCGGCGAGAGGGGGTTGATCAAGTTGCCCGCATTCCTGAGTGCAAGGGAAGCAAGCACCTTACCATGCGCGGCGTTGACGGCGTGGAATGCTTTATTTGGTGTCGAGGGACGCGCGTTAAAGCGCGGAGACTGGGTATTGACGCAGGGGTCTGGCGGAGTCAGTATCTTCGCCTTACTGTTCGCGAAAGCCCTTGGTGCGCATGTTGTCGCCACGACGGGGGACAAAGGGAAGGAGAAGAGACTCCATGATCTCGGGGCAGACCTTGTGCTCAACTACCGCGAGGATCCGAAATGGGGCATCGCGGCCAGAGACCATATCGAGAAACAAGGCGGCACGGGAGCTCAACACATCATTGAGGTTGCCGGTGAAACTTCGATGGAGCAGAGCCTAAAAGCCGTGGCGCCGGAAGGAATCATCTCGATCATCGGGTTCCTCGGCGGCGCAGGGACTGGAGAGAAGAAGACTGGGTTCTGGGACTGTTTCACGAGCGCTTGTCTTGTGCGAGGTGTGCTCGTGGGCAGCAAAAGGCAGTTTCGAGACATGCTCGCTTTCATGGAGGAGAAAGCTGTGAGACCAGTGATAGATGAGAAGGTCTGGAGGTTTGAGCAGGCCAGAGAAGCGTACGAGTATTTCAGAGCGCAGAAATTCTTTGGCAAGGTGGTCATTGACGTTGAAGGAGTGGCAAAGTAAAAAGAGGCTTCACAAGGAGGAGCGCCTCGCGAGGCTGCACTATACGTGATAAGGCTGATGTGTTCCGATCACGTGTTGGACCAAGCCATTTCTCTCTATCCAACAACTACTCCCTGCTCCCTCTCACCCCCTCCCAGCCCAGATGTAGCGCCCACTTCTTCCTCGACAGAGAGCGATGCATCTGTCTTCATCTTCTGTTGCTGTCTGTCTTTGCTCTCAGCAATGACGACATCATGTTCTGGTAGGTTTTCCGGACGAGCGGTCCCAGCAGGCTTCACTCTCGAGCAACATGTGTCACTGCACTGCAGCCTCTGTGACTCCTTCTACCATTCATAGGGATAGATTGGACGAGCCAAAGATGCTGGCCCCTTGAAGAGTATCAAGATTTCTGACGGAGATTATGTGGGTTCATTTCTCATGTGAAGTCGTTGACCTGTCCACGCTGCCGCAAGCGGACCTTGTTGGCGAAAGGAATAACCATGTCAACTATAGCATCTTTAAGAAGCCGAAAATTTGCCGTCAGTGATGTCAACTGATCATGGCGGCGGTCTTTTGGATGCCTCACCTCGGCGGGCTCTTTTAGATATACCCACTGTTTGTCAAACACCAAACGCGTTCCTGGACCAAATGTCCTTTAGAGAGCCTGACCTGGATTGCGTTGCCTTGCTGGAAGTTTCATTTTATTCAGAAGCAAGCACAATATTGAGAGCAAAAGCTCCGCTAGCCGACCGGCGACTCTATCTGCCCCCTGTGGTTTCTTGGGCTGGCATCAGCCAGGCATTGGAGGCGGAATGGGCTGCGGTGCAGGCGATGCTAGACAGACGAGAATCGTCTGTCTTGGTATCCATCTACACCCAGTGCCGCGCCGTCCTCACCTCAGCATGGAGGCCAATGTCTTCTGGGCGGAAGAGTTGTTCTGGGAAACAGTGGAGACCTTCTTGCCCTTCTGCCTTCTCACGTCGGTCCTCATACTTGGCTTTGTGGTGGGAGCACTGGCCATAGTTATCGGGTTAGTCGGCACTTTCAGCTGGCTAGCCTTGATGGGCACGACATTCGGCGCCTCTGTTGCAAGACCAGTGGTCGAACAAGCGAAGAGCATCCTCAGCGAACAGCTGCGCCCGCCGCCTATTTCGTCCACTGACAACGAGGGGTTGTCGAGCCAGCGAGACCCAGAGCGGGTATCTAGCTGGTGAGGAGCAGCTTGGGCTTGGGGGTTGGGGGGAGAAGGAGGTGTGTACGTACGTCAGGGCGGAGGGGTGGAGGAATCAGGGGGTTTACCATCAGTTGGCCAGAGAAATATGGCAACAGATTCGTCAGGACAGACGGGTGGAGGGCTTGGGGGGCTTATGGTCGGTGAGCCAGAGCAACATTGCAGCAGAGTCGTCAGGACGGACGGGTGGAGGATCTTGGGGCATGTTGACTAGCAAGAGGCTCACGGTAGACGACCGAATGAGAGACACTGAAACAGACTGCCGTTCCCTTAATGTTTTCCCATGACTGAACTGATGAAGTGGAAGATTGTTCTCCGTCTTCTTTGCCTGCGCTGCGTCAGTTGCGCGGGTTGGCGGCTCAACTACCAACGACGTCATTTCTTCGTCTTTTCGTCTTTTGATTTCGCTCGGAGACTCGCTCAGGTGCAGGGCGTAGCGAGCCCACAAATATTGATGCAATCCATCATCATTGCTATGCCATAGGGAGCAATGGCTCGGAGGTCGCCTCCATATCGAGCACCTTTCTGAGAAGTTTTTCCACGGAGTTCGCACCACAACTGAAAACAGGGAAACTCCTTGCCCTTCCGAGTACAAGTCCCTCCACCATCTCGCCCATTTTGCCTGACGCGGAAAGACCCAGCGAGCACCGGCTTCGAGAGGCTTCGTCGGTCTTTGCCAGCGCCCGATGATATAAGCGAGAACAGGCGAAGCGAGGCCGAGCAGAACCGCCAGGACATATGGGCCCTTCCTACACGGCTACAAATACAAGAACACGCGCAAGCACAAGGACGGGCACCTCAGCTTGTTTGTTTGAACCTCATCCTCTCTCCATTTCCTCCTCCTCTTTCATTCAGACATTGAGTAAACCATCACTAGTTTATTGACACACGGAGGAGCTCCAGAACCATGGCAGACACTCAGGAAGAGGAAGAACGTTACCTAGAATCACATCAGGGCACATCCTCCAAGCTCCTACGCCCAGTCAATGCCTTTCTCAAAGAATTGGGCCTCGTGACCCTCTACCACTCTCCGTTCGACACAAAAATCCTCATTTTCCAGCGCTTCGTCCGCCTCTTCGCCTACGGCGGCTCAACCTTGATCCTTGCCTCCTACCTCTCCGACCTAGGCAACCAAGATGCCCGGATCGGCTTGTTCATGACCCTGACCCTAGTCGGCGATGTGTTTATTAGTTTCCTACTGACCCTGATCGCCGACCAATTGGGGCGGAGGTGGATTCTGGTCCTGGGAGCCGCATTGATGTCGGCAAGCGGCGTGGTGTTTGCCCTGAGTGGGAACTATTGGATATTGCTGGCCGGAGCCATTCTGGGTGTAATAAGTCCTGCGTATGTCCCTCCAGGTTGTCCTGTTACTCCCGACCTAGGGTATGAGTTACTGATACTTGGCGTTCCAGAGGTAATGAAATCGGGCCCTTCCGCGCCATCGAGGAGTCCACCATCGCCCATCTGACCGCCAGTGTCGATCGCAGCGACATTTACGCCTGGTACTCTCTCATCGGAACCGCGGGGACAGCGTTGGGATTCGTTGGATGCGGCTGGATCATCACGCTGCTGCAACAGAAAAAGCACTACGACTCTATCCAGGCGTACCGCATCATTTTCTTCATCTACGCCGTCGTCGGGGTGGTCAAGTTGTGCCTGGCCCTTATGCTGAGTAAGGATTGCGAGGTTGATGCTCAGCCAAAGTCCGCCAACGCAACCGAGACGGCGCCCTTGCTGGGCAATGACCGAGGAGCGCATAACAAGGACGACGACCTTCAGAAGAAGCGACGATGGAGGCTCCTCCCTGATATCAGCAAAGAGAGCAAAGTTGTCTTGGTGCAGTTGTGTGTTTTGTTCGCCTTTGACAACTTCGCTTCCGGATTGGCGCCATTGTAAGCACTTTTCGGAAAATGAGGGTTCTTATGGGCATTGGCTAACAATTCCATTTACAGATCATGGGTGACCTACTTTTTCAAGCGCAAGTTCGACCTGCCCGAGGGCAAGCTTGGGTCGATCTTCTCCATCACAGGCATCATCTCTGCGCTGTCCATGCTCATGGCGTCCTCCATTTCCAAGAGGATAGGGAACGTCAAGGTAAGAAGAAGCCCTCCAAGTCCCGCTCCCTCAAGAAGCGACAACAGCTGACGGAACATCAGACCATGGTCTTCACCCACCTGCCCTCGGCGATCTGCCTCGCCCTGATTCCCATCCCATCCACGCTCCAGGGAGCCCTCGTTTTCCTCATCGGCCGTGCATGCACACAAGTCATGGACGTGGCCCCACGCTCTGCGTTCCTCGCGGCCATTGTTCTCCCCCACGAACGCACCGCCGTCATGGGAACCATCAACGTCGTCAAGACGTGTGCGCAGAGCATGGGCCCCGTCATCACCGGCGTCCTCGGGACCAAGAACCACTTCTGGGTAGCCTTCGTCGCGGCGGGGTCCTTGAAGGCGACGTATGATTTGGGACTGCTGGCCGTGTTTGCAGAGCGGAAGAGCCGCGAAGAGAGAATATCGGAACGCGGGGATGAGGAGCGGCACGGGGCGACGTCGAGCGCCCGATGAAGAAAATGTAATACAGCATGGCCATCGTTGCTTTGGGCAATTGGCTGCTCGGAAAAGTCAAGTATCTCGTTAGACCAATGTACACCACAAAATAGAGCCAGGGACGACGTTTAGGATTAAGAGGCCGGAAGAAATTATGTTGGTCAACTCCGCTAGCGAGAGTTCCAGCCGTCGGAGTAGTGCTCCTGGAGCAGCCGATGTTCCCTCGCGTTATGTAAATGGTATGTAGTTATAGAGCAAGGATATAAGAAAAGGACGGAGGCAATGGCATTTGGGTATCGTAGTTTCATGATTCTCAATCTTGGGCTTGGGATCTCCAAGAAACCAAGATGCTTTGTTCTATATCATCAGCGACTGCAAATTCTTTTGTCTTTTGGGGCGCAAGGAAACGAGGTCGTGTGCTGCGTGCTGCGTGCTGCTGCTGCTGCTGCTATGTGCAACAACAATAGCTGCCTGCACGGCATGACCAACGCCGCCATGCCACCCAGCCAGCCGGCCGGCCAGCCAAAAAAGGAGGATACAAGATACCCCGCAATCCACGCCGACGCCATGCCAGGTTCAATACGTACAAGTCTGGGAACACGAAGGAGGATGAGGAGGAAGAGGTGGTAGTAGTGGTGGTGGTGGTGGTGGCGAAGACAAAAGGCGAGGGATGAGGAAAGGGGAGAATGGGAACGAGACACAACCTCTTCTACTCAGACACCCTTCCCGACTCACAAATCTTCAAGCACTTCCGTTCGGCTGCGTGGTCTCGGACGCCTTGATCTCGCCCCGAATGCCTCCCTTGCCACCTATTTCCCGCGCGGCGATGGAGAGAGCCAGCTCCGCGTCGACGTTGACCATGACCTCGATCTTGGATCCCTTCTTCAGGCCCCGGAAGACGAACTCGGCCAGGGCGTGTTTGGGCCGCCACACCTTGTCGCGGATTTCTTCGGGCTCGTCGTCTTCGTCGTCTTCATCGTCGTCGTCATCATCATCAGCATCCTCTCCGTCCGCGGCTTTCGTTCCGTTGGTTTCGGGTTTCGGTTGGCGCTCCGGCTGGGTGACTGTGATCTCGCGTTCGCCTTCGCTGATCCGGAAGAGCACATCGCCCTCGAGACCCTCGATGACCTTGGTTCTCCGCGCGGGCACGGCCGTGTCGGGCGGGATGATCACGTTGAGCACGTCGACGGGCTGGCCTGTCACTTGATAGCCGATCGCAGCCGACAGGTGGGGCGTGACGGTCACCATTTCGTGCGTGGATTGATCGATGTCGTCTTTCTCAAACTCCTGGATCAGGGAGGCCTGCAGAGCGGCGCCTCTCGCCGAGAGCTCCGAAGGGTTCAGTGCCGTGGCCGTTGTTGCTGGGGCGAGAACCTGCGTTGACTCCGGGAACAGGGCTTCGATGTTCTTCGCAATCTTTGGTGTGTGAGATGTGCCGCCGGACATGATGACCTCGTCGATATCCAACACATCCAGTCCGGCTTTCTTGATCACTTCCTCCACCAGTCTAGTAAACCGCCCGAAGGTCTTCAACGCCAGAATTTCATACCGAGTTCGATTGATTGTGGACCTGAAATCTACGCCGTCTGCGAGGCTTTCGACGCTGAAGGTGGCGCTGTTGCTCTGGCTAAGAGCCTTCTTGACCGCTTCAGCCTCGAGCTTCAGCTTGGCCAGGCTCCGCTCGTTCTTGCGTGGGTCAGATTTGTGCTTCTTCTCAAATTCCTTGGCAAAGTGGTCAATCAAAACCTGGTCCAACTGCGTGCCGCCCAGCTCGTAGTCGTGTGCGGTCGCCAGGATGCTGTACATGCCTCCTCTTGAAGCCACCACGGCGACATCGGATCGGTTTCCTCCAAAGTCTGCGACAAGCACGATCTTACCCGCGCTGGCGTCCGAAGACCGCGAATCGTAGGCAAGGAGGGCTGCGATTGGTTCTGGCATGAATTGGAGGATTTCCACCTGGATGTTGGCAGCGGCTTTCGTCAGGGCGGCCTTTTGGTCGTCGTTGGTGTCTGTTGGCACAGCGACCACAGCCGACGTTATAGTCCTGCCGGTGAAGTCAGATGCCGAATTCTTCAGGCGCCTCAAATGCCGCGCAGCGATCTCCAAAACCGGCACTTTGTTTTCGGTCTCGTTGTCTGCAGTGTCTCTAATTGTAAAGCAGATCTCGCCCTTTTCCTCGATGGGGTGTGCGGACGCATGGCAAGGGGTGGGATCAATGGACTTGTAGTCTTTGCCGATAAAGTCCCTAAAGAATGCGACCGTGTTCTTGCTGTTGCGGACCAACTGCGCCTTTGCCTGCGTGCCATGAAACTCCTCTCCCTCGATGTAAGAAAGGATGGATGGGATCTGACGGTCTCCCTCTTCGTTCGCAATGACCTCTACTTTGCCCTCTCCTGAGATATGCGCAATTGAGCTGTACGAATTTCCAAACGAGATACCGATAGCATAATGTTCGGGCGGCCCTTGGGGTACAACCCCGTTCGTTTCGTCGCTCATGGCGCGGTTCAGCCGGGGTGGAGTGGAAAGGGACGGACTCGGGGGTTTGTGAAAGACAGTTTATATACACAAGTTTCCTGAAACACTCCTGCTCCTGGGAACCAACAAAAATTTGTGCACTGGACCTCACGAAAACCCTGGGGACTTTTTTTTTGAGCCTTGCGGGCGGATATTCACGGCTCAGGGAAGGTTAAGCGAGCCCGGAGCTCAGCCTTGTCGTCATCTGAAGTCTCTTTTTTCCAGCCTCGTCTTGGTCCTACCCACCCGTGAACCATTTCGCAGGACTTTTTGATATTGAACTCTTCAAGACGTGGAGTCGATGCCTGTCACATCAATCATGCCGGTATTTCTGCCTGGTGATCTGATCCCCACCAGCCAGATACCGACATCCCAGAAGCGCAAAATTGGCCATGGACTCCAACAAAATAGAGAGACAAACTTCCTTGCGACCATTGGAGGATTCTTGGAAATCGACTATCGCAAGAAGACGGCCCAAATATCCACACCGGATGCTCGCTACATACCCAAAGCAGGAGACCTTGTGATCGCGCAAGTACGAATCTCAACAGCAGACTTTTTCCATGTCTACATCAACCCTTACTCGCCCCAGGCATTCTTGCCACAACTGGCCTTCGAGGGTGCCACCAAGAAGACGAGACCTCAACTGAAGGCAAACGACCTCGTCTACGCCAAAGTTGTCTCTGCGCAGAAGAACATGGAGATCGAGTTAAGCTGTGTGAATCCATCCACCGGCAAGGCGGAACCGGATGGGCTGGGTCCGCTTAATGGTGGTATGGTATTTGATGTCAGCCCCGGTCTTGCTGAGAGACTTCTCAAGAAGCAAGGTGTGGTGGCGCTGGAGGAGTTGGGGTCGAGACTTCAGGGCGGATTCGAGATTGCGGTTGGCAAGAATGGGAAAGTGTGGGTTGATTGCCCAGAGGCTGGTGTGAAGGGAATTTGTGCAGTGGGGCGATGCCTGAGAGAGATGGACGAGAACGAGATGAAACAGAAGGAGCAGAAGAAGCTTGCAAACAAAATCATTGCTGAGCTGGAGCGCGGGTGACTGCAACATTGCTGAGCAACGAAAGGAAAACCTCATGACAAGGGCTGGTGCCTCGGAAAAACGAGAAGGAAACAAATCACCCTAGCAGAAATCATCCAGTACGCAGCTGGCGCAGAGGAATGAACCTCTCAAGACCCTCAAATCGCAAACTGCGCCGCCATAGATGGCACACCTACCAACAGGTCGAGGGACTATGGCTGACCGGCCAGGCCCGGCGCGCCAGGACATGCGATGAGAGGGAGAACTACAGCACATTTCAGAATCATGCAGGGTTGCAAGTGGCCGTGGGCCAGGCGCAGCGGAAACGAACTGCGGGCCCGGCCAAAAAAGACAGACAGATAATGACAAAGGAGTCAATTTGCTTTTCGAAGATTTTGTTGATTCGCCTTCTGTACTACGAGTACATGACTATCCACGTTTCCACCACCATAACTTTGGGATTAGCCTGATGCAAGGTCATAGGCCTTCCTCAACATCGGAACCCTGCCCTCCTCACAATACAGCAGTGAAGTGTATGTTCATGCAGAATCCGGATGCCTCATGCCCGGTCATCCCATGCAAAAAAGACTTTTTTTTTTCGCGAAGGGTATTCCCCAATCGTAACTTGGAAAAGGATTCGACGCCGGGTTCGTTGCGGAAAAGAAGGAAATGATCTGTCCGCCATGCTCTCATAAAGTCTTCTTTTGCAAGATATCCGGAACTCCCTGTCGTGGTGGCATAGCTTCTGCGGAATCCATCTTCTATCGAGCAAAATCCTCAATGCCATCCCATTTTCATTCCGTTTTGGTTGTTGGTCGTTTACTTTCTTCGGAAGGAGCAGCCCTCTGTGAGTCGGGCTTTGCCACCGGTGGGTTGGCAAAGCACAGTTGAGCAACCTGCGCAGATGACGACAGTTTGAGCGTGGGAGAAAACGGTGGTGATTGTGAAGCAGCCGGGGCACTTGACGTCCATGAAGAATGATCGAGGTGCTGGGACGAGAGTCTGGAGTGCTTGTTAGTTTTTCTGATGATTTTCGGCCTAGGGACTGCAAGGATCGTAATCGTACCTTGAGCTTGTGCTTGCGAGCCTCAGCCTGAGGCGTTGGGTTTAGGAGATCAACTGCGAGAACCTGCAAACGAAAACGTCAGCGACTGGTCGGGATGAAGATGATTGCGTTGGTGGTGATCGATGTTGCGGTGCTCGTGTGCTTTGTAAAGCCGGGAGGAGAAATTTTGACCACATCGATTTGTTGCATCGATTTGCGCAGGTGTGCATACCATTTTGTTTGATTTTTAGAGGTAACCTGAGGACTCTGTTTGATACTGAGCTGCCGTCTGAAGTTTGAGAGTTGCGGCGAAGATGCAGGAGATCAATTGATGTATTGCGATGGAGGAGCGTGGCGGTAGAAATCGACTTTGAGGAGTCGTCGTGGTTGTGCGGCCAACTGCCAAGACCGCTAAGTGCAGAGTCTCCACAGCGGCATCGTCTTCACAGACTGCAGCCAATCACAGGCCTGCATTTACTTTGTTCGCCGCCTCCTTTGACTCACTGCCAGAGTCATTGAACAAGAGAGAAAGGACTCTAGCAACGTCGTATCTACTTCTAGACCGATCTATCGCTTCTATCGGGTATCAAGTGCAAGGCTAGACAAGGAGATTATCGCGCCAAAGGCCTTCAGAAGGGCACATCCATGTCTTCCACCTTCTCCTCTGTCCCTCCCGCCTCTCCCCGTGACGAGATATTCTGCTTGATGAAACCTGCAATCATGTCCAGATATTGCTTCCCGCTCGGCACAAAGTGTCCTCCGGGGTGTGTCACGACCTGGGTCTTCTCTGCGCCGCCAGTCGCATCGACTAATGCTTGTGTTCTCGACTCTTCGACCACGCTGTCAAGACTCCCAATGACGTGACATACTGGGGTCTGAATATGGGGGTCCTCGTAGAATCCACGATATCTCTCGCCAGGGGCCCGAAAGCCACAGTATGCGGCACAAAATTTGAGCGGCGGGTGACTGAGTCTCTCAAAGGATGCCGGATACGGGATCGCCAGAGGGGATCTTGCTCGTGCCTTTTCAAACGCTTGTTTTCTCGAGTCCCCCTCCAGTAGTGAAGCAACCATGGCGGCTAGACATGCTCCCTGCGAGAATCCGATCACGCCATCGAATGGTCCCTCTGACTCTAGAACTTTGGCGATTGTCTCCAGCCCTTTCTCGAGACCGACGTACTCAGGCGGATCGGAAATATCTGACCGCCTCCACCAGCCATAAGCTTCAATACTGTCCGGGTCTTCAGTTGAACTCAGGTCAAAGCCCGGAACGTCGCTTGGCTTGAGTTGCAGAGGGCCCGTTGGGTAGCTTAACGAAATGCCTGGAAATACTTTCTGCAGGTGCTTTTCCATTGCTCTTGTTTTTGCGTGGAATAGATTCCCATTTTGAGTATAACCGTGGAGCATCAATACCTTGATGCTACTGCTCGGCTCTTTTGCGGATGGCATAACGTGCAAGTACCTCGCTGTCTGTGGCTTCAGGGATCTTGGAAAGTTAACTCTAGACAGTGTTGTGAAAATTGTTGAGGTTTTCTGGTTGAGTTGAAGGCTATTCATAAGACGATCGCGTGGCCAAGGGAATGAAGAGGCTCTAGCCAGGCAAATGTCAAAGCGATGGAGATGGGCGGGTCGTCAGATTCCGACCATTCATCTCCTGCCAAGCCCATGCCAAGCTCCTGCAAATGCTCCGACACGGTCTTCCGCCCAACGACCACCAAAGCTTTCTTCTCTCCTCTCCACTACCATTGTCTTTCCAAATATTTACCAGCCTCTGGCTTCGGACTGGCCAGATTGAAGACTTCGTCAGGGTGCCCTTTGCCTGCTGAAGCCGCCGACGCTGCCCCCAGTTACCCTCCGTGGGAACCCGCTCTCACCTCCGCCTGGAGAAGCCAACATGATACCCACCATCTTGCTCCCCGTGGATCCGATGGGGCACGAGCGACCATATCCCCCGTTTGAGGCAGTTGTCCCAGTGCCGCTCATGGTTCATGCTGATGTGGTCCGACTACCGTGCAGTCTGTTCATCATTGAAGCCGCAATAGACAGAACCAGAGAAAATAAGCCTTGGGTTCCCATGGTGCTGCTACTGTCCTTGCCTTCTGAATGGCTCGCCGTCAATATAGTTCAAAACACCTGACACGAGTCTGTGTTTGCGCAGCGAAGCACGAAGATCTTGGAAGAGGTAGGTCCTCGTCGCACACTGTGCGTCCCAAGGTATAAGAATATGCTCTTTCGTCTCTTTCTCTTTAGCCTCCATGCTTCCTGTCTCTTCATTCTACGTTGAGAAGTGAGTTTACTTCCTCTTCATATCCGGCGTCCTCTCCATATCGTGCAGATATTCTATTTGCAGCAGTTCATATACAATCTCCATCAATTCACCTCCAAACTCCAGCCCTCTGCTGTCTCGGAACACCTCCCCCCCTCTCAGCATCTTGTTCACATATCCTATCCGAAATGGTCAACTTCAGGCCCGTCTTCGAGCGCATCAAGCGCCTCGATGTCCAATACAACAAACCAACCAAGGAGATCCGTGGACGGGACACCATCCTCCCCATTACTCTCACCTCCATCTTCATCTTTTTCATGTGGGGCCTCGCCTATGGCCTGCTAGACATCATGAACTACCATGTCAAGGTAGCCATGGGGATCGGCCGCCAGAAGGCCGCCATTTTGGCCGCCGGGTACTATGGTGCCTACATCCCCGGCGCGCTCTTGATCGGTGGGCCTCTAGTGAAGAAGTGCGGCTATCGAATCGCCATGACGACGGGCCTGTTTGTTCTCGCCCTGGGCAACGAGTTCATGTCCATTGGGGCAAGTCGCTGCAGTCTTGCGGGCATGGTGGCCGCGCATTTCGTCATCGGTTTGGGTGTTTCGACCTTGGAACGCTCAGCAAATCCATACGCTGTCAACTGTGGACCGCGGCGGCAAGCCGCTCTGCGAATCTTGATGGCGCAAGCTTGGGCTGGTATCGGCACTGTCGTGGCCCCGTTCCTGGCCAACGCGTTCGTCTTCAATCCCGACACCTCTACAGCACGCCCGGACCCCGACCCTCTTCGCCCCGGCAAATGCCAGATGCCGACGATGAAGACCGCCTCGTGCGCCAACCTGGGCAGCGTCATCACCTTCTACCGAGCCCTGGGCGCCTGCGTCTTCGCGCTCACCGTCTTCGTGGCAGTCCTCTTCTTCCGCACCAACTGGTTCCCGGAGGTCGAAGTCCCCGTCTCCGCGCCGGTCGACTGTGGCTGGAAGAAGTGGAAGCACCCACTGGTGTCGCGGCGCTTTGCTCGCATCTGGTGGGGCGTGGCAGCCAACTTTGTCAACCTCGGCTGCCAGGTGACTTTTGCACAGTTCTTCATCGAGCACATGAAGGTCAACGCCTGTGCCAGCGACCGATGGGCCGCGTACTACATGTCGCTCGCGCAGACGGCGTTTGTCATCGGCCGCTTCGCCGCTGCGGGCCTCGTCACCATGCCGCGGGTCTTCAAGCCCCGCTACGTGCTGATGTGCTTCATGGCCGGCGCCGTCGCGACGACCGCGGCCGGGACGGGCATCACCGCGACCGCCGCCATTGCCGTCGCCATCATGGTCATGTTCTTCGAGGCGCCGTCGTTCCCCATGATCTTCGAGAGCGCCACAGCCAGCTTCGAGGAGTGGACGCCCACCTGCGAGACGCTGATGATTGTCAGCATCTCCGGCGGTGCGCTGCAGCCCGCCCTGATGGGCCAGCTCGTCGAGTCCGTCCACATCTCCGCCGCCTGGTGGCTGACGGCCTCGTGCTTCCTGCTCGTCTTCACGTACCCGGTCGCGACGAACGTGATTCCCTCGTTCAAGATTGCCCTGGACAAGGCCGAGATCGGTCCCGACGCGGTCGACCAAGTTGCCGACGAGGAGCATGGGCTCCAGCGAGCCTCGACCTCCAAGGAAAGCTTCGCCGTCAGGATCGTCGAAAAGGTCACTTTCAGGAGGAAGAAGTCTTCAGAGACTGGATCTGCTACTCCCCAGTCTAGTGAGGGGCCGGCTCAAGGCTCATAGAATGCTGTGTGGTAGTCTTTGTCGGCGATTTGGTTGGGATTCTCTATTGGGCTTTGCGACATCGCAGAACGAACAAAGGACTGTGGATGAGCATGGTGAGGGCGTTGGCTACTTAGAAGGGCAGGAAGGAATAGGTTGTTTACTTTGGAATGGGTTTTCTTGTTTTTGGCCTGAGGCTTTTGAGTTCATACAAAGTCGCCCCGCGCGAGATGTTACGTGCCAACATAGGCAGTATCCAACTAATAGCAACACAATAATGGCACTTGAGAAAAGACCCCATGATTCCAAAGTTCGCCATCCCGCAAGATTGATCAAGACCTGCTTAATCGACCTGACCGCCTTCTCCCCGTGTCATTTGACGCAGCCTCCGGGGCTGAAGGCTTTGCTTTCTTCCCTCGAGTCCCCGTGGACTCTTCTGATTTGAGTGGCTTGTCTTCTGCTTTGCTTGCTGGCGCGTTAGCAGCCTTTTTCGCCTTTGTTGGTGGCTTCATATCCCCGTTAACCACGGGCTTCAACTCCTCCCAGTCCGGTTCTGTCTTTGCCTGCGCCTTCTTGCCCCTAGCAGTCGTCTTCTTGGGCATCACTTCCTCTTCATCGTCATCGTCCTCCTCTTTTGTAGTCGAACTGCGGTTCTTTCCCTTCGTCTTCTTGGGTTCAATCTCGCCATCTCCGTTCTGCTCTGCAGCCTTGCGCTTTTTGCCCTTGGGCTTCTTCGGGAGATCGCCGTCGTCATCTGGCATCTCAGCTTCACTCATCTCCTTTGCCACAGGTCCAGTCTTCTTCTGGACTGAGGGCACTACAGCACTGGTCCGTCCACCCACTGTAAGAAAAGCAATCTTGTCTCCGTTGGGCAATGTATTCGAGGCATCCTTTTTGCCCTTCCCCCATCGATGCTTGAACAGCCAGTCCTCGGGGAACTTCTCCGAGTCACCCAACAGCTCCACCGCGGTGTTGCAGATGTAATGAATCGACTTGTGGAGCTGTGTGATCTGCCCATCATTCAAAGTATTCGCGTATTGTTCAGGGTGGATCTTTGCATTGTACATGATCTCATCGCCCACCCAGTTGCCGATGCCGCTGATGTTGGCTTGATCCAGTAGCATGGCCTTAATGGGGACCTTCTTGCTTTTGCACTTGTCCTTGAGCCACTCGACGGTGACCATCTCCTTGTCAATGACCGGATCCGGTCCGTTCTCGACCAGGGGTGAGTGCTGTCGGATCTCCGCAGCAGGACAGTCGACAAGTCTGACCCGGGCGAATCGCCGCATGTCCACGAAAGCTGCCTCAATTGGCTCTTCACCGTCCTCTGCTTCGGTCTCGAGCATGAACTTCATGAATTTCGGGGGCCACGCCTCGTCCTTCTTGCCCTCTTGCGGCTGGTAGTAGTAGGTGTGCTCAGACTTGAATTTCAACCACCCCGACATGCCGAAATGCATGACTGGGTGAGGGGGGCTTGACATGATCATCCAGAAGTATTTCCCTTGTTGGCCAGCATCGATGATCTTCTTACCAGCCATGTGTTTCTCAAATTCGGCAGCTGAGGTGCCCACCTTGCCATAGACGCTTGCATCATCGGTGGCCGTGACTTTGGCGATGGTTTTGCCAACCAGCAGTTTGCGAATAAAATGTACTATGCGAGCGACCTCGGCGATCTCAGGCATCTTGATCAAATTGGTGTTCGTGAGGCTTTTCCGGCGGAGAAGGTCGTCCTTAAACAGAGCGACAAGGCGGTGGAAGGACGCCTCTTGAGACTTGTTGCTTTTGAATTGGCCAATCCACCCAACTTTTGCTCGAGTTGGTCGTTGAGGCGTGACAGGAGAAGAAAATGAGCTGGAGGCAGTCTTGAGGTCGATAGAGATGAAGGGGCTGGCGCTTCGACTGTGTGGCTATGTCGACGATTGGTAAAGCTGGAGGCTGCAACGCGTATTCATTACGAGACGACACGAACCAACCGACGCGTTTAGTGGCTTCAGCCTTCCGAGCAGCGGCAATGACATAATATATGCCCGGCGGTGAAAAGCGCAGCCTCGTCTCCGCTCCGCAGGTTGCTTTTGATACGTACCGAGCATAGCAATCTATGTCCATCGTAATACCAGTAAACACTAATCTCATGCAAATATCTGAGTCTTGCATCGCTCTCTACATGAATTATATGCCCCCGTCAATGTCCACCTCATCTCCAACCTATTCCACCATCTAATAAGCAATCAAGCTGGCGTGGTTTTGGACTTCACCTGTGTCGGAGACGAGCTCGCCCTCTCCTACATCCACCTCACAACCCAACCACCGGAGTACTGCTGCTGGTCTTCCTCCATCCCATCGACCGCACACGCCCTCCTCCATCCCTGATCAAGCTCCGCCCGCTCGGACTGGAGCTCAGCTCCGACCCCATCCCCGACCTCTAATAATGTCCAAACCCACAGCCCCTCCAACAAACCTCACGCCGCAGTTCTGCTTCAACACCCGCGTGCTGCGGGACTTTCTTCGTCTCTCACGAGCCAGCATAGACGACAGCATCTCCACAAACTTGAACGCCCTCATCACGCCCTCGACGACGTCGCCCTTCGACCCCACCTCAACCTCGATCCGGAACCCATCATTACCGTCCTCACTCACTCGAGCGCCCATACCTCGAGAAACCAGTCGGACCTTCCTGCACTCAGTTCTCTTCCCCTCGTGGAACGTGAGATCCGATGTGATATCCTACTGCACCAGTGTGGCCACGAGTCCGGACCCGAACGACCCGGATCTCATTGAGCGCGAAGCGCTGAACAGGCGAGACGCCGAGCGCATAGTGAACGAGCGCCTGGATCCCTACTCCGGAAGATTCTTCCCGCGAGAGTCGAGGGCGGAGATGCTGGCAGGTGTGCTGCGGAACGAAAATGCGGTGGAGAAGATTGTGAGAACAAGGACCTGGGGCATTGTCCAGGAAAGGTGTGAGGGTGTTGAGGAAGGGACGTGGGAGGAAGCAGTGAACGGGTGGAGGGAAGGAAAGAGATGAAGGCCCAAAAATGCCAATCTGGGCACGCAAATCTGGCAACAAACGACATGTATAACTGGGTCTTACAAATGCAACCCCAGACGGCATATGGTATACTGGGGCAGAATCGGCGAGCCGAGGAAAACCAACTGGCGCGGTTCTGACAGGGACTACATGTTGTCTCCAAGCAGCGGAAGAGTTCTCGATCATAGCGTGGTGGCCGCTCTATCGAAGCATACCTCATAGTATCGATGAACCGATAGGCGGCAGTCGGACGGATGATGGGAGGGTCCAGTCGGATGACAATCTCTGTACGAGGACACTTTGTCGATACTTCTCGAGCCGGAGATTACTTCGAGAGACTTGAGGACGACATCAGACCGACCGTCCACCTTGCGTTCGCTAAGAGGAAAAGCGAGGGCAAAGTACGAGACGCGAACAATATGAACGAGAAAAGGAAACTCCACTCAAAGATGATATATCATGGTCTGGAAATGTCATATAGATCATTCCTCATGTACAAATATCTATATCCCAAGGCTCAAGATAGCTGGGGTATCAAAATCAAATCTATCTCTCGATCAACTTTGGTCTCGTCCATTGTGCAATGGCGGCATATATCGCCATCTCCATTGGGCCCCATTCACAAAGCAAAGCACATCCAGTGCGTCACCACCTCCGTTTAAAGTGAAATCACCATCCACCACCGCTTAATCCGGCAATGCTGGCGATGCGCTCCGTATCGCTCATCTTGCTGGCGGGCTTGTTCTTGCCGACATCGCTGTCGACTTCTCGGAAAGTCGTGTATGCGAGCTTTGAGACCGGTATATTCACGAGGCGGGACCAATGATACAGAAAATCGTGGACTTCGGTGGTGTTGATTCCGTTGATAATCGTTTGTTCGGCCTTCTCGTGCCCGTTCAGATAGCCAATGCCGTTGGTCATCGGCACGTCCTCTCCTTCTTCACTTGTTTCCATGTCCTCTGAAGAGTCAGCCGAGTAGTAAGCTTCATCCACGAGTCTCAGCCACTCCTTCTGACTCTGCGGCCCAACCACACTGTTGACCACATCTTGGCTCCGCGTCTGGGGTACTGTCTCTATCACGTCGTCAACTTTAATTTGTCCGCCCCCGTTCGTACAACCCCCAGGGCAAGCCATGACTTCCACATAAGCGTAATCACTTGCGCTTCCACTTCCACCAGCCGGATTCATACGTCTCGCTGCACCAGGTAACTTGCTTTGCCTGGCGGGTTTCAATTTCCTGACGAGATTCTGAATATTTCGGAAACCGTAATATCTTGCACACTTCATCAGAGCTTGGCCTGTGGGCGCCACCAGGGAATATTCCACGACGTCAGCGTTACGTCCGCGCTGCACGGAGATTGTAGACCCTGGGTGGCGCCATTGTTCTGTTGAGAGAATGTGGTAAAGGTAACCGCCTGAAGAGCCAGCAGTCACATTCTGCTCTTGGTTGTGCCGTTGGCGTTCTTTGGGGAAGAGGAAGCGAGAGACGTGGGGGTCTGGAAACGGAGTGCGTTCCACGGACGAGAGTGGTCTGCATGGAAGGCTGGAGAGTTGGATACCGCGAGCCGAGGCGAGGGAGAGAAGTTCGCGGGAGGTAATCACACAATCAACGTCTCGTACGGGAGATGCGGATGTGTCTGTGTGGTCGGAATGTCGCCACCAGCGATCTGTAAGTTCTTCCCTGCTGGCCTCTAGTTTCTTGTCAAAGCAGGGCATTATCGCCAGATGCCATATCTGCGAAGGGTGGATGCCCAGCGTCTTGCTCAGCACTGATTTGAGCAGCGTTCCCGACAACGCCTGTGGAGATTTCAATGCTGAGAGATGCGGAAGGATGTGAGGGTGTGTCTTCTCTGCGTAACAAATCCAACCGGGACAAGCTGAAGTTAGTACCGGCTTCGGCTTCGACTTTGCTATTATTGAATCTGCCACCTCTTCAGCTCCTAGAACCAGGCATGCTTCCCGTGCCCGGTTGGTGTCCACCACATAAGTAAATCGATTATTGTGCTGGCCACCTATCCGCAAGCCCTGTGAACCGCTAAGGAACTGTTCGATCATAAAGCCAGCCCTTCGTTCGGAGATGCCATATGTCGCAGCCAGGCTAGCCCGAACCTGCGGGCTCACACTGGCAACGAAGACCTTCGCGTTTGAGGGCGGGGATCCGTGCCCATTTGCAAGGCCAATCTGCTTGTTGATAAGATACCGTACGTCGAGTGGCGGATAGGACTCGAGTGTATTCAGAACTTCAGTATGTGATTGTAACGAAACCAGAACAGCTTCTGCAGAGGTAACACATCCGGAGCAGGCAAGGCAATCGGTAAGGGAAATCGAGGCAGGCGCCGGGTTCTTGGTCTGGAGCTTATCTTCGGTGGTCACTTCGTAAGGGTTGACATCGTCGTCCTGTTTCGGCAGTGTCTCGACCGGTTTTATGCAGGCGACGCCAGGGGAAATGAAGTCGTTGAGATCGTCTGCGGAGAGGATGGCGCTCATGGTTGCCAGTGGGTGGCGACCACGGCTGAGGCGAGGAGTTGGTAGTGGAAGGGGGCAGTAGCACTCTCGACGTCCGCTTTGGAGGAGGGAATTCTGCAGCGCATAGATGGTCTAAATATTTTTGGAGGACGCCCAAAGTCACTATCTTGGTCGTTCGTCCGCGGAAGAATTATTAATGGCGAGATGGTGGATGGGTGCGAAAGTCCGATCGTCGGCCTCCCGAAAATCAAAAGTTCTAGAACTTGACGTAGGTGGGTGGGTGGCTGGGTGACTAAGAACTTAGGTAAACAGTTCTCCAGATGTAGCCGGCGATGGCCGGGAACTTGAAGTCCGCAGTCCATCTTTCTCCCCTGGACATGTGCACGCGACCAGCAAAAGACAACGAACCATGCTGTTAATATGACACTTCATGCTCAACAATCGAACAGAAGGAAAAATAGAAGAGGTGGAACTTCGAGACATGCCCCCTGTACACGATGATACATCTCCAGACGCCCCGCTCATCGCAGACCGCGGGCAAGACGACGGCCATGCTTCTCCGACCACCACGGCAAAGTCCTCCGCAAACGCCTTCATATGGGTTTTGACAGTCTCTGCTTGCGTATCAGGGCTGCTCTTTGGCTACGACACAGGGGTTATCAGCAGCACCTTGATCTCGATTGGTACCGACTTGTCCTCCCGCCATCTGACGACCTTGGATAAGGGACTTATAACTTCTTGCACAAGTCTGTTTGCGCTCGTTGCGAGTCCCGTTGCCGGCGTCCTGGCGGATAGGGTCGGGAGGAAAAACATAATCTTGTTCGCAGACGCTCTTTTCACACTGGGCGCTTTATGGCAGGCTGTCACAGTGTCTGTCTGGGGGATGATACTCGGCCGCAGTATTGTGGGACTGGCCATCGGAGGTGCCAGTCTCATCGTGCCTTTGTATATCTCTGAATTGGCACCCAGCCATCTAAGAGGCAGACTCGTCACGGTTTCTCTTCTTTTCATCACTGGCGGACAAGTCATTGCCTACCTGGTCGGATGGGCCTTTTCCAACATGAGAGGTGGATGGAGGTGGATGGTCGGGTTGGGCTGTGCTCCCGCACTCGCGCAGCTCGTCATGTTGGCATTCATGCCCGAGACACCTCGCTATCTGGCCAAAGTACAAAGGGAAACCGAAGCCCGAGCGGTTTTAAAGAGAGTCTATCATGGAATGGCAGACAATACCACCAATATCGTCAATGAGACCATACACGCCATTAAAAAGGAGCTGCTTGACGAAGAAGAGGCACACGTCCAGCTCCGTCAATCAGCACAGTCCAAAGCCAGCTTCTTAATCTCTCCGACCCTTCAATCTCTTCTCCTCCATCCTCCGCATGCCCGAGCACTAACAATAACATGCACCTTACAAGCCCTTCAGCAACTGTGTGGGTTCAACAGCCTCATGTACTTCTCGGCTACCATCTTTCAGCTCTTGGGCTTTCAGTCACCTACCTTGACATCACTCAGTGTCGCGGGGACGAATTTTCTGTTTACCATTGCTGCCTTCCATCTGATTGATCGGCTGGGCCGGAGACGAATATTGCTCCTCACTATCCCGGTCATGGTCCTTGCACTTCTCCTGTGTGCTGGAGCTTTCACCTTTGTTCCGCTACACTCGGGCGATAGGATAGAAACAACTGTGGATAGCCCTTCCGGAACCTCCGTTCCCCAGCTCCCCGCCATAGCCATCCTGATAGCCATGCTCCTCTACGTCTCAACCTACGCTATGGGACTTGGCCCTGTCCCCTGGCAACAATCCGAGCTCTTTCCCCTTTCTGTCCGCTCTCTGGGCTCCTCGCTGGCAACCGCAACGAATTGGCTCTGCAACACCGTCGTTGGCCTGACCTTTTTGCCCATGATGGATTTTCTGGGCGCGCAGTGGACCTTTGTCACGTACGCGGGCATCTGTGCCCTGGGCTGGGTGGTCGTATGGTGGATTTACCCGGAGACCATGGGACTAAGATTGGAGGAGGTCGGAGAGTTGTTGAAGAACGGCTGGGGAGTCGACGAGAGTTTGGAGCGGTTGGAGAGGTCTAGAAGGCATGATACTTCGTGTGACTAGGATAGACTGTTCTCGGCTTAGTATACCCTAGAATTAGATTGCAACGAGTTTGAATTTTGGAAAGGACTCGACCACTATCGTCAAGATTGTACAAAGGTACACAGGCCAACTTCATGCTCGGCGTGTATATCGATTGCCCATCTCACACTCAGATACAGCAAGGGTAGCGAGGGCACCTTGTTCTTTCGCGGACTGGACGTTTTCATATGAAACCAGAAGACACGCTGCTCACTGGCCCGTCGCGCTCCTCGGTCCCACAGATATTTGTCGCCTGTTTCCGCGCCATCCTCCGAGCATGCTTCCGCTCCCTCCTCTCTTTTTCCTTCATCTCTCTCTCCTTCAAAATGACCCGCCAATACTTGTCCCCTAGTTCCGCGTACTGACGTCCACGCGCCTGGACGGCCTGTTCAAGTTGTCGGTCAACCTGGCGCAGTGCCCATGTCCAGGAAATCCCCGGACCGGCGAGATCGGAGCGGGGTGTCGGCTGATTATTGTTCTTCTCATCCCTGCTGCCGTATCGCTTGGAGCTGGCAAAGTGCGTTTTGATCCCCGATGAGGTCTCTGTAGAGTCTTTATCTGCCGGTCCTCCCTGCAGCCCTAGCTGACCGCTTGCGGTTGCGGCCTCGTGTGACTCCCGGACACCCTGCTCTCGTGCAAGGACGGCGTCCCACTCATCTTCCCATTCACCAAGCTGAATCTTTGCCGCGAGGTCCAGATGCTGTGCCCACTTTCGGACACCCCACTGGATCTTACTCTTCAACACCCTATTCAACAACACCGGAGTAGGGCCAGGGTATTTCAGAAGGGGAATCCCCTGAGCCAAGATCAGATTGGGCACTTTGCGCACACCCGATTTCACTTCAGATATCGGTCTCGGATGCTGAAAGATGCGTGGGGTTTCGGGGGTGGAGACGTGATTTGCTTTGTCGGCCACGCGGCGCAGGTTCTCCAGATGGGCACGCCGGCTGGGCGGAGGCGGTTTCCATCGCGAGGCCAGTTCGGCGCGGTATTTCGATATAGATTCGGCTTGTAGAGCTACACGCTCGAGCGTCTGGCTCAGCTTGTTCAAGGCATCGCCCGATTTACAGGCGCATTCGCGGAGGAGGGAGAGGGCGCCACGACCTGCATCTAATCCGTTGGCGACCTGTGATGGCGAAAGCAGCTTGCGGTCTCGATGAAACCGGAAGCGGATCAAGGATTGAAGAGTTTTGGCGACGGCAGGATTTTCGACCGCGGCGCCGACCCGCGAGCTCTCACGGAGCAGAGCTTTGTATAATGCAAGGCCTAAAGCGCTGTCAGCAGACTCCGACTAGATATCAAATTTCGCACATACATGCTAGTCGATGAAGCCCCGATTTGTGCGGAGCAAGAATACGTGGCATCCGCACATCTCAGGTGAAATTTCTTGGGTGCAAACGGACTTTGAAAGCGATGAACCACTGTATCTGAATACATACGCCCAGCCTCGCAAAGACCAATAAATATCTCTCGAGGCAGGTATGCCGATAACGAGGCTGAAGTCGAATGGAACCCGGAGGGAATGATTTCTTGCTCACTCAATACACACAAGTACTCGAAGAAAAATAGAAAAACACAAGGGACTGATATTTACTCCTAGATGCGTGTTACTTTCCTGTCACCGCACTCCTGCAGCTAGAGTGGTGCTGTGAACAATACCCGACGCCAAGTATGCATTCATAAGAGCTCGTGATTCATCGCCGTACGTTTAAGCCCAACTCCATAATTCCATGCTTGCAGTTGCATCTCTTAGAATGTAGTGCCCTCTTGGGGTTGCGGAAGTTTCTTGTGCTGTGGCAGAGCCATGTACCTGCAGACATCAGCGACCCTTCTCGCACAAGGATATTTCCCACCATACCTTCTCAGCTCGATCAGAATCGTCTCCATAGTGTAGTCTCGCTTCCAGTTCGCCAAACAAGGCAGCCTTGATGGATCAACCTTATTCCTGTGTGTTAGAGTTTGAAAGGCTCATTCCTGGATGATATCCTCACCTTCCCAGTCTTTTGATCGACGCAAGGCAGATTTACCCTCGACACGAACTGAATGGTAGGTGGGAGGTCAGGATATTGGTCGCCGCAATGGATGTTGACGCTGTAGATGCGATTCTCGTGGACGCTCTGGATCGTAAAGGGTCAGCTTAATCTGCCCCTCAATGGAAAGGGGAGCGTGGGTGCCATACGTGAGGAGGTCCGAGGATCGTGCCGTTCCAGTTGGTCATCATCAAGTCATCACTGTCGGCCAGTCCGTACGAGCACGCCTCTGCATGAGTGTTAGAACCGCTGTTCCTCGAGCACTAATCGCGGGCGGTTTGCGAACCTGCGCCCAGTCCTTTCTCGCCCTTTTCCAACTCCTCCAGTAGCCGGAAATTTCGAGGCACTTTGGCTCCCATGTTGAGATGACAATTGCGTACGATAAATGTTGTGTAAGAAGGTGAGTCGTTCTTTCTCGAATCAATACTGTGGCCGGTAAAGATGGATACTTGAGATCTTGGGAGGGGTGAATGGAGAAACTTGAGAAGGCGGGCACGCGCCGCAGCCTCGTTAGTTGGTCACTCAGCCTTGGCGACTGCGGACAACGGACGCACGTGACCTAATTTGCTATTGGCTTGGCGAAACCCGGCTCCCGCTCCACCCCTTTACAGTGGATAGAATACACCTAGCTGCCTTTGTCTGAGAACTTTGTTTTCTCAATCACTGCAGCTGGGCAGCATACTTACTTGGTCGTGCACCTATCCTGCTCTCTCGTATTCTTGCTGTGCCTTTACACTCGAGACGACTGTCCAGAATGGGAACCCGTCTTTGGGAGAACAGAGGTGGCGGCGTTCCTGGAGCCTGTCCTGCAGTGCTTGGCTCTCGTGGAGCCACTACAGCCTGAGCTTTGGCTTCGAGAGTACTTCGTTCTCACCATGAAACTTACAGCGAAACTACACCTCGAGTCCAGGTCAATCCGATAATCGTCTCAGAGTTGGTATCCTAACTGACCGTGGATCGCAAATTGACCTCTCGAACAGACTCGTCGAACAAACACATCGACGCCCCTTCATCAACTCAATCTAGCTATTGGGATCGTAAAATCAAAACTACTCAAGGCTTCACAGGGGCGATTGAGAAGGATCAACTGTCGGTGACATATCGCTGACTCTAGCAACAGAATTGCCTTGGCTACAGCATCTCGACTCTGTCTCCGTGCACTGATATACATATACTCCAAAGCCTGTTGGTCTTCTTGGCTCTTCACGCCGTCTACTTTCCTAGGCAGCCCAGCACAACGGGCGTTAGCCAGCACAAGAGCAAGCCACCAAAAACGATTAGCTTGGGGAGCTAATGTACTTTTTCACGTACATCGACCACCTTAGGCATTACTACGAACATTTACTCGGTACTCGTGATCAGCTTACTGGTTCGACACCTAACATTCCCGGAAGATTGGCGCTGGCGCTCATTATCAGCCATTTCCCCTCCAACCAGATGTTGTCGGGTCTCCTTCCTGGTCCAGGCCGTCACTGATCGTCCTTCAAAATCTGCTGCAAGCCGTTTCCAGCAAGTTCAACTAATCCCCAACCGGAACGAAGGTTCGTATTTTCTCAGGAACTCTTCTGCCGCTTTTTGGCAGAGCCAGCGTTCCTTTTCCTTGCCGAAGCAATCCAGATGATTCCTCCCATCACGAAAGAAAGGCAAAGCAGCACAATTGCAAAGATCTCATACCACTTCAGCTTCTTCCTTTTGGGTCGGTAGATCAGAGGGGATTGCCTCGACTCAGAAGTATCGTCCGTGGAGCCGTAGAAAACACCGGTGTCCACCCCTTTCTGGGCCAATGCAGCACTGACACCGCATTGGTCCGTTAGCCAGTCCTTGATGGCCGTTATTTCACTCTCCTTGTGGCAGTTGGACTGGCAATCGAACAGACTCCCGTGGATACAGAAGCAATTGCGACCCTCGGTGATGCAGCCGTAGTAGACAAGCTTTTGGCGCAGACATCCTTGCGCGCAGGCTGGCAGACCGTCGTATGAAAGGTCGTCAGAGCCTGGGCCGCACTCTTTCACGAACCAGTCTTCGGTGGCCATCCAGTCCCACCAAGTGCAGAACGACCAGGCACAGTAGAGCGGATCCTTGAGGGAGCAGTAGCAGCTTCTATTGTATAACTGAGTCGACGGCTTTAAAGGCGTGCACGCGTCTTTGGGTGCGGTTCCTAGGGGATCGGTATCGCAACTTGCGAGCAAACAGGACGGGATTTTGGAGACATCGATCGGCTGGGTGTTGTTGATGGGTTGGCGCTGAGACGACTCCGAGCCCGCGTATGTTAGGTCTGTAAAAATGTACAAGATGGCGAACAGCGCGTATACCCTCAGGCTGCCTGACATTCCGTTAAGTGCTCTGTAGGACTGTGAGAATTGGGCAAATGCTGGAAGCAGCTCGAGGGTATGTATCTCAGACCAGCATCTTGTATTGACGAGCGAGGGAAGCCGAACGCCCGGATTTTGCAACGACAATGAGGCTGAGAATGCACATCCTGCCACCACGCTTCTCACCACCTCACCCCGTTTCCATCCCCGGCATGATCCGGTCCGAGCGAAGCGAGCAGAAAGACGCCAAAAGTCCGAGTCACACGGGCCTTACAAACGGACGAGCGAATAACATGCTGCCAGCAACGCTTGAGGAACGAGGCTTGCAATGCAAGCTACCAAATCGGTGCGCGGTGCAGCTGAAGCTCGCCCCCAAAAGAGCATGTGCGCTGCTTCTCCTCGTCCTTGTGGTTGCTTCAAGCACACCTGCGCGATACCATCGCTTGCTGCTCGTCCAATCCTAGGGCCTAGCGGCCCACACTTCATAAGAAGAGGAGATTCTCTCACTATGAATACACTGCCGGGAAGAAATATTGGGCCATGCAGTCCATGGTGTTCCAAAGAGTCTGAGCCAGCCTCACTACAGACAAGCACCACTGAACCTATAAGGTGCGTGTCGGCACCTTTTACTCGAGTGAAGAACAACGCGTACAGAGGTCAGATAGGTGTGGTGAAGAATTCCGTGTCTATCTGACCTAACAATTCAATAACGCCCAACATGGCATTCCCAACAGGTGTCATTCTCTCAGCTCTGCAGGCACCGTTATCAGCATTGCAAGCCAAGCGGCCAGGGATATTGCTCATCTTGAGTCTTATCATTGCTTCGGCGTCTGCTTACGACAGTAATATCTGTTGCTTGAAGGCCGCTCGATTGCCTGATGTACGAATACCACTGGACCAGTACCCGTGGGATGTTTGCAGCCTGAACGATACCGAAACTTATGCTGAAGGGACCACGTTCCCTTCGGTCAATGTCACCATGGGATGGTGCAGAGCACATTGTCCTGGCAACCGGCAGAGTGATTTATCACAGTGGTTGCAGCCGCTGACCAGTTGGATTGTACCTTACATAGGTCTTCTCTTGCTGTGTCCCCTCGGCGACTTCAAGCCACCCTCTGAAGCCTACAGATGGTTCTGGCAGTTTGTGGGCTATACTCTGGAATGGATCAATTTGTTAGGCGACCCAACGAGTGCCATTTTTGGTTCGTTTTCAGAAATCTGGTCGGATGCAACAATGCTGCATACGATTGACCAAACGCCTGAGGAATCTCACGAACCGCCTCCGGGTAAAATCACCAGCCTTTCGGCCTCGAAATGGGTGGTCGTCCTGGTTGGCGACACCGAGTTCGACCGAAGAAAATTCCGGGAGAATGAACAATACACTGAACTAGAGGGAGGGCACGAACAAACCATTGAAAAGCAAAGCCCCTCGCTGCCAGAAAAAACGGCGTCTGAATCCAACAGATTGCTTTCATCAGTGTCAAATGAAGAAGTCGATGACCTCCCCACTGATCTAAGAGTGCGGGTGAAGAACGCGATTAACACTCTTATCGAAGCCCGCACCCACTTCAAAAAGGCCATCTTCTTGCCAACAATCCTGTTTCTTGCAGTGACGGCATCAGTCTTCTATGATGCTTACAACAAACTCGGTGATAATGACACTGCAGACTGGTTGGCTTTCGGAATCTGGTACTCTTGGATGGTGATTCTCTCCGTGGCTGCAAACTGTTTCGCCAGCAGTGTGAACGCGGGCGTGACACAGACCACACTGGGTCAATATACCCGGCTCTCCGACCGAAGTGTTCCGCTCCGCGAGCGCTATTTCAACGGTTTGCTGTGGCAGGAATGGTTGACGCGAATCCATAAGAAACGACGGCTGGCTGTGCCCGGGGCGGCAAAAAGGGGTGGTTTGTTGCACAAACAAAAGGCTGAGAACAGCGTCAACTTCGAAGAAAGCCATCACGCCAAATACCCTTTCTTAACTTTGAGAAAGGCCGTTGAACTGCTCATCGGCCATATCTTTGCATGGCTTTGCGTCGCGGTGCCCACGGCCTGTGCCATTGTTGTCTCATACGTAAGTTGGCTTGATTCTAAAGACCTGCATCAGCTCCAATGGGGACTTTGTCCCGCACCGAATATGCCGATACTGACTCTCCATGATCAACAGAAAACGCCTACTGTCGGCTGGGATTGCCGATCATTCAATTTCCTGCTCTATGGAATCCTAGCATTAGTCGTTCCCGCCGTGCACATCGCCTATCAAAGGGTGCCTTACGACGATAAAAAAGACGACAACAACGAAAGAGAAGGTTACAAATACCTGAAAAAAGGACTCAAAACCATTTACTGGCTTCTGGCGTGTGCGAATGCAGCTGTGCTCACCATTGGCACCATTCTGCAACTAGCAGGTGTCTACAGAAGCTGCCGATGTCAACTCCTCTTCGCGCCGGATTCTGCACTCGTGGAAGTAAACCGAAACACTCCCCTTGCGGTCGATAATGCAAAAAGATACTGGCTTCAGATAGGATATCTGGCATTTGGAATTGTTTGGGTGGTTTGTGGTGTCGTGACGGCAGCCAGGGCCTATATTTCTGCTCGTCTCGAGCTTCCTGATGATCCGAGGAAGCAAGAGGAGCAGAAGGAGCTCGATGATATTTGGAACCAGGCATGAAGAAAGCGACAGCAGAGGCAGAAACTGGGCAGTGATGTGTGAGCTGTTGCCCTCCGTGGTTCGAGGTCGTTTCGGTCATGCATACTGTATCCTAGCAGGAGTCTTGATCAAGCAAGCTGAGAGATATACTAATGTAGAACCCTGCAGCTCCGAGTGCAAAGAGTTATGACTAGAAATGGCATGCAGCCGAGTTGAGAAGAAGAGCGAATGTTGTTCTCATCCCGAACTGGCATGCCGCTCACCTCGCGCCATGCCGCCTTTACGGCTTTCCCATTGCGATACACCTCTACGCTCAACTTTGCACCTCATTCTACGAGAAACTCCTCTCCTGTCTACGAAATTCTAGGCCCAGACCTTTCCACACTACCAGCTCCATCCTCCTTGCTCAAAAGTTTGCTTGCTTTGACCCAAGGTAGCCTGTAGCTTGCACCGGCACAGGACCTATCAGACGAGGCTGTCAGGGGAAGCGGCATTAAAGCAGCACCGACTTTGTTCTAGAGTGGGACGGGCCTTGGCAGCATCCTATTTGTTTGCCCTCGAAAGGCCACCTTGAGCCACCCTCCGCCTTCTCTTGCACCGACTACTATCAGCAGAACGATCCTTTCTCTCTGCCCATGATGAGGCGAAGCAGGGATGACACATGCATTTCTCCAGTCTGAGTTGGCGAGCCTCATATCAGACTCGAAACGAAGATACAATGACGTGCGCGCGGCTTCCGAGCAGTCGCTCGCTGACCTCAAAACAATCTCGGTGACATCTGAAACCCAGCTGGCTGGCGACCTCTACCGTCGGCCTCAATTCATTGAACCCTTTATTCTTGCTTGCAGATCCAAGAACAACAAGCTAGCAACTACAGGAACTGCCTGTATCCACAGATTGACTGCAAGTAGTGCACTTGCTCGGACAAGGCTCCCCGATGTCTTAGACGCTTTCCGCGATGGAGTTGCCGCAGGCTATGAGCCTCAACTCAAGATTCTACAGACCCTCCCCTCTCTGTTGCAGCTCTATGGCGATGACATACACGGAGACCTGCTTGCCACAGTCCTAGAACTATGTGCATCCCTCCAATCCAGTCGGACGGCCGCTGTGAGCAACACAGCTGCAGCAACTTTCCAGCAGTTAGTCTCGGCGGTGTTTGAAAAGGCCGTGGAGAGAAGAAATCTCGGACCATCGGGCGAACGCCATGGTGGGGATCTCTCAAATGAGGGTTTAGAAGTTGCCCCTTTGGACGACGCACTCCGGCTCCTCGACGACTTTTGTCTGCTGCTCGACCACCAGAGACCCCAATACCTCAAAGTCGAAAGTCTCCCTGCTGGCTTTCTGCTCGAAACTTTGCAGACAATCCTGTCAGATTACGACTCGCTTCTCACATCTGAGAAACTCAACGATCAGAGATGGGCCGAAAGCCTTACGCACGGCCTGTTGCGTGTTTTGGCTAGAAAGGATGCTTTTGGTATGACAGCGCGTGCTCTGTCTATTTTGCTCCTACTTTTCCAAGCCCGTGCCGAGGACCTCCGAGACCAATTGACGCAGATGACGCCCTTACTTATCGGCGCATTAGAGAAGGACGGCAATCCACCATGGAAACGTGCTCTGTTCCTCGAGTTCTTCCGTACCCTCTGTTCCGACTTCAGCGTTTTCAGGGAAACCTTCCGCCTGTTCGACAAGGGGAAAGACTCGGTCAAGTTAGTAGGCCAGCTCATGTCTGCATTAGTCCGTATCGCAGCAGAAGATCCATCGTTGATTGGGCTCGGGCGCCAGTCTACTGTCCCTGTTCAGCGCATAACCGACCCGAAGAGCGAAGAGGCTGCATCAATCGAAGCGCAGGGTCTGGGGGGCGCTATTACCTCCGTGACCTCGAGTGATGCAAGCGTTACTGGTATAAGCGCCGATTGGAGTGTGGTGGCGGTCCGGCTCATGGATCAATCCGAAAAGAACGCTCCCCCAACAATCCCGAGCACTTACATATACACTCTAGTCCTCGGTTGCATCTCACATTTATGTGATGGTCTGTCAAAGTTCATTATGCCATTGAGTGTCCCGAGCCGAGCTTCGCAACGAGAGTCATCGGAAATCGGCCGCAGAGATAGCTCTGCCACCGACCGAACCGACGACGAAACGGCACGGAGATCCATTCGGCCCGCATCCTCCTCCCAGAAATATCAGCGGCTCATAAATCCTCTGACCTTGACGAACCATCGACTATTCACCCAGATTCGCACCTCTGCTGAACTCATCGAGGCCTGCTGGCCAGCCGCGCTTGCCACTTGCTCCACGTTCCTCAATGCGGCGTTGGACTCCGAGTTTTACCATATACTGATTCGATCAGTTCAAAAACTAGCTCAAGTTTCCGGTGTGCTCGAGCTCTCCACGCCTAGAGATGCTTTGCTCACGACGCTGGCGAAGGCCTCCATACCGTCTAACGCGAGCAGTTTCATCGCGGCCTCTCAAAACATAAAATCGCCTCGAATCGCAAGTGCTGAACATGGGGTGCTCAACGACGTGCTGAAATCCCCGACTGAGCAACCACCGACACCAACCTTCCAAGTCACCAGCTCACCGCTCAATGTCAGGCATCTGCTGTGTCTTCGGGCTTTGTTGAACCTGGGTATCGCTCTTGGGCCGACCCTGGAAGAAGACGCATGGTTCATCCTCATCGAAACCATGCAGACAGTTGAAGCTTTGATCGCAATGCCGAGCGCCACCAATGTGGCGACGTCACAATCAGGAAGTCCGAGAATCGGTGTCTCTGGTAATGATGGTCAGACAACTCTTTCAACCGAAATAGCCGCTGTCCAGGCGGCAACGAAGAGGATGCTCGAGAGCACACGAAGTTTCAGCGCCGATTCGTTTACCGTGATCGTACACGCCTTATTCCGCTTGCTTGGGCAGAGCGATGCGGAGAGCGATTCGCAACCCTCGCAGCAAAGTCTTGCTTCTCCCACCTCACCCACTCGCCTGGGAGCTCCGAGGCCGGCACATCATGTGTCGCGGAGTGTTTCTGGTTTGTGGACAAAGTCAAAAACTCTGGATCTGGAGATCGGGTTTGTCCTTAACAAGCTCAACGACTTGTCGCGCATCAACATATATCGGTTCGCATCTTCTGCAGAACAGTCTTGCTCCTGGGATCTAATTGCAGATCGTTTGCTGCGCGTCTCGCAGGATGGTAGCGTGGCTGGTACTCATCGCATACAATCTGCCAGCATATTGGACCTGATATCCATGGAAACAGTAAAGTTACTGGATGACACGCGTTTCGACACCAGCGAGGCAGACAGCATTAGATCCCGTTGCCTGCAATCGCTCTTGCAGCAGCTAGAGTTCTTTGACGAGACTCCGGGTCGGAGGTACGATGCTGTTGAGCTGGAAATCCATAAGAGGCTTCTTGATGCTCTAGAAAGTATGCTAAGTCATAGCGGAGAGTCTCTGAACAACTGCTGGCCTATCGCACTCGAAATACTGTCAGTCTCGTTCGCGAAAAGTGGACAGGCAACGCCACCGCCAGCCGATGAATCGATGGAACAAGGCGACAATCATGTACAGACCGCCCAGATATTAAGGGTTGCCTTCAGATCTATACAACTAATCACCTCGGACTTTCTCGGTGTCCTGGATGCTAATTCCCTGGCAAAGTTGGCCCAACTTCTGCGTCAATTTGGCTCTCAACATTATGATCTGAATGTGGCGCTGACAAGCACCACTGTTCTGTGGAGCCTCGCGTCCCAGGCTTTATCAAGGATTAAGACAATCGACATCACTTCTATGCCAGCTCTGGAGGGCCCTATAGAATCGTTCGCCTTAACCTCCAAGTCGTCTTCTGGAACAATCTGGAGCGTTATTCTGCTACAGCTGATCGAATTGTGCAAAGATGAGCGTTCAGATGTTCGAAATGCAGCCATTAAAGTCCTTTTAAAGATGCTTGATGCCTCGAGCGAGGCCCTCACCCCAAACACATGGTCAATCATGCTCGAAGCTGGCCTATTGGACACCGTTCGGTTTTGCATCACGCAGTATGCTGCAGACAAGAGTGACCAGAGCGAATGGATGGCATCAGCGGCTCAGCTGACGGAGGGCATCATTCAAATCATATCTCAGAATCTAACGGTGATCGCCATACATAATGACTTCGGAAATACATGGCTTCGCACTATGGACGTTTTGAAGTCTCTGTTAAGCACAAGCTCGCTGGCTGCCTCTTCGTTGGCTTTCTCGAATCTGTCGAAACTTCTTTCCGCACTGTCGGTCCTAGAGGATGCGGACGAAGACCTGATCGTCCCTCCAATGCAGCTTTGGGCAGACTATCATCCTGCTAGGATCGGACGAGACTCTCAATCTCATCGTGTGGCCGGTGAAGAACCGCCGAACCAAGAAGCCTTTACTTCCCATGCAAATGTCTTTGTTGAAGCATACAAGACCAAGCCTGTCCCCGTTTCGAACTATATGCAAAGGCAAGCCCCTATGTTGATGGATTCCATCGAGCGCGGAATTCTATTGTGTGTGCATCCTCCTTACACGAATGACGTGAAAGCTCTGGCACCGGAACAAAAGGAGGCTTTGCAGTGCATGGCTATACTAAAAACCCTCTTGCGAGACCAAGTGTCAGAATATTCCCAATTCGTGCTCAGAATATTGAGTCTCTCTCTGAATATTCAGGATGGGAGAGTTGGTGCCCAGCAGAAAAAATCGGCTATATCGAAATCTGCACAGAAGCCAACGTTCATGGCCTTTGCGTCCTCGTGTTTAGAAAGCTTCCGGAATTTGATTCTGGAGTATGCAGAGGATGAGCATTTCATCCACACCCTGGCCGTGCAAAGGGCGTGCCTTGTACTTTCCGCTATTATCAACACGAAATACACGAAGATCCCCACAAGCAGCCAAGCACCGTTATGGAGGAATGCCACCGTCACTGCAGTGGTCATGGTCGAAGCTTTGCAGAAGTGTGTGGGCCACAGAAGGTCACGGCCGGGGGATTTCTCTCACCTAGATGGTCTGGCACTAGACATCACCTCCATTACGGTCAGTATCCTGAGCTCTGGTGGTCTGTCCAATCCACCTGGTCCAGATCACACAGAAGAGACAATCATCGACGATGAAACGTTCGACATCGAACACTTTCGACTGCTACACGAGGCCATCGTACCCATTTTCCAGTCTTCACAAGAAATCAAAGAAGACGCATGCAACGGATATGGAGTTGTCCTATTCGAGGCTTCGCTGCTAGCGAAACCTTGGTTCTACGACTTTCCAGATGATGTCAAGAATGATCCGTTGAAGGGCTTGCCACAGACGAGGCCTGGCAGTGTCCACCGGCCTATATTTGCTGTGAGACGGAGAATTTGCTACGCGGCGCTAGACGCGCTGTTTGGGCTCGTCTCGTGGCAGGAATCTGCGCATTCGAGCGAGGCCCCGAAGGATATTCGGGACGCAAGTTCTAAATTGGCCTGCGCAGCGGCCCCTTATCTCATATTGCGTGTAGCACACCCCTTGAAGACGTTTCTAGCTGACCAGCGGCTGCGAGGTCTGACTCCGCCGCCCGAGCCCCAGCAAGCGGAGCTACAGGTTGTGCTGTCCAAGTTCGTCGAGTTGAGGAGCGATGGCCAGGCGATTGCCAGAATGACGCAGGCTCTTGAGGTGAAGCCTTCACAAGACGACGCTTCTAAAGGATTGCTCGTGGCTATGCGAAGATTAGGAGTCGGCGAGGTGGACGACGGCAAGTCCCACCTCCGCATCCTCTACGGCATGATGCTGCGCGTCCAGAAGTTCTGGCAGGGACTGCCGAGATTGAAAGGTCCCGGGGCACGGGCGTGGCAAGACGACGAGCCGGGCAAGGCGGTCGAGGCAGCGCTGGAAAGCTGGGGAAGCGTTGTTGGGCAGGATTGGGGGTTTCACGGGGTTTGAGCAGATGGGCGGAGGGAAGGGTTTCGAGAGGGAAAGGATGGGGACTGGGCCTTGCGCAAATGACTCCAACGACGATCCGAAGACCAGAATCGGAGTGCATCACTGATTTAAGAGAACGACAAAAAGGAAATGAGGATAGAACTCTCGAGACTGATTGGTGCATGGAACAACAGTGCGCCTCGATAGATCTAGGCTTTGATAGTTGGAGCGTAGACGGCCATCAACTGAGTAATTGTGGGACGATGCGCATGCGGTCCTGAGGGAAAAGCGATGCATAATTCTGGCAGCTGTCGCCGTACGACTGCCTCGTCGAGCAAGACACGCCATGAGGACCACCGGAGTGAGACCCTGGCCTTGCTGGGCATCGTACCAGATATCCGGCGGTCACCCCGTACCCCAGAATGACACTCCACAGTGAGGCAGACTCGCATTGACACCAGAGGCCCAAGGGTTGGACTCGTATCTCGTAGAATACTGCCACTTTTGAGAGACGCACGATCGCCATCCAAATCCCACTGGACGGGCAAAATTGCCCAGTTTGAGTCGAGTTCCACGCACTGTAACCTTATGCAGGCGCTCTCAATTACTTTGGGAAACCTTTTCCCGGCAACGGTCCCCCCCACGGCCAATGAAGAAATGCTTGGGAGAGGGCTCCTGGATTAGGCAGGTGTCGGCGGAGTATGGATGGGCAGCTTGCCGCCGGCGCCAGGCTGGTCTGTCGCTAGCGGGGGAGCCAGTTCGGGCGCCTGTCGGTAGAGAACTATTTCCGACTGCTTGAAGTAGCGGCGGGCGTCTGTTTTGCGAGATGTCAGCTGGGTCCAAAGTTGGAATTGCGCGCCTCTGGAGGTCCAGCATTGAACGGGTCGTCAAAGGCCGGACACCAGGCCTAGTGTGGGGACATGCGGGTGCCGAACGGGTGACTTGTTGCACGTGTCGGCAAATGAATATGGGCACTCGAGTGGGGGGCAGCCAGAGCATGGAGGTTTGCACAAGCAAGGCTGATGCTCACAAAGTCTCCTGCGCTCTTACTGAAACCAATCCTCGGCAGGTTGTTCAGAGGGGCGAGAGTGTCATAGAAACATACCTTCGTCAATCAACACTAGACTGAGGTAGTATCTGGTGGAATATTTCTTGTTCACCTCTCGGAAGGTGGGTGTCAGGTCAAACCCTCCTAGAAACAGTCGGATAGGGATTGTTTCACCTAGACTCTTGTCAGTACATCACTGTTGTTCGTGCTTGGCCTCCAAATCGGAGGACTTCCCAATATGTGTGGTATATATCGGCATGCCATTCCCACACATGGCGTGGCAGGGAAGGGAATCGTACCTCTTGATGGTGAACCATCCATAATCTGATAACAATGTTAGCAGCTTGAACATGCAGAACCACGAAATACACACCTCAAACCGCACCAGCGTCTCGCTCTCGTTGTATTGGTTGGGGGCGACACCGGTCGTCTCCCTTCGGATAATGGACAGCTCCATATGTTTGATCTTCAATCTGACCAGCAAGAAATAGATCCGTCCGACGATGACGTCCTTGAGGTGGTATTTGCTCTTGGAGTATTCGAATTCGATGTGCAGACAGTCTTCAATCCCGACATCCATCTTTATCGAGCTGTTTGTCTCCGGGGGTATTCGGTAGGAATAGACCCAAATGTCCTTTTCCCGGATGACATCGGCCATCCTTCTCGAGACTGTGACGCGCACAAAGTATCGTAACTTGACGTTGATGCCATTGTATGACTCGTACTGCTTTTCGACGTTCTTGAAGTTGAAGGGGAATGTCTGAGGGTGTTGCAGTTCTCCCGGCGCGGCTAGTTCCTGTCCTAGCGACAAGAATTCGTAATGGTTTCCTCGGTCGAAGAACATTTCTAGACGAGCTAGGGTCAGGTTCCAAGGCTTCCCCAGCTCAAACCTGTGTTTTATTGTGGCGTACCTATCAGTCCGATGAACTGGACCTTGATGCCAGTGTGTTCCAGTCTTTTCCCATCCTTTGGTCTTATTGTGACTGCGCCTTTGACGGATTCGCCATCGAGATATAAGGGAGCCTTTTCCCGTCTGTTCTTGTCAAGCTTGACATCGACTGTTTGCCGCTCGTCGGCGTCTTCGAGGACGATGTCGATATCGACAGGTGTAGAGAAGAAGAATGCTGACATAGTAGGAAAGGCGGGGGGATGGAAGGGATGCAGCGGCTGTGGTGATCTAGCGTATGGATGTTAATGGGAGGATGTCGTCTGTGGATGTGGGAAATGCAGCAGAAATGTCGTCGCTCTCAAAAGATGAGCTGCGCGACAATTGTATGTAGGAGCCTACCTGTTACAGCTGCGCTCAGTTGCCCCAGATCAGTGCCAAGCCCCGTCAGGTTTAAGCGACAAGCGACTTTACATCTATCTGGTTTTGCCTGCACTTAAACCTCATTCACAACTCAACGCCACAACCTGTTCAAGCCATCGAGGGGCTCGGACAGCATACGCAAAGGCATGGATTATGCGATACCTCAGCATCTGTTGTGTTACGAGACGATGGCCAACCACCGTTCACACCGAGCCCACCATGCCCTGGACCAGCTTCACTGTCCTTCCTCAAATTGCTTTCCCTTACATCAAACCACGTGTTTGCCTCGAGACGATCTCCATAAGACCTGAGTCATGTGCGAGAGCAACGCAAGGCTGTGACACTCTCGCCGTTGACCCAAGACAAGACAGTTGGACGCTGAGAAGCGCGCTGTGGCGGACCAAGAGAAGAGTCCTGAACGATGAACAACAAGTGGCCGCTGTGGAGTCTGAGTCCATCTCTATCCGATCGCTGTCGCTGTTGGCCTAGAGCCTCCCTGCCCTTCGGGCTTCCTCGTCGTCTTCTACCTACAAGACATCTTTGTTGGGATCGGCTACTGACTTGACTGCCCCTCCGGCGTCAAAATCTGATGGTTCAAATGCCGATCACTTGGGTTGCTCGTTCCGTCTTCCCCGCAGACCGCACATTCTCCAAACTCTCTCACACCATTGACTCGTCGCGTCGCTGGTCTCCGACGATTTCGATCGATACGAGCATTGCCTCCCCGGGCTCGATTCCACCCATTTCACCTTCTTCTGAAGCTGCATACGGCCATCTCGGTACCGCAGCCCAAGACCGTACCTGATTTGCTTGTGCCACCCGCACGCATGGCCAGATTTTATCCGGCAAGGCCGCCGGTCTGGGTGGATTTTCTGGGTGTGGGGTAAGACCGGGCAACAGTCACCCTGAATTCAATCCAGCTCTGTACGACGTCCATGGTGCTTGCCGTCTCGCCGTCTCGAGACTTTGATTCTTTCCCATCCAACATTCCTGCACTGACCGCCACCAAAAACAGCAATTTTGGTGATCCTGACGGCAATCTTCAAACCTACCCCCCCTCATGAGTTACGTCCTTATATCTCACCTTTCCCCCTCCCAGTAAGTGATCGGTTCTTTTCCTCTTCCCCTTCCTTATGTTTAACTTCCTTTACCCCCACGCACTTGTCTTCTCGTTCGCTGCTTCCTGTTTGATCGCGTGTCTATCCGGCCCTAAGTGCCTTCTCGTGTTCGCTTCAATCGTGACATCACCCGTTTGCTTTGCCTGACAAACGCCGCCATGCTGTCGACAGAACGAACTCCCAGACCTCATCCCTTTCGGCACCCTCACCGACCTATTTCTTCGAACTACGGGACCTCCCCACGAGTCATGCAAAACGGTACCGACCACCTGGAGCACATCTGGATCGTTACCGGTCCTGCAGGATGCGGAAAGACGACGGTTGCTCAGCACCTTGCTGCCGAGTTGTCGTTACCCTACATTGAGGGTGATGACGTATGTTGCTCTCTACCCTTGACTCGCCTATGTTTAGGCTAATGCTAGCACAGTACCATCCCATAGCCAACAAGCAAAAAATGGCCTCTGGAACCCCCCTTACGGATGCTGATCGCTGGGATTGGCTGATCACCCTTCGAGAAGAAGCCATCAAGAAGCTCCAAACCTCCAACTCGGTCATTGTCACATGCTCGGCTCTCAAGCGCAAATATCGCGACGTCATCCGAGTCGCCAACTATGAACACCCTTCCGTCCAAGTCCATTTCATCTACCTCAAGGTTGACGAAGCAACGCTGCAAGCGAGAGTCGCAGCGCGAGTCGGACACTATATGAAAGAAGGAATGGTCCACAGCCAGATGGCCACGTTGGAGGAGCCGGAGGAAGAACTCGAATGGGATGTCATGCAGGTCGATGTGAGGGACGACAAAGAGCAGGTCAAGCGACATGCACTAGACCTAGTGCAGCGCAAGCTGAAAGAATATGACGAACTGGTGGTGCAGCAACAAGCCTAGTGACGGCGTCTTGGGTGTAGGCAGGCATTTGAATGTCTTGGGTACCGGAAGGATCAGACCATGAAGAGAAAATGATTTGAGCATGGGCGCAGGGCGTTAAGCAACGGATTGGAATAAGGCAAGATGGCTGGCAGAAGACGCCAACATCCAGAGTGTACTAGTAAGGGACGGCAAAAGAGGATCTAAACGAGAGGAAGGGAGTAGCAAGGACGATGGCTTTGGGCGTCACTCTGATACGTCTTGGAAACAACGCGTCAAATGGTGCTTCTTCAGGTTAGGTGACCGCAGTTCAGGATATTTTGTTACACACAGTGCAGTACGAGCACGGGCTCTCACAATGGAAAAGGCTATTGAATACCTCAGAACTGAACAGGGTCAATCAACGCAGAGTCCGCAGAGTTGAGAACAAGAACCGGAACCGATCCTCGGCGCACACAAAAGTAAGTCTATTTGTCATTATGTGTTGTCCGAAACGGACTGAAACCGGCCACGGGGGGCTATCAAGCGACTCTGTCGTCGTCGTCGTCCCTGGCAAAATGTGCAGTATTGTGCCGGTCATGTTTGCCGTGTTGTCCAGGAGGCAATAACTCCACTGTACATACGAGAAAGCTCCTCCCGCCCCGAAAAAACACCCAACCAGCAAAGCCAATGGGTCCTGATGGCGATCAAAACACCAGCCATATGCCCATGAAACTCCACAGTGCACCGCTCCAGAGACGCTCTCCCTTGCCTGCTGCCACATTCGGCGCCTCCTTCCCCACGCCGTTCCCTCCCCCGGTCACACCGGCGGGGACGCTACAGCTCGTCGCGCCGCAGACGTAGCCGCTCGGACAGCACCCGCCGCCGACGCTCGGGGCGCAGGTCGACCAGCCGTGCGCACAGTCCCCCGTCACCTGGGTGCCTGGCGCGGTGATGCCCGAGCCGGTGGGCGCGACGATCGTCAGGGTGCTGCCCGAGACCAGCGTCGTGGAGGGCAGGGCGGGACAGGACGTCGAGTCGCAGTCGCGGCCGATCTGGCAGCATCCGCCCGGGTAGTAGGCCGAGCAGGCGTAGAAGCCCGTCGGACACCCGGTCACCGGGTAGGAGGGCGACGTGGAGTGGGTGGTCGTCGTGGTTGTTGTCTCCACGGTCGTGGTGAGCGACGTCGGCCGCACGGGCGGCTCGGGCGTCGCGGACGACGACGTGGAGAGCGGAGGACAGTTGGAAGAGCCGCATTGCCGGTCCGTCGGACAGCACCCGCCCCCCAGCGACGCCGGGCACGAGCGGAAGCCCGAGGAGCAGGTGAGTGGCAGCGTGGTGGCGGAGGTGACCGTGACCGTGAGGGTGACGGTGGAGATGACTGGAGGCAGCGGCGTGACGCTGGAAGTTCGGGTTGACGTTGCGGAGGTGGACGTGGTCGTGGATGTGTGTGTCGTCGGCGTGGGCGTCGAGGGCGAAGGCGTGACCGTCGTGTAGCTCGTCACCGTCGTGGTGGAGGGCGTTGGATTCGTCAAGATCGTCGCGGTCGACGTCTGCACGCATCCGACCTGGTAGCACGCGTACCCCGGAAGACAGCAGCCACCGCCGGGGTCGTTCGGGCACGAGGTATACCCGCTGGCGCACGACGTCGAGAGCGCATTCCCGCACACCTGACCGTCGGGACAGCATCCGACGTCACCCAACCCGTTCCCCGTGTCCTGAACCAGTTGGCAGGTGTAGCCCGTTGCGCAGCAGCTGTTGGGTCGATCGATCGAGGTGCAGGCTGATGTGCCCGTCGGACACTGGAAATCTCTCTCTGCAAAGAGATGCCAGCCTGGGAGTAGTCGCCGGAAGAGGCGTGGACTCTGGTAACTGTCGTGCACCCGGACTGGGTGATCGAAGGATGTGAACAAGGTCGCGTTGGCCCAATCTAACGAGCAGTTGTTGAAGTCCTCCTCCTCCTGCTCCTCAAAGCCCCAGTACTGCAGATAGAACTTCTCCCCAGGATCTCCGCTCATTTTCCTCACCCCGGTCGGGATGCTCTTTTGCAGCTTCTGCTGTACTTTCAAATCCCGTTTGACCATCAATTCATCTTCGGGGTAGTATTTCGAATCTGGGGGGAGATCGTAGGGCCACTGTAGGGCCAGACCTTGGGGGGAGACTGGCGGAATCGAGCTGGCGATAAGGACCAGGAGCGACGAGGGTAGCGCTGCCAGTTGCAGCCATGGTGCCATAGGCACTGTGCAAAAAGGGCCGCTATCCGGCTACGAAGATGAGAGGCGGCGCAGGTGATTTGAGAGGACGATGTGAGGATGGCACAAGTGCAAGGGAGATGAGGGAGACTGGCAGAGAGAAATCCTTGACCAGACCGGAGTTAGTGCTACAAAACCCTTACAGTGACATTTACGACAAAAGTCTAGAGACATGATGAAGCATCGGAACTTGGTGGCATTTGTTGGCAGTGTTGGCACAACGAGATGGCTGGGATGATGGTTTCCTGCGGCCTTTGGAGAGATGGAGCTGCGCGGGTGAGACGCGACCATTCGGCTGGGCGCATTTTGGTGTGGCTCCTCCACTGTGTCCCACTGCTGGACTTCCGTGTCCGCACCCTTCGACCCTTTGGCTATACCGAGTATCCACCCATCCTCGCGTCCTCATCAGCCTTGCATGTGGTCGTCTTCGTTGGCACATGTCTTGCATCCTGCATCTCACACACATACGCACCGATATCTGCTTCCTTCTTTTGACCACGGCTCTGCTGCCAATTCCAAAAGACCAGACCGAAGGGTATCGCCGGTACTGCTGATGCTCGGCGGCCTCCTAATATTCTCGGATCCATGGCCTAGTATGTGCCTGCCTTCAGTCCCTTCAATGATCCCAGGCTCAGAGCCAATCCTTGTGACCGTGACCGAATCCGAATAAATCCCACAATCGAGTTGTCCGCCGTCTTTTCTATGCTCAAATTCGCTAATGCATCCTCCCCTAGATCCAGAGTTAGGCACACTCGAGCAGTTCACACAGAGCATAATCACTTACCGAAAACACTCCTTGCGTATAGATTTGCACTCAGGAATTGACAGTCGCCTTTCAGGCTGGCTTCCGGTGTCAGACACGTCATATTCGTGCTCTTCATGAGCTGATCCAAAAACTCTCGCAGCGTCTTCGTGGTCGCTTTGCTGTTGATATTCACCTTGTTTTCCCATTCAAACTCGGTCCACATTGTCCGGAATGCGGATTCAGAGCATGTTGCTGGCTGAATGTAGTCCATGATATCCGCATGTACGTCGTTTAGGATGACAACATGCGTGTCTGTTCCCGAGGGTGAATCATAAACGACATTGCCAAAAATCACGCCTGTGTCTGTGCTTGACACTTTGATGGTTGATTGCACGTTGAGGAAGTCGTGGGGTCCGAGATTGTGTGTAGTCGGTCGTTCCACCACCTTCAAATCACCTAGAGTAGCAAACTCCACCGACAGGTTCTGGAGAGTCTCAGTCGTCTGATTGACCAGCAGTACGTCGAGGATAATGTCAAACTGGTGCACTTTGACATATGCCTCAGCGTATACAGGATCTGAAAATCCAGTAAGCTGCACCACGCGACTCAGCTTGGATGACAGATCTTCAAACGAAGCATCGCCGCCTGTCGCTTTCTCCAGGTCAAGCTCCATTTCATCTGTGCCGTCGCCCGCATTCTTCTTTGACAATTGTCGTATTGAAAGAACATCGTCCACTTGGACGGCTGTCTTTGCCTTTTCTACTGCTTCTTTCGCCGCCCGTTTCTTCTCTTCGGCCTGAACCATGGCCCGGAAGGCCGTCCTAGTGTCGTCCAGGAAGGATACCTCTAGTTCTTTGCGCTCCGTGAACTCGGCCAAAGCTCGTACACAAGACATAATTCGATCCACGGAATCCTCGTCGATGGGCGCTTTCACAAACTGCGACTGGCCAACTCGGACAACCGAGATCATTATCAGCATGGCCTCAGCACGCAAGGCGTTGGTGCGTGCCTGGTCCGTTGAGATCTCCGAGTGACGCATAACTAGTTTTGTCAAGGTTGAAGAAAGCACCGTCGCCAGGTAATAGTCACCATCGAGGATCAGCTGTCTCAGCGGAGGTTTCTGCGCCGCCTTAACTGCCTCTAGTCTTGCCTTTGCAGCGGAGTCGCTGGTCAAGGCGCTTTCTGTCGCATATGTGCCATCGGCAAGGATTTTCCGTGATCCACTGGAGGCTGGCTTGGGCGCGGAGTGGCCATTGACCTGGTCTTTCGGTTCGCCATCCTCGTTCGACTGCTCGTCTAACAACCGTTGTTCCGAGGCGAGTATAGGGATTTCCCCAAGGCTCGCCCGGATCCGTTTCCAGGCCTCCTTGATGTCGTTCTCTTGCAGCGAATATTCGCCAATCACCCAGAGCGAACCACGATATACCTTTCCTGCACGGACCTCGCCCAATGTCGACACCAGCCGTTCCACGATGGATGATCTCAGTTTAGGAAATTTCTCAACTACCTCCTTGACAAAGGAAATAACGTCCACTGCGGAGCTATTGTTGAAGTCTGCAATGAAGTCCATCAAGACGTCGACGACGCTGGCCGCAATCTCCGAGAACTTGATGGCGCAGTGGTGGATAGACTGGATGAGGAGCTGTCGGTATTCCGAGTTCTTTTCATACTGCTCAATCACAGTCTTGCTCAATTCTTTCTTCAGGAGCATGACAATCTCTTGCACATTCTTGCTGGAAACCATCTCCAATGCAATCGCCAATGCCTTCCTCCGAACGTCCAGGTCAGGGCTAGATAGAACTCGCAGGATTTCCATGGTGAGATCGTCCAGTACGCCCTCGTTTCGCCTCCGCAATTGGTCAACGCGATCAAGCACGATAAGCTTGACGTTGTTGTCCGCCTCTTTGATGCTTAACTCGATCAATTTACCAGCAGCTGCTTTGACAGCCACCGGATTGTTCGTTAGAGCCGTCAGTGAAGTCGCAGCTTCATAGACAACCGTGCTCGTGTTGGCTTCCAACAGATCAAAGATTAATCGCAAATAGCGCGCCTTGTTTGCTTGGTTTTGGACAGCGTCTTTCCGGATAAACTCAAGTTCGACCAACTGAAGCAACTCGTCGGCGTTGGGCACTCCGTCCAGGACTCCGGTGAGATATTCCAACGCTTTGTCATGGCTTATACTCATCAAAGCCGCAAAAGCATTCCTTTTGCAGGTTGTGTCGCTCTCGCCAGCGAGGAACGTGTGGAGCATCTCAGGAGCGTCCGGGATCAGGTGCTGGGCGTTCTGGTATACAGAGGCCAAGGCCCATACCGCGTTCTTTCTCACGTAGGCATGCCTGTGGTCAAGGCAAGTTTGTGCGGCAGAGAGGAGGGGTTCGATCAATTCGGGTTCTCGGAGTTTAGAAAGGAAGCGGAGCGTGTTGCCTCGAACGAACTCGTTAGGATGCTGGAGATCGTTCCGAATGCCATTACTAGCGGCTGTCAGTCTCAAAGTTCTCATGTTTGCAGAGACAACCAAGCACACCAGACAAGAATCATCTCCTGCTTTAACTTCCCACCGGCGTCCAGCTTTGGGCAGATCTCGTAGTAAAAGTAGAGCAGTTTCTTCAGAGACTTGCTCTTTGAGGGCATGACAAAACGGATAATGTGCATCAATAGATTGGGCATGGGATCGCCATTGAGCATGATTGTGAGAATCCTCCGCATGGTTTCCAGCTTGGTCTCATCTGTGCCCTTTTCTAGTTGTGTCTTGAGGTCCTGTTGACTCGGCTGGTCCGCTGTGTTGTCAAGGTGCACGAGACTGTACGAGTTCTCAAGGAAGGTCGCCATGGTCGCGGGACTGCCTTCAGCACGGACGAAAGAGATCAGGGAAGGACTCTAAAGGCGATTGAAAGATGTCGATGCCAGTTGCGCGGAGGATGGTGGGCTGTGGAGGAAGGACTCAAAGCATTGTCGTAATTCTCTGAAGGCAGTTCCGGAAGCGTCCCAGAGATCAAGAGATGGACCAAGGGTAGAAAGCGAGAGGGAGGACTTCTGTGAAGCCGTTGACAACTTGTCGTGGGGGAGACTGCGACCACCAGACGACGCATACATAGTGATCTGTCCAAATGTGGATGGCCTTGGCGGTCTGTTTGTAGCGGCGAGGGACTGTCCCTGAACTAACTAAAAGTAGCGAGGGCCATGGCTGCTATACTGCCGACCTGGGCGAGTACGCCAAAACAGCCTAGCTCATCTTGGCATTCTTTTGAGCTTGAGCAAGCGATCGAAAGGTCATGTCGGCGCTCCCCCACAACTAGTTATCCTCTTCTCTACCGTATACGCCGCGTTCGGTGGCACGGGTAGCAATGAGAGGTTTCGCTAAGCTGCGGTGGCGCAAGTACAATGGCTGAAAGGCTCCGGGATGCGACGGCTGAGGATTGGCAAGCTGAGGGTTATCTCCCCGGGCTCGGTCGATGATACCGAGCTTCAACGTTCTAGACGTGTCCCATAATGGGCCAATGGAAGAACTCTGAGTTGTGCACCATCAGACGAAATCCAACAATTGAAGTCTGGTTATTTACCAAATTGCTATCTTCACATCAATTGGAACTTTTTCATTGCTCGTCGACTTACCGATCCCTCAGAGTTGGGGCTCTGTCAGTTGAGCCATCTACGCGGAGTCCTCTATTCTTCAACATTCCTTCGCGCCATAAGGAGGCAGCCATGACGGGTTCGGTCGATTGCGTCACAGATCTGTCGCAGGTCTCTCCTGTCTTGCTCCGGAAATATATCGACGGCTGTCACATGCTACATCAACATGATCTAGTGGACGCGTATGGCCATCTTTCCGTCCGTCTGTCCAATACGACCTTTCTGATGTCCAGGTATCTGGCGCCGGCTTTGGTTGCTTCTCCTGAAGATCTTGTCATATACAATATCGAAGATGCACAGCCTGTGAAACCAGATGCCCCAAGAGGTAAGTAGAGGTCAATAATACTTTTTGGACACCGCGAACTTGCTTCTGTTGAATACTTTGGATACCAGTTTAACGCAGACGACACAGGTTTCTCAGAGCGTTTCATTCACTCGGAAGTGTACAAAGCCTATCCTGCTGTCCAGTCAGTGGTCCATTCACACAGTTTGGAGGTCGTACCGTTTTCAATCTCCACTGTTCCGTTGTCAGCTTGTTTTCACATGGCCGGTTTTCTGGGGACTGCTGTTCCAGTGTGGGACGCGGCTTCAGTGTACAAAGACCATCCGTCCGACAACCAGGACATGCTGGTCAGGAACATCAAGCTTGCCTCCTCGCTCGCAAAGGCGCTAGGGGAGAATGGTCAGGTTAAGCATCCAGTTGTGCTCATGAGAGGTCACGGTATGGTGGTGACATCCGAGAGCCTGGAAATGTGCATCTTCAACTGTATTTATACGCAACAAAATGCACGGGTTCAACGCAGTGCCATGGGGCTGGGCGGTGAGGTGAAGTACTTCACCCAGCGCGAGGCACATGATACAGGAACGACAACCGGGATGGGAGCTGTAAAACCATGGCCGCTGTGGGAGCAGGAGGTTGCCAACGAAACCATGTACCGTAACCAAATATCTCAGCCCGGGTCAGGACGGGACTGACTCAGTTGAGTCTGCGAGACAACTCGGATATGCCAAATAGCAGACATTGCAGTGTCTCAAGAACCCCTGTCGTCTAACGAGGCCATACAAGGAGGGCAAATGTCTCTACTAGCAACATTAGGTTTGGCCTTCTACAACTATCCATTGCAAGCTGCCAGTAACAATGAATGACGAGGCGGGAAGAAGATGATGTTAATGCCAAGCCTGATACCCCACCCTCCGCTCTATTTCCCCGGCCACCCCGGCACAGCGTTCCGAGGGCGGAAATGAAGATATCTCCCCTTCCAAAATCATCTCTACTCCGCGTTTTCCAACCTGGTCAGGAGACAAAGAATCACACAACCTACGAACTGTTTCCTGCAGGATGATAGCCGAGTCTGCTACTGCTTCGCCTGCGGACAACGAGCAGGATGCCACTAAGCAACCCTCCAAGAGACGCCGCATTGGCTACGCCTGCGACCTTTGCAGGTGGGACTTCTGACCCCAGACTCCACCTGGACCGTTTGCAGGGATGTGACTACTGACGCCTTTCAGACTGAAGAAGAACAGATGCGATGGCGAGCGACCGTCTTGCCAGCAATGTCGACAGCGTCGGCAAGAATGTGTTTACTCTCCACAAAGAGCGCGAGTGAGCGTCACACAAGAGTAGGTAGTCCCGTATCGTGCACTGCGTGGTCTCCCATATTACACAATCTAAACGGCAAAATGCTAACACTGATATTCCAAAGCTATGTTGAAGAGCTCAAGATGCGAAATGAGATGCTCGAGAGACAACTTGCTGCTACGCAACAGGCCAATTCACGGCGATTGTAAGTGCTACCGTCAGCGCCGTAATCCACTCTGTATAATGGCTCACGCATGAGAAGTAATGTCCCTACACTACCGGGAGAAATGGAAGGCTCTGCCACGATGCCCAGCAATGATGGACAAACGATCAATCCTGGTACCCAATACATGTCGCCCTCACAGAATCAGATACCGGACCGCCCTCGTGCAATCGATCAACAGCAAGCCATACGATTGCCTAGCGAAAGTCATACCGCTGCGTCTGATCCAGCGACTGTCTTGAGTGACGCGAATAAGGGTACTCCAACTGAGTACTTTGGCGAATCTTCGACTTTCGATTTCATGGCAAAAGTCAGCTCACCAGAGAAGGAAGTATCGACTGGTCGGTCAGGTGGTCCAGCCAGTGGATCTGCTCTAAGAGACCCTAATACGTCTCTCGCAGCCTCTTCGCCATCAGTCCCGTTGTTCGAGCTCTTGAGCGCCGAGTCTGACGATCCATTTGGTTTGCCATCCCGATTCGTGGCTGATCGTCTGGTCGACGCATATTTCAAGTACCGACATCCGCTCAACCCTTACTTGCACGAGGGGACGTTTCGACAGAGATATCGGCGATTGTGGCTTAGTCAGGATCTAGGTGGGGAGGAGGCCACACAGCAGAGTCTGGCCTGGTATGGACTTGTCAATCTTGTGTTTGCGTTCGGAAGCGATCACGCCAATGTCACCGGCCGTTCAGCTGGTGATCGGTCTCGTTACTTCAAAAGAGCAAAGACACTGCTTGTGTCTGGGATGTTGCAAGTCAGCACCATCGAGCTCGTTCAAGCTTTGTTACTCATGGGTCAGTACCTCCATGGAGCCCTCGAGCTCAACAACTGCTGGACCGTTATCGGACTTGCAATACGCACAGCACAGGGACTAGGGCTGCACCTCAACCCTGTCACCTTTACTTCAGATATGATTGAGCAGGAAGTACGCAAGAGGGTGTGGTGGGGCTGCTTCGTCCTCGACCGAGTTTTAAGCATGAAGGTCGGTCGGCCCACGATCCCGGACGGTCCAGGAATCGAAGTGGGAATGCCACTGGCAGTGGACGACGAGTTCCTGTCCAACGAGGAGGGACAGTCCGTTCAGCCTCAAGGCGTGCCTTCCAAGCTGGAGTATTTCAACCAGGTCATTCCGCAGTGCCGGTTGATGGAAAAGATTTTGAAGACTCTGTACAGTGGCGATGGACCCGGAGACAATACGCAGAAAGCGAGGCCAGTAATGGATACCACTCAATTCCTGGCCTTGTCGATTCAGCTCGATGGTGAGTTGACCACATGGCAAGAGAATCTTCCTAGTCACCTCAAACCAGGAGCAGAAGGCTTAGAGTGGCACTTTGAAAGGCAGAGAAATGTGCTGCTGATGAGGTAGGCATCATCCACTCTTGGTCTTTTCGCAACGGGCTAATTGATAATTCTCTCAGATACCTCCACGCGCGACATCTGATCCACCGTCAAACTCTGCTGCTTTACATCACGCGGCGAGTCACAGACCCTTTCCAGCGCGAAATTATGCTTAAGTGTGTCAAGCGCTGTGTAACAGCGGCTTACGACTCGATCACTCAGATGGGGAGCTTGCATCACCAGAATAAGCTATCGTCGTTCTGGCATAATTCACACTGTAAGACGCTCTCTGGTTGCTGTTCTGACCGACGCCACTGACTCTTCTCTAGACGTCTTTGCGGCACTTGGTGTCTTGCTGGTATATCAGACGGTGGAACCCCAATCTAAGGCAGATATCGCTTTGCCTCCCAATGTGGACGTTGACCATGCTGTCAGAATAGGCCTGGAGCTGCTCCAGCGCGTGGGTGGTCAAATGCACCCTCTTGCATCTCGATATGTCCAAGCCATTCAACAACTGCGAGCTAGGCTGCAGGCCCTGCCCTCATCCAGAAGCAAGCCCCCTTCGAGAGAACCAAGCAGTTCTGACAGGCCCGGGGCGCCATTAGGGGTTGCGACTTCTGGCAACGGCAGTCAGCCACCAGTACATGCTAATGCTATCGGGTATCAGTATACTCATCAGACACCGCACCAGCAAGCTGTGAACACTCTGTACCCTGCCTATTCACAAGAAGCTTATCAGCCGACGCCGGGTGAAGGATCTCTGAGAGCCGGATTTGAGGACGAATTCGCAAACATTGAGAGTATGCTCATGGACAGCACGGGCTGGACAGGTTTGATGGACGATTGGAGTGATAATCCGGTACATACCCCCTCATACCCCGGTGATACCGCTGGACGCCTGACTAACTGCTTGCCAATCCTAAGACCTACGCAAGATTCACATACAACGGATTTGCCTGAACCTCCCGGCTCCACGCAGTCCACGGTCTAAGGACTGTCTTCACGTTGATTCCAGTACAATCCGCCACCTCCTCGTCATCCAGGAACGTCAGATCTTCTTCGTCTTCATTGTGCTCATGGCTGGCATCCGATTCCAGCTTCAACGAGCTTCTTAACATCACCGCCGTGGTCTGGACAATGGCATTGTTTCTCGTATAGATCGAACGGAAAACGCAGTGCTCGATCGACGTTGCAGCCACAGTCATCCCGTGCCCCCGCATCAGTACCACGCTGCGGTCTAGTTGGCCGCCACTACTGGCTGTATTGGTGAATAGTGCTGCAAGTGCAGCGCCCAGATGCTCGGACCGGATCAGAAGGTCTTTGATGTCTCCTGGCCTGAAGTGTGGACGTGGCTCAAAGATGGGCGTTTCCTTCCCTGCGATCAAATTCAGCTTTCCAGTTCTCGTAAGTTTCGCCTCGTCGTACTCTTCATCTTCCTCAATTTCCATGATGATGGTGATCAGACGGAAGAAAGGGGGCTAGAACTGCCTTGAACGGCGGTTTTATATTATAATCGAGACTCACCCAAAAATCCACTCGTGTTGACGCAGGCCTTCAGCCCCGATCCCTTCCCTGCCAACAGACCCCAAGGAATGACTTCCCGCGCATGGCTATGGCAGACACTCCTCACCTCCCCAAACCTTTTGTACAGCTCCGAATGGATGAAACGTTCCGTATAGCCGCGAGGGGCATGCGGGTCCACGGGTTCCGCGTCCTCGACGCGGTACTCGACGATGTCATCGGGCGAGGCGACCAGCGCAGCGGGCACGTACCGCGCCATCAGGAAGACTGACGGATTTGCCGGGTGCCGGACGCTGATGTGGCCGTAGGCGTCGAGGACTTGGCCTTGGTGGTGGAGGATGTGGTTGGCGGTGATGAGAGTGCGTTTGGCGGTCTGGATGTCCATCTTCTTCTGATCTTTTATCCTCCGTAGAGAGTGACTTGTTATGGATGAGAACGAAATGTTAGTGGCAATAACGACGACAGCGATGACCACGGCCGCGACCACGAGTATTTCCGAGATAAAAAGAATGACCAACACCGTTTCCAATGGCCACTTAGACTGGTTCTCTTCGACTACAAAACAATCAGACCAACCCTCGTACCAGATCCAAGACCAATGCGAATTACTGCAGAATATGTATTCGCCCAGCTCTGTAAGTCGACAGCGCCGCACTCAGTGAACAGTCTCCTGATACCTATCTTCCTACATACCACACAAACAAACACTTAGTCCCTTAACTGGTTTTTTGGCCGGTCGAAAACCACCCAAATATTTATCTCCCCGGATCGCCCGCCACGCAGCTCCGCCTTTTTTTCCCCATCCGGCAAATTCAAGTAGGCCAGAATACGTAGCTATCCACCTCTATTACTATCCGGAACCCAGACTGAAATCGTGGCGCTGTGGTGGTCTGATCCTACACAATTTCCGCCTTGTCGGATCTTCATCGTATACAACCGGCGTGGGTTGCCAGCCTTGTACCGGCGTCACGAGGAGAGCGCGAGGAAGCAGGAGAAGGAGTGTGGCATCATGACTGCCGAGGCACTCATTCTCAACGCCGACAGATACGGTGTAGCCATGTCAAATATTGCGTGTGTCTTTATCAGTAAGAGCCCTCTTCCGCTAATCCATATATTATCATCAAGCTTTGAAGCAACGACACGGACCGTTTTATTTCTATCCACGTAGCACCAGGACCCATCAGGCAAGGCTGATAGCTTCGGGACAATCATGCCTTAACCTCTTCAGGCGCAGATGGCGTTTCGACCGGAGGCTTCGTATCCGGCACGGGCTCATTGATGGACCTCCATTCTGCCGCAAAGGCCGTCAGGAAAGCAGCGCCACTCATCGCAGTCGTGAAAACCCATGCGTCCCTGAGACCGATCATGTACGAGGCAACAACGGCCGCGAGGTCTCGAGGGTTTGGGAATGCTTGTCGGAGTCCTGTAGCGCCTGCAGCCAGCACGTGCGCAGGGGTGACAACCGAGTTGCCAACGGGGAGCGTGTCAACCAGGCGATTGTTGAGGATGGCCTGGCCAGCCGACACACCGAAACCGCCGCCAACAAACTGGGCAACTGTGGTGATACATCAGTCTCCGCTCCCTACCGACTTGTAAGCGACCATGACTTACACATCATGATCCCCACAGTGACAGATAAATCCTGTCGCGTCGAGACCCTCTGTGCTACCATAGCAGGTAGCTGGATGACGATGCCCTGTCCAACACCTGCAATGACCTGGTATCCAATCCAATGCCCAGCCGACGAACTTGGATCCAAAGTATAATATAGACCAGATCCAATCGTGATCAGGATGCCACCTGCCCAAAGGAAGGGCTGGTAATACCCAACCTTCCCCAGAAGGATGGCGCAGCTGAAAGTTGCGAGCGCTTTGGTAGCCGACGTCAGTACAATTTCCTTCAAAAAGAGAGCCTGGCTATTTCATACAGAATGATAGCACGCTGGGAATTGTGCGTACACCACTGTCCGACGGTGAGACTCCTTGGACGGCCTGAAAGTAGATTGGAAGGGTGTATGTTCGAGAGACACCACCAGCATTAGAGCTGAAGACACGAAATGGTTAGTCTCAACATCCACCACCAAGCTTCTTGGACTTACACGAAGCTATAGACGGCACATGCTGCAATAGTACGACTCTTCAAGAGTCGCTTTGGGATTGTAGCCGCGTCGCCCTGTATCCACTCGGCGACAACGAAGGCGATGACAAAGAGCCAGAATCCAACGAGCAAGCCAATGGAAAAGCTTGAGTTCCAGGCGTGCTTTACGCCACCATCTTGCAGCACAAGGAGCAAGCAAATCCAGGCCCCCAGCCCCAGCGCAACTCCCAGAGCATCGAACTCGCGCGGGTATTTCCTCCAAGACGGCGCTGTGACAGAGTGGGAATGTGACGGTGTGGTGAAGAGAAAAAGAATGATGAGAAACGTTGCGGCTCCAATGGGCAAGTTGATCCAGAAGCACCATCTCCAGGTAAGATCTTGGGTGAATACTCCACCAAGGACGGGACCCAAGACGGATACACAAGTCCAGATGGCGCCAAACAGTCCCATGACTATGGACAGACGCGAGGGCTGCATAATCAATGCGGCAATGATATAACATCCCGAGGTCAGGCCTGCTCCTCCGAGACCCTGGACGGCACGACCAGCAATGACGGCAACGCTATTGGGAGCCAGAGCGACCACGAGACTTCCAACTTCGAAAGTGAAGATACAGCAGAGGAAGACGGTCTTCTGCGGAAAGTACTTGTATGCCTTGCTCCAGACACCTTGAAACATGGCCAGGCACATCAGAAACGCAGAGCCATACCATCCGACCTGGTCGATACTGTGGAACTCCTTTGTGATGGTGGGAATTGCCGTGGCGATGACACTCTATGTCGAGGATTCACGATTAGCTTTTGCTATGTCTCGGCTAGAAAAGACGAGGTGTCTACTTCGTACCGTGTCAAGGCCAACGATGAACGTGGCGAGTAGCAGGGCAATGACTAAGATCGCTTGTTTGAGCGGGCTTGGGTAGGATGGCGCCGTTGCTGGGGGTGCGGGATCTTTTGACGTCGTCTCTAATCCCATTTCCGCCTCCAGAGTATCTCCCTTGCCCTGGACAATGTGGTTGTTCAGGGACGGCGCTTGTTCGGGGCGATGGTCCGAAGGGTGGTCTGTCAGAGTCGCTCAGCTAGCTGTCCAGCCAGATAATCAGAACAGATGAGGGCCAAACGGTACCTTCTGCCATGATGAAGCGAGCAGCGCTTCCTCGACAAGAAGCCAGAAACTCCAAATCAGACTCAGGACAGGGGGTCTGATTCAGTGAGAGTTGATTCGAGTGCAGGAACCGGAAGTGTCCAGAGCGGTAAATCCTTGGAAATCATCGGTTGTTGTTGGACAGTCGATGTGTTGTGTGGTTGGGACTGGGTTCTGTCTCTGTATTACCGCCCTGCGAGACCTCGACGGGTTATCAGGATCCCTATGGCAGGATATCCGTCATAGCCTAGTGATAGAGCCAGACAGCACAAAGCTACAATGCTCCTCAGAGCCCATAAAGATGGTATATCCAATAATTGTGAAAGAACCTCAATATCCATGCGAGCAAATATTCAGCTAGAGAGTTCGGGCTGACCTCATAACAGCCAAAGGCTAAAAATATCCGAGACGCGCGGAACAAGTGAAAGGGGTGGCGTCTCTATCTACTCAGGTCAATTGCTGATAAGCAGCTTACTCGGGAATCATGGCACTGGTGTGGCGCGGGCGGTTGGCACAAGACATGAGACGTCGATAGTGTCGGATCAACAACGTCTCAACAAACGCACAGATTATCCTGCCTATTGCTGCTCTCCCCGAAAAAATCCCCAACCGATCGTGCGAAGTATTCAAACCATACGGGGTACGGAGTACTGTGAGCGGAAGACGTCTCGAACCCTGCCACCAAAATCTAGCTTGCCACGCTGTCCGGATGACCTCAAGTTCGCCGCAATTGGCGCTCTTGTGACAGGGATCCCCGAAAACCAACAGGTGGATCATCAATACCCTACAGCATCATGACCCGACTTCGTTTAGTTGCATGCCCCTCATCGGGAGATGCCAGCCTAGTGAAAGACGCTAAGCCAACATAGGCTGATGGGGAATTGATATTGTGGAGAAGATCTCATACCTTTAGCCTCTTTCGACTAGTAGCCACCTCACTACAAGCAGGTGGGCATTCGCCGAAAGCAGGGGCTTGCCATGGTGTCCAGGAACCAACAGTGCTCCCTTGCACGCTCTATCGGTGATTCCTCCTGTGCGGCACCGAACAGTTCAAAAGCTCGACGATTTCGGCGGAGACACCCATGCTAAGCACAATTCGCCGAACCTCTCGACTTTTGCAGTGCCCTCCTCGTCTCCCCCAGGCAATCGTAGCGAAACAACATTTTCTTCACACCCGCCAGTGTCAAGTCTGGAAGTTCCTCCTCAGACAGGTATTCCCTCACCATGTCTTGTGTCTCCCTGCTGAGGTCGTACCCCACCCCCGTCGTCCGACTCAAAAGTTGTGCAGCGCTTGCCCTTGGTCTCCGCACGCTATCCCACAGCTCCAACCTTCCTGTCACCTCGCTCACGTCGGCGACTCCCTCCATAACCACTCCTAGGGCTCCTGCATCCTCGATTGCCATCCCCGCGCCGTTCCCGAGGGTGGGAAGCATTGGGTGCGCAGCGTCGCCGAGGACGATCAGCCGGTCCTTGTGGTACGTGGGCAGGGGGTCGCGGTCCGCCACTTTCCAAAGGTACATGTCCTCTTCGCCGCAATGATTAAGTATTTTATGGAGAGAAGGGTCGAAGCTCTGCATGCGGTCGCGGGCAACTTGTTTTGACGACTGCGTTTCTACTTTCTGTTCGCTTCCGGGCGCGTCGTCGACGGCGGCATAGAAGCCGAAGTTTTGGAGCGTATTGCTATAAAAAAACGGCCCTGTCAGTGGAATCTCTATCAAACTGAGCGAGATGACTTACTCCCGACAAGGGTACCGCAGAATCATCCGATCTGGTCTTGTGCCTAAAGTTACGGAGGTTCCATGGGGCGCAAGCTCCATAAACTCTCTCAAGTCCTCGTCCTCCACGAGTGCCTTGGTTGGCACGCAAACCCGCACATTGCTGATTCCGCTCAGCTTTGCCAGCCGCTCTCTGCCATCTTCCACAACAGCCTGGTGGGCTCTGGATTTCACGCCGTCTGCCCCGACCACAAAATCCGCCCTCAACACCTCCCGGTTATGCAGCGTGACCGAGCCAGCAGAGTCGAGATGCACTGCTGAAACTCCCTCTACAATTTCCACCGGTACACCTGCACCGTGACTTGAGGCTGCCAGGTTCCTCAGGCAGTTGTGCAGATCTGCGCGGTGCACAGTAGTCGATGGTGCCCCGTACTCTTTTTCGAGATGGGCTAATGATGACCGCAATAGTACTTGAAATGGCCGCTGGCCTGGTGCTGCTTGGATGAACACGTCTTCGGTGCAGTGCACCATACGAGCACCCTTAAAGTCGACCCCTAGACTTCGTAGGACCTTGTTTGCATTGGGGGATATACTTACAGCGAAGCCGACCTCGCGCTTATTGCTGTGCTTTTCCAGGACGATGACTTTGTGACCGGCTTGACGGAGTGCTACTGCAGTAGCCAGACCACCAATGCCGGCCCCGATGATTATCACGGTCAGCTGAAGAGTCATTTAGAAGACCGTCTGAGTGGCACAAGAGAGGACAGATGTGGGATTGAAAAGCAAAATGTATCTCTGAATGTCCCGAGGACCTTGATACTTGTGGAGAGTGAATTAAGCTTTCAACCGAACTCTTGATTGGGCGTCTTATAACATAACAAGTTGTAGATGATAGAGATATATCAGCTGTGACTTCCCTGGGCCCCTCGAGAAGCTCCGGCAATATGAAGGAGGACCGAAACTGGCTCTGAGGACCATGTCACGCAGCACGAGACAACCCAACTTCGGCGATTTCGGGGTTTGCAGGAAGGTCGTACCCAAGTATGCTTTGCTGGGCTCCCAACTTCACCTATAAGGTAAAATCAGTAACGCTATGCCATCTCAAATGACCTTCAGCGAGCCTTTCTCACGTTGAAAATGCTTACTCTCTTGTTTCTAGCTTGCGTCGTTGGAGGTGTTGTCTGGTTTTTGGCAACACCTCTGCGGACGGGATTATGGCGTTTTCCGGGACCGTGGTGGCGCAAGTATACAGGTAGCCATATCTCACGTTCCTGCTGATGCCATGGGTCGAGTAGGTCTAACATCCCTTCAGATCTGTTTCAAGTGCTCGATACATACCACGAGCGAACACGTCTGACCATCGTGCGGCTGCACGAGGAGTACGGTCCTGTGGTCCAAGTTGGGCCGCGAACCCTGCTTTTCTCGGACCCAGCCATGATCGAACAAGTATATGGCAACAGGTCACCGCTTCCCAAAGTATGTATTGGCCAACTGCGTGCGTATCCACCGAGCCATCGCTCATTCGGAGCAAATATCCTCTTAGAGCCATCACTTTAAACCACTACGACATGAGCTGAACGGCGTCGTATACCCGAACATCTTGGCGATGGAGAGCCCCAGAGACCATGCAGCCATTAAACGGCCGATCGCGGGCATCTATTCCATGTCCAACGTCACAAAGTCGGAACGCTTCATCGACGAGTGCATCTTCCAGTTTGTCCACCAACTCGACAAGGAGTTCGTTGCCGCGGGAAAGCCCCTGCCTGTCTACCAATGGGCGCACTTTTGTGGGCAGAGACACTTCCGTTGGTCTGCTTGTCGACCGCTAACATGCCCAAATAGTTGCGTATGACACGATCATGAAGATCACCGCATCCGTCGACTTTGGATTGATTCGAGGCGAGGCTGACCGAGAGGGCATGTTCAAGGGCTTGCATGAAGCTCAAAAGTTCCGATCTATGGTAGGCTCCGTAAGAGAGAAAAGCGATGCTTGCGGTCTGCGCTGACGTGTATGCGATGATCCAGGGCGTCTGCATGCCTTGGGTGTTTTCACTTCTCAAGAGGACTCCGTTGGCCCAGGTCATGATCAAACGCATGGGCTCCTTCCCGCGCCGGGCACGCGAGCTCATCCAAAGTAGGAGGGCTCAGGGAAGGACGACGACAAGACGCAATGACCGCGAGGACCTCCTCGACCAGCTCCTGGAGACCAAGGAGAAGTTCCCGCAGACCGTCGACGAGCTGGTCCTGCATGGCTACGCCACGACGCCGCTCTTCGCGGGCGGTGAATCGGTCGCCGCCATCGTCACAGCGGTGGTTTACTTTCTCGGCCAGCAGCCCTCCATCGCCGCCAACCTGCACGCCGAGCTGCAATCCTCCGGCCTCCAGATGCCGCCCCTCTGGGTTGAGGTCCAGAAACTGACCTACCTTGACGCGGTCATCCACGAAACTTTCCGCTGCTTCCCCCTCGGCGCAGCGCTCTCTCGCCGCGAGATCCCCCCGGGTCGAGAGTTCATCCTCGACGACGGCCGCCGCGTGCCAGCCGGCACGGCGGTCGCGATATTGGGCGGCGCGACGCATTTCAACAAAGACGTCTACGGCGCCGACGCACAGCTGTTCCGGCCGGAGCGGTGGCTGATGGAGCCCACAGAGAGCCCGGATGCCTACGCAGAGCGGCTGCGTTGGATGAGCAGGGCGGATTTGACCTGGGGCGCGGGTGATCGCGCTTGCATGGGAAGAAACATTGCGCGCTGTGAGATCTACAAGCTCGTGGCGACCATGTACTCCACGTTTGATGTGAGTTGAAGTGCTCTCTGTTTTGCCTTCACCGCCAAGATATGTTTGTTCTGACAGAGACTGATCGTTTGGGCAGATTCGACTCGTAGACCCGACGAAGGAATGGAAGCTCAGAGAGGCTTTGGGGGTGAAACAGGAGGGTGTGGAAGCGACGCTTAGTTTCCGACCGAGTGCAAGCCTCCACCAGCTTCGAACGGCGAAGTAAGAGATTGGTCTCAGCTGCCGCTCACCCGTAATCTTGAAGCACAGGAATCTATCACGCGCTCTCACGCAGCTGCGAGAACTATATATACTGAAGAGAGAAACGGGTAGAATGGATAGTTAGCCGCTCACCTCTATTACTCGAGAACGAAAAACCTACTTGCTATTTACAGTTTGGTCCTAGAGGGTGAGCGAAGGCCGCTTTAACCTGAGCTTTAACTGAGCTCTTGGCTGAGCATCACTGAGGCTCCCTGAGCACTCCCTGAGCAGACACACCAGGGGCTTATTCTGGCCCCTTCCGGTCGGCTGAACTTGCTTCTCGGTTAGGCACCCGTGTCAGACGAGCGTCAGGAACCTGGCAGATTCCCTGCCCTTGCAATACTGCCTAAACTTCCATGTGGAAAGTGGCGGACGTGTGGGTTGTGCTGATCTGACAGAGCCGAGAATCAGAATCCTACTCAGAGGGGTGTGAAATAAGATCCCCATTAACAGGATAGTGGGATCGGGTTGAGTTTTCCTTTCCTTGTCAATACTATAATGTTTTAGTTTCACAATTCTCGCCGATTGCACAGATACGTTTATCAAGAAATTGGCATCGATGAAAGTGGGTGTGTTGGGACTCGCAGAGCCCCGGTATAATAGTCACGAATCCATAGGAGACAGAAATAGGCAGCAGTGTTGTCGAACTTCCCACCGACATGCTCTTCACTTACTCTATGATGGCAGGCCACCGATCACTCTGGCTTATCACACTATTGTATGTCCCCATGGCCTATTAATAAGAAACTATGTACCTAATACTTCTAGCATCTTCAAATGTAATCGCCTTATTTATTCGAGGTATCTCATACATGAGACATAGACATATTCCAATTCCGAAGAACCCGATTCTCACACCGAGCAACGTGATGACTGTGATTACAATACTCTGGGAAAGCCTCCAGGCTCTTTCGGAAGGAATTCAGTACCATATAAAAGCTGGAACTCGGTACATTCGATATGCGCTCTTCCTGGTATTCTTGGTGCGGTTCAAGCTCCCTGGAGTGGAATAAAAAGAGTTGAGACAAAATTAGAATTGATGAATTCCAGGCTAGCTGTGCAAACAAACGAGAACAGCTTACATCCGCTATTGCCCATATTCCTCAAGAACGAAAGGAGGCACACAAAATTATTGTGTTTGCTGACGACGATATAACATTCCCTGAGAAATATACCCCGATGAATACTTGCGTCTTTCGAGCTGGACAAAGTTTGTGGAGCAGGAACATGTCAACGAGCAAGACGGCTCGCAACTGAGTCACCTCTGCAGTGAACTATCAATTGGATCTTCGCCGACTACATTGAACATCGAACTTTTGAAGATTTGGCAACGTTGAGGATTGATGAAGTTCCATAGTACTAGGAGACTCGAAAAGGGTGCCAGCAATAGCTTCAAATGCTTCGCGCTAAGTCTGCAATCGCAAGAAGAGAAATTGAAGATGTTCGAAGGAAGGATGGGCTAACCCGGAATATCTCACACAGCAAAGAAAAGCACCCGATTACTTATCCCGTTGACGAGACTCTCGGGTGGGTCCGCATGTTGAACCGCAGGACGGATCCAAAGGGTCTCCGTCGGAACGAGGATAGATGCGAGAGGCGAGAATATACGAGCTGTCCACCGGCGGTTCTGGGCTTTGAATGGTTCGTTGTAAGCGACGCCCGGCCTATATCGAGCTGCAGCAAGGGGGGAGAAGATGCCCTGGGACTTTACGGTGTACAACACTCGCTACACAGAGGTATGTAGGAAACTCACCGGCCGTATTTGCCGCTCGTACACTCGTCCGAGAGTGACTCCAGTATCAATACGTATTCCATATACAGATATATACATAGAGTCCGGGGCGAAGACTCGGTGAGAGCTCTACATCACATCACAGAGCGCTGAGCAAAAGAGGCAGCGATTGTAGTCAAGGCTGGCGATTGGGGGCCAACTTGTAAAAGGCTTCTTGCCGTGGCACAGAGATTCGCTCCCGAGTCTATTTCTTGATGTTCAGGATACTGGGTAGCGGGGTTCGTCGGTCACTTGCAAAGGGCTTCAAACAGTCAGGTCCGCCGGCCAGCCACTGGAGTCTTGTAGTAATGAACGGTTTGCGCGTTACAAAAGCCTCGCAGTCCTTCCGTCCCCAATTCTCCTCCAAGTCCACTTTCTTTTTGACCCGCACAGTACGCCTGAGCCAGGGGTCTTTCGTACCCGTTGATCCAAACCGTGCCAGCTTCGATCCGCTCCGCGATGGCATGCGCACGATCAACATCGGCCGACCAAACCGCGCCTCCGAGACCGGTGTTGGTATCGTTGGCCCTTTTGATGATCTCTTCTTCGTCGTCCCACCTGAGGACGGGCACGATGGGTCCTGTGGACATGCGTCAGACGCTGGCAAGGTTCGCTGATAGCCGCTGTCAGAAAAGAGGCGACTCACCAAAGGGTTCCCCTCTAACAATCATTGACTCGTCCGGCGGGTTGTCAATGATGGCAGGCCGGATGAGGAAGCTTTTCGATCGAGCAGAAGCGTCGGCGTCGATCGGGGAGCCAAGGGCAAATTTGTATCCGTTGTCCTCGGCATCCTTGAAAAACCCTCGAACAACGTTGTATTGATTTTCATTTTGTACAGGACCAAGCATGGTTCCCGGCTGGAGGTCCGAGGTCTCTCCAACGACCCAGCTGCGAACTGTGCCGACCATGGCCTCCAGAAACTCGTCGTATATGTCGTTGTGCACGTAGATCCTCTTGCTCGCGACACACAGTTGGCCGGAATTGAAAAAGGCGCCCATCGCGATTTGAGGAGCCACGACCGCTGGATCGACGTCTGGACACACGATGCTCGCACTGTTTCCCCCGAGCTCCAGCGTCACGCGCTTCAGCGTGGACGCCGTGGACGCCACGATTCGTTTCCCTGTTGCGATAGATCCGGTGAAACTGATCTTTTGAATGTCGGGATGCGAGCACATGAGAGGACCCAGCTTTTCATCTCCATTCAAGGTCTGCAACACGCCGGGAGGGAAGAGGTCCTTGACAAGCTCGGCGAACTTGAGCACACTATAAGGAGTGAAGGGCGAAGGCTTGACAATCACACAATTCCCCGTCAGTAGCGCGGCACAAACTTTGGACATGGCAAGGGCCAAAGGGAAATTCCACGGGCATATGGCAGCCACAGTGCCCATTGGCGCGTACCGCAGCGTCAGGCGGAGTTCGTCGTCATCTTGGATCAATCGATCCTCAAGCGGCTCGTGGGTTGCTGCGGTCAGGTCAGCCATCAGTGCCGCCTGTGTTCTTCGCGTGGTCTAGTGCAAACCGTGAAAGTCAAGAATAGCAAGGGCCTGTTCCACCTCAAGCGCTGCAAATTGGATCTGCCCAACATTCAGCGATGTAGAGGCCTATCGTGGGAAATGCCAACAAGATTACCGGCTTGCCACCCTCCCAGCTCAACAGTGCGGCAAAATCCTGCTTTGCGGAGTCGAGGATACTCTTTGCCTTCTTCAATCCATCTTGACGTCTCGCCCAGGGAGTGCGTGACCATGTCCGGAATACCTCGGTAGCCGCTGCAGTCGCGGCGTTCAGGTCGCTTTCGGTTGCGATCGGGACATCCCAGAGCGCCTCTTTGGTAGACGGGTTGATGGCTTGCTGAAACGGTGCACAATGCCTGAGACGGCCGTTGATAAGGTTCGCAAAGGAATAAAACTGCTTGTCAGGCCTGATCGGCTGCGAGTATGCCCGGGACTGCTTTACCGGCACCGGCGCCAGCATCCGGTAGCATCTTCGTGGCAAGTTACATGCGCCGGCCATGCTCACATATGCGGACAGTGAGTCAAATGTATGGCAGCGAGTCGTTGGATCCCATGCTGCGAAGTCGCTGAAAGCTCCTTAAAGCAAACATTCGTTATGCCCGTCAGGGCTCGAACGGACCGTTGTGGGACAAGGTCCAAACATCCCCATTCCGTCAGCTCCACGCAAAGCCGCAGCCTGCTGAGAATAATCTCTATGTGGAGGTGGGGGTGGAGGTGGAGGGAGAGGTGGAGAGGTTAGATTTTCTCCGTTGCAGCACAAAATGCCGATGATGGAGCTCTTTCAGTCAATGCAGTGGCGCCCTCTCATTTCGCGACGAAGCTGGGTAGGCCAGAACTGTGCCATTCTCATTCAGTGCCGTGTCTTGCAGGCTGTGCTCTACCAGTCATTGAAAGACCACCTGGAGGAAGTATCTGCGGCGGACAGAATGGTGTTTCGTTTGCAGCATGAGTCCCTGGCCTCTCATCTGTAAATGAGAAGGGTCTAGGGTCTCTGGAGGTCGGGTATCGGCAATGATTCAAGGTCGAGTTGAAGTTGACATCACAAAGCAGGGCCCAACCTCTACCCCCCCTGTACCCCTACGGCTGGCGAAAGCTCAAGCTCCGAAGAATTGGTAAATATCTCTCGGCATTCCACGTTGCGACTTGTCTCACCAGGGTCAAGAAGGCGAGGAAGATTTGTTGGGCAGACCGAAAACCTCCGGAACAAGCAACGCCTTCGAAGGACACCGGGAGGCCATCTCGGATGAATCTTCTGCTTGGAGATTCTCCAGAAACCATCTTCGTCACGAGTCCGTCCTCGTCCGAATAGCTCAGACCAAGCCCACCAATGTCGGTCCAGTCCACGTCGCTCAGAAGCTCAAACTGTTCGCAAGGCCCACTGTCTCGCTGAGTCTGTGGTCTCACGTATGAGTAGAGTCCCAGAACCAAGGCGGACTCGAACAAAGCAGTTTCGGATTGGAACATCATGCCATCGGAGATGCTTCGACGACTCAAGAGTCGGAACGTTTGTGCGGCGTGCAGGCATGCTCGCCGAGCGGCGGCGGTTTCAGACCACTGTGTGACAATTTTGAGGGCGGCTTTCGCACGAGCGAGTCCGTTTCTTCCGGCGGCGTCTTGGAATAGAAATCGATCTGCAGTGAGATTCATGCAGGTGTTGTGCCAGGAAACCAGACAGTTGGGATTCAGCGAGTCGAATATGCCTCTGTAGCAACCATGGACCGCCGACAACACCTTGACCGCAACTCGGATCTGAGGATCCTGGGAGAGTGCTCTTGCAGAGTCGACATACGGAGAGTGCTCGTCTGCAAGTGCCGAGAGACGATGCCGGCCCTTTGATATCAGAGCCCAACAAATCGCGAAGAGGCCATGCATTTCGTAGTCTCCGGTCGAGCGCGGCAGACTCAACACATGGAGTCTCACCTCCTTCTGCGAACCATGTAATGAATTGCGCCAGGCGTCTGCGTCCGGAGCGTCGAAAGATGCAATGTTGTAAGGGGCAACGTACTTGGCTAGTTCGAAGTGAAGGATCGGTTTTCTTTCGTACTCGTGAGAGAACATTGCGTCGCCCATTGACAAGCACACGCATAGTCGTTTGATGCTTTCGACGCGGGCCCACGCCTCCCATTCCTCCTGGCCGTTGGTGGTGTTTTGAAACGCCTGCAAGGCATCATCGCCACTGCTTACGGGAAAAAGGCTGTGGCGTTGGGCCAGCGATATGGCTTCAGAGTACATCATCCGTACACAGCCGTCAAAGAATTTGGCCGGTGTCATGCGTGAGACACACAGCAGGAGCATGGCGGAAGCTAGGTAAGCCAGAAGCTGAGACGGCTTACTCTCCCAATCTGTGCTCGAACCCAACCCTTTCCTGCATCTCCGAACAGCGGCCGGCAACAACAGCCCCACGCATCTGTGTGCGTCCTTGTCATCGAGATAGGTGAGACCTACTAGACACATGGCAAGGAGGACGCTCTCGTCGCATGTGCTGGCCCGGAAAGTGGCACGGTGGATAAAGGGCATTCGCGGGTGAAAGTGGCGGAAGTAGAGGTTCAAACTCACTGCTAGGACTTCTGAAGATGGAAATGGGACGTCCGGCAAGCCCGAGGAATTTTGGCCGCCGTGTTGTAGTTCCAACTTCCGGACAAGTCGTGACCGACATTCGCGGTCGAAGCCACAATAAGACGTGGCATCAAGCGCTTGCACTGGCTGACTCCTTTTCCTTGCACTGGAGTCTTGTATGGAGAACAAATTTCCTGTGCACTCGACAATGATGTGGTTCCACCACTTGGGGCACAATAGGTGGTCTTCTAGCCTGGCGTCGGACGGCCAAAGACGTTGACTTCCAACAATCTGTCTTGCGGATGCGGCGAAAGCCATCTCGGGGGCTATCGTGGTCTGCTTCGACTGCAGGTCACTGTATGTCATTGATGTTGCAAGGCTATCGACTCGTGAACATTCTGCCGGCAGCCGGTCGGCTGCATCGACTCGCCCATTGTGGTGAGGCAGCAGCATCGAACGGTCGCGTATCGAATCCGATGGCGGCGAAACATATACGTCCCGTTCGTGCTGAAGCTGACAGGCCCATTCCAACCATAAGAAATCCTCCGTTAGCCGAGTAGTTTCGTGGCCGTTTAAAGGTTCGAGTTGGTCTACGCCGAGATCGGCCGTGGGAGGGAGAGATGTCGAGCTCAGGCTGTCATCCAGACCAAGAGAGGTCCAGGGAGCCATGTCAAGCATGCTGGGCTCATTGGACTGCCCCGATAAGAATTCTGCGTAGATGGAGTCTTCGGAGGCTTTGTAGCTACCCAAGCTGGACGTTGGACGGCCGTGACGAGAGGAGGCAGAGTCCACAACCCCGCTGTTCTGAGCAATCGACATTGTAAATTGACTCAATCCGGAGTCGTAAGCCTCAAAGGGAGCCAGGCTACCACACAGGTCATACCGATCTAGCTCGGGAGAAGCGTCAATGGCTTGCAAATTCATAAGAGACCGCTGAACGTCTTGTCCGAAAACCCCCAGCGGATGGTCGTAACGCCCTGGGCCCGAACACTGCTCGACATTCTGGATAGTGCTGTCTTGCACCGTAAACGTGTTGAAATTGTCTGATCCTTCGCTGGCACCATCGTGGTGATCTTTTATGTGCCGACGAAGAACATCACTGGATTGGGCGCGTTAGCACGCAGGTTGGTTGGCGGGGATTTGTGCATTGGATGATGCGGGAGCAATATTGCCAGCGGCGACTGACCTTCTTCCATAGGACTTAGCACAATAAGAGCACTTGAAGGGTTTCTCTCCCGTATCTTCTCCCACGTAAAAGTCAGCTGCCGCTTCCTTTGCGTCCCCACGACCACCTGGGCGTACTTACGGCTCCGGAGATGGCGACCTAGATGCTCGGCCTTGGAGAATCGACGGCCGCAGAAACGACACGTCTTATCGACTGGGAGCCGCATCTTGGTGACTGAGAAAAATCCTGGCCCACCAGAGAAGGCGTTCTAGACTGGAGGCGTCGTCCTCGGAACACTTAATTCATGCTGACAACTGCTACTCTCAGAAGGGCTGAGGTGTATGCAGAGTGCCGGTTGCGCCGCGATGCAATGACACCTGGATATCCAAGGACGAAGGGAGTTACGACAAGGCTAGACGAGTCGATTACGGAGGAATCTCCCTCCCCCGCGAACTGGGTTTTAGAGAATGCGGGGCAGCTGACGCACATTGATTACAGGGCAAGTCATTGGGCAGTCGGGGCCGGTACCGGGAAACTAATAGACTGTGTTCATACTGCGTATGCATTGCTTGTACAGCTCCGTAAGCTCCGGTGAACTCGGGACTCGGCAGTTACACGCCCGCGCACCATCCTTGTGCAGCCGGACCATACATAGGGCATCATCTTGGCCCAACCCTCCCGTTTCTATGATTCGATCTACACTTGGACGGAGGGTATCTGACCGCTCTGCTGGTGCCTCAATCCGCTGCCCGTCGTCGTACGGTCACCAAGAGTGAACCGTCCAGGTCTGCGACTCCGAAACTGGACGTCGGCGGCATCGACGAGTCGATGCTCGTCTTCTCTACCAGAGAAAAGTCGTACTTCGCAAGAAGACTGACAATCAGTTTTCGGATCTCCATCGTCGCAATGTTCCGTCCTATGCAAGCGCGATGGCCGGAGCCAAATGGCATCAGATATTTGGCCTTGTCATAGTCTGCATCCTGCCATCTTTCTGGGCAAAACTCTTCTAAACGCGGGCCAAAGACCTTCTCGTTGTGATGCAGAACGTAGTTCGAAATGCTCACGTCTGTGTGGCCAGGAACGAAAGAGCCCGCGATCTCTTGTCCACCTCGCGGTACCACTCGTATCAGTGGCATCACAAAGACCGGATTGATTCGAAACCCCTCGCTTATGCAGCTGTCAAGATAGGCGAGGTCTGAAATGGAGCTGAACGGATAGATGGAGGAATTGGTAGGGGTGAGGACGGTGTCTATCTCATTTCTGAGTTTTTCAAGCTTCGCAGGGTTGTGGAGCAGATGCCAGAGGAGCAGTGTCGTGCTGGCTGCGGTAGTATGCGACCCTGCGATGATGAAGCCGAAAGCTTCGGTCTGTACATCCACCAAGTCAAAGGTTCTGCCTTTCGAGTCGGTGCCGGAGTCTAACTCTTCGAGCAGCCGCTCGAGCAGATCTCTGCGATCTCGGGGAAGATTCAGTTGGGCGTTGACGGAATCGATGGCCCTCTGGTAAGGGTTAATGAATGACTCTCTGTCTAGAACGGCGGTGGCTCAGTACTGCCACTTACAAGTCGTAACAACTGTCGCCCCGAGATACTGTCACGGATCTTGCGTATTGGAACGTTCTGGAGGTATTTCTGCACATAAGGGATGACCCAGGGGATCTGCCCCGACACCATGGCCAGTTTCACCTTGCTTGCCGTGAGTCACCGAGTGACGGAAGGCGTGTAGAGCACCGAGCACTTACATGGGTCCGTAGACTTTCGAGGATATCTGATCCTCCCTTTTCGAGGGCCCCGAACGAGCGTGAGAAAGCAAGCTCACCCAGAACATCAATCACGAAGAGGGAAATCCAGTGCTTCAAGTCGATTGTCTCGGAGTCCTTGGCCGCTAGGTCCAAGCGTTTCATCAACTTTTCCATACACTGGTCCATGTAGATTTCCATGCTCGACACGGACTGGATCGAAAAGCTGTACGCGACCGCCTTTCGTCGTGCGGAATGGACCTCTTCATCTCGTGCGCCGAAGAGGTTTGGTCTCAGGGCGGTGAAAGCGTCGTAGAAGTGACTAGATGTACCTGAGTAAGTACAGAGACATAGCATGGAGTCTGAGATGGCTTGCAGTGTACCCCTTTTCGAAAGAACGCCCGGCCCCGTATATTGACTTGAGCGCCCCACCGTCGCTCACACTCAGATGGTTAGGACCGATGCGAACGATTGAGCCGTACCGCCTATGGAGAGACAAGAGGGTGTCCTCATAGTGCTCGCCAAGGACCTGCTGGACTTTCCAGAGATTGGTAATGGAAGCGAGAAAAGGCCCGGGGAACTGGCGGAGAGGGTGGAAACAGCATCGGTGGACAGCCAAAGCCACCAAGACAAAGATACAGACGCCCAAGCCTCTGATCAATATACTAAGCACGCCCATTCTGAACGGAAATATGGACTGAGAATAGATTGTTCCATCAAGAGCTCGGCCAGATGAGTATAGGTGAATAAATAGGGAACCCATTTTGCATGTGGCGCTCCTGAATGCCGAAGCCTCTACCGTGAGGGAGACTGCACGCTACCAAACACCTCCGCAGTCGGGAAATTTGGCGATACGATATAGATGAACCTGACTATACCATTGTACAAGACATGACAGCATCGGATTGGCATACGCTAGAGACGCTATGTTTTCAAACAGCTTGCGCCAGCTCCCAAAAACCTGCAAGGTGCAAAGACCGTCTTGACATCCTCGGTGTTGTTCTCAATATCTACGTGAGGACTGAGAATGTAGGGACACGTCGAATCGAGCGTGGCCAATCAAGGTCTTGCCCCGGTGCCCCATCGACTTGAATCCTCTGGATGGCAAAGTGGTGGCGGAAACGGCGGTAGTGAGGTCTCCATATGGGGACTTTTCGGCCATGGTGTTGTACGGAGAATGTGGGGATCAGCGATCCGGGGAGCATTCGAGTGCCCCTCAGCACGACCGCGTAGCAGGACGGATCTCAGTCATCGGAACATTATAAAAGACAACCAAGCTTGCGGAGAACGACAGGAGCAGCACGCACAGCCTCTGGGGCAGAAAATACAGATCCTACGGCCACTCTAGTCTACAACACGCAAACATGGTGAAAGCTCATACTTTATACGACGACTTTGCTGCAGCCTCACGGCCGTTCCGAGCCGATGCAAGCATAGCCGACGTTGAGGTCGAGGGCGAGATCCCCAAAGAGCTCGATGGCACCTTTTATCGCGTACGTGCAGAGATATCCATTGTCGCTTCGTCGTGTCATCCAAATGCTGAGCGCAGGACAGGTGATGCAAGATCCTTACTACGACCGCGACTATTACCTTGACGGGGCCAAGACCATCGCGTTTGACGGGGATGGCAGCATCAGCGCGTTCCGCATCAAGGACGGGAAAGCGTCCTTCGAACAACGCTATGTCATGACAAAGCGTTTGGTCGCCGAAAGGAAGGCTGGCAGGTCTCTGTTTGGGATGTATCGAAGCCCGTTCTCGCACCATCCGTGTGTCAAAGCGGTCGCCGATACCACTGCAAACACCAACGTGATCCTCCACGCGAACAAGCTGCTTGCCTTGTGCGAACACGGGCCAGGATATGCGCTCGATCCAAGTGAGGTGCCCAGACTCTCTCTGAACAGCTCGCTGACGCCTGGTAGACAGCCTGCGAACCATTGGACATGACATCTTCCCAGGCCAAATCGATCCCGACCTTCCTTTCACAGCACACCCCCATGTATGCTCCATACTCGGAGGCGCGAGGAAGTACGCGCATAACTGATGGACACGACAGGTTGACCCCACGACCGGGGAGCTATGTGCCTTTGGCTACGGCATGAAAGGCCTCGGGACCCCTCAGGTAGGCTTCTTCTTGCTCCCCGAGGAGAATCAAGCAATAATTTCTCGCGCAGATCTCGGTCTTCATCATCGGCCCGGATGGGAAGAAGAACTATCACAGAGACCTTGAATTTGACCGCGAGGCTGTCAATGACTCTGGGATGATCCATGACTGCGCCATCGTGAGTTGCCATTGAAGAGCCGTCCGTGTCAATGAAGGTGCTGATCGGCCACAGACGGAGAACTATATCATTCTCTACAGAATTCCTTTCGTCGTCGACACCAGAGATATTGAAAAGCCGGGGAACCACCAGTGGTGAGTCGCGGACATAGCTTGCAGGCGTTTCAGTTTTCTATGAAGTTGACAAGGCTAGGTATTACGACGAGCAAGCTCCCGCCTGGTTCGGTGTCGTCCCGCGTGACCTGTCCAAGCCTGTGCGGTGGTTTCGATATAAAAACTGCATGGCTATCCACAGTGGTGGATCGTTTGAGGAAGACGGGAAGCTGTAAGTCTTCCTATGCTGTCCGAGGCAAGCCTCGAGCGCCCTCTGAATACGGGTCCAGATACTTCGATGCAACCGTAGCATCTCATAATGCCTTTGCTTTTCTACGTAAGTGGCAAGACCGATTTCTCCTACGGCAGAATCCGGGCACTGAACGCATAACAGCCTGTCGACATGGGCCAAATCCTGCTCCGACCGACATCACTGTCAACTACATCAGGTTCTGCATCGATCCAAATGCCGCGTCTGATCAGATGGAGGATCCAGGTAAGTCTGCACTGCGCGGGCGAGGGATCTTGTGGAAGCTCATTTTTATCATCAGAGGTCCTCTTGCACATACCTTGTGAATTCCCCCGTATCGATGAAAGATTATTGATGCGGAAACGTGAGTATCCAATTCCATGTGCTGGTGTCGCCGCTTACGATTTGTCCGCCAGCTCGATACACCTTTCTCGATTGTTTCAAGCCGGACGCTGGAAAAGAAACTCAGCTCTATCAGGGCCTCAACGCATTGGCCCGCATTGATTCGAAGAAAAAGGAGATCGAGTATTTCGTGCCGGGCCCAGAATGCCTTGTTCAGGAACCTACGTTCAGTCCCCGAAGCCCGGAGGCGCCGGAAGGAGATGGCTTCTTGATCACCATGGTGGACAACATGGCTCTACACAGGAACGAAGTGGTGGGTCTTCATCAACACATCATTCCAGGACAGGATGTGACAGGCCTCAAAGAAAAAAAAAAAAGGCTTCAAAGAAAAAAAAGGCTAACACATCAACAGATCATCCAGGATACTCGCGATTTCCAGAAGATCGTGGCCAAAATTGTCCTGCCTTTCCGTCAGTACTTTCAAGTATTAGCAGGCAGACCTCGGGACTAACTGTCAGTAGGGCTCCGGTCCGCCGTCCACGGCAACTGGGTCGATGCGACGCGTATTCCTGAGACAGAACCAGCCATCGTCCAGCCCTTTGCCGACATCTATCCAGAGGTTCCGACTGTCAAGCCCGAGCAACGCAAGGTTACCCAGAACGGGAACTAGAACGGGACCCAGAACGGGTGGGCGCATTCCAAGGCTTAGCTTTAGGGGTTGGACGACGGCCGGCCATCCACCCCGTCACGAGTGCTCTCACTATACCCTGATCGTATTCCTTTGCTGTTGTCTATGTGACATCCAACAATTTACGGGTCTGCCTAGGCTAGGTGGGCCATATAGTGGGAAAGGGTCATGAGGAGAGATATGATGTTGGAGCTATGCCAACCCACAACCTCATTGATATTCCCTAGTAGCTGGAGTCATTTCGTAGGCAAGTATGTAAATCACGACGAATGCTTCCTTTTTTATTGAGAATGAAGTCTGTCCTGGATAGTCACATTCCTTCGACGCTAGAAGCTCCAGTCTAAATGGTCTCCCGGGTTGTCACCTATATTTTTGCCGGAACATCGCAGGATTCACAACCGGAGGCCTGGCGTGTAGTCGGCAAAGTATAGAACTAGGGAACAAAACCCTCTTATAGGGACCTGAAAGTAGCGTCTCCCGAGTTATCGCTGATAATAGAACTTATCTTAGGACGGAGCTTCAACTACTGTGTGTTATTTGAGAACCTCGACAAGTCTCGACTAATTCAAAATATTAGAGCGGCAGTTTGCACGTAGCTGGTTTAAACTTACTCGTGACCACGCTGTGAGGGCTCTCTAGAGGTCACCAATAGATATAGCTATATAGGCTGCGTGTCACGGCCGGCCAGGCCTCCCCTTGGATCCACTAGGCGGTCCTAGGAAGTGCTAAGAGCGCACGCCCTATTCCTACTTATCGTAGACTAGGAGCAACCTAAGGGGTTAACTCTCCTAATAACCTAGATAATCTATATATTATATCTCCTATAGCTACCATCTATCAGTTGGAGCGTAGCCTGTATCGCTATATCTATCGGTGGCCCCTAGGGAGCCCTCACACTGCGAGCCAACTGATAGATGGCAGCTATAGGAAGCTGTAAAAACATAGATTATCCAGGTTATTAGGAGAGTTAACCCCTTAGTTTGCTCCCAGCCTGCGATAAGTAGGAATAGGGCGTGCGCTCTTAGTACTTCCTAGGATCGCCTAGGGGATTCAAGGGGAGGCTTAGCCGGCCGTGATAAGTGGGATCTATTTTGGTTTGCTCTCACTACATTACCCTTACATATACACTATTACTGAAAGTCGGACAGAGGCTCTTAATGCGTCACTAAAGATCTGCAATGTTCAGAGACGATTGTTTCATTTGTCCGAACCGCAGCAGCTAATCAAAAAGAGAAGACGATAGTTTTTCGTCCGCGACTACCCGGTTAGCTTCACAACACACTTCTCCCCCTTGAGCTCCCCTCCCCTCACCATCTCCATACCCACCAACACCTGCTCCAGATCGCCTGTCAGCAACCTGACCGGGTGATGTCTCAAGCGCCCCTCATCCAGCAGCTGCTGTGCGATCGCCCACAGCCTCTCCCCAAGTGCCAGATCCTCGTTGCTCGAGGGCCGTGCGTATGGTGCCGGCCAGACGCAGCCTTCACCAAAGAGACAGGGCCCCAAAACCCAGTCCGTCTTGACAATGGCGCGCGTGGCGACGCTCTGCTCAAACGGATCCAGCGAGACGTACTTGCCGCCCGCCCGCCCGATGGCCGCGAAGCAGAAGGCGGTGGATTCGACCGACGTGATGCAGTCGAGGGCGTAGCGCAGGTTGTTTCTGGTATAGGACTTCTACCACGGTGTTATGAGACTGAGAAACTTGAGAGTCGGGACAAGGGTTATTTTGCTGGGCACTTACTATCTGACTAGCGCAGTCTTGCTCATGATAGTCGAATGTCGCCTCGACGCCGTAAGATTTCAGCCGTTCGTAATGCACGGGCGAGCAAGCCGTAATGGGGATCATGTTGATACTAGCCGCAAATCAATCAGTGAGACCGGTCTGTAACTCCACTCATGTCAGGAATGTAGTGGTGGTGTTCCTCACAGTTTGAGGAGCTGAATGGCAATGGTCGCCGTTGCTGTCCCGCCGCCGTAGACGAGAACGTGCGCGGGCTTCTGCACGGGGGCGTCTGGAAGCGGCAGGCCGAGACGGTTCAAAGCCAGACCCGCGGTGCCAATGGCTGCGCTCATTGTGGCACCGCCTTCTGTGGTGATGGAAGGAGGCAGTTTCAGCCAGAACGGCCCCGTTGGGATGTTGTACTCCCCAAACGCCGCACGGTAGGGTCTTTTGGCGTTCATCTCGTACTGGGCGCCGCACACGCGGTCGCCGATCTCCACGGCCGTGACCGCGACGCCGCGAGCGACGACCGTACCCGCGTAGTCAGCGCCGAGCATGGCACCGGGCGTCACGAAGTCGCCGCGCATCTTGGTGTCGCTGGGGTTGAGGGACAGAGCCTCCGTGCGGACGAGGAATTCATGACTTTGCAGCGGAGCTAGAGGCGTGGCTTCGCGAATGCACACGCGGTCTCCTGTCTCTGCAATGATTGCACGTTGAGTCGTTGGCGGGAAGAAGCCAGCGGCTGTTTCAATACCCATGGATCCCATTTTGGCACACAACCAGAGATCAAGATGGTGTCGCGAGTCTTGTGCACCGGGTAAAGCGACGCTCTCAGGAGCGAGAGCCTGGATGCCTATTAGATTAATATGAGGTGAGGAACCTACCAAGTAGAAATGGCACTCACAATAGGTGGTACTCTACCTCCACCATTAGCGATATCCCTGGCCGCAACTATACAGAATGGCCTGTGAAGGGCGTGATTGGTCGGCCAAATAGTCTTGCATACTGGGGCAGGCCTGTGGGTCCACGGTGGGCTGCCTTAGCCTAATGCAGCCTTTCGGTGATTTTAGGCTTTCTTCGGACAATCACCTGGGATAGCGAAAGACATGGACATTTCAAACTCTCCAGAACGAAAGGAAAGATCCAGAAATCTATTTCGTGGGTAGGGGACGAAAGAAGTGGAAAACCCAGAGACAACCAGAAATGACGGTCAAGCAGGCTCCCAAAAAGGCCCTTCTATGCTTCCATGGGACGGGCGCAAAGGGGTCGATCTTCAACGTGCAGATGGCGAGGATCTGCTACCAGCTGCGGGATGTGTTCGAGTTCATCTTCCTCGAAGGCCCGCGCGAGTGTCCGCCAGGGCCCGGGGTGCTGCCCATGTTCAGCGGCCAGGAGCCGTACCGCGGCTGGTTTGGCGGGCACGACGTGACCATCGACGACAGCATACGGGAGATCAACGGCGCCGTGCAGCGGGGTCTAGACGACTGGAGACACGGTCGTCCGGACGCCGAAGTTGACATTGTTGGCGCCATCGGTTTCTCGGAGGGCGGGCTCGCGCTGGCTTTGATGCTCTGGCTGCAGCAGGAACAGAAGCCGCAGCGGGAGCAGCACAGAGAGCACCAAGGCCCATTCTTGTCGCTCCCACGACTGCAGTTCGCCGTTGTCAGCTGCTGCTTCTTTCCACGGGAGGCATCACTGTGGCTGAATGCGCGCGCTCAAGCCCAGGGCATGGCTGCTGCCCTCATCGACGTGCCGACACTGCACATCCACGGCAACCGTGACTTCTGTCTCGGCCGCGCACGCCAGCTGGTGCGCAACCACTACCGACCCGAGTGTGCCACAATCGTCCAAGTCGATGCCAGCCATCACATGCCCAACCAGAAGGACGACGTCGCCGAGGTTGTCAAGCACATTCGGAGGTTGGCGGGCGTACAAGCCAACGTAGCATAGATTCTCGTTTCTCATTAGCCCGGCGAAGAGGCCTCACAAATACTAGAGATGGTCGCTAGACCCCGAAGACTACGGAAATTTTGGCTGTTATAAGATATGCCGAAGATACATCTTCCTTTCGGCGGTATCGCTGAGATCCCGACAACCTATTTCAAGCCCTGGCTTTGGCTCCCTGATCCAACGTGGCGTCCGTAACTCTGAGGACGGGGTTCCTCGCAAAGGTATTCAGGATGGACAGATATCCCTGCATTACCACCTCAGCGGCTCCAGGCCCATAACGTTCCTTCCTCAGCTTCACCGTAATCAACGGCTCTCCTTTGCTCGGATCATCCCCCATCTGCAGCGTGATATCGTACGGAGTGCCAGCTCGAGGAATGTCAGTTTCAATCATCTTTGCCTCACCAATGCTTCCGCTTTCTGTCTGGCCTTGCTTGTAGTCGAAAATGGCCTGGAAGAGGGGTGCCTGAGAGGAGGGGTCGTTGGCACAGGGAGTAGTGGGCAGGCCGAGGCGATCGAGGATGACGGGTAATGGGACAGCGCTGTGGAGGAGAGCGGAGCGCATCTGTTCCTTGGTGGCGCTAAGGGTTTCATTGAAGACGTGGCCGGAGTCGTAGGCCAAGCGTAGAGGGAGGTAGGTTGCGAAGAAGCCCATTGTGGCTTGGTCGATTAGGGAGGCGCGGCCGGAGTCGGCAACGCCAATTGTGATATCGTCAGAGCCGGTTAGCCGAGCGAGCAGGATGTGGAACGAGGCGAGGTAGAAGTGCATTGAGTGGCTTGTTGCTTGCGACTACGGTCCTTGATACGAACCGCTACCATACGGTTGAGCCTTGTGGAGATCTCGTGCGAGGTCCAGTCGGGTGTTTCCGAGCCGGATGGGTTGGTAGCGGCGAATGAGAGGCTGGGCAGGCGGGTTGGCAGGGTTTGAAAGAGGTCAGACCAATAACTCAGGTCGGCATCAAAAGAGCCCGAAGTGAGCTGTGCACGCTGCCGGATCGAGTAGTCGACGTAGCTGGGTGCTGATTCGAGCGGGAGACCGCTGTAGAGTTGGCTGACATCGACGAAGAGGTGTTCGGTGGTCCAGCCATCGCCGACAAGACGATGATAGGCAATCACCAGAAGATGATCAGTGGGCGTCCAGAAGTAATCGATGATCTTCAGTGTGTCTCCCTTCTCTAGTTCGTAATTCGCCCCTTGGAGGTCCTTGAATGCTTCGTCGGCAGCGTGTCTGTCTGACACTTTGATGGATTGAAACGAATTTCGGGGTGATTTCATAACTGCTTGCAGAGGCTCCTGGAGTGAGGGGTCTGGATCAGAGATAAAACACGTGCGAAAGGCGTCGCTTCGCTGCAGTGCCTGCTCAAAAGCCCAGGCGAGGCGCGCTAGGTCAAGAGGACCTTGCATGTACATGCCAATGGTGCTGTTGAATGTGGTCGGATCCAGAGGAAGCAGCATCTGTTTCCACGTATATTCTTGCATGATGGAAAGCGCTGCCACGCGCTGAAATCCATCATCCTCGGCTTCAGATGCTTGGGACGGTGGCGTTGGAATGCCACTACTTTGCTCAATTGAGAAAGTGGCGCTTTCATTGGACGTGCCGGCGGTCGATGACGGGGTTGTAGGCGGCACGTCCTGGGTTGTCTGCACCGTCTCCTCTAGAGATCCAGAATCAACCAGCGGAATCAAGTCGGGATTTAAGCGAGAGACAGCTTCTTCGACCAAGTCGGCAGCAGAGGCGCCGCCTAGGATCTTCAACAAAGGAACGTCGAGGTTGAGATTTTTGGCGAACCACGAGGCCACCGTCACGGCACTCAAAGAATCCACTCCCTGGTCGATCAACGGAGCCGTCAGATTCAGCTCGTCGGCCGTGGCCAACAGCAAAGCTCCACGTATTCTGCTAGACACGCCCTCGAGGATGATGTCGCGGACCTGATCTGGGGTCTCAGCCTTTGACAATTGATCCTTGAGGGATGCGACAGCTCCAGTGGCTTCGTTGCCAGTTGTACGACGGTCAGACAGTTTGAATACGGTAAAGCGAGGGTCGTTATACCAGGGAATTCGATCTCGGTCCTTCTCGTCCATATGTACCATGCCGGTGACGAGCTCCACATCGTCGAGCTCCCTATTTCGGCCAGCCACAACAGCTTCCGCAAAGAGTGCATGGAGCTCCCACTCTTTGACTTCGTCGGCGAGGAACTTGCGGGTTTGGGAATCGTTCTCACGCCCGGCGCGGGAAATGAAGCCTACCCCAATGACAGCACCAATATCGATAGTCGATGCTGCCATGCCTCGAGCGCGTCTTTGCTGGGTTATTGCGTGGAGGTACGCATTTGCAGCACTGTACGCGGCTTGCCCAGGGTTTCCAACAACCATCACTATAGACGAGAACATGACAAAGAAGTCCAGGGGCTTTGCAGGATCAGACAAACGCTCATTCAGCAGGCGAACACCTGTTACTTTGGGCGCCAGGACCATCTCCATCATCGGGAGCTCCATGTTTTTGAACATGACGTCCTGCAGTAGGAGTGGCCCAAATGCCACCCCGGCGATTGGAGGCATCGACGCGTGCACTTCTGCAAGGCCTCTGTCGACGGCGGCTTCATTGGAGATATCCCTATTTGCTCGTAGTTAGCATCTTCTAGAGAAGCATATGGCCAGGGCTCCGACATACATGGGAAGCACCATCACTCTCCCCCCAGAACGAGCGATATCGTCGATCCAACGTTGGTCAATTTTAGGGACACGACTGGATAGCACGAGATGGCGCGCGCCATGCTCTACCATGAATCGAGCGATCGAACGACCCATATCACCAGCGAGACCGATCAGCAAGTACGTTTTGTCTCCTACAAATAAGTCGTATGACTCAATGGGGCGGATACGACTTTCGATGAGTTCGTCTGTTGTCCAGTCAATTATTGCGTTGATTAACGAGCTGCTTTTTGAAGCTAAAACTTCATGTCCAGCGAGGATAGGCATTCTGCCCATATCTCTGCCTTTCCGCACCGCTTTGACAGCATTCGTGAGAATCTGAGTCGCTGCGTGAATGCTCAATGTCGACACTGGTGTTGCGACGTTCTGGAACAGGTAGTCGGGGCCAAGGATTGAGCAGGTAGGCGGAAGACACTTGACCAGTCGACAGCTCAAGCTTGCCGGGTTCTGCTCGGCGACCAAGTCGTATAGTACAGAAATATTCGTTGGCAGTCTCTGGCGCAAGCTTCGCTCGGTCTCCTTTTCGTGTAGATGAATCCACCGGACACCGGACACCTGAGGTGCATCCTTAGTGGAAACAAATGTCAGTGAGACACCAGCAGCTGCAGCTTGGTCGCGGAGACTCTCAACATAATAGCTGGGAGGCTCCATGACAATGACACCAGAACCTTGGACGAGGTCGGACATCAGGGTGACGGCGACAATATTTGCTGAGACGTTAAGAAGCGGCAAGTTGTCCCACTCCTCTTTTTTTCCGACATAAATGACTTGACGAGAAGGAATGAGAACATGCGAAGCATTGCTGCTCGACAAAGCCAGCACGACTGTATCCGTGGAACCGACAACGCTGCCCTGAATTAGATGGTAGAACCCAAGTTTGCCGACTCGGACAGCCTTTGCGAGCGAGTACTGCACCTGGACCTTCAACAAGGTCTCGTCAAGTGACGAGGGAATAGATTGCTCCATATTTGCTCTGAAGTAAGGCGTCCCAGCTTCGTATTCTAGGCTCAAAATCTGCTTTCGGGGGTCTAAGCTGGCTAGGATGGGACGGCGGGCGGAGTTGAGTCGATTGTTCCTGTCTACATCGCGTTTGAGACGTGGTATCAGGACCTTGCCACCAGAAAAGTAGAGCTCTGGTTCTTGCGTCCATAAAACGCCGCTGTCCTCCCATTTTGCGCCAGTTTCCAGACGCAGGACGGTCTCGCCCAGGAAACAAGGTTCCAGATTTTGAACGCTGTCAACATCGAGCAGTTGGATCTGAATGTCGGGATATTCGTGACGCAGTGTTCGAAGGAGACCGATCGTCATCGCTTGCTGAGCATTTGCAACCCAAGCGTCTTCAGTCACCCACAAGACATTGTGAGCAGCGTTGAAAATGGTCTGTAGAGCATCAAACTTTTCGTCGTCCAATCCAGCAAAAGTGGGCTCATCAAGCTCTGAGAGTACAATAAATGTTGACCCGGGTTGTAAGTCGGCGTTGATGATCTCTCGAAGGCTTGGGACAGTATCCAACTTGCGTGCCCGGAAGATGCTGTCGAGTTGACTGAGGAGCTCTGCGGTCTTTGGTGAGGAGCCTCCAACGATAACTAGAGGGCTATAAGAGTCCTCAACAGGTACTGCCAGGGGCGAGTCCAACTTCTCTATTAAGTCGTCTACCGCGTGGGTGAGAAACACGCCGCTCGGGAAGGTCGTACTGTCTGGATCGAGAGAGCGGGTGTCGATGCCAGAGAACCCGGATCTCTTTAATATCCTGTCCCATTCAGCGTAAGGAACGAAGGGTCCCAGCACGCGACCTTCGTCATGACCGGACCACCAGTCTGGGAACAATCCAAAGATGAACCCGACACGAGTATGCTGGCGGTGTGCGATTTCAATGACAATCAATCGACCACCAGGTTTCAGCAGAGACCGGACATTTGCCAGAGTCGCTTCGAGATTTGGTGTGGCGTGGAGCACATTGGATGCCGCGACCAAGTCATACGAATTGGGCTTGAATCCCTGTTCGCTAGGGGGACGGCGGATGTCAAGTGGTTGAAACTCCATCTTTTCTGCGTGTCGCTCGAACTCTTTGGCGGCTGGCTCGAAGAAGGTGCGTGAAATATCGGTAAAGGTGTAGCTGTTGAAAGAGAGCTGATCGTGGTTCAAGAACAATCGCGTCGCTCCTCCTGTGCCCGCCCCTGTTGTCGTTGTTAGCCATCGTCATGGTTAGAGGCCCTGGTTTATACGTACCGACTTCAAGAACATCCAAGTTAGGGTATCGGTGATTGATTTGCTCGAGAATTCGTTGGTAGTAGTAATAAGATTGGCCGTAACTAATTTCCCCGCTGTAGAACTCGGTAAGCAGGCCGTCGTGGTCCAGCAGGTCGAAGGCATTCTCATCGTTGCGAAATGTGTCCAGAGCGGCTTCGCCAACTCTCTGGATGAGACGCACGAATGGCTGGGATATATTCCTTGACAATTGGTCAGCCAAAGCGTCTTCTGTGTCTATGCGAAGACTTACTCTCGAATCATTACTTCGATATCAGCGCGTGTATCCTCATCCCAAGCTGGTGTGTACCATACATTGCGACCGGCCTGGGTCTCACTGAGCACATGCTCACACCACTGGATATACTTTGCGAAATGGAAGGATGCTTTGTCACGATCCTCGGCGGTCACATTGTCCAACACAAATCTGATATACCAATATGTGATCCGCTCAATGATTGCAACGTCCCTCTTGTCCTGTTCTGTAGCGTGTCTGTCGACCTCGTCGAGCAACGCATCAGGATTCAGAGGACCCAAGCTCCACTTAGTATACATGTTGTGATCGTCTTCAGCGGAGGGCGGGAATGTTGGTTTGAAACCTATACCTTCGATGTGGAGCATCGTTGCCTTGGTCTCGGGGTCGAATATCTCAATATCGCCTTCAAGATTTGTGCCGACGCTTGCTACAGTGGTGGAAATAAAGTCTACTTCACTCGACAAGGCGTCGATCTGATCAGCAACCCACGGGTTCAAAGCGATGCGACCGATTCCCGTAGGAACGAGCAGGGATCGTAGACGCCCATCACCCGGAGCACTATAAGCCCCAATCATGCTCTGAAAGGCGACATCGAGAGTGCTAGGATGTATGACCATATTGCGGTGGCCATCTTCTAAGCGATGGAACTTGATGGAACCATGCGCCTTGCTGTCACCGCGTCTGAGACTGGTGATTCCACGAAATTGCTTGGTATAGTTATACCCAGCTTGGTCGAGCATATTATAGAACGGGTCGATGCCAACATCGTTAAGGTGAGCTGGTACGTCCAGAGGAGTAGGTAGAGCATCACGCATTACCGGCCCGTAAGTGATGGCGAGCGTGCCAGCGACGGAACGAGTAGGCCCGGTTTCTCTAGCGAGGCACGAGTTGATGGTGAAGCCATACATTGCATATGTATCCGTAGTTTGCGATTGGTCCACGTCAAGACTGAGGTTGAGTTCGACCATGCTGTTCTCATCCTCAAAGGTAACTGCCTTATCAATTTTGAGGTTCAGAACTTCCAAAAGCCGAATGCTTCGATCGCCACTCAGTTTGACGGCGGCTTCCATGGCCATGACAACGTAGCCTGCTCCAGGGAATACTGTCTGTCCTTGAAGTGAGTGGCCGTCGAGCCAGTCAATATCACGTGGCCGTATGAAGTTCTGCCAGTGCAGCGACGACGGAGTGCTGTGGGTTGAACGCCTGCCGAGTAAGAGATGAGGTCTTTCTGCGTCAAGCAGTGCACGTAGGGCGCGGGATTCCTTCCTGTATGAGCGTGAGTGATCCCAGGAGTAGCTCGGAAGCTGCTTGGACACATCACGGACGCTGTGTGCATCAATGGATAGGTTGCTATACAGCTTGTCAATATCAACAGCCGCTGAGCCGAAGTGCGCCCATAAGTACCCCAAACATGACGAGAAAGCTTCAGTGTCGTCTTTCTTCCGCTCCATGCAGCCGACATATGGAAGGTCAGACCCGGTACAGTTCTGGATAGTCTGCAGCGTCGGATTCTTCAGGGCAGGGTGAGCGCCAACTTCGATGCACATGTCAAGGGGGGTATGCTTCAGGACTGCTAGCTCAACTGCCAAGGAGAAGAGAACTGGGGAGAGCAAATTCTCTTTCCAATACTCGGCACTAAGGTCCTCGCGCCGCATGATCTTCCCTTCGTACACGGAAGAGAGCCAGGTGCTTCGGGGCGCGGCGGGCGGAGTGGAGGCATCACAGCTGCAAGCTCTCAAAGCAGCAACGTACGGCTCTGCGCAAGGACGCATATGGTGCGAGTGGTAAGCCTTGTCAACTTTGAGGACTCGAGCAAATCGCGACTCGTCAATCAAAACATCGTATGCCTCCAGAATGGCATCTTTATCTCCAGATAGGGTGACGCTCTCTGGGCCATTACTTGCTGCGACGGTCATTCTCCCTTCAAATGCCTCAAGAACGCACAAATCATTCGCGTCGTCGAAAGAGGTGCCTGCAGCCATCATGGCACCCTCTATACCATCTGGACCACGCGCGTATTCTGCGGTAAGGCCGCGAAGGTATGCTATGCGGATGGCTTGCGACGCCGATATGAAGCCAGCAGCGAAGGCGCATGCTATCTCTCCGGAGCTGTGGCCAATGACGACCTTGAATGTCACCCCTGCCGCTTCAAGAAGCTTGATCAGCATGATCTGGACCGCACAGCAAAGTGGCTGAGAAAAGGTAGCGTCGTGCACATTGGAGGCTTCTCCCTCGAGGAGAAGCTGATCCACGAGGTTCCATCCAGGTCGGTATTTTTCTGGTAAGCTCTGAAGACTGTAATCAAGCTCTGAAGCGATGCTCCGCGCATACGCAACTTCAGAAATCAGAACCTTTCCCATAGCTGGCCACTGAGCACCCTGGCCAGTAAAAATCCCTAGGATTTGGGGTTTTCTCTTCACATCCGACAATGTTGTGATAGCTTGTTTTCCCGAGACCAAATGCGCATCGCGGTCAAGAGCCTCGCAGAGTGCTGGCACGGTTTTAGCTTGGATGGTATGCCGGACTTGGAGGGTCGACCGCTTTTTCAGCAGTGTCCAGGTCAGATCTCGCAGCTGGAGGTCTGGGTGGCTGTCTAGACTTTGTTTGAGATCGTCCATGTTAGCTCTGAGTGATGCGATGGAGTTTGCGGAGAGAACAATCGGGGCCAGGCAAGGTGTTGGTGTTTGCTCTAGTGCTTCCTTCGAGACAGGGATGTATGATTCCACAATTATATGAGCATTAGTTCCACCAAACCCGAACGAGTTGACGCTCACACGTCGAGGTTGATTGAACTTGAGCGCAGGCCACGCCCGTTGCTCTGTCACGACCCGCAGGTCCGAATAGAATGGAGCCACTCTCGGATTCAGCTCATTGAATAGCATGTTTGGTGGTAGAACGCCATGTTGTATCACCTGCGATGCTTTAATGAGTCCAGCGACCCCTGCAGTGCCTTCGGTGTGGCCGATGATGGTCTTTATACTGCCCACGTATAGTGGGTCTTCGTCGACGGCACGCTCTCTGTCCCCAAAGAAAGCAGACGAGATGGCACAGGCTTCTTGTGGATCTCCTGCTTGTGTTCCCGTTCCGTGGGCTTCAAAATATTGACACCGGTCCCCAGGTTTCGTAATGTCAAGACCTGCCGTGTTGTAGACTTGACGAATGAGTGCCTCTTGTGCCGCAGGGCTCGGCATTGTTATGCCAGGAGTTTTGCCGTCTTGATTGATGCCGCTTTCGCGTATTATACATTCGATGGTGTCACCATCTGCGATTGCCTGCGATAGAGTCTTGAGCACCACAGCGGCAATGCCCTCACCCCTAGCGTAGCCGTCCGCTGCAGCATCCCACATCCGAGACCGGCCTGTGGGTGAGAACATATTGAGCTTACTTGCAGTGATAAAGGGGGTGGGGCCAAGAATTAGGTTCGAGCCGGCCGCAACAGCAACTTGACTTGCTCCTGTTCGAAGCTGCTGCACGGCAAGGTGAACGGCGACCAGAGATGAGCTGCAAGCAGTATCGATAGTCATACTGGGTCCATGCCAACCAAAAGCGTAAGAAACTCGGTTGGAAAGAATAGAGGCCGCGGCGCCGGTGGCTGCATAGGTGCTCAACGCATCCAGGTCATAGTTCGAGTTATCAAGAAAATCTCGTTGCATCAACCCGACATAGACGGCGGTAGGAGAGCCTCGGAGGTCCTCCATCTTAAGTCCCGCCGATGTGAGGCTGTCATAGACGGTCTCCAGGAGGAGGCGTTGTTGAGGATCGATTGTATCGACTTCATTGGGGGAAATGTTGAAGAAGCTTGGATCAAATGCGTATGGGTCTTCTTCGAGAAAGTATGCGTATTGTGCATTTGTTCGGCCATGATGAGCTCCATCAGGATGATAATAGCCCTCTATGTTGAACCTTTCCTTGGGAACTTTCTTCACCAAGTCTCTGGGCGATTTCAGAAGCTGCCACAGTCGAGAGGGGTTGCTCGCGCCACCAGGGAAGCGACAACCACTGCCGATCAGTGCGATGGGCTCTTTCTGTTGAGCTTCGAATGGACTCATGGCAATTTGGGCGAGGTACTGTGCCACGCGGTGCCTGTCTCTTCACATGGCTGAGCTTCTTGCGCATGGTCGACTCTTCATCATTAAGAGAGAATCGGCGTGGCAGGCAACTTGCCTCTAACGCCGACATTTCGGCCTCATTGGCGCCCATGTCGCCTGGAATTCTGCTGTGTAGCAGAGTCGCCAAAAGCGAAGCATGCACGCCGATCCCTAAAGGCAGTTGCATATCTTCCTGGGAGGGTAGGCGTGGTAGGATCAAGCAATGTCGTGTTGTTGCAGCAGGATTTGGCGAGGTTGGTTAGTGGCTTGGCTCCGGGCTAAGATTGGCGTCTTAGCGGACGGGGACCGACGGGTCGCGCCGACTCAGAGCCTTTCCATACTCATTCCAGCTCTGCCTATGCAGCTCTATGGAAACTACTGTAGAACTAGATCCTTGCGGCACGGGAAGCAGAGCTTAGTGGTCCTCGGTTGTGTCCCCGCCGATGCCTGGACACCTGTCAAGGCCACCAGGCCAAATCCCTGAAGATGTCTTTCGCAAGGGAAGAAGAAGAACAATTGTCAATGTAGATCATTCAGAGTCTCCCGAACCGGGGGGTCCCCGACGACAGACTCAGGCATTCACGTCGTCGGCTGCACCCCAAATGCAACTCTCTATTCTTCGTCCCACTTCTGAGAATGGGAAGGAGTCGTGTTATTCGATGGATAAGTGGTAGACAGGTGCCCCGACCTACACCGTGCAAGTATGCTCTCGTTAGCTGGTGGTCCACATCTCGTACCCCTCTCATCCATCCTGACCAACACAGGTTGAATATTGAGACGTTGTTATATCTCCGAACTACAGTGTAAAGCTTGGTGACAGGGGAAGAAGTAAGTGTTCCTGTAAGAGATATCTATACTGTATACAGTTCCAGGTATAAGACGAGGAGCCTCATATACAAGAGGCATAGAAGTAGTAATGGTCTATCTTCGATATAATGGGTGTGACTCATGAGTAACATGAGAGTGGGTGTTATCCGTTGGGTATATCGTGATTGTAGCAATGGAGCGGGGAATCTTGAGAAGTGCATAAGGGTGAAGCTACTATTGCATGCAATGATAACGAAACTGCACCTGTATATGAATTATCCGTTCCACATCCGGTCTTCCTAACAGTGGGGCGGGCAGTCCTGCGCAGCATACAAGGGTGAAGCCGCTTTTGCAGGCGGCTATACCGAGACTGCAGTTGCTTATCAGCAACGTTGCAAAGCAGCAGTAGGGGGATGCAGCCAATAAAATACGCTTGCTCAGCCATACTGATCACACTCGGTGCGTTGCATGCGACTTTTCGAGTCCACTTAAACTCTTGTACATTAGTAGGTTACGTGGACACTGAGATGTACTTTTGGCTCCCCGAGCCTGTCGGTCAGTTTATGGACAGGTATAAGTGTATCATGGGTATCGGCATTTTCACCTTCATGGTCTGTCCGGCGTTTTTCTCCTCCCATTCTGTTGTGTTATTTTCGCCGAGCACCGAATGTCATCGGACCGTCACCCGGACTATGTGTCGGCAAGGGCTGACTACCCAGCTACTGCAGACATCGCCATTATTCGACGTGCCGATGGTCGAACATTGCGGAAGTCGTGCGACAGGTGCCACCAACAGAAGCTACGATGCGTAGGAGATAAGGCTTCGTTGACTCGATGCAAACGTTGCCAAAGAGCTGGACTCGAGTGCGTCTACGGGGCCAGATCAAGCAAGAAGACTAGCCAATGCAGCGTCGAGACTTTTGTCTCCTGGGAAAGCTGGCCCGCAGATGCCGCGATCCCGACACTGGACGACCCTGTGGGCGAGCTGGACACGATGTTTGGTCTTGAGTTGACGCATTTCGAGGACGTCTTTCCCCTTTCTCCCTCGTCTCGGCCCAGCACTGGCGGGAGGAGTGCCGCATTTGGCGACCCCAATTCGTCCGCGTTTGAGCAGAACTCTGAGGCCCTAGTTAGCTCAGCGCCAAACATGCCATTACTTCCCTCTGGGGGCTCATCTAAAGCATGCGATGGACTCGTATCTGAGCTTTCCGAGCCGTCGGCGGAGCTTACCAAGGCTTTCCAGGAATTGGAGGCGACTTTTCTTGGGACGGCAGAGGATCACACGAACCGAGGAACTCAAGATTGTACGGCTTCAATTTCGAGCACCAAATGTGAATCTTGTACTGACACCAGTTTCAGACCCCGTCGGCGAAGCCTTGAGCGCCCTTAGCAACTTTTTGGCCGTTTTAAAGCTTAGCAACGCGGAGGAAGCAGGCATCCATCGCACATCTCAAAGTTCACACGATGCCCACTTGCGGAGCAAACGAGCTTCAATAGAAGCTCAAGGCTATGTGTTGAGTGTCAAACTTCTAACGTCGCTGTTGGAACGAATGCTACAGAGTCTTTTAGCGTCGCCATCGCCATCGCCAACGGCGTCCGCCAACTCATCCAGTCCTGACAGCTCTCAAGATGCAATCAATCTGAGAACAAGTCTAGGAGCATTGGGGAGCAAATTCGCCGATGCAAGTCACGTTCCATACAGTCTTCGACTAGGAGACCTGTTCGTGCCTCCAGACCATTTTGGCAACGCTTTGAATTCAAGCCTTGACTTGCTACGCATTGGCTACAGCCGGCTCAGCGAGATGGAAGACTTACTCGGGATACCATCTACGCAATCAGGACAGAGTAAATCGTCCCTGGCGTGCCTGGAGCGCTTGGGCCTCACACAGCCAACGGTGCCGGATAACGGAGTTTCAAGACCGTCGTTACCAGCTCGTTTCGTAGCATCAATATGGGAGGACGAGACAGGCATCAACAAAAGGTCCTCTGTAGTGTGCCTACACCGTTGTCGTGCTGCAATTTTGGGTCTTATCGAGCATTGTGCTTGACATACACTGTAGTAGCGTCTAGCGGCGTCTCGGTTAGCTGATGTGGTATGAGCCTCACTACAACTTTGACCAATTACTTGGATTTGGAACGCCAGCTCGACCCATACATTCGATAACGTGTTATATGATGATCTATAATGTGCGCTGTCTAGATGGCTACAACCTCCTACCGGGCTTTCATATATTCTCCTTAGCTTCAGGCCATGAACCAGAAAATGACCTCATCCACGTGAACGTTACATGTCACTACCCGCAATTCCCCATAGTTACTGCCGACCGAGTATAGACCTCTTTTCTTACGGTATCGTTTTGTTCGTACGGCAAATAACTATAGCCATTCATGATGATGTCCCCTATAGAACATATAGGATCAAAGTGGGGCCGTCTCGCCGTTACTTGTTTCGGCAGTACTTGTCGTCGCGCGAAGATCAACTCGGAGAGAATCACCAGTCACAGTAAATGCCATCAAATCATTGAAATAGACTTTCATCAACCGTAGTAATGCGAACAAACGATGGAAATGTACAAAAGCGACGAATCTCACAAACAGTATGTTTTGGGTGGTGGATGTAGCCAGACTACACAAGTACTTCAACTCTTCAAGTCCATATAGCGCATTACCACTGAAGCTGCGTGGCTGCAACCACTGCTGCGGCGAACTTCACTCTAGAGATTCAGCCATTGTCGTACAGTCACAGCTGCTGGTCCAATTCAGATCATTTGGGAACATTTCCTTCTCAACGGTGTGAATACAAAACTTCGACTGTGAATAACGTTCATTGCGGGACACTTCCGGAGTTGGTCAAGGCTTAAAAGCCATGAAACTTTCTGTTCAACCTTGATTGGTACCTGTTCCAGTCAAGACATACCCCGGATATCCCGTTGGTGCAGAGCGGGATGCTGTCCGCTCGGAGGGATGTTCTCCGCCGTCCCTCGTGCTCATATAGACATTGGAGGTTTTTGTAGGCTCATTTCGGAGCCATTACCTGCTGACATGAGAGGACGCTCACAGTACTTCTCAACGCCAGGACAGCATGGCCATTCTGACCATCCTCCGAGAGACGTCGTCGTGCACCTTCCTTGCCATTGTGTTCCTTGGCTTCCTTATTTATAGCGTTGTAAAGGTCAGCCGTAGTAAGAATCCGTCTCTAAAGAATCCAATATTGACAGGTACGTAGTACACCTACCGACTGTGGTTCCACCCTTTGGCACGGTACCCGGGCCCCCTCCTCGCCCGAGCATCCTCTTACTGGGCGACATCGCATGCGCGCCAGCTTCGCAAGGCTCACGCTATCCAGCAAGCTCATGAGAGGTACGGCCCCGTGGTTCGCGTGGGCCCAAATGAACTGTCGTTTGCCTCCCCAACGGCATTGAAAGATATCTACGGACACGGACAGGGACTGCCGAAGGCCGAATTCTACAAGGCCGGCAAATTCACGACGGAAGATAGCGTTTTCAGCATCCGCGACAGAGCACAGCATGCGGGGAGGAGGTCACTCATGGCGAAGACCTACTCTCAGGCACACGTCTGGACCTACGCTCCTCTCTTGCGCGAGAAGATCTCACAGACGCTGGACCAGCTTCACGAAAGATCGCAAAGCGGATCCGAAGCTGTCAATGTCTACCCCTGGCTTCACTTCCTAGCCCTGGACGTTGTCTGTGAGTTCTGTGACTGTCCTCAGCATGGAGTGGCGGCCGAGTAACCACCATCTAGTTCACTTCTCCTTAAACCACGAAAGCGGAACACTAAGGACAGGTGAGGCGCACCCCGTCATTCGGGAGCTGGAGGCTTTTCAAGCAGCGTTTGCCTGGGTATGTACGTCAAGACCAATCCTGCGAAACGATGAAGCTGATCAGCACAGACGGCATTATTTCCACCACTTCGGTCCTTTGGACGGTTCCTCCCGTGGGTTTCTGTTAGCGAGCCGTTTACCCTTCTAAATGAATGGATAGAGGTAGGAAATCTCCCGGACAAGATCCAACTTCACGTAAAGTTGATCGTTTTTGTCAGTTCTGTGTCAACATCGTGCAGCGAGAGCGCAATTCGGACAAACGCTCTGCTGTGATGACGAGCCTGATCGAGAAACCGGATGCGTGGCTGAAACGGAAACTGACCGATGTCGAAGTCGCGGAAGAGCTCCTGGCAATCATGATTGCCGGGAGTGGGACGTCGGCCAACACGATAGTCTTTCTGATCTGGGCTGTTGTCCGCCATCCAGGAGTATACAAGAAGCTCAAAGCGGAGGTGTATGAACGGATCCCGCATCCACGGGATGTACCCGACATTACTGCAGCGAACAAGTTTCCGTACACGAATGCCGTGATTATGGAGGCTCTCAGAAGGTATCCAACGATTCCAGGCGGCCAACCCCGTGTTGCCGTTGACAATGGCCTCGTGGTGGATGGAAATCAAATCCCCAAAGGAGTGGGTGGAGTACATTGATCTTGAGGCATAAAGATGGACTAACTGGGACAGACCATCGTGGGGGTTCAGAACTACTCGATACACCAAGATCCCAACGTATTTCCCGACCCCGACTCCTTCCTCCCAGAGAGATGGCTTGGAGAAGACACATCAAGACAAAGAGCGGCATTCAATGGCTTTGGCACTGGATCACGAGCTTGCATTGGGCGCAAGTAAGTTGCTCACCAGTGTCCCATCGTGATTCGTAATGACCTCTATAGCCTTGCTATGATGGAACTTCAGCTCGTAGTCCCGTCTTTCTTTCGTCGGTTCGATGTCACGATTGCACCAACCACGGCCGATTCCGACATGATAATGACGGATGGCTTCAGTGGCGGTCCGGTGAGCAAGAGTTTGAATCTGTACTTGAAAGAGAGCAGTCAATAGTTGAAACAAGTCAAGGAATATGTGCTGCCAACCTGCCATCATAACTGAGAAGCCAAAGGTATAGCTCTAACAGGAAGCAAATTTTCGCATGGATCAGTGATTATTCCTGTGACTCTGAATCGCTATTCGAGATACCGTATTAGAGAGCAGTATTTTCCACAAGTCGAGCTCCCCGACATGCAATGATATGTCGCAAGGATGATGACAGACGTTTCGGGACGCAGCCGAGTCCCTATCGCTTGCAGTTCCAGCAGAACTATCTCGGCCCAGGGCCCGCAATACCAAAGCTGACTACTGAATCTACTGACGCTGCAGATGAGCACTCTGGCAATCGGTGGCTTCTGGTGAACGGGATTCATCCGATTCGAGCTTTTTCCGTGCTCCGCGTGAATGCACCGGTCACGAACATCCTGCCTCCTGTCCTTATCTACCACAACGACTATATTATTCCGCCAACGCGAGGCGCGATGTTCCGTCTTGTAGCCGTAAGTCTAGGCGGGGAGACTGTCCTTAGCGATATCATTGGGGGTTATGAGAGACGGGGAGTTGGAGTGGGAGGAATACTTAGAGCCGTCCAAGGCGTCTTTGGTGTATAAATGAGATCCATTGCCCAATCTGCCCACCCAGGTCGATTTCCGGACGACAAGGACGACGGATGCTCCGCCTGCCGGCTCGGCCTTAGCACATTTGCTTTCCTTCCCGGCTTTTTCGAGAGTCTGTCCCTCTACTCGACCATGTCTCGAATCACCGGTGTTGACGAAAAGGATCCTGACGCCTCAAACAACGTCGAAGAGCTGTCGAGAGAGGCATGCCACCACGAGAACTCGGCCGTGGTCAAGCTCTCTCGCCACGGGCTCCCGCTGGACCCTCAGCCCAGCGACGATGCCTTCGACCCCCTGAACTGGCCGACGGGACAGAAACTGGCCATCCTCGCGGTGCTGTGTGTCTGGGCGTTTCAAGGACCCCTCAACATGATCGCCATCGCCCCCGCTTTCTTTGTGGTCGCGGAAGACCTCCACTGCGGCCTCAACGTCGTCACGTACCTGGTCGGATCGCCTCTGCTCGCGTACGGGGTTGCATCGCTGTTCTGGGTCGCGCTGGGCAACAAGTTCGGGGTGCGGAAGTGCTTCGTCTTGTCCAGCCTCGCCGGCGGCCTGTTCTCCATCTGGGGCGCCAAAGCGGACTCTTTTGGCTGTCTCACAGCGGCACGGACATTGGCATCGGCGTGCATGGCGTCGCCGGAGACGCTGGGGCCACAGGTCATCGCGGACGTCTTCTTCCTGGACGACAGGGCCAAGTGCATGGCGCTCCTCACCCTCTTCGAGGCCTCGGGATTTGCCATCGGGAGCTTACAGGGGGCCTACATCACTGCGAATCTCGGCTGGCGCTGGATCGAATGGATCCACGTGATTCTGTCGCTGTCGTGCTGTTTCTTGCTGTTCTCCCTATTCCCAGAGACCCAGTACACTCGAGAGTCTGCGGTTCAGCACGGGCGTCAGCGGCGTCTGGTGGACAACTGGACGTTTCCGGCGGTCAGTGGAGGCGGACGAAGCAAGGTCAACAGGTGAGTATGTGCCTGCGAGATTGCCGCCTGACAACGTGTTAACCTCGAGTTCCAAATAGCTTCTGGCGAGCATTCGCCTATCCGTTCCGCTACATCCCGCACCCGGCCGTGTTGGTCATGACCTGCCACTTTTCCATCTTGTTAATGGTGGCAAACTACATGTTGACGTCCAACACCTTCATCTTCGAGGGCGAGTACGGATTCGACATTAAGCGAACCGGCCTGACGGCTCTGTCGCCGTTCCTCGCCACCTGTCTCGCGATCCCATACTCCGGGTTCCTCAACGACTGGTATGTCGATCGACATCGCCATGCGGCCGACTTCCAGCCAGAGTGGAGACTGGTGTTCTTCAGTGTCACCGCGGTTCTGGCGCCGGTGGGCTGTATCATCGTCGGGGTATGCGCACAGAATCATGATCACTATGTCGCGGTGCTCGTCGGAGAAGCTTTCAGTAAGGTTTTCCCTTCCCTCCTCTCTGCTGCTATGGGTCGAGTTTGACTAATATTCCTAGTCATGTTTTCCTTTCTTGTGGCGTGCAACCTTACCCAAACCTACCTGGTTGATGTATACATTGCGCGCGCGGATGCAGCGCTGGTCATTCAGAACGGGTTCAAGAATTTCGCGGCCTTTGCCATTTCCTACGCCATTGTCCCGTGGAACACGAGTCAAGGATATGCCATCCCGTTTGGTGTGCTCGCAGTCATTGCGTTCGTGGCCCACATCCCCATTTTTATCTTCTGGTGGAAGGGACCTCGTATCAGAGCGTGGTCTGCGAAGATCTGGAAGGAAGCTCGTCCGTCGCATCACGGTGACAGTTTCTAGTCAGGCGAGATCAGCGGAAACAGCAGCAATAGGGAGGATAGTCGGTGATGGGAGAAGTCACATACAGACAAGATGAGAATTATGTCGTGCTGCCATCTAAGCTGATGCACACAGAAAGGGCCACAAAAATATTGGTCTTCCACCCATGTACATTGTATTTCCAACGAAGACAACCACTTTCCCCGTGAGCATTATGTCGGCGGGAATACCTGCTGGTCAGCCCCCTGCTCTTCATACCATCCGGCAACTGAGGTATCGATGTCGATGGTGGGATCAAAAGGTATGTTGGCCAACCACTCCATATCCTGAGCATCCAGAGCCAAGTTGAAGCTCATTCCACCATCGGCCGAAACATGTAAGTCTGGGTCAGCAAAGATCTCGGTTTCTGCCACAGTGTCAATTGCTTGGCTCATTCGTCCCTGTTGACGGCTAACAGTCGCAGAGTTCGCTAGGCCGGTGGAAAGCGCATGCACTAGCAATCGTTTAACGCCACAGAACTTCGTGTCCTTAGTGATATGCATACCGTGGTCCTTGGCTCGAAAGAGCTGCTTGTTCACCAATTCAAGCACTTTGAAGCACCGCCTCGCCACCACGCTTTGAGATTTGTATCTATGAAGACCTCGAAGGCACTTGTCCCAGCATTGTTGCCATTGGTCTTCTGCCTCCAAAGGCATGAGTGGAGGACAAAGTCGCTGCGCTACAAAAATAGTGGCAGCAGTATAAAAATCTGTTCGTGGTCAGCACGGTCGAGGCCGGAAGGATATATGTGGTCGGGCTGACAGAAGACGTTGTACCACCAAGCAGGCAACGTCACATCGCCGGACATCAGGCTGTCATAGACGAGGTTCGTGACATCTTGAGCTGCCTGGATACAATGCTTAGATATCTTTTCCAGCGTGGTCTGTCGTAGCACTATTTGCAGTGCATCGGCCGAAGTGTATGTGCTGGCTGGAGTATCAGTGTTCGAAAGAAGCACGGTCAGAACGGGGCGAGACAACAAGATTTTCACATGGAGGAATCTGTGAAGGAGCGTGTCAGTGAGTTTGCGAGTTGTCACCTGCGGGAAATAGGAATACCGAGCCTGTAAGATCTTGGCCTGCCGATGAAATATGGCCAGAAGCTCGTGGGGTATCTCGGCTAGGATAGGGCCGCCGTCAGGAGCAGGTGAGGTGCGAGTGCCAGTGGAGGCTGTTGTGTACGTGGAAATTTGAAGAAACCAGGGAAGATCCTCCCGCCACTTGGTCAACTCAGCATCGAGCTCCAATATGCCCTGAGCATTTCCTGTCTTAATCTTCTCAATCAACGACTTAGCCGAGCCCATTCTGGGAGTTGGGGTACTGGCACTAGACTCCGTGTCATCAGTCGTGTAGGCTGCACCACCATATATCGCATCAAGCACCTCCCCAACGAGTTGACAAAGCTTGACAGCATGGGCGAAGAATGTGATGTAGTTTGGCTTGGCGGAAGGGTGTAGACCCGACGATACTGTTACTTTCATCAATTCTTCCTCCTCGACGGCAGTCGGGAGGCTGATGCCTCGTATTGAAGCAGGAGGCAGCATCAGCGGCCGTCCAAACATCATGGACGCAACTCTGTTAACAGTCAGTGCAAGACTAATGAGAGAATAGACAAAGCCTCATGACAGAGCATTAACGCTCTACGAACGTCATCTGGCGGAGTGGTTGAACAAGGATTGAGTACCTGTCTTGGATAATGCAGCCTCCCCACAACCTTTTCCTGATCTCTTCATCCAGGCGGCTTAGTGGCCTGCTTGACACATAACGATAGACTGTTTTATCCAACCCGATCGACTGCGATGTCCGTATAGCCAAGCCAACGATGTTCCAGCACATACTGGATCTGTCGGTACTCTGGAGATATAGGCCCATAAGTAGAAGCGCTTGCACAAGTGTTACTTCTCCATACTCTAGGCTGTCAAGATTGATAAACCCTTTCGCCCGTTGGAAGAAGACTTCGCCTGTCTCGCAGCGTTCGTCAGGGTCAACGACAGGGCTGTACTGCGCCCCAAGGGCAAAGACAAGATTGATTATACAGAAAAATATTGGCTCGTTGGAATAGTAGCCCTCTACGTCAGTGTGGTCTTGTAACACGAACCTCGAGTCAAGGAAAGACGCGCAAGGAGACTTCTCGTCAGGATCGGACCATAGCTTCTGATAGCGAATATTCAGAGCGGTCTTGAAAAGATATGGATAGATCGGGTGGACATGATTCCAGTAGCTCGAAAGCAATGCATTTGCCAATGTTTTAGGTGGAACGACATAGTGACGACGACTGAAGGTCTGCGTGGTGGCTTTCCTAAATGCTTGAGTGTAACCTTGGAAGCTCAGCAATGGTCTTCACCTATCGAGGGAAAACTATCCTGCTCACCAAACCGCTCATTTTTTGTGTTCTTGACAACTTCAGCATTGTGAGGCTGCAGCACAGCTTGGATATGCTTCATGAAGCCCAAAGTGCTGGAGGGTCCGAAGTATGCTCTTTCGGGAGCATAGGTGCCAGTTGTGGAAGCTTCGTGGATGGAGTTGGACGCTACAGCACCCATACCATCGACATCAGCATCGGAATCGTCGACCTCATCTAGATCATGGTCAAGCGCCGTGGCGCTTGGACGATTTGGAGTATCTGTAGCTGGAGCACAATCTGCCACAGACGACTGCACATCAGTAATTTGATGAGTTCGGTCTGGGATATGCATGGCATGGGTGGACGGCTGCGGAGGGGTTGGCGAGCGGTCCATCGTATTGTTCAAGATAAAAGACATCGCTCCGGGGGCGTCGCCGGTTCCGGTACCGGTAGAAGCATCAGGGACAACTAGAGGAGACGGTTCTGAAGGTTCGACCGACCCTACTGGCGGTTCATAGGCTGGCACATCGAAGCTCATCTGATGCGTGTCGGTTTGTGTGACAAGAGGCGCAGGAGATTGTCGTGCCAGCATGCTCTCTAG